TGGGCGTGAGGATCTTGGGCGTGAGGATCTTGGGCGTGAGGATCTTGCTGGTGCTGGTCGTCCCAATGTCCTTCATCCGCACCGTACCCAGCATAGCTATCATCGTTGTGATATATGCCATTTTGGTTGTACGGATCTTGGCCTTGGTCGTCGCCATATCCTTCCTCCGGATGCTGCGAATGGAAGTCTTGCCCATTGCCCTGGTATTGCTGGTAATCATGGTCGTAAGAATGGTCATAGCCGTCACCGCCATCATGGTGATAATAGTCATTCTCGTCCCCCGGATCGTGTTCGTGGCCATAGTAGTCATCATAACCGTCGCCGCCATAATGATCTTCATGGTCATCGTATCCGCCATAGCCATGGTTCTCCTGATGGGAGGAATGGCCTTGAGCGTCGTAGTACTGCATGATGTGCAGTGATCTTAGCAAAAGCTTTCGCCAGGATATGTCTTGGAGGGAGGTGGGACTGAGATACTTTGGGATGGCCCATGCGTCCTAGGACGTCTTCAAAGCTTCATCAGTGGTCTTAAAGGGACTACAGTACCTACCGTCCATAATCCTTACCGCGAGCGGTTTATTTTTGCGAGACATACCTCTATGCTGATTGGCATGCTTCGACTGGCCCCGGTGGCGTATGTGTTTCGTCAGTCTGAGCATGCAACCGTCGTAGCCTTAATCGAGGAGGAGTTGCGAGGCAAAGACAGGGAATGACTTGAAAATGAAGATATTTAGGCCAGCATATTTTTAGGTTAAGAAGCCTGAAGGGTTGGCTCAAAGGTGCGGTAGGCCTCATCCGTTCTCGAAACGGCACGAGACGCCTCGCTCATCTCGTTTTGGTTGCAAGCCTGACTCCAGCGCATGAGGCGAGGATTGCTGCGGCGGGGCTCGTTGACCGACTGCGTGTTAGGAGCATTGTGCGTTGTAAGCATTTGGGTCCAAGAATCATTGCCTAGCGATCAATGGTATCATTGCCTCGTAGTTCTGATTAATTTGGAGTCCGAAGCCGTCCAGAGCGTGACAAGGACGCAAATGTTTGAGAAGAAAGCCAGATATTGACTGGGAGCTGGGTCGTGATGGAAAACCTGCAAATCTATTGGGAAGATTGCAGTAAAAACACCTACAGTATTGTACCCTGCTGTACGACGGGCTGAGCAGGCTTCAGGCGGCCTCGGCATACTTGAAGCTTAGCTTGCTTAGGGCTCGCTTAAGTATTAGGCTAGCGAGGCTAACTTTAGGTGGGTTCACAATTGTCAAATGGGTAAGCTAAGTTAGTCTCAAGCCTAAGCAGCCTGAGACTTTTAGCGTCTGGTGTCCCGAACACGGGCGAGACAGGCTTCTTACGCGCTGTATGGTGGCATCATCATCCGCTCTCATACTCCGTATTTGTCCCCTTGTTCCTTCCCAGTCCAGAGCAACCTCTTTGATATCACCTTCACTTAAACCAGACGTGTCTTTCGTATGCTGACAAGGATCTCTGACGCCTGGAATACTCTGAGAATGTCAATCAACCAGCCAGATGCCTGATACAAGCTGCTTTCGGGCAGTGCGGTGCCACAATCATACTGAGGCCAAGGGTCGACATATTCTCTCAAGCGATGTCTCACACAGCAATCACCTTCTCATTTATCCAGCTCATTGGTAGCAGAGTTTTCATAACCAAAAACTCCTCGTGCGCACACGCCTCGAGATGATGCCTGCCACATCTTTGACCCGCCATCAATCTTCCGTCACGACACGCAGGATTGACGAGACTTCTGGAATCTGTTAACAGCTACCTTACAAGGGAACAACGGTCTTACCCGAATTCCAGACCCGACTTGCACAACATGCATCCTCGGTTTGTTCTCCATCCTGTCTACACCCAGCTCGGGCGGCATTGCGTCAAGCGACATCTCAGCGGCTGAGACTCGTTCGAGAAGGTCCTCTGGATGTGCAACGTCTCGAATCGCAAGGAAGCGAGTGGCATCGTCGAAGAGTCGCCGTAGGTGGACGAGGCAACGAGGGGACCATGGGTGTGCTCGGCGCATTTTCTACACTGGTCATCAATATCAACAACCGCACCATGCCGAGACGAACGTTACCCTCCACAAAATGTGCTGTTCCGGGCCAGCGATACTCATATCGAGGTAAAATGCTGTACGATCGCTGCCTCCGGGCAAGTTTGCAAAAGCCAAAGATGATGGGCGGGAGTGCTAGGAAAAGAGCAATGATTCCAACTACTGTTTCACCGGATAGAGTCATTTCTTACAGTGAATGAAAGACTCCAGAAGTATTAAGAAGGCCTCAGGCACGGAATAAGGTCGACGAGCGCCAGGAGATGACGAGGCCATTGTTCCATTTTATCTGCTATTGCTATAAGGTTGATTGCCTAGCATCGAGCTGATGGTGTTCATTCATCCAGACACCAAGCTGATTGTATTGGACATTTTCGAAAGTTCGGAGCTGCAGTGGATGAAACCAGTCCGCAAGGGAAAGATCAGTATGAGGCTGTGAGCCAACTGCCAGCTATACGCTGGTTAATGCCCATTGGCTGGTTGTCGAAAGTACGCCTCCAACCCCGAGGATACAAGCCTACCTAGTGAGCCCAGCGATTCTGGTATGACTTAACCCTTGCTCGTACTTTCAACCATCTGCCAATGAGGATGACTAGAACCTCGTCATCCAGCAGTTCGCGCTGGGCTCGTCGAGGCTAACGGGGCGCCGCTGAGGAGAAGTCGGACTTTCGGCTTTGACCAATGAGGCGCTTTCCCTTCCATGCGACCCACATCGAGGGTGTGAACCTGACGACAGATTGCTGTGCCGGCCCAAGCCTTTGCGGTTACCAGCGATTTCAGTAACGGTCATCGAACGGGGAAAAGAGGTATATAAACCCAGCTTTCCTCCACGCGAATGCTCCATGGTCTTCCTCTGGATGAATCTCCCTTGCGTCGCCCTCTGGCTGCTCCCTGCTGCCCACTGTATTAGCCAGCCTTGAACAGAGTACCTGAGCCTTGTGGCCCCAACAATCGCCTAGCTCACCACTAACCATGACTTCTCAGTGGCCAAATGCTCCAGTTTTATCTGCACCGGTGCTTGACTGGGGTCTCACAAGGACATCATCAAAGAGCTTTACATCAAGAAAGACCGTCCATTGGACGATGTGCGCCGGGAGCTCGAAAAGTCGTATGCCTTTGAAGCTAGGTAAGCAGTGAGGCCCTCCCAGGGTCTCCTTCTCATCATGAGCGACAGTATACCGCGGTACAAGAGGAAGATGAAAGAATGGGGCTTCAAGAAAAATCACAAGTCTTCTGAGTGGCAGGCCATTGATAGAGGCTTAAACCGCCGCAGCCTTGACCAGAGCACCGCCAGAGTGACCATAAAGGATTCGACTCTAGGACCCAGAAAGATCGAAAGAGGCCTGCGAAGACACGTTGTTCCAAGCTTAAAACGAAAATGGAAGGCAGGTGAGGCATACTTGCTCTACGTTCTAAAGTTATCCAGGCTGATAGTGGCCTAGTGGACAGTCCAGATACGCCTGAGCATATTCGTATTGTCAAGGGGTTTCCACGTGAGCTGGTAATCCCAGTCCTTGATCTCCCGGGTCTACAATTGATTGAGAGGACTCGAAGACTTCTTTCCCATCCTGAAAGACCACCAGCTCGCGCAAACAGCTTCCACCCTGGCCCCTTGCGGCCAACTCCAATGTCCCATTGAAGGATCTAGACTGGCCTGAATCCCTCGTCGACTATGTATGCGGCATTGACAAATATCGTGGGGGTCCCATATGCTTTCCTACCGCATTAGAATATGCTATGCGCGGCAAATCGACTGCAGCGGTTGAACTCCTGCTCAAACGTGGTGCGGGTCTCTCAGCATGGTACATAACTTCGCCTCTTATTCTTGCGTCGACACAAGGCCCAGCAGGATGTGTCGAGCTTTTACTCAACTATGGCGCAAATCCAAGGGAAGTCCGGGGTCAAACACTGCGCATTGATGCTCTGCAAGCAGCTTCAATGGCGGGTCCCATGGTATTGTCAGGAGACTGATTCAAGCAGGTGCCGACATCAACAGCCCTACCCACAGCGTCCAAGGCCCGACGGCGTTGCAGTGGGCTGCAGTGCGAGGCGACATAGACCTCCTCAAGTACCTACTAAGCCATGGGGCAGACATCAATGCTCCTGCCGCCACAGAGTATGGGTACACAGCGCTTCAAGCTGCAGTGCTCTATGCAGCCGAAGAAGCTGTTGATCTCATTCTGGATTGGGGTGCTGATGTAAACTCAGGTCCGTCCAATGTCGAATGATATACTGCGTTGTCAGCTGCTATAGATACTAAAAATGAACTTCTGTTTTGGAAGCTCATCAAAGCAGGCACGGATGTCAACCTGGTTGAATGGGAGGACTGCGACAATGAGAATAACAATCATGTCTTGGTGGCTGCTGGCAGCAAGAGTACCAAATTCTTCCGGTGGTTGCTGGACTTGGGCGTGGACTTTGATACGTGTCTACGATCTGGCTACACGCTAGGAGACATGGCGTTATTGCGGGCCATCGAGGCAGACAACCCAACAATGGTGCATCGTCTCCTCGAAAGAAACACCATTCTGAGTTCAGACATTCTTACGCAGGCTCTTCACTCGCTTGCCCTTTACACGGACAATGCCAACTATGAGGTTGAAGTCGCACTGCTAGACCGCGGTGCAGATTTGCGTTGCCAGCTGTGGTGCTCCCGAACTTTGTTGCAGATTGCATGCACCGGTTCCAGTCTGAATCATGTGCAGGAGCTGGTTCGAAGAGGAGCGGATGTCAATGCTCCCCCTTTACAAGTCCGTGGGCAAACAGCACTGCAAGCTGCAAGTGCCAGAGGACATGTGCCTCTTGTTAAACTCTTGCTTGGCCATGGAGCAGATGTCAATGCACAAGCGGCGCCAGAATGGGGATTAACAGCGCTTCAAGCTGCAAGCGCGGAAGGACATATCCCTGCTGCAAACTCCTGCTTGATAACGGAGCGAACGTCAATGCACAACCGGGGCCAGAGGGGGGGCGAACAGCACTGCAAGCCGCAAGCGCGGAAGGACATGTCTCTTTTGTTGAGCTCTTGCTTGATAACGGAGCGGACGCCAACGCTCCGGCGTGTGAGTGGAGGGGAGTAACGGCGCTCCAAGCAACCGCCATCAGAGGTTACGTGAGAATAGCGCAGATGCTCATCGCAGAAGGTGCTGATGTTGTAGCACCTCCCTCGCCCCTCCAAGGACGGACTGCCCTTAACGGAGCAGCGGAAAACGGTCGCCTCGACATGGTAAAGCTTCTGCTGGATAACTACCGATTGAAAGAGGGTGAATCCATTTCAAAGCTATGCGACGAAGCCGCTGAGTATGCAAGACGCGAATGCCATTGGGGTGTGGTCGACCTACTGGAAGGCTATCAACGGGGACCAAACTCAAGTCCATGATCGACTTATCCGAAGCCCAATCACGACCATGCCTCGTCTTTCGCACAAGACTCAGGGACGATCGCACGTACCTGAACCAAGAGCGTTGAACCCATGCAGGGCTGCCGAAATCCCTTTAGTTGCACAAACCATTAAACACAGAGCCTCCGCATCGACTCGACAGTTTATCGGTAACGACATTTTTACGAACTCAAACAAGGAGACTCGTCGTCATATGTACGATGGCCCAGACGAATTGATATCTCACATGTCGGCTACGAATTACAAACGGGTCTTGCTCGCACCCACCGCCACGATCCAGTACCCTGTCTCACGCCTTCCGGCATCAACGAGCACTAAGTTACGGATCCACCACCACCAAGTATCGAAGATTGTCAAGCTACGATGTCGCTAGTAATCCAGGACAGTGATGGGGCTCATAGTCTTGGTCTGGAAAGACACCCCATCAGGGGCACCGGAGCTGTCAGCCATGACTTCGAGACTTGAGCGGCCAAGAACGGAAGACCAGACAACACACGTAAGGGAGGGATCGTTTCCGCCAGAAGAACCGACTTGCAAGCTAAGGCTTAGGGATTGCAATCAAGCTTCTCTAGCAGCATCGGATGAAATGACATGATGCGTTTTTCTTTAGGCGTCGTATTTGATTTGGTTCTCCTTTCAACATTACATAGTAATGCCTATCTTGACAGAACACGTACGAGGGAAGCAATCTTTGTCTTGTGATATTTTCTTTCTTGCCCTGGCCTCATACCTTCCGCCGCAATGTAACCCAGTTGCGTGTCACAAGCGATATGAGAGCACTTACTTCTGGACATATTTATCCCCAATGCCCCTCTGAACGGCCGGGCGCGCCGCAATTCTGTCAATCCACTTCAACAAGTGTGGGAAGGGCTTCATGTCCTCGGCCGTGAAGCCGCTACGCTCCCAGCCTTTCACCCACGGCCATGTCTTGATATCCGCGACGCTGTATTTCCCTTTGCCCTTGCCGGCAAGGTAGTCTCTTGGCTCGCCCGTGTATTTGCCGGACAGTCGAATCTCGAGGACGCCGTAGACGCGGAGAGTTTCGTTCTTGTATCTGTTGATGGCATCTAAACAGAAACAATGTCAGCAATGGTGCTTCTCGGCGGTTGCATATTCTCTTGGGACTTGTGTGCTCCATCTCGTCACCTCTGTAACGGGGGTATATGTGCTCAAGCTGTGCGTGGGTGTCCAACTTACAAGGAATCTTCTCTGGCGCCGCCCTCGTGAAATGATTGACCTGGCCCTGATACGGCGCGCCTCCGCCATGCCAGAAGAACATCCACTGCAAGGCCTCGTTACGCTCCAATTCGTCCTTGAACCCGAACGTGTCATTCTTGTCAAACACCTTCACCAGGTACAACATCTGGGCCGAGGTCTCGATGACCGGGAACGGCGGGGACTGGGAGTTGTCGACGAGCGTCGGGATCCGACCGTTCGGGTTGAGACGCAGGAACCACTCCTCTTTCTGCACGTTGGTCGAGATGTTGATCAGCGTGGTGCCCCATTCGGTGCCGTAGGCATCGTGCAGCTCCTCGAGCATGATCTGTGTGGCTTGGCCGTTGGGCGTGTTTTGCGTGAGGAGGTGCAGGCCCTTGGCTTGGGACACCTCGGCGGGCGTTTCGGCGATGTAGAGGTGGTTAGACATGGTGGGCGTGGTGCAGAAGGACCGTAGTCTGGATTTCCCGATACTACCTGGGTTAGTAGTAGCAGTAGTATTAGTGATAAACTGAGTACCACTACTTGTACGTCGTGGACAAGAAGATGGGCAGACGACGAGACTTGATGGTCGTCCGAGAGACTTGGAGATATGACGAAGTGAACAAGTACTACCGCTGGTACGATTAAGCAGAGAAGGAAAAGGAGTCATTCAAAAGAGAAAAGAAAAGAGGGACTGGTCAATATGTAGAGGAAGCGATTACAACCGGTCTATTGCGCCATTCGATTCTACCAGTACCTGCGGAGGGTGCAAGCAAAAAAGATCCCGATTCTCCGTACGCAATGTATTTGTAAGGTACATGGAGGGGTTTGACAAGATTCACATCATCCATGATGATTGATGTCCTGTCACTCCTCTGTATTTTCCCCGCAGTGGTTCGTCATCATGCCGTTCTCGCCGTCTCACGTCTCACGTCTCACGCCGACCCTTGGTTGCTCGCCGGCGGATATATCTTCCATTCCGTGTTCCATGGCCGTGCCAGATACCTCGGGGGTGACCTGTACTCCCACACGCCCTAAAGATCCACAAGGAGACACAAACGCGTGTCTGCCAGGTCCAAATCCGTACCCGCCTTCAAGATCGAGTCCACAAAACTCCTTGAAAGTCTCCCGAAAAAGGGTTGCATAAGTCCACAAGAAGCAAGGTATCCATTCATATCATCATGTCCAGCCCCATTCCCGCTTCAATTCCAGCGCTGTCCGGCCCGTGGGCCAGCCATGCTCTTTCTTCAATTTATCCAAAATCCCAAGCAAGGCTTTCTGCTCGACAGGATCCGAAAAGTACTCTCCGCAGACAGCAATGGCCATATAAGCCTGCACCATCGCTGGCCGTGACGAAGGATTCGACATGGCCGTCCCACATAGTCGGATCACAATGTCATGTACTTCCTTCGTCATATGCCTGTGAGCGGCCGTCACCCCTGGCCCAATTCGAGGAATGTTCGGGTTGTACACCGTCAACAGGATGCGAGCGAGATCCAGGAACAGCAGCCCGGTGACGTGGATTTCAGCCATGTACCATATCTGCGGCAGACATTCGCCCTTGCTGCGATTCGGCTCTTGATAGTGAATGGGTGCAAACGATAGAGGCTTGGCCTGGTCCCATTGTGTCTCGAATTGTTTGAGCTGGTTCCACCGCTCGATATGCGTCAGGCCAGAATTGCCAACTCCACCGAAGCAGAATTGCAGAACGTTGGCGCAGTGATAGAGATGACGATCGGCCCATACAAAATCCTCAACTTCGTCGAAGCCTTGCAGAATGGACCAAGTTTCTAGTGGTAGCCGGACGGCTCTCTGTTTGAGAAATGCGATCGTTGTCTCTTGTCGCAGAGCAATCCGAAAAGCCGCATGTTGGAAGCTCTTCAAGTACGACAGTGTGTTCTCGTAGATTCCCGCTGCTGAACCTGGCCTGAGGTATTCCGGGTTCTGTCCATTGTCTAGGATATGTGAGTAGGGAGACAACTGAGCGTTGACGAAGACTTGGAACGGACGAAGAAATGTCTCGCTGTCTTCGCCTGTAAATGCGGTGTCGATCTCTTCATAGTAACGCAGTATCACCGCCGCAGCGAGTAAGTTTTCGTCCCTAACATGTTCCTGGTCGTTGGATAGCTTGATGAGATAGGCGATACAAGCGTTGTGGTATTTCACGGCAGTCTCCTGGGTAAGTGTGGGCAAGAGTACATCCTGATATTTGACGACGATCCCGTCTGCTGTTCTGTGCTGAGCAACATTCGCAAGATGTCGTGATGCCGCAGTAAATATGGCGTTCAAGAGTGGAGGACACCTTCGTGCCCGTTGAGGTACCGTGAGGGTAAAGTGTCTTGATGGATCTCCAACATCAAACTGTTTGTGTCAGGATTTCTGGTTGTGAAGGAGTAAGAGACAACTTACCCAGGCTGCAAGGTGGTCAATATAGTATCGCATTAGGCAAGCACATTGTGTCGTCGTATTCTTGTTGGGCCAGTAGAAGTCTTCTTTCCAGGCGGCAGGAGAGAGTAGAGACTCTTCTGGGATGGTCGCTGCAGCCGAGTCGGCCAAACGACCATATTCTGCTTCCACGACCTTTGGAATATGGCGTGGTTCACCCATTGCGATGACGCCGTTGACGCCAACAGGGCTATAGGGTTTGGCGAGAGTATAGATTCGATAGATATGAGAGGTGTCGCCGCGAACCGGATCGTAAGCAGTTTGCTGCTGCCATGATTCAGCACCAGAGTTCTGTCGCGTTGCAGTTGAGTCAGTGGTTCGCCGTCTTTTGGTGGCTATCAGCGGACGTACCAGGGCCGTTTCATTATTCGAAGTTGTGGGAGACAAGAAAGGAAGTGGTTCGGAAGATGGTGCGCCATGCAGTGTGGGCGATAAGTCTGGATCGAGCCGATGTTGCAGTCGTTTGTATGGGTCAAGCCTCGTATTATCTTGCCTCTGCTCTTCCGCGACCGGTTTGGCATTGTTGACCGCAAAGTCATCTTGAGAATAGTAGTTCTCCAATTCAGGGCCTTGATCGACAAATTGGAATTTTGCTGGTTGGAAACAACTGTCAGTGATGGAGCTGATAGGCTTGAATTGCTTGTGGCTGGGGGCGAGAAGGAACACAACATGAATGGGGAATGCCAACGTGTCCTTCAGCAGTGTGACCAGGCAGGTCTCCGAAAGCATAGCGTGTGATGAAGATGCTTTCCGGCGCAGGAGGTATAAGAGGCGGCTCTAGGCATGGCTGAAATGTCTCTCTCCCTCTTCACCCACTACACGGACCTTTTTGCTGATTGTATCCGGGTTACACGGGCTTACCATTCTTGGTTTGCTCCAGCCATGTTTGATCCTTGGAAAAGTTCGCATCATAACGAGCGCTGGACCCGTAGCGAAATCTCAGTCTCCCTTTCCCCCTGCGACACGTCCCTCCGAGGCGTTCACATTGCTTGCATTTTGGGTTGTCGTCGCCTGGAAAGGTCAGCTCGGTCGATGTGGCAGAACAAGAGGTGGGTCGTAGGTAGGCTGGCCCTTTGTGCAGTCTCTGCTTCTTCTTGCCCTTGTAGCCGGTGAAGGCCATGGCGTGACAAGGAGGAATCGAGCAGCTTCCTCGTATGAGAATGAGCTCAACTTACATTTCAAGTGGCGCTCTTCTCAGCAAACCGGTCAGTTAGTAGGCGGGCGGTGGACGGCGTGCAGAAAGGCCACATACCTCTGCATTCCTGGCATGGATCCTCTATTTTATTTCCCAAATTTGGCATAGAAAATTCGGTCATTCAGAGATGCGTAGGACGAGCGACAAAGTCAAGGAGTTGAAAAAGCCATGTCAAGGAAGGAAGAAGTTGCCATTATCGAGCATTAAAGGCAAGTTGGATAGGAGGAGAGCCAGAGTCGAGACTGACAGAATGCAGCAAACTCGTCGGTCGAATCGGATGCGGGAGAAAAAGTCGAAATCACACTGACCCCGCGCTTGACATGGGATTCTTCTGGCCGGTGAGAGAACAATGACCGCTTTCTGGTGCCCAAATCGACAGGGTTAGCAATTCGAACGACGTTGGCACGGGCATGTGGCTCTGGGAGTCTGGCTCTCCAAAAACCGACCTTTGTGTGTGCCGGTTTTGGAGCTGCAGGTGCCGGTAATCAATGATCAACCCGTGATGACGCTCTCCTCCCTGTCCTCCTTGCCGTCCTCCCTGGGAGGTGGCTCGCTGGGTGTTCTACATAGCCTCGCTAAGTAGCAGCTAGTTAGGTTAGGCGACGAGACGGGCCGCCAGGCCTTTCTCCGCACCAAGGTTGGCAGGTCCGTTCAGGTTGATGAAAATGAAATACGTTCTTTAGGCGACCACGATAGCCTTGTCATGCTCCCAGCACAAAAGCAGCCACTTCGCAGCCCAACCTGCCGTGTCTTAGGACTGTTGCATGACAACCCTCGCTTACACCGTTCTCATGGGTGACACCCAGGTGACAGGTCGAAAATGTAGAAAGTCGGATGAGTTAACACCACGGAGTACGGTACTGAGCAAGATATTCCAACATTATGAAAGAAATGGTCATCAGATTCCTCGTCCATCAATAGCCAGCCTTTTCTTTCAGTAACAAACATGACCGGCAACCCAAGGTCTTAATTTCGCTCCAACCCATGCCACCAACCTCAGACGCTCAAAACGCCCATCTGCCGATCAACCAAGCGAGCAAGGCCAGAACCACTCCCACCCCTTACCATCCTGGCCTGACGAGTCTAATATTCGTAAACCGGCGCCTTGAAAAGGACATTGACGGCCGACTCCCTGACGCCACCACCAGCTGCAGACCCAGGCTCTTTGCCGGAGTTACCTCCCGAAGTCGAGGAATTGGAACTTGGTCCCTTGACTCGGACCTCAACAGCCACAAAGGCTGCGAAACGAATCCTCCCTTCATTTGCACCCGGTGCAGCATTTAACTGGGCCGGGTCAACCGCCATGCTCTCCCTGACATTGCCACGTTGATCCTCTCCATTATTCCCGGAAGCAGGTTCTGTAGCCCGACTGTCGGCGCGAGAAACTGGTGGCTTTTTGCCAACAATGCCACCAAGGAAGCTCGATTTCTTGGACTGCTTGTCCGGGATCTTGATCGTAGCTTGACTGCCTTGAGTGGCAACACTATCAGACCGACCCTGAGACTGTTGTGAGGCTGCTTTGCCAGCGGCTTCACGAATCTCGGCCTCGACATCCCGGTCACGAGGTCCATCCTCTGTGCTGACCGTGTCCATACCGTCGCCTTCTTGTCCCTCTTGCATGGCTTGTTGTTGCGCCTGAGCAGCTTGCATCGCGAGTAAGCGCTCATCTTGGCCTGGATTGGTCAGAGCTGTGATCTGGGGCTCGACCTTCATGTACATCTCATTAATCGGCGTGCCAGGCATGAAGTACTCGATGCAAATATCGCGCGATTCGAGTGGAATATTTGCTGCAATGCCTACCGCTTGACCAACAATCATACCAACACCTTCACTGAGACCCAATGGTGGAGGATCCGTGAGATTGGCTTTCAAAGATTCAGTGAGCTGGTGCGTGAACATTTGATTCAAGTTCTCCGTGTACTTCTCAGCTTGGGGCGAGGCCAGGACGTCTTGAAGACCTTCAATCGTGGTCAGCCGCCATGTGGTGATTTTTGTAATGAGGTCGTCCCGTTGCTCGTCGGCCAAAAGGCTGCCACCTTGTCCCGAACGGCGAATGCTACGTTCAATGTTCTTCAAATGAGCCGACAGCCCAGGATCAATCCCGGGGTGAAATGTACGTTCGAATATGCTCTCATAAAGCCACCGAGTTATACAAGCTCGACCGACAGCTGTCATTTCTTTGGTGCCGATCGAATGGGCGTCTTGGTTGCAAACATGACGAAGCCACGGTGGGACTGCTCGCCAGTTCTTGCGAATATTGAACGCCAGATTGTTGATGGCCTGGCTTAAACGTTCGAACCTGGCCGTGTATTGGGCATCATCCAGCGAAGTCCTTGACATGGACAATCGTTGGGTTGCCACTGTGTTCTGCAACTGGGTAACTTGCGCTTCGCGTTCAAAATAGTACCGTTTCACCTTGGAATATTTGGCTTGCAACTCTTCATGGCGCTGAAGCAGCTGATGATAGTCTAACTGACTGATGTCCTCTCTGCTCCTGGGAGGAGGCGTACTTCTGCCGTGTTCTGAACCTTGTTGTGACATTCTGGCTCGTGGATCCTGCGAGCTCTGGTATTGCTGGTTGTGGTCCTCAGTACGAGCGTCTCTTTGGGACAGTTGTTGGCGAAGGCTTCCATTACGTGCCTCCCCTCCTGCCATTGCCGGCTGTTGCTGCTGCTGACCCTGCGGCCCCAACTGCACCGAGTATCTGCTGGTCGCTGACGTAGACGGGCGAGAGTCTAGGAGAGTTTGCGTATGAGGAACGTTAGTAGTCGGCGATGGCGGGCCGAGAGATGCCTGCGAGGGTGGTCGTAGATGTCGGTACTGATCAGTATCGATATTCGCCCCTCGAGGATGCTGTGTCTGGCCCTGATAAGGAAGATAATGCTCGGAGGTGTTGGCTGATTCGGTCTGGTGATAAGCCCGATATTGCTCTGGAGTGAAATGAGGAGCGTCTTCCTCGTAGTCCACAGATTGTTGGGTCGTATGGCTCTGTGGAGATTCGAAATCTCCTCGGTATTGAGGCTGATCTGAAGGATATGCTGGAGTAGTGTCGACCGAAGGATAATATGCGGAGTGTCTTGTCTGGTAGATGGGTGAGGTCTGCTGTGAATGAGACTCTCGTGTACTGGGTTCAGCAGGCTGCGACTTCCTCAGCAGGTGCACAGAGCTTGATCGACCGATACCTCCTTTGCGCTGCTCTGAGACAGCGTTTTCCTTCTCTTTCTCCCGCTCTTTATCTTCGTCCTTGGACTTGTCCTTAATAAGTCCAGAGATGAAACTCCTCTTACTCTTCTTTTGTTTCTCGTCACGCTCAATGCGGGCCGATTTTGATTGACCGAAGAAAGTCTGGCCAGGAATAGGTGTTGGCTCTTCAGGGATCCCGTGTTGTTGTAACGGCGGGGGCACGAGGTTCACGCTGGGTCGCTGAGCGCCATGCACCTCGCCGGCCGAGACACTGTGACTGCGGGACAGATGCTGCGCAGGAAGAGGCTGGGATTGAGATTGGGTGTCTTGGATCTGATATTGCTCGTCGGTCAGGGGTTGTTGGGTATAGCGGTCAGAATGGTGATCAAATGCGTAAGATGCGCTAGGGTGAGCCTGGTGGTGTGGATGTTGATGTGGATGCTCAGGTCGCGAATCTTCAATCGAGCTATGAGACTTGTTCGAAGACTTGAAGAAAGGCATGGATCCGTGATCGCTGCTTGCCTCGAAGAAAACAGTATGCTATGTCGGCCGTCCTGGACGAGGAGAACGGATCAGAGTGAACCTGGCCTGGGAAAGGCGGGCGAGGACGAGCATGTCAGCTCCGCCTCGGGGGCTGATGCACTTTAGCAACGGGGGAGCGTAATTGTAGCTAGGCGAGGACGGTTTCTCCAATGCGCCCAACTTATGGCTTGGTATTTGCCCTGACCACAGAATCTACATGTCTCTCGCTGAACTAGGCGGGTGACCGGACCCCAACCTTCAACCATTATTCGTCGCTAGCTATCGTGATTGTTCCTGAACACTGAAGGCCTAATTGCTCGTTCTAGGATGCCTCGAATCAGGTGTCAAGCCACTCAACAAGCAAGCCAGCCCACCTGAAACGTGGGGAATTGCCTTTGATATATTTAGCACAAAAGCCATACCACTCACAACCACTGAACCAGTATAAAAGGCCCCCTCAAGTATCGTTGCTGTCAAATTTGTCAGCATCAACAACCAATTCTGCGGTTGTTGCAACGTCGTTGATGGTCGTCCTCTAGCCAGAAACCTCCAATGAGTGATCTTTGCAGAGACGACTTCTCAAGCAGAAGCTCGTCGGGTTGAGGGAGGTAAGATGACGTCTGGGCAACGCCGTATTCGGAACGAAGTGCCTACACAGAAGCTGCGTCGCCTAAGGCATGTCGGGCATGCTTCGGGCCGTGGCTTGGTCTTGGGGCAAACGTATCTGTCTTAAACTCCTTGTACTGGAAAGGCTGAGATCCTGCTATGTATGCAGGGCAACTGATGTTGGTATTCGCGAGTGGCTCTGCCATCTCAGGGTTTGACGATGTCCGCGGTCGGATGTCAACTCTCGTCAGCCTCGTCTTCAAAGCTTGGAAGGACAACGTCCCAGCCCGGATCTTCATGAAGTTCGATATCTGGTGTGCCCTCGGCTCCCTCCATTTCCACGTCCTCTGACACTTTCGACTTTGCTTTCAGTCGATATGCCACCCATGAGCCGTCAGCCAGACTGGCGCCCAAGGGACTTTCGTTCAGGACACTTTTATCGCCGCCCACCTTTCTCTTGGTACCCTTGGGACCCTTGAACTCTTGCTCCTTGATGATCAATGGCACCCAGCCTTTGCTTGCATCTTTTTTGTCGGCAAGAATGCCAAATTCGAGGTTGTCAGGATCTTCAGGTAGAGGCAAATCGGAGTTAGGAATGGTAGTGAGGTTTCGTGATTGTAGAGCAGCAAGCAGGAGGGCTTTGATCTCGGAGAAGGGTCTGTCCGGTAAAACAGATAGAACAGTGGTCGTCTTATGGCACTTGAACAACAGGGTAATCATGTCCGCCGTAGGCAATTCTGCCAGCTGGTCGCCCGAAATTGAAGTCATTGTAGAGGCTTCCTGGCCGCAGGTATGATAAAGAGTGGGTCAGCAACCGCCTATCAACCACTCTAGGATGGATAGCAATGTTTCCGTGATGGCGAACTCCGTCAAGACTTATTCAACAAGACCACCGCGTTGAATGAGAATGAAAAACGGCTCGCAATGGCATTGAAGGCGGTGCAGGCAGAAAACGCGAAGGAAGGGTCCTGAGTCTGTTCCCCGCAGAGCCAAAAAACTGCGCTTCGCTCCGGCGCGTGGAGCTCCAATTCAATGATATTATTACGAGTCTCAGCTTCAATGCTTTGCTCATGAGAAACATTGGTCTGCACCGCTGCAGATTCATGGTGTTGAGATAAGGGGTCGAGAGGCTGCAAAGTAGGGCAGATGTTCAGCATGTGGCCCTTTACATCTACTCAACCAAAGGAGGAAGCATGGGACCCAATCCCTTCACCGTCACAGGATTTTGCAACACATGTCTCTGCGCAGCAGGCCATCGCAGAGAGCCCGAATCCCTCAACACAAACAGACACTCCAGGTCTCATTGGACTGCCGAATGAACGCCTTGGGATGCATCTCATCCTCCGCGCCCCTGCAGTGATGCTGACTTCGTTTGGTTGCGGCTTCATTCTAGGAGCATCCCACGGTTCAACAAAAGGTGCAAACCGATACCGGGCCGAAAATGCGCACCGCTTGCCTACTACACAGACCGGATGGTTCCTGTATCAAAAGTCGAAGAATTATCACGCCATGTTTAGCGGGATGAGAGAAGGCACAAAACTTGGGTCTACATGCTTGGGATGGGCGACCCTTTTCATGATAACGGAAGAAATGGTGGATCTATCCAGAACGCGGCTTCTGGCTCGACGAGGCGATGATGTTGCGACCGGACATCGGGACGCTGGCAGCACCATCATTGCCGCCATGAGCGTGGCAGGAATATACAGTTGGAAGAGGGGGTTGGACCATTTTGCAACCGTCCACAACGCAAAGATTGCGCTCAAATTCTCCATCATGTATGGAGTGGTTCAGGATGTGGCTGCGACAGTCCGAGGCAGCCCTCCAGCCTATATTGCCTGGTTAAGAAAGACGTTTTGGACGAACGATGCTGCAAATTTAGGCTGATACTCCACGCTGCCGGTATCTTTATCGGGTCCACGAATCCCTCCCTGCGAGTATCTCAACCCTACGGGGTGTACGGCCCTCACGACATTGATGGGCATATGAATGCACCTACTAACTCAAGCTGTTGCTGCGTCAGAATGACTGGCTGGATTAACAGTGAGATGTTCTCATCCATCGACGAGGCGTACGAGGCGTACGAGGCGCACATCTGAAAGAGCAGGGACATAGCTCTATCGAGACCACGACTAAGTGTCAGCCGAGGCATGGCCCTATCTGGAATGGGAGTATAGCTTGAGCGGTCTGGACATTGAGAATGCCTCAAGTGGATTTTAGCTGCCGAGCAGCCTGGTGAGCAGGGTGGCCTTGTCGATCACCCACATGGTCATTAGCCGAAGCGCGAGGCTTTCGTAATTTGATGGCCCAAAGACTGAAGGATTCAGATCTGCTGAGGTGCGGAGGAAGCAGATCGTGGTTGGGCCACTTCTATCAAAGTAAGGACGGTTGTGATTTCGTCTCCAGATGCCACAACAAGTATATAAACGCTGGTAGTTGGTTGCAGAAAGCTGTGCCTGGCCCATCGCCGCTCTGCAGACCTTGAAACTGGTCCATCCCGGAGTTGCTGTACACTACCTACCAAATTGAGACTTGGTCTCTATCTGCATGAGGGCTGCAGCTTGCCATGGCATGGATAGCGACGCAAACACATATAGCATCATATTCTTAGGTAGGTAGTTAGACTCCTTGACTGCTGATTGATGGACGGGTCGGCCTTCTCTGCATGCACGTTGAAGCCCACTGGCCCCGCGATAGACGACTAAATCTCCTTAGGACTGGCTTGCTGGCTTCTGGGCTTCCAGAAGCTCGTCTGTACTCCCCTTACCCCACCATCATCGAAACCCCGGCTCGCTGTTGGCTTTGCAACGCTCATGATGGCTCCCTCTTCGGCTTGCGGCTTCCCGCTGTTGCTAGCGAGTATCCACGGATTCGCGCATGCAGTGGGCTGGGCTGCAGCACTTCCCATACTGTTGTTTCCTTCCAAAAGTTCACCGTGCTCATGCTAATCTCTGTTTCTCCTCCTTACAAGTTCGTTGACAGCCTGTCACTCCCTGGCGCTTCCTTGACCTCGCATCTCAATTCCGATCCCCGCGCTAATGGGCTTGCACGCCTCCGACCCTCTCCAGACTCAATTGCACCTCTCTGAAGCTCGTGCCTCAATCGACGTGTGTCACTAAGCCCGGGATACACCAAAGGCGCCTTTATCTCGGCGCTTGCCACTACTGTCATAAGTGTGGCCCTGCGGACGCGATCCCCGCTGTCTTGCTGGCGCTGAGACATCCGAAATAACCTGCGTTATGGTGCCGGATATGGGATGAGAAAGACTACACCACGAGCCGTCGCTCAGCTAGCTTGAACACGCGCCTGAATCGCCATAGTCCTCTGAGAACCCAAAAGATGCGGCGGCGGGTTCTGTCCCCCTACCATGGGCGGACAGCGACCCCTCCTTCCGCAGAGGTGTCCCTGGTTCGCAGCTTTGACTCCCAGGTCAATCCGTCGCGTCCTGTCAGACAATCTCCTCTGGCAACATCGCAGATTCAAGGGATGCCCTTGGATTTGATCGAGCGCATTCGTTCATTTCCCCTCTTCCAAACCACCTCCGACAGCTTCTTAGCCGACATTGGTCTCCTCCTAAAACCTCAACTCTACACTCCGAATGACTACATCATCACCGAAGGTGAAGACGCAAAAGCAATGTACTGGCTCGTCCGAGGTGCTGTGGCTGTTACTTCACGGGATGGGGAGAGTACCTATGCCGAACTGAAGCCAGGCGCCTTTTTTGGAGAGATCGGCATCCTCATGGAACGCCCTCGGACGGCTACGGTGATCGCGCGATCACGTTGTTTGGTCCTGGTCTTAAAGAAGGAGGATCTCAAAACTATACTTCCCAAATATCCAGATGTGGAACGAGCCATTCGAGAAGAGGCGCTGGAAAGGCTGACACAGTTGGAGAAGAAAAAGAGACAGGTCATCTTGGGCACGGAGGAAGTCCCCTCTGACGAGAGAAGAGGGTCGAAACGGCGAGCAGAATTTTCTGAAGATGTATCTATGGATGACGGCGACTCGAATAAGAGAAGGAAATCCCCTAGCCCTGGTACGAACGAAGTGTCGACAGCAAGCGCGTTAGGGCACGGCCTCGTCAATATCAGAGCCACATTAAAGGAGCTGCCTCTGTTTGCATCCCTGCCTCCAGAGATCCTGCACTTTCTCGGGCTGAGTGCATCGCCAAGGAGCTTCGCTCCGTTTACAGATATCATCAAGCAGGACACTAGAGGCAGAGAAGTCTACTTCATTGTCCGTGGTGAGGTGGAGATTCTGGACGAAAGGAACGTTTCGAGCCCAAAACTGGACAGAACGAATGTTCCAAACGGCATTCCGCCGACTCCTCGTGTGAAAGCACGTCTCAAGCCGGGACAGTATTTTGGAGAAGTCGTCAGCCTTTCCTTGGCCGATCGTCGGACTGCCACTGTTCGCTCAGTCACCCAGGTTGAATGTTTAATGATCTCGGAGAATGTCTTGGCCGATTTCTGGGATCGCTGCCCGCCAGAAATCGTTCGACAGATTGAAGACACTGCGAGACAGAGACTACGGACAGCGTCTTACAATGACGTCGTGATGAGCGATGCAGATTCCGAACCCAACATCCATCAATTGGCCATTGGAGAAGGCAAAGACAAGACAGCCAGAAAGGTCGTCCAAGCTCCAAGGGTGACATTTACAGACGCAGAAATGGCGAGCCCGACAGACGAGCCCGGCACTGTGGAGCCTTCTGATCCTGATCCCTTCCTTAGCGAAGGACTAGAAAAGGTCAAGTCTAGGTCGAGGAGAGGTTCACTTGCCCCACCTCCGCCAGATGAACCATCAAAGGAACAAAGGCGGCGCTCTCCTAGAGTATCTCCTGTCGTGACAAGCAGCCCGTCTCCTCGAAGTTCTATCTCCGGAACACCGTCCCCTACTTCTGAACAGAAAGGCTCTGGAATTCCTTTCTCTGACCCTTTTTCTCCAGGAGGCCGACGAAAACCTCGTTCCAAGCCTCGTCTTGGTTTGAATCATGGCGATATTCCCGAAAAGATATTGCCTTTGGTGCTTGAGTATCTTGAACTTCACGATCTGATGAGACTGCAAAGAGTCTCTTTACATTGGCAGAACGTTCTGAACACGGCACCTAATTTGTTACATTACCTCGACCTTTCACAGTACAACCGCAAGATTACAGATGACGTTCTGGTTAATCGGATATGCCCCTTCACTGGAGCCAGACCTCGCTTCGTCGATCTCAGCAACTGCTTCCACGTCACGGACGAGGGGTTTAGCGCTTTGGTAAACATGTGTGGCACCAATGTTCAAGGCTGGCGCATGAAGAGCGTTTGGGATGTCACGGCCCCGGCGATACTCGAGATGGCCAACAAGGCTCGTGGACTCAAAGAAGTTGACCTGAGTAATTGCCGCAAAGTTAGTGACACGTTGCTAGCAAGGATCGTGGGCTGGGTGGTGCAAGCCCAATCTCAAATACCGAGCCAACGCAACAAATTGAATGCACAGCGCCCTGTTCTGAATACGAAGCTGAACACTCCGGTACAACAACCGGCCCCTGGCACAGTGATTGGCTGTCCGCAGTTGGCTTCTATCACTCTGAGTTATTGCAAACACATAACCGATCGGACCATGGCGCATATTGCAACGCACGCCAGTCAGCGGATAGAGTCTATGGATCTTACTCGATGTACGACTATTACTGATGCCGGTTTTCAATTCTGGGGAAACGTCAAATTCGAACGGTTGAAGAGGCTTTGTTTGGCAGACTGTACATATCTGAGCGATCAGAGCATTGTATGGCTTGTCAACGGAGCCGGCAGTGGATTGAGACAGCTCGACCTTGTAAGTCTGGGATAGTCGAGTAGGATGCCGAGAATGTATACTAACATGCTTCTAGTCTTTCTGTTGCGCTCTATCCGACACTGCGACAGAGGTTCTGGCTCTCGGCTGTCCAAACCTAACCCATCTCAACCTATCGTTTTGTGGCAGTGCCGTATCGGATCCAAGTCTAAGATCTATAGGTCTGCACTTGGCAGCTTTGAAAGAGCTTGCCGTCCGAGGGTGCGTCCGTGTTACTGGGCTTGGTGTACAGAGCGTTGTCGAAGGATGTCAAAAACTCCGACTACTCGACGTGAGTCAGTGCAAGAATCTCCAGCCGTGGCTCGTTTCAGGCGGCGTTGAACGATGGCGAGCTACAGGCCGAGACCTGCAATTTGTGGTTGTCAGCTCCGGGACGAAGTTGGTGCGGTGATGACACCTTGCCAAAGTCCATGTTTGTCTGTGGACCTGTGCTTTCACTCGACCAGGCAGATATATACGAGTGAAATGGAAATAAGGGGTGGGTTCTGGAAATATTGTATGTGATCTATGGAGATCAGGAAGATACCCCATTTTGAGATGAATGTCAGTTTTGAAGAACGCAATGAATTCACAAAGCATTCGGTCTGCGACAGTGTGTTCTTTTACTCATTTTGATTCCCTACGAGGTCAAACCAAGGCTCCCGTTTCCATGAAAGAGTGATGTCTTTCTCGCCCTGTCGATGAGTGAAATCCCCTGACGTCATTCCTTAGATATTTCCCTCTCAATGTAACTCGGTCCTTTTTGGTCGAGGATTATCGTGGTTTTTCTGTTTGAACCCTTCGGCAGCCTCCGATGTGAACAGAATTTTCTGTACAGTGAGTTTTGCAAGCATTCTACAACTTGGTCCCACTCCTGTAGATAAGTACTGGTAGGCCCAGTATCCCGGTCGACGGTCTGAGTATCTGCCATTTGGGCTAGCTGGAGAAGAACAATACCGGAGAGTATATTTTTGTGCTATCAGGGCCAGATTCTCAGTGACTAATTAACGGCTTTCTTTGTCAACCCTTTGCTGGCCTCCAGGTCTTCTAACTACCTTGAGGTAGATTGAAAGAGTGTGAAATCGAACGCCATCCGTCACAAGCCAGCATTGGTCCTGGGATCGACCAGCGATTACTATAGTAAAGAGAAGGAAGAGTGAGACGACTACCTGGTAAGGTGGTGCCAGTCACCTGCAAGCAAAGATGTGCAAAGGACCGATGCACGAGTTCCTTCAAGCCGTGCCCAAATGCGAACATCATATCCATGTTGAAGGTCAGTCTACTCACCTTGATCCTCCGTATTCCCACGTCCGAATTCGACGACTTCCTTCACTCGAGAGTCGTTTCTTGTCTAGACCCTGGACAGTAGAATGGAACACACGGGCTATCTTGCTCGGTTCGACCTCGAGTTCTACAAGAAGCACGTACGAATGCCTTCACTCTACCTCCTCCTCCATGCTCTAGACTCATCACCTACACCTACACCTACACCTCCCCATCTATACACACGAACTGACACACAAACCCCCAACGCTCAGGCTCCCTCGAACCCTCCCTCCTCTTTACCCTCGCCCGCCGCAACTCCATCAACCTACCCTCTCCATCCGACGACCCGGCCTTTTCATCCGTGTCATCCCTCCTAGCCCGCTACCGCCGCTTCACATCCCTCGACGACTTCCTGCACTACTACTTCATCGGCATGTCCGTGCTGGTCACTTCGGACGACTTCGAATCCCTAGCCTACGCATACTTCACGCGCGCCGCGGCCGACGGCGTCGTGCACGCCGAACTTTTCTTCGACCCGCAGGCTCACACGTCTCGAGGCGTCGCTTACTCCACCGTCCTCGCCGGCTTCACTGCCGCCCAGGCCCGCGCCAATGCCGACCTGGGCATCACATCCGAACTCATCGTGTGCATATTACGCCACCTGCCCCCCTCCGACGGCGAGGCCATGTACCGCGCCGCGCTGCCGGACCTTTTGTCCGGCAGAGTCCGGGGCCTCGGCCTGAGCAGCACGGAAAAGGGCAACCCTCCCCATCTCTTCAAGGAGACATATCTCGACGCCGAAACCCGCGGCATAAACCGCACCGCGCATGCCGGCGAGGAAGCCGGCGTCGACTACATGGCCGAAGCCCTCACGGAACTCCACATCCAGCGCGTCGACCACGGCATCAAACTCACCGAAGATCCCGCGGTCATGGCCGAGTTTGTGGCCCAAAACATAATGGTGACCATGTGTCCTCTATCGAACGTCGAGTTGTGCTGCGTCAAGAACGTCGGTGACTTGCCGATCAGAAAGTATCTCGACCAAGGCGTGCGCTTTAGCATCAATAGTGACGATCCCGCGTATTTTGGTGGCTATATTCTCGACAATTACTGCGCCGTGCAGGATCACTTTGGCCTGACAAAGGATGAATGGGAGAAGATCGCGAGGAATAGTATACAGGGGAGTTGGTGTGGAGAGGAAAGGAAGCGCGAGATGGGCAAGATGTTGGACGCGGTGATGGAGAGGTTTAGAACCTAGATCAATGGCTTGACCGTGAAGGGTCTGATATATTTTCGTAGATCAAGACACGCATACGGCATACAAATCATATATAGTCAGCTCTGAAGCAGGGAAAAGGGACGGCTATGCTGTCAGGTCATGAGGTACGAAAGACCGAGTCAAAGTTTCTGTTAAAGGGGGTTAGACTACTGCAAGGCTGAGTTTCCATTCCATCGTTCCCAGCACAAGGAATTGGACACATGGATACAGGAATGGCTTCGTCATCAATCCACCAATCATCGTGTCAGCTGGAGTTATTTTTGGGTATCAACATGAGCATAGATCGTCAGCCTGTCAATTTGTATCTTCATCTTGTGTCGGCTAGCTTGAACTGCGTGAAGCACGCATCAAACAGGCTACTCGGTGAGTGTTCGTGAGCAAGAAATAATATTGCTGAGAGACTAATAATATTGCTGAGAGACTAATGTTAACTTGGGTATCGATCCACAGCCTGATGCAGATGCCTTAGGACTCGCTCGATGTCTTGTTTTTGCGCCTATAGCTTTTGCCCAATCCAACACCCTTCGCTCGTGCGTCAATAACAGCCTCAATGCATTGTCCAACACCCTCGAGGTCACCCATGAGCCCAACGTGTCCTCGATCACTTTCAACTCGACCTCCCTTGACGCATCGGTAGCCTTCAGGTAGCTGGGCAGCACTGGCAAGCACCACACCATCTCCTGCGGCAAATGCCAGATCATCGAATACGTCGGCATATTTGATCGCTTCCTCATCTGCAACTCTGGCTCCATAGACAGTCGGCACTGTCTTTCCGAACATGTATGCATGAGGTGGGTACAGATTCTGCTCTTGATGGCTTGGTTTAAACACCAGCTGCTTTTTGAACTCCAAAGTCTCGGCAAGAGTGCGGCGAAGATATTCTGCTGCCAGGGGTTTAGGTATCGTGCTCGTTGTTGCAACAGTAGGGCGATGCTGAGACTGCTTCATGGTAGGCCCTACCACCTCGTCCGTACCTTCACCTTCTACAATCCGACTGGCCTCTGCGGCTTTGTCAGCGACCTGCTGAGTAGCCGCTTCCGCCCTTTGTGAAGGTTCTGGAGGCCGCGGATTCTGCCCTCCAAACCAAGAACTGCGTTTGTTAGACGAGATATTATCTGAGATGACATCCATAATGCTCTTTCGCCGCTCTGAACTGTTTTGATTCCTCAGACTTGGATGCAAAGGTGGATTAATGCACGGAGACAGGTGGTATTCATCCCACACCTGAGCGTCAAAAAAATCCAAGTCATATCTCTTGTTGGTGTGCTTTTGAATGAAACACCGGCCGCTTTCGGGCAAGAGAGCAAAGCTCGTTCGGAGTGTAAAGTTGACTTGAGCAGTGAGTACTCTCGAACTGAGTAGCACGTCATCACCATTGCGCAGAGGCCCAAGGATGTTGACGCAGTGTTGTGGAACCCCAGCATAGATGACTCCAGCGAACAGCTCTGGTCGTTGATTAACTGCATATCGAGTAATCAGACCTCCCAAACTGTGCGCAAGCACCGTTGCTCCTCGCTTCTCTGGAGGAGTCTCCGGGTGGTTGCATTCCAGTGATTCCAGAAACCTAATGAGCTTCTCGCTTAGGAGACGCGGGCTCAGTCTCCAATCATATCCCCATTCATGAACCCTCAGCTTGCTTTCACGCGCATTCGGACACTTTCTCATGTGCTTGAGTAATCTCCGGCAAATATCGATTGGACCAATGTGTGACAAAATGCCGGAAGGGATGATGGTTTCTTCCATCCGTTCTTCATCTTCTCTCGTCAGACCGACCTCGAGGTCGACCCGACGAAGATTTAGCCCAACCTTCACGGGTACCCAAAGCTGACGATGAGGTGGTTGAGCTGACCTGAGGATTGAGCCACGGTAGCCGCCTAGCACAACGACATCATCCGTCAATTTTGACAATGCGTGCGACAAGCGTGGATGAGCTCGTTGCTGTGGGGTTTCTATTTCAATCCCTTTCCTAGAATTTCGCATCTTCTTGATCGACGTATAGTGGTAGTCCTGGTTTCCTGTTTTATCGGTGGCAGGAGCAAGAGTCTCGGTAATTTGCGGATTTGCAGAACTGTTTTCTGGCGATACCCGGCGCTTCGGTGATGGCCTAATCATCGGGAGTTTGGGAAACCGCAGTGTCGAATTCTGGAAACTGTCTGTGATCGCTTTAAATCGGGAATTGGCCATGTCCGTGACTTCAGCAAAGGCACTTGTATCGTCGAAGGCAGAAACTCCAGACACCCTTCTTCCTATGTACAAGGAGCTTTCGGAGTTTGAACGAGGTCGACTTTTGGTTGATGCTGGGCTGACTGGCGATAAGAGTGACTCGACGTTCCCATCGAGGCCATAGTAAGGCCTGACCATAGTTGCATGAGTTTGAGACTGTGTTGATTGGGTGTCGGGGTTGGACATCTTGCGCAATCTCGGATAATTCTGAAAGGAGAACTTAGATGATGTAGAGATGTTTGGAGGAGTGATTTGTGGTCGGATTGGGGTTGAAGAGCCTGAATGGCCTGCACTTCTGATACTGGAAGATATGAGTGACATGGAGCTGAAGTTGAAAGGGGGTGACGGAAGATCCGGCATGAACTTCTTCAAACTGGAGATGAGAGCTGTCGGACCGCTCGAAGCTCTGCGTCTTCCTTCTTGCCCAACCGCTTGTAACAAGTTCTTCGTAACTGAGAGTCTGTTCGATTGTGGTATGCCGACGTTGTGTTTTTCAGCAGCTCGTGGTTGCGTTGCGTGATAAGAATGCTCATTGATGGGCGGCGATCGTTGATTCTCGCTAGACCTCGGGATTTGATTTGCATTTACCTGGCTCGCGACTTTTACTGTTTGTATGCTTTCAAGTGAATCTTGAGGCTTCTCATCTCCAATGCCAGAAGGTGTGCGATCCTCTGAGGTTACTGCATCATGTACAGGTGGTACAACAGCTGGCGACTCGTCCACCGCCGGAAGTCTCTTCCCCTTCTCGTTCAGTCGCGATGGCGTCAAGCCCGCAGTGGGTGTCTGTGATCGTGAGGCTTGCTGATCGTCGCTCTCGTAGGGTTCTTCCTCCAGGATCATAACATTCTGAGAATCGTCCAGTGACAAATCCATAGCTTGGGCCTTTTCAGCGGCTGGGGTACCAGGGGATCTCAAGTGAGTCTGGACTCGGCTTATACTGACTCCAATCATACCATCGTCGTACAGCCCGTCGGTGTCCAGTTTTGGCAGGTCTGACTGCTTGCCTGACGGCGAGCCTTTATTGAGAGAGCTTTCGTTGTTGTCCAGTTCCGACCACCACCCTACGTCGTGGTCTTGATCGAAAGTCTGGTCGATCGTCCCGGGAGCACTGGCTGACTCCATTGTGAATCGGCGAATTCATGTAAGAACGGGCGAAGGAGAATACGACCTGATTCAGAAACGGGAAAACAGCCGAATCTGGTACGCATGAGGCCAAGGTAGAGCTGCGGGGGCGAGAGGGAGCTGAGGTTTGGTGCTTATGGGTTGGATCGTAGCAATAAAGGTGGAGATCTGACAGGTTGTTATGATGCGGCTTGTGCTGACAGAGACCCTACCGGAGAAGGTGCCGATGCAGGGTAAGGATAGCCAATGACTCTGATCTATGATATGGTTCGACTTGACGTTCAGGATAAGGACTGGGAATATAACGATAATGGGTAAAGAATACGAAGAGAAGGACAAGATCTGATGCAGAAGACAGATTTGATACTGACTCCGGCAGCCGCGGATGATCTACTGACGGGAAGGAACCTCGAAGAACTTGTGCACAGCCACTTTTGGCCGAGCAACGGCATCCGTGCCGCAAAAGAATGATTTCCACTTCCTATCCTATCACTACCTTCACCATGTATGACAGACTGTAAGATGTCTATTGGGCTGCAAGAAAAGCAAGGTAGCCGTCAAAGTCTGGGGTAGTACGAACAGAATACGAGCATTCCTCGGCTGGCTCTGTAGTGGTCTTCCATCATCCATGACTAGGCCAAGCTTTTGCCAAGACTCAGCCTAATGAGCCTAACGAGCCTAAATTAGGGCGGTCACATGACTAATTCCATGACTAAGCCCCGTCCAGACTGTGAGGTATTTTTTGTAAAGGTTAATAAATGCCCCCCTAATTAAACTCGCTTATTCTGCATCTTCGGCAATCTCGTCAGAGGGAGAGGGACGAGAAGTGTTGCAAGTCAAGCACAAAACAACATCGCAATGAACAACACGAAAGGTAATATGGAGAAATCCCCATTGCCAGTTCCTGACCGTCAAGCCCGGTGAACCCATGTCCATCAAATTCCTACTATGACGACATGGCACATGCAAGCCTTTGCAAGCCTTACGCGTCGCGGTGCCCAGTTCATTAGGTAGTATCCCTACCTACCTCGCTAGGTATTTCGTCTTCTGCTTTGATTACATCTCAAGCTCTAGATATCACTGCTGTGCATCGTCGATATACTCGATCACCGATGGAGAATAAGGCTCTGGAACATGGACGATCCAAAAACCAATAACGACAATTCAGACAACGATGCTTTCGGCCGTGGTCCCAACCATCCAGCGAATGTGCCCGCTCCAAACGGAATCATCAATATTCCAAGGCCTGAGCAAGCCAAACAATACATCCACGAGGACGAGGAAGACGCAATCACAGACTACAATGTAAGTTTGCGACGTCCAGTACGTGCTCTACTTCCGAGGGGTGGCGCATCCACTGTTGTTGCTGGCCTGACACATGTACCTCTGCAGGCTCCTATCAGTTGGTGGATTCTATCGACTTTGTTCCCGCTCATTGCAGGAACGTTCGGACCATTGGCCTCTGCTTTCAACATTTGCGCTCTTGCAATCCCCTGGAGGACGACGGTGGACTCAAATTCCACAGAATCCGAGGGCACCCATATTCAAGATCCAGCATCATTTCTGGCGGTCAACGCTGTCAGCCTTGCTATTGCTCTGATTTCCAATCTCGTCCTTCTAGCCCAGATCACTGATCGGCTTTCTCACCACCGAGCCTCCCCAATCACGATTGCTGGTTGGTATGCCAGCTCAATGCTTCTGCTAGGCTTAGTCGCAGCCACGCCGGACCAGCTACCACTACCCAACAACACTTCGGCAACCTATTCTCAAGCTTTCTACTATGCCATATTTGCATGCATCTTGTATTTCATCCTGGCATCTCTGCTGCTCACGACTTCCCTCAGCTTGCACTTCCACGCTCCGTCATTCAGCCGATCGTTCAAGTTGACAATGTCCCAGCGATCGCTGATGTTGCAAACAATGCTTTTCTTGGGCTACCTTCTTGCGGCAGGTGCCGTCTACTCCCGCATCGAAGGCTGGGACTATCTTGATGCCGTATATTTTGTCAACGTCACTCTCTTCACGATCGGGCTTGGGGACTACCACCCGCTCACTCATTTGGGGAGATCATTGTTCTTCCCAATGGCCATTGGCGGTATCCTCTTTGTTGGTCTGATGATTGCCTCTATCCGCACTCTTGTACTTGAAGCCGGTTCTCGCAAAATCTCAACTCGTATGGTGGAGAAGGCGCGCCACAAAGCCCTAAAATCAGGAAACCCAAAGGAAGGCAAGATAAAGCTGCGAGGTATTCAAACCCGACAACTCGACGCAGACCCTTCGGTGGCGGAGCTCGATCGCAGGAAACAGGAATTCGAGATCATGCGCGATGTCCAAAAGCAAGCTGCCCACGATAACAGAATGATTGCGCTGGCAATCTCTGGTTCGGCCTTTGTAATTTTATGGTTCGTTGGCGCTGTCGTCTTCTGGCAGGCCGAAGAAGCCACAGGGGGCGAAGACTGGTCATACTTTGAGGCTCTGTACTTCACCTATGTGGCTCTCTTGACAATCGGGTACGGCGAATTCTACCCCCAGACAAATTCAGGCAAACCAGCCTTTGTCTTCTGGTCATTGATAGCTCTCCCAACACTCACAGTCCTGATCGGTGCTGTCGGAGATACGGTTTCTGATCTTGTAGCGTCGACAACATTATGGCTGAGTCAGCACGCTCCGGAGAGCCTAAAACTCTTCCGACAGGCGAAGGCAACAGCACGGAAGAAGCGCAATCGCGAAGGTGCTTTTCAAACAGCCAAGCCTCCTGGATTCATGGACGACGAGTCCGCAGCCGAATGGGATTTCGAGGACCAAAACATCGCTAAAGCCATCCAAGCCTTGGGTGGTCGACAACAAGACAACACCCACCCAGGGACCAAGCCGGAAGACGAAAAGGAGGCACAAGCATTGCTGTCTGCGTATCGTCTTCACATTCTCCTACGTGAAATGCAGAACGTTGTGCAACATCTGGATGCGCAGCCTCCTCGAAAGTATACATTCGAGGAGTGGACGTGGTTCCTGAAGCTGATCTATGAAGACGAGTCGGACCCACCAGGGCATCGACTACCGTGGGACCGTGATGTGGATGTTGCAGCTCCGCTGAGAGAAAGAGACGGTCAGAAGTGGAGCTGGCTCGGGCAAGAAAGCCCGCTCATGAGCATGGAGGACGAGCCTAAATGGGTTCTGGCCCGGTTACTGGAAGTCGCGCGAAGGAGGAGTAAAAAGAGGGGAGACTTCTGGTTGCAAATCTGGAGAGAGCAAAGGGAAAGAGGTGCTTCGGATGATGATTACTAGGACTATGTTCAAAAAGAGAAGCACGACTTCTCTCCATCCAAAGGGTCCAATTTCAGATCTTCGCGCATCAAACCCGCATTTCTCAAAATCGGTGTGACCCAGCGAAACCTTCACCAGCGTTTCCTTTATCGCCGCTCAAGATCATAAAGCCACAAGCCTCGCTACAGTCATCCTCATCCTCGCCTTGCTCATATTACTCTCGTGGCACGGGGTTGTCAAAGGCACTGTCCCGATTCCTCGGCTTGATAAAGATATGCTATTGAAGCGAGCAATCTCATGACCTATCACGGTATTCAATGACAGAGCGTTACTCCTCCTACACTAGCACCATGGCAGAGCTGGTTCATCAACAGTCAAACACCCAAGCTGATGAGTCTGCGTGTGAGTCAGTACATGACGCAGCAAGACGAACAACGGCACCCTGTCATACCCGATGGCCTATATATTCCACTTCAGAGCCATAACCCTTCCAGATGCAGTCGGCTCTTCTCTTCATCGTCCGGCCCAGTCGCCGGAAACTACGAACACTATAATCAAAAATGCCGAAAGACATTCCCCGCCTGCAATGGTTTGGTGGCGACACCCGCTCCAGCGTCTGGCTCGGCTTTGCGCAGTTACTGATGCCGAAGGAGTACGACCGTGTCGAAGCCATTCGTAGACACAGACGTGAGCTGAAAATGAAGGCCCGGATCGGAGCTGAAGCTGCAGCGGCGAAAGCAATTGCGCCTGGCGATGCCGGGGATGATCAGGCACGCAGTGCTGTGGGTGAGCAGACGAGAGACACCGGCCCAGAACCCTTTCGCTCGTTGACGCAGGAGACACAGCACGCCGAGCGGGAGCTGAACCTGAACTTGAATCAAACGAATCCCCAGCAGCGAATACGGGCGATGGTCCAGCAGGTAAGTACACCTGATGCAGCCAGGGCCCTGTCTGTAACAAGGTCTCCAGCCAGCAAAAGCCGTCGACAAAGCTCAAGGTGAGAGACCCACCTCAGTCGCGCATCGAATCAGAGGGAACACAGGAGAACCAGGCTGAAACACATGCGTCGCAGTGACAAACTGAATGGCATGTAGAGTCTAAGTCAGACTGCCGACGTGCTGGTGCCAATGGAAGAGACCAGAGGACAACCCCCTTCTTTGTCGGAGCGAGGCTGGGTTTGGCAGTTCAGGAGCTGAAATGAGAATGGAGGGACCGAGACAGTTTCTATTCCAACTCCTTTCACAGCAGATCCTGGCTAATGCACGCTTATCACACCTGTCCTATGAAAGCGAAAAGTGTCGGCCATCGACGCTGGATCAAAATATCAACGCGATTTGGCCTGATCCTCTCTTTGAGAGCAATGCAAAATAGCTGGGTGCCTCTCGAATCTTCATCGCATCTTGCTTTCAGAATTCTCATGCTCTCGCTCCATCGTGCCTGTTCTTGACTGAAGTGATATGCGCAAGTCTGGCGTGCAAAAGGATCTCTCTCTTCTAGGTCCACGCAAAACAGCCGGGATCAAGCGCCAGGAGGCATCGTTCTCTTCTCACAATGGCACTTTAGTATGTCGTTGTTCCAGCGTGTCCTTCTAACTACCTAGGTAGGCTTTTGGTTAACACGGAGATGTCACTGTTCAAGCCTGAAGACACCAGCAAAGGAAGCGCAACGGTATACTCGGGCCAGAGTCATGTTCAATTCAATTCCATATTTGCGTCTTATCGACTAGAAGGTAATGCATGCACAGGCCTCACTTCTGCTGGGTGAACATGATATCACCAAGCTGTTGATACGCAAGTATCGTAGTCTTGTCACAGCTAACACCCTTCGACTCAACCTCAGCATGGCATCCAGCCACCTTCTCCTTCCCGCTCCATGGCACTTTGACTTTGTTTTCCCGAGTAGACCCGAGAGCTTCCACATGTCATCCTTCTCCACAAGATTTTGAGGTCTAATCAAGATGACGACTGTCGCAAGCCACGGAAGCCACTATGCCTTGGGCACTCTCACTGCGACACATGTCCAAAGCCTTTCCATTACAGTAGTGGGGCGTCCACGGTGCCATGCATGCCGTTAGAAATGCACACATCCACTCTGGGTGTCATAAAATAGTCGTGTGTTGCGCGTAACAGCGCAAATATCTTTGTGCACGTCACACCCGTGGTCGTTTCGCCTCAGGACCGAGGGCCGCACGCTCCTCACGTATGCGGATTGCCTCGGTCCCATCGTCGATCAACGTCTCCTTGAACCAGGGATGTTTGAGTGCCTCTTTTGCCGTGATTCTTTGTTTCGGATCGTACACAAAGATCTTCCTTAGTAGATCGAGTAGCTGCTTGTTGAAGGGAGTATTTGCAGGTATAAACTCCTGTAGAAGACGTCAGTATTTGTCAGACAAAAGGCTGGAAGGAAGCTCACATGTAAGTGCTTCATTGCTTTCACATATTTCCGTGACGCTTTAGAAGTCTCTTGACTGGGGTATTCAAGTTTTCCTCGCGTGAAGAACTTGGATGCAGAATTGGCATTAGCGCCACGGCCTCCAGAGCAGACTTGTTTGACGACTTTTGGGTCGATCTTCCCGTTACAAACCACCTCCATCATGGCTAGATGTTCGAGATTATCGTGGGTTTGGAACAGGGCGTCCCCGGTAAAGAACTCGACGATGATGCATCCTATGCTCCAAATATCACAAGGGAAGCTCCAGCCGAGTTGTAGGATGATCTCCGGGGCCCGATAATGCCTCGTCGATACCACTGAAGAGTGGTATTCATCATCAAAAGTGGCTGAACCAAAGTCTATCAGTCGAATCTCGCTGTCCAGAAGCACCCTCCGTTGTCTGGCAGTTCTCGATGTTGTGTGCGATGACGACGGTATCGTCCGATTGTAGGTGAACGTCTGGTACGCATTGTGGACGAGCAGAATATTCTCCGGCTTGAGATCTGTGTGAATCAGATTCAGATCGTGCAGAACTAGACAGAGTTAGCATTTGTTTGGAATTGCGGAATTTGGGAGATTTGGAGACATACAGGCTACGCTGGTGAACAGTTGTCGAGCAAAGCTCTGGATCTGAGAACTGGGAAAAGGCACGAAACCGTTGCCTTTGAGGAAATCAAAGACACTTTGTCCCAATAGATCTGTGACAATGCATATGTGATTCCGGAAGTCGAATGAGTCACGGAGGTGGATGCATTTGTTTCTGTTGGTCTTGTCGTTCAGTGCCAGCGTTGACAGCACACGCAGCTCAATTCGTGAGGCGTCACGATATTTCTGGACCGATCTGATAATTTTGACGGCACATTTTGTCTTCTTTTTCTTGTCGAATGCCTCCACAACTTTTCCAAACGTGCCCTGACCAAGAAGTTTAACAATGTCGTCTGCAAGACCAGTCAGTAATCGAATCCCAGCCTAGCATAAGGGAAAATTTACATCGATCAGTCAATTGAGTGTTGGCAGTCACCATGTAGTGACCATCGTCGTCATCCACCTTCTGGTGCTTGTGCAAAGTCTGATACCTGTCAGCATGATATCAAAATCGAATGTGGACTGGAGGACTTACATCGCGTATGACGGGAACGTGGACATCCGGAGCCTTTCGCAAGGGCTTGGGAGGCGGTATGTAGTCTTCAAAAGCGTCTGTAGTCTCCTGTTGCTTTCTTTTCGCTTGTGCTCTCGTCTCTTTCTGCGGCTGCGCTCTTTTTCTTTTTTGTCCTGTCCTCACATCTTCATAGCTGGTGCTGGCAGGATTGCTGCCATACGATTCGAGCGAGGTCGGTGCCGTTACGGTTTGTAGGGAGGTCGTACGATCACCTGAATGGTATGAAGCTGACGACGATGAGCCACCAAATTTTGCAGGATGTGTCGAATATGTTGGGCTATCTGTGTACTCGATCTCGTAGCCCTGGTCCACTTTTCTTTTCCGACCATTTTGTCCGTATGCAGATGCATCAGGTTGCTGCTGTCGACTGGGGGCGTTGCCCGCGCGTTCAGGTTCAGGAGAATCATCATCAATGACAATTATTTCTTTGGGAACGCCATTTTTGTAGAAATCATTCCAGTCGGGTTGTTTTCGCTGCTGGTTGTCGGGCAAAGCCGAAGCAGCCTGGGAAGGAGCCATAGACGAGACGTTTGAAGGCTGCCTGTACGAGGCAGGAGATGGTAGAGGTCGCGGATACTGTGCAGCAGTCGGGTAGGAATGATAAGTCGTCGTCAGTCGCTGTGGTGCAGGCAAAGTAGTAGTTGCGGGGTATGTTCTGGTCGAAGGTGAATAAGGGTTTTGATGAGGATAACCATAGTGAGCAGGGACGAGAGTCGTTGCTATCGTGGAAGGAGTCGACATGTTCAGGTCTTGCAAGTCTTGAGGGTGGTGGAGACTGTCCGACAACGCAGGTGTTGTGGATTCGCGCCACAAAGCGCAGTCTGCAACATGCGAGTGCAAAATAGAGCAGAATTCTCGATGAAAGCGTTCAAAGTTGGGATCCGACGGTCGGAATCGATGAGGACGATGGAGAAGGTGTTATCGAAACAGTAGCTGGGGTCTGTAGGCTGTGATCGGGTGGTGGTGGGAGGCAGAGAGGTGAGGCAGTTAAAACATGAACGGAGACCCGACAAGGAGGACAAGCCTCTATTGGACCAGATCCACACTCATGTTCTTGTTGTGGATGACAACTGGAGGGACTGAGGACGACAGAATGGACCACAACAACAAAAGAATAGACTTGTCGTGGGCAAAATGGGAGAAGACTTGGATCGGTTGACGTCGAGGGTGCGAAGTTCTTGACTTGAGAGATCGGAGCGAGTAACAAGCGAGTAGAGGAGCCACCCAGCATCAGGAGCCGTGGGCTCTTTGGGCTTAAAGCCGCCGCCGTGTCGACAACTCTTTTGCGCAACTCGTCTGGGCTTCGTATCACCCGAAAACCCTCTCTCTTACAAGTACATGGCCTCTTTCGCTTTTCTTAGGAACGGAAAAATAAATGGCTCGACTCTTTTGTCCACTGTTATTGACCTTTTTACTTCAGTACCTACCTTACGTTCGGTTTCTCAGGCCTCCCTGACGGAAACCGCACCAAGTCCTGCAGTGGTCGCGCAGTGTCAACTGCCACCCACTCCGCAGGCGCACGCCATAGGCAGGATCCGCGCCTCCTCGAATCGCTGACGTTCTTCTCCGCGACAATTTCTGCGCCTCGACGCCGCCGGTTAATTGGTCTGCTTTTTATGACGCCAATTGTCAGACGAGGGACTGACGCCAGCACATTTCATGGAGACTATCATCACCCCATAACGCATGGCCTGAATATACGAAGTATTGAATGGTGGGAGAATATTCCAGACTGTCCTTTCTACGTACGTCTGTCCTGCACAATTTGGCACGTAGGAGTCGAATTGAAGAAATCCGCCACCACAACCCGTGAGTTTCGTGTTATCCTCCCTTCTGCTTGACGACGCGATCACGACATTGGAGACGAGCGACCCCGATGACCCGAATGCCGGAAGGACCAACCGCTCTCCACCAAGTCCCCCGGAAGGTACGGATATAAGGTAGTCAATGTTCAATGCAATGAATTTGTTTATCAAGTCTACTCGACCGTGTCAGCCTGGAACTGTATCGAAAACGATTCTTTGAGATATCAATCATATCCCCTGCCTCTCGCCCCGTTCAGAATGCCTCCCACGGCAAGGCCGCTGTCCCAGTAATCTGAAATCTTGCATCTTTTTTGTTGGCTTGTTATCTTACAGTGGCTGTGTCCTCACCGGCCTTGACCTGACCAGCCCCACGTCCTTGCTATATCACTACCATTGCAGTAAAAATTTGGTAATGCACATGAAGAATCATTGCTCCGGTAAACTTTGCCCTCGCACATAAGATCTCGAGGCTCGCCCGTCCCCTTCCAGAACAAGGAAAACATCTCGTGCTTGGATCTTGGCATCCTGATCCTCGTCCCACTGACCAAAATGCTTCTCTTTTGGAACTGCTCGTGCGCGATCAGGACCAGGGGTGCCGGCTACAGAAGTAGTGGTAGATGCCGCAGGCTTACCCGGCGTCACCGCAGGGCTTCCTCCACCACCCTTCATCCAGTCGTAGGTTCTCTGCTTCTTGCTTCCGAAGCGATTTCCAAGAAGACCAGAAAATGCCATACGTGCTGCTTCGTTGGCCGACTTGTGCTGCTGTTGTTCGGAGAATTTCGAGTCGGCTAATTTCCTTTCTTTCTTCGTGGTCTTCTTGTCTGACTCCATAGCGGCGGCAGCGGCGGCCTCTGCTGCAGCATCCACAGCGGGTGTGCCAATGGCTCCATCTACATTTGATGCTGCTCGCCGCTTTGCTCGTTTTTGCCGTCGAGCTTCTTCACCACTCCGTTCTGCAAGAGATATCTTGTCCAGAGTCTCCACCATGAGTGCAGGAGAAGGCACCTGATCGCCGAAAAATGATGGCTCGCTGTTAGCCTGTGAATGTGTGCCTGCAATTGGTTAGCCACGATGTGCGATGCGAGACTGCGATACTCACGCTTCAAACTGGCACTGCCGGCCGGACTTGACACGCCTTCAGGCCCGTCAGTCGCCGGCTTGACCGTAGCTGCTATGTCTTGCCATTCATCAGGAACCTTGCCCTTGGAATGCTGCCGTCTTTCCTGCGCCAATCGGGCGGATGCGTTGACGAGGCCAGTCATTCTCGCTTTTGTAGCCAAGCTTATGACTTTCATGATATCGGACAGACGTTCACCCTTGGCTCCTGTATCCAGAATGGCTTGGCCTTTGTCGATGATACGAGAAGCGCCCTCGAGGCCATTTACTCGTACGGTTGGTGGAGGTGCATGTTTTTGCGTATTCACCAAGACGCCAGATTGGGGATCGACCAGATGTTCGGTGATGCTGATGCTCCTTATCTTGTCATTCAACGTGCCGCCCAGCAAAAACATGTCCCAAAGCGGATGTTGACTATGTCGTGAAGCCTCCCAGTCCGCGCGTGCCTCTTCTCTCTGTTTGATCTCCTCTGCAGAAGCCTGATATGCCTGGGTCTGGTTCTGCCCTCCGTTCTGTATTTGTTGCGTTCCGACTCCCCCGGCGCCGGAATCCGTTCCATTGAAGCCGTTGATGTGATACTGGAATCCTGGGCCTTGTGACTGAGATGGCGGTCGTGGTGTGGACGTTCCGTAATAGTCCGTCCTTACCAGCATTCTAGCCTCCTCTTCGATGTTAATACCCGTACCCGACAAAATGTCTTCATAGTTCCGATCTTCTGCCTTATCGCTCGGTCTTTGTGGAGGAGGCATCAGCCCTTGTCGCGGATTTGAAGGAGTAGTCCCATTCATCTGAACATTCCCACCTGGAGTCGTCGGCTGTGCGGAAGGCGTAGGAGGATAACTTTGCGGAGAGAAGGGAGACTGCGCGTCGGGGGACAGTCGAGGCCGCTTTGCCGCTGGCGGCTGATTGTACGCTTGGGGGGAGAATTGCTGAGGTGAAGGTGAAGAGTAACTCATGCCCATCTGCGGGGACTGAGGCCCGAGAGGACTAGGTCTGCCATTTGCTGCTGCGAAGTCGCGTGGAAACTGAGTCTGAGTCTGAGGGAGAGGTGGCCGCGTAGGCGGCATTTGCGACTGAGCCATGGTGTTCGAGGTTGTGTCGTGTTAGTCGTCTCGCGAAGGAGGATTCCACCACTGCGTTTGCCTTGCTCTTCGCTTTCCGAGTGAGCGCAGTATCACGCTCGACCCCCTCCTTGTTTCTAGCATGCCTGTTCAGGTTCTGTCGACATCCAGGAGGAACGAATGAAGTGTTGGGTGTCGCATGGGTGATTAAATTTACAGGTCGCTGCAATGTTGGATGTGATGGTTGACCCAAAATCATGACAAGGGCAGCGCAGGCGACCGTTCATCATTCGAGCCGCTACACGTGACCTTGCTAGCCGAAAACCCAAGGTCATTTAAAGTCACCTTCACCCAACCTTCACCCGTCGAGCCGTCTCGCCATACTTTCACTGTCCGATCACCTTGCAGTCGCATTTTACTGCAGTTGTCTCCCGATTTCCACTGTTCTATCATGATCTCTCGAAGCGACATGACTCCAACAGGCTATAGCCGGCTTCTACTGTAGCGCATTCGGCACGATTACCCAGGGTCTTGACCTCTCCGCCCGTGCTGTTGATGCTCTATTCGACCCTTTGAACACCTTCCGTTACACTGTACACCATGGCTGCGAAGAGAAAGGCTGCTGCGATGGCTTCGGCCGGAGATGAAGAGCCGGTTGATCCTTCAGATGAACTCATCTTCATTGGTCTTGGTGGATGTCAAGAGGTTGGACGATCATGCCACATTCTCCAATACAAGGGCAAAACGGTTATGGTGAGAACAAAATGAGGCTTGCGTTCAGGTCCATGCTGATTAGAATGTAGCTCGACGCCGGTATGCATACTGGACGAGAAGGAATGTCAGCCATGCCCTACTTTGATGACTTTGATCTGAGCACCGTGGATATTCTATTGATCAGCCAGTAGGTGACCCTTTCCTTGTCTGCTCTCAGCAACGTCTGTTTTCCTTGGCGCAGAAATATATCATGAGATTTGAATAAGATGTACACAGTCGCAAATATGGTTTCGCAACCGTGGCAAGGGGACGAAAGCGTCGGATTCCTCAACGCTGGGTATCTATAGGCAGACATCAATACAATATTGTTCAGCCACGATCCCGCTTCTTTTCCTTCCATTACTGTCCGCTCGTCCCTTCCACCATATAGCACGAATTCCCAGATAGATGCGGCTGTTGTATCATCATGATCCTCTGCTAACCTCACTTGCTCTACAGTTTCCATCTCGACCATGCGGCTGCCCTACCCTATGTACTCGCGAAGACCGATTTCAAGGGCCGAGTCTTCATGACACATCCTACTAAAGCAATCTACAAATGGCTCATTCAAGATTCGGTCAGAGTGAGCAATACCTCGTCCACCTCCGACCAGCGAACTTCATTATATACGGAAGCCGACCACATTTCGACGTTACCGCAAATCGAAACGATTGACTTCTACACGACACATACAGTCTCCGGTGTCAGGATAACACCGTATCCAGCTGGCCATGTACTCGGAGCGGCCATGTTTCTCATCAACATTGCTGGACTCAATGTCTTCTTTACCGCCGACTATTCAAGAGAGCAAGACCGCCATCTTGTGGCTGCCGAAGTACCAAACACAGCAACCGTGGGAAAGATTGATGTTCTCATAACCGAATCAACTTTTGGTATATCAAGCGCACCTCCTCGTGCAGAAAGAGAAACTGCACTGCTCAAAGCTGTCTCCAATGTGTTAAATCGTGGAGGCAAGGTCTTGATGCCTGTCTTTGCTCTCGGCCGAGCGCAAGAACTCCTTTTGATTCTCGAAGACTACTGGCAGCGGCACCCGGAGCTGCAAAAGATCCCAATCTATTACACAGGAAACACCGCACGAAAATGTATGGTAGTTTATCAAACCTACATTAACGCCATGAATGATAATATCAAGCGAATATTCCGAGAGCGCATGGCCGAAGCTGAAGCAGCTGGGAACGCGAAGGGCGTCAGCGCTGGACCATGGGACTTTCGTTTCGTGCGAAGCTTGCGTAATCTGGATAGGTTCGATGATGTGGGCGGATGCGTGATGTTAGCCTCACCGGGTATGCTGCAATCAGGCATGTCGCGCATACTACTGGAGCGGTGGGCTCCAGACCCGCGCAATGGTGTCCTCATGACAGGTTACAACGTAGAGGGCACCATGGCGAGAACTATCCTGTCAGAACCGGAAATGATACCGGCCATCATGAGTGGCGGCAATGCCGGTGTCGGTCAGAACATGGGCCGAAAGACTAAAGATGAAGACGCAGCAGTGATGATTCCTCGCCGGTGTACCGTTGAAGAATTTCAATTCGCAGCACATGTCACTGGCGTGGAGAATGTCGAGTTCATCGAGCAAGTCGCAGCTCCTCATGTCATTCTGGTTCATGGTGAACGATCACAAGCGGCCAGACTACGATCAAGACTCCTAGATCTGAATTCTCGACGATTAGCAAGCAATCCCAAGGCACACCAGACCAAAGTCTACAGCCCAGAAAACGGTGCTGAGATCAAGATACCATTCAGAAAGGACAAAGTTGCAAAAGTTGTGGGCAGGCTGGCTCAGATCCCCCCTCCGAGCTCAGATACTGACGACACAAGAGTCGTTAGCGGAGTTTTGGTGCAGAATGGGTTCAAGCTCAGTTTAATGGCTCCTGAAGACCTGCGAGAATATGCGGGCCTTACCACTACGTCCATTTTGTGCCGACAACACATTACCCTTGCCGCAGCTGGAATTGAACTCATTAGATGGGCCCTTGAAGGTACATTCGGCAGTATTGAGGAAGTCGGGCAGATCAAAGCCGAGACAAATGGGCATTCTGAGCAGAATGGCGTGAAAGGTGAAGAAGAAGCTGACGAGGAGATAGTGGCAGAGCCGCCACGGACGTTCCTCATTATGGGCTGTGTCTCCCTCAGATGGTCAGGACGTGAGAAACAGATTGAACTTGAATGGGAAGGAAACACCATGAATGACGGAATTGCCGACGCTGTTATGGCAGTGTTGATGACCGTCGAAAGCAGTCCTGCGGCAGTCAAATACTCGTCATCGAAGAGTCATCATGCCCATGAGGAGAGTGGCGCTCCCCACAACGAGCATAGGAATCTTACACCGGAAGATAGATTCTCGCGGCTTTGCATGTTTCTCGAGGAACAATTTGGCGATAAGATCACCCCAATCGAAAAACCGAGAATCTCATATCAACCCGACAGCAAAACAGCAGATGCAGAGGCAAAAGAGGAATCATCGGATGAGGAAGCAGATATTGAGGGTGCCGAGGCAGCTGAGCGCGCCAGGCTGGCCGCAATGGGGATACCCGTCCCTGGACTGGAAATCCGAGTCGACAAGAACGTCGCAAAGCTTTGGTTGGAACATTTGGACGTTGAATGCGCCAACGCTGTTCTGCGTGACAGAGTCAAAGCTGTGGTGGAAAGAGCCGTGGAGACTATAGCTCCTCTCTGGACGGTCCGCGAACAGCCAAAGGGCCAAATCGCTTGAAAATGAAGATGCTCTACCTACACCGCTGCCATTCAGTCTGACGACGAAGTGTCCAGGACACCTACAATGCAGAGGTGACCCAAATAGAGAGCGTAAGAAAGATTTCCACGCACGTTCGAGAAGGAAGCAGAACGCCTGACAAGCTAGATGATTCGGTGATTTAGATATCGGATGGGGCGATGTAAGCTTACTAGTACATAGTAGTCAAGTGTACGAGGTGCGTGGACGTGTGTCAGGCCACAGTCACACCTCGGCACAAAATGCGATGTATGCGACGACAAGTATCACCCAGCATGACTGGTTTTGAGTGCTGTTCCCCTCCGTATTCTCTTTATACGCCAACACTCCCAGGAGTGGCTTATCTGGACCCAGCGACCTGCTGTTGAATCGTCACTAAATAGGAAACCTCCTTTCTCCACTCCGTTTCTGGTCTATACAGAAGATAGAAAGCCATCAACAAGACGAGCAATATGAAGACGGCGATCGTGACAGGTATGTACATCTCTCAATTAGTGTTGTTTTGGTACCTAGTCCCATCACTTTCGTTCTGGGCCACCCTGGCTTCGCAGCGTATCCGCCACGGATGTCGACGCAAACCACTGACGATTTACAAGGCGGCTGCTCCGGCATTGGTCTCGGTCTTGTCAAGCACTTGCTCTCCAAACCGGACTCCCAATGGCGCGTCATTATTGCCGACCTCCGCCCCGAAGCGTATGAGAGCATCAAGTCCAGCCTCGACCCTACCCGGCACAGGTTCATCGAGACGGACGTATCCTCATGGGATCTACAAGCTGCAATGTTCAAAGAAGCATTCACGTGGTCCGATGGACGCATCGATTTCTTCGCCGCTAACGCGGGCATCGTCGACTCCCCCCACCTTCTCGATCCACGCCAGGATGATCTCGACAGTGACCCTGTCAAACCGAACATGCACTGTACAGAAGTCAATCAGATTGCCGTGTTTTACGGGCTCAGGCTGTTCGTACACTATGCCAGAGTCACCAACCGGACGATTAAGGAGGCCAGCAAGCACGACGGGGTAGCGTTCAACCCGAAGATGGTCATAACATCGTCGTGTACAGCGCTGTACCCGTTCCCGATCGCCGTACAGTACGCTGCGACGAAAGCCGCGCTCGTGTCCCTCGTGAGATCCGTGGGCAAGAACCTCCTAGCGAGTGATAATGTCGCTTTGAATTGTATAATGCCAGGATACGTGGATACGGGACTGGTTCCGAATGAGATCACAGGGTTGTGGCCGAAGGAGTGGCTGACGCCTTTGAGCACCATGAACAGGGCTTATAATGAGCTCATCAGTGAGGACGGACGAGTGGCACAGGACGGGAAGAGCGATGGGAGGGATGGGAAGGTGAAAGCGGGCAAGGCAGTTGAGTGCTCCGTGGATAGGTTGTACTATCGACGAGGCGTGGAGTTTGCGGACAAGTCGCAGCGCTTTTTGATCGAGGAGTCCTACAAGCCCGATGGAGTATGGATGCGAGGAATGATGGAACGCGCGAAGAAAGGAGGGTATGCTGGTTGACTTACATACAGAGTACTGCTTGATTCACCTCGATGTTCTCAATTCCTGCTGAGTAAAGGCTGAGTCATCTTGGCTTCCGAGAAGCCGAGACAGAAGTACCGCCTAGGCCAGATCAGGCATAGCTTAGTACGAACCGTTGTCTACCTGGTGGGTGCCAGGTAGACTTCCCTCGAATCCGGCTTCACAGTTTTTGTACTTTCTCCGAGACATCCATTGAGTTGAGCAGATGGGCAGATGCGAATTACGAAAATATCGAGGGAAAGCAATACGATCCGCCAAGTCACATGCATCTGCTGCACCATCGATGATCTTCAACAGTTGGTAAGCGACCGGGGGTGAAGGTAATGGTCGCAACTTCATGATGTTCCCCCACGAATGCGACGTTCGTGCTTGCCAATGGAGCTTTCCAGGTTTCCTTGGACATGACATCCAGACGACCCATAGACATCGTCCCACTGTCGTCAAATCTCGCCTCTGGTGCTATCGATTCGTTGCTACCACGAGAGCTACATCAATGACTGATGTCACCTATGTGGCCCGTTTGTTCTATCCTCGATGTTGGACTCGGCTTCACCATCCAGTGGCTTGGCTCCGCCGCAGATGAGTACTGTCAAATGGCTCACCAAGCGAGCTCCATGAGACTTCGAGTGCCCTGCACCCCAGCCTAGAGTTAATCCCGGTCGAAATGCGGCTCTGTCCGCGTCGGTCCATACCAGTCTCCAGCTAGCCCTTCAGCCTTGCAGCTGCTGCAAAATGACTAACGCAGAGTTCCTGGCGCCGTTTGAATAGAGTCTAAAGCAGCATTACGGCATCTCTTCCTGCCGGATAGTGTGTTGGCCCTTACCAGATGCTTACTGACTCGGGACATATAGAAAAGACGTGCAGTACCAACGCCCGATCCATTTTCCCCATGTTGATGCTCAGACATACGACCATGACTTCTGCGGTGAAAATTCTCTCATGGATACATCACGATGTCCAGACAGACACAAAGAGTCTATCATCGAGGAAGAGGGAGGTCTGTCGACATGTGGCTGCACACCGAAAACTGGAACGACTACAGCGAGCGTGGAAGTTGAGAGCTTCAGCTCTTGACCTGTACCAGGCCTTGCAGAATCCAGCAAAACGACACTAGGAGCTTGACAATCGTCTCATTGGGAACTTCGATCCTTTCGACTCACAGCCACTCCCTGCTACCACCGAAGTTTATCGCCTACTCCAATTTGACCAGGTGTACGTCGCTCCAGCCCTTGATCGATCGAAAATTCCTAGACAGCCGTCGTCGACATATTTGCAAGACGAATTGTCCGCATACGGGTTTCTTGCCCCGATCGCAGCTATCAAAGCGCGTTGTGCAGATTTTGGTGTATTCCACCAAGCACTGAAATTGAAGGCTGAGGCGATGCGACGACTTCGAGAAAGTCTGCCTCACATAAATGATATCACTCGTGTCTCTCGAGCAGTCATGTCTTTGATGTACACGGAGTCATGGTGCGACAACTATCAAGCTGCAGATGTCCACTTACAGCTGCTGGGGGCGGTGAATAACCATCATGGTCTGGAAACGGACCACCTCATTTGCATACTACATCAAGACGTCCAACGTGCGACATTGACCTTGTCGAGAACACATTTCTCCATGCACGACAAGGCTTGGCAGGCACTTGAAGGAGACTTCAGTCACTCATTGACCACCGGAGGAGACCTGGAAGCTCGCCCACAAGGGCCTTTTGGCTGGATCCTGTGGGAGATGAGTACCGCATTCACTGCACTGAACGTTCTACGAAACATTCGGAATGCGGCAGCAATCAAATGCCTGCATATTATGGGCTTGATCGTTGACCGCCATTATTCGACCTCGGATAGAGTGGAGAAATATGTTGCTTTGGCCGTACTATATCGTATTCGACGAGCTGCAGACATGGAGCGCATACCCCTTTGTGCCAGAGAAATCTACGACTCAGGCAGGGCCATCCTACCTTGACTACGTGAGCTACTCATTGCAACCAATCATGATGAGCCCGCGATGCGTCTATGGGTTTTGTTCGTCGGGAGCATGGCAGGGGACAGGTGGTTCGAACAAGAGTTCAGTCATCTTGCAGAGAAATTGGGTTTGCATGAATCCGCTGCGGTAAGCGGATTTCTATCTGAATTCGAGCTCTCAATCCGTGCAAGGCTCAACTTGGAAGTCGGTTGAGAGCATGTGGATTGGGTGGGGCCGGAGAGCCTTGTATCCGCCCTCTCCTCAGTGACGGCCCAAAACCGAGCTACTCTGGACAGTTAATCCCAGACAACCGGTCGACGAGCTACAGTACCTTGCCGCCGTTAGCAATTGGCACACCGAGCTTCAGCCTTGCATGCAGCTTGCAGGAGACGTTTGCTTTTCCGAATGGAGACTAGCCGACACTGAGTGGACTCAGAATTGGCGCTTACTTATGCCTGGCTTAACTCATTCAACCTTCTATCAATAGCTTCAACATGACCTTATACGAGATCTCGATTGAACCAGAGGGGATAGCGACAATCAAGTCCGATACTTGACTATTGTTAGGTGATAACCTCCCATTATCGCAGCACAATCGGCCCAATGCGGCGAAGCAGACCTTGCTGCTCTCATGCTTAGAGTACCACTGACTGATGAAGCCTGCGGGGTGACTGTGCTCGAAGGCCCATCCACTGAGGCATGGACGTCAGTAAAAGGCATCTTCATCGAATTATACGTGCATCGAGGGAAGAAGTTGCCCGAAGTCCAGAGGATATTGGCCGATCACTGTGACTTCCATGCAACGCAAGTGCTTCTGATTTTGAACGTGACAGCAGCAGCCAGCTGACGCGGAGCCAGAGAAAAGGCGTACAAGCGCCGAATCAAGCAACGGCAAGCTTTCAAAAATTATAAGGCTGCTGACAAGCAAGCTCTTTCGGAAAATGTCATGCAAGATCCTGCTACGACCTTTCCATCATTACAGCTCTATGGAAAGCCTGTCAGTTGGGACCGGATTAAACGGTTCAACAGGAAATCAAAGCTAAGAAGCACGCCAATCAGGGCCACTTATTGAGCAAAGGATCCAGCTACGACTGCATTTGGGCAGGCCCCAAATGACCATTTGGGCTGACGAGAGGATTATCCTTCTAACGAAGGCTTACCTGGATTGGAATGTTTCAGCATGGAGTACTCTTGGCTTTGGGGTCAGAGACGGCGAAGCTGGAGTCGGTCAGGGACAACATCTACCTCGCATGTTCAAAAAATGCTTCTACGACGCCATCCCGCTTCTTTTGACCAAGCACACGCCGAGGCGTTCAAAGAAATCAACTCTGCCTGTAGCCTTGCTACACAATGCCTCCAAAGCTGCCCATACTGGATCTTCCTTCGCCTATTACGTTTGCACACATACCCACTATGGACACAGTTTGCGGATATCCGAAGTCATATAATACGGTTCCTGCACATACTGGCATCTTGCACTTTGCCTCATGGCCATGTCCTGAGACTGCTGCTGAAGCTATGGAGCCAAGCTAATCTTGAAATTGGCAAGGGTACGATTGCTGCCATCCTCCGGTTGAGTTCCGATGTGCTTGGTTCCTCTAGCCACCTCGAGATAGAGGAATGGGCATGGGTCCAGGACAAATCTGCCCCCTACACTATCACTTGGGAGGCTTCAATGATGCTTTAGTCATTGCCGAGAGATTTGCGCAAGACGAAAATGTACCACCTGGAGTTCGAATAAGTCGTTGCAAATGGTAGCTCGCCAGCACTTGCAGCAGGGAAAGTTCGATACGGCTGAATCTTTCCTGTTCCAGACGTTGGACTTGTGCAAGCAACACCACGATGACAGCAGCATTGCCCGATTTCTCCCGCAGACATATTCTGACCTGGCGTATTTGTTCAATCTCAGGGGGGAGCATGCTCAAAGCTTCACCTATTATCGGGAAGCATTGCAGAAAGCCAGAGAAGTCCGGAACCCGGGCAACGTGGCGTCAATACAATGTCGCATGGAAGCGATAAACCAGCGAGCACGCACTGAGCAGCTTGATGAGAATGCAACAGAAACCTCACAGGCTAGCAGTTGGGCACAGCGGGCTTTTTGTCGGCCCTTTTCATGATGAACCGCTTACAGCAGGAGGTGACATTGCATTCTGTTGAAGATCATGCTTGAGGAGGAAGAATTTGCGGCACCGCCCATGCTTTCTCCTGCTGGCGCCATCCTTCGACTGTCGACACCACAATAAGTGCATTTTGGTTTCGCCTCATCCGTATGGGTGATGGCCTCAGTTCCCACGGCCACTTCTCTTTCTTTCGTTGCTTCGTTCTGCCCTTTCAGACAACGAACACAACGAACACAACGACACTGCCTTTGTCTTTTAATACAAGTGCATTGTCTTGGTCGGCCGTTAATCACAAACAGTCACAAGCGCAACTGCCCAGCTACTTCTTTGTGACCCTTTGTTTACAGCCTTATAGGCAGTGCAGGGAGCACTACATGTTTCTCCAATATACTTGGACGTCGCAGTCTCCAGGTCTCCTGCCACTTTCCCTATCAACACCTTCCCCGTTGACAGCAACACGGATCTGCAGCAGCGTCGTCAGCAGCATACAAACCCTCTGGCTGGAACAGAGAGGAGAAACAGCGGAAGCGATCAGTAACGCCCGGTATCCAGCATCATTCTGATCTCTCATCGCCATTGCTGAAACCAGGTCTACACGGTAAGCTCTTTCCAATTCCCGTCTCCCTTCGGGCCAAGCATAGGCAAGCTGACCAAAATGCTTCATATTCAAGACATCCCACAACAGCTCGTCCCAACGCTATGCAAGATCCTGCAGTTTCCACCCAATATCGACCTGTGTGAGCATGCCAAATCAATCCTCAACCTCGCCCGGCCACTGCCCTATTCGCTCCGCACCAGCCGAATTGAGAGATTGTTGTTATCGTCCCAAGGCCACTTGTGCCAGATGCACAACCGCCTTGATTATGAGACGGTCGAGACCATCCTGCGTAAGATCCAAGTCGAAATCGGACCCCGGCTGAATGATCTCGTGGGTCAATGCCAAATTCTCAGTCCCGAGCAGCGCAATTGCATCACACGCCTACGCAATCTGCATGCCTTGTGGTTGCCGCGGCGCGAGCTTGAGATCACGTTCCTCGTGAGCGCGGACGATGTGAAATGGACATACCAAGTCGATCAGTGTGAAGCTTGCATCATCAGCCGTGTAGCAGGCGATCTTTCTGTGCTGCTGGATTTGAGATGTGCGCTACGCTCTCGCGCCACCAGCCGGCATGTGGCCAAGCACGGTTTGCCTCGCCTCCAGCTGTGGGTTGAGAGTTGGATCGAACACCTAGCTGGTCATATAAGTGCAGCCACAGGCGTGAATGTCGACGTGGAGGAGATACTTACACGGAATGAGGAGGCAGCACAGGTGCTCAAGAGAACTCGGAGCAAGGTGCACGATATTCGGACCAATCAGCTCAAGATTGTGACTGCCGGCCAGGGTGTTGGTAGCGGACAGATGAAAGGGAAAGCCAAAACACGAGCCAACAGCGAAGACTTTGGCTCGGGAGCAGACTCGGACGACCTCAGTCCGGTCACGGCTGACCCGAGCATGAAAGGACGAAGTCCGTATGGACAAGCAGGTGCTCATCGAGTGGCTGAGAAAAATAGTCTGGACAGTGTCTATCTTGAGGCTTTGACCGAATATGCGAAGGGCAAGATGGTTGAGCCGCAGCAACCCAATGTTGTGCTGGGGCAAATTCCGGTGAAGGAAGCGGCGGTCTATCATGGGCAAGGTCCACATCAAAACGAGCAGGAACAGTACGTTCCCCCAAGACAGAATTGGAAGCGCAGTCCGCTGACCTCGTCATCTGTGAAGCCGAAGTGGGAATCGCCAATTGCACCAAATGACAGCTGGGTGACTGAGCGATGCGAAAGCAACTACGGTTCACAAGTTACCTTTCAACCTCAGGCTGTTCAGCAAGCCGGTGACCATGGAGCAAGTCAGAACCCCAGTCAACCAGCTCCAGCTCAAGTGCAACCAAGACGAAGTCCAGCAGAAACGTATGAGAAATTGATCGGGCCGTACCCTACCGAGTCGACGACATCTTCGGTTGCGGAAATTATTCGGTTGTACGATCATGCGTGTGATCATGCGTGTAATCATGCGTGTAATCATGCGTGTAATCATACTCACGGCTGCGCCGAGGGTAGTGATAGACAAGAGGAGACTTTCGAGACGTTGCCGCAGACTACTTATCAACCTCGACGCGTCACTGTTGCTGCTCAGAGCGCTCAGGCTTGCCCTGAGACGTTGCCGTGCACTACATATCAACCTCCCGCTCCATCGCCAGCTTCAGCTCCAACTCCGTCGGCGAGTGCTGCGGCATCAAGCTCTAGAACTACTGTTCCGCACAACGAGAGCACAGCCACGGCAATTTTCATTCTGGACAATGATGATCTGGGCAGTCCTTCGAGAGCTGCTTCGACATGGGGTGGGATGCACGAGTCGCGGGTCAAATTGCGACACGATCTAGATTGGTTTTACAAGAGTCGCGAAGGGCAGGATTGAGTGTGTGTATGTATGTTACTCTGGGTATAAGTTGTGACTTCTGGAGTTTGGAATTCGGCTGAGATAGTTTGCAGTTCCATCAGTCACGGGGCTGGGCCCTCCTTGAATTAATATAAAATGTACGGAGTAGGAGCCTGGGTCATGAAAGTAGCCATCTCGGAAGCTACAGCGAGTAGTATTTTTTGAACGACGCGAATTGTAGAGTCATCACATTGATTTTGGTCCCCTGGCTAATAGCTAGTCGTTCGTGGTGCTCCTTTCCATGTCAACTCTTTCCAAGATCGATCTTGTGACAAGATCCAACAACGGTCCGCCGAGTGCTCCTTACGCCGAGACGAAACACAGAAGTAGGACTGGAATATTGCCGGCGCATAGCAAAAAGCAAGATGAAGACGTTTGTTCAGGTTCCTGTTATACACATTACCGGTCATTGCGGGACCATCAATATCTAGACATACACAAGCCTGACCCGGAACTCCCTTGTACTCTTGTGATCCAAACCAAGACCCTTGATTAAGGCAACATGGAAATTCGGCTCTGCCCATCTTTTAAAATTTAATAACAAAAAACCAGGTAACAGTCTCAGTCTGCGTGCAGGATGGTAGGGCTCCTGCTGTGCAAAGTCCCAGCCATCCGATCGGAAATTGCCTTGGCATCAAAGCCGCTCTTTCGTCTCGTGCTCCGTCTCAGAGATTGCTTGACCTCCTGTTCTTCTCTCGCTTCTTCCGCGATGACTCTAGCACCTTGTTTGTCATCAAGGACCTGCCTCTGACTGCTGCGAGCTTGCTGCTTCGCACGTTCAGCGTTGAATTCTGGCGAGTTGACCACGGAGGCCTTCATGGCAGTATCTGCATCCACTTTCTTCTGGGCCGCGATCCTGTCACGTTCATATCGAGCTGAAATGTCTCCACCGGTCCATGCGGTGTTCAGGAGGCGATCCCAGAAGGTGAAGAATGGTTGGGAGAAGTTGGTCTTGATACCCCAGCTTTGATGGTGTACATCGTGATAAGCGGCATTGTTCGATGTGACATGCTGGAGAGGGTCGAATGGGAAAGCGTATCCGCAGTGATCATCGACAGTTTTGATCGTCGAACAAGTGAAGAACCACATTCCCTGGCGAACCGTCATGCCCACCATCAAATAAGCAAGGCCCGTGCCTAGGGTGTCAAGCATGAAACCCTCGATGGGATGATTGTAAAGGGCACCATATGCATAAGGGACGTATAGCCGGTGGTGTCGAGAATGCAGAGTTGTGTAGAGAAATTTGTTCATGTGCATGGCGCGATGCAGGAAGTACTGCCAAGTGTCGACAATGAAGATGGCGACTGTAAATTGGATCAAAGGCATGCCGATCCAGTAGATGAACTTGGCGACTGAAAGTTCCCAAGGCGCAAAGGTCGTGGTCGCGTAGGCTCCGCCGGACAGGGCTCCAGAAAGTTGAGGATAAGTGTTGTGTACCTTTCCCCCCAATGCCAATGCGTCCAAACCGACGGCGGCAAGTAGTTTCGGAATGTATCCTTGTGCAAGCCGGAGACGCTGACCCCAGACAGCGATATCATACTGCTCTTTTCCAATTGTCTCAACTGGATCGAAGTAGGCGACAACCAATCCGAACGCGGTCTGGATAATCTGTTGCAGAATCACATCCCGAAATACTTCCCATCTTGTGACATGGTTTCGTTTCAAGACCTCCGCTGGTGTGTGTAGTCTGTATTGCGAGCACAGATCGTAGACGTCGAGAACATGGAAGAAGCCAGAGACCACCCAATAGGCAATCACAGGAGCCAGCAGTTGACAAACTATATCTGGCACGCCGGGAATCATCGACGGACGAGGGGTGAGGGTGTAGGATGGTAGAGGTGGGAGGTCTTGCAGAGTCGAGCTCGCCATCCTGTCGACCATGCGCGTACAAGGATCGGACGGAGGACCTTGGTGATTTGAAAGAAGACTTCAGGTGTATTAAGACGGCGCACGGAAAGCCCGGAGACGGAGATGAGCAAGGAGTGACGGGGCCAGGAGTATTTCTTCGTCCGGTGGGCGTGACAAACGTGAGGAAAGAAGCAAGTTGCGTGACAAAGGAAAAGGAGAGTAGATGAATTTGAATTGAATGAAGAATGAAAGGAGCGCGTGAAAAGGTGGAGTGAGCAGTTCAGGAGAGAGAAGTAAAGGTATGGTGACTCGTGATGAATGGAAATGCAATATTTGCCTCCGTCCTCAGCCCGCAGATTGCGATGACTTGAAGATGATGAAGGGACGATACGAGGAACGACCTGCCGGAATCATTCTTTTTCCGCTCCGGAAATCCCTCGTCACAATATCACGTGCTTGAAGAGCCAAGCACTCGGGTAAGTTACTTCTTCAGTCTGATGGATCCACAGGCGTGGCTAGAGCCAGAATTTCCTGAAGACCCCTCGACGGACAACAAAAAGCCTGCGTCTTCCTTCCCCAGAACCTCTTCTCAGCCTCTCTTTGCGACTACTCTCTTCTGTTTCCCGTTCTCCGCCATAACCTTCCGCGCAGTCATTCAAAATGATCATCTACAGGGTGCGCACAATCCGATCTGCCGGGGACACTTTAGCAGCCGCTCTGCCCCGCCTTGAAAATGAACTGTGACTGATTTGCCCCAACCACAGGATATCATCAGCGGAGATGAGATCTGCTCCGATACCAACAAGATCATCGATGCCGGCAATGGCTTGTGGGAGATCGATGGCAAGATGATCAAGAAGGGTGCCGAGAACTTCGGTTTGTCTCAGCACAATGCCCAGGGTGTTCGTTTACCTGACAACTCTTAGTTCTTGATGGTGCCAACCCATCAGCTGAAGGCGAAGACGCCGATGATGGTGGAGATGACGCCGGTGACAACCAGCCAGTCCTCGATCTTGCCGACCAATTCAGACTGCAGAAGATGGAGGGTGGTATGAGCAAGAAGTCTTACCAGAGTGAACTCAAGAGTAGGTCTCTCTATATACCCGAAATCGTTGAGCACTGATTAATGTCTATCAGAATACATGAAGGCTCTCACCGAGAAGCTGAAGGAAACAGGTAGCTCCGAGGAAGACATCAAGAAGTTCCAATCTGAGGCACCTGCTGCGGCCAAGAAGATCCTAGGTAACTGGGACAACTACGACATCTACCAGGGTGAATCCATGGCAGAGAACAGCATGTACGTGCTGGTTGACTTCCGCGAGGACGGCATGACTCCCTACATCACCGTCTGGAAGTGGGGTTTGGAGGAGTACAAGGTGTAGAACGCATGTTGTGTCAACCCGATTGCGACACCATCAAAAGACACCGTCGAGACGACCTGACGAGCATGGCAGATGCTGAATGATAGCATTTCCTGGAGCAAGCATATTGTGAAAATTAGAATATGCACCTTTCCGACGCATGCAGACAGCATTGCAATCGCAGTATTGGCTCGCTACTAGTCGCCTTATTCGGGAACATGAACATCGGTACGCCTACCATCGGCCAGATGCGTGCATGTAGAGGTCGAAGCGCATAGGCACGATTCACCCTCATATTCTGCCGCTGAGTGATGATTGTGACCAAGGTCCTGTGCAACAGCCAGTGGGTGATGATTATTCGTAGCATTTGGCAAGGGTTGACGTCGGTACTGTCCAGATTTCAGTGCCTAGAATGAATTGCTGTTCCGTGTTGATCGCCAGGTCTGGTGGCATGTCCACCATGTCGAAGTCCAAATTCCACATTGTTGTGGATATGAATGTCATTGGCACGGGTCAATTGAAGCAGACAACTGCCGCATGCCCACGCCCTGGCACTCCTGGCTACTCCGCAAAGATCGTCGTGGTGAGATATTCTTTCTGCAAGAAGAGTCGAGGCTGTTGTCTGACAGAGGTACTTTTGGAAGCCATCTCGCCGTCTGTGGCGGCCGCCGCACAATTTGGACTGGACTCCAAGAATGCATCTGTCAGACAATTGCTGCCACTTGCACTTCTCTCCCGGCTCTCCCTCGACTCCCGCCACCATTTCGCAACCTGCTCGTGTGCCTTATTTCCTGATCTCAATATTTCCACCTGTTCACTTCCAGGCGGCCATATTGTCTTCATGCCACAAGAGTACTCTTAGCCGTCATGGCGCCCTCCTTTATCAATCTACTACTACTTGTCGCTATTCTCATCCCCCTCGTAGTCACCCTCCCGCCCATTGAGTCGCATGCTTCGCTCCGCCCGCAGACATCCTACTCTCCAAAAGACAGGCATACAGGGCCATTTCGTAGGCTTCGCGATGCCATAATTGAAAAGATATGGTCGATACCTGGCAAAAACACACATAAGGGGTGCTCGAGCTCCCAACCACTTCCGCAGCTGCCTAGGAGTTTCCACGCCCGTTACGGCAACGATGTCGTCCTCCGTTTCGAAGTCCGATCCGAGGATGAAGCAAAAGCCCTGTCCGAGGCTACTAGCATGTTGTACCTTGATATATGGGAAGCGACGGATGAGTGGGTGGATATCAGAATAGCAAAGGATGTTGTACCCTCGTTCATCGGGCTCCTTCCAACTTCTCTACACCATGCATACAAACCTTTGATGCACGACCTTGCTCGAGCCGTTTACGACACATATCCCACCTTGAACTCCGACCAAAGTCCTCTCCAGTCGACTCTTACAACATCCCCTGGTGGGCGCACCCATCTCGGCATCCCACAGGACCTCTTTTTCCAAGATTACCAGCCTCTTTCAGTTTTATACCCTTGGCTACGGCTGGTCGCTTCGATGTTTCCTACGCACGCAGAATTAATCACCATAGGCCAGTCGGCAGAAGGTCGAGATATTCCAGCGCTGCGGCTAGGATCCAAATCACAACCTGGAGATCCACATGATGAACGGCACACCCTGCTAGTCGTTGGCGGCACTCATGCAAGAGAATGGATCTCAATATCTACAACAGCGTATGTCGCGTACAGTCTTGTCACTCGATATGGGCACCCTCAATTCCATGCCGTCACCAAGTTGCTGGACCATTTTGATATTGTTTTCGTCCCTGTACTCAATCCAGATGGCTACGAGTACACTTGGACGACCGACAGATTATGGCGCAAGAATCGGCAGTCGACCTCTCTGCCATTCTGTCCCGGGATCGATCTCGATCGTTCATTCCGTTTCGAATGGGATGGTCATGGCAATGCCGACAATGCCTGCAGCGATGACTATGCTGGACCAGCACCGTTGATCGCGAGAGAAGCCCAGGTATTGACCGAGTGGGCTAGGAATGAAACCAAATACAACAACACCACATTCGTGTCGTACCTGGACCTTCACTCGTATTCACAGGAAGTCCTCTATCCCTATAGCTATACTTGCGATATCGACCCACCGAATTTGGAAGACCTCGAGGAGGTTGCACTTGGACTGGCCAAGTCACTCAGGCTGACAAACGGCCATTACTACGGAGTCGAAAGCGCTTGTCGAGGAAGCATCACATATCAAGACAAGGTCAAAAAGACTCGCATCCAGACGGAGTCACAAGGCGGCTCCGCTTTGGACTTCTTCTACCACGACCTCGACGTCAAACTTGCCTTCCAGTTCAAGCTCCGCGATACGGGAACATATGGCTTCCTACTACCCAAGTCCAACATCCTACCCACTGGCGAAGAAGTCTACGAAGCTGTCATGGCCCTGGGCCGGTGGTTGCTGGGCAATCATGGAATTGAAAGTGTCGATCCTGATTCGGTCTGGGGCGTCGAGACCTCCGAGATCAAGATTGAGGACATGCCGGGTGGTTCTGACATCGATGAGTATGAGGATGTTGAAGATTACGAGGAATGGGATGTTGAACTTCGGCGAAGGCGGCGACGTCGCTGAATGGTTCACGTCATGGGAGGGAGATTGAAATCTTATGATATAGCAGATGGGTGGACAGCTTCGCCGACGGTATAAACAATGCAGATATTTAATGACACTATGACAGGCACGTACAGTTTTCTTTTTTGGGGGGAAAGAAATACCTTCTCATGCTCCTGCGGGTGAACAGTTGGCCAGACAGGACCGAGCAGAACCGAGCAGAACCGCACATCGACTCCAAACTACGTGTGAAGTCGTAATCTTCATTTGCCAGTATTAATCCCATTAAGGTACGTAGGTAGTAGTTCACGCTTGATGAGCATCGTGCGCCATGCTATGCGAAGGCCCCCAGCCCAGCAAATAAAGGGCATCCCAACTCCTCATCATACCTCATCCAACCCTGTCGAAAAGCACAGCCGCAGCCTGATCCTCCTTGGTGCTGAATAGATGCGCTCATTCGAGGTGGGAAAAGGAAAAAGAAAGAGAAACCTGACAAAGTGACAGCAACCTCCGTCCCTCCCCTCACCGGAAAGAGGATCTTTGCTCATGACTACGGAGTACTCGACGGGCGTTTCATTCATGCCTCATGCCCCGTCCATACCTAGGGTCGTGTTAGTAGCTCATCAAGCTAACATGCCCATCGCCCAAAGCCGCACATGCCAGCAACATTCGATGCGGATGATACGCCGTCGCGACGATCGGACTCTGGCTCCCTCTTCCTGCGAGGCTGCCGCCCACAACCTGAGCCAGACGACTGGGCAGTGGCTCAAACACACCCAGAGCATCGCCGTTTGTGTTGTACGTCCGGACTTCGTGCTTATCCGTTCCCACCGCATAGACAGGCGCATGCTCGTGCACAGACAGACTCCTGAGCAATGGCACATAGCCACCACCAGCACCAGTACCGTCGCTACCGGCATTTGCACCATCATGCCTACCGCTTGAGGTCGCAGCGACCGTCAAAACGGCCTTGTCACTCCTCAGATCCCACAACTTGACGTCTCCATTTCGACTCCCGGATATCAACTCGCGCACGCCACCGCGCTGCATGTGGACATTTGTAATCCACTGACGATGCTCTCTCCAAATCTTGACCATCGCGGTCCTCGGATTGAGCCTCTGATCGAAAACCCTGACAACTCCGTCCCCGAAACCCGCGATGAAAATCTGGCCCGCAACTTGATCACTCGTCAGGCTGGTCACGCAACTCGAGCTCCTGGCCGGAATGTCGCCGACACACAGCTCGGTTGCTGCGTTCCAGACCTTGATGACCTTAACATCGCCTGCAACCAATGCCTTGCCCTGGCCCTGCTGCCAGTCAAACACCAATCCGGCATTCTTGTTGCTGGGGATCAGCTCTGTCAACGCCCGAAATGCGGTGATAATTTTCACCTCGTCTGAGGATTGGTAATTGCGGTACACTTTCAACACGCCATCGCTACTCCCGACCATCAGGAGGGGCTGGTCGTCTTCATTCAGGAATTTGGTGTCGTTGATGCGGCTTCCTATGGGGTTGCCGTTGCTGAAGCGGCTGAGCTGCTCGTTACGCTGGAAATCCCAGATTGTCACAGTATCTCGATCGTCCGTTACAGCGAGATGATCGTCGAATTGATGGAAAGCCAGGCGCATTGGCTGATTCTGGTTGTTGAGGAACCCTTCGAGACGTGTCCATTTTGAACTACCTGCCACGCCCTTGAGGGGCTGATTGTCTGCAATGATCTTCTCGTTGCGGTTGCGTCGCCAAAGGCGGGAATTGTAGTCTGCTGAACCTGGTTCGTCGGGGTCGTTGGCTCGCATCTGTGGTTCGCGGAAGTATTCGGTGGACCATTCGAGTAGGGTGCTTTCTAGCGGCAAATATTGTTTCTTCCTCGGGTCGAGAGGCACGAAGCCGGCTGAGGTCGGCAAGGTCGCTGACAGATAGTGACCTGCGCTGCCCTGGGCATCGGAAGTCTCTGGTGGTCGACTCCACTCAGCGGGGAGACGGCCTCGAGGGGTATTGACTGGGCGCGCTGGTTCCCTGCTTTTGCTGGGAGATGTCTGGGGGCTGCTTTCCCTGGAAGCATTGAGATTGTCTGAACTTGCACCAAATGCGAGATTGCGTAAGGAAGTGCCTGCTCGTTTCAAGCTGAGAGACAGATAACTCGCTTGTTTCTGCATCTGAGGTGGTGGGGTTCCAGGGCGCTTGTCCGTTAGTCTCAGGGAGTTCATTGATGGGACCTTTTTGATCTGAGTTTCTGCTCGCTTGGAGAACCGTAACAAATCCTCAACGACCTTGAGAGCCACCTGGCTCAGAGGGGAATTATGCATCAACGTGTCGTGAATATCATCAACAATGATGGAAGCATTCCGTGCGATTTCGGGATGCGGGTCGACGGATAGTACCAGAATCTGCAGCCAGATGCAGCCATAGATAGTGTTTGCCGAAATGGGAGGGTGAGGGTCACACGCCTCAAATCCGTTGGCATCGCTATCCTTGTATGGATGCCTGTCTCTTTCCTCCACAAGCTGCTCATAAGCGACCACGAGAAACTTATTCTCGTATCGCTTGACAAATGCAGAGAGAAAAACAACCAGCTCTTTTCGCACCAAGCTGCTGCCGTCTGAGGTCATGAACAGCACTGACGAAGCGATGCCTTCCTCGATTTGACAAACTTGATCTGTCAAATCAGGGATACCAAGGAAATTCGTGAGAGCATGCAGCATCGCAGCTCGAACTTCCGGGACAGGATCAAGGGATAGCTCACACAACCTCGCGTGAGCCATACATCGTATCCCCATCCATTTGGCATCGGCATAGTCGCACCACAACATACTGAGACACAGACAAGACCACTGCCGTAGCAGAGGATTTTCTGGCTCTGCCATGTTCAGCAGGCACGCGTTGAAAAGCTCAGGCAGCAGACACACGGTTTGGCCAGGAGGGTACCGTTTGCAGAATATTGCCACGATGAATGCACACATAGCCCTATGCTCGCTGGCATTACCAACGGGTATGTCGGAACGTGGATTCATGATGGAAATGAAATAATGGATACCATTATCCTTCAACAGATCACTCTGCACGGTGTAGTCGACAGCCATGATTCGAGCCCAGATGAAGACCATGACAGGCTTGAGCTCAAGTGACGCCGCTTGGAGAAGCTTCACTACATAAGGGAAGATTCCAATACTCAAGGCGAGATGAACGGCCCAAGGACCAAGGTCGAGAAACTTGCTCAAAAGAATCAAAGCTCGCAGCCGATGAACTTGACTCAGGAGCACTTGGAGAACGATCGGTAGCTGGTCTGGGGCGTGGTCTTTGGTCGGTCCAGAAGTCAAATACACTTCAAATGCAGTGAGTTGTTCCGCAAAGAAGTTCGAATGTTGATATTCGTATACACGCTTTCCTTCTTCGGCCTCTCGAAGCATCGGTAATTGTGAAAGGACCATTTCCATTGCGAGATCCCAGCTCTGCCACAGCGGGTGATGATGTGTCTCGGGCAGTACTGGGGATGATATGGGATGGCAATGATTCGCTCTCATGATTCTTTCACTCAGCAAGAAGTTGCGGAAGAGCGCAGCGACCATGAGATCTTGACGGAAAAGTTTCTTAAACAACGGTCGAGGCAGGATGTTCCACGCGATAGTATCGGTAATGGCCGTAAAGATCCAGTTCAACTCTCCCAAAGGACTCCGGCGGTCCTGAAGACGGCCCGGTACAGGGATCTTTCCGTCCTCGAGTGAAGGACAAGGGCCATGAGGAAGTGGATTCTGCAGGACGAACCACCTCAAGGCGATATCAATGGGAGTCGTCAAACAACAAGTGAACAAATCCGCTGGGAGGTCTGGGTTGGTTGGGAGCATCTCGGTTCTGCCACAAGCTGCTAGCTGTATGCAATCTGCGTAGTTCTGTAGAGGAGCGTTGGGATCTTTCTTCTTGGCCTCCTCGTTCTCCTTTTCGTGCTTAGCGAGGAAAGTATCGAAATTGGCCACGATATTGCCAGCATGTGAGACATCGTAGACAAAAAGGCTGGGTCCTCCAAGCCATGACTGCAGATCATAGATGCCAACCGGTATGTACTGAGTGTAGTTCTTGTTGAAGACCCAGATCTCGCCAGAAGCAGTGGGAAGAGGTACTCCGTGGCCGTTGTAGTGGAACAAGACTCTCTCGTCCTTCGCATTACGTCGCAACGATATGCAGAATCTCTTTGTCTCATCAATGGAAGGATCCAGGTACTGTTTATATCTGGTCCTCAGACTCAATGACTCGTACTGTTCTTGTAAGCGCTTTCCGATTTGCTCCATTGTCTTGGTTGAACCGCTGCTGCTTCCGGTAGGGTCGACCCATGCCTCCAGTTTAGCTGTAGGATTGGTCTTGATCACATCGGGAGGATCCACGCCGATGTTCAAGCAAATTGCTAGTGCGGCAGAAACGGTTTTCATCCTATCTTTCATCCGCCAGTCCACACTAGGATATTGCTTTGACTCTTGCGACTGTGAACCGTTGCTTTCATGCCTCTTCTCTGTGTAGTACATGTAGAATGTCGAGTGCAACAATGAAAGATACTCGTTCGATGTGTATTCATCGTCCCAGCCATGTCGAATGTGTGCCAACTTGTCTTCTGACTGTGGACTTGCTATTCCTCCTTTTGCTCGTGGACCTAGGTCACTTTTTGTTCGATGCAGAGGAAATGGCTTCGCAGATAGGTAGTCTTCGGACTCTGGTATGATCCTAGGTGATACTCCATTCTGCTGACTAGACGCCGTACCATTTATTTGTGAATGTCTTTGAAACGCACTGCCGGTCGAATAGTGAGCAACGTCCTCAGTGAAGCCACGTGCTGGAGGTTGATTGTGTCCCTGTGTCGCAGGTCTTGTGCGGTAGGGCATATCAAATCCCAGTCCGACATGTGATTGACCGTTGTGTGAAGCCATGGTAGGCTCCTCAGACTTAGGTCTGAACGTCGGAGATGCTTGAGGGTCGCGCATACCTCTCGAGACATGAGGTAGGTTCTAGGAGAGGCGCAGAAAGGTTTTCCTGTCGAATCCAGACGACATCATCTACAGAGGTGGCGCGGAAGGGTAGTAAATGATACTGTCGAACAAGATGATGCCGTCAATGCAAGCTGTCCTATGGATTGTCAGGATTTGTGTGAGCAAAAACAACCGATCTGTACTGCGATGCCTGCTTGTTTCACGGAAGTACTAACTTAGGGCGGGATTAAAAAGCCGAAAAGACCATCTGCCACCGCCTACAATTCCATGGATGCGGGGAAGCCTAAGGCTCGGAGCGCTCACGACTCACGAGGCTGATGGGCTCAGTAACTTAGGTAACTTAATTAAGGCTACCACTGGGCTACCTACCTAGCGAGCTAGGTAGAGCAGGCTGGTGCAGGCTCTGATCACCCACTGATGGACTCCATCGCCAGCTCTCTCAGCCTCACTTAGCCCTCTTGTTAGCCTTACCTTGCCCCCAATTGTTCAGATCAGAATATGACGATACCTCGCAGTCATTCAACAGGATATCACAGCTCTACCCATTCATAGCACCAATGTACGTTTATGTTTATGGCATTGATATTACAATCCACCATTTTACATCCGCCTTGCTCAACGCTGTCCTCCATTAGAACTAACTCACATCGTGCTATCAGGCCGATAGTCCGCGCTTTAACCATTTCATCACTGTCATCCTTCGCCCATGATTTCAAGAACTCCAAAATGCCAACATAAGAATTGAATGTATTTGAACAAAACATGAATGGGATCATGACTTCAAGGAGGAGAGACCTCAAGCAACGGCTGTCTTTGAACTCTTTTCTTCCTCTTCAAGTCGCCTCCTCCAACTAGCCAGATTGTCACTGAGCTCAGTGCCTTGTCCCGTGGGAGTCCGCTCCGACTCAAACTGTGTGCTAATGCGATAATTGTTACGACTCGTGTTTTCCCATTGCGATCGCAAAGTCTCTAGCTCTGAGGCCAAATTGTCTAGGGCAACCGATCCTCTTTCATCGCGTGACAAATCGTCATTGACTGATACATCGGTCAAGGTCGATTGACTCTCGTCGCGGTTGTGGCCGACGGTGATACCGTTGGGCAGTGGTTGCATTTGTGACTGCCGTCGATAATTGCCCACAGACTGGCCAACTTGATCGAGGAGCATGGTGACACGCTCCTCAGCCTCCTGTGCGCGCCTCTCAAGCATGGAATTTTCTGATTTGAGTTGCTCCAGCTCCTTGCCGTACCGTTGTGACGACTGCGAAAGCTCGGCGTAGCTTGACTTTTGCTTTTCGCGGTCGACCTGAACAGAAGCAAGCTCTGATCTGAGAGAAGTAACGCTCGATTCTAGCAGACTGATTTGCTGGCTAGTCTGCGTCTTCATCTCTTCAATAGAATTCTGTAACTGCTGTCGCTCAGATTCCCAGGCCGATGGATCCGCAGCCGCGTTCGATGCTGCGCTTGTGCTTCTAGCACTTTCCAGTTCGGTGGTCAATTGTGAGTTCTGCGATTTGTACTTCGTAAGCTCTTCTTTCATCTTCTTCAGCATCTTCTCGGTGCCCTTGACATAGTGCACAGCAGATTGATAATCATTCTCGAGCTGCTCCAATTTCTCCTTGTAGGTGCTGTCTGCTTCCTGCATGCGAGCTTCGAATTGGTTCTTGGTCTCCTCATGAGCCTTGATGCTTGCTTGCAGTTGCTGGTCAAGCTCCCGAAGACGGTTTTGTTCTGGTGTACCGAATCGGGAGCTCGGAGAATGATCAAAGATTGGCGACCCTCTCATCGCTGACACATTCATACCTCGCTCACCTAGCAAGTCTTTAAGCGCGCTGTGCTGGACAGCCAAAGCGCTCGCATCCCGTTGGCTGATTTCAAGGTTCGACCGCAGTTCGCGCAACTCGTTTTGGTGGGATTGCGCCTCCCGCAATGCCGCCTGCAGTTGGCGACGGATCTGGAGAGCTTCGCGATTCGACTGTTCCTGATACGCTTCGAGCCCTGCAATTCTCTCCTCTGCATTGCGGAGTTTCTGTGCCGCCTGGTCAGCCGCTTCTTGGTTACGCTTGGCTAAGGCTGAAGCTTGGTCCGCGGTTGCTTTTAAAGCTGTCATCTTCTGCTCGGAGACAGAATCGCGTTTCGAGACTGCATCTGCAGTGGAGAGTCTGGCCAAACCGGCGAGCAGAGCTTCTCGGTGCGTTGAAGCTTCCTTGGCGTGGGTCTCAGCGAGTTCTTCAGCATCACGTAGACGTTTCGAAATGTTTTCCAGCTCTGTCACCCGTTCTTCATGCTCGGCTTTAAGTTGTGACAGTTTGCGCTCGGCGTTTTCTCTTTGCTGACGTTCTTCCTCGATTTGTCGTTCGTACAAGCTTGCCTTGCCAGTAGATGCGGCAACAGCAGCTTCTAAAGCAGCCATTGAAGCAACATGACTCGACAGCCGTGATGAGGTGTCCTCGTGCGTCTTGCTCAAGGTTTCGTGCTCGACACGAAGGTTCCGTAATTCCTCTTCGAGTTTTGCTCGTCTTCCAGATTCGGTTCGTGCCAGGCTTTGAGCTTCATGAAGCTCCGCTCGCAAGCCCTCCAGCTCCCCAGGATTTCTGCTCTTACTGAGCTCTTCATACCGAGCTTGCAAAGCATCCATCGACTCTTCTGCAAGCTCTCGAGCCCTTCTCTCGGAGTTGAGGTCATTGGACAGAGAGTCAAGTTTGGCTTTGTGCTCTGACTGCGCAGCCAAAGCCAAGGCGAGCCGCCTGCTTAGGTCTGTAAAGCGCTCTTGATCGTCAGGCTCGTGCGCAGAATCCGGTTGAGGCGTGCTTCGCTGGCTCCCGCCATGAGCAGCGAGTTTCGCTCTGGCATACGCAGCTTCGGTCACAGCAGCGTCACGTTGGTGTTCGACCTCCGCAACACGCTTGGCCATTGACGATGCCTGTGCCTCCATAGCCTCCTGCATCTTCATCATTTCGGTTCGCATTGTTACAAACGCTTCCATGAGCGGTCGATCGTCGTCCGCGACTTGGGTAACAGCACGGTCGTCAAATGTCGGGCTTGAGCTTGTTGCAGAAGTGTAGCCTTGCTTTCGAGCCAGCGCGAGTTCGGAAGCATACCAGGCATTGGACTTTTTCACTGACTCCAGCTCTTTCACCAAAGCTTCCTGATGCGCACTCAGCTTAGGCGACATTGGCTCCTCGGGCATATTCCGCACACTTCGGGCATCACCTTCTCCATAATGACGACCAGAAGATGAGCGACCGAGGTGGCCGTCTTCTGTGCTGTCTATAGAACTTTGGGCTCGCTGCGACCGTAGTGAGCGTTGCCTGGCCACGCCGTTACTGACCAGCGGTGCGGCTTCGCCAGCTTCCATCGCCTTTGCTTTGCTCTCCGTTCGTTGAATGGGCGTCCTTCGACCATGTGTGCTCGGACTGTTCTCCCGACTAGGCCTGATATTCTCCTTTTGCACATCTCTAATAGCTGGAGCCTGGACCAACGTCTCGGTAGGCACATTACGAACAGAGTCCGGACCCGTCGGAGGACCCCTAGTATCAATAGGAGGGCCATTGTATCTGCTCTTTGGTACATTTGCAGGTGATTGAACCCCGTTGATTCTTGGTCCAGGAGCCTGTCCTTGAGGTGGTGGACCTGCAGGGCCTTGGGTTATCGAAGCCCGCGGCAGTCTTGAAGCTTGCTGCTGGGGGTCTGGTCGTTGAACAGGGCCACCTGTGAATTGTTCCCGAGCTGCACTGGGGGCCCTTTGGCCCTCGCGGGAGGTGGATCGAATAGGTGCAGCTGCACTTCTCACTTCTGTACTTGTACTCGGCCTCCTAGTTGGACTGGCGGGACCTTTCAAATCCGAAACGGCTGCATCATTGGGATACCTGATCTTGGCAGTGTCAAGTACGTATACCATGCTCAACTCGGCTGGGTCGCGGGGTGCCGAGCTCGGCTCACCGGCCAGAACGATGATCTTGTCCCGGTAGGCGGTCATACTGTGACCAGACCTCGGTGACGGTGAAGGACCCATGTTCTGGAAGGTGTACCATCTCTTTGAAGTGATGCGGAAGGCTGCGAGGTCGCCTAAATCTGTACCCTCTTCGGTTCTACCGCCAAAGATATACATGACATCGCCAACCAGTGCTGCGGAGTGACCTTCTCGAGGAGCAGGAATGTACCCTATACAATCTTCCTGCTTCCAGGAGTTTGTGGCAGGACTGTAGGTCCAGACGTCGTTGAACCAGTGTGTGCCATTGGTACCTCCGAAGCTAAGCGGAATCAGCATATTGTTCAGACGATGGCAGCCTTGAACTTACAGGTACAGCTGGTCATTGTGGCTAATCACGGTGTGATTTGTTCTCGGAGGCGGTACCTTGCCGTTAGGCTGGGCGGACTCGCCAGAATTTTGAATCAAAAAGTCCCATTGATTCGAAGGGTTCTGCAAAGCATTCAAATCGAATGCTATCAAGTCGTTGAAGAAATAACCCTCAACCTGGCCTCCGAAAATGTATATCCGAGAGCCTAGGATGTTGAGGGTGTGGCCGTAACGCCCGGACGGGCGCGGTCCGGGAGGTGCTGCTCTGGACCATTGGCGAGAAGCTGGAACAGTGAGTGGAGTACTTCGCAAACGGTGTTGGGTGTAGACTTACAAGTATTAAGCAGGTACAAAGTGTCGTCAAGTACATCAGAGTCATCCATCTTAGTGTCGCCACCAAATACAATAAACGCGTTGCCAACAAGCAGAGCGGCATGTCCGACACGAGGGCCAGGACCTTCTGAGACTGTCGCAATTGGGTAGCAGGAAAGATTCCCACCGCCGGATTCCAACATCCAGAGGTCCCCTCGGACCATGGACCCATTGATCAATCCTCCCATGATGTAAATGTCACCATCTTTTGAACCGGTTGCGTTGACGGCAGCGCCATAGCGAGGGAATGGATTCGACTGCGGAGTGGGGAAGTTCAGCCGCCGTTGCGACCAAGGATATAGAGCAGCATTGGGAACTTGGGTCAACTGGCTTCCGGGAGCGCTCGGCGGGCGCGTCTACGACACAATTAGTGTGGACATTGGTGAACAGGGAGAACGATTATACCCCAGTCTCTGATTCTGACCTGTCGCGGCGAGGATATGCAGGACCCCCAGTGGCGAGATTCGAGTTCATTGAGCTTATTGAGCCATTCGGGCCGGTATTTGAAGGAGGAGGAGGAGATTGTGTTGGACGTTCTAAGGCCTTTTCTATTCCCTCATTCTCTGCTGCCGGGGCGGAAGTACCATCGGAGGTATGAATCTTTCGACTTGCAGCAGGAAGGCCCGAGGGAGGAGGCGCGTTCTTCTTGGATTTGAAAAGGAACGCCATGGTTCGCGACTTCCGTATTCACCAAAGATCGGAGCTGTCTCACACGATGCACCGTAGAGCATTCATGCGACAGAGGACTCGAGGACAAAATATAATCCGGTCTTGAAGAAGGGTGCGGGTTGCGCAAGGCTCGTCTCCGGCTAACCATGCAGCCTCGTTTAAGCACAATTCATTGTCGTCCAGCTCGACAGGAGAAGAGGGAGGACAGAAGTCGTGGTCGAAAGCCCACAGGTAGGAAATTCGGGAGGTTGTACTGGAAGATGGCCGATGCGCATGCAGCTATGATGTCCCAACGCGACGAGGTCGGCGCGGCGTGTGGTTGTTGGACCAAGGAGAGTCTGTGCGTAGGTGACGCTTGCTAGAGGCTGGGACTGGATGGACGCGACGAGAAAGTAGGAGATCCGAAGAGACCGGGAGTCGACAATGAATTGAGGATGACCACACCTGGTAGCGAATGATTGATTGAATAGGTGGTGTCTTGGGATAGGAGAAATTATTCTGACTACGGAATTGCCCTGCAAGGCCTGGCTGGCTTGGTGGTGAGTGAACTCGCAGCGCAGTCTGTCGGAAATGCGAGAATGGAGAACTTCTTCCAGGATCCTGGGCTGTTTCAGACTCTCTATTCTGGTTTAGCCGGCGACGCTTATTTGAATCACCTGGCACAAGCAAGCAATAAGCGCCCCTCCAGGCCCTCAGTGGCCCTCCCAGTTCTGCCCCCGTCCGGCTTCCGGGCAGCCTATGAAAAGGCGAAAATGCTGATCAGGCTGCCCGTAAATTGACATCCGTTCCCCTGAATTAGGGTTTGAAGATCTTCGTCACGAATGCCCGGTTTTCCTGCTGTCAACGTCTGCCAACTGTACTTTGTAGAACACAACATCTCTTGCCGGTGAGAACAAAGTTGGCCTTCACGTGCGCATGCCTCACTGTAATCGCATCGGTCACGATCCAGACATAATCTCCTCGGATCTAGGATACGCTCGCCGGATAAACGCCATTGACGTTGACCAAAGGTAGCCTTGCCTTCAAGTGAACCACGTGATTCACCAGCTTATCATCCCTACAAGCCGCTATCAGCTCATCATTGGGTACTTCGTACTTCCTTCAAACGAACAATAAAACATCTTATCACGTACAGGTCCTTACGCCTTGTCAGCTTTCAGGCAACTGAGCGAAACGGTAGTACTCGAGCCGTGTGGCATATTATTAGAGATCCTGAAACCCGCAACATCCTCCCTCCGGCAGTATCTGGCACTGATTGGCGACGTATTACGAGCAGAGAGCGAGAGTCCAAGGCGACATCCTTCCTGGTCAGCACTGTGTCCATTCTGTCCGATCGCGAGTAAGCCAGAGGCAGACGCATACTACGTACATGACAAGTTTCGCAAAACAGTAAGCCAATCCATCGGGCCGAGGGGGTGTGAGGATCCCATTCGAGCGCAAGCATCTTTTCGGCAACGAACCATTTCAACCTACGAGTACCTCGACACAGTGTAAGAAGCGAGACCTGCGTTCTGGACCTTGCCATATTGGCCATACCGAAAAGCCACCAGGGCAAACCCAGGTTCAGCCTTGTCCCAACAGTCAACATCTCATCATGTCTTCCGATTCCGCACCAGATATACACGATGGCGATCTCAAAGCCTTTATCCATGGCATGCCCAAATGCGAACTCCATGTCCATCTAGAAGGTTGCCTCACACCTAGCCTCGCCCGCCAGCTGGCGGAGCGGAACAACGTCCCTCTCCCACCATCCCTGTCATCTCTCGATCCCTCCCAGACAGGCTATTCTTTCCACGACCTCACCTCATTTCTGGCCGTCTACTACCCTAACCTCGCCGTTCTTCAGACTGAGCACGACTTCCGCGACTTGGCCTTGGACTACCTCAGCCGCGCCCATGCTCAGAACGTCAAACATGTCGAACTCTTCTTCGACCCTCAAGCCCACACTTCCCGTGGCGTTCCATTTCCGACCGTCATCCGTGGTTACCGATTGGGCCTTCTGATGGCACAACGTACGTTTGGTATCTCGGCGAGCCTAATTTTGTGCTTCCTCCGCGATCAATCCCCCGAGTACGCTATGGCCACACTCATGGAAGCTCTGCCCTTCAAAGACGCCATCATTGGCGTCGGCCTGGACTCCGACGAACGTGACAACCCACCGTCCAAATTCGGCGCTGTCTTCCAGCGCGCCAGCAAAGAGGGGTTTCTGCTCACGGCGCACGTAAGTTAAATTCTTTTCAACCCCGATAGCGCTTGCTTGCAACTGCTATCATCGTCTGGGGCCTGTTTTGGTGGAAGATAAGCCGATGCCTCCGTTAATGGTTCCAACATGCTAATACATTAAATGCTTGTAGTGCGACATTGACCAAGCCAACTCGATCACCCACATTCGCCAGTGCATCCACGAGATCCAAGTCGAAAGAATTGATCATGGGACTAATATTGTCGAAGACGAGTCTCTGATCTCGACCATCCTCGAACGCGGAATTGGCCTGACATGCTGCCCCGTATCTAACAGTGTGGTGACCGCCGACTTCAAAGGCGCAGAGATCGTGTCTCTCCTGCGGCGAGGCGTAAAAGTCACCATCAACGTAAGTCTCCCTGTCTTGAGATCGCCCGCGCCAATCACGCCCTGGTCTGTACTGCTTTCTGACGAAATTCTCAATATCCAGTCCGATGACCCAGCCTACTTCCGCGCATACGTCAACGAGAACCTCGAGAAGATGGCGCGCGAAACCGACCTGACACGAAGGGAGCTCATCCAACTACAACGCAACGCGTTTAATATCTCTTGGATCTCCTCGTGGCGGAGAAATCATTTTCTTGCGCTCTTGGATGAATACGAAGCTAAAACCATGCAAACACAGGTGCAAATGGTCAACGGCGCCTGAATTGCGATTGGAATCATGACAGGGGGAATCAACTGTTAACCCCCATGGTTGCGACATAGTCGACCCGCTTACTCTTTACTATTGCCTTCGAAAGCCACCTCATCAAAGAAAGTCGCCCGCAGCTGTACTATGGCTGCAACCTCAAGAATGAATTCTTGGAGTATGACAGCATTCGTCAAAATATGGCTGAGACTTGCTTGACTTCGAGTTCCTACACCATCCTGGCTGATCGGGGTAGCGCTTCCCGAATCTCGACTCTCCGCCAGCACCGAACGTAGTGCTGGAGCCTCCATGTCTGAGTTTTGCCTTCGACCTGCATGGACTGGTAGTGATAATGTAGCTTCGTTCGGGGTCTTCGGGTTGAAAAGGTCGACCTGAGTTCTGAGTAACGACGTTGTAGTGGGTGCCAGTGGCGGGTCCGTCTCGGGAAATTCCCATGATCCATCATCTTCGTTTGTCCGGAGTGACTGACGAAGGGGCGAGAGCCCGAGGGCACGTTCTGCTAGGTTCGCCCTGTGGCTTCCAGACGTCGAAATCGTATTGTCTATGGAGCCGAACTCGGCATTCGGGACTTGTCTGCCTCTCGGGGTCTTTGGCCTTGCTTGTGACACAGAGCGATTGCTGGATGGCGAATCACTTCTTGGTAATGGGTTAGAACCGGTTATTTGTCCTGGGGTCGACCTGAAGTTTGAAGGCCGGTCTGGCGCATCGTCTTCCGAGAGTTCCCTCCTCCGTCTGGCGACCAATACATCCCAATCGGGAAATTGTGATTTCCAATGACGCACTTGCTCCAGCAGTTCACTTAGGACGAATGTGATGTTGAAAGCTGAAAGCTCTTCCACGCCGCCTTCTTGAGCTGGAGGCAATATCCAGCGTTGCAAATTCATATGGTCGCAAGCAGTCAGAGCTACCAACGCTTCGGTGAGGTAGAGGTTCGTGACAGAATCGTTTGCAAAGAAGTTGCGCAATAGTTGTACCACCGCCTCAAACAACTTGCACTCTGATGCGATAGTCATGCTTCGCCCATTTGCCAGGTCATTGTCTACCACACCTGTCCTGAAGCAACTGTGCTGCTCAAGTAGGACCTGACCGTCCATCAATGAGGCTTGATAAGAGCCGTCCAAGTCAGTATCCCTGGCAATTGTTTCCGAGAACTCGAACAACTTGCAGAGGTAGCCGTTCAACTCACTGACTTCCCTCTGTTCCCGCCAGCTCGCTACCTCCTCAACTCGGAAGAGAATCCTGACCACATGGCAGTGATGCTTTTCAACGATCACTGATAGGAGCTTGAGACAGGCGTTGACAGTTTCTGAATGACTGGATTTCAAGCTCATCACCAGCAAATCCAGCAGATTGAAAAGGTTTGGCGAAGGACTATTAGAAATTTCGGCAAGGGCTTTCAACTGGTCAATGGATTTGCTCCGACTGACGGACATCCGCTGTCGTCGATGAGATTTCTCTCTGGTCACCCGAGGCGTATTGGGTGATGCCAGGAGATAGCCTAGCATTCGTTCGACCAACTGATAGTGATCAACAGCAAGTAGCATCAACGACAAATGAGTAATGACGGCTACCGTGGAGCCCCCTTCGACGTCTGATGACTCGAGTAGTGAGGGATACAGGAGCTGTTGCACGAATAACACCTGAAAATGGTCTAGCAAAGTATCGCTGACCTCGATGGACCTGCAGTGATTGAGGGTATCTTGCCAGAAAGCCAGGTAAGAAAAGAAAGCTTTCACACCCTGCTGGACGTCTCGCGGTGGATCAGCCAGCGACTCAACAGTGTCTGCATGGTCGGACAGACTGACAACCGCGAGTTTCGAAGAACGTCGACTCAGAGAGGTCGACTGTCTGCTCAATCTGCTGTATAGAGCACCCAGGCCACTAGCCATTTGAGGTGCCAGGTCGCTTTCGATCATCCACGTCTCCAATGGTTTAAACTTGGAAGCAGTCTCAGTCAGGTACAGCAGCGCCGTCCGAGCAAAATCGCCAACCGGGCCATCGTGATGGACATACTGCACCAGGACGAAAAACAACGGAAATTGACTCCTTCTAGTTTCGTCATTACCATTCCGGCCACGCGTTGTTTCTCGGTCTGGATGGAACCATGCAGGAAGAATGTCTGGTTCCAGTCGGATCTTTGTAGCAATCTCAAACAGCAACTCGACCAGATCGGTCTCCAACCGTTCTTCCACAATCACTTGTCCTCCTATTGTAGCGTAGCAAACAAGGTCCAGTAAAGACCTCGTGAACAGCTTGCTGTCCAGTAGCCCGTCGGCCTCGCCATTGATAAGGATATGGTACAGCTGAGCGGAGATGTTGATGATTTCGGTATTGCGAGAGGAGACGGCTAGCTTCGTGACGATGATATACGTCTGACTCGACGCGACATAGCGAAGGCAAGAATGCGGCGCGGCTCGGCGTGACTCGTCGTGAAGGATGTTCTCGAGTCGTTGAAGGAGTTTCGTGGTATAACTCAAAGCGGCTTCGTCCTCGCGCTCAACCGCACCACCTCGCCATGTTTGCTGGGATGGTCAGCTGCGATGCAAGTGTGTCAGGTGCAGACCTACAGTGAGAGCATTACAAATACTCTTGCACGTAGCAAGGCGCTCAGCAGGTGTGTTGGTCTTCTGTTTGGTGGGTGACGTGCCGGAGCCTGCGATCAGGCGCGTGAGCTGCCGGTCGCGTGGAGTTAGACTCGATCAACCTCGTACAGCATTCGACTGGTTCTGTTGAGGAGACTCACAATATCCATGTCCTGTGACTCATATTGCAGGGCAATATACTGCAGATCTATGGATGCTGGGTCACTGCAAGGATGGGATGGAGGGTGTCTTGCGACTACGGATTTTCGGGGCCTTCGGAGGACGTCAAGACTGGTCAGTTGGGTATCGCAGCTTCTATGTTTCAGGAATCAAGGTAAATGGCCGGGCAGCCTATTTTGCAGTCACAAGCATCATATCTCTACAATCTCTAAAAGGTTTGCGAATCCGAAGTTCGCGTTCAAGTTGTTTCCACTGTGGTAGCTGGCAAGTTGCCATCGTTCTTCACGTCAGCCTTGCCGAAGCGAGAGCCTCGTACTTTGACTCGAACGTCGAAGGCCATATGTTTCCTGCAACGATGCCAGCCCGACAAGCCGCGACCGCAGATTTAGAAGCAGCTGCTGGTGCTACACTTGCAATTCGCAGGGACCAAACGAATAGTGGCTACGACGACCAGCAGTCCACCACAGAACCGTGTCCTGACGAAAAGCATATGAACAGGACAACGACAGGGCCGTATTCCGAGCACGGCCATTCACTCTCTCACATACGTCCAATGGCCAAACATAGCGGGTCGTCCATTTCGGCGTTCTTCAATGGCTTGTTCCAAACCATTATCGCTGTCAGTACCTTGGGAACAAGCATAACATTCTCCTACGTCTTGTCCAATGACATCTCTATGCCTTCCTCGAGACCCCCGACATTTGCTCAGCAGCAGATTAGAGAGTTTCTCGCCATCAGCTGGCTCCTCTTTCTGCTCGCCCTGGCGTTTGCATCACTAGGCTCGACATTCTTAACATTCTTCAAAAATCACTGGATCGCAGACTGGAATGGGACGAACGGCAAGACTTCGCAGTGGACAATTCAGATGTATGCGGTAGTTGCCAGCGGCCTTCTTGGTGGCTTGACGATTGGTGCATTTGCCCTTTTGTGTTTAGTTGTGGTGGCATTTTCTGCAATGGTGGGATGGGTGGCTCTGGGATTTACAGCTTTCTTTGGTTTGGTCATTCTTTTTGCCGTGGTGCATCAAGTACCATGGCCTTGGAGGGACAACACACCATCACCACCGACCAGACACCATTCTGGTTGAGAATCAGGCGCGTCCTGGTAGTGGTGGGTTCTGGAAGGAAGTCTCTGTCGACTGCCTGCTTAATGATAACAGACAGTTGATGTAAATCGAGGGTCGGAATCAAAAGCCCTTCGCGAACCTTGGCGGCACTCGTGGTTTTCTCAAACGGATAGATGCTGGAGGTTTGCAAGATCTGCGCATGCCTGTTACACAGCCTTGCGCAAATGGAGTTTTTGTCATGGGCTGTCTCCGCGACAGCGTCGAAATGTAAGCACTCGGAATGCACGTGCCAGAAAATCAATCAGAATCATCGTCACTTTCAGCTTTCCTCTTCTTGCCGCCCCTTCCCTTCTTTTTGGGTCCAATGTCCTCATCACTTTCTTCGCTCTTTGCCTCCGACTTAGCTCTGCCTTTCTTGGATCCTTCATCAGGCACACTTTCACAGATTTCAGTCAGAAAATCAAATTGGCCGTCTTTCATCAAAGCAGCCTTGAGATGCTGTGCTGTAACACGTTTCGAATTGTTGGCTCTGGCTTCGGTTGCTCCCTTGGTCACCAAAGAGATCATAAACAGCTCCAGTGCTTTGGCTAGGTGACGTCAGCATATGCTTCATGATACATGCCGGCGAATACTTACAAACAGCGGTAGGAGTCGCTTGAGCCACCTTTCCTACATCTTCATCTGCTTGCATGATACGTTTGATCCGTGCAACTGGAAACTTTGTTCTCAGATCGAGTCCGTGGGAGGGGTCTGTTGTGGCTATGGGCATGACTGGCTGGACGGCAGTAGCTTGTTCGGTTTTGATAGGTATTCCAATTGTAGGCCCATTCGGATTGTAATCGGGATCAAAATCAACTTCGGCTTTTGCCCGCCGAGTTCGAGGCATGTCGTCGTATTGTTGACCCGAAGACTGAGGATAAGAGGCAAAGTGTTGAACAGGTGGTTGAACAGCGTAGTTTGGATCAAATGGCTGGTGAGTCTGAGGTTGCGGATAATATGAAGAGTGAGAATAATTGTCGTAAGAATTTGGCAGGGGTTGAGAGTGGCTTGATGGAGAAGCTTGAGTGGGTATACTCGGAGCTCGGAATACCTGTGGTGGATAAGGTTGAGCGAAGGGCGACTGAGATGGTCGAGCACCGAAATAGGATGTCGAAGGCGTGGTGTTCTGTGGCGAGAAGAAAGGCGATGCGTCGTAGGAGCCTCGGGCTGAAACCGGATAGCCTGGAGGCACAGTTGGTTCTGGCTGATACGAGGGAATGCGAGCGAGTCTGGGCGGGTTGAAGCCTGATAAGTCGGGGGATTTAGGCCGGTAGTTAGTGCTGTGGTCTTTACTCATTGCTTGGAAATAGTGCAGGGTTGTTGGGATGGCTTTTGTTCTGAATTCTGGATGTTGTGATGGATGCGATCGGAATGCGTGGTCGGAGACATTTTGAACACGACAGCAACAGCCTTAAAAAGCCTCTGTTTGCACTGCGACTGCCTTCATGATTGTTGGCGGAAGGTGCAGGTGCAGGTTCTTTGTGATGCCAGATGGTCACGTGGACAGGGCAGCGAACAGATATCGATGCGATGCGATGCGATGCGCTAAACTGCGTCACAGCACATAGCACATACTGTAGTCTGTAGTAGTAGAGAAAAACAGGGTGAGGGGCACTCGTACTCTAGCACGCGCACAAACGAGGGAACACGCTGCCTTTAATAACCTTCGAACCAGGAATTCGGTTGTTGGATCATCCGCACTAAAATCAAGCCACACCCGATTTGCATTCTGACCAGCCAGCGCTCGACAAATAGGCCATGAATAGGCCTATTTGACGGGGTGGGATGGCCCCGAAACGCGTACTTCAAATTTCCACCCACTCACCATTCACAATTCATATCTGCCATCTTTCATAATACTCGTATCCTCGTACTTGCCAGGTCGATTTTTCAGTCATTAGCCTTGTCTTCCATCTGCGCGCTCGCATCATTCAACCTTCACCATCGCGCTCTTTATGTAATGCTCGATTGATGATTGATGATTAATGGTGACGATGAAATATGTTGTACATCAGTCCAGCCTGATTTTGCAGAAACCACAACCCATGCCCCCTACGCCGCGGGGCGCCATCATAAAGTGACGGCCTCATCGAATTTCTATCCGCAACTTCTCGGCCTGACATTATGGCCTCCTTGAAGCCAAGTGATGACAGAGCAAGCTGGAGATGACTTCCTGGGACAATATCGCGACGCGACAGCCCAGTATCTTCGATACTGTGATCGTCGTTCGTTCCGCAGCCGGGAAGTCATCAATGAAAGCCCTTTAAACTTGATCTAATCTGATGGCTATCATAATTTTGATGGAGTACTAACTCTTCAACCTCTCTATACTCGAGGCCAGACTCGATGACATGACAAAATCAGTCATGATATCCAGACCTTGCAGTCTCTCCTCCCGACTTTCACCCAGAAACAAATTCACCACCGGCCAGGCATGAATACCTGCTTCAAGCTCCGAGGCCTTCACCACAGCTCCGTTGTCTTTCATGTGATGGACCATGTCCTGAATGCCAGGACCAAACACCTCCTCCGCGCCATATATGATGCGATAACCATTGAGCGGCGATGCCTGTTTCCAACGTCCAGTGTTCAACCCTGGTGTTATTACACTGTCTGATGTGCATGCCTCTCCTGCATACTGTCTTGCATACATGTGCAGGCTGTTCTTGTCCAGATAGTCGCTTCGTGTGTTCCGATTCAAGTCTGACACCAGGTGTGTCCAAGGGGACAAGAGTATGGCGAGTCCTGGCCGATGCAGCGATTGAAATTGAGGATCTTGTTCCAGATGCCCAGGTTGCAATAACATGCTCAGAATGAGCGTGGCTCCAGCAGAGTCCCCACTCACGCAAATCTTTGCTGCCGAATCATCCCCGAATGTTTCTCGCAAGAACGTGTACCCAGCACGAGTCTCATTATATTGAGTCGGCCACTGAGCATCCGGAACGAGCGTATATTCCAATGCGAACACCGCAGGGTTCTTGAACCCTCTCTCCTTCAGCCGCGTTGCCCAGGCCATCAGAAACTCCATATAAAAGTACGCCGAGCCCATGGAGAATCCGCCACCTGCAAGTGTCATTCACTCAGTCTGATCGGCATGCGCGTGGATGCTACTCACCATGGGCATAATAAATGATAACGTCAGGGTCAGTGTTGGGATCGTCGACAATCCAGAGTCCTCTGGCACCATACCTGGCGATTTCTCGGTAGAATGTAGGACAATGCAGGTAACCATGTCGCAAGAGACGGAACCGAAAGAACGGATAGGCCACCTGTTTAGAGAAAAATACCCTTCCTACGCTGGCTGGGATATAAGCGAAGGCGTACCGAACACAACGGATGACCACATCCTGGAAGAGGCTGGCATGCTGTGTGAACGGCGACTGCTTCTCATGCTTGGTAAAGTATCGCTCGTGAAAGAGTTGATATGGCAGTTGGAAGACTGCGCCACAGGTGAGTACTCTGATGACCACGGTAAGCTGTCGCCATACCTAGAAATGGGATGACTTTTAGGAGCACAAAGAAGAGTTCAGACAAGTCCACCTGGTAAATCAACTGAGGAACCAAGAAGACCACAAAGGCCAGGCAGTCGACTCCATTTATTGGACCGAGTATCATCGCTCTCTGGCTTGTATTTTGGATTCAATCATCGAGTATTATATGATCATATAAGGCAGCGATAATTGGAACAGCGGTAGACAAAGCACCGCAAGAGACACGTGGATAGAAGCAGGAACTCCCCTGGCCCTCAAGAACGACAGAACTAAATAAGAGTCTATTTATTTTGATATTTTTTCAAATGATGAACAGCGACTTGGTGATCTCATCACCGCTTTGGATGTACACAGTACTCGCATGTTGCGAAGTTGACTAGGCCAAATAAGAACTAGCCTGCGAGACGAAATGTTGGAGATCTCGGCGACTAAATTACCATAGTAAGGCTGGGCTGGGCCTCGCGCTGTAAAAGAAAGGCCTTTTGCAAACTGCGCTTTCCATCGGGATGCACTGCGACGAATCCTTCTATAACTGTTAACATGCCAACACCGTTTCTTGCTATCTGATTGTCGAACCCTTTCTTACATCTTCCATGGCAACAGTTAATGTTGTGCTGAATGTCGGGTAATGGCGTTTGATCACGAACACCCTGCTTTCGTTTCTACCAGATCCCTCGACACTCGGTTTTCTTCGACCAACAAACCTGTACCATTCGGCCACATTTCGAAATGGCTTCGGTAACCTTAGACGCATCTTTGGTCGAGCTCGCCAAGTAGGTCCTTCTGGAGTCTTGATCTTCGACTATTCAGTTGGCTAATAATTATAGTTCCCTGCTTTTGGAAAAAGTGCCAGAGAAACTTCACTGCGCTGCCTGTCACAATTTCAACATAAACGCTTACAAAGCATCATGTTGTGACGAGTCCATCTGCGAGTCATGTTAGTTGTTCTCTACACGTTCCAATGAGGATCTAATCCGAGACGGCAGGTTTCATTCGGGCTTGCGACACCAGCTGTCCAAAATGCGATCATAAACCCTTCACTACCGACACCTGTAAACCACATAGACCGATGCGGAACACGGTCAAGTCCTGGTTGAAAACGCAGGAGAAGATCAAATCAGACGAGCAAGCCAAGGCCGTTACAACAGATGAAGTTCCTCCCACAGATATGGTACAGGAGAGCGTGAATGGGGAAGGTCAAGAGGAAGAAACGACAGCTGAAGCCAACATTGAGCAAGCCGTGGATGAAGACGAAAGGATCACTGCTGGTGATGTACAGCCTTCAATAGAGGTAAATTCAGTCTTAGCTGCACTTGGGTTGCCCGTCACCGTATCTGACTATGCTCTAGGACCACGACATTGAAGAAGCAGCCGAACATCTGGACGATGACATCGAAATCCACGTCGATCTAGATGATGACCATCGAGAAATACCCCTACAGCCAGTAAAGAGTGGTGAAGTCACTCCCATTGATCAATCCGCTCCTCCCTCTGGACCAAAAGCGCAAGCACGCGACCAGTCCAGCTCGGCCTTCGGCGGCATGGGCGGCATGGACTTTTCGCACACGACGAATGGATTCAACAACATGGACATGAATCAAATGATGCAGATGATGGCGGCCAACGGAATGGGTGGTTTCAATCCAATGATGGGTGAGTAAATCAGGAAACAATCTTTGAGGACCTGTCCTGACAACAATAGGAATGCCTATGGGTGTGAATTCAATGTCAACCGGCATGTTTGGCGGGTTTGGGGTTTCAAATGGTGGCATGACTGGAATGAATGCTATGAACATGGGAATGAATTTCAATCCAAACCAAGGCATGCTCTGGAATAACCAAAACAGTATGTGGCAGAATAATAATGCAAATGCATTCCCGAATGCCATGGGCGGTGACTTTGGTTCCAACTATGGTTTCAATACTGGCAACTTCCAACAAGCAAACTCCAATGGTGATTTCCAAAGTGGTTACTATGGTCGTGGTTACGGCCGTGGCCGTGGCCGCGGCCGCGGTGGTTATGGTAGAGGTCGTGGTAATTTCCAGCAACATTCTCAATATCACCAGCAGGGATACTACAACGGACCGGAACAGCAGAATTTGCGACCTCAAACGGGCGAAGGTCGTCCCAACGGCACGATGAGCGAACAGAAAGCGTTCAGCGTGACCGAGGACACGACACACGACGATGACGAATTCGCGCCTGGTGGTCAAGAAGAGGTCCAAGAAGCGCTTGGGGATGACTATCAGAAGACTGTAGTCGAGGACAAGAAAGCTGCGGATGAGGCTGCAGCCACGGCTGACAACGTCTCGGTAGGCAATGAGCCTGACGAGAAGAACGAAGACGGGGACGAAGCTCAAGTTGAGAAATTCGCACAGATTGAGTCGATTGTGCTGACGACCGAGACTGATCGAGACTTGAATGGTGTTGACCAGGCCAGGCAGGTGCCCGAAGCATACGGTGAAGATCTCAACGGGCCCATGCCGCCGCCGTCTGCACCATTAGGCCCATCGGCGCAATATGGCGGTCGAGGCCATGGTAGATTTTCATCCCGTGGACGTGGATCAATTTCCATGCCGAACGGTCATCTCGCTTCATCTGTAAAGCCATTCACACCACCTGTTGAGCCAAAAGGGGTGGGTGTTGTAGGTGCGCCAACTGGTCCTAGAGCGATGCGTGAGCCTCCTGCGGCCCCGGCACCTCCTTCAAGACCAGAATCCCGCGCCTCGGGGACTGGCTTCCAGATTATGGGCAGAGCGTCGATGACACAAGCTCGGCGATCAGAATCCCGTGACGGTGAGACCGTCCCAAATCGAGACGCAGACGTTGCAGATGGTGATCGGTCGAGGAGACAGTCGAGACAAGACAGCTATGCCAACTCCAGGCAGGAAAATGACGAGCAAGAATACTACGATGCTCGCGACAACGACAAAAGATATCGGAAAACAAAACGCACAACATACGACGAATATGATGGAGACGAGCAAGAACCCTCGCGATCTGACTCGGCTGACCGAAAAGCATCGCATCGAAGTCGAGGCGACAAAGACAAGTCGTCGAAATATAGATCGTCGCGATCCAAGCGTTATGAAGAAGCGGATGCCAATGGCGACCACGAAATGGAAGATCATGATGACTCGACTCGATCGGCTCGAGATGATTATTATGCTGAAAGCAGGAGCAAGCATCGAAGCAGCAAGTCATCAAAACATGATGACCGGGAGCGGGAGCGGGACCGAGACCGAGACCGACGCGACAAAGATCGAGACCGGGACGACAAGTCTCGTGATCGAGACAGAGACAAGGATCGCGACCGCAAACGTTCCCGCCACGATCGCCATCGCGACGAGGGCAAGGACTACAACTACGATTATGATTACGAGCACGAAGACCCGGAGCAAGAATCCCGTCACCGCTCAAGACGACACAAGAAAGATCATCGTCGCGACACAGAGGATGGTAGTGCAGCGGCTTCCAACACGAACGAGCGGACGTCACATCGACCGAGCGCGTCCACAACGCCGGCGGCCACAGCGCGAGCCAGCAACGCGGAGGCGGAGAAAGACCCGCATACGCTCGAGCGCGAGGCGAGGAATCGCGAACGAATGCTCAAGGAGCAGCAGCGGCGAGAGAACGCTGCCAAGGGCGGCGGATCAGCGAGGCGGGTCACGTACAAGTATGAAGATGAGTTGGAGAGAGGATTGGTGGAGGGCGAGAGGGCAAGTGCGAGATGGAGATAGCGCTTGCATCGTCGTACTATGTCTCCTCCTTGGGATTCGGCGCTGCGTTACAGTCACCGTTGCTGATTCTACGGTGGTCTCGTATTCTGCGCAGTTTGCTGTACTGGAATGGATGGGTCGGATGACTTTTTGGCTTGTGATGTTGATACCGATTCCATCATTGCTGGGAAAGTTGGCGTTTGCTCTACTTGCAAAACCTTGAAGGACTGGAAGCGAAATCGCATTTGCCTGTACTTGACTTGGTCCTTGCTTGAGCGATGCTGAGAATTGTACTGAAGAAACGACTTGTTTTCATTACCTAGGTGCTGGAGAAAGACTACCTACTTAAAGGGACAACGAGGGAACTGGACTGAAAAGGGAAAAGGGAAAAGGGAAAAGAGAAAAGAGAAAAAGAACTGTTACTGAACGAGCTCGGTGGAAAAGTAGAATTGTGACGTCGTTGGGAGGAGCACGGAGTGTCTTGATTGTCGTCGCCGCTCGAGACCAGCAGCTGCGAGAGGTTCTTGTTCAAATATATCTCTAATCACATCGGACATTAAAATGGTCGCTTCTTGGGCTTCGGTATTCTACGTACCTACGTATGCTTCTAGGCAAGGCGTTTCCTGTCGATTCTAGGGCTTGATCGGGCAATTCTCACCGTATCGACTAGGTAGATAGTACGTCTGACCTTCGCTTCCCCGGAGTAAGAAAGAGCTTTAAGAGTCGATATGACACCACGCTTGGGAGAAGCGACTTCAGTTCGCCACGCACCACCATGACGATGCAGCTAAGTAAGGAATCTCACTGTTTTGCTCATAGCAATATTATACTTGAGACCCCCCCTCCGCTGCCCACTGAATCAACTCAGCTACTGTAGAGGGCAGCCTCGTCTAGTTATGCTCCGGTTCCTCCCTTTAAGACCAAGTCTAGTACAGAGACACCAGGACCGCAACAACGCCCAAGGTAGCCATTACAAGTGCGCCCCTTCTCACGTTCTCAGCACCGCTACTCGCCGTCTCTGACGTCACCGCTCCCGTCGTGGTCGTCGTAGCAGCGTCGGTCATACTTGCGCTCGAGCCCGCCGTCGAAGTCGCATCCGCTTGCACTACACTCGTACCTGTGGTCGCCGCGGCCGATTCAGTTGAGGTTGTGGCTGATGAGGCCGTCAGAGTCACCGCTCCCGTCGCCGTCACCAGTGCCGAGTAAACAGTATCGCCGCCGTCGTTGGCGTGGTTCGTGTACGAGTTCCCTGTGTCCAGGCCGTTTGTGGAGGAGTAGTCCACACCCGCACAGTCGGCGCGCCATGAGCCTAGAGTGGTGCCTTCCTCGACGTAGAAGCAGTTGCCCACCGGGATGAGGAGGCCGGAAAGAGAGGATTGGGCGGGATCGCATGAGGTGGAGAGGTAAGTTCGCACTGTGAGGAGACGTTTAGTTATTTTGACACCGTGGTTGATATAACTGCATCGAGATAGCTAGGGAGCTGCTGGAGCTTGATAGGGCGTGGAAGGCGGGCGGTGTGATGAGAAGGCTCGATGGTGGAGAGGAGGAGATCGGTGACCAAGAAGGAAGAGCGGATGATGAACAGGGGCAGAAAGATAGTGATCATACAGCTCCGCAACCAGGCAGATGGGATGGACAGCAGAGGACACCAGCTCAGACCATGAAGACCATCGAGCTGAACCTGCTTGGAGGTGGAGGGATGATGGGAGAATGGTGAAGATGATGGACGCAGATTTCAGGTGCTTGGGATGTGGAGGTCTGTTTGGGAAGGCTTTAAAGTCTGATGTGCATTGGCTCTCAAGGATATAGAATGGAGGAGCCAGAGGAGAGGTGCCTAGCGGTGCTCACATTCATCGAGTCGGAGCACGCGTAGCTTCCAATGTTGGATTTTGAGCGAGAAATTGCAACGGCAAAAGAAAAGAATACTTACATGTACAACCATCGTCGATCTGATGCACATATAGCGCGACCGTGCCATTAGGCAGCTGATGACATGAAGTATCTGCCTGTAGAGCATTCGGGTCATCGTATGACTGAAATGATGTGCCCGCGTTGCATGAACTGTGCTCGAAGAAACTGAGTTGTGTGGCTGCGTGAGCAAGTTGAGGCGCGAGCAGGATGGCGAGCAGCGAGACTAGTGTTTTCGAATTGCTCGTTTGAGGCCGTGACCTGGAATATTGTGGTGAAGACATTGTTAGGTATTGAGCTGGTGATGGGAAATTCCTGGTGTCGAAGGGGCTTCAACACTAGTCAGTAGCGACTTCTGTGCGTAGATTTTGAAATGATACACGATCTGGCAAGTGGGAGGACAGAAGACGATCGATGATGCTACCGTCTGTGCAATGCTGAGTATCTTCTCGCGTGTCGCGTTGCTAGAGATGATCGTTCAAGAGGTAGTCTGGTGTTGCAGACGCACAGGCCGGAGGTTCGTAAATTGGGCAATGTGCCAACTGAGAATGACAGCAGTCAAGCCAACTGAGCTCTTTCGCTCTTCTGGCACTCAACATCAATTTTCCGAATTCTTCTGAACTGCTTTATCATTCATTACTCCCTCTTCGAATTCGAATTTTGAACTTTCCCTTGCCAGCCTTGCAGATATGCCGCTAACGAAATCATGGTCAATCCTCAAAACTTCATCTTCTCCGGGATTTCGTCCACATGGCCACAAATTCAATCTTATCCTTGACTCCCAGTCCCACCCGCTTGACCCGGCCAAGTCTAGCCAATGCCTCGGCAATCTTGTCTAGAAATGCTCTTTCTTCCTTGGTGATGGGACCTTCTGAATCTTCACTGCCGACAAGGGTGTCCGCATCACTTGCCGCACTGTCTGAAGCTAAAGAATCCAGATAATTCGTGGTATATGATGAAACCTTTGCGACTGCTGGTTCCGGGCTCCTTTTGGATGTATTGTACACAGCCTCGGCAATTCGTATGCGTATGCAGTGGCTTGGTTTACTGCAGAGGTTCCACAAAAAGGTGAAATATGCGTGTGGAATAGGCGTCGTAACGTCCGCTGGAGTATATCTTAAGCTGACAGGAAAGACCTTGGTTCTTGGCGGTGTCGTCAGAAGACTCGGACTCATGGGCAAGATGCCTCTTCCGTTGGAAGTGGTACATTCGGGAAAGACCACGAGAATGCTGTTGGGGTTCTTTTTGAGCAATGTCTCAATGTCGACCAATTTCGCCTTCTCGGGCGGATTCACTTTTGGATGTGTGAGAGACCGGCAGACGGCGGTGAAGAGAGATATCGGCTCAACAAGCCTGGTGGTTGGATAACTCGCAGCGTAAATTGGATCGAATATGGCAGCCAAATATAGAGCATCGATAGGCGAGGCACAAGAAGAGGCTATAACTGAGCCAGCTTGAGGTATTCTGGCGCTATTCTTTGCCAACGATCTGTGGTATATCAGCACGTGCCTTTGAATATGTTCAGCTCTTCGTGCATACCCTTTCTTCACACCGTCAATTTGCAGATCGATCCACCATATCCCAGGTATGCCTAATATACACCATAACGACGCTTTTCTTCCGAGAACACCGATAGGCATCCATTGTAGAACCAGGAAATATGACAGTGCGAACATAAGGAGTAGTGGTACACGGCAGACGAATAGGAAGGTATGAAATGGCAGAGCGATCCCGGCCGACTCGTGAGGGATAGGAAGAAATGGAGCAATACCGGAGCCTATATGATCGGGTCAGCCTATCTGCGTATGGTCTGATGCTCGCTTGTAGCGAAATACCTTTGTCACGAAACTGCGAAAACTTCTCCATGGTGGGCCGGTGAGTGGTACCGCAGTAAGGTCGCAAAGACAGAGACTCGGTGTCAGATATGGTAAAGTCGAGGTGGAAATCAGTGCATGACGGCAACAACAGTCGTTATATCAGGCCGAAAAGTCATTTGCTCAATCACTCTGAGTGGACAAAGGAATCAGCGCAGGCGAGCTACCGGTACATCGTAAGAGTATTCGCAGTTGGGTAAATGGCCAGAGTTGGAGAACAATCGCGTGTTACAGTGGCGGATCTAAGATTCATTAGGTATGGTCCACGAATGCTTTTTTGGAGGACTCCATCCAGAGACCTCGCTGGGGGTTCGATGGCTGCTTCACGAGTGGAAGAGAAGTGCTTCTGCCGAGAAGAAGAGAAGGAAAGATTTTCACATGCTCACGACTTTCATGACGGCATCGTTTGGGCTGACTAGGCCTTTCTACCTAATAGCCTTGGCACTGACCATGCTCGCCTTCCATCTCGATAGGTAAGAAATTCACGGTCCTCCCTCGTCTACCGTGGTACGAGTACTGTGGCAGCATGTGATGGCATGAGGCTCTCGATCTTTCGAGCTTGGCGGGTAACGAATTATACCTCCATGTAAGGAACGAAAGACCAAGACCAGCGGCACTTCCGGAAGCACGAAAGAAGTGAATGTGCAAGGGTGATGGGTCTGTTAAAAGCCCTTGTTTCCTGGTCGTATCATGCAACCACCAACAGACGCCAGGGTCAACATGATCAGGGAATTGTTCCTGTTGGCCCACTGCTTCCAACGCCTTGCGAGCCTTGCATGACCACGTATCTAGCCTGATGTTGGCATGTGAAGAACGCTCAACAGGGGGGCTCACGCTACCCGCAATTCGAGCGGTGTTATTCACCTTCGCTCAACCCCTCCTTACAGTCACCACAGTGTATTGAATCGTTTGCAGAGGAAGTCACTTTCTAATGGCAATCTCGAAGCGGCCATGGCAAGTGTGCAGCATGGATATCTCCGTAAGTTCAAACCAACTGGAGCGAAGATGTGAATATGCTACCCAGGCAGTGTCTTTCATTCACTCGAATTGCTCTTTGAGTCTGCCAGGTTCTAGCCCTCTGCTACTCTTTCCAACAGATCCTTCCCACGAGCATCCGCGCACGCAGAGTCAGTGGAGACGACGTCCCACAAACCAGATCTCAAGCATTACGAAGCACAAAGCAGCTTCGCACGGATCTATGAAGAACCCACCGGGAACCAGATTCCAAGGACCTCCAACAAAGAAACCGGAGATTACATCAGCATTATTGATCTCCAGTAAGGATGGGTAAGACACCCTTCAAGCTCTTCGTCACAAGAAGCCCCGATTCTGACAGAAGAAGGCGACAACCACAATCAGCAACACTCGAAATCATCCCAGACCAAAGGCACGGGCCCGCCTTCGAAAAATGTATTGAAGCCGAAGACGAACAAGGAATTTTCGGCATGGGCAGAGTATATGGGCGAAGAGAAAGATGAAGACTTCATCAAATGGAAGAAGAATATGGTGGGCGATGGTCAAGATTCACAAAAGAAATGAATATGGGGGACAAATCATCGGAGCCGAAGCACCCAAGGACCAGAAATTGCATGGATTACATGGGGCTGGATATCTTTTGGGAGCCCGTCAACCTCTTCAAGCACGTTTAGTATGGCTCAATGACAGGATTTTGGATCATCACAATCGAAGGACCTTCTCTCCTCCTCTGGCCCTGCGCCACACCAAATTTCCCGGTCATCCCTGGATACTCCTTGTCTTCAGGACTTAACACTACTTGCAAGGTAAACGTCATCCACATAACTCCATCCGTCGACTCTCTCGAAGAAGGCCATTTCTCTGTCGGCAACCCACATGGGTTTTGTGATGGCCGTATATGGGTCGTAATAAGACTTGGTGAGTTGATTTTTACGGAACCAGTCTTCATCTTTGGTCCAGGCTTCGACGAACCGAAACGTTCCGGGATTGCTTGGGTCATGGTAGACGTCGAAAAAGATACACTCGGGCTCCTTGAGGCATGCAGCCCAGCATGGTCGTAGAGCTTTGAGGAAGGGCTCGATGTTGGATGGATCGATGCGAATAGTGACATGCAGCGTCATTTGGGTCGTCTTGATCGAGGACATGATGCACGGTTTGCTGGTTGGATTTACCCCTTCTGAAAGAACAATCTTGATGGCGTAAGTGTGAAGTGAGCTACCCTGGTAGGTTCTTGTATTGCTTGCTAGAGGTACGGAAAGGTGTCATTTGCTTGTGCTTTTATATGTTCTAGGTAAAACGCATTCGCCAGGAATGGAAGCATCTGCCGCAGTCATAATGGCCATGATGATTGTCCTCCGCAGCAGCAACAGAGCTCGTCTTACTAATAGTTGTCGCGAGGACTGGCCGAAGTTGAGGGTTTCCCGTACCTCAAGTGGGCTTGATATTCGCGGTGACGAGTGACATGACACATGCATCAGCATTGGTTTGTAAGCTTCGGGATGGTTGGAAATACCTGGGTGAGGTCCAAGCTCGAGGTCTCCTTTCACATTAGGACATCCAAACGTCGTTTCCAAAAGGAACTCAACGTGTCATCATTGATCGGTGTTTCACTTCGACATTGTATACCCGTGTGCTAGATGGTGAAGGGATGGGTGTGGTCTGAGGATACTAGGATCAACTACTAATATCAACTACTAATATCAACTACTAATATCAACTACTCCGGTCAAACTGTTTCTCCTCCTCGTCACAAGGCGATGCGGAGTTTCACCATCGGCCAACCATCGGCCAACTGTCGACCACCTTCCTCATTCAGCATGGCATGCCTCCAGGACTCATCTTCATGTCGTGCTGGCTGGACTGAACTTCACTCATTATAGCGACTGTCGACGCCGGTCAAGGGCAGCCGCAAGTACAGAGAAAAGCCTAAACACCTTGTCAGAGAATACTTCTTCAATTTACCACTATGCCGGCCGAACTGAACGTTGCCGCCGTTAGGGCTCAGTTTCCCGCACTGGCACAGAAGCAAGTCTTCATGGACAACGCTGGAGGCGCACAGGTTCTTAAAACAGTCATAGATGCCATATCTAGCTACCTTTCCTCCACCAACGTTCAACTTGGCGCTTCGTATCCCATATCCCAGGAATCAACAAACAAGTTCAATGAAGGTCACATTGCGGGGGCAAAGTACATCAACGCCTCACCCAAGGAAGTTGTCTTTGGTCCCTCGACGACACAACTATTCCGAAATCTCTCAATTGCATTGAAGATCGAGTCTGGTTCGGAAATTATCCTCTCGAACCTTGACCATGAGGCCAATTTGGCGCCATGGGTCCAACTTGCTGAATGGAAAGGACTGACCGTCAAATGGTGGATTCCGACCAAGAACGCCAATTCGAACCCTAAGCTGGAGTCTGAAGATTTAAAGGCGTTGTTGACACCCAAAACGCGCCTGGTTTGCTGCACACATACCTCGAACATCTTGGGCACAATCACGGACGTTGCAGCGCTATCGAAGGTCATACATGAGACAAATCCAAATACTCTGTTCTGCGTCGATGCAGTCGCGTACGCTCCCCATGCGGCCATCGATGTTAAGGCGTTTGGCGTGGACTTCTACTCGTTTTCATGGTATAAAGTTTACGGGCCGCATATCTCAATGCTGTATGTCAGCGAGAAAGCACAGAAAGAATTGCAGAGTCTAGGGCACTACTTCAAACCTGGAGATACGTTGGAGGAAATGCTCGGCCTTGCTGCAGCGAATTATGAGTGTACCCAGGCTGTTCCAAGAGTTGTCGAGTACATTAATAAGATCGGCTGGGACGCAATAACCCAACAGGAGCAGGAGATCCAGGAGATATTACTCTCCTACCTAAGGTCGAAGCCGGATCAGATCAAGATCTACGGAGAGCCTTCGTCGGATAGAAAGCTCCGCGTGCCGGTTATCAGCTTCAAGGTGAAAGGGCAGAGTTCTCTAGGGATTATCGACGCGATTGAGGCCAGGTCCAACTTTGGCTGCCGGAATGGGCATTTTTATAGCAAGAGGCTTTGTGAGAGGGTCCTTGGTATCCCGGATGGAGATGACGGTGTGGTGAGGTGTTCGTTGTTGCATTATAACACCGCTGAAGAAGCAAAGGGCTTCGTCAAAGTGTTGGATGAAGTTATTGCCGAAGGGGCTGGAAAGGATGTTGATGATCCGGGAAGGAAAACCGTTGCCGACTGGTAGTGCGAGTCAGCTGCTGGGAGGATCTTTCGAATTTGAGCCTTGCTACTATTTCCCTTCTGAGACGTCTCGAGGCGTTGACGAACACTGCCACATTCAGTTGTTTGATCGATGAACAACGTGATAGGCATGTCTCAAGTGCAACAAAGAGCGTCACGAAGAGTTTCGGCCTTTCGTTGTTCTCTTGGTGCAGATTGCGACATATAGTTGCTGATAGAGATGAGAGCCAACTTGATGATGATACTGGCGACCATTTGAGCAGCATAACCCTCCTTTCTTAGATAAATCTTGAAAGAAGTTGTTGTCAAGAATGATGGTTCGTGGTTCGTGGTTCGTGGTTCGTGGTTCGTTATCGTGATCTTGACTCTTCGTGAGCCTTCTCGCCTTCTAGTGTCAGCCAACTCTGATTGGCCAAATTTCACACCAATGTTTATCGCTAACTCTTTCCGGTCGCTAACAACATCGTTCGCCAACAACCACCTCAACCAGCATCTTCACAAGATTGGAAACCACAAGTGAAGCGGCAATGGTGCTTAGATGTCGCTAAGCGGCTCCCCTTCATCAACAACAAGTCGACCTTTTCATCATGGCCGACACAGAGAATGTACGCTGACACCCCTAATCTCAGGCTCGCTCTGTTGACCATGAATTCGCAGTTTGTCTCTCAACTACCACAGCCCACTCGCTATGGGCAGCCATCGCCTCAAAAGCAGCTCACAGAGCTGAGTGCCTCAGCCAACAACTCACGCAGCGCTATGCCTCCTCCTGGTTTCACGAACCACAAACGACAAGGATCGAACTGTTCGTCTTGGTCCCTGGAAAGACAAGGAAAGATGCTGAATATGGACACAGTACCCGAACCAGCCTCGAAGAGAAAGACTCTCGCTGAACGCGCTGGCGAACCGATCAAAGCTACACCTGCTGCTCCGAGGTCCAATGCACCAGTCAACTCTGCTGTCATGGCCGCCGTCCATTCCCGCAATCCGTCCTCATTCTCCCAGTCATACAGAAGCAATTCTTCCCAATCGAGGAACACCTCGAACTCGACGGCCTCTTCGTTCTCAATGAGCGTGGGCAGCGCCATCCGGCCACCAGCAGTTCGGCCCACCTCGAACCTTGCCCGACCGAAGTCGTCACTTGCTAAAGAGAGAGGAACACGCTCGGCCAACCCGAGGCCTGCTACGTCGATGGATACCCGTGGAGAGACCCAGGAAGACCCTAATAATAAACGTATGGTTGATACTCCCATTGCCCCGCTGAACTTCGCTGCCCGTGCCCCAATGCATCCGATGAGGAACGCAATCATGGTTTTTCCCAAGAGAGACACTCGCAGCTTCTCATCCATAAGAGCTGCTGGCCCTCTCATAGGTCCGCGGCCAATTCGTCGAGAAATGTCGAGGACCTTTTCAATCACCACACGTATGGCAGAGCTTTCGTTGTGCCCGGAGACTCCCAAGCCCAGGGCTCGGCCAGACAGTCCCTCAAAGCTACCTCTGCCATCACCACGAGTCTCGAAATTTCGAGAAAAGCCCGCCTTCAGTCCTCCGCCTTTTCCTAAGCCCACTCCGTCTCCTTGCAAAAACAAGACAGGACTCAAGCTGACCAAGTATTCTGATCTAGAGGTCTGGGATCCCGAGGAACAGTACAGCAACATGGAAAGAATGTATGAGGATGTATGCAAGCACTACAAACAAGCAATGGACGATAATGTAGAAGCGAAAGAAGCCAGTCATGCGTACAAGTCGACCATTGCCAACTTGGAACAGGAACGGAAAGAGATAACCGAGAACATAATATCTCTTAGATGCGAACTAGAAACAACAAAATTCCGCCTTGAAGCTGCCGAGAGATCAAAGCATGAACTCCAACGAGACAACGAAGAAGAGGTCGAAGACATCAAGCGTCAACATCGCATCGAGTTTGAAACCATTCGTCAATTACATCGTCAAGATACGGAGCGTCTCAAGGAAGATCACAGAGCGGAAATGCGGGAGTTGAAGAAGAGATTGGAAGAAGAACTTGAAAACGAGCGAACCCAGCGATTGCAAGCTCTGAGCCAAGTTTCGACTCAAGGAGCCCTGGAGAAGCAAAGACATCACATGGACATCGAAGCCAAGGAGCAGGAAATCAGGAACATCAGCATGGAGATTGAACGATTGAAGGCAGACCTCGTGCGGGAGAAGATGCTCAACGATGACCTTCGACAGAATTTGAGCTCGGCAGGCTCTAATGCAGCTGCGATGGAAAGCGCTCGACAAGCACTTCAGGCCAAGATCGAATACCTTGAGTCGGACAGCAAATCTCAGTCAGAAGCATACGCAACTATGGAAAAGAGGATGAACGAGGCTCTTGAGAGAGCAACGGAATGTGAAGAGAAACTTAGGAAGGAAGAAATGCTTCGCCGAAAGTTGCATAATCAAGTTCAAGAACTCAAAGGCAATATTCGAGTGTTCTGTCGTGTACGACCTTCGAACGGAGTTGAAGGAGAAGAGACGGCCAAATTCAACTTCCCCGAGACCGACGAAGACCCTAAAGACATCGAAGTCAAAGGTCCAGAAGAAACAAGCAGCCTTGGAAAGGTCACCACAAAGACTCATCAATTCTCCTTCGACCGAGTCTTTGCCCCTGCGAGCAACAACGTCGAGATCTTTGAGGAAATCAGTCAACTCATCCAGTCGGCGCTTGATGGGTACAACGTGTGCATCTTCGCTTACGGTCAGACTGGATCTGGGAAGACGTTTACAATGTCGTCGGAAGACGGTATGATCCCACAAGCTCTGCGCCAGATCTATAGCACAAGCAAAGAGCTTGAAAGCCGGGGGTGGAAATACACTATGGAAGGCAGCTTTGTTGAGGTATACAATGAAGAGCTGCGAGATCTGCTCGGAAATGATGGTGACAGCGACAAGCCCAACAAGAGACATGAGATTCGGCATGACATGGCAACATGCGAAACGACTATAACGGATGTGACGACGCTGACCCTCGCCAGTCAAGTGCAAGTGGAGGGCATACTATCCCAAGCAATGTCGAGAAGATCGGTTGCTGCCACAAAAGCGAACGAGCGAAGCAGCCGAAGTCACTCTGTCTTTATTCTCAAGTTGACTGGGTCCAACTCAATTACCGGCAAGAAATGCAAGGGGACGCTTAACCTGGTCGATCTTGCCGGATCTGAACGCTTAACACACTCTCAGGTCGAAGGTGCTCGTCTGAAAGAGACTCAGAACATCAACAAGTCTCTATCATGCCTTGGCGATGTTATCGGAGCCTTGGGACAACAACAAGCCACTGGAGGCTTCAACGGGCGCAGTAGCGTCAATGGCGCATCGACTGGCACCTCCGCAGGGGCACACATCCCATATCGTAACAGCAAGCTAACGTATCTCTTGCAATTCAGTCTTGGAGGGAATAGCAAGACTCTGATGTTCGTCATGGTTGCACCTGAGAAAAAGTGTCTTGCGGAAACAATCACGAGTTTGAAGTTTGCCGACAAGGTCAGCCGGACGAGGATAGGCGTGGCGAGGAGAACGAGTGGGAAGTAACATCAAGCCTTGAAGGGATGAAAGCAGGTCAGCTGCTTGAACTGTGAGATTGGCGTTGTCTTAGCGGGCGTCTTTGTGTTTCTTCATGAAATGACCGCTCACGACTAGGGAAAGGGCCATCGATTGCCATACACTTTGAAGCTTTTTGGACTCTAAAGCACGTTCTTGGATGAGCTGGGGCAGTTTTGGGAAGGAGTACTGAAACGGGTATCGGTATCCAGATTCAGCCGAGAGAGGCCAATGGAGAGCTGCACTATGTTTTGTCCACTGGGTGTCGTATAGGACGTCCGTGAGCGACTTCAATGAAAGCGAATTTTCGAACTGCTTCCCGAAAAAGTTTTATATTCTGTGGAACGGGTACCTTTTCAGGGTCCTTGGAAGCCTTGTGCCAAAATTCCTGGTCTCTTTGGATTCTATAGCTTCGACGGTCTCTTCGGTTTGTGCTCGTCCTTCAATTCCCGTACGATCCCCCTCGAGATCCACTCGGCAATACCCATGTTCGTGATCATCGGGTTCACGCCGCTCGCAGATGGGAAGACGCTGGCGTCGGCGACATACAAACCTTGCACGCCCCAGACTTTGCCCTGGGAATCCACCACGCCGGTCTTGGGCGACGGACTCATCCGGCACGTGCCCATTTGGTGCGCCGAGCCGACCATGCAGGGGTCGGGGGCTGTCAGGCCCGTCGTGCGGACGATGTCGAGCCATGCGGCGAACGATGTCTCATCCTCATCGGTGGAGGTGGAGGTGGATGCGCTGGATTCTTTGTTGCTGGTTTGTAACGGCGACGGCGCCGCCTCCGCCTCCGCCCGGACCGCCGACGACGAGGACGACAGCGTGGACGTAGACAGCATAGAAGGCCTAATCCACCTCTTCACGCCGGGGTGTCCTGTGTCGATCTCGTTGGCGCCCATGACGAAATTGATTCTCGCCCCGGCGATCTGGCCTTCGAGGATGTGTCTCCTGTCCCGTGAGGACGGGGTGTAGGCGATGCGCGGCCTCTTCCGCGAGGGGTCCTTCGGGTCGATGTATACTTTGCCCGTATCCGCGTCGCGCGTGATACTGACCAAGCCCGTTGAGAATGCATGCTTGGCGGCGTTGAGTTTGTATTCGATGGCCGGGGCGAAAGTACTTCCTTCGGAGTCTTTGGAATCTTCTTTACGGTCTTTGGAGCCGAAGTCGAGGTTGTTGGTCGTGGTGCGGAATGGCAAACCGAGGAGTCCCAAACCGGGGGTTGAACAGATGACTTCGATCTTGGGGCCGTGGTGGGCGCCGTCACGGTTCTCCAGGTCGGTTACGGCGACGGTCAATATCGAGCCCTCCCACGGGTTGACGCGGTGCGGCCAGACGGACCATACTTGGCCCGTGGGGTGCAGGTGGAGGTTCGATCCGATGTGCGGGTTCTTCAGGCCGGAGCGTTGGAGGACGAGGGGCGAATGGAGCGTGCCCGCGGCGAGGATGACTCGTTCTGCGTTGATGAGTAACCTCCGGGTTGTTGAGCGGTCGTCGCGAGGTGTCCATGTCGCGCGGACGCCTGTGGCCACTTTACTGATGGGGTCGATGATGACCTCGTCGACGAAGGCGCCTTCGATGAACTCGGCGCCGTGCCGGGCGGCGTCCGGAAACCAGCAGTTGGCCGGGCCTTGCTTGGTCGTGCTGGCGCAGCCGTACGTGCAGTAGCCGCAGCAGTGACGCCGGGACGCACCCGTGTTCTGGGGTACGACTTCAACCGCCATGCCCAGACGTCTGGCGCCTTCGAGCAGCGTGGTGTTGGCAAAGTTGTGCTCGATGTTCGCGAGGGCGGACGGGTCGGTCGAGCGCGCGACGCCCATTTTATCGCACACGGTGTCCAGACAGTCCTGGAACTCGGGACTGAGGAAGTGGGGGAGGCCAGAGGAGGTTGCCCATTCCTGCCGCACGGCGTACTGTGGTTGTAGCGAGGCCGACCAATTGACGGTGCCGCCACCGCCGAAGGTGCTTCCCGCGAGGACGATGGTGGATGCGTCGTCGGAAGTGATCATCCCGCCGTTCTCCATCAGATGTTCGCCCGCGGACGAACTCGACATGGGGAAGTGGGTCGAGGGGAAGTGGTAGGACTTTTCGAGGATGAGGCATTTCAGGCCCGCGCGGGAAAGGTGTGAAGCAACGACGCCGGCGCCGCAGCCGGAGCCGATGATGACGACGTCGGTGGAAAGTGTGGCTGGTGTGGAAGCCGATGTGAAGTCGTGAAAGGCGAAGGCGTAGCTGTCGTTGCGTTCGATGTGTTTGGGGATGGAGGGAAAATCGAGTATTTGTAGGAGGGTAGGGGATGTGGCGATCCAGCTCATGCGCGCCAGGCCGTTCATTGAGCGGTAGATGCCACGTAATAGTGGGAGGCGCACCGAGGCCCAGCTGTGGACGATGTGCGTACGGGTTGCGAGATCATGGGTGTGGATGGGGGACGAGTAGCCTGTGAGCACGTATGAACCGACTGTGGTGTTGAGCGCGGAGAGGATGAAGCCCAGGCCTCGGCTGTCGGAGGGAGGGATGAAGAGCTTGAGTTTGCGAATGAGGATTTCTCGGAAGGCTGGGTCGGAGGTGATGTCCTCGGAGAGATATGCTCGAGCAACATCATCGGGTGCTCCGTCTGGGAGATAGGGTCGGAGTCGAGAAATGGCGGTATCCAGCTCCGTGGATGATACAGTCTTCTTGCCATTGGAGCCCGCGGATATGGAGGGAAGAGTGACCTCCAAGATGGAAAAGAGAATGTCGAATTGATCCTTGGTTAAGATCTCTCCATCCGGGGCTGGTGGGAGAGGAGAGGGAAGGGAGGCCAGGCTGGATAGATTCTCAATCTGAGACATGATGTCTGGCTTTAACAGGCAATGTGGCCTTCTAAATCGATTTCGCTGATATCAGGTGAATATCCAGGACGGAGACATGTGTGTACAGTGCAGAGATTGGTGTAGAGAGTCCTAACAAGCAGCTTCGTCGTGACTCCAGCTCACAGGTTTTGAGGAGGAACAAGCTCGAGATGGCATGCTTGAGCAGTAACAGAAACACAACACCGCTTGCAGAGGGAATGACTGAAGACGTAGACCCCAGGACGAGATAGCCAGGAAAACACTGGATCTAATAGGGAGTGTAAGCTCGGATGTGTGAAAGGATGGTCGAATCCTGGGGTTTCAGACGACCCCACGAAAGGATCGCAAGTCTCGTATATCCCTGCTCACTGCTGATTACTGCTGACAGCCTGACAACTGTATCCGGTGGGATAGAAGTCTAGGATCAAAACGCCGAGCAGCACCAGTGAATGTGTTGCTCAATGAGTGAAGAGAAACAGAAGCACAGAACATCTGGGGAGGAATGAATGATACGCAATACGCGATACGAAGCAGGAGATCGAGTCAGTTCGATCCGAGGCTCACTAAGTTATGCCCGTCGACGTCCACCCCAGATGCCGAGGCACTGGAGACGGCGGGATGGTTTTGTATCAGAACCCAGATCTTCACGTGCTGCAATACAACAGCACAATACTTAGATGATCCTTCACCAGATCTTAAGCTTCTGACGGGCGCAGCTACGTGTCATGATGTCTCTACTCACAATGACAAATACGCTGACATGCAGCTGCATCAACAAGACCAGGAGGAATACTGTATGGAACTGTTCCAGGCGACGCTGGTATGCTCAGTTGAACTGGTAGGTCTGAATCCCGAGCAGGAAGCATGCATCAGCGTGTTGGAGTTACTGGACAAAGTAGTCTTCTTTGACCACTAGGCTGGAAAATGCTAAGCTCCAAGCTGCCTGCATCTCGTACAAAGCTTGTGGCAGACATCTTCACAGCCACGGTCTGAGTCGGTTGCCTCTGTCATCAATTCCCCGTCGAGAGCTGGTTGAGATGGGTTCATCACCGCTTGTCTGGCATGTTCAACACTGTCATCTTGCGCCGTTTTTTCATCCTTCTGCTTCGATTTCGTAGGCATTCGATTTGTGCTTGGGCACAAATTGGAAATCCTTGTGCGCAGGGCCTAGAAACATCTCGCTGTAATGCAGGTTAGTCTCGATGCACAAGCCATTCGACGCAGTCCTCACCTGAGCTTGATCCAGTCCTTGTAGTTGTCGCTAGCCATCAGGGTCTCCAACTCATCCCTGCCCTTGTACCGAGGAGGTCGATCCTGGATGTTGGGAGGCAGATATTCCAGCAAGCCAACCGGCACATAACGACAAGCAAAACTCAGCCACTCGAGCAGGAATCTTCGAGTTTGGCCCACTCCAATCTCATCGCTGCCCCATGCTTCTAATCCGTAGCGACAGAAATTCTCGACGATTTGCAATCGTTCAGAGGACGACTTGTCGAGGTACTGGCCTGCTGCGATTTCCTCAAAAAGCCATGGCTTAATCAGTGCTCCTCTAGCCGCCATTACGCCGTCAACCTTCGCATGTTCGATGTGGTCATAGTAATGCTCATGAGAATAAACGTCGCCATTTCCGATGAAGAACACCTTGCCATGCCTTGAATTGTTGTGTCCATTTGGCAGATCTCTCTCATCGGGTTCGTGAACAGTGTCAGTCAAGCTGTCCGCTTTTGTGCTCAACTTCCTGATCAGATTCGCTGTTTCTGTGATGTAGTCCCAGTCCGCCGAGCGCGAGTATCTTTGCTGTCTCGATCTGCCATGCAGAGTGATCGCTGCCACACCAGAGGGATTGCCTTCACTCTGCCCGGCCCCCAAGACAAGTCTCTCCACCAACTTCTGCGCTGTCGGTTGTTTGTCTCGTGTGCCGGTACGAATCTTGACTGTGACGGGTGTCTCGCCTGAAACAGCGTTCATGCCTCGAAGCATCTTTTCCAATTTAGGGGGGGTATCCATCAGAGCTGAGCCGGCACCTTCTCGGTAGACCAGATCGATCGGACAGCCCACATTAAGATCAACCACACGTAGACCTTTGGGGAGCAGTGTGGTCAAGACCTCGGTAGCTTTGATGGCCAACCATGGTTTGTTGGCGGCAATCTGAGCACCGAAGCAGAGATCCTTGTTTTGGTCGTAGTCATATACAATATTCTGACCATTCTTGAGCGAGAATGTGGGTGGCTGCACTTCTGATTCATGTGCTTTGATAAGAGCCCATTCCGACTTCTGTCCTTGCAGCAGTGGTAACGACATTGCCATTTCAGAGTAGGTGAAAGTTGCACCCAATGAAGTGCATAATCGTCGGAAAGGCAGATTCCCTTGAGTGGTCAGCGGTGCCAGTACAGGTGTTTCGATCCCAAAATAGAGTCTGCGCTTCTCTGAAGGTCGTAATGGGGTGTCGATAAACGAGGCTCTTGAATCCATTTGGTCGTTTCCTTTGTTCTCGTCCTGTGCTGGTTCGGGCTCTGGTGACGACGAATTGCGAAGAGCCTCATTTGCCCGCCCGCCTTGACCCTGCTGTCTGCGGCCTTGGCCGGATGGCTTCTGGGCTTGAGAATCAAGCCATTTCAAGAAGTCCTCTGATTTTGGTGTCTGAATTCTTTTCTTAGTGAGGTCGATCCGTTGCTGTGTGCTGAGAATATTCGCTACACCAGCCTCTTCCTCCTCGGTTGATGTTGCAGCATATTGCGCCATTCTAGTTTCATCATTCAACAGGATCAATTCTCGTCGACCACCTTCATGCTCCACTTCCTTGGAATGAGAACCAACGAAACGGCACTTCCAACCAGCAGGGCATCTGCCTTTCGTCTGCCATACAGGACAAAGGCCGTTGAAAGTGTTTAGGTCTTGTCGTTTGTATTCCTGCAAGTATTTTCGTAAATCGTGCTCGAATCGGCATTTATCCCCGTATGAGCAAGGATCGGGGGAGAGTTCGGGTCTGTGGACACGAGTAGAACACAAACCCACCTCGTCTCTGGAACTGCCAAAATCTCGAGCTTTGTTCTGGCCCTGCTTCTTCTCACGTCGTTTGGGTCTGGAATTGTGACTTTGAGTTGCAGGTTGTCTGTCCTTGTGATGAAAGGCTTCGGCAGCATCATCATCAGCCTCGTCTCGTGGAGGTCTTGGTTCTACCACATCGTCCGACTTGAGAAGATATTCCTGCTTGATTGGTGCTGTTCCCTTGCGGCGCTTGTCGTCTCGAGCATCCAACTTCGAGTCTGTCAGACCCAAGTCATCGACCTTGCGTTTAACTAAGGGCGGAGCCTGTGTCATTGTTGACGATGAGTCCGCGGTAGTGCTGCCATTCACGTGTGAAGTACCGTTGACCGAGGCCTCGGCCTGGTCTGAGGACTTTTCGGTCATTGCGACGTTGACACTGCTATGATATTCTTTTCTTCCGAACGAACCTTGTGCAAGTGGGCTGTAAGATGGCTACACCCGTTCCAACCAGTCTGAAGCAGAAGGTGATGCCTGATATCACAAGTGACTGGTGAATGCAGAGCTATCCACTGCCATCTCAAGGTGACTGTTTCCAGTGTGGGAATTAGTGCCAAGCCCGATGGAAAATATTCCGGGGTGACGCCAACATTTTCACCTGAAGAGACGATGGACAAAGACAGACCGCAACTCCAGGGTCAGAGTCTTTCGTTGAGGCAGGCCCTCTACTCTTTTCAATACAATCATCCCTTCTGTTCAGTGCTTGTGTATATCCGAGACGAATGGGGAGAACATATATTTTTCAGGCAACTGTATTTCAAACAACTGGACTACATACGAGTGTGGTACACTACCTAGGTAGTTACAAAGATTTGAATACCTGATGCAGCGCCACGAAGACGGGTGAGAGATCGTGTTGCGAACATTGACTTGCGTTCGGGTGATTTGAAGAAAGAACAAAGTTCTTCCTAAGAATATGGCACGCAGATGCCCTGGTTAGAACAGTTGTCAGTCTGATGCTGTTATGGTACGAATTTGATGTATTCTGGCTGATTTCAGCTGGGAAGATCATCTCGTTCCCATGGAAAACGCGAGGAAAGTATCAACACTGTACTCGTTTGTTGAGCACATGCTTTGAATCCGGGGCGTCCGCAATGTCGGTAGCAGATCGTTACTCGTTGTGATATTTGGCTTTCGCCTTAGGACGGTGTTCACTGTGCTTGGCTAATCTCAGCGACATGCAGGGTGCAAGTACCTCAGCTCATCCCAAGACATCAGAAGCAAAGGCTGACCAGTTGCTGACCGACCCGACGCGCAATCGAGGGTCTTGCCACGATGCGTGTCTCTAGCATTCAGGAAGTTGCCTCGTCCAACGCCACCTCACCCCATGTTCCCAGCACGTAAACAACGTCTACCACAGTACCCATAGCAGATGGTGGGCCAGCTGTAATGAGATTCTAGAATGCCTGAAGGGGAAGAACAGCGTGAACGGCTCATCAGACGGTGGCGAGGGCTGTGCTTGGCAGGTTATATTATACTTTGAACTGGGGATTCATCTTTCAGGCACCACTCACTTGGGATACCTCAATATTCGTCGACGACAGATCGCCACGACGTTGGCTGGAGCGGATGGATCATGGTAGGCTCGTGCCTCTTGCGTGGAGAACGGCAATTGCCTGCTTCCCAGATTCCACAGACGGCGATCTAGAGTCTGTGCCGGTCCATCGACAAGTGAACCAGGGGATACTCAGGATACTCAGGATACTGTGTAGACCTCGCACGACGTCGTGAATGGGCGTGCTGCAACACAGTACAAATACTGTGTATGGTCCTACGAAGGTTGCGGCTCTGCTCATTGACTTACAGAGGTACCTGGGGTGTCTGGTCGGTTCATGAACGTCGTCGTGACCGGCTGCATTAGAAGCGCGTTGAGTGTACGTTGGTGGCACCGATCGACGAACTATCTCCGATGCATGTGGATTTGACAACAGGGATGCTGGGGGGTAGTTCCGAAGTCGAAAAGAGATCAAGTGGCCAAATAATGCCCATGTTTTCGGTATACCCATGTTTTCATCAGTCAGAGTATGTCGACATGTGTATCCCAAGGCTGTCAGTGCCACGTACGAAAGTTCGGCAACCCTGCCCGACTACCTTGGCAGCACCAAATGTTGGGATTGGAGCTACGAACTACGAGCTACGAGCTAGGCCTCGAAATGAAAAGGCGCAGCCTTGTACGGAGTACGATAGAATTGATTGTTTTAAAAGCACTGGTCCGACAGGCTCCATCTCGGTTCCACCGGAGCTGGAGTCGTTCGACAATTAGTGAGCAAATAATACTTGTACCGAAAAGGGTCTGGAGCACACTGCAGCAGTGCATGGGGTGGTCAATGGTCACAAGGTGCTCTTTCTCTTGCGAGGGAGTTGAAAAGACTGAGTCTGAGCCTGAATGTTTCGTATATCGCAGCAAAGCAGAAGAGGTACGAATATACTGCGTTAGATGCCGTCGACGCAGAGAGCCGTGATGCGGCAGTCACGGATACTGAGTAACATGTCCACACATGTCGCAGCGAGATGCCTTCGACTTTTCTCGGCAACTGTCCCAGTGCACTGGCCCGTACCTGCATTTGGTGGGAAACTCTTAGTCATAGGTTCCGGGAAAGGCCTGATGGGCCCCAGCCTCGTTCGCCTCTACGAGTATGGGACCGCTGTTGAGCGATTTGTCTCGTTAACACTGAAGCGGGCCACATTGAAGCCACGGAAACAAATCTACTCGCGACGCAGCCAAGCATCCCTTCATCTTCGACAGTATTCATTGTTGTAACAAAGTACTCGGTATCTTCCAAGTCATGAACTTGCAAAACTGCCGACATGGATGACGTGCACGATATCATCATACTTCGATCGGCTAACAAGCTCGCAAGAGAGGGAGCTATATCAGCTAGTATCCGAAATCGATGATCAAGTTGGTGAAGATCGAATAGCAGTTGAGATTAACTGCAAGTGTGAAGCAAAGAACATGACGTGGCATCTGGCACTTGTTTGACATCTCAGTACGGAGCATGCTTCAGATCTATCGGTGAAGAATGACAGCGGTAAGTTAACATTGCTGGAGAGCGAGCTTGGGGCTGCCAGACACCCACCAGACAAGGCGAATGGGGGCGAACCCAGGGAAGAATATCGCGCGGACGAGGCTCGCTAGGCCAAGCCTGAGCCACGCCTATAGCTTAGCTGCGTGGTGATCAACAAATCCGGCACCTCGCCTAGGCTAGCAACTCGTCTGGCCGTCCATCGCTTGCATCACCGTGATCGAATAGTGATCACATCTTGATTTTGTATCTCACAGCACCTTTGGAGCGATGATTGTCGTGGTGTTTCGAAGACAGGGTCGACTCGCGTGTTTCATCCTAAGAGATTAATTGAGATATGCGTTCTGCATCCATCATGGGTCTGGCGGATCATGAATCCCACATCACAGCCGATGGCCCGAGAAACAGTATCCACGCACTGCTTCTCGAAGCCCGCGGGCGCAGCTTGCCACGTGACGCCACCGGAGGAGGCTCGAGGCTCTATCATAGTGCCGAAATGCGGTGTAACATTCCATCCATGTATTCGAGAGCGTTTCGAGTACGCCGAGAACAGCTTGCAAATGTTCAGCAACAGGGAGACTGTCGTCATATGCAGGAGCCTCGGTGTGGCCAGCAATAAGCACACGCCGAACATGACCGAAACCTGCCACATTTCGGGATCACGATGGTGCCCAGGGGGCGTACCGCAACCACAATATTACGATTAGTCTTGGTTCTTCGAGGAAGGGGAGCCCTGCAGAACGAAGAAGGAGTGGGCGGAACCGAGACTGACGAGTCAGGCCCTGATGTCCAATTGGCAGCCACCTACAGCAGGCATTGTTTAGGCTTTCCGGCCGACCCACTGCGAAACCCATGGTTAGCTCAAGGGTCCTTGGAATGGAGAGTCCCATCGACGCAAGGCCAAATCTGTAGTTTTCGTGGTGAACAACGAGTACGAGTAGTTCTGACCAACTCGTCTGGTAGATCCCGAAGTCAGGATTCCTGCGCCAGCAGCTTACTGGACCATTCAAAGCACAATTATTAGCTGTCAGATTGTCAATGATGTTGTCCTGAGATCAGTGGCCAAAACAGCTGAAATGGACCGAAAAGCAAACAAGCATTTTGTAAATCCGACGGCGGTTCTGAGAAAGGATTCTCCCACGCCGGAGTCTAGGGGAAAGTATCCATCTGGCGAAAAGCCGGCCTTGACACTTCAAAGGAGTCAGCCCGCCGCATCCCATGCGAAGTTTGATGGTAAGCCTGGCGTCGAAATGACCGCACAAGGCGTGGCATTATTCTGATCAGTCAGTCCCGACTCCCGGATGCGTTCTGGGTTGCCGCTTTGATGAGGATGGCTCGTTGCAGCCGTTAATTCTGATAGATGAAGTGGCCGTCCAATACATGTTGGGGCCTTGCGTCAATGCTTGCTACTAGTCGTCGATGTACAATCGAGCATCTGCAAATCGGCTCTGGCCCAAATAGCCGGGCAAGGACGGTCATTATTGGTCTCGAGCATCTCTTACCATAGTATGCGGTGTACGATGTAGATAAGGCAGCAACAAGCGGCAGGATTCATCGTCTGTTTCTCATACCGGAATCAGGTCATTGTTGCAGGTGCATGGCATACTCAGCAACCCTTGAGATGCCGTGCCGTTGCCTCGCCTCGTTCCAGGCAAGCAGACGCGATGGAGCCTCGGGGAGCTTGGGCTCGGAATCACAAAGGTGGGTGAGGGTTGATGAGGTGGGCGGTGGTGGGCGCAAAGGCTCGCTGATGAACTGAGAGCGGAAATGATGGAAGATTGGCGGGTCCCACCTCTGCCTAGCCAGCAACCCCGGCCAGGATGCAACTCTGTTTTTGGCGGTCTAGCGGGCGTGGTGGGCATCAGGCTCATCAGTGCACCGTAAGTCGGTTGCTTGGAGTCCCAACTAGAACTAAACCATCGTCGTCACTAGCAGCCTATGAGCGAGCCTGGACAAGCCTGGTAGCCGCACCCAGTACCCATCCAGTCGACTCGGTTCAAGGTCGTCTACGGGTACCAATACTTTCATGCCCTCCATCCTCTTTCCCGATCGATACTGTCCTGCCTCGCGCTCCTTCACCACATTGATACAGTGTATTCTCAGTGAGAGCCTCTAAATATTAGACAAGCCACCTTGGTCTTTGCATCTATCTGGCTTCTTTTGTCGCTCATTAATCCGGCTCAGGCTCCTCTCTCTCGCCGCACCTCATACAGTAGCATCCGAGTACGCCTGCATAACGTCACCATCGGATATCAGCAAGATCATTTCTCGACGCAATTCCGACAAGATCCTCTCACAAGTCTATGTTTGATTACGAAGAAAGCCCCCCGCCACTACATCACTCGCCGTCTCCGAGTGATCAGTCGCAATTCACTTCGAGGGATACAACCCCGGTAACGCCCGTCGACAGCGGACCGCCATCTGGAAAAGCATTTGGCAAGAAGACCGACAAAGGTTGCTTGCCTTGGTTCAAAAAGCCAATCGCCGTTGGACGCACTACCACAAGACTTTGCCTCGATACCTCTCTACTCGAGCCTGACTTCGACGACAATACCTTTCCAACCTTTGGCGCATCGCCACCAGCCTGGGGCATGGCAAGTGTAGCCAACCCACTTGACGTCTCGACAAGACAGACTTCGACTTCGCCTCGTGGCAATCAGCCTTCGAATCTTACTTCCGCTCTGCAGAGGAGTGATAGCGAAGAGAAGAGGAAGATGGCCAACAATCCTGCAGAGACCGCGCTCAATCGCCCTATCCCTCAAATGCCGTCCAATGCCTCTGATGATTTCGCGAAGTTCGAGCGTGGAGCCCGGCCGATTTCGATGAAAGGGGGTCCTAATGATCGACAAGCTCGTAGAGAGAGCATAGCACAGAGCCTTAACGCAGGCATGAGCTGGGGAGGAATATCCGTAGGCAGTTGGATAAGAGACGAGTAAGTCAACTGCCCGCGATGCTGCTGTCTAGCACTGACGAGTGTGTAGTATGATGATGTCTGGAACCTCCCCCTTCACTTTCAATTCTCCCTCCTTCCACTCCTCCTCCTACCTACCGAAACTCGAAGCCAATTTCATGAAAGATTTCTCCTGCTGTGGCTTGACACTACCTACCTTGCATGATCTGCTACAACATTACGAAGAAGCCCACGCGCAGAAAGATCCCGTTCAAAATGAGGGCAATCAACAACATGTCGTCCCGGACAGTCGGGCAGCAATTGCAGCCACGACTGCCGCTCAAGTTCAGCAAGAGGCACAGCAGCGAAACCAACAGCAGCAATCACAGAATGCCCAAGGCCGGCCATTTGGGTCGCAGCAGTCAGCTGCACAGAATCCCCAGCGACAGACGGGTTTCTCGAGCACACTACAAACCATCCCTGACATGGATACGGTGGAGGACATGGAAATGGATGACATTGATGGAGCTGACGAGACAACACCACCGCCCAATTTGTATACGCAGTCCCAGCCTCAGACTTCACCACAGACCTCTTTCAACGCTCCTGCACAGCCACAAATTCCTCAACTGAACACATCGATGATGCAGGGACATCAAGCCTTCCGTCAATCGACACCCAACACCCCAGTCGGGCCTGGTCGGTCGAATACCGCGTTCCAGGGTAACAATGCCTCATCCACTCTTATGGCCAATCCAATGCAACAATTTCAAGATCTACAGAATCCATACCGTGGTACCCCAGATTCTTCGGCGCCGGGCACACCTGGCGAATTAGACGACGGTCTGATGAACGGCATGGACGACATGTCCATGTCCAGTAACTTGTACAACGCCATTCCTAACGGCTTTGGTGGATTCGGTTTTGGCATGAACAGCGATATGATCGATCTGTGCATTGACGAGCCTGCTAAACGACTGTTCTCCAATGGCAGTCAGGGTATGCAGTCACAAAACGTGGTACACAATCGACTTGGATCAGGACAGTACGGCGCCGACAGCGACATCGCCCGCACGATCCGCGAACGGCAGGCTGCGGCCGGTCTACCCGACACTACAACAAACATTCCTCCTCACGAAGAACCAAAGCCTTTCCGGTGTCCTGTGATTGGCTGCGAGAAGGCCTACAAGAACCAAAATGGGCTCAAGTACCACAAAGCGGTAAGTCCTGACAGTGGTTCAACATTGCCTTGATTGAGCTAACACGTGTACAGCACGGTCATAACAACCAACGACTCCACGAGAATGGAGACGGCACATTTTCGATTGTCGACCCGGATACCCAGGCTCCATACCCTGGTACCATGGGCATGGAAAAGGAGAAACCATACAAATGCGATGTTTGCCAGAAGCGCTACAAGAATCTGAACGGACTGAAATACCACAAGACGCATTCTCCTCCTTGCAACCCGGAATTGCAGCTCAATGCCACCAAAAGCCCGACATTGTCAATGCCCAACATGATGGCCGGCCAGGCCGCCGGAAATATGGGAGCTGGTCTCTCTGCAGGTGGAGATTTCACCATGATGTGAAGATGATACCCAACAATACGATGCCAGCAATGAACACATTCACTTCGTCCCTCTGGAGAGCAGTACGGTCACTGTTCCGAGGGGGCTCCTATTACGATTAACTTATTACTAATGACGCAACACGGCCTACCACCAACGTTGCTGGGGTGTTTGTCAACACTGCCAAAACAGTTTGTTCGACACATGGGGAAGAGTTCGATCCGAGTCGGTGATCGGAGTATCGTCCGACATGGTCTGCAACGGCGGCTAACGTCACGAATATTTCGAAGCTTGTTTGTCTACGATCACAGGGAAAGAAACATAGAGGTTTGCGTTTTGCGTTTTGCGTTTTGCCAAAAGTCTGTCTCAATGGGTTAGGGTTGGATTGGGGAGTCTGTTCCACCGAAAGATTCCAGCAGCAGGGGGCAATTGTCTGTGGTACGGAGTTCACCTTGAGCAGATATGTCTCTCTCAGGCGGTATCCTGCGAAGCCTGAATCGTTGTGGGTTGAGGCCTCGGAGCTTCAGGACGTGGTTAGAGCGATCCCTCCGATGACGATAGATCGAGTTTTGGAGATTCAAGGGAGCTGAAAATTGCTGTTGCGTGCATGCATTTAGACGTCTACTCAGTCTCACGAGCCTGACTACTAGTTACTGCAATTAATGGTGGTCGAACCTCCGTAATGAATCCTTGGATTTTCTTGCTTGGCAGTTTGGATGGTAGCGCTTTCGTTTACAATGAATGGATATCAAAGAAAGAGCAAGAACAGTTATGCGGTGCCCGGGAGGAGAGGGAGACAAATACCATACAGGAGCCGTCAAGGCCCGTGTCTCACAAGTGCCACGGTTGTCACGTTTGCCCTTTTCGATCTCGACAGGTTGTGGATGTGGACATTTTGCCTATTTTCTCACGGGTGGACGCGTAGAGGGCTGCGGGATTCAACCACCAGACTCGTTTTTCTCCGACTGCGCCTTCTGTCGTGCCCCTGGCCATTCTGCTCCTTGAACACCTCTGGCAAACAAAGAACATCTCTCCTTCGTCCATTTCGAACAGTCGTCACCCTTTGCGCATCGGCGTCCCCCTTCCTTTGGAAATCGTCACTCGTTCATCTATACCCGCAAGATCCCATCGCAATCCTCTCGCTAGAGCCCCCACATCGAATAAGCCCACGGACTCCGGCCACCTGTTTCCAGACTCAAGCCTCGAACTCCTTCCTCGGTTGTATCGAGTGAACGGGATACACCTGGGCGCACCCACGTTGCCTTCTGATTAAAATATTCTCGCAACTCCTTTGGCGAGCCGATCGGGTCTATTGTCCTCGCAAAAGCGACGACGGGGCACACTACTGGGCCCCTCCTACACCTCCGCGCTCATGATTAACATGCTGGAAGATAAATACATTGGCCTAGCGCTGGCTATAACCTCGACGGTAGCTATCGGTACTAGCTTTGTCATTACTAAAAAGGGTCTCAATGATGCTGCCGACAAGCATGGCTTCGAAGGAGAGGGATTCGCATATCTGAAAACACCTCTGTGGTGGGCGGGAATAGCGTCTCTGGTGGTGGGAGAAGTCGCCAACTTTGCAGCTTATGCCTTTGCGCCTGCGATTCTGGTCACGCCGCTGGGAGCGCTCAGTGTGCTCATAGGAGCTGTCTTGGGAGCATATTTCTTGAACGAAGAGCTGGGCGTTTTGGGCAAACTGGGGTGCGCAATATGTCTACTTGGATCAGTCATTATCGTACTCCATGCTCCTCCCGACCAGGAGATCGAAACTGTTGACCAGATCCTGAATTTTGCCATTAAACCTGGTAAGAAAGCCGATGAAACCGAGTTCGGCGCATGGGAAACAAGGACTAACTCTGAACGGTGCAGGCTTCGTAATCTATTGTCTGGCGGCCATAGTCTTCTCGACTGTCATGATCTACAAGGTGGCGCCTCTGTACGGCAAGAAGAACCCACTCATTTATATTTCGATATGCTCGACGGTGGGATCAATATCGGTCATGTCGGTCAAGGCATTCGGCATCGCCTTGAAGCTGACATTTGCTGGAAACAATCAGTTTTCGCATCCATCGACCTATGTGTTCATGATTGTGACGATAGTCTGCATCTTGACGCAGATGAATTACTTCAACAAGGCTTTGAGCCAGTTCTCGACTTCAATCGTGAATCCTCTGTACTATGTCACCTTTACCACCGCCACGTTGTGCGCTTCTTTTATCCTGTTCCGCGGGTTCAACACTACCGATGCCGTCAACACGATTTCGCTCCTGTGCGGATTCTTGGTCATTTTTGCCGGTGTTTATCTGCTCAACCTCTCCCGAGGCGACCCGGATGGACATCGGATGCTCAATGGCAAGATCTCTGATGATGATGGTATACCCACCGATCCTCTCGCTGGCCTCCATACACGGAGAAGCATGCAAGCGCGAAGGAGCCTGGACCCGCATCGGCGGAGTAGCAGTCTTACTTTCAGTCCCGGAGGACTGCGAAACGTGAGCGCTGAGAGCGCTGGACTGATGCACAACTACGATGTTGAGCACAATGCCTTTGGGTTATCGGATCTGGTGGAAGCTCCTGAAGAGATGGGAGGAGGAAGCGGAAGTCGAAGTCCTCACAGCAACGGCGAAAGAGTCACACAGGTGTACCACAAACCACACCAGAAGACATTGAGCCAATGACAGGAAAGGGTTGGTGGCGATGGTGTCGCCTGGAGCTGTATTTGTAACGATATCCATGCATTGAGGACGGTCTTAGCGATGAACAACGGCATTTACGGGGTTGGGATGGGCAACAAGGCGACTTTGGTACAGCCAAGATTGCCTCTGGGAATGAAACAAGCAATCCGGTCGACTGGGAGTGCCAGGAGAGGCCATCAGTTGAATAGTAGACATTACATAGGGGGCCTTCTGGCTAGAACAGTATATACCAGGTATTGATGATGTGGTCCCAATCACACAAACAAGGCTTTGGAGCACGTGGTCAACCTGATTGCTGTTGTTGAATTAATTTTGAGCACAAAGCAGGAACTGAGCGGGAGTCTTTGCTTGGCCCATCCCACCTTCCTACTAGTAGTTTCTTGACAGATCTTGATCTTCTTCCTCATTTCTGAACTGACATTCACTATCCGACAATTATCTTCTCATTTCCCCCAGATACGCCCTTGAAAAGAAAAGAGAAGGCGTCGGCGAGTAGGCAACAAACATCTTCCGCCCAAGGATTGTTGGCCCAGGTCGGCCAAGATCCTTCTGCAGCAATGGCATCATCGTCTGGCCTTTCCCCAACCACCACACGTGCTGCACCATCCCCCAGGACTGGGACTCACAAAGGTACGTACCGGGCTTCTTGCATATTTCCGTCAATCTGCCCCCTTCTACCCAATGTATCGGCCCTCGTCCTTCGTGCCAGGTCTAGGAATGCCAAAAGACGTCGCCCTCTGCTGCATCTCTTTGTTACACTGGCACAAAAAGCAATGCGACTGCAGCAGCCTAGTTTGTTATCCTGTCACGCGACACCAGAATTGCTAGGGAAATGTCTGGAGGATGGCCACCATTATTCGCATTGTGCCCCGGCCTTTTCCGTCTGGCCACATGGAAGACTATCCAATGCTGATTTGTTCTCTGGCGTGAGATAGGTGTGACCATCTTCGAAGAGCCCGAGCACATCGAACCGGTCAAGGCGGAGGACTACGATGGAGGCGCATCTCCCATGCTCGTTGCCTCCCAAAGTCCCAAACTCCACCGGGCCAGTATATCAGGGAAGAAAATGACCGGGCGACCCGCTCTTACTCACTCCGGGTCTTCTACCGCATTATCTCATCGCATGTCCTTCCTCAGTCTGGACAAACCTGATTCCGAGTCAGCTGGGACACCCAACGAGAGCAAACCTCCCGATCTACGCGCCATGCTCACTCAAGTCGTGGACTGGCTGCAGCAAGAGAAAGCGAAGAGGCAGAAGCCAAAGCATCACCGGCTTCGCCTTCACCCTCATCATCATCACCGATTGCCGACTAACCCTCCAGACGAACCGTCTGATGACCCTACAAACGACACTGAACCAGACCACTCCCTGGAGAAACTTGAGAACATCCTTTCCGGCTTCACCTCATGGTCCACCTCCATGCCCAGACCGGCGTCCAAATCCTCGACCTCTTTAGTAGGGCGGAAGGGATCTATAGCCAGGAAATTCAAGCGAGGTTCCATTGCCCCTCAATCGTCGGATACGGAGTTTTTTGGCGACGATATCCTGGTGCCGAATGTTGAAGCCCATTTGGACAACTCCAAAACCATGGCTTTCACTGGAGGTAGCGCGGACGTCGACACGAGCGATTCTGCGAAGAAGAAAGACTATGATCACTGGGTCGCTTTCAAGGAGGATATTGTGCGGTTGACACATACCCTCAAGATTAAAGGATGGCGCCGTGTTCCCATGGATCGAGCCAGAGACATCGATGTTGTGCGGCTGAGTGGAGCTCTTACCAATGCTGTATATGTGGTTCGACCGCCCAAGAACATGTCCGAATATGATAATCCTTCGAACAGCCAGGTCGCCCTCTCCGAGCCCATGGCCATCGCGGCCCCGGCTCCCAAGCGCCGCCCAGTACAACTTCTCCTTCGTATCTACGGTCCTCAAGTCGAGCATCTCATCGACCGAGACTCTGAGCTTGCCATTCTACGCCGTCTGTCTCGGAAACGTATTGGTCCTCGTCTGCTCGGGTCATTCGAAAACGGCCGCTTCGAGGAATTCCTCCACGCCAGGACTCTGACTGCAGAAGATCTTCGCATACCGGAGACATCCAAGCAAATTGCCAAGCGTATGAGAGAGCTTCACGAAGGAATCGAGCTCCTGGAGTCTGAAGTCGAAGCCGGTCCCGCGGTGTTCCTCAACTGGGACAAATGGGTTGACCGCTGTGAGAAGGTCATTACATTTCTCGACAAACAAGTCCATCAAGCCGAAGCACAGCCGAATGCTGGAGGTCCGAGGCACAACTCCGTTGTCAACGCACGGTACGTTCGGCGGGGGTTTATCTGTGGTGTGGAATGGCCTCTGTTCCGAAGGACCTACGAAGCGTACCGAAAACGATTGATCGCAGACAGTGGCGGCATGAAAGAGATTAGCAAACACCTAGTCTTTGCACACAACGATACTCAGTATGGCAACCTCATGCGTCTGCAGCCTTCAGGAACATCGCCCCTGCTCCAGCCGTCAAACCAGCACAAGCAGCTCGTGGTTATCGACTTTGAATATGCTTCACCCAATATGCCTGGGCTGGAATTTGCGAACCATTTTACCGAGTGGTGCTACGATTACCATCATCCGGAGCACAATTGGATGTGCGATACGAGGCTTTATCCGAACGAGGGAGAACAGTATAGATTCGTCAGGAGCTATGTCATGCACAGACCGCAATTCAATCCGGCGGCGAGCGCGACACCGAAGATGGAAGGACGGGAGAAGACTAATATAAGCGACTTCATGCTCGATGCGAGGGCGCCGCCTCCGTCTACGAGCACACCCGGGCCTGTGGTGGAGTCCGATTACGACAAGGAGGAGCGAGAGAGGGAGAAGGTGCAGGAAAGGGAGATTCAGCGGTTGCTGAGGGAGACAAGGATATGGAGGCCGGCGAATACGGCACAGTGGGTAGCGTGGGGGATTGTGCAGGCAAAGGTGCCGGAGTTATATGAAATGGAGAGGAAGGAAACCGGAGAAGCTGCGGGGGAAGCGCATCCGATGTCCGACCCGATGAACGAAGAGGAGAAGAGGTTGAAGGACGAGAGTCAACGGGATCGGCCAGAGGGACGGGCGCAGGAGGAGAGCCATCGGGAGGGGGACCAAGGGACAAGCGTGAAGTGGGAAGCTGCGAGCAACGGAGGCGCAGAAGGCGATGAAAGTGGTGAAGAGGAGCACGAAGATTTTGATTATCTTGCTTACGCGCAGGATCGCGCCATGTTCTTCTGGGGTGATTGTGTGCAGATGGGTTTGGTCAAGATGGAGGAACTGCCGGAGCAGATGAGGAACAGGATCAAGATTGTACCGTATTGAGCGAGAAGGAAAGGGGCTGGTGGGAGTGTGGCTCTACATAGACAAGGATGCCGGAATTTGGGTGCGATCAAGGACAAGGATTTGACGATTGGAAATCTTGAAACGGGACGCTATGGAGCAGCAGTCGGACATTCTGAAGGCCACCCAGAGGCTTGAATTCCATGCTGTGTGAAGAAACGTAGCGAGCCTAGGAGGATCTCGAGTGGATGCGTGTTTCTGTCAAAGACGATGATGGGCGGCTTGGTACTAGCATTTATCCTCCAGCATGAATATATTATGATGTTAGAAAACGACATTGCGCTGGGCCGCCGTTGACTTGTCCCTCTATATGGTTGCCTCCGAGGGCTCACCCTGTCTTTTCCCAGTCCAGCAATCCTGTTTGTGAGCACAGCTATAACAGGAGCGTGCATGATGGTGAGAACATGGGCTGCAATCACATATAGGAGGCAATGCTGTACAACCCTCGAGGGGCTCTTTCTCTTTCGAGGGCTTTCCTTTCCAGACTCCTCAGTGGATGCCAAAGAATTCCTACGTGCGAAGTGAAGAGTTAGATCTTGATCCTGACGCCATTGTGATCCAGCCCCAGAGCAAACCCTGTCAGCACGGCGGCGTAAGCAATCAAAACAACCATGGCACCCAGGGCACTGGTGTCGAGGGTGTTCAGGGTCAAATTGACCAGGCCGGTCAACAGATTCGCCACGAGAAAAATGGCGAGGCCGTTGGAGTTGAAGACGCGCAGGATGCGGCTTGTCGCGAAACGGACTTTGTCTCGGTCCTGGGGTTCGTAGGAGAAGACGGGCCCGCACTCCTCGACTAGCCCAAAGAGCAGGAGCTGGGCGTTGTTGAATGCCGAGATCCATAGGACGTAGGGCAGGTTCGCGAGGCGGCGGGATGGGTTGAGATTGAATGCGTAGACGTGTGTGGAGAGGAGGAAGAGGGCGGAGTAGATAAGTGCGCGGGTGAGGAGGGTGCGAAGGACGAGCCGGCGCTCCTGTCTGGTAAGGCTGGCATTGGCAATGGCATGGTCGTCGTCGTTTTGGGGGTTTTTGTTTCTAGTAGTGGCAGATCGAGACAGCGACGGCGACGGCGACGGCGAGTTGAAGCGGATGATTCGTGTTCCAGTGCCGCGGCCGGCGAGGAAAATTGCGAGGTAGCCTATGAATGAGAATACACCTTCGCGGTTCTTGGAGAGCCAGTCCGGGCCACGCGGTGAGATGAGGATGTAGCGTAGCAGGTCGAGCTGTGGTTCGTTGAGGGCAATTTCGTAGATGATGGAAAGGAGGACGGCGAGAAGGTCGTAGGACAGAAAGTGGAGATGGCGCGTGATGGTGTCGGAGATCTCGACGAATGGCGGCAGTAGGGCGAGCGTGAAGAAGAAGTTCCAGTGCACGCCGTACTCGGTGACGTGTTCGGCGTAGTCGAGGTTTTTGACCGAGTACAGGCGGATGAGGCCGAGAAGGAGGAGCGGGAGGGAGTGTCGGATCGAGATTAGGAAGCGGTTGGTGAAATTGGGACTTGCATAATGGGAGGGGACTGCGCTGGACGACGACGATGATGATTTGACGAGTGCGCGAGCAGAGACCACGCCGGCGGAGAAGACGAAGGAGCCGACGCCCAGGTCCATGAGAGATGTGCCCCAGGTTTCGACCTTGGCGAAACGGCGTGGGAAGATGCGGAAGTCGACGGCTAGGATGGAAAGGCACGTTGCGATCATCATGCTGCCGCGGTAGTGGGTTAGAAAAGGGCGGACGGGGAGGGATGGTGATGCTGAACTGGTTGAGGCGGTCGAGGCGGCATTGTTGATTGAAGAGGGAGAGGCGGCTTTGGCTTTCTTTGGAGGATTCGATGAGGGTGCCGGCGAGCTGGAGTTTGATGGTGCGCTCGTGAGAAAGAGGAGTAGCAGAGATGGGGTGATGAGGAAGATGCTCAGGACCAGTGGCGCGGAGCTGTATAACGTGATGGCGAAGAGGATTCCGCAGACATTGAGTAAAAAGTCGGCGAGGAGCGAGATGGGTGTGTAAGGCGTGAAGAAGCTCTGGCGCTTTTGTAGAACCGTCCACAGAAGGACCGCGGCCTGGATATTGTGATCAGAATGGGTTGATGAATTGGCTTGATGGATGGGGGAGACGTACACTTGCAACCAGGGTGACGAGGTTGATCTCGCTCAGGGAGCTCCCGGACAGATTCGAGACGAAGGCCTCTTTCCGGGATTTGTAGCTTGCTGCTTCTTGTGGAGTCATGATTGTGATGGTTGTATTATCATGGTGAGTCTTGGACGTTGAACAAGTTCGTTTTTACTCGGGAAGACACCTAGTGATGACTCGAAGCTGGCGTCGATTGATGTATTGATTGATTCCAGGTTGATAGGTGGCAAGTTTTCCAGGTACAATTCAGCTTCGTCTCTATTGGTCTCTGCCCTCAGCCTAACCAGTTTCGGACATTCACGTATTCAGGATGCGTTGATAGGTCACTTACATGCTATACAAGGGTTTACATTGTCTGGTCGCTGCTCGGCTTACGTCAAGACTTTTGGAGATACTGTGGTATACCTGGAAGTGAAGACAAGATATGCTGAGAGAGAGAGAGGTATAAAAGGTGGGCAGAACCCCGTCGGTTCCATTTACAATGTCTTTGCGCCAGAGAGCTACCCCGGAAGACCGTCCCTCTATCAGCTCCTGCAGGAAATATCCGGAGCCTGAAAGCTTGTAACAATGTCCAATCGAGACTGCGGGAATATCACATATGGATATGTTGATCCCAGTTTCCCTAGACCAATGTCGGATGATTCCGCGTGCATCATCATATATGGGTACGTCCTTGCAAACAAACAGCACCTGTTTCTCCGGAACCGCGAGCTGATCATCTGGGTAGATATGTCCCTTCTTTGGCCCTGGGAGTTCTCGGCGTCATCCTTTTCATTCTCGCTCTGGTACTTCACCTCTTCTACCTCATTCGATTTCGGACATGGTACTTCAGCACCATGGTCGTAGGCCTGGTCATGGAAGTCGTCGGCTATATCTTCCGCCTGCTGGCATCGAAGCGAAATCCCTACTCCGTCTCATATTTCGTGACACAGTACTTCTGTATTGTGGTCGCTCCGGTTTTCTTCTCCGCAGCGATATATACCATCATCTCGGTCTTGATCAATAATGTCGGGCAAAAGTATGCACCGCTGTCGCCGACGGTGATCTTGTGGAGCTTCATCGCTTGCGATGTGATTGCCACTGCGATTCAAGTGGCAGGGGCCGCGCTCGTCGGGGCGGCCTATTCGGACCAGAAGAATCCAGACACACCAAACAATATCCTCCTAGGGGGACTGGCGTTTCAGGTCTTTTCTTTCACCATGTTCATTCTGGTGTTGACCGTGTTCATGTACAAGGCAAGACAGATCATGGGAACGAAACTGAAGGCCATGACGGCAGCGGTCTTGGTTGCGGCACTTGCGGTGTACCTTCGAACATGCTTCAGACTTGCAGAGACTGCCGAAGGTCTTTTGGAGTACCTTTCGACTCGCGAGGTGTTCTTTGGGTGCTTAGAGTATTTGCCAATTGTGATCGCAGTGTACCTGTTGATATACTGGCACCCAGGCAGATGGATCCACAAGAGAGAAGCCTCCATCAGCGTGGCTAGTGAGTGAGATAGAAGCTCAAAGTAATGGCGTATCCGGATAGAAGGCCTCCCTCGCTTTTTCTAGAGTGGCTAGATATTGCCCCGCCACTGCCCAGCGAGTATTCATGGTTTCAAGCACTCCCCTTAATTCGTGGTAGGCCTCTGCCGCCTCTCCCGATCCCGTCTCATGCACAAGCCAGCCATACGTGGCAGCGGCGACATATAAGCAGTCTCCAACAAGAGGACTGATTGAGGATGGATTGGTCATCATCGATCCCTGCAGGACACGACTAAATTGCAATATGTCTGCTGCCGTGGCCTTCATTCCAGCTATGGATATGGTTTGCATCTCGGTCTCTTCAACTGTTCCCGTACCATGATTGGTTTCGGTACAGGCAAAAGGATCGTATAGGTGAAGAAGGCCACCATAGCACAAAGCCATAGCGGTCCCGTAGTGCGTTGGCAATCTCCGAACATCATCAGGCAGCAAATTTGCCAGCGCCTGGAATGTTCGGTGTAACTGGATTGCCTCAGCGAAGCGCATCGGTGCCTCGAGGATTCTGTCATTCAGTAGTCGGATAAGTCGACCTAGAAGGTGGCAAGCCTGACAAGTGCGTGCAAAGGCTCCGGCTTTGATGCTGGTGGGCGAGGACACATACAAGGGTTCGCTACCGGTAAGCTCTCCCTCGTCCCACAATGTGTCGTCCGCCGGCAGGGTGTCGCTTCTACCTGGATCGTCCGTGGCTAATGGATGGCCATGAGTGCCCAAGTTGACGTATCTAGTAGAATCAGTACTGCCAGATATGGTGGGGATGCGGATTTTACCTGTCCAGAAGCATCGTAGCCCACCAGGTACGCTTAACTTCCTCCAGCTCAGCCCATGCCCCAACTTTCTTCCTGATAACCTGTGGCGCATGCCGGCGGTCGTTCAATCCTAATGCATGCCCAAGTCGAGCACAGTGCCCGGTGGTTAGGTATGCTGCGGGATAAATAGCATGACCAATCTCATACGCGGCGATCAGTATATTCGCCTGCAGCGTTCGATAACATATCAACCCCTGAGACTCGGCCATATAGAAGACACGTTTCGCAAGAGCATATAATGGTGATCGGACACTTTGTGGCCCACCCGAGGGCACGTGAACAATCAGCTTCATACAGAGTACTAACAGGGCCAGATCAAACGAAAGCTCCAGCGCTGGGTTTGTCAATGTCAATTCCATGCGTTTCCTGGAGATGAATGGCAGCCAGGTGTGGACGTTAGCGAAATATCGGTCGACGATGTCCTGAATGTCGAGGATTGAGGTTCCCAATGCAGCTAAAACCTCCGGCGGCACAGGAATTGGTGGCTTTGTAACGGTCATTTGGCTCTCGGTGAAGACTTCAGCATCAAGAAAGAACGTGGCGGGGAACGTGGAAGCATTGTTAGCCGTGACGGCCGTTTCGATGCCCGACGAAGGACTTCTGCTGACTGACTTCATGGGCTCATGCCAACCCAAGTCTGAGCGTCTGCCTTCTAGGCGGGCTTCCAAGTCGGCAATCTTCTGCCTCATGAACGCAAAGTCATCGGCATTTGGGTTGGGCGTTATTTCTGAGTAATCGCATGCTCGGGACATGCGGGTGCATAATGAGCAGTTGGGTAGTAGCTTGTCACATCTCCTCTTCTGCAAGAGCTGTCAGATGGATGGCCGATACAGACTGACTGGTAGGATGAAAGTCGTGGGTAGAAGCACAGTCTTCGTGAATGAAAGAGACTGACCTGTTTTCTGCAGGCAACACATGAATGCGGGGCTTTTGCTGTTTCGGCGACGCCCATGTCCATTGTCGTAGATGGCATGTCATATCAGGAGGTGAGGGATCCGCAAGCCTTTCGATCGACAGCAAACAGAAGATCAATTTTCTGATCTGAGAGGGATCAGGATATCACTACGTTAAGGACTCGAGGAAGAAGGGTTCGGGATCGGGCACAGGCAACAAGCGATTCGTGAACTCCATCTCACGCTTGGTAAAGAGACACGTCAAACTAGAAATGCAATATTATGTAAGCGACAGTTGCACTTGTGGATCGCTCTGTAACATCTGTCGATATTGTCGAACAGGTCTATACCACTCGCCCTGCTAAAATACATGACTGTTGAGAGTCCGATGACTTTGATGCCTGGGCATTCCGAATCTATTTACATTTACTGGGTATACTTCTTCTGAAGGGCCTTCGCTATCGTGGTGAGCTGGATATTGCTCGTTCCTTCGTAGATGGCTCCAATCTTGCTGTCACGGAACATCTTCTCAGCAATGCCTTCTCGCACGAAGCCCATACCGCCCATCCATTCGACGGCCAATCCGCTGACTCTACCAGCTACTTGGCTGGCATACAGCTTAGCCATAGCAGCGTCTGTGACAAAGTCCTCACCGGCCTCCTTCTTTCTCGCCGCATTGTAGACCAGAGAACGAGCGGCGCAGATCTCGGTGTAAGCTTGAGCAAGCTGATGTTGCATACCCTGGAATTCACCGACCAGCTTGCCGAATTGCTTCCGATCATTCCAGACATATTTTGCGGCGTTCTCCCAAGCTCCTAGAGCCAGTCCCGTCATTTGCGCTCCAATGCCTATCCGTCCCTCGTTAAGCAGACCAATAGCATATTTGTAGCCCTCGCCCTCCTTACCAAGGAGGTTTTCTTTGGGAATTTCCACATCGTCGAAAGTGACAACACACGTGCTTGAGGCTCTGATACCAAGTTTCTTCTCCTTCTTGGCGATGCCGAAGCCTTTCATATCCTTGGTGACGACGAAGGCGGTAATGCCCTTGTACCCTGCTTCAGGATTGAGGTTCGCGAAGACAAGGAAGAAGTCTGCCTCCATTGAGTTCGTTATCCACATTTTTGAACCGTTGATCTGTCTTATATGAGCATACAAATCCGATTGCCCTGTCCTTTCCGACTTACCTTGTATCCATGCTCTGTCTTTTCAGCTTTCGTCTTCAGCGCAAACGCGTCGGAACCTGAGACTGGCTCTGACAGACAGAAGGAGCCAACTGTGTTTGTCGCAAGCTTCGGTAGCCACTCCTTCTTGAACTTTTCACTTCCATACTTGAGAATGGCCGTCACCACCAGAGTATTGTGTACATCACACAAAACGGACACTGAGGGGTCTACTCTAGCAAGCTCTTCGATACCAACGATGGCCGCTGTGAAGTTCATTCCAGCACCTCCATACTCTTCTGGGATCTCGAAAGCCATCAGTCCTTGTTCAAACATTTGCTCCACTACAGCCGGATCCATCTTTTCTGCCTCGTCCATTTCCCGAACCTTGGGGGCCACTTCCTCGTTTGCCCATTTGGAGACGGACTCTGCGAGCATTCGTTCCGTCTCGGAGAAATGTGTGATAGGCGTTGGCGAAAGGGAGTCAGTGTCGACATTGTCGGGCATGTAGGGTTCGGGATGGCGTTGTCTTGAGCTGGCGGCGAACGTTCTTTGACTGGCAGGCGGTAAGCAGGAGACCATTTTAGCGCTGTAACTATTCTTACGGTACAAATTTCCTCCTAGGAAGCGTTCTGGCTGTTGAGCTGCGTGAAGCAAGGGAGGACGAGGTTTTGGCCAGCGGCCGCAGTGTCCTGCATATTGAGGCCATTGAGACAATGTTGTGTTGTTGTAGGCCGAAGAACGCCCCCAATGTTTATACACTGTCTTGCATTCACTGGTGTACTACTCGGGAGCGTGGCTTCAGTGTCTTGAAGATGTCGAGGTTCGAGGAGCGGGTGGTTGCGGAAAGTGGCATGTTGACCTTCTTCGATCTTATGAGCTTCCGGCGTTGTCCCTCGGTCCCCCGGTTAAGAGCGGCTTCTGTGCTTCTGGGCCTGTCGCGCGCTGAACCGCTGGACCGATCTCCAGTCACTCCCACCCAGACTCCGAGTCTCCAGGCAAGGGGCCCGGCCGTAATTCGGGTCATCCCCAGATCTTGAAACAAGATCAGAAAAGGTCGGATCCGAACATCAAGTACCACGTATTTTGGTACCGCATGCACACGCATGTACCGAGGTGACTACCTGGACCTCACCGTGTCTCTGCTGGATAAAACAACGGCCGCTGGTCTGGAAGCCTCACCAGCCACCTTGTGGCTTGACGATACCTTGTGGCTTGATGCTGCGCCACAGCGCCACAGAGTTGTGACGTACTGCGACGACGAGTAACCGCCCAGATTTGCGCAGGGTGACGATGATTGACTGGAGACAAGACAATGCCCAGAAATGATGGTAGCCAGCTATTCTTGTACGCAGTATATTAGACCAAGCGGTAGGCGCCCAAGATGAATTTCGACCATTGCTCCTCTCCTCCTACCTCACGCCCTCCGTCACTCTGGTGATTGTTTACTTGATTCTATAGTCGTCAATACGACTACCTAAGATAGCCATGTCGGCAGGCCACTCTGAACCTCAAGTCCTCTACAGCGTCCAGAACATCTCTGCATTCGCCGTGCAAGATGGAGAAGAGCATCCGATTACCACAACAGGGCCACAGACCCTTTCGCTACTGATGGTGCCAACTGCATCACCTTTTGCAGATCTCTCCACCACCGAGCCAACAAGCGCCGCCCCGGAAGAAGACTTCTACCTCCATCTTCACCTGCCTCCAGAGCTCGATCTACCATTGCCTGCGACGACTCAGATCTTCCACAAACCACCGAGCAGTTACCTCATCCCGCGGTGGGACTTGGGCCCCGATTCTGGAGCTTTCATACGCCTTCAGTTTCCTTCAATAGGTACGGGGCCGGGGAAAGTGACCCAAGAGGAGGTAGACACTTTCGAGACAATCCTCGCACAGTGTACGGCATTCCTTGAGAGAGCTCACACAGCCGATCCTGGCTATGAACGATATAATCCACAAGATTACAAGCCAGGACAGGGATACATCAGCTCTGCAGGCACGGGAAGTGGTCACCTGCCTCAGCATGGTCAGATCGTCCTTATAGACGAAGAGAACGGCAGCGTGATTGGAGAATTGGGAGAAAATTATGATGTGATTGAGGCCTCTAGCGTCAGACCTGGGTCAAAGCGTATGTGCCTGCTTTGCTTCTTTTCGAGCACATTACTCACAAGCTATATAGGCCCCGTACAACTTCAGCTGCCTACTGAAGGACAAGGCAACCAAATTCGGGTGGACAATGTGTCTGAAGAGTACCTGTCACTGGCGACACACCCTGCTTATGCCAAATCGACCATCGTACAGAGTTCCGCCACCGCTTCCAGGTTCATAGTCACCAGCTCGAATTATTTGGCCGAAAAGATGTCATCTGGTGCGGATTCATATCAAATGAAGACACAGCCGAATCCGAAACCTATGACCTTTTCTCCTGCGACCCACGCTCGCATTCGACAGATTCATTCTTTCACTCAAGGTGCCGTTGGACTGAGTGCGAAGACTGTGGGCCAATTGGGAAAATATGCTCAGAACTTTGGCGCCAGAATGGCCGGCAAAGGTGAGAAAGGCAAGAAAGAACCCGGCAAAGACTTCAAACCGGGTTTTCTGAACAAGTCAATGATTGCTTTCTCAACTATTGCCGATGGCATCGATCAGGCTGGTCGGAATCTTTTGGCCTCCAGCTCAGTAGCAGCAACCAACGTGGTCGGTCACAAGTATGGCAAGGAAGCCGGCAATGTCATGTCAGGTCTGGCAGGTGGTGTGAAGAATGTTGGTCTGGTCTACATTGACGCGATGGGAGTTTCAAGACGAGCAGTGATCAAGTCTGTGGCCAAGGGCATGGTCATTGGACGCATGCCAAACGGCCAGCAACTGGTGGTAGGGGCCGGTGATGGTGGTGTTGTGCCAGCTGAGGCACTGCCCCATGACGCGAAGGAAAGCGACCATTACTCGAGTGACGTCTATGGAGGGGCTGCACAATCCGGTGTCAGCAAACCAGGATATGGTGTTGAGAGTTTCGGGAATGCTGCAAATGGACCACCGGCCTACTCTTCTGGAGTAGGCGAGCCGTTGGGGTCGACATTGCAAGGACAAAACGTGCGGGAGAAGCGCTGAGAGTATGATATATGATGGCATGTTTATGAAAAGCATTCTATCTGTTCCACGAAACAAAGATGATATCAAGGTCCCCCAACATGGCAATTGTTCTGGAACACAGACCGGACCAGGGTCCTCGTGGATGAAACAACGCACTGTGCAATGAGGTGATGTCGAGCATCCGTGCACCAGGATCCCGTGAATCAAGGCTCTGTGTTCCTGTTTCTGAATCTGGCTTGGTTCGCTGAGATGGCCTGCATGACATTTTGACCGTCGGAAGTGGCTGAAACTCGCGACAGGGCCAGCGTCGGTTGAGACAGGCACTTCAACTGGAGCAAATCGACGGCGCCCTAGGGTCGCTTTTCTACCGGATTCAGGAAGTAATATCCGAATCCTCCAACTTTCAATCTGCTGAGTTTGATCCTTTTGCTCACTATAGATCTCAGCCGTGGGACCTCATACCGGTGCTCGTAATGCTGCGGCCCATGCTTGCAGATCGTGAGGGGAATGGCCGAGGCTTTCACATGCACTGATGGAGCGGGTCAAGCAGGCGATCGCTGTCAGGTGGAGCGACCGTCGAACTGCTTGATAGCGCGTCGTGTAGGTTTGTTCTGGCCGCCTGCCGAGAACCTTTGGGACCACTGACTATCAGCGGAATAATGCCCCTCATGCTGCTAAGAGCGTGTTGGAACAGTGACATCGATGACCAGACCGTGACAGATCCAAGTGGTCGCGGTCAGAGTTTTCAATGGTGGTTCACCGGCTCAGCGAAGAATCCTAGAGGCAGAGTAGCATGACATTCATACCGAAATACCTAGACTTCCCGTGTGGACGTGCAATCTGATTTGATCTCTCGGCTGCCACTTCAAACCCAATGAATTATTCCAAGTCGCGTCTGCGGGCGTTTCAGAGATCGAGTAGCCAGCAATAAAACCCGAACTTTTGCTAAGGGAAATGGGCTGCCGCCAACCTCGTGCCTATTGTGTAATCTCATGCCTGCTCTGTATACCATGAGGTTGCCCTTCCTCGGCAAACCCACGATCGAACTGTTCATCGCATTATTGACTGCAAGTTTGTTGAGAGAGAACTGGTGGAGAACCAGTGCCCCCTATTTTCCGACGCGTGCTAATAAACCGGGGAAGAGGCGCGCACGAAATGGATATAGATTGGGTAGTTACGGTATTTTATAGAGGGACTTCTGTGATCGGTGTCCTGAGCGTCGCACCGGTGCAGATGGCCAAAAATGATGAAACAGAGAAGGGCTCATCCACGGCAACGAGTACTCTGTAGATGAATCCCGTCTGTAGCAACCATTGTCATGATGGTGAGGGGATAGAGATACAATAGCCCATTGTGGCTTGACTCAAGCTAATTCCCCCTAGCGTGGCTTCTCTTGTTGCTTGGTGGAGTGGAAATGGGCCCCCAAGAGAACAGAATTGGCCGCCTGTCTGAGAGGGAAGAGAGCCTGGTAGTCTGCGCTGCTGGAGCCGAAGACTGCGCTGGCTATCTCGTTCACCGACTGCTGTACACAGAAAACAGAAAACACACTACCTAGGTCACTATCCTATTGCCGCACCCTTTCGACTACGCACCTATCGACATTCTCTTGCGCTCAACACGCCTCAGACCTCACAACGCCCACCGCTTCCCTTCTTGGATGTTCCTGCTGGCCAGTCAACAAACTATCTCCCGCCGATCTGTCTCGACTCTAAGTTAAACGCGATGACTGCGATCCTCCTACCTCCTCACCACCTGACTTCCATCCGTGTTTGTTGATGATTGGCCGTCGAGTACACACATTCGCAGCCTCATCAGGGAAATATTCTCTGCCGGCGTCGCAGGTCGACGTCTCCCTTGACCTCGTCGTTCTGAGTGTGTTGTCCTGAGAACACCCTCGAAACAGCTTAATCTCATCCCGCACCTCTCGTTCGCAACGTGAGAACACCTTGTCGGCTCTCTTTCGCCGCTCTCCCTTCTGTTGTCACAGGGTCGCACTCCATCTTGTCAATATTCTTGGGACACTGCATCCACAAGAGAAGAGTCACGTTTCTGGATGAAGAGGGACAAGAAGTTGGTGAAGGCGATCACCTTTTGTTTACATTACGCACCAACTAACCTCCGCTGCCACAGATACTTTCCTGACCACATTTTCGAATTCTGCGAGTCCGAACACCTTCTGGCGACATTGTACGCGGAAGTCTCTCTCTGATTGCGCGGAAGTTGTTTAGGGTCTGTGGTCGAGGCCACGGCTCAGGTGGAAGAGGATTCCCATGGATACTATGCAGGCTACTGGGCAATACAGAGAACATGTCCCAACATCTGCCACATATTCTCCATCGAGCAGTCGTCACTACGACGATCACCAAGACATGGATCCTGAAGGATATTACACCAATCAACCTGTAAGTTCGAATTCCATGATCTGCGGACTTGTTGTCGATGCTGATGCTGTCGATCTATAGTACTACCGTTCTCAAAATACAAGTGATGCTCTAAGACACGCATCAGAGCAAGAACAAAGTCCTATCCACGCGTCTTCATACCACCAGCAGACCACATCCTTACCTTATCACGTACGCAACCAATCTGCCATCCATGATCAGTTTGACGGGGCGCCTATTCCACCACCCAGAACTTCATCACAACAACAAGGCTCTCCGCGAACGCAAGCAGCTTCTGCAAGACATGCGAGACACCACAATCCTGATAGCCAGTCCAGTCGCGTTCAAAACCGTGTCGGAGATTACAACGAGGAAGTGCCAGACCGAGCACGGGACGATACAGCTACTGCGGCTGCATCTGCTGCACGTAGCCGACGAAAAGGGCCGTCAAGTCCCGAAGGCCCACAGCGAGCCGCAAGCACAAGAGAACGAAATCAACACACTGCACCTCCACCCAGCCGATCTGAAGCCACCATGCAATCCTCTAATTCACCCGCGCCTTTGGTACGTGAATACAGTGAGGTGATCAAAAGAGTGGTCGTGTCCGATCCCCAGGAAGATGAGGAGAGGGCTCAAGAGCGAGTTGCTGAGGCCCAGCCGGCGCCCATCGGCACAGATGCTCCAACCGTGCCAGACGACGGGGACGACCTACTTCCTGCTCCAGGGCCAGCTCGTCGGCAAGACTATTCAAAATCGCGCCGAAAAGAAATACAATTTGGTGATTATGTACTCGGCCAGACCCTCGGAGAAGGTGAATTCGGCAAGGTCAAGTTGGGCTGGAAGAAGGACGGAAGCTCCCAGGTGGCCATCAAGCTCATTCGAAGAGAAAGTGTCGCCAATAACCCTAGCCGACTCCCCAAGATCTACCGAGAGATAACCATCCTGAGGGAACTGGCCCATCCCAACATTGTCCGACTACACGAAATGGTGGAGACCGAGCGACATATTGGCATCATACTAGAGTATGCTTCTGGTGGTGAGCTCTTTGATTACATTCTGAATCATCGCTACCTCAAAGATCCTGCAGCTAGAAGGTTGTTCGCTCAGCTGGTTTCTGGTGTCGGCTATCTTCACAAGAAAGGAATTGTTCATCGAGATTTGAAGTTGGAAAACCTGCTTCTCGACCAGAACCGCAACATCATCATCACGGATTTCGGATTCGCCAACACCTTTGACCCTGCTGATGAACTCTCGGACGAGATCGTCTACAATCTCAGCAACAAGGATTTTGTCAGAAAGTTCAAACTCGACCGGCTAGATCAGCGTGGAATGCGACGAGGAGATCTGATGCAGACTAGCTGTGGTAGCCCTTGCTATGCGGCTCCCGAATTGGTTGTCAGCGACTCATTGTACACTGGAAAGAAAGTCGATGTGTGGAGTTGCGGAGTCATTCTGGTATGTCGGAAAAGCTCTGGAAGATGGAGATTGGGCTAACAGTTTGCAGTATGCCATGTTGGCTGGTTACCTACCTTTTGATGACGACCCATCGAATCCGGAGGGCGACAACATCAATCTTTTGTACAAGTACATCACCACCACTCCGCTGACCTTCCCCGAATATGTGACGCCGCATGCACGGGATCTCCTTCGTCGCATTCTAGTGCCAGATCCGCGCAAGCGTGCCGATCTGTTTGAGGTGGCCCGCCATAGTTGGTTAAGTGAGTATCATCATGTTGTCTCTCACATCACTAGTAGCACTACCAATGTGGCGGATATTGCGCACACTACCGTGCCATCCGGTAAGTTCTTCGACTCCCGTCAAATGTTGCTACTGACCTCCTGCAAGAAGAAGAACCACCCACAATGCATAGAAGCGCCTCTGTACGTGAGGGACCTTCGAGGACTGATGTTGGCTCTCCTGGCGCTATCGCCCGTGCTCAGGAAGGACTGCTACCTGAGGTAGACGAAGGCTCGACTGGTTCACGACGTGATCGAGCCACTCGTCACACCTTGCAGCCGGAGTACGTTCCACCTCAGACACACACCGCCCGTGTCCAGCCGTCGGCGACCGCAGCGGCAGTCGTTGCCCGTAGTCGAACCGAGGAGCTCAAAGACACTCCAACCGCGATCTTGCCACCGTCCTTGACGAAACCTCTACCCCAGGAACCTCCTATTGAGACCACTCAGAGAAGACCACCGACCACAGAGAAGATGCCACCTCCAGTTCGCCCGGCCCGAGACATTCCAAGATCCGTATCGGATTCTACCACGGCATTTGGTACAGTGGTCCCTACGAGCGGCGGTCAGTATGTGACACGACCAAGCACACAAGGCTCCATGACATCTGCTGGGGCACCTGCCAACACAAGATCTGACGTTCGATTGCCATCTCGAGGATCTTATGGTCAGCCAGTCGCGCCGACGGTTGCTGCCACCAACGTACAGGGTCGAGTTACTCAACCAACGAAGCCTAGCCGGGGCTACAATATTTCCGGACCTATCCCTCAATCAGGCGGCCATCCCTCGATTGGCCAACCAATGACGACGCCAATGCCACCACAAAGTGCACAACAGCAACAGAAGACTGCTCATCACCGCCGATCGAGTACCTTGAGTGGCCTTGGGGAGCGCCTTTTCGGCCGGTCGAACTCTGTGGTCAAAAAGGACCCTGAGCGACAAAAGAACGGACGGAAGTATCCTCCAACTAGCATGAAAGAGTATGCACCTGAGACACAACCTCGCATGTCGACGGATTCGAAGCGCTCATTCTCATTTGGTCTGGGTAAGAAGAGAAGCACGGATTTGGAGAATCCAGGACAGTCTGAAAAACCGGTACGGCGATTTTCACTTCTTAATTCAATGTCGTTCAAAGGTCTGATGGGTGGCTCCAAGGACCAAACCTCATCCAAGCCCGGGACTCCTCAAGCCGAGCGGTTTGCCTCGTCCAGTTCGAGTCGCCCAGGAACCGGTCAACAGTATGCGGTAGAGCCGATGTCTAGTACGGATGGTCAGTACGATAATTCACGACCAGGAAAATACAACAATTTTTCTCGGCCTCCTCAGTCACAATACCCACAACAGCGAATGGCCTCGACACAAGCATCGAATGATGTCTACGGCGGAACAGGCGTCTATTCTCCACAAGACCAAGGACGCGTCCCTCATCAGCGGCAACAGAGCGAGCCGATGGCGCAAATGATGACACAATACCCTGAAGCTGTCGAGGGCCGACCTTCGATGCAACAGGGCAGACAACGTGGAGTTCTCGTCAAGAACAACCGCAAATTCACAGATGCTTATGCACATGATCAAGGACCGAATCACCATGGTGGACGGTCAGGCGCGGTTAAGAAGGTGCAAGACTTTTTCCGTCGACGTCGTGGCACGGACGAATATCGATAAAGGAAGAAAGCGACGTTTTGGTTTCTGGTCGCTTGCGAGCATTCGACCGCAATATTCCCCTTGGCCAATATTGGAGCGGCGACAGATTTTCTTGTAATGATTAATTGATTGTTTGGCAGGCATTGAGTTCCCTGTACTAGGTTGGGGATTTTGTGGACGATCACAATCAGCAATTTCTCTTCTCCTGCTTCTGGTCCCGACGACGGATTATTGAACAGGTTGTTTGTCGGATTACATTCCAGTCTTGACGGCGTTGAAAGTTTGCCGCTGGAGAATTGTGAGTTGAGTACTGGAGCTTTGCAAAGACAGCGTGGGATACCCCTACATAGCATTATTGAATGAAGAAGATGCCGCTCGAGCAGAGTGGTTTCGCTTGTGACTTTTTTCTTTCTTTTCCAGATGTTACATGACAGAGGTTGATCAGGATGCATCAGACATTCCCTCGCACCCTCGCCATCGACCTTGGAAGATGACATGGAGGAACGGTCGGGACTTCGCTCGGTGACAAGTCGGTGTATTAATGCAGATGCAGAAGAAGTGTGTCCACCAATGCAACTCTCCGCTGCGCCTCTGGCGTCATGCATATGCACTTGTTGATCGTCAGGTCAAGCTTTGTGGAGGGAGCTTCGTGTTGTTTCGTGTTCGTGATGATTACGAGAAGAAATGAACCTCATCCAGTCTGATGGCTTGTCTGTATACAAGAGAATAAGTGACAAGGTCTTTAGAACTCTTCATCACTGGAAGATAGACGATGGCACGGTGCCAATAAGGGCACAGTACATACGAGTCAAGCAAGTACTTGTACATCGAAGCGAGCGATGATCCTTTGCTTCCCCGCGAAATCACGCCCACCAGCCTCAAACCACTCTTGCTCGTAGTTCCTCCACGCTTCTCCTCCCACTCCTCCAAGTCTACCTAGGGAACCATTCTTCATTCGACAACGAGCCCACTTTGCTACGTCGTCGATCAAGGTCTTGAGGTGCTCCAATCGGTGGCACTCAGATGGCACCTGAAGCTGCCCGAAGAGGGATACCGCTGGCTCTCCTTGTCTAGAACGTTACATGGAAAATCTGTGCCTGAGGGGCATGAACCAGTCATGAAGCTCAGCAATCGCTTTGTGATGGCCGGGGTCATCGCTTTAGGCTGTCTCGTGGTTTTCCTGGCGAGCGGTGACATTCTCCGCAGAAACTTGTTCGTGTCATCATGGTAAGTCGTCCACAGTCGTCAAAGGCTCGGAGGCTTCATCCTTTAAAATCCAATGTGCTTTTCCCCATGGGATCTCCTTGGAACTGGCATCTCACAGCTTTCTTTCCAGTCTCGAACCTATTATTCATCCGCTGGGTCTTGACGAGCGGCTTCGCTCTACCAACTCCGTCATGATGAAGACTGCTGGTCTGTTGTCGAGCTTGTTCCTTGCGCCTTGCCTTGGGGTACCTCAAGCGTCAACAGCGGCTTCCCGTGCTTCATCGACGACCTCATTCGCGGCACAATTCACCGTGCCGTCGAGTGCCGACGAAGGAGCGTCTCTCCTGCCAAATGTCTACGATCCAACTGCAGCCGACGCCCAAGCCGAGTGCCCCGGATACAATGCGAGTGCTGTTAAGACTTCATCAACTGGCTTGACCGCTCACCTGACCCTGGCTGGTCCTGCTTGCAATGTCTATGGCACAGATGTCCACGACTTGGACTTGACGGTTGAGTATCAGACCGACGCCCGCCTTCATATCAATATCCGCCCCTCTCATGTTACTGCTCAGAACCGGAGCTGGTACTTCCTCTCCACAGACTACGTGCCAGCTCCGAGCCATGAGAGTGGCAAGATGACTACTAGCGACTTGACTTTTTCTTGGGCCAATACGGCAAGGGCTGGCTTTGGTTTCAATGTCACCCGGAACAGCACTGGTGACGTGCTTTTCTCCACGACCGGATCCAAGTTGGTCTTTGAGAATCAGTTCATTGAGTTGGTGACGCACCAAGAAGAGAACTACAACCTTTATGGACTCGGCGAAGTCATTCATGGCTTGCGACTGGGCAATAACCTCACACGGACGATTTATGCTGCAGACGCGGGCGACCCGATTGACATGAACATCTATGGAAGCCATCCATTCTACATGCAAACCAAGTATTTCGAGGTCGGCAACGACAGTAGCACGACACTCGTGACAGAACAGCTTGATACCACAAAAGCTACAGCTAACTATACCTCTTCTACACATGGCCTATACTTCCGAAATGCTCATGGCATGGAAGTCCTGATGCGCGCCACCAATGTCACATGGCGGACACTGGGCGGCAACATCGACCTGTATTTCTTTTCAGGACCGACACAGCCGGATGTCACTCATCAGTACCTCAATGTCATCGGAAAGCCAGTGCTTCAAAACTATTGGGGCTTCGGTTTCCATCAGTGCCGATGGGGCTACGAAAACTGGACCGTCACAGAGGATGTGGTGAACAATTATGCCAAGTTCGAGATTCCCCTGGAGACAATTTGGAACGATATCGACTACATGTTCCAGTATCGAGACTTCGCCAACGACCCTGTTCGTTTCAACTACTCTGAAGGCAAGGCTTTCCTGCAAAGACTCCATGACAGAGGTCAACACTATGTACCTATCATTGACAGTGCTATCTATGCACCCGATCCCAGTAACGCAAGTGATGCGTACCCAACCTTCAATGACGGCAATGACACTAATTCGTATCTTCTCAACCCTGATGGGTCATTGTACATTGGTGAGGTTTGGCCTGGATACACAGTAAGTTTCCCTATTTCTATCAAAAGTCCTGTGCATGCTGGCACGACCGTCTGACTATCTGCCTGCAGGTTTTCCCTGATTGGCTCACCAGCTCAGCCAAGACGTGGTGGAAGAATCAGATGGTCGCGTATTACCAGAAGATCCCCATTGACGGTGCCTGGATCGACATGAGCGAAGTCTCGTCCTTTTGTGTCGGTAGCTGCGGCTCGGGCAATCTGTCACTGAACCCTGTTCATCCACCGTTTTTGCTATCGGGCGAGCCAGGAAACGTCATCTACGGTTACCCAGAGGGCTTCAACCTGACGAACGCCACGCAGGCCGCATCTGCTGCGTCTGCATCACAGTCCCAGGCAGACGCCACTTCAACGGCTTCGAGCACGACGGCGAGTGCATCATCGTCGTCCACCTCGACGAGCTATCTGCGTACCACGCCTACGCCAGGTATACGCAACGTCAACCACCCGCCGTACGTTATCAACCATGTCCAAGGCGATCTGGCCGTGCACGCCGTGTCGCCGAACGCAACGCACCACAACGGGATCATGGAATACGACGTGCACAACCTTTTCGGCCATCAAATCCTGCAAGCGACATACGCTGCGCTCCTGGCGGCCAGACCAGGGAAACGGCCCTTCATCATCGGCCGCTCGACATTCGCCGGCTCGGGGACCGTGGCAGGGCATTGGGGCGGCGACAACGAATCCAAGTTCTACTACATGTACTTCTCGATCCCGCAGGCTCTGAGCTTCAGTCTCTTTGGGATCCCCATGTTCGGCGTCGACACGTGCGGGTTTAATGGCAACAGCGACGAAGAACTGTGTAACCGCTGGATGCAATTGAGCGCCTTCTTCCCTTTCTACCGCAACCACAACGTGCTGTCGGCAAACTCGCAAGAAGCATACGTGTGGAGCAGTGTGATCGACGCGACCAAGACGGCCATGGCCGTGCGCTTCCAGCTCCTGCCGTACTTGTACACGTTGTTCTACAACGCGCATGTCAACGGTGACACCGTCATGCGCGCTCTGGCGTGGGAATTCCCCAACGATCCCTCGCTGGCCAGCGCGGATCGGCAGTTCTTCCTGGGACCTTCGATTTTGGTGGTTCCGGTCCTGACCCAGGGCGATACGTCGGTGAATGGTGTTTTCCCGGGTCTCGTCGAGGGCACCGACGTGTACTATGATTGGTACAACAAGACACCGGTGAGTGTGCCGTCGAGCAAGAACACCACGATCGATGCGCCGCTCGGTCATATCCCGGTGTACATCCGCGGCGGGGCGATTCTGGCAACGCAGCAGATGGCCATGACGACGAGGGAAGCGAGAAACACGTCGTGGTCGATCATAGTGGCGCCCGGCGTGGACGGCACGGCCACGGGGACGTTGTACCTTGACGACGGGGAGAGTTTGAAGCCCAACGCGACGAAATTCGTCAGCATGAGCGCGGCCATGGGCTCGTTGAACGTCGCGGTCAGTGGTGGGTATACGGGCTTGGATCTGCCGTTGGCGAACATCACGATTCTTGGTGTGCAGAGGGCGCCGCCGAGTAATGTGGTCAAGATCAATGGGAAGACGGTGGGCAATAGCACGTACGATGCGAGCAGCAAGACGTTGTTCATCGGAGGCTTGCAGACCGCAATGGGTGGGAAGGTCTGGGGTGGAAATTGGTCTTTGTCCTGATTTTTACTCATCGAATGACACCCCGCCGCTGTGTCACGATGTTCTTCTCAGCTAGAGAGTAAGCAAGGAACGGCTTTTATGAGGCACCCCTAAACAATGGATGGGATTTCTCCCCCAGAAGAAAGGGAAATGCAAACCCCAGCAATCTCGGCTTCATGGTCGCGGTCGTAGTCGTGGTCCAAAGTTTACGAGCTTTGCTCGCCAGGAACTCCGCGCCACGGATCAGCGAGCATCATCTTCCCCTGAGGAGATTGCCAGAAGCTGCCCGTCGGACACTCGTACTTCTCGAACTCGTCTGGTTTCACATCGCATGAATATCCTGCCTGCGTGGGACTGACATGGTAGCCGTCTGGTGTGATTTGAGCAGGCGCTTCAAATGCTTCGTGAAGGTGGTCGGTATACTCGAGAATGCTGGTCTGGCCCGAGACCGCCACAAAGTCGATGGTGCTAATATGCGAGCACAGCTCCACCATCCCGGCCCCGCTTCGGACTGTCTGTCAGCCGGGACATCAAGGAATTTCTCAATCTTACGAGATCGATAATACAAGGAAGACATGGGGTTTGGGGGAGGGGATTTTTGACTCACCCGGAATGAGGCACGACGGGGACTCCGAACTTGGCACTGAGCAACAGCACGCTCAGGATCTCATTGACGCTGCAGAGCCGCAGTGCGTCAAGCTGGACGGCGTCTGTGGCCTCTGCTTGGAGCAGTTGTTTGAACATGACGCGGTTGTTGATATGTTCTCCCGTGGCGACGCCGATGCCATACGGTTTCAGAGCCTTGCGGATCTTGGCATGGCCCAGTATGTCGTCCGGAGAGGTTGGCTCCTCGACGAACCTGTCGATGCTGCCCGTTAGCTACCTACATCACCGTACGGGCCAATTTATTTTTGGCTTTTTCTTCTTGCCCTGCTTACCAGAGATTGAGATGTGCGAGGTTCTTCATGTACTCGATTGCCTCGTCGACATCCCACAGCTGATTGACGTCGACCATGAGAACTGCATCCTGGCCCGCGACTTCTCTCACTAATCCCAGCCGTCTGAGGTCCGCTTCCAGGCCAAGTCCCGCCTTTAACTTGAAGTGTTTGAACCCTTGGGCCTTCGCTGACTGGAGAAGTTCGCGAACCTGCCTGTAACGTCAAATTGCCGCCCCTTATGCCGGGCCGAAAGCAGACCACAACGCACCTTGTCATCTGAATGGCCCAACCAGCCTGCAGATGTGTTGTACGCTGGAACTGCTTTGTTCTGCAGCGCCAACTTCAAGCGGTCGGCTTTGGACGCTTCCAGACGCTTCAACATCTGCAGGACCTCTTGGCGAGTAAGAGCGTCGGTGAGGTATCGGAAATCGATACAGCGGACAGTCTCTTCCGGAGAGAGATCGCAAACCAGTCTCCACAACGGCTTCCCTTCGCTCTTGGCCCAGAGGTCCCAGATGGCGTTCAACACCGCGCACGTTGCAAGCTGAAGCACTCCTCGCTCGGGCGACATGAAGCGAATCTGGCCAGACACCATCTTCCGCTGGGTATCGCCCATGTTCGAGGTTAGGCTTGATAATTTCCGTCCAACCAACCGCGGCGCTAGACTTCGTATGGCTGTACACAGCACGCTGGAGAAATTGCATGAGACGGCTAAGTAATATCGGGCAGAGGAGACAAAATCCAAACTCACTCGTTGCCTTGGCCATTGCTGAAAGACCATCCAGTGCCGAATAACCCGGTGTCAGTCTCATACTGGAGATAGCCCAGAGCATTCTCGCCAGCCAGATTCATGGGATCCGAACCAATGTTCTCGAGCGAAGTAGGCCATCTCAAATCCCTGACGGTAAAAGATGTTATTGTTGGGTCGGTAGCTGTCATGTTTGGTGGCCAGATGAGATAGACTGGCGCCGTCTTGGGAGTCATGTATCTCTGGTCTTCGGCCTGCCCCTTTCACATGTAAGGTCAAGGTTCTGGTATCGACGGGTTTGGCCGTCCTCGGAAGTTCTTTCGGAATGAGCTTGGAGATCTCGGGACACCAGCATCGCTAACCAGCACTGTGCGGAGAAGATTATTGGCCTTCCACGGAAATCTCGGTAAAGGGCTTTTGTTGACAAGACCTGTAATGTTGTGATCCCATGATCTAGTGGAGCGAGATGCTGGATGTACAGAACAGAATCTAGACAACCGGCAAGATGGGCAAAGGTGTAAAGATCCTCCGACCTGGAGTGTATGCCCCGGTGTTGACGCCTTTTAGCAATGACATCCGGCAAGACCTTGAGCTGGAGGCGTTTCGTGCTGGTGTCCTCAGGTTGGCGCAAGCAGGAGTCGGGCTCATATTGAGTGGCACCCTAGGGGAGGGAAATTTGCTTTCCAGGTCCGAGAAAAGTGCACTGGTCAAGGGTGCCAAAGAGGTCCTGAGACAAAATGATCTCGAAACTGATGTGCCCATCATTGCCGGCGTGGGTGCGGGCAGTTTTAGAGAGACAATTGAGGCCGCCAAAGACGCCGCTGCCGAGGGAGCTCACGCTGTGTACGCCAGATCACGCTGATGCGCGCTCAGACAACTGACATCCAAGCCAGAATTGTCGTTGCACCGGGGTATTATTCCTTCGTTTTCGGGAAGGACAAGCAAGCCCTGAAAGAGTTCTTCATTGCCGTTGCTGATGCCAGCCCCGTCCCGGTCCTGCTATACAATGTGAGTTGTAGTTCCCGTCGTGAAACACGCTGACAATCATGATGCAGATTCCCTTTGCATCCGGAGGAATCGACCTGGATGCTGATTTCCTCATCGACATTTCGTAAGTTCTGCAGGCTCACTGTGAGGGAGCTGAGAACTGATCGTGTAGGGAACACCAGAACATTGTGTTTGTGCCACGATCGTGTTCCATAGAGAGCCTTTAATGACTGAGTGTCTGATAGTGGCGTGAAGCTTACCTGCTTTAACATCTCCAGGGGCCATCGGGTGGCACTGCATGTCAATTCTGCAGAATATCGAAGCAGACATACGTCGCCTTTTCTGGTCTTGCCCGGGTCCACCGATTATATGCTCCCCGCGCTGGTTGCTAGACAGCATGGATGCATTGGGGGCCGGTACGTAGCAAGATGACAGTCGGCTGGGAACAGAGTAGCTGACATTCTCAGAGCGAACCTGTACCCGAAAGTTTGCATGAAGCTGTTCCGATTGGCAACTGAAGCAATCGAGTCTGGGGACTTTGACAAGTACGTGTTTCCACTTACGGCCCAACGCGATGCTGACGGTGGAATCAGGTTTCGAGAAGCACAGCAATTGCAGGACTTGGTGACGATGGCGGACTCTCATATCAACCGAGTGGTTGGTCCAAGTGCTGGGTCAAATGAGATTTGGTCCAAAAGCTGACCATGATCAGGGCTTTCTCGGTATCAAATCGGCCATGGATATCCATGCGAGAACAGAATCGGCAAATGTCAAGCTTGGAGGAGATTTCAGACGACCATTGCCTCGGACGAATGAATTTGTCTTGCAGAATATGTCGGAAGGTCTGCGCGAGATCTTCGCGATGGAAAATTCTCTGTAGAGAACGGATGGGAAGATGAATCAGCCATTATCAGCTTACCTGATACTTGTACTTCAATGTAGACGCTGCGGGATGCTTGATCATGATATGCCTAATCGTATGGCGAAGGAGAGGATGACAATGGCGAGAAGGTGCTAACTTAGTTACCTGATAGGTGTGGAGCAGCCGACAATGCCGAGCAAGTGCCCATAACGCGCAGCCTAAATCGTTTCCAGTTAATGGTGCCAAGGCCTAGAGATCCCGCCTCACCCGCCGATGAACCCCCTAAGTTGGCTCCCTAGGTGGCTTAGACTTGCCGAGTACACTCCAAGACTTCATGCCGCCAGCGTACCTAGGTATCTAAACTTAGTTGTACGTAGCAATTTCACTTCGACTACCCTCATCATGGCCTTGCCCATCACCGTTTGCTGTCTTCAACATAACCATGCCTCAAGACGATTCCAATACAGTCCAGTCTAAGCGCCTGCGTGGCAAGTATGTTTCGCAAGCTTGGTGAGGTCAAATACTCTCTTCAAACTCGGTGACTGTAGCTGACGAATTGCCCAGTGTCCAGTGTCGCCAGCGCAAGCTGAAGGTGGGATTCTATTTGTCCCATACATACGGTTCACTTCCAACCCTGATGTTCACAGTGCTCTGGGGCATTTCCTTGCCAGCGCTGTACCTTGAGAGGTCAGCCGTGTCATTTTGGCCACAACGCAGGAGGAAATGTGACCATCGAGCAACCCACGGGCAATCAGATCTTACGCTCGACGCGCCAATCACCCTCACCTGCTCTTCAATTACAACGGTCGTCCTCGAGCTCCGTGGAAGCCCGACTGGGCAGACTAGAAGCAAAGCTCGATGCTCTTCTCTCTGCAAGGGGCGACGACACTTTCCGGTCGAATGCTTCATCCGAGGCTCCTCCAGAAGCAACTGAGGATTTTCAAGGCAAGTGTTGTCACTAGTTAGCATTCAGAAATCTAAACTTGCCGATTGGTAGGTGATACTACCTTCGAGGCGCCTTTGTCGGCATTGAATGCAAATCTGGAGTCAGTTAAGGCCCAGCTTGGTCTCCAGGACTCAACACGGACCGCCCGGCTTTCAGTTTCGAGCCAACACGAGTCGCAAGACCAACAGATCACATCTCCTTCCATTGCTTTAAGCGAGCCAGTACGCGGACTTCGAGTCGGGTCACGGTTCCTTCCATTTCCCAGCCCTCGGGATTACAGCGAATATATCGACTTCTTCTTTGAGGACATCAATCCGTGTCACTCCTGCGTCAACGAGGCGGCCTTCAGACAAAGCAATAAAAAGCTCAGACGATGTATCTTTGCCCGCGGTGACGATATCTGCTTCTTAGCCTTGAACTATATCATATTCGCCTGTGCAGATATCCTCCGCAATGTCGAACCGGTGCAACAACCACTACCGTGTCCTGGGTGGAACTGGTTTCTAGCAGCAGATAGCTTGCTAGGCAAGCGTAAACTGAGTGGGCAGGCGGATTTATGTCTCATACAGTTTCTGATCTATGAGGTCTAGCTGTTCTTCTCCTCTGCTGAACAAGGTCAGTGCTAATGTTCAAACAGGCGTTCTATTTAATGCATGCCGACAAGTCAAGTGCAGCCTACAATGCCATTGGCATCGCCTGTAGGCTCTCTTTCCAATTTGGTCTCCACAATCAGCCTCGTTGGGATCAACGTTGTGACCCTTTCTCCATTCACATGCGCCAACGTGTCTTCTGGACCGTGTACTTTGTGGATAGGCGCATCGCCCTAAGCTGTGGTCGACCATATGGTATCAGAGATTCAGACATCCGCGTGGAGAAGCCTGCCTGGCTTCACGACAAGGCTAGTGAACCTTTCATCATGTTGCACCGTGCTCTATTTTGACGATTTGAGTAGGCACTCAGCCCAGGTCACCCGCTACCGCCTTCAGATCCCGACAGGTCGGCCATTATGTACCTCATCTGCATGGCTGAGTTTGGGAAGCTTGCTGGTGACGTTTGGGACACCATGTTTGCAGCTAACGGCGACACATTCAGTACTGAGGCTGTTGCTATTCTTGATGCAAAGATCAGGCATTGGCTGGAAAACACGCTGCCCAAGATCCCGTTGTTGCCAAGTCAGATTCCACTCACACAACGACATCGCCGCCAGCAGCTTTTGGTGGATACTGTAAGTCTGCATACACCGTGTCGGGGAAGTCCACTGACAAGTACCTCGAAACAGCGCCTCTTTCATCTCCGGCTTCTCCTCCACCGTCGCGAGATGGTATCGCTAAGTTATAATGCGACCGTTGGACTGCTGTGCGGAAACTTGGCCACAAATATCGTTCGGCGACTGGAAGAACACCGTCTCGAGATCAATCAGCCTAGCTCCTTTCGATTCCACCTTGCAACGACCCTTGGAGGGGCAATTCTGATACTGGCGACCCTACTGTGTCGAGATTTGACCACGATCGGCTTGCAAGACCGTCATGCAATCTTTAGCAAGAGTTTCCACACTGCCGTGGAAATGTTGAAAGAGCTGGCACAGGTTCTCCGCGCGGCCCGTCGCATTGCTGACGATCTGGACACCGTGGTGAATTCTGTAACGTCGATACTCCTGCGTTCCAGCTTTTCTCCTCAGAACAATATTGGACAACTTCCTGAAGGGACCTTTGACAACTTTTTCCCACACACTGATGCTGATGTTGCAAACCTGGGTCAGCTTCCAGAGTCGGGCGTCTCCGAAATGGGTGGCCAGACAGTCGAATCGACGTTCAACTACGATATCTTTGCAACTTTGGACAGTTGGGACAGCTACTTCCAGGCGAATACAGGCGATCCCGGAGTTCCGTGGATCTGAGTGTTCGAGCTATAAATGACCATGTCTGCGCAAGCAGAAATTAACTGTCTATGGCAAGCCGACCCGCCAGTCTGCTCCATCGCCATTGAGACCAAATCTCGTGCTACCCATGTCTTTCACAGTTGTCCGTCTCATATCTCGAGGATATATCCCTTCATACGAGCCACCAGTAGCCCGATGAAGGACTGCAGTGTTATCCCAAATGATCATGTCACCGTTTTGAACCCATTCGGCGGTATACCTGTACTTGGGCTGCGAAACGTGAGCAAGCAGCTCATCGATTAGAGCCGTACTTTCTTCTCGATCCTTTCCCTCGATATGATGGACATATGAAGCAATGTACAGATTCTGAATGAACATCAGAGCGAGATAACCGATACCAGGGATTGACTACTCACCATTCTACCGCTCCACTCGTGCTGTTGGGCAAGTCGGTGTCGACTCAAGGGCAGTTTTTCCGGGTCAGTGTCCTTGAAATATTCCGGGACTGCTTTCTTTCGAGAATGGAACAGAGAATGCGCAGCTACGAGGCCCTCCAGTTTTTTCTTCATATCTTCGGGCAGATCGTCGTACGCGGTTCGAGAATCTGCAAACTAGATTGTCTCAGGTGTCAGCTACAAGCTCCGCGCCCAACACTCGGAGACGTACCTCCGTGTGCCCACCAGTGCCTTGCGGGGGAATCTTGTGCGCTAACAATAGCGAATGGCCTGCACGTCGACCATTGAAGGAGGAGTCTGTGTGGAACATCTCATTGGCCTGGTCCAGGTCAGAAGCCACCAATACTCCTCGGCTATTGCGATCGTACCTTGTTTCCGATGACTTGTGCAGCTGTCAAAGGGGCAACTTCGCCTGTAAGTGGATCGATGTTGCCAGCATCAAAGAGCTCCGGGTAGGGCAAACGATGAACGCGACCGGCTTTCTGGTAAGGACGAACGTCGTCAAGCTCTCCGAAATAGCTGGAGAACTTGATATGAGCTTCGTCGGTCAAATTGGTCTGCCGACAAACCACCACGCCATACTAGACATGCTCAGCTCCAAACACCCTGGACTATGCTCCTTTGTGGGAACGTACCTTGTCAACAACTTTGCGAATTTCCTGGTAGAGTTCTGGTGAAATGGGTTGGGTCCAGTCCACACCTTCAAGCTCGCAAGCAAAGGTGGGATGAAGAGGAGTGACGCGGAGATTGAAGTTGGACACAGTGTATGGATCTGGGACAGTCCCTTCAATCTTCAACGGTACCCATGTTGGTGTGGGCTTGATTGATATGAAGGCCTGCTCGGCAGCTTGAGTGGTTGTTTCAGTTGCCATCGTGTTGGAAGTTTCTTGCCCTCAATACAGTGTTCTCGGGCGATTGCGGCTAAGGCTTTGGTATTCTGCCTTGAAATTGAACCTGAACATTAACCCTTTAGGGCGATTCGGTGTTGTCAGATATATGCCCCCGGCGAGCCCGGCGAGTTGCATGACGATGCCCGCTTCCTCAACCTCCTCGCAGCTCCCGAGGAAACTCGGAATTGAGATATCAGCGGCTCCCAGGGAGGAGCAATCGACCGTGGGACGTTGGTGCGGAATCGGTCGGTATTTTCCGAATATTCCACTCCTCCTACTTCGTACCCTCTCTGCATCTCCAACAAGCAATCTCCAAGAAAGCAGCTAAAAGTTGAGATTAGGGCAGAAACATTCATCCCCCATGGGGTCATCCTGGCAAAGTGGAATTCCGAATCGCTTGCTAGCATTTCCGGAGAACTGCGGAGACCATAAAATATGGCTGTGGTTGCCTACTTCCAACATCAGCGGAGTCTATCTTCATTCACCAGGCAAACCTTGGTGCCGTGGAAGCTCTGTGGAAACATTCTCACTGCGCGATTGGTGGAGACTTCAACGATGGGCGCCGGCGTCGAGAAACAGACCTTCAGTCAACTCAAAAGTAAAGAATATTCTTCCTGCTTGCTGTTCGGTTTGTGCTGACCTCCCAAGACAATACAAACCCGTCATGGTGGAAGGACCCCGGTCTCCGAGTTAACGTGCTGCACTGCATCGGCCTGTACTTTTGCGTCTTCTATCTCGGTTACGATGCGTCACTCCTGAACGGACTGCAAGCCATGCCGCAATGGAAGGACTATTTCAACAGCCCATCCAGCAGTTTCTTGGGCCTCATTTCTGCCAGCCTCTTCCTTCGTGAGCTCCACTATCCCCCGTTTCCAACCGGCGCAGGAGCTGACGTGGTCCAAAGCGGCCATTGTGACTCCATATATCAGCTCTGCCATCAATTCTCGATGGGGCCGGAAAGCATCATTGGCCGTCGGCTCGGTGATTCTCATCGTGGGAGCCTTCGTGAATGCTTTTGCAAAGAATATTGGCACATTCATCGTGGGACGTTGTTTTATCGGTGCGGCGGGGCCTTTTGGTAAGATCACGGCCATCGCTCTTCTGCAGGAGATTGCGCATCCGAGATTGAGACCGATCCTGGCGAGCTCATTCTACTGCAACTACTACCTTGGGTCGACGGCTGCGGCCTGGTTCTGCTTTGGTTCGCTACACTGGGGCGATACCAACTGGGCGTGGAGAGCACCATGCCTCTTTCAGATCTGTGCTCCATTGGCCGTGCTCGTCCTTCTTTTCTTCATTCCAGAAAGCCCGCGAGTAAGTGTTGCACACGAGATTTCTGCTTTCAGATGATGCCTGTATGATGATTGCTGATTCGCCGGAAAACCCAGTGGCTCGCTCACCATGACCATGCGGACAAGGCAATCGATATCCTGGCCAGGTATCACGCCAATGGCGACCGGGACGACGAGCTGGTCAAGTACGAATACCAGGAAATCTGCCACGCCATCAAACTTGAAGAGGAGAACCATAAGACCAGTTTCCTGGACTTTTTCAAGACCCCCGGAAACCGTCGCCGCTTGCTCGTCCTCTTGACAATGGCTACTGGAACGGTGAGTGACAATGACAAGTGAGGGCCGCCCTATTTTCCGAATCGAATCATCTGACCTTTGTTGTCTTCCCCCGCAGAACTGGATCGGCAACGGCATCATCACATACTATCTGGCGCCGGTGCTGAAACTCGTCGGTATCACGGATCCAGCCCAGGTTTCAGGCATCAATGGCGGCCTTGCCGTATGGAACCTGCTCCTGGCGTATGCCGGGTCCATGAATGCCGAGAGAGCAGGCCGCAGAGTGCTCTGGCTGACTTCGACGATCGGCATGCTTTTTTCTTACATCGTCATGACGGGACTGTCGGGCAGCTTCGCCCATCATTCGAGTCACGCCGTCGGCATCGCAGTCGTGCCTGTCATGTTCATCTACTACGGTTTCTACGATATCGGCTGGACGCCCCTGCCATGTGAGTTTGCTGCAGCTACTGTACCCCGAAGTCACGTTACACTTTGAGTGGCTCCCTGCTACCTTTTCAAAGTACATTGCTGACTTGACCGGTTTTGTTTTCTCAGTTTCATACGGCGCCGAGATCCTGCCCTATCATATGCGCCTTAAGGGTCTAAGTATAATGCTTTCCGTGCAAAGTGTTGCTCAAGCATTTGTTCGTCCCTCCCGATTCCCAACCCCCCTCTTGGCCCTTGTCGGAGTAAAGACACACGCAGACTGATTTCAAATTTGTGAAATGAACAGAATCAATGGGTAAACCCACTTGCACTGGACACCATCGCCTGGAAATAGTAAGTGACAACACCAAGCAAAAAGATTGCTGCCTCCAAAAAGGGGAATTGAGCCGTGCTCGTGCTAAATCAGAGGACTCCATCTAGCTATATTATCTACATTGTGCTTATCATCATGTATCTTGTGCTGATTATTTTGTACTTTCCGGAAACAAAGTGAGTGCAATCCTCCCCGAAAAGGGTCTCGGCCTTCTTCAGGTGGCGGCGTGTATGTGTATGCTAACGATTCTCCTTTTTCTTCTTCTGGCAGACGCTTGACGATCGAAGAGGTGTCGGTCATCTTCGACACAGGTCGAATGGGATCCGCCAAAGCTGCGGTGGAACAATTCAGAGTCGAAAGGACGCCAGAGGGTGTGGTTGAGAACAGAAGTGCAAGCATGGACAAGGCGGACTTGGCGCACGTCGAGACGGATCTCGTCAAGGTGTGAAGGCATGGCGTCCCTCGTTGAACAGAGACAGTGGCCTTAGGATAGAACGTAATCGCATTTGATCGAGCCCGGGCCACTTGTCAACCTTGAAAAAGACCTCTCGTACCTCTCAGCATCTGTCACATCGCCATCGCTTCCAGTCAGCTCTTCATGCCACCACCCCAACCCCGACGTCGTCTCCTAATCACAGCTTAGCAGGCTGTTCATTGCATAGCTTCGACGTCCAAGGTAGAGCCGAGCCGAGCCGAGCTTGCTCTCGTTCACGGGAAACAGCGAAATGTTCGTCGGTTCGCTTTTCTGGCCGTGGATCCCGTGTTCTACGGAAATCCTAGCTACACGTCCTCAACGTGTTTCTCGCCGACCTTGTCCGTCTGCTCATGCCGCACTCTCATGTCATCCGCGGACTCGTTGTCGGCGATGGTGCTCGAGCGCTCACTCGCGTCGGCGCTGGTCTCGCCGTCCTTGAGGAAAATGCGATCGATGTCCTCGAGAGAGATGTTGGACGTCTCCGGGTAGAAGAAGTAGATGATGGGCACAAAGGAGAAGGCCAACGACATGAAGATCAGGTACGTTTTCCAGCCGAGGCGGTTGATCAGGACGGGCGTGATCATGACGACGAAGAAGTTCCACGTCCAGTGCGCGGCGACCGATATGGCGGTGCCTCGCGAGCGAGCTTGTAGCGGGAGGATCTCGGGCCCGTAGACCCACGGGACGACGTTGATTGAGCCACCGAACTGTGTTAAGCGCGGACAGTTAGTTAGTAGCCGAGCAAGATTTTCAATGAGTGCGAGGAAAGCAGTCGAGTGATCGAAATTTTTCACTGAGTCCGAGGAAAAAAACCAGTCCAGAGAGAGAGATTGGTTCGAATGGGAAGCAAAGCCAGCGAATGGGAAACAGAAGCAAGAGAGCACAACTTACGATGATCATGTACACGAAGAAGAAGGCCACCGCGGCGGACGAGGTGTTCTTCTTGCCGAACGACAACAAAATCGAGGCCATCATCATGCAGATGCCCAGGCCGAAGCAGCCGTACAGCATGGTCTTGCGGCGTCCCATGCGGTCGAGGGCCAGCGCTGGGCCGAGATTGCCGACGATGAACATGAGTTGGATACTGTATGCGGTCAGTACTGAGCGAGGTACAGAGGGAGAATGCGTTTGTGGAGAGGGAGAGAGGTAAGATCGTACAATCCTGCGATGATTTGTGCGACGCGTGGAGCGAGTTTAACCGTGGAGACGAGGACTGTCGGCATGTAGTAAACGACAAGATTTATGCCGACCTGGACACGAGGGTAAATTAGTTATATGGTCCAGAGAGATGGAGGAGGGGCTTAGGTAACTCGATGACAACCTCTCGAAGGGGCTATCGCCTCGACCGTTCTTTGGGGGCCGGCAGGAAAACGGAGAGTACGTTACCATCTGATTCATAAACAGTCCAAAGTAAGCCAACATGATCCTCCTCCTTGTCTTGAGTTTATCTTTCCTAAACAGTGCTCGGTGGCTCGTGACGCCAGACTCGACAGCTAAAGCGTGCTTGATGTTGGCGACTTCCGAAGTGATGTAGGGATCTGTCGGAGGTAGGTCGAAAACCGCGCAGAGGACTTGGATGGCTTCTTCTTCGCGGCCCTTTTTGAAAAGCCATCTACAACCGGTCAGCATGTCCAAATTGACGGTCTGGCGTGCTGGCGGTCTTACCTAGGAGACTCCGGCAGACCGAACAGCAAGATGATAACGCAAATGGCGAAAATGAGCTGGACAGCGATCGGCAGACGCCATGCAATGGCGCCGCCGGCGTAGGACATGCCGAAGTCCAGCCAATATGCGAACGAAATGCCTTTTCCATGGAGTCAGAATCGCCCCAGCAAACCCCAGGCCGAAAGCAAGACTTACCGATGCCGATAAACAATACCTCCCATGAGACGAGACGGCCTCGTTTTTCTTTCCTGCACAGCTCAGATTGGTACATCGGCACCGTGGACGAGTCGATTCCAGTCCCGAATCCAGTAATGACTCGGCCGACGATTAGGTGCGGCTTGGTGTATGCCGATGTTTGCAGACTGGCTCCCACGAGGACGAAACCCTGAGCATTACATCAGGTCAGCACCGGAGAAAGAAGGATACGGGAGCGGGGATGGTATTGCAAAAGGACAGACGTACCATAGCAAACCACATCATCCGTCGGCGACCAAAATGGTCCCCTATGAAGAAGTTGAGGCCACATCCGCCGAGCGCGCCGAGGCAGTAGCAGCTCACGAGGATGCCAGTTTCGGTATCGTCCTGAACATAGGCCGCGGTCAGTCTCGGTTGGCGACCGAACTTGTTTGAAGACGTTGGGATGGTGGAACTTCAAGCGCCCATAGACAGCATGCGCCTTGAGGACCGGCAAGGGAGATGCTGGATGCGACGTACCGGATGATTAAACAGGTCCAACCAATTCTCGTTTTGCAAGATACCCGAAAAGACGCCCTGGTCGAAACCAAAGAACAAAAATGCTGCAAGGCAACATGCTCCGATTGCCGCCCGTAATGACCGGCCACGGCCGTACCAGTCTCTCATATTGAGGGGAGAAGGATGATCGAGCAGATCTGGATATGGTCTGTCTTGTGTCTATGCAAACTTTGGGCCTTGCACACGCGACGGATACAGATATCTAGGGCGGAGAAGAGAGAGCAAGGGAAAAATAAGGGCGAGATGGAGTTCTCGAAGGACAGGATGGAGAGTTGCGGGATCTTCACCTTATATCATGATTGAACAAGTAGCGGCTACTGCATTGTGCTTGCTCGCCTGTCCGCTCACTTGCCGCTTGAGTCAAAGCCGATCCTCCTCATGGATTTCTGACTCGAACACTTCTGGGCGTACGACGAGGTGGATGAGCAAGATACCTGTACTATAGTAAGGCCGGACTGTCGATCATGGTTGCATTTCACCGGCAGACGAAGGTGATCGACCACTGCGATGTCAAAGATTGGCCGGGAGAATGCGAGCAAATGTTGGAGTTGACCAGTCTTCGACGCGTCGTATAAGTGTGGAGTCGGTTCAAGGTGTTTGGGGTGCGGGGAAGCCACGTACGTCACTCGTGCTTCACTCTTGTTACTGGCTGGTCGGCAATGTACGTAGTAAGTGGTAGTACTACTGGACAGGCACCAAGGCACAGAGGTACAGGCCACTACAGGGCGCAGTGAGGTACCCACGGGGTATGTTTTCGGTCACAGGGGTCGGCAATCAAAAGGACGTGGGGGAGAGGCATGAAATCTGGGGGATTGCCATGGATAGTCAACAGGGATGAGAACGTCGCATGCGGAGCCGTGGGAGTCAAGACCAGTCGGGACCAGTCCTTCAACGCTCACCTGACCACCTGCAGCTGGAATTGCTTGAAAGGGTATCCCGATATGAGAGTGCGAGAAGAAGAGATGGGCAGAAATGCAATGGGATTTCCTTCATAGGCATCCCGGAACTACTACGATACTACCTAGAGCGTTGAAGCTTGGTCTTGAATTGAACTAGCTACTGTAAAAGCCAAGGGGTAAGCATACAGCTCCTCTTCATCTCTCCACAATAAAAACACTGTAACTCTCACCTCATGGCCCTCGGAGATTGACCATATCTTGGTTCGAGCTTGGTTCTTCTTCTCATCAAATATCATGTCCATAGCTGTGATTCCTTCAACGCTCGATGTTCTGATGGATCTAGTGTGACAACCCCTGCCCGTACTTTGAAACCTGTTCCCTGATACCTGGTGGAAACGGTCTCCATATTACCGAATTGGCGCCAATACATTGGTTGATATGGCAGGTTTCTCATTGGACATAGTCTTGACAACCAGCACTTCGAGAGTGAGGTCCGGTGGTAGAAGCTCGTCGACGAACCGAGACGGGACTGACCGTTCGTCCGCGTCCACGGCTCTTATGTCGCTTTGGAGCTTGTTCTTCCTCTGACACCTCCAACTCGGAATCAGAGCTAGAGTCGGAATCAGGAGTTGAACGACGCGCCTCGATAGCAGCTTTGGCTCGGCCCTCGAATCGTTCGAGTCTCTCATTCTGCTCCTTCAGCATTCCCAACAACTCGGCTTGAATGGCGTTATATGATCTCTCCGTCTGGGCCACTTGCTGTTTAGCCAGGTCGATGATGGTATCTCTAGCTGTAGTAACCAACACGGTCAACTCCGTCGGATCGCATCCTAATGCCTGTACGAGCTGATTCCGAACGCGGGACAGTCGGCTGCCTGGGAGTGTCTCGCGAAGTAGCTTGATGGCTTGAGCTTCCGCAGTCATTTTGCTGTGCTCATCATCGTCATGGTTCCGCTTGCGCTTTTTGGATTTACCTGTTCACACCGGTAGATTAGCATATCGTCAACCAAGAAACCTCCAGAGATCTGGAGATTTCTACATACCAGCTTCAGACTTTGGGCCCTTCTGTTGGTCTCTCTTGTGACTACTCGACCCTTCGTGTTCCTCCTCCTCGTCGCGAGCCTTACGTTTCTTCTTTGGCTTTGACTTCTTGCTAGGGGTTTCGATAGAGTTCGGTTCTCCTTCTTGCTCGGTCTTGCTCTTGTCTTTTTGTTGCTCGAGCCTGGCATCGTCCTTTCCTGCCTGGGAGGCGCCTTTGTCTTTACCTCTGACATTTGTTGTGCGGTTCGCTGCCTTGTCCTTGTCCTGGGCTCCGTCGAATGTTTGTTTTCCTGGAATCTCCTTCGGCTTTTCTTGTGGGTTGTCCTTCACTTTGCGCTGTCTCGGGGTTGGAGTATTCTCTTTATCTTCAGAGCTGACATCAGAACTCGAACCGTGATCGGGCTCAGCATGGATTGTGCTGGAAAAGGAAGGTCGAACGTTCGCTCGATTCTTCATAAGAGCCATCTGCTGGAAAAGGTAGGCCGGGCTCATCTTTGGATCTGAAGGCACCTCGATCGTTGTATTCGTCTTGGAGCCAAAGGCAGGTGACAGGGCTGTAGGCTGGCGGATGGGAGCTGATGAACTGATGGAGTGTGGGTCACTTGTCAAATCGACCACGGTCTTCCACACCGGTTTCGTACTCTGTGGCGTTGCAGTTGCCGCGCGTTGGCCGCGGCCTCGAGGCTTGGTCTTGCCCATCGTGTCCTAAGTAGGATTTGTTGCTTGTGGACGGATCGGCTAAGGTCAGTGCAGAAGAGGTTCGACGGTTGTCAGTCAATGTGGGAGAGGAACGCAGCTTTCGAGATAGTTGAACACTTGGTGCGTGTCGAATAAGGGTCCAAGTAAGTGACAAGTGAAGGCGGTGTGAGTGTAGAGAGCACGAGATTGCAGTGAAGGATCTTGAGGTGCCTGTCACTGATGGTGGATGTTGCGGTGAAGGCTGCTAGAGAATTCAGCAGTTCAGGGAAGCGCTGTTCGCATGGCCCAATATCAAGAGCCTAGTAGGTTCAATTCATCATCGCGTAAAGTGGAAAGGAACCGCTGGTGAAGGGGTTCTGTTTGTAATGTCTTATGATAGATTCGTCAAAAGGCCGTCCTTACTTACAGAGTATTGCCATACCCTAAAACAATTCCGCAAAATGCATGGATGTGTTGCTTCCTTTTAGACAGCCACCATTTCCCTCACCGCATCAACAACTTTTGTGTCTGCCTTCTCGACCTTGCCCCAGTTGTTCCAGATATCAGCCTTCATCTCCTTCAGCCGTTTGTGCATCCTCCACAGATCATTCATGTCTTTATCATCACGTTCCTTCTCCTCCATCTGTGAGATTCGATCGTACAGATCCTTGTATCTTTGGTAGTATCTATGAAACCGTTTTGCATCCTGAATAATATCATGTCGATTTGGCCCCGGCTTTTCGGGTGACGTGGATCTTTCAGATTCAGATTCGGTTCGGACAGGAGCAGGCCGTTTAAGCTGCTCAGCTGTGACATTCGCTACAGGCGTAAGACGAGCGGAATCCGGCTGTTGCCGTTTCGCAGGTCGTTCTTCGTCTGTCGGCGCAACTTTCCGTTTTGCTGGGCTCCTGTCAGGACTCCTTCCTCGCGAAACAGGTTGACTCTTGTCCCGGACCACGGGGGAGTATTTGGTACCTTGCTTTCGTTTCGGCATGTCTACACTAGACGGCGGAGACGATGGAGCTGACGATTGATTCGAAGCCTTGCTCGAGCTGGAATTGTCGAGATCGGTAGAGGTGGTGGGCGGTGATGATCCTAGTGGCGAAGGTTTTGACGGTGAACTATCGTGTCTTGGTCTGGGTGAAATGCGGGAGGCCGTACTTTCCGATTTGGGTTGAGGTTTCAACGACTGTGAAGTATTCGTAAGTGCTGATCGCACCTGCTCGTTTCCACTCGAAGAGGAACTTGAATCTGACGCTTTGTGTACTATCTTCCTTGGTGATAGAATTACATGTGTCGGTTTCGGAGTCCCCGCATTATCTTGATCTGGCTTTTTGTTCGCAGTCGAAGTTTTCGTGTGACTTGGTTTGACGCCGATGACTTCCACTGTGTCGGCTTCCTCATCAGAGTCTTCTATTCGTTCGGAGGATTTGAACTTGCCATCGGGTCTGGCAGCCTTGCTTTGCGGTTGCGGAGTGTTCTTCCCACGAACCTCCCCAGATGTGTCTCCATTAAGACGGGACTTGGAACTGTTGGGCTTGTCCTTTGCCTTCTTCTGGACGACCACAGTTTCATCCTTCTTCACTTTCGTCTTCCCAAGCTCTCTGTCGGACAGCTCAGCCTTACTCTCATTGCTATTGTCCGCAAGACGCTCGGGTTTGGGTGCAACAGGCTTGTCAAAGTTGAGCCTCGAAAGGATGATGCCTTTACCTCGCTCATCCCGAGGCAACAGTAGTTGCCACAGGATGTCCTTCTTTTCTACTCGCATACGATCATAGGCCTGGACGGCATGGTCGATCGCCTTCTGTCTATCCTCCTGGGATCGATAAGGGAACTTCCACACATCCAACTCACGATAGGTCTTCTCCTTCAGCTCCTTCATCCCATCACCTGCTTTGGAATCTCTGGCCACCTTCTCTATCAGCCTTTCACAGTCGTCCTTGGGAGCATGGAGCTGCTTAGAGATTTCCTTGAGAGTCATAGGCCGAATGGCAAGGAGGTGAACCAGCGGGATTCGAACAGCATCCAATCGCACTCTGTCCTTTGCGGACATCCCAGGAGTCAGAGGAGTAGATGTAGGCCCTAACCTGGGAGAGAAGGAAGCGGACAAGAAAGGGCTCGATGGCCTCGAAGTTGACAATCCTCCCAGAAGATCTTTCCTGAGCGTCGAGCCTGGCGCCAGCAGTGGTGACGGTCTGTTGTCCTTCCTGCCCACATGTTTCAACTCTCCTCTGCCACCTATGATGCTGGTCTCGTTGGACGCTCTTTGTTCTTGTATCGACTTGAGGGTGTTTTCAAGAGTAGCCAGTGCCTCATCACTTTTAGCAGTATCTTCCACTGCTTTCTGTACCTCCAGTCTATGGCTTGATTTTCCAGAGAAGTATAGCAAATCGGAATCATCGGCCCGGGTTGTGAAGATCTCAGATGGGAAAGCGTCGACACTGCTATTCAGAGGTATGGCCTTCTTCCCAAACTGCACGAGAGGTCTCTTTCCACATCTGAGTTTGACCTGTTCATTATTTTTGAGAGATCGAAGTATTTCCTTTGTGACGTTCTCAACCAGGTCCAAGCGGATCACTTGGGAGGGTTCGCTGGCTCGTTTGTCTCCGGTGTTATGCTTGGAGTTGTGTCGTAGGGTCAGGCCCTGCGGAGGAACACTCAAGGCACCCATGGTGTTTAAGCGTTGTTACAGAGGGTGTTCAGGTAAGGTGATCGGTTCGGAGGTGATCCAGGTCATTCCTGAGGTAACGGTGGAGTCGAGTCAAGGAAAAGCAAGGACTATCAGTCCGCTCGCTGCATAGCAGTGACAGCAGCTGGCAGATAGCGTCATGACAAGGCTGAGCATCGAGAGACGAAGCCAGTGAATTATCTGGACGACGAACGGAGGAGAGGTGAATTCACAAGGAAGACACAGCAGTTGAGGTTGAGGGAACGAGGATGAGGAAGCGAGGACTCGGACATTGCTGACGATTGGAGGCAGATGTCAGGTGTGGGGTGGTAACTGGGTGGTAAGGACGAAGCGATCATCTTGGAAGCACGCGGTCGGACACTGGCAGGAGTGGGAGTGGGACAGGCTCCATGGCTGTCTGGCCACCCTTTGGGTGAGCCAGAAGAAAGTGCGGGAGCGGCTCCTGGATCAAGGCACGATTTGGCGAACAAACGCTGAAGAACGGCAAGCCAAAGAGGAGCCACAGGGCAGTTGGAGGGTCGTGATTCACCGGGATGTAGGGGCGGCGCAGTCGAGAACGCTCGAGCTGAATGGTGGTTTGATGGCCATTCCGACTGTAGTTCGCCCTGTCAGGCATGGTCGGTCGCCTTGTCAGGCATGGTTTCCCGCCTTTCCGGGGCCTAGGGTCGCCCTTTGGCTTTGTGTCAGCAGGAACCGCACCCATCGCATTCACGCGTCAAGAGACCGGTTGCGTTCGAGCCCTCCATTCGCCACGAAATGCCATGCTACGAAGGAGACTTTGGATCTAAGCACCAAATAGGTTGTGGTCATAGATGAGCGGAAGAGAAGACAGTTTGAAAATGTTGCAGCAACCGAGGGAGGCAGAACGTCTAGCCCTGTTCGGAACATGTTTTGGAGTGAACCTGAGACTGACTGAATCCAGCCCGAAAGAACCAAGATTGGGAAGGATCGAAGGGGTCAGAGTCAAAAGGCCGGCCATTTTTGTCCTGTGCTCGATCTGAGAAAGTGAAGGCTCAAATCATCTCGGATCCAGCGACTGTCACTGTAGCACGGCCAACGTGTCAGTAGCGTTCATGCACCTGACACATGTGTTTATTGCAGGCTTTCCGGATGGCGAAAATGAGGAACGGTATGGGTCGGGTGCAGCCATAGAATTCTCCTCCGTACCTCGGCGTGGACCCTGCAGCACAGCAGATGCACTTGTTGTAAGATGTGACCTTGAAGCTGACGGGCTGTTTTGGTTCAATGAAAATCGAATATGGACTGATAAGCGAGAGGTACTACGGAGTATCAAGAGCTGAAATAGTGACGAGGTTGATCGTCAGGCCTGAAGAGAGCAGGAAAGACAGAAGGACGATCCTGCTGGACTCAGGTGTCGGTGCGTCCAAGATAGACGAGTCCTGTGCTTCTTGGGTGGCTGAACCTTGATAAGTCGAAGTCGGGGTCTTTCTTCCGTGTCCAGGATCAACGGATCGGTCATGGGTTGCTGGGCTTTGCGGTTGCAGGGATAACGGCGAATTCGAGGGATACGGGGTGATTGATCACTTGGCTGCCATCAGTGCTGATGGGACGATACATATTGACCCAGGTCGTCGCTCGCACGCATCTCTCCAGGCAAGTTCCAAGCAACCAGGGCGTGGGTGGGGCGTGCAGTGGGCGTGTTAGATAAGCAGCGCCATGCCTAAAAGACCCGATTTAGGCTTGGCTGGTGAGCGAGTCATTGGTAGCTTCAAGCGCGCCTGTCCACCGTCAGAAAAACGCCTCTTAGCTCTAACTTACTGCATGCGCAAGACGTGCATCACGGATTGACCGGCATATTGCGCCTCACCTTGCCAGCCTCACAGTTTACAGTCGTTTTGAATACTTGCTGCAAGGCTCAGCCTCGAGTCGCATCCGGGTCCATCATGTCTTCAGGTGAGTACTGCAATGACGTTGACTTTTCTTCCTTCCAGTTGCAAGATTTGCGTGGTCGGAACGACAGTATTTTTGCGCACGCGCTCAACGAGTGCTAACTTTATGTCAGATCTGGTTGAGAAGACTCTCGAGGATGTCGCCAATAATGGAGAGATGGACTAGTATGTCCTCCCAACGCCAATGCAATCAGCGACTGACAGCATGCCAGTGATAAGTGGCCTTCAATCATTGAGCCGATACTCCAGCGACTCAACCGGGTATGCATCCAAAAGGGTCGTGTTAGCCAGTTTTGACACAATCGCAGATCGTCTATACCGAGTTTCCTATGCCACGGCCCTATCCAAACATAAATCGCCAAACTCTACCCTCCTCGCCATCCCAGGCGCATGCCACTTCGACACGAGATTTCAATCCCGCAATGCAATTACCTTCTACTCCCGTCCGCAACCTGCCTCCAGTACCACCTTTCCCAAACTCCTCAGCCACCTCGACAAGTCATGTTCCCGACTCAATACCTCCTTCGCAAGATCCGTCGTCCGATCTTATTAATGAACTCCCTTCCCTACTCCTCCAGACCCTGAACAGCGTCATACATACCCTGCGCACAGCATTTTCTGAAAAGCCACCACATACAATCCAACGGTTGGCAGAATTGGTCTTATATCCTACAAAGCACTACAAGACGCTGCCTGCTTGGCTGCGTGCGCTAGACCGGATAGTCAGCGTGAGCAGTTCAGCAGATATCTTTCCTCTTTCCGATACGCCGCCTATTGTCAATGGCGTCAATGGAGACGGCGGTGGAGGTATTCTATGGAGCAACAGCGACAATCGGAACGGTTACGACAGCAATTCCCTTGGCAGTGATGAGAGTCTAGGCGGCGCGCTGCTGACGCCTATACCGTGGTTGCGGAATGGCCTTGGTGGTGGCGAAGGGTCGAGTGAGGAATCCGAACAATTAAATTTAGATCAGAGCGCGAACGTGGACGGCCTAGGTGAGCCTTTGTCCCTGCCAGATCCGCTTGGACAGGGAGGAGACCCTCTGGTTCCTGAGAGGCGTGACGGTGCAGTAACACAAGGAGAATTGATGCGCATGGAGCAAACGGCTGGTGTTATGCCGGTGAATCAGAGCCAACATAACGGAACTGGAAGCCGGACGATGGCGGGCTCCGAGGACGGATTGTACATGGATGAGGAGGGTGATCTGGTACCTCACGCCCGTGGGCCGGACGTTGTAGGGTCAGTGGATATGGGTCGTGTGGGCGGACAAGATGTCGAGATCCGGATCGGAAGCCCACCGCTCGAGGAGAGGCAGCCGTCAGACCCAAATGACGCGCAGACAGTACTGCCCGGCCAGGACAGTTTGCCGGAGGCGACAGACAAGACGAGCGAGACGTCTCGTGAGGCAGAGGATTTCGAGATTGTGCTCAAGGAGACGGAGGGTGCTGATGTGGATGCAATGCAAGTTGATGACACTGGCAAGGGTACGGGTGAGAAGAAAGAAGATCCGCAATCGACCGAAGAGGAGGATGGCGATATCGTCCTAGTGGACGCGGACGGGAAGACTGAGGATGATAATACTTCGAAAGCTGACCTTTCTGGCGAGAATGTCGGGCCTGATGCGGCGGATGCTTCCACTTTGACCTGAATAGATACCCATTATGGCGCAGCCGAGCTTCAAGTTTCTGCATTGCTGTCTGAGGAAATGAAGGTTGTCAGGGTTCTAGGATTCCAGGTTCCAGGTATAAGCCGAGGCCTGGGAGACATCTAAAGTTTAGGCTATGATATATGTGTTTATCTGAAGAACCCATGATGACCCTCAAGGTAAACTACATATCCGTGCGCCGGTCAACGCTGTTTATGATAATCGTTGCATAACACCATGCTGGTCGAAAGGACACCATCTGTTCTTCACGCCCGTACAAACTCGGCCTCAATGCCTATACCTTGTGCTTGCGTGTCTATTCGAGCATGGACTCGAAGCTGCTAGTAAGTCGATTTTTTGACACCTAAGTGAATTTGTGTGGAAGGCGTCGGTGGGAAATAACTCCCAAGTAGTCGAGATGAGTTGAATTGTCGAGGAGTCTGTCACTTCGAATGCTGCGATTTGAGGGCGTGGAGCTCTCACTGCTCGAGATGGTGCCGTAAGCCCAATCTGCAAGGGGAGCAGCACGCACGCGCTCGACGGGAAGAGAACCTCCAGAAGCGGACGGAACTTTGTCGACAGCGAGCCTTCGAGAGGTTCGATGGAGTCTGGAGTCTGTCAAAAAGCCCATGGAACAGCCAAGGCCCTGTTGACATCGACATCGCAAGTGGAAGCGCCCTATGGCTTGGATCCCTTGACCAATGTTCGCCCCACGAATGGACTTGGAAAGCAACAGGTCAGCTCTCACAAAATGGTTCGACTTCTAGTCGTTCGACCCTGACTCTTTGATGTCGGGCGCGGTGCCCGTGTTCGTGGCTGAGTTGACATTCGATGTCGAACCATCAGCAACGGGCCCACTTCTCTTCTTTTCTTTCTTCGCCCATCTCAGGCCGCAAGCGTTGCAAAGGGTCTTGGGCCCATTAGGTCCCTTCCTCCACTCCGGACTGTCGAGCGTTCCGCAGTCGGTACATACATACTCATCTGCGCTCTTGACTTTCTTGTGCTTCTTGTCCGAGTACGTGTATCGCGATTCGGATTTGTCGATGGGGATATGTATACCAGCGTCGCCACGAATCAGAGCGGGAGATGCCCCACCCGTCGATATTCCATGTGACCTCTCACCCTCCCGATACCTTAGGCCGGTTAACATTTCGATGGAGTCGACATGGGATGATCCTTCGTATCGGGCCATCTTATCCCTTATGCTGTCGGGTCGGGCAAATGCATTGGCTTCATCCAACGCCTCACGAGTAAGAGCAATGTTAGACACGGTCGGCTTAGCAGGTGGCGGCATCCCGGAATAATCTGTATTTGAGTTCACTGATGGAGAGGCTGGACTGATCTCTGCTGAGATTGAGGGAGTCCGTGAACTTGAAGCTCCAGCTGGTTTGTGGTACTGCTCTTGCTGGACATCTGCGTCCTCGGCTTCTTCCCGCTTCAGTGCAGCTATTCTAGCTTGGAGCCGGAGGTTTTCGATTTTGTGTTCAAGAAAAGAGTCAAGGAGCTCCGAATTTCTGGTGGGATAGGGCCGAGCCATCATGAAAAATCCTCCGCAGAGACCGGCTTGTCCGACGGGCGTGCCGGTGAGTTCGAGTCCTGAGGTGTCCTGAGTCAGATGTGGATGGCCATGGCATTCGAATATCCGGTATTTGGCTTCCGCCGTTCGCATGCGGTGGTAAAAACGCAATGCATTTCCAGTGGCGATGCTCTCGTTGAATTCGCGCATGTACAATCCCTGATCGTCTGGGTGGATGAAGTCAAATATCGACTTGCCGACAAGATCTTGAGGATCGAATCCCGTGAGGAACTTCCCTGATGGGGAAATATAGAGGATGCGGCCATCTGGGGTAAGTATATAAAGGAGATCTTTGAGCTCCTCGAGAACACGTTGAGACCAATTCCGTCGTTTCGTAAACTCGGTCAAATTGCTACCAGCGCCTTGGGAGATCTGAGCAGCAAAACCAATTGGCAATGGTCCCGCTCCCACCGCGTTTGTGGCAAAACCGTCAGGGGTATCGGTCGAATTGGAGTTCTCCTTTACCAGAGTGGGCGGCACAGAATTCATCATAGCGGCAAAAGTCGTCGAGGGTAGGGACGTCATGTCAAGAGAAAGGCCATCAGGATATACGCCCATATCGGTGTTCACGAGAAAAGAGTGATCTGACATCTCAGGCTGGAGGCTGAATGAATCCATGTCGGTCGGAAACGCCATGTTGCAGCTGTGTTCGGTGGGTCTGCAGTGGACGTTGTGTAAATGAAGAGGCTTGGGATAGGCTGACGAAGATACTGGATCCAGTCAGGAAACGACGGTCCGTCCAGTAAAAACTGGGTGAGGATGCACCTCAGTGGTGCGCTGTCTCTTGCAAATCGAGATTTCGGTCGCCGCCCGTCGATTGTATCGTACTGTGGTAGGATGTACCGGGGAAAGGAACCGAGATGACCCTGGTACCCTGGAGGCAGGTAGCGGGAAAAACCGAAGAAGAGGTGGTCTGACCCAAATCATGGCAAGATGATCGAGATTCGCGAAGTTGGAGTTGGAGGTTACCAATCGCAATCTGAAAATGCCAAGACTTTAGGGGCACTCGGGTCACGTGCTTTCGCTTCCAGGCTCCAACTCCAACTTCCCATCAACCGCGTGTCAGTCGCGCCTTCAGTATCAGTAAGTGTCCAAGCTGGAGGCAAATCGCAGAAGTACTGCCTTTATCACTGCTTTCGGCACTTCAAGGTTGTATCTATTTTGATGGTCTTTTTGCATGTTCTTCCAAACCCTCTTCGTCGTTGTTGTTAACGCGTGTTCTTGTCTCGACTATTGGGCGGGCAATGACTTCATCAATTGAACAGACGAAAGTTGGATGTTTGCTACCCACAGCCACCATTTAGACCATCCACATCATACATTCCACGTTCTTGCTCTACTTGCCAACCGCCAAAATGTCCCGGCTTCACTCCATGGAAATCATGGGCATACGCTCATTCAGCCCAACCCAAGGTGAAAGACTCAAATTCGAAACTCCCCTGACCCTCATCGTCGGCCAGAATGGCTCTGGAAAGACCACCATTATCGAATGCCTCAAATTCGCCTTCACCGGGATGCAGCCGCCCAACACCAAAGTAGGTGGTGCTTTTATCCATGATCCAAAGCTGGGCAATGACAAACAGGTCAGGGCACTGGTCAGAGTGTCCTTCAAAGGGGCTGACGGAACCGCATTGGTCATCTCTCGTCGACTGGAATTGACAGTCAAGAAGACCGCTCGCTCCCTCAAAACCCTGGAAAGCTCCTTGAACGTGTCCAAGAGAGGCGAGAAAACAGTCATCTCTTCGCGGGTGGCCGAGTTGGATCTGATCATGCCAAAGTATCTTGGTGTCGGTACTGCCATCATCGACAACGTCATCTTCTGCCATCAGGACGAGAGTTTGTGGCCTCTCAGTGACCCTTCGACCCTCAAGAAGAAATTCGACGAGATCTTCGAAGCACAGAAGTACACAAAGGCCATCGACAACATCAAGCAGATTCGGAAGAAACACAATGAAGAATTGGGCAAATACAAGATCCTTGAAGAGCATGCCAGAGGGGATAAGGAGAAAGCCAGAAAGGTCGAAAACAGTGCTCGGAAGCTCCATGAGAAGGTTGAAGAGTTGAGGGACCAAGTGGAAGATTTGGAACGACGAATCTCGCACGCTCGGAAAATGGCAGACGAAGCCTGGAGGAAGGGCGAAGACTATGCGAAGATCCTGGGTCTGCTAGAAGGCAAGCGGATCGAGGCTCAAGGCAAAAAGAACATAATTGATGGGCTCAAGCAACATCTCGAAGAAGTCAATGAGTCTGACGAGTGGTTGCAGACGACCCTTGAACAGTTTGAGACCAGACAACAAGAGTTGAAGGACGAAATGCGTGCAAAGCAAGAGGAATACATTCAGTGTCAAGACCGGATCAAACAACTTGGGAGAGAGCGAGAGGAGAAGGTCAAGCTCAAGGGGAAATATGAACAAGAAAAAGAAGAACATGAACGACAGCTGGTGCGACGTCAGGAGATGGTTCGAGACGTTGCTGCAAAACACCAGATCCGTCGTTATGATGATCTTAGTGACGAGAGCCGTGTCGAAGAGTTTTTGATCAAGGTCAAGAAGATCCTGAAGGATCAGAAGGATGCCCTCGACCGTATTAAGCTTGAGCATACAGCAGAACGACGAGAAGCTCAGACTCTTGTCAACAGATTGACGGAGCGTAAAGCAGCGCTTCAGGACAGTAAAGTCAACATCCGGAAGCAGATAGACTCAAACGACCGCGAAGCCGGAGAGTTCCAACGAAGAGTGAATCAGATCCAGGTCGATGAGGGCAGCAGAGCTGTCGTGGAGTCACGAATCGAGGATCTTGATGCCAAGTTAGGACAGGCACGTCATGCTGCTAAGACAGCTGATTGGGACAACAAGCTGCAGGCTGCTCACATGGAACTCCAATCTTTCGAGTCAATCAGTTCGAAGCTCAATGATGAGATTGTACAATCCACCAAGAAGGCTGGCGAACTCGCTCGTCTTTCTCATCTGAAACAAGAGTTGAAGGACCGTCAGCGGAGTTTGGAAACGTTGTTGGGTGCCCATAGTGAGCGGATCAACAAGACCATGACGCAGCGAGAATGGACTCCTTCGACTGTGGAAAGAATTTACCAAGAAGTCTTGAGTGAGGCTAGCACTGAATTGTCCTCTGCTGAGCGGGAAAGAGATTCCATTGGCAGACAGCTGGAACAGGTCTCATTCAAACAAAAGACCCTCCGTGATGAACTCGGTCGAAAGAAAACGGAGGCTGAGGATTGTGACAAGCAGATCCGTGCAGTCATCACTGAAGGCCCAGGGGCTTACGACGAAGCGCTACAACAGGCGGAAGCCGATGCGGATTTTGCTCGCGAAGAGAGTGGCGGCTTCGCCGGTCTTCATGATTACTACCAAAAGGTTTTGGAAGCCATCGACGCACCAAAACCTGCATGTCGTACGTGCTCGCGAGCTTTCAAGAGCCATGATGATCCGGCTTTGGTAAGAACGAAGAAACGCATGCAGGACCTGATAGCAAAGACTCTAGCAGACGTCGAGCGGACTAATCCGAAAGAAGTTGAGGCTGACTACAAACGTCTCCTGGATCTGGGCCTAGTAGTCGAGACTTGGAAGAAGCTTGAAAACACCGAGATTCCCGCTGCTGAACGAGACCTCGCGAGGTTGAATGAACAGCGTGGTCAGTTGGAATCCGAGCTTGAGAGACATGACAAGAACGTGGAAAACGCCCAACAATCGAAACGGGATGTAGAGTCGGTTGGTCGGACGGTTGCATCAATTTCGAAATGTCACAGTGAAATCACGACGCTCGAGGTTCAGCTCGAAGAGCTTTCAACCAAACAATCCCAGCAGACTAGCGGTCGCACGTTGGAAGACATTCGGGAAGAGCTGAACTCGACTGCGGAGAAGATTCGGGGAGTCCAGAATGTGATCAGCCGACTGAGATCAGAGCAGGAGCAGTCACGAGTGAGCATTTCATCCATGGAGCTTGAGTTGCGTGATCTGAAAGGAGAACTGAACACGGTCGGATATCAACTTGACAAGAAAGCGTCGCTGGCGGCTCGAGTGGAAGAGTTCCGGGGGCAGAACCAGAAGCAGCGCGAAGCACTTGACAAAATTGATCGAGATATCGAAAAGCTCGACCCTGATATCGCAACGGCTAAGGCCAAATATGAAGACATTGATCAACGAGCAGCTGCGAAAGAACGAGAAATGTCTCACGAGCAATCACGACTTAGCGAGAGCGTCAACGGACTTGACATCCTCAACGACCAGGTCCGGTCCTATGTCGATCGCGATGGGCCGCATCAACTTGCGCGCATCAACCGTGAACTGAGCCACTTGGAGAAGGAGTTGGATCGCTCTCAGACTGAACAAGGAAGATTGACGCGGGATATGAACATGATCAATGAACAGATCCGAGACAGCGAGTCAACGAGAAGACGGTATTCTGACAATTTGCGTTACCGCCGCGAGACCCGCGCACTTGCACAGCTGCAAGAAGAAATTCAAGAACTTTCTAGCCAGAACGCGGAGGCGGATCGAGACAATTTTCAGCGAGAGTCCCAGAAGTATACGCACGAATACAACAAACTCGGTGCCGAACAGGCAGGCAAGATGGGAGAAATGAAGTCGAAGGATGCTCAACTCAAGGAGCTTCTTGAAGAGTACAACACGGACGGCAAAGACGCGGCTCACCGCTACAAGGAGGCTCACATCAAAGTTGAGGCGACCAAAGCGGCGGTGGAAGACCTGGGCCGGTACGGTGGCGCATTGGACAAAGCCATTATGAAGTATCACAGCCTCAAGATGGAGCAAATCAACAGTATCATTGAAGAGCTGTGGCGCAAGACGTACAAAGGCAGCGATGTTGATACAATCATGATTCGTGCTGACAACGAGTCTGGACGTGGCAATCGATCGTACAACTACCGAGTTGTGATGGTCAAGAGAGACGCGGAAATGGACATGCGAGGTCGATGTAGCGCTGGACAAAAGGTGCTTGCCAGTATCATTATTCGACTGGCGTTGGCCGAATGTTTCAGCGCCAACTGTGGACTGATTGCACTGGACGAGCCGACCACCAACCTGGACCGGGAAAACATCGAAAGTCTGGCAGAGTCACTCCGCGACATCATCCGAGAGCGACAGCAGCAATCGAACTTCCAGCTGATTGTTATCACTCACGACGAAGAATTTCTGCGTAAGATGGACTGTGCTGATTTCGCCAGCTACTATTACCGAATTTCCCGAGACCAATCCGAGAATTCCATTATTGAGCGACAACAGATCACAGAGGTCTTGTAGGATCAGGTACATGGACAAGGCAGACATGTGCTGGATTGTCATTCGCTGGCCCAGTCATGGTACCTGACAGGAAAAATCTTGCCATGAGATTTGCCGACTGACTATCTTCTTACCGGTGTCTACCTGAAACAATGGAGGAGGGCTGACGTGGCCGTGCTTATATCCATCCAACATTTGATACTCGTAGGCGATGCGAGACTTGTCTTTGATGTGTCGACCATAAAAGGTTTTGTTGAGTACGATGGCGACTGAGACAATGTTTTAAGATGAAGACAAAACATGCATGTGCAGTCGAAGTCTCGGCCTTCGGGTAATGTGTTCGCGGAGAACAAGCCACCTGCGGCAGAGGCTGGCAGAAGCAGGACGGAAAGGGTGATGGCTGCCGCGGAAGGCTTGCGCCGTTGCCTGGAAGAGTCTAGCAGTGACCAAAGTGGATGGCGACTGGGGTTGCTTCTGTGGCTTCTGCATTATTACCCTGGGACCCTGCAAGGAACCATCGCTAAGCTACGGCCTAAAGGGCACAGGGGCCAGAAGCTGGGGCTGGCGCGGGCTGGTCCAAGTGCTTCATGGCTTGTATTTCTGTTCAACACTCTCTGTAGTGCGTGAAAGAAGAAGGAAGGACGCCATCAACGCTGTAGCACAAGTCAATGGATTTATTTGTGTACTACTGTGTACTATCCCAGAGAACTATCCATGAATAGTCGGTGTGAGGGTTGAGTTCGGTTGCTGTGACGTTGTAGATGCATTGCTGGTCCTGGTCACCCGACGTGGGCATGGCGAATCATTTTCCTCTGAACCTTTCGATCGACATGGAGAAGAAGGCATCAGAGGGTTACTGTCGGTTACTGTGGCACGCTGTGGTAAGGCACCACCGGCACATAGGCACATAGGCACATAGGCACATAGGGTACCTGGTAAACAAGACGGTGTCAAAGCTGGGGGACTCGAGACTCGATATGTTCTAGCACTCTTCTGTTTTCGGCTTGTCGTCCGTTAATTGTCCATTCACCACCTTCTCCTTCTTCTCCTCATCGTTCGACTCGGATTGCGATTCATGTGATGATGGTGGATGATGTGGTAGCTTGACCTTTCTCGAGACCTCGGTTTGTCTGGCTCTGTGCTGGGTCCTCTGGTTGCCCTGTCGCGTCCAAAGAGGGTCCGTCCCGATGATCCCAACTTCATTTCCTGCCTCTGACTTTTCCACATACTCTCTCGAACTTGTGTCCTTTTTCGACCCGCATTCCACCACTCAGTACATTGACCTCAACCAGCCAGCCGGCCGTTTTAGTCTCTTCGACTCCATACGAGAACCGAGCTTCCAATAATCTTATTCACAGCCTCCGGCCCGCTTTCGACGCCACCCTACCCTGACGACCTCTACTCGTACGAGATACAACCACTCATACCCTTGACTGGATCCACGGGCTCAAGGATGGCCATGTCCTCAAATCTCTAGCTCATCAGGTACATGAATATGCTAATGAATGACTATCATGCTGGTTACGTGAAAGAGAACGTGCATCAATACTACCTTTCCAGACCTCGCCCTAGTCTACCTCTGCTGATCAAAAGGCCCTGCCCATCTTATGCAGTTTGTTACTCTTTAGATCCACATCACCATTGGTGACTACTGGAAGAAGCTGTCCTACTCCTCACGTCCGTCCCATTTTCTTTTATAGCAGGTGACCATTGTCCGGAGCAAACCTTCACTTCTGGTCAAGTCGTTGCTTCCAAGCCAATCACTTGCCCATTCACCTTCGTCATTACCTTACACAGCGTAAAGTGGGATACTGTCTGGGAAAGGCCTGTGAATACCAGACCTACTAGTACTTTCGTTGTCTGTCTCCCCCAGCTTCTGGAGGAGAAAGACGTGGTTGTACCCAGCCTGTGTCCTTTCTCCTACTCTTCCCAAACTTCTGACCCTCAAACACCTTCAACATGTGGGCAAGAAAGGCTCTCATCACTGCCCTAGCAGTCACCAGCGCAGCAGCGTAAGTCATACAAGTTTGATGCCCATTGCGTCCAGCAGAGGTGGCTGACCAAACTCAGATCTCCCGTATCCAAGCGTCAATTTTCCTATGGGTCGAGTCCGGTACGAGGCGTCAACATCGGAGGGTGGCTGGTTCTTGAACCTTGGATCACCCCGTCAATATTCCAGCCGTTTGGTGGCAATGTGGTGGACGAATATACCCTTTGCCAGAACACTGGCGACGCCGAGTCGATTCTGCGCAGCCACTGGGACAGCTGGGTGTCGCTGGGAGACTTCCAGAAGATCGCCGCTAATGGCTTCAACTTGGTACGGATACCGATAGGATACTGGGCATTCCAGAAGTACGAGCAGGATCCATATATACAAGGTGCTGCGGACTATCTCGACACGGCCATTGGTTGGGCTCGGCAAACAGGCTTGAAAATCTGGATTGATTTGCATGGTATGTTATGCATGTGTGTTTGTGTGATATGGATGGGGACTGACGGTGGTTTGCAGGCGCACCACGCTCTCAGAATGGGTACGACAACTCAGGCCAGCTCACCTCGGCTCCAGGCTGGACGCAGGGCGATACTGTCGACGCCACGCTTGGCGTGATCGGCCAAATTGCCGAGAAGTACGGAACATCACAGTACTCCGATGTGGTGGCGGGCATCGAGCTCTTGAATGAGCCCTACATGCCAGCCCTGTCGGGCGGAAAGCCTGCAACACAAGGCTACTACCAGTCGGGCTTCGACATTGTCCGACAGAACGGACAGACACCAGTTGTCATCCACGATGGTTTCGACAAGCCATCGAACTGGAACGGGTTCCTTACCGGCCAAGGCACATCAGGCGCCATCGTTGATCACCACGAGTACCAGTGCTTCACAAACGAGGGCGTCGCCTTGTCGCCCGAAAACCACGTTAGTGAAGTGTGGAACTCGGCCAATACGTGGGGCACTGGCCAGGATAAGTTCATCATTGTTGGTGAATGGACGGCCGCAATGACAGACTGTGCTCCTGCGATCAATGGGCGGGGCGTTGGGGCGAGATACGATGGAACGTACCAGGGCGCGCCTTATGTCGGATCCTGCGCCAACATGAACTCCATTGACCAGTGGAGCGACTATTACAGGCAAGCGACGACGAACTATATCAGCGCTCAAATGAGTGCCTTTGAGTCCAAGGTGCAAGGATGGATTTTCTGGAACTTCAAAACCGAGGGTGCCGCCGAGTGGGATTTATTCAAGCTGATCGATAATGGAGTGTGGCCTCAATAGTCGTGAGCAAAGTCGACGATTTTCTATCCCTTGGACAGACGGGAGTGGGAAGGATTGCATACATGCTTGGGACATTCGTCGCATCTGCATACGAGTATGGTATGTTATGGTCATCATTTCTTCAATTCGATACCCGACCAATTGTTGGAAAAGCATATGCATACGGCCGCGAGCCGTGGAAAGCTGGTCATATTTTATGATGCCGATCTCGATGATCAGGCGCGATGGCATATGTGCATTGTGCATCGATCAGCGTGGTGGAAATTGAGGATGGAGAAGAAGTAAAACTAACGAGCTTAACGACATGATATGTGATGACCACTGCATAAGATCGAAAAAAAGAATAAGAAGCATGACCCATAAGAATTCATCGCCGTCTTAAGTACTAGGTAGCTCATAGCCGATACTCGTAGTACTGGAAGGCTCAATTTGCCGGGGACATAGGGAGTACGGAGTATGGAGTACGGAGTATGGAGTACGATACCCCCATCCTTTTCGCCCCTGCATACTCCGTAGATAGAGTGTGAAAGGCGAGATTGGTCCCATTCGCAGGCTCCCATGCATAACGGCCGTGATGCTGTTCTTTTCTGCTCCGTAACTACCTAACCCACCTATTCCTAGCTTTATTCAAATCATTAACCAGTGAGTGAGCATTGCAACAGCATGATGACTTTTCCTGAATGGAAGACCATATCACCTCGACATGTGAACATGTGATGGCCATGTCTTGCAGCCATGATGACTTTTCTACTTTTCTTGAATGAAGACCACAATCTACATGTGATGGCGCCAGGTGTCTTGAAACCCGTCTACCTCTTCCTTCCCAAAGCAGCCATCATCACATATATAACTCTCTACTCGATCATGAATCCATCGGCATTCGCCTTGACGGTCTTCTCAAAATCCACATCCTCGTCCATGTCGATCAACTTGGCAGCCAGGACATCGACGTCGATGTACGGCTTGGTCATGTCGAAGGACACGGTCATCGGGAAGAACTCGGCATCATCATCGGTCTGGGCCTCGAACTCGAAACTGCCGCTCGCGTTGTCGGCGTCGATCGTGCCGATCGTCCATTCCAGACTGTCGCCCGTGACTTGGTACATGGCGTCGAAACTGCTGACGGCCGGCTCCGCACTCGAGTAGGGGATCGTGACCGTGACGTCGCGCAGCGTGGTCTCCGGATTGGTGAGCTCGTACTCGATCGTGATCGTGTAGCTGTCGTCGCTTTTGTTGACCCATGCTGTGAATGTGAGCGGGAGGACGTCGGCCGAGTCTGCAGGCGCGGTGGCGCGCCAGCGTAGGACCCCGATGCTGTTGTTGGCTGGGAAGCGTTTTGTTGTGTCTTTTAATTGGAGCATGCGCGACGCATTGAAGAGGTTCTTGTCGACGTTCGGGTGTGTGCGGAACTGGGCTTTCAGGGGGCCTTCGTCTGCGGAGACGCGTAGGGCAAGTTTTGTCAGGGCCGGGTCGGCGATTTTGAGTTGGAGGTCTCCCTTGACTTCAAAGGATTTGAGGGCGCCTTCGCGCGACAATTTGGCGGAGAGGGTTTCGGAGATAGATACTACCACGGGGTGTGCGTGGTCGTGCATAGGGGCGCTGGTAGAGGTGGACGGGCGGGTGCGGTCAGGTAAATCTTCTGAGTGTGAAGTGGAGGGTTCTGGTTCGGGACTGCCGAGCTCTTGCTGGACTTTGGCAAAGGCGTTGGATGTTTTGGACTTTCTGCCCAGCTGCATGCCCTTGGTAGGGCGGGAGGCGGTAAACTTGGATGTGATCTTGTTCTTCTCGGCCTCGTAGGTGTCGTAGGTGTCGGGACGGACAGGGGGTGTGTATGTGGGTTGTTGGGGCATCTTGGGCGGCATGCCTCGTCCATATGCGGCAGACCGAGCTGCTTCTTTGCGCTGGAGCTCAAGTTGTTTGGCCTTGCGTTTGCGTTCTTCCGAGGCTTCCAGCTCTTTATTTCGAGCTATGATCTCCTGGATGCGCTCTTCGTGAGATTCCATTTCGAGGAATGTCTTGATTTGGTTCAGGGACAGGTTTTCCCGGTAGCCCATGGTAACGAGCTCGTCGAAAGCGCTGAGGAGTTCGAAGGCATTGCGCAAGATCTCGCGTTCGTCGGGTTTCTTGCATATCGAAGTGACCACCTGGCCGAAGAGGTGTAGGCTGTCGATGTCTTGCAGGATATTGGATTGCTTGTTGGTGATGAGGACAAGGTAAAGTTCGTCCAAGGGCTGGTAGACGAAACGGACATTCTCTTGCTCGACTGTAGTGTGTTGGGTAGAGGTATCGGCAAGTTTGGGGAAGGATGCTAATAGGGCTTCCACTCTGGACTTTTGGATCTCTCTGAATTGTCGGGAGAGGAGAGGCTTGCCCCCTCTGGTGCAGATAGAGGCTGCGAGCACAACCATGGTGTCGATGCAAAGACGGTCACATTCACGACAATAACACGAGCATAGAAGAAGACCGGGAGCGAGAGAGTCACTTGATGAGATAGATACTCCTAATCCACGCCTGGTGGACAGTTCAGTTCAGTGTCCAGATCTCGACTTGGCATAGCTCATCGCCGCTTTAAGCGGAACTACAAGTGTTTTTGCCTTGGTCAGCACGTAGATAGCGAACTGACTTTCAATCTACAATGTCAGTTATTGTATCAAAGCCGTCTTCTTTTTCACAGAACATCACGATCTCCGAAAGATGGCACCCGGCACGCACCAAGAGTGCGCTGATGTGCTGTTCTTGCGGTTGTTGAGGTCTCGTTCCTCAGATATCTCAACGGGCCCTGCTCGTATTCGCTTAACAGGGGTGGTGTCCAGAGCTGAATATTGTCCAGCCTCACGCCTCAAAAGGTATACGACTTCAAATATTCAGGGTTACTGACAATCGACCCATTGATTTCCTCACGCAGTAACATTTGCTGCTACATTCTCCAAACTCTAGTTGCTCCTGTTCACTACGTTCCCATCATGTCGGACTCTGTTGCGGCAATAGCTCTTGTGATATCGTTGGTGGCTCTGATTGTGGCTCTACTACAAGTTATACAGCAGTACACAGCCACCGCAGACGGCTTCCGACGATGTCAAGCCTCGGTCGTGGGTGACTGGGCTGCTTTAACGAAGCGGCGATTCCGAATGAGTGAGTTGCGCTTTGAGACAGTCTTTGCCGTTCCCGTTATATTCCTCAAGAACTCGACTAGGGAGACTGCACCTTTCCACGGACGTGCGATTATAACCATCGACGGGACGGCAGAGTCAATCCGGGGAACTCTGATGAGCCATGCAGTCGACGCAAGTCCTCCATCTTCTGAACCAGCGCCAGGAGAGACGACGGCAATCGAGACTGCTGCGCCTAACTTTGTGCGGAGGCCACTACCAAGCCTTTGGAAGATGAATAATCGGATCAAACCGTCTTCGAAAAGGCAATCTGAGTTCGGCGCCATGTCTACCGACAATGATTTGGTGTCGTGGAACCATCTCCTGGCGACACTGCAGTTGAGTGAGCGCACATTCGCGAACCACATCAATTCCGGGTTCAAACCGGACCTGGAGCCAGCTATACAAATCAGCAACAGGTCGTGGGACTTTGTGCCACCTGAGGTCGTCAGACCATATGCAGTTACAACGGCAGGCGACATCGCGATTATCGTCCAGCGCCTAGGAATGTCATGGAAGAAGTTCAACCCTGGTGAAGGTTTGCTCAGAGCTGAAGGCAATAATTGTCTTATCACGTCTACAGTTGTTCGGTCTCTTGGAATACTCATCTCCTTCTCCTCTGACAGCCATCTCATCAAAGATTATGAAGTCCACAAAAATTATTACGTGCCAAGCTGGCATGCTTCCATGCTCGGCTTCGGTCTCGTTCCCCGGGGTGATATTTCCCCAAGGTTATACAATGGCCCTCATCCGCACGATGCTTTTCCAGTTGGAGACAGTGCTCTCTTTGATTACTATCTAAAGTCATATTGCCGCCTTTCGACCTCGGAGAACACCAAGCCAGAACACCTAAGGCCGCAAGCACTTTCAGGTAAGGAGTACAAGGTTTATTCAGCTTACCCTGTGACTTACTCGTGGCAGTGGCGTCCGAGTTCGTTGCATTGGTCGCACCAGTTCTGAGAATGAGAAATAGCCAAATAACGCGTATACTCAGGCCAGCACCGAATGTATGTATCTCCTTCGTTGAAGACTGCACTATTCTACCATGAATTTTACGCTTTCTTAAACGTCCGCCGGTTCGGGTTCTTGACAAACATGCAGATTGGGAATGAAGTCTTCTCGAGTCAGTCCTGCTTAGAAGCATTCCGAAAAAACTTGGTGCTCTTGCAAACTCGGCTGAGTCCGACTCGAGATATCTGCACCGCCGTCCTCGGAGATGTCCTCAAGAAGTGTGACGAGATCTTGCTTCATTCCGACTGGGATGAAGTCTGGAAGGCGCCACAACGTATCGACTTCAATGGAGCCAGTCAAAGCCTTCTTGACATCATACACGACGCCTGTGACTGGGGTACTAAGACCCTCATCACCTGTCTTCATTTCAATGAGCTGTTACGGTTACACCTAGCCGAGCTTTTCGCTCTGCGGGACGAGAGTCCGGCTATTTTGTCAACCTCAGATCAAGATGATGTACTCATGGACCTCTATTTCGACAGAGTTTTGCCAACAATACTGAAAACAAGCCTTGTCAAGCGGTCAATCACCATTGACTGGGTTCTAATGGTCTTCCGAGGTCTGTGCTGGTATAGTCTGCACCGGTTCAAGCACAAGTTCGCGCCGGTCGACGAACAATACTTCGAGAGCAAGCAGCCCATATACATTGGCTGAAGCGTTATTACATCCTACACCGACGAGCACAGCAGCACAGTGCATTTACTGATTCGTCCCCATTGGCAACACCGGGCCTCTGCTCCCGGCAAGGTGGAGACCACAGAAAGAACATCGACTTCACTTCGTTCCGGGCGTCAACTACGACTGGCAGCATCAGCCATTGGACGTCACAGTCAGGAGTTGTGAGACACTAAATGGCCACACCACATCCAGGGTCAAGAGGAAGTCCCATCAGTGAATTAAGCTGACACGACAGATGTACGACTCGTGCAAGTCCGCTTTATCTCGGGTCACAGGAGCAATATCCACCGGCTGAATATCGAGCTAGGGATCACTTTCGTTTGAGGCGTGTTCTAAAAATACAAAATGGTTCTCAGAGGGTTTGACGAGCAATTTCGCTTGAATGGCGTTCTTCCTAATTTTGGTTCAATGTCACGCGATGTTCATCCGGCTGAAGTTATCATAGTACGAGTATTACTCCGCGTGGCGAGCAGAAGACCATCATCTCGTCCAAAGCACCCGGAATTGTCTGACTTCGACCGGAAAATTAAAAAGGTGGATGCGAATGCTACTTGTACGAGGACCTCGCTGCCGCCCAATCTGACTCGCCAAGTGTCGCCATTCACCTACACAGTACAAACATTCACCACCTAAGCCAATCAGAAATCCAGCATCATCCCAACTCAGAAATTCACAGGTTATATATTTGAAAAGCGCAATTTTCTTCAACAATCTCATATCTATCCCGTGTCAGCTGATCCTCCCCAACTGGGTCAGTTTGGCGTAAGGGTGTGCGCACCAGATATGAGACAGTTCAACCTACGGGGCTAGCCCCCTGACAATCACAGGATGGAATATCTTCCCAGTGTCAACACCTCAGGGTGTTGGTACTGAGAAGGTCCAGATGGTTGTTCCTTAGCTAATATGGCCTCGACCTGCGAGTGCCCTATGCGGGAGGATGACCTGACGAGATCTTCGGAACGAAAAAAATCCCTTCTACAACTGGGGATTTTCCCTCGGCCTGGCCGTCAACTACCAAGCGTGTAGTTGGCCCGCCAGGTTAGAGTTTTTGTTCTTTTTGAAAAATATGAACAAAAAGAATTATCTTCTGGGGGTGAGTGACGGTAATGCGGCTCGAACACTTGAATTGTGGGTGGCCTGGCATTAGATTCGTGCTCTGGCTTGGCTAGGCGACGGTGAGGGTGAATGTAGCAGAAGATGTTCGTGGCGGACTGTTCGCAATGGCTCGGCTGCCAGCGGGTGAGCAGTGGAAGAATTGAACCATCACTTCTTCAAGATTGTTCTTTTTAATTACAAATTTTCGTTGCTAAAATAAGGGCAAATTACACTAGACAATATGATGTGATCCGTTTCCCTTTATGCTATTCCATCGCTATGCTTTCAATAACAAATTCCGTGCCCAGAATCGTAAAATATGATGCTAAATTCATAAGGATCGTCTGTGGTCAGCCGCTGTTATTTGCGGATCGAATAGAATGATAAATCCCAAGCCGTGTGGACGTCACGCCTCGAATCCCGAGCAGAATGCTGCTGCAACGTCACTACCAACTGGCCACGGTGGTCGTGGTAGCTGGAACGCTTGTGGTGGTTGAGGTCGTGGCTTGGGGGGTGGTTGTCGTTGTGGTAGTGGGAGACGACGTCGTTGTCGTTGCCGTTGTCGTTGTGGCAGAAGAAGATGTAGTCGTTGTTGATGTACTAGTGCTTGTAGTCTTGCTGGAAGAAGTGGTGGTTGTGGCTGAAGTGCTCGATGACGAGGTCGACGTAGACGTGCTGGTAGGCTTTCCAGTAGTGGTTGTTGAGGCGCTTGTCGGCTTCTTGGTTGTGGTGATAAGCGTGGTGCTGGTTGTCGGAGCCGGCGGGTTGGGAATAGCGATAGTGCAGGTGATACCCCAGACATCGATGTATGTAATGGTTTGGCATTGGTGGCATTTGCCTGGTGGGTAGTAAGTGCCCGTGCCACCCTGAGCAGGAGCTTGGGTCACGGTGACGGTGACGGTCTTGGTGACGGCAGGAGGGCATGTTGCTGGTGCCGGGGTGATCGTGACTGTCTTGGTGACCGCAGGGGGGCAGACGGGCGCCGAGGTAGTGGTAGGCACGGCAGGCGCTGGTGTTGTAGTTGGCGCAGCAGTAGTTGGGTGTGGGTGCCATGGCGTGACGATGGGGTAACATGATGTCGTGGTGTAGACTTCAGTCGTCACCCAAGTTGTGTAGTAGGTGGTCGAGCCTTGAGTCGCTACTGGCGTGGAGCAAGGAACGTACTTGGTCTTTGTGATCCATTCCGTCGTCGTGATGGTGGTCCAGATCGTGGTGGGAGTAGTAGTTGTCGTGGTTGTGGTTGTGGTTTTACTCGGTTTCTTGGTTGTTGAAGTAGTGCATGGAGTGGTTGTCGTTGTCGTCGTCGAAGTAGTCTTATGTGGCTTTGTGGAGCATGAAGTTGAGCTTGTCGTCGACGTCGAGCCCGTAGTTGTGGTTGAGCTATGGGGCTTAGTGGTGCACGAGGTCGAGCTTGTAGAGGAGGTCGAGCAGCTGGTGGACGACGTGGGACTCGATGTGGTCGTGGTCACACCTGTGGATGTTGTGCTCCAAGACTTGCTTGTTGTCGTGCAAGGCGTGCTAGTGCTAGAGCCAGAGCTCGAGGTAGTCGTGCTTGTCGAAGCAGTCGTGGTTGACAGAGAAGTAGTGGTAGTCGAGCAGGGGGTGGTGGTGGAATTGCTTGACCACCCCTCAGAATAAGGATGTGCGAGAGAGGAGCCCGCGAGGGCTGCGAGAATAAAGATGATAGGAGCACGCATTAGTGGTGGACAGGTGTAGGTTGCTGTGACGTCTGAATATCAACGAATGTATGCTTCAGGTCTGGAGATAGGGTGAGCGAGTGTAGTAAGGATTAACGAATGTCCTTATTGCAATCAGCGAATGTGGTGTTTGAATGTTCTTGTATGTTTTGATGATGGAAAGGAAACGGGTTGCCATCATGGCGATCCTCAGCATTACTTATACCTGCGCAGGAGCGAGCTCGTAGAGACTGAGACATCACGATGATGACTATTGAGCACTCGACAAATTGGGAGCAGCAAAACCCTGTCGACAGCACGGTATTGGTCATTTTGCCGTCGAAAGTGGTCAGATGCCACAAAAGGCCCAAGATTGGCTGCAAGGCTAGGAAAGAAAAGTCTCGCGACATGAGAAGGCTGTGCCTTGCAGTCATGCCATCCATATGGTTGTAACCCTTTCCTGGTGTTGTACTCTGTAGTGGAGCGGAAAATGGCGCACGGAGCGGCTCGATGAAAAGGGGCGAAGCAATCGCTGCTTTAGTCAAATTAACCTCAGTTGTGCTCCAGTCACGCTCAGTTTGCACTCGGAAAATGATCGGGCGTGCTCGGTCCTTCAGCTGAGTCAGCTTGTTTTCAAAAAGCGGCGGCATAATTTCATTGGATGATCGCCACACGTGGCTCTCGCCAAGAGTTATTTTTAGTGGTGTTGCCACAATTCCATCCTTAAGGTATCCCGTACTATGTACTGCACTGCACTACCGTGACTACCTTGCCATTCACATTCCCTCGACGTTACTCTGGGACGGCTGATATGTCTCACCTGTTAGGGACATCGGTGAAAATGCTATGCCTTTGCTGGAATGCAAGATTGCGCATGACGTCGGATACGAGCTGAGTCGTCCAGAGGTTACTGAGTATCCCGCCTCCGAGGTACTGTATTCTGGCTGATGTATTAACAACCTGGGAGTCGAGGAGTACGCAAGGACCCTTCGCAGCCTTGCCATCAGATATCCTCGAGCAGCTTCTGCATTGAGCAGTCGTCCCGGTCTATCCTCGTGGTCTCGCTTTTCGATCAGCCTGGCTTGATGAGATGCAGACTTTGCAGGACCACCCGACTGTCTATGCAGATGGTTGCTCTTACCACCCCTTTGGCCTCTGACAACCTCTAAGCGCCTGCTATTCGATGAAGCGCCGAATCGTGTTGTAGCCGCTCCAGGCTTCATCAAACGAGCACGGTTACCTAATCCGAGTGATTGACCGTTTACCACTTGCGTCAAGCAGACCAAAAAGCTTGAACGAGACAAGATTGTCTCGGCGCGATCGTGTTGAACTACTATACTTACGACCATGGTTGCCTGGTGAGAGAGTGTAAGAAGATGGCTGACTACAAATGTGTCAATTACAGTCTCACTAGGCGCTATGCCGGAGCAGTGTCTGGGGAGAGCTTCTGAGAAGATTGCCTCACTTACTGTTTGCTGACAGTGTGGTGGCAGCATCGATTTCTGCTGAAGACACGACACTAACATCAAATGTCCTTGACAGTTCGTTGGCCCTCAACTTTTGTAAGGTGAACACGGCCATTGGAGCTCATAGAGGTCAAATACCTTGTTGTTACATCCAACACATCCAACCAACTCGATTGCTTTGGGCGCGGTTATCTTTGCGATGCGTCTGAACTCCCCTCATCGTTCCTTTCCAACTACGGATACCGGCTGAAATCTCCGCGCCTGTACCACGAACCATACTCCTGCTAAAGAGGTGGACAGCGTGACAGCCTCGTATCTGGGCCGCCTGATCTGCAGATCGGCGCAACCCCTCAATGTCCAAGACACACCAGCCCTCGAACTTGCCATCATCACTGGACTTTTGACGAACAGGCATCCAATGATATATCGTCATATTGGACTTCTCAAGAACTTCCATCCAGTATCATCGATCTTGGGGCATCGCATTTCATCATCGAAGATTTGACCACTACTGAATACGGACGGCAGACAAAGGGCTCTCCGCATGCCAAGACATACCACCCGCGAGCATCGAAGTGTCGATCACAGTGCAGGACTGGCCAACCTATCTGTTCACGCGACGAGAAGCCTAACCATACCGCACGTGGCAGATCAATGTGTGTCCCCTATAAGATGACGAAAGCTGCAGTCCTTCGTCTGAAACCAGACACACAGTTCATATTCAGCAGTTTGGTGAACACAATCAACAAGCAAAATGACTGAACCTCTTTACCAGATACGAACACATCCAGGTCGCGCTCATAGTGCCGCTGGTCCTCGCCGCAAGGGAGAGGAGTTTCCCAATGAAGATGACAAGCAAGAATTGATGGAAGGTGATGCTTACGATATCCTCGGCTACAGCTATCCAACATGGAAGAAGTGGATGATCTTAGGTGTTATGTTCTACATTCAGATCTCCATCAACCTGAATGCCAGTCTCTACGCCAACGGCGTGAAGGAGATCTCTAAGAAGTTTGGCATTAGCGAACAGGCAGCACGAGTTCCGCAGCTAACGTTCCTGTGCGCCTACGCGTTTGGATGCGAACTATGGGCGCCGTGGTCTGAAGAGCTCGGCCGCTGGCCCACACAGCAATTGAGTTTGTTCCTGGTGAATATCTGGCAGATCCCATGTGCTCTGGCACCAAACTTTGGAACCTGTGAGTCCGAGAGCTGCAGGTCAGCCCTGAAGTTGTACTGATATCCACGTGTCAGTGGTCATTTGTCGCCTCCTAGGCGGACTATCTACAGCGGGTGGAAGTGTCACGTTAGGAGTTCTCGCAGATATGTGGGAGCCAGACGATCAGGAGTACGCCATCGCTTGGCTCGTGCTGTCTTCAGTGGGCGGCTCAGTCGTGGGGGCGGTAGTCGGAGGTTTCGTCGAGCAATACCTCTCCCTCCCTTGGATATTCTGGATCCAACTCATCGCAGGTGGCGCCGCGCAACTCATCCACTTTCTACTAGTCCCCGAGACCAGGGCCACCATCCTTCTCGACCGCGAAGCGAAGCGGCGACGTAGGGAAGGCGGTCCTCCCAACATCTACGGCCCAATCGAGATGCACGGCTTCCAACTTGGATTCAAGTATATTATGACCGTCTGGAGTCGGCCCTTCTACATGCTATTTACTGAACCAATCGTGGCGTGGCTCTCGGCGGTCAGTGGGTTCAGCGACGCGCTGATCTTCACGTTCCTTCAAGGGTTCCAGCCTATATATAAGCAGTATGGCTTCAGTTCTATGCAGCTTGGATTGGCTTTCGTGCCGTAAGTACTTTGTTTCCACCACGCCTGCCTATAATTTGGCACCCGCTGACAACCTCGGTGATGAAAGGCTGCTTGTTGGGTACTTCTTAGCGTACCTGTCCTTCTTGCCGTCGATTCACGTCTTCCGCCAGCGAAGGCGGAAGCATGGCTCGGACAGTGTTCAGCCTGAAGCGAGGCTATGGTGGCTTCTCTATGGTAAGCCTAGCCCGGCCGACAGTCCATCTCGTCGATGAATGGGAATGCTAAAATGTTATCACAGTCATACCGTGCCTACCAATAGGCCTTTTCGGCTTCGCCTGGACGAGCCTGGGCCCTCCCAAAGTGCCCTGGATCGCGCCGATGATATTCACGGCGATCGTGGGTATTGGAAATGTGAGCACCCTCCTTACCGTAGCCTCTTGTTGACAACATCGGCGGCGACTGACATGTCGGGCTACTGAAGTACTCGATCTATCAATCGTCTATTGACTACACTGTCGCTGCCTACGGACCATACGCGGCATCTGCTACCGGCGGCAACGACTTTGCCCGAGACTTCCTCTCAGGCATCGCAGCTTTGTATTCAACTCCAAGTACGTTGATTCATCCATCCTACAACCGTTTTGATGCCTCCATCTCATTCCCACTACTCCAGCTGCTTCTGCAGTTTGTCCGGTCTCCCGTCCTCATCACCGTTGCATAACGTTGCACGCCCCCGACTGCAGATCTTCACTGACAATCTACTTGCTAGTGTACTCCAACATCGGCAAGAAATACCCCGAAGAATGGGCTTCCACGATCCTCGCCATCGTCGCCATTTTCGTGACCAGCCCGGTCTACTACTTCTACCGAAAGGGCCCTCAGATTCGAATGCACAGCAAATTCGCGCAGCAAGTCGCCAAGGACCGGGAGAAGCAACTCCAGCGTAGGAAGTCCAAGCCTGCTGAACAACAGGTCGAACAGGCCGAGAAGCCCAGAGGTCCTGCTGAGGTCGAGGAAGGCGGGATTGAGTACTACAGAGAAACAGGGCGACTCTGAAGTGACATGAACCTTGCTGCGCAACCTCCTCGGGCATTCTCGCGACCTAATTATCAATTTGGATGGTCGGTCGATTTCAATCATGTTTGAGCACTCGCACTGATGACCTTGATCTGTTGGCACTCCATGGAGTAGAATATCACCTCTACCGGCGCTTCTTGATGCTTGTGGACGACCTATGTACTATTAACCACTACTTTCTTTCCACCCTTGATAATTGATGTTCAACCCGCTGAGTCTGCTAAGTAATCTTACATCTTGATGCTCGTGCTCTCAAGGCTTGGCTGCTTGCATCGCGCGTAAGATATTGCCTCGCTGCAATTTCTCAAAGTCTCGATCCCTATGTCAATACTGCATCACGCTCATAGCTCCCAATCCGAACCTGCATCTGCTTGGTGCTCGTCTCTTTCGGCTTCTTCTTCTTCCTGGTCTGGGGGACCGTCTTCTTGCCAGTCCTGGTCACCTCCGTTCTGAGAGTCATTGTCCTGGTTGTCAATGTAATCAAAACCGCCGAAACTATCCTGGCCCTCGTGATAATGATCAAGTCTGACAAGCTCGAAATCGTTTAGGTCTTCCGTCTCCACTGGACGTAGTAGCCATTTGCCGACCTTCCGTTCCAAAACCCGGAGCTGACAAGGGAAGCCCGGAACTTCACAACGGTCAAATCGATCTGCCTCCAAATGGAGTATTTGAATTGTCCCGCGAGGACGTCTGAACCGAGGTCGACATTCCATGTAGCTGGTGGCGACGCGGAATCCGTCAACCGTTTTCCATGAATCGCGTTCAAGATATAGGTGGTCTTGTCCTGGCTCAATGAGTTCCATCTCTTCTCCATTGCTTCTCCGCCAGCGTACCACACACCATACTTTGCCTATGAAGTAGACGGGATGCTTGATCTGGCGAGGGATAGGATACAGTCTACTTTCAAAAACCGTGGTGAATTCCGACCCTGGTAATGGCTTCTCCAATTCCGCCTCGGGATTAACATGACATGCACTGATGATTGTGCAGTGTCCGAAGCCGTCGAGGAGTCCGTCATTGACAGCAGTTCTGATTGCTGAGCCCAATCGTCGGAAAACGGACACACGCTCGCTTCGCAAATCTTCGAAAGTCCTGATGACATGAAAGCTAGGCTCAGGATCCCTACAATGCTTTGTATAGCTTGCCCCATTGATGATGAGTGCACCCTTACTACTGGCATTGATTGGCCCAATGTTCGATGGCGCGGAGGGGATGATATCCTCGCAAAGCTCACACACCCGTAGGCGTAGGTTGCGCAGATTTGGTAGCAGTCGTCTGATCGAAGGACAGATATGATAAGAAGCGTCCGCTAAGGCGTGGTCTAACGAGGGCTGTGCGTCTCGCCTGTCCCAAGCACAGTTTGTATGGAGTTCCAGATGTTGCAGAGTGAGAGGAAGAGCATCAACGATGGCGCGAAGATCGCGACGTCTGATTCCAGCTGACCAGCTATCAGGATCGCGGGCGGCAATAGTGAAGCTGAAGCTCTCCAATCCGTACATCTTCCCAATGACTGACGGGACTCTTTCTAAGAATTGCCATATTTGTTGCACCACGGAACTGTTGGCCCAATTCCGGTCGTGTACACTCCAACCTCCAGTGTCAAGAGTTACATTCAGTGTGAAGGTCCGCGTCATGCTCATGGCGGTGCTGGTCGATTGGCAGAAATTGTCGAGTGATGTTTCGGAAACAGAAACATCTGTCCAAAGAACCTTCTCGCCAACGGCTTTCCATCGAGAGCAGACAGTAAGGGCATTGACAAAAGATCGATCTCCATTGAGTTGCGAGCTTCCTCTGACTTTAATAAGTACCAACTCGAGCGTCTCAAGGGGCAAGTCGTTGACATTTCGATGTCGTCCAGCGTCAACGGCGAGAGACATCTCGAACGATGGGCTAGTGATACGAGGAGGGAAAGTGGAGGTTGTGTCAAGCGAGAGGGTTGTTCAGCTGTGTCGCAGCGCAGGCAGTACCGTCCGAGTTGGGAGGATGAAGTAAAAAGGGAAAGTTCGCGTGAGGAGCAGTTGCAAGTGAAAGGAAGCCAGCTTGGCGGAAGGAGTGTGTATTAACAGCAGGTTCTCTCCAGGACCGTCACTCCTGCTTCACTTTCAGGCTTGGGTTGACATCGTAGCCTGGTGGCCGTCCGCTTCGAGTCTCTAGAGTCAAGTGACTCGACACCACTACATGATCATGTTGGACAAAGCGCTTGGAAGAATTCATTGAGGCTCTTCGTTTGACTCGATGATCTCGATATAGCTGAAAGGAGTGAGCGCCTAATTAGGGCATAGGACATAACTATGCCGCAGCCTAGCTGTCGCCGTTATAAAGATTGTGTTGCTCTGATAGGCGTTCGCGTACTTGCATCGAACAGCCAAAAGTGTTTGCTCCATGTTTAGAAGCGCCGCCGAGTGCAGGATCGCAGAAGTCGAAATGCCTGTCGAGACCTTCCTCCTCGTGTGAGATATGGCGACATGAATCGTTCCTAGTTCTAGCAAGACTATTATGCACCGGTCCTTTTGCCAGCTGATGTGTGTTGAAGAGAGGAGCGGTTGAGGAATGCTACCTGGGCTTTTCCGACCATAACGGTGAGCACCCAAGAAGTCCCAAACAAATCTCCAGATATTTCTCCTCGCGAGCAGCGGACTAATGAATAGCGCTGAAATAAGGGCAGGTCATTGTTGACAAAACCGACCTTCAGTATATGAGGAAGTTGGAGGTCCAGAGTCAGAAGAGCAATCTGAGCTCTGAATGTCGGCCGAGGGAAAATAGCCGAACACTTCAAGAGAGTCTGTATCGATCAACGAGCAAATCAGCATACATTCGTCAAGCGGGAAGCGGATGATCGAAGTCCAGATGAGATTTCAGACACTTTTGAGAAGATATTTGTGGCTGGTGTTTGTAGGCATTGCACAGAAAATCCAGGGTTGAACCACGCAGTCCTACCGCTGGACAAGAGATGCTTCTCTGGCCCCAGCTGCCTCATCATATGAACGAGAAGGGGGGAGAGACCACTGACCTTTTCTTGCTTGAGTTCATCCTCGACGGAGGATCTCAGCCAGGCTGTCGTGCACTTGTTAGCGGCATCGGAAGAATGGCCATTGCTCAATCCTGAACTTTTCCTCTTCGCTGCCTCATCTCTTCCACCTTTCTCTTGTCCTCCTCGAACTTCTTTAACATTTCGGCGTGCTCTTCCTTCCTCTTTTCCCGCATCTGGAATCTGTAGAAATCTTCCAGACCCTTGCTCTTCTCCTTGTGCTTCTCCACGAGCTCCTTGGTTTCTTCAAGACGAGCGGCGCCCCTAGAGCCTCTTGTGACGGTAACGAATCCATCTTCGTCTGGCATTTGTCGTTTCCGAGCATTTTCTCTGCTTCGAGCCTCCTCCATTTGCGCGTAAGCGGTCATGAACCCGTTGACAGATCGAAGGAGTTCCTTTCGTGAAGGGTACTGCAGGTGTTTATGGTGTTCATATCTCTTCAACCCCAATGGTGGGATACCAGCGTCAAGGCTACCACTCCATTCGAGGGGTGTGCCAGATTTTGCTATTCGTTTTGCTGCCTTGAAAGCAAGATCCATGCTCGGTCGGTCCACAAAGACCACGATTGCCGTCGCACCGGACTCGTGTATCATACTATCGAAAATCTTCGGTAGAGAGTGTGCGTCCAACCCTGCTTCAAGTTCCTCGGCGGTCATCCTCTTCCTCTTGCGACTGGATGTCGCTTCACCTACAGGTTTCCCGGTCGCATTCTCGGCAAAATGGACTGCTTCTACGCGTCCGCCACCAAGTTGAGTCGTGAACAGGTGCTTCAACGAATGAGTTGTAGTAGTTATCGGGATGTTCACCAGGAACAGAGACCTCCGCGCATCGTCGTCGGGGATCTTGGGGTCATGAGGTTTGAGGTACAGATAATGAATGGACTCTGTCGGGAAAGCATCAGTCGACGGCAGCCGCAAAGGCAATGCCACGCACCCGCCTACGTCTCGTGGCGTTTTCACCATAGTCACTTTCTATTCATGGTGCAATGCGAAGAGACGTCGAACAAACTGCGCCGAACTTTTTGTCGAAGCCTCGGAAAAATTAAGTCCGAGAATTCTTGGCATAAATCCGGGGAAATCGAACTCGACGCAATTCATTTCTTGTCACAAACGTTCAGCTCGAACACCATCCTTCACTCAATATCACCCTCACGATGCGTGCAAGCACCCTCCGAGTCTCCCGCTGCTTGCGGTCTTACCACTCCGCGCCGTCGTCCTTTCTCCGGCCCCTCTCCACCACCGCATCTCACGCCGCAACCGCACTTCCCATAACCGCCACGGGCCCTCCTCCCGAGCCTCCTCAACCAACATCATCAGCCTACTCCTCACAACTATCGGAGCGACGGCGCAAAGCAGCCCTTTTGCAAGCCGGTAAAGATCTACGTGCCGCCCAGTCTCCGTCCTCCAGTTCCTCGAAAAAGCACTCTCCCTTGAGGAAACGGTTCTGGAAAGACGTCCACGTCCGCACCACCCCCGACGACAATGGGCTAGAAATCTACCTAGACTCTCGCCCCGTCCGGACACCCTCGAAATCCATACTCACAATCCCTCGCTCAAAGCCACACCTCGCCCACGCCATCGCCATAGAATGGGACATGCTAGAGAACGCGCAGCAGGCCCTCAAGAACCACAACATCCCCATGACGAGTATCGCCGCCAGAGCTCAAGACATTCTCGAGTCCGAAGCCCGGGGCGACCGCACAGCTCGCGACGAGATCATACCAGTCATGATGCGCTACCTCGACACAGACACACTGTTGTGCTGGGCACCGGCACAATCCTCCGACTCAGGGCTGGATATGCAGACAGGCACGAGGACAGAGACATTACGCGACCGCCAAGTCCGCACGGCGAGACCGATCATCAGCTTCTTGAACACGAGCGTCTGGCCGGGCGTCGAGATCAAGCCGGTCCTTGACGAGAACAGTATCATGCCCGCCAGACAGTCAGAGGTCACCAGGAGCGTGGTCCAAGGCTGGATCGCAGGTCTGCCGGCGTACGAACTCGCGGCCCTCGAACGGGCAGTGCTTGCTTCGAAAAGCCTTCTACTCGGGACGAGGTTATTGATCGAGTGGAGCGAAGAATTTCGGGACTTGCAGCGCAGCAGCGAGACGAGATTCGGAATTGAAGAGGCCGCCGAGGCCGCCAGTCTAGAAGTCAAATGGCAGACGGGCATGTGGGGAGAAGTCGAGGATACCCATGATGTGGATAACGAGGATATACGACGGCAATTGGGCAGTGCCATATTGCTTGCCAGTGGGAGTCGGTAAGAAGATACTTTTAGGAACGTATAATTAGAATATAAATATCAGAATGGCAGCCGGACATTCATGCCGTACCTACTACGTAGTATACACTGTCTGCCCTCTATGTGGATCTATAGTTTCGATGCCTGCACCTCTAGTAAACCGGCTTTTTGTAGGGCTTTTCGAGCCTAATGGGAAGTCAGCGTTGCTCTTTTTCCCGGGCTGAAGAACATTGCTTGCTTGCAAGGTTCACGGACTACTCACCTCTCGAACAGCATCATACTGCTCCAACCAGTTATCAAACTCGTTCGACAACGGATGAGCATTGGGATCTCCCTGCGGCGGCAACTTGTCCTTCTTCGCCTGCGCGGTCCTCGTCGCAGCATCTCTCTTCCGTTGTCCCTCGCCGTCTGGCTGGCTAAATGAGGCACCCAGTGCCTGCGCTCGCCGATGACATCTAGTTGTTCTTGGTTGTCTAAGATCCTGATACAGCTTCGCGCGCTGGCTGATTTGCTCATTATCAACACCCGCGGAAACGTTGTGGAACATTTCGGCGAGAACAGCAGCGTCCTCTATACACATCCCAGCCCCTTGGCCTGCATATGGGAGCATGGCATGGCAAGACTCACCGGCAAGGATGACCCTGCCGTTGTCGCTGGTCCAAGAAGGCGCAAAGCATTCGGCATGTCTCCACTTCCAGACACCCTTGCCTCTGCTTATCGACTCTTGAGTGACAGGCCCGTGGTTCCGATACCGTCGTCGAAGGTCAGTCATGTCGGGAATATACTCGTTCCATGTATCAGGATGTGGATCGTCCTCCAAGCCGTAGCCTTGGGTAATAAACTGCAGGTCAAAGATCTCTCGAGAGAATATCGGACTTGCCACAATGGTAGTGTTCGGTCCGACAATGAGGTTGGCATTCCGCGAACTGATGATCGTTCTGGCAGCTTCGCTCTCCAGTTCCGAGAAAGGTACTTGAAATTGAAAGGTGCATTCTCTTCGTACCTGCGGCTGAACAGAGGGGAACAGAGACCGCCGAACTTTCGACCTGATACCATCTGCTGCAATTATCAAGTCTGCGTTGATCGATGCGCCTTTCTTCAGCAGAAGCGCCGGCCGAGCTGCATCCACAGCTGCTATATCCGTATCAAAATGTATCCGAACTCCTCTGGCCAGCGCTTGTGCCAGCATCAATCGCCGAAAGTCGGACCTGAGCACGAATATCTGAGCCCCTGCTACGGGCTTCACAAGCCCAAGGGGTCCTTCCGTGGCATACCGTCTCACAACAACGCCGCCGCTGTCATGGCCAACATTGCCGATATCAATCCCCAAAGTGTGGAGTATTCGCATCGCATTTGACTGTAGCTGTATTCCGGCGCCACCTTCATTCGCGAATACATCTTCGCTTTTGCGCTCGTAAATCGTGATCTGGTGACCGTGCTGTGCGAACGCGATCGACGTGACTAGGCCAGTAACGCCAGCACCAGCGATAGCGACCTGAAGCATCCTACTACGCGTGTAATCTGGCGCTAGCGTGCCATTCGACGACAAACAGCAGCGAGGACAATTTGTGAGGCAAGCGGGCCTCCTCTTCAATGCGGTGCCAACTTCTGCTTCGGCGATTCAAGCGGCAGCTGTTTTGACCCCCGGTTAAGCGAGTTTCATTACACGATTTACCGCTGAGACCGTAGTAGACCGGTAAGTTGGATTGAAAGTAAAAAGGCACCTGAGAAGTCTGGCGGAGGACGGAAAGACGAAGGCATGTCAAGGTGGTCAGGGAGCGGATGGGACGGAGCAATCTCAGCGTGCCTCGCATAGCTCGCGTCCCGGCGAGAGTATTTCATACGTAGGGCAGGAGGCCTGAAAGCCAGTTCCTCAAACCACCAATATTGTACTGTTACCCACATCAGCTCTGGATACAGAATGGCGCCGTGGTACAACGGCTCGTCTTACCGTGCTTTCGATGCTACGAAATTGTTGATTCTGGGTTGCGTATTCGTCGTGAAGCAGATGTTGGCCCATCTGCATGGTGTCTGATTATCGAGGCCTACAATAAGAGTTGATTTGGTGTCATCACCGTGAGGATCCAGAACATGGAACATGCTTCGATCGCCGTCAAAGCGCAGTAACGGCATCGATCAGGGGGTCATCAGACAATTGGATGGGCTGAATATTTCTTGGACAAATGCCTGAGTCGTCATATACACACGCAATGTGTTTGCAGCTGATGAGACTTGTGAATCCTTTGGTATGGCCAGACCGAGGACCGCTTGCCGTCCGGTGAAGCTCAATCCAGTACTCTGGGGGCCGGAACCGGAGAACCAATTCGTACCGTGCTTCGATCCATTTTAAGTACCAAGGCAACAACAGCCTGCCGGACCTCATCCTTGTAGAAATCTCAATAGCCTCTTCTCCCTCCTCTTCCTCCGCGGAAGCCACCAGAGTCTGGTAATCTCTCGCCTCTCCTCCACTCACCACTGGGTATACTTGCTGGACCACCAAAGTCACCTCTTGAGTTGTAGCCATTAAAGCCTCCTCTACTGCCCATCCCGTAGCCGCCTCCTCTTACACGGCCGTAGCCATTTTCCCGAGGCGCACCTCTCCCGCTGACGCTGCCTCTACCGACGACTGAGCCGTCACTGAGAGGAGGAAAGACCGCGCAGTCGACGAAATCGCCGATCACAAATCGGGCTTCCTCGAGCGTCTTATCGGCATCTTCTCCTTCGAGTCTGGGTAATCCTTCGCCGTTTGAAGAGTCCGGAGCTGAGATGACGACACTTCCTATCTCTTTGCTCAAATATCGTCCCCTTCCCTCGGGCTCTAGTCTGCCTCCACCTCGGGCTGCATGGACATCGGGATAAACTAGCCTAAAGCTCAACCTCGTGCCAATGCTGGGATCGGGCAAGATGTGTGGAAGGGCTTGTGTCAGCAGGTGTGCAAGTTCCCGTAGCGTACAGCTCATCCATGTGTAGATCTGTACATGGGCAGGAAGATGAGGATGTGGATTCGACGGCGTGGGGACGGGGAAGTCTGTTAGGTTGTGAAAGGCAGAGGATCTGTAGCAAAAGTTCAGGAGGAAGGGTGCGGTAGTCTGGCGGTCGATCGAGGCTTTTGGTGGAGGAGAAGGTGAGCGCGACATAGTTGGCTGTGGCAGGGCCAGTCGTGCTGGACAGGTGTGTGGTAGACGGAAAACCAGAGTCGGGGGAAGGTGTTTATTCAATGCCTCGAGGAATAGCACAGAACTCTTGCAAACAGCAGCTTCACTGTGATAAAGACAGTCTATCGAAGCAGTTCTTTGATCAAAAGCGAAGAAAGATCGAAGACAAAGGTCTCCGGTGCCTCGATATACACTCCAGCGCGTTCAACACAAGTGGTTCCCTACCACTACTACTCGTCAAATGTCGTACCTGTCCGGCGTAGCCTCGGCACGTTCAGCCTCGTGGGGAGTGATCCGCAGCCTTGCCGAGTCCACGCTAAGAGTCGACCTGTTTCCCTTAACGGACTCCAGATATCGACATTGTCTGTTGAACATCATGCCTTGTACGACATGGCTAGGTAAGTACCTGATGCGGTCATTCGTGTTCGTGAAACTGCAACTTCGTCAGGAAATGGCTCTGATTTTGAGCCTTCCACTTTCGCAGCTGTCGAGTACATGCCGCTGATGTCAATGTTAACCCTGCGGTGAACCCTTTACCTTGAACATGTAATATCGACTACATGATGCAGTCCGTTTGTCAACATGGCACGACGAGTGCCGAATGCAACCAAGACACATGAAATTGAGCATGACCGTCTGATCCCGCCTTCCCGAGGTTGTGGTAAGTATAAGATGTGCTTCATAGGGCGACTCATCAGCCATGGAGCGAACCTCTACCAATCCCATTCCCGACATGTATCTGACCTATCTTGCTTTGTTATGTCTACTTCAACTTAGTGGTGCAACAAGTCCACATAGGCATCAGATTGACTCAGACAAGGTCCTTTGCTCAGCCAACTCCCGCCAGATCGCCAACAATGGCAACGGAAGTACCGTCTGGCCATGGCAGACTTACATGTCGTCCAATGCTACTCCTCCAGCTCTTCGAATCAACAGGACCAAAGAATCCTTGTTTGACGGCTTACTCTTCCTCACCCCTTCCTATGGCTCGAGCATCCCAGGCACAAAGGAACAAGCCCCGATCATCATGAGAGATGACGGTGACCTGGTCTGGAACGGACCCGTCCACGACAGCTCTAATCTGCTCGTCCAGACCCTTGGCGGACGACAGGTCCTGACGTACTGGTCCGGACAAGGCTCGGCCGGTTACTCCCTAGCAATCGGCCACGGCTACGGGGAAGTTGTCATTCTTGACAGCACTTACACAGTTATACATACTGTGTGCCCACAACTGAACCTGAAACTCCCACCTGGAGCGACGGCCAGATGTGTCGCCGATGTCCACGAGTCAAAGATCACGGATAGAAACACGATGCTCATCACAGCGTACAACACGACTCCGTACGACCTATCCAGCATAGGTGGACCATCGAAAGGCTGGCTCCTCGACTCACTGGCCCTTGAAGTCGACATAATCACAGGCAAAGTGCTCTTCTCATGGAGCCTTCTCGCGCATCTGCCGCTCAATCGTACACTGTTCCAACTCAGTGGCGCCGGGACTAGTCAAAGCACGCCCTTTGATCCCTTCCACGTCAATTCCATCCAGCTCGTAGGCAACAATTACTTGATCAACGTCCGCAACATCTGGGCCACATTCCTGGTCAGTCCCGCCGGCAATATCATCTGGGCAATCAATGGTCTGAACGGAGGAGATTTTGGCGCCTTACCTGAAGGTGGAAATTTCGTAAACACTACTCCTTCTACCCCAACCACTCACTCACTCTCTCGGACACACGTGCTAACGTACTGACTGCATCCAGTCCTGGCAACACGATGCCCGTCTCGAAACCCTCAACTCCTCCGCAGCCCTGATTCATTGGTTCGCCAATAACAACGACGAATTCACCGCTCCAAGGGATATCAAACCAAGCACAGGCCTGACACTCCTGATCACGCTCCCACCAGACCCATCGTCCCCACCAGTGTTGTATACTAACTACACGAATCTACAATATCCTGTTGGCGCTTGGTCCCAGGGCTCTTTCCAATACCTACCTAACGGTAACGTCCTGATGGGCTATGGCGCCTACGCGGTCATCGAAGAATATGGACCAAAGGAAAGCACGAGCAACACCCAAGGCCATGTTCGCTGGTCCGCCGCCTTCGGATATGACGATCTCGTCTCCAGTTATCGGGTCTTCAAGCAGGAATGGCACGCGACGCCAGCGAGCAAACCAAGTCTCGTCGTATCACGGACCATGGCTAATGATACGCTCAATCAGTGTGCCGGGAATTCGACGTGGAGAGGTTATGTAAGTTGGAATGGTGCGACGGATGTCACAGGCTGGCTCGTGTATGCTGGAACGAGCAATGCTACAATGAACGCCGTGGGAATGGTGAAGAAAGAAGGGTTCGAGACGGAGTTCGTGCTTCCCCAGGGAGCAATGTTCATTCAGGTTGGCGCGGTCGAGAACTACGAGAGAAATGCAGTCAGGAGGTCTGATGTCGTTGCTGTTCCGGCGCGACAGGATTCACTGCCTTACTCCTTTGGCTGGTGAAAATCCCTTTTGTGAGACTTTGTCGAAGTAGAAAGGATGGTTGACTTAAAAAGGCAATAATATACAATCGGTGGAAGTCGGCATCCAATCTGTAAGCCTGTCCTGAGCTTCCGCCTCCTCTCCCCTTCGTTTGTGCTATCAAAGGATCCTCACGCCCGTCCGTCCCTGCACAGCATTATACCCAACACCTCTCAAATTCCAGTCCCCCTCGGGCTGGTCTTCCTTCATCGTATTGCCACCGCGGTCCGTCGCTTTGCTCCAAATATTCACATCCTCTTTTGGCCCATCAACTTCGATCTCGACTTCCCATAGCACCCAACTATACTTTCCCCTGGCCTTGCCCTTGTGCATATTGCTCGGATGCGTTGTATTCTCATCCCCATCATCCAACAGCCTCGCCCCGACCCAATTCTTTCCCTCGTCAATACTCACTTCGACCTTTTCAACCGGCCCGTCCTTGCCTTGAGGGATCGCATACCCTGCTATCTTCACTCTTCCCCGACCGTCCCTTCTCAGTTCATCACCATCCTTGGCTGGAACGGCAACGATCGAATTGATCGGATTATCCTGCATCGCAGGTGTACTGTCCCACACGCCCAGCTCCTCTGCCTTTTCAGGCGACGTGGCCTCGGGAGGCAGGACCTTGTAGTCGTGCTGTTGGTAGTGATTCTGCGACTCGCGAGGCGAGATGACGATCTTGTCCAGCCACTTCACGCTTCGCGCCCCGATGATGCCGGGGATTATACTCCGGACCGGCGCACCGTGGCGGGCGGGCAGCAGGGTGCCATTCATCTACGTCGCCGTGCGCCATCAGCTCTCTGTTGCCTGATACCACCTAACCTCAACACCATCAAGTCTAACCGGGGGAGACGTGGTAGGAGAAAAGAGACAAGGAGTGCAGAAGAGCAAAGAAGAAGAAGCCGACGTACCTCCAAAGCGAGAATGACCTCTCTCTCCCTGTCCATGGCCACGGCCAAGGGCACACTGGATCCGTACCACTCGTCATCCTGGACCTTTGTTGCATTGCATTCCATCTGGACATGAAGACCCTCATACTCCTTCTCATCCTCCTGCTCGATCAGACCCGCGGAGGTGAGAACATCTCGTAGAAGCGGGCCCGTCCATTCGGCGTTCATACTGTCTTACCATCAGCTAGCACCCAGCATATCTCCACCATAGTTGTTCGAGAGAAAACTATGCGAACCCCCGGGAGTAACTTAGTGACCAAACCCCAGCTAGCCTCGTGTCATCCAGCAGAGGATCAGCAAGGGGAAGATGGGAAACTTACACTGCGCCGTCACCCCAGTCCACCCCGCTCACCTCCTTTACGCGGCTCCGCATCTCGTGTCGTCGATTCCCTGCGCATTGAAGTGCACATGTCACTGTATGCTGTGAGAACTTGGATCTGAGGTCGTCCACGGTCAAAACGAGATCGAGCCTCTTCGGTACGACTTGCGAGGTCGTTGGGATCGAGTCGGATTTGATCGTTACTTTGTGCGTCGATGCATCGATGTGCTGTATTGGTCCGTGGTTGCGGTCGTATGCTTGTGGTTTGGACAACTCGTGGTCTTTGGATGGTGTCAGGAAGCTGATTGCGCTTTTAGTCCATCATGTCCGAGGAGTGAGTCGGCGGAGGGCCTTGATTTTCGTGTTCCGGGGCGTGTTTACTACTACGTACCTTTGGACTAAACGCTGCGTGTCTGGTTCTCTGTTGATGGGGTTCTCCACGGTGCCATCTTCTTTGGAATCCATGTTCTCGGGACGTCGTTGGGATAGCCACACGAACGTTGGTCTTTAGGATGGCTACGCCAGTTGTTGAAGAGCATTACCGTCTGAGAAGTGGTTGCCAGGAATACAAGCAGTTTCCTGCTCAGCAGATGGAATATCGATCTTCACAGTAGAAATGCATCTGTCTCGCTGTCTCCGCATTTGAACTTGACGTCATAAAGGGATTTATTTCGAAGGGATGTAAGGGCTATTTGATTCGCTATACGCTCAGCAATCAGTACGTTTGTCTCCAATCGAAGTTGTCGTTGTCGAAGGGGGACACATCCAAAAGCTCATTCAGCACGCTGCTTTCAACATTCAGCTCCAAAGATGCCTACTCTGAACAGGCCTACTTCCTAAAATATGCAATGATGGCGCAGACACCGACCGTGGCAAACGGATCCCGCTATGCAAAAGCTCAACCGGAATGGTAATACAATCATTTCTTCCCTTTCTTTCCCTTGGGTTTTGGTTCGTCAGACGGACCCAAAATCGCGTCGAATGTCATGTTCGGATCCGCCTCGAATTTGATGGGTGGGTTAAACGTCGAGGCCGGACGTGGCACCTGCTGAGATGGTGATGTCCCCATGGCCTCCAGTCCCAGATTGAGTGAAGTCCTGTCATGGCTGACGCTTCGAGTGTCGGAGTGTGCCGGAGAGAGCGGCCTCATGAGCGGTGAGGCATGTGGACTGGCATAAGGTGACTGTTGCGGGCTGAGGTACGGGGAGGCGGCAGCATGGGGATTTCGTGGCTGCGGTTCTAGACCAGCCGCCTGGTCCTGTTGCATTGGCTGCGCAACACCGTCCTGTGCCTGTCTCCATTCTGTGGCTGATGTCCAGCAATGGCTTCGCCGGTAAATCCCTTCCACGCTATGGTCGATCTGATCGGCTGTGACAAGGCCTCCACCACTCTGAACATTGTACCAAGTTCTTGATGTCGACTGATCTTCCTTCATCCATGGCCTACCTCCTCTGGGTGCGGCACACAAGAAGTATTCGACTCCATCCGTGTATTTTAGGTCTCGGGCGTCCACAATAGTCATCGGGAGGGCTTGTAAAACGGCGTACAAGAACAGCCAATGACCGCATCGAGCGTCGACAATTTGCTCGAGGTATTTTCCATGACCAGCGCGGCGCTCGTAGTTGAAGAAGGCTTGGATCCACGGGCTTGCATTGATCGACATCCGATTGTACGAGCCTAACAATACCTCGTTGACCTCATTTTCGCGCAGTTTCTTGATTTGTAGTGCTGTCTTATCCACAACGACCACGTGGGTACGGTTGAAGCTGTGAGAAAATTGGGGCAGTAATGGCGTATCAAAGGGCATTGGAGGTACGACAGGCGGCGTGGCTCGGTCATATTCACTTTCAACACGTCGGATTGCATGCTGTATGGATTCATTGAGATCGCTAGTCTCAGCGTCATCCGCCATGGGTGGCATATCGGCAGTCCTCGTTGTGATGCTCGACCGATCGACCAGGATATCATACAGGTCGGTGAAGTCTTTGTAAAGTTCCTGCAGTAAGACTCTGTTCAGACCGCTCTCTTCAAAGTTGTTCTTCTTCGAAGAGGCCTTTGGTGGCCAAGCTCCATACCTCCGACGATAGTAAGACAGCGTAAACTTCCTGAAATCGACGAAAGCGGCTTTCCATTCCTTGAATCGGACAAGTTTCGCCTCTGTTGAGCTTTGGGAATTTGCGACACCCGCGAACATTGATGGAAACTCGAAGTCCTCCAACTTTCCTCTGACATTCAGTAATCTCTGTTCGAGATCGAGTTGGGCGCGTTCCAAGCGATTCATAGTGATCGGCGAGATTTTCTCATACTTCGGACTTCTGAGCGCCTTGATATCCGCAAGTTTACCCACGGCATGTGTGAACCCTTCATGGTACATTGGCCAAGATTTGAGCTGCTCCCCCAAAACAATCGCTTCGATTGTCTTTTCTCGGCTGGAGCGAACGTCACTCAATCTCAGCTCATCACAGTAGCGCGCGAAGCTGGTAGTCGGAACTTCTCCGAAGGTTGAGCCGTCTGGATTCGTGAATGAGAACCTCTTCAGAATCGTGCTGATCCCCATGAAGATTGCGAATAGCGTCACCTGTCTCGGGGTAGCGACCAGAGCACCACCAGCAAGGAATCCAAAGAAATTGCGGTACAACACCAGCAATTCCAGATCATCGCCTTGTGGTTCCGACCAGGGATGGGACATATCTCGTTCAAAGCCCAAGGGCACATACACGTGTTTTTGCTCATTGACCGCAGTAACAAGATTTGGGATGGAAAAGTTCAAGGAAGGCCGGGAGGCCGTTGAACTGGCTTGGGATGGAGGACGACCTCCTTTTGACGCGGTAGTTAGTTCGGCGAATGCAGCGTGAAGTTGTTGGAGATCACCGTCCTTGTCAACAGGAGAAGTTGGGGACGCCAATCGCAGGTTGACAAGAGCTCTAGAATCCATCAAGAGAGAAGACTGAATCTTGAAACATGGGCCTTTCCCTGAAGATGGCGGATAGAGATAAATTAGCGTATCACCCTCGTCGTTCCAGACTTCGGGGACCTGACGAGTCCGTTTTAGCAAAGTCTCAACATCGAACGATTGAATGCCTTACCTTTTCGCCATTGAGCAGCGGCGTCAGATCGTAAGCGACCAATTCTCTTAGTCCAGCAATCCAGGCTTTTGGCTGTGGCTGTCCCTCTTCATAACCATGACGCTCATGCTTTGTAGGTCCCCAGCTCTTCTTTTTGATTTTAGTGGACGTCGGGGTAAGAGGTCGACCCGGAGAACCGATTGAAGCCGCGCCAGATGGCACCGTCAAGGCGGGTGATTGGGGTCGACTGCGGCTGTCATCGCGACTCTGTACTCGATTCAGACTGATCGGGCTGCTCGTCCTGCTGCCGAGTCTGCTGTCTGGTCCACTGCGGTGACTGCTCGGTGGTCTGTATACTCCTTCGTCAGAAACAAGAGGAGGAGGGGCAAGTGGAGGAAGTTCTTCGTGGAGATTGATGTCGGAGGATGTGGTAGCATGATATTTATGCAATTTATGAGGAGCTGCAATGGTCGTGTGAGAGGATGTGTGAAGATATTCAGTGCCAGGAGGATGGGAGATCTGTTCGTGTTCACGACCCTTGTCATCCCGTGTTAGTGATAGCGAGAACAATGAAGACACCCTCTTCGCCATGATGTCCAATTCAAGAAGTCACTGTCCTCCTGCAGAGGGATTCTTGCTTGTGCGTAGTCAGTCTGGAGTAGGTTGTTCACTGCCCACCACTTTACCAAACACAATTCAGGAGGTGTCAGTCATCTCTTGACCGCAAAATGCACTTCTGCAGTGTCACCATTGTTCAAAGAATGTCGCACAGTAAGAAATATGCAAAGGGAATGTAAGTGAAGACTGGTCAGTCGAAATCAGGCAAGAAATGAGTGCTCGCCTAGCGGAGAAAGCGATTTGGGCGCAGGACGACACTTAGAACCGAGTCTGGCAACCTTGCGGGCTGTTTGCCGCGTGGAAGGCTTCCTGCAGGACATGGTAGCAGACCCCAAGGAGGTGTTGAGATTCCATAAAAAGCTGCAATGCCCATTCGACGCGCGGATTCCAGGGCGCAGGTAAGAAATGCAAGGGGACAACGCAATTCCAGAACCGCAGTTCTGACCTTCTCTCACATCCGGGGACAATACTGCGGGCTTTCGCTCCACCAAATTATCCAGCAACAATCCACACTGACGTCTTCGTCAAGGAGAAACACTGGGTGACATCTTGTGGACAGGCGTGGCAGGCTTATCTGAAAACCGTTAAAACCTTGAAGCCAGGGACATGATCGCCTGTAGCCGACGCCTAGGTTAAAGTGCCGCTAACCAGAGCACGGCAGAGCCGCCACCCCGCCAATGCCCACCCACAACCGCCTCTGCTCATCGCACCGACTGGACAATGGACATACAGTAAAAACTCTGAGTCAGCCGGATGGCCACTGACGGAGATACAACTATTCTGACCTTCACCTGAGAGCGTCTCGTCTATCAAACAATGAGCCACAATGTATAAATGATACCTCCACACCCGGTGAGACTGTTGAGTTCGACCTTACGACCGAAGGTGACCGGGAAGGCAAAATCGGAGGTACTCGCAATCACCATGACGCGTCGACTGGCCTCGCAGATGGATACCAGTGGTGGAAATCAAAATCTCAGCTCAAGGCAAATCGACCTGCTCAAAGGCTGGCCCAATCCAGGGCTGCTTCCTCCTCAGCAGCTTGACAAGGCTTCCGACCATATCCTATCTAATCCTAATAACAAGGATGTCCTATTCTATGGACCGGATGAAGGCTATAAGCCGCTAAGACAAGCAATTGCGAAATGGTTGACGGACTTTTACAGACCTAGCAAGCCAGTCCCGACTGAGAGGATATGCATCAGCGGAGGTGCTAGTCAAAATCTAGCATGTATTTTGCAGACGTTCACCGATCCAGTCTACACACGCAATATTTGGATGGTAGCTCCAACATATTTCCTGGCCTGCAGGATATTCAATGACTCTGGATTTGATGGCCGTTTGAGGGCTATACCAGAAGATGAAGAGGGAATTGATCTTGAGTACCTTGAAAGAGGCCTGCGAGAGAGTGAGGCACGCGCACGAGCCGAGAACAACACGAGTCCCCGACTAAAAGCCCCCAAGCCGTGGAGGAAGATTTACAAGCATGTCATCTATGCTGTACCCACGTTTTCGAATCCATCGGGTCGCATCATGAGTCTTCACCATCGGCACAGCTTGGTAAGACTTGCTCGAAGATACGATGCCCTGATAGTGACGGATGATGTCTACGACATGCTCCAATGGCCTTCTGATCCCAAGGCAAGCCCACGGAAAATGGACAGAGCCGTTCTACCACGAATAGTGGATATTGATCGAGAACTTGACGGAGGTCCCGTGGATGCGTATGGACATGCAGTGAGCAATGGCAGCTTCTCCAAGATCGTTGCACCAGGTTGTCGAACAGGATGGGCCGAAGGTACCGAAGCGTTGGCTTATGGTATTTCGCAGACTGGGTCAAGTCGATCCGGAGGCGCACCCTCGCATCTTGTCGCGTCCTTCATCTACCGACTTCTCTCAGCAGGCACATTGCAGAATCACATCATGCAGGAATTGCAGCCAGCATATGCGCGGCGTTATTACACCATGATTGATGCCATCGGAAAATACTTACTCCCACTGGGCTTGACGATGCCTCAGCCAAACAAAGATATTGCTGGTGGATACTTCATCTGGTTGACTCTGCCTCGATGCCTGAATTCGATGCGGATTCACAAAGATGCACTGGCAACCGAAAATTTGATCATCGGTTCTGGGCCAATATTCAAAGTGGAGGGTGATGAATCAAATGAAGAAACCAAGTTTGCAAAAGAGCTCCGCCTATGTTATGCCTGGGAGGACGTTGATGTGCTGGAAGAGGCAGTGATCCGGCTGGCACGGGTCATTCGACAGGAAATGACCAAACAAGTCAAATGAGCGACGAGATACTGCAACGTGATGTTGATGAATGACCTTCCTTTCCATGGATGTGTCCCTCGAGTCCTGCCAGCTGGCCCCTGTACCCTCGTCTGAATGTGCCAGTCCAGATCTTGTTTGTGCCAACAAGTGGTAGCCTTGCCACAACGAATCGCTGGATGACCAGCCACGCTTAGCCACCAAATCTGTAAATTGGTCTCCAGCTTCTCTGCGCTGTCAAACGCGACGAGTTTCGGAATGTTTCATGGTGTGCCACGCGATCCAATCGGATGTATGACGGGCGCCAATGTTTGCCAACTTGGTCAAGATTTGAACCTCGTCCGCTCTTTGAATTTCTGTGGCCTTTCCATTCTTCGCCATACTCCGATGTGCAAGAATTGACGAGTGGACTAGAAGGAAAGTCGCGGATTAAGGAGCCTTTCTGGTTGTCATGCCGGCCAAATCAGGAGGTCTAGCAAGCTCTGAACTGCTGTCTCGCCACGCGGCTCCTCGCCAACGGAGCGGCGCGAAGGACAAGCAATGGATACCCAAGGGATCAGCACCGAAAGTGAATGATCAGAGACAACTACTGACCTTCTTTGTTCTTCTTCCAAGGACACCAGAGTCCACGAGCAATGATGAAGGTGGAAACGCAGCTTGAAATTGACAGAGGGAGCGAAGATGCAGTGTAAGTGTGCCCATTGAACCACCTCTTTCTGGCGGGAGATTTGCTCTCTGCACACCTACGTTGGTTCATATAACTTTTCATCAGACATCCTTCTCTTTTCCATTCCCTTGTCCGCCCTTTCATTCTTTTTGCAGGCTCTTGATATCAACACCTGCCAGTCATTCACTTCCCAGACAGCTAGAGGTTGTCGCACTTCCACTCGTTTGAAGAATACCTTTACTTACCCGTCGGCCGCCTTGGATATCCCCATCTCAACCGCACCTGCCTTCGATTGTCGTCTGACTACGGTTGGTCACTTGTGACTTCGGAAGTGATACCCGTGACTTCCTTCCTCGCTCTGCTCAATACCTGCCTGTTGTTATTGTTTGTTGGGTACGGCAGTCGCGCTTTCTGACTGGGATCTCTTTCACGGCCCGATCTCTCGAGAACTTGGACTTGGACATAACACCCCTTCCACCTCACAAGTTTTGCACAGTATCACCGTCAAAATCTGTTTGTTCGGTGCCGGCCACCGTTACTATTAAAGCTTCTGTAGCTTAGTTTGCAACGATACTGCTTCTGGCTCATCCAAAACGGACGAAATCGAAAATGAAGCGGCTTCAGCCAGGATTTACGATGCTGGCATATTACCTCTTTCTTCTTTTGCCGTGGCTGGCCATGGCTGTACCACGGCCTCAACCACTGTCATTGGAACCACGGCAACAAACCTCCTCGTACTGGCTTGCCCAGATCCAACGACAGGGGACTGTAGCTTTCGGCAATGACCCGAACTACAAAATCTTCCGCAACGTGAAAGACTATGGTGCAGTTGGTGAGTGAAGGCGTCCACAAATCGGATTCCGATGCTAAGTACGCGTTAGGTGACGGTGTGACCGATGATACAAGTGCCATCAACAATGCCGTTACCGACGGGGCAAGATGTGGCCAAGGCTGCGACAGCTCGACCACTGTCCCTGCCATTGTCTACTTCCCACCCGGAAAATACGCAGTCTCGGCTCCCATCATCCAATACTACTACACACAATTCGTGGGTGACGCAGTGGACGTCCCAACCATCGTGGCCATGGCCAATTTCGAAGGCCTTGCCGTTCTCGATACCGACCCATACATTCCTGGAGGAAATGGAGCCCAGTGGTACACCAATCAAAACAATTTCTATCGTCAGATTCGGAACTTCATCATCGATACTACACAAATGCCTGAGGATCAGGGTGCTGGCATTCACTGGCAAGTGGCACAAGCCACCAGCCTGCAGAATATCGTTTTCAACATGGCCCCGAAGAGCCCAACCAACAAGCAACAGGGTATCTTCATGGACAACGGATCTGGCGGCTTCATGTCCGACCTCGTTTTCAACGGCGGAAACTATGGCGCCTTCCTCGGCAATCAGCAATTCACCTCTCGGAATATGACCTTCAACGACTGCAACACAGCGATTCTCATGAACTGGAACTGGCTATGGACATTCAAATCGCTTAACATCAACGGTTGCGACATTGGCATTGATATGTCCAACTTGGCTAATGGTGTTAACCAGACTGTTGGATCTGTGATTGTCCTGGACAGCGTTATGGCAAACACCCCTGTGGGAATCAAGACTTCTTATAACCAAACAAGTCAACCCACGACTGCAGGTACACTGGCTCTGCAAAACGTCGACTTCAGCAGCACTTCGAAGGCCATTGTCGGTGCAAATGGTGTCGACCAAATACTTGCTGGAGGAAGTGTCGTAGCATCTTGGGGTCAAGGTGATGCTTATCGACCTGTCGCTGGGAGCCAATATGGCAAACGACAACCACAAGCTGTACCAAGCTCGTCGTCATCAGAATGCGCCATGTCTACTACGACAACGACTGTAACACTGTCCCAAACAGCGGACCAATCGATGACGACTGCCACCGTAACAGTCTCAGCTCTACCGTCATCCAGCGTCAGTGCATCGCCAATGGCACCTCCCAACTTCACCGCGGTAGGCAACTATTCTGCAGTCGTAGCCAACTACTCTGTAGCGACTGCAATAGCGTCCGCTTCGTCCTCGTCAAGAGTGTGTCAAACTTCCCCGGTCTCCCTCCAGTCATCGCGAGTGCAACAGGCTTTGACCGCTCCGACTCTACCCGCATCTCTCATGAATGGTAACGCAATATTCGAGCGATCCAAGCCTCAATATGAGGACGTCCCTGCGTCGTCATTCACCAGTGTCAAGTCTGCTGGGGCGAAAGGAGATGGTGTTACTGATGATACGGCGACACTGCAGAGCATCTTCAACAGTGCGACTGAAGGCCAAATTATCTACTTCGACCATGGTGCATACATCGTGACCGACACCCTACAGATTCCCAAAAACATCAAGATCACTGGGGAGATTTGGCCTTTGATCATGGCCAAAGGTGACGCTTTCACTGATATCAATAATCCAAAGCCAGTGCTACAGGTCGGTTTGCCAGGCGACACCGGCTCTGTAGAAATTTCGGATCTGATCTTTGAAACCATGGGCGCTCTGCCGGGTGCTATCATGATGGAGTGGAATGTCGCCGAGGAGTCTCAAGGATCCTGTGGCATGTGGGACGCCCATTTCAGAGTTGGAGGAACTGCTGGTACTCAGCTGCAGCAGGACACTTGTCAGGCCAACGTGACTGGGTCGTTCCAGTTCAAACCGGAGTGTGCCGGATCATTTTTGATGATGCACGTCACTCAGCAAGCAACTGCGTACCTGGAAAATGTGTGGTTTTGGGTTGCTGATCACGAGCTTGATATCGCCACACACAACCAAACCGACATCTTCAACGGCCGAGGACTGCTGGTCGAAAGCCAGGGCCCCAGCTGGTTCTATGGCACCTCTTCGGAGCACAGCCAGCTGTACAACTACCAATTCTCGAATGCCCAGGACATTTTTATGGGTGCGATCCAGACAGAGACTGCATACATGCAAGCCAGTCCGGACGCTCTCAATGGAGGATTCCCACCCAACGCAGCTTTCACGGATCCAACATTTGCCGACTGCACCACAGAATCATGCAAGAAGACATGGGGTTTGCGCATTGTCGATTCGAGTGATATCTACATGTATGGCGCCGGGCTTTACAGCTTCTTTGACAACTACATTCAGACCTGTCTTGACACTGAATCCTGTCAAGAGAACATGGTCGATATCCAGTGCTCGACCAATGTGAATCTGTTTGGATTGACAACCAAGGCGTCAACCAACATGGTCAATGTTGACGGGACTCCAGAGATTTTCCAGAAGGACCACACCAACTTGTTCGGTCAGACCTTGATGCTTTTCCAAACATAAGAACGGATGGGAGACAAGGCCTTTTTTCAAATGGGATGGCCTGGAAGCGGCTTCTTGAAACCATTTTGGCCATCTATGTTGGACTGATGGAGGGTTGGTACTCGTCAGAGTGAGCGGAATTATCCATTGATGACATGCATAGTTTTTATGATGGATTCACTCAACTATGTGAACGTTGAGGCTACATGTGCATAATACCCACGCATACGCTTTTTGCGACTTTATTGCTGGTGGCTCTAGTTAGTGTTGTAATTAGGACAGCGAGAACCAAAAACAAATGAAACCTTGCTTTTCACCTTGACACCCATATATTGAAGCCCTTCTTGTTTCTTCACGCTCGTGACGCTCCATCATGATCGTCCAATTGACCCCGGGGTTTCAAGCTTACGGGGAATTGATTCAGACTGGCAGCTTCTATTGGTGGATGCAACTAACATACAGTACATACCTAGGTAAAGTAGGTCGGTGGGTAGGCTCTCCACGGCTCTCCAACTAACTAGGCGCCACAGGGAGCTGAACCAACCAACAGTAAGCGCATGGCCAGGTGCCAGGCTCGCAAGGTTATTTAATGGTGGCAGGCGATGATGGGCGGTCGCTTGCGGGGTTCAGCAAACCAAAACTCTTGACCTTTTGACTGCGCCCATGTTTCTGTGGATTGATTGCATTACTGCCGCACCATGTACACAATGCTATTTACACCCATATCCTGACTTTCAGAAGTGCCATTCTAGTAGAATGATACATTCGCTCTTTTCATCACCACCATCTGCTGTGTTCGGCAGCATAGCCATATGGGCGTTGCCGTCGCCGTAGCAGTCCACAGCCATGGCTCTCAGACGACCTGAGCGGGTTTATTTGGACGGTGAGAGCGAGAATGCCAGCGATGTCTCAACCTCATCGCAAGGAACTCAATCCACCCATCCGCAAACCTTGCCATCAATCCGACCGCAAGGCAGGCCCGTCCATGTAGTATCCTTCACCAGATCATCAGATGGCGGCTACTCCAGAGATGAACGGAATCCCCAGGCCTCGACGCCGAGACACTCTCTACCGACAAGACACTGTTCCACCAGTGGACCTTCCGATGTATATCCTTTCGCGACCGACTTCGGCCCAAGAACATTGGCAGAATTTCTGCGGCAAGAGATAGACAAGCTGAAACTACTTCTCGCATCATCCAGAGCAAAGGGCAAAGGAAAGGGGGCAGAACAAGCTGGTATTTCTGCTTCGGCGGATACCAACTGCAACAGTTATCCTCGCGGCATGTACTCCACGGCGGAACACGAGGCAGCCGTGAACGCTCCTACCACGTCTGACTTGCCAAAAGCCGCCGACCTTTCTTTGCAAGCAGCCACTGACTGGGCATACGAGGAAGAGCCATATGGCACGAGAAACGTGGGTATACTCCACGGTGGACACGATGGATTGCCTTCTGTTGGTATTCTGCCGGCATCTGGTCAGTCCCTCCTTTCGACTACTCGGCAAATGAGCACTCTCTTGAATACTCGTCGACGTCGATCGGTACGACTAGCCAGAATGGGCCCGAGTCCGGATGCCGGCGAGGTCGGGGGTACCTCCTCCGAACCTGATGCCAGATCTCAGGTCGACCAGAACTCGGTCAAGGAGAACTTGTCGCCATCCAGTATGCCTAGCCCCAGTATGCCACCAGCTGTTCAAAGCAAAGCCAGTGGCAGTAGCAATCAAGGTCTGCCTACAGCCTCTCTCGTGACTGGCACCGATTCGTCCAGGAGGACTAAGTTTGAAGAGCACACCAGAGCCAAAAGACAGCTTGTTAGGAACACGACTACTGCGGCACTGGCTAATACTCGAGCCATCACTAGACATATACCCACCAGGCTTCGGCCGAGATGGATCCTTGATAGCCCCGCGACTTCCACTTCACTCCCCGATGCCCCTGAGAGTGGAAGCTCGTCCAATCCTGATGGTGTTGACCGGCTTTCGCAGCCAGCTTTGCCTTCTTTTGGAGGCATCGGTGGACCGCGGCGGCGATCAAGTCACTTTTCCCCTCCGAAATCGATTCGGTCCAAAAACATTGAGCCACAGGAGCAGCGTCTCCGGAACGCAGAAACAAGTAGCCAGGGTCATCTGCTAGCCAACTATGAAGTATCAGATCTCGTCGAGGGCTTCTTTTCGGGCATGCGTAGTTCTAGGGATGCTTCCTCGGCAGGAGCACTGACCACTGGCGCGCCACTAGAGGACGACACTGAAGCCCATCCGGGTCTGTCTCGTTTCGTCTACCAGGATATTGTTCCGGAACAGCTTCCTGACGATGAGAAGAGAGATTTCTTCCGTGCTGTACAGGAAGTCACCGGTTCAGCAGATTTGAGGCAGCTGCTCATGGCATACGACTTGGGCATCTCGATTAGAGAATTCGCTCGCATTTCGTCAGTGGACAACGCTGAGTTCCTAGCCCAGACACCTCGGCCTTCATCTTTAACATCTTCGTCTACAGCTGATGAAGACGCCACCGGCCTGAAACAGGAAACCAAGAAACAGTGGTCTAGTCTCATTGACCTCAACGATGATCATTGGATGGACATCGCAGCATACCTATCTTCCCAGGATATCAAGAACGTCCGACTCGTCAACCGGTCACTTAGCCAGGTCTTGGATCCCATCCTGTTTCGCAATGTGGTAATCGACTTTGGCAAATCCTTTTTCGATGTTGATAATACCGGATGGGACAGCAGGTCTGGGCGGCCTCCGTCAAATTCCATGCTAAAGAGACATGGGGGGGACATCAACCAGTTTGGCATCGCATTCGAATATGACCTGGCCGGACTCACAAATGCAAAGGAGAAAATCATAGAAAGAGAGCAGGTTGCATGGTTTGGCAAATTCACATGGCCGACAGAAAACTATCCCCGATACCCAACCCTGCAAGCTCTAGAGGATTTGGTCGACCACAACCGTCCGCTGCTTCGAGAGGCTTTCAAATACGTAACCAAGGCCTCGGAACTTGGATTGTGTATCGACAGCGGACATGGCTGGATTGAAGGACCCGACATCTCCGACCTTGCTCTGTACAACCGACGCACCAAGAAAGGAAGCAAAGTGTTCGGCAAGACCTTCATCAATGAAGACAGCTGGACGACTCTAGCTCGAAACCAGTATTTCAAATGGGCTCAGCAAAACACCATCAACGAAACCATAAAACGTCTGAAAGAACGTGCTTCCAGAATCCTTCCGGACGCAGTTTCGTCTGACATAGGATATGCTGCGGATGAGATCCAGTTCTTGGAAAACCTGAAAGCTCGTGATATTGAAAGCTTTCGAATGCAACGAACCCAGCTTGACACTCGTCCCGAGGCGCACATTGGTGGCTTTGCATTCGATCAGTCTACAGAGGACGAGTACTATGCTGGAGTCGGTACGATGGATCGAGCTCCTCAGTCGAATGACCATGAGGCACAATGGCCATTGATCTTTGGTGGTTATAATCTTGCCGCCGAGGCTGGAGGCCACAACAGACCCATATTCGACAAAACTGCGAATCCCGCTTGCTCCCCATTGCTTCCTGGCGCGTTGACCGAATCACAAGCTCAGTGGTTGATGGAAACCGTCTGGGCGCAGCGCGCCTTCTTGTCTGCCTATACCACAGCCATCATCACCAACAAACAGAACTTTACGACCATTAACACCCTCAGAATTAGTAAATTGTCCTCCGGCCTCCTACCATCTCTGGAACAACGGGAATTTTGGAAATCTCTTCCTCGATTGAAAGACTTGCAAATATTGATCAGCCCCGATTGGCGAAAAGAACATGTCATTGGTGATCGAGCTTATGCTAAGAACATGCTCATATCCCCTGCGACAGCCGCCAAGAGATTTACCCGGTTCCTGCGCTTGTACGTTACCAAGATCGAGAGTCTTCACAAACTGACAATCGGCTATGTTGGAGGAGGAGAACATGCTGTCGGGATGTGTGCTCGCAATCAGCATGTTTTGCCTGCGCCGATCGTTGATGATCCTATGGATTGGCTTCACCTTCCTGATCGGCCTATTTCCATCACCAAATTTGACCATGTTCGTGACCTCAAATTCGAAAATTGTTGGTTTACGCCCTGGATGTTGAGAGAATTCATGAACAAGAGTAAAGACATCAGTCTTCACTCGCTCACTCTCGAATCTGTCAGCATGACCGCCTTGCACAATGCTAGTCTCGATCGCCAGTTGTATGCGCACGGTCCCAATCAGCGGTGTCTCTTTCCACCGACTTCATGGCTTCGTGAGACTCTTCCGAACAGTGCTGCCTGGTGTCAGGTTCTAGACGATATCACCCCTGGTGCCACACTGGACGACCGCAAGTGGGATGCCGGACTGGTTGACGACGAGTTTGAGCCGAGACCCGGTCGATCTTTCCGTGGCCATATCCAGGAGATCGTCCTCAAGAGCTGCGGTTACGTCAGGATCTCATTGCCAAAGACGGACGCCGCAGGATACAGTCAGTGTTCGGCAGTCTGGCACCACAAAACCGCCGTGGATAAGGGCCTACTCCGACGCAGATCGCAGTTCGAGAGACCTTTGCGTTCGACTTCAGACGAGGAGGTCGGTGCACTTGCCATTCAACAGGGCAACCGTCTCGCGGGCAAGGAATGCGATGACGACCATCCTCGACGAGTCATGCTGAGTTCGTGCACGCCGAATGGTGATCAATACCCTTGGCTGGGTAAGCTCACTCAATGTGTCCATCCGATTGAGAAAAGAGTGCTAGAAGAAGCGTGGAACATGACCTTTGGTTGGGGCGATGATCTCGAGCGGTTCGGTGCCGTGGAAGATGGTTTCTTTGAAGGAGGGACTGGACGGTTCAGCGGTGTCATTGAGAAGGATTCCGACTTCGACGAAGCAGAACACGAGTGATTGTCCTCGTCTGCAGGCTTGGGGATGCACGAGTCTGACTGTCTCAGTGAGGCACATTGTATTGGACATGAGAAAAGGCCTGTGTGAGCGACCTAGGCGTTGTATGAGTGACTAATGCTTGGATCCACACGAATGGAGTCGTCGTTGATGTTGGCTTGTGGTGGCATGCGGCACGCGGTAATTCAGATGGATTGAATCTTGTGTATGCTATGATACCATGGGGATGAACTACCACGGCAGAAAAGTGTTTCGAGTGCATTTCTTATGTAGTTGATATGGAAAGCCAGCAAAGCAGAGATACCCAAATGACTTGATGACTCTACTCAAATAAACAAGGCAGGACCGGACTATGAATATGCTGGTGTAGGTTGACTGCCTCCGCAGGTGAATCGCCAGCCTCTGCTGATTGTCCTGCTTTGTGTGAATAACAATGTGAATAGCACAAACAAACGACCTCTTTGTCACTGAGGCGGCACAACCATGTGGCATTGTGTGAAAGCTCCGGGACTGCTTTGAGGCGGTTGTCCCTTCCTAGATTGGTTTAAAAGCACGAGTCGCTGTTTGTGATTTCGAGTCCAGTCCCCAAAGACGAAGATCACGCGGTTTCCTCAAGCAGATCTAGACTTGTCCAACATATCGAGTCATCTCTTACAACTCTGTGGATCAGAGAATCTCACAAAGAAACTCGCAATGTCTTCCATACAGCAAGACAAGCACGGCCCCGAGATCGCCAAGTGCCGTGCCGACCTCGCACAGATCGAACAAGTCATGAAGGACATCCAGTACGGTATGAGTCTCGACGACATCAGTCTCGAAAAGGGGGTGCCAGCGTGGCAGTTGACCTTCAGAATGGCGACTTATGGCCTGCAAGCTGCAAAGATCGGAGCGCTGATGGCTCATGGTCCGCCGGCCGATGGTCTCGTCCACGTCCGATCCTTGTCCAACGAGGAGAACAAAGCGATTATGGTCGAGACCATGGCGAGGATGATGTGTGGCGTCCCGATGCATCAGGCGTTGGAGCTAGCCAAGGATGAGAAGGAGCGAGAGATACTTACAAGCGTAAGCCGGAGAACTGTGCCCGTCAGCAGAGGTAAAGAGGTAAATGGCACAGGATCTAGTGCCGGCTGGGTACATTTTTAGGATCGGACGATATCTATATCTTGTCAAGAAGGAACGAGCTGCATGGGACTTGCATTGAAGATGAAAATGATGGCAATGGGTGATGGCGAGGAGATGAGAGTCTGTGGTCAACCGCCTGGTGTAGTACCCAAGGGCAGATGTGTCTATTGATTGTCCTGGTGACTTTCAGGTAGCTTGAATCGACTGGTAGAAGTTCTGCGGTCTTTCATGTGTGTATGTATGGGAAGTATTCTGATCGTCCACTGTAAAAGGTCTACTCGCGCCCACGGGCATCTTGGTACTCTCAAAGTGAGCACTGGAAGGATTGACGGATGTCTCATTATTCCCGGGTGCTCGCTACGTGGTCGTCCACTGTCCGTCGAGCCGTGGAAGCAAGAACAAGGTGGAGCGGCACTTAAAAGCGGCGTGGGTCGAGCGAGTTCTTTACCCATGAGCGTTCGGCGCCGCTTTAACTTATCATCTCGACGTCTTTTCGCACCGAGATCCAGATATCTTTTCGCCTTGTACTCCGTACGACATACCTTACCATCTCTTCGCGTGCATTTGCATCTCCCACTCGGAACAATGCCGTGACTTGATCAACTAGTCGAGGCAATGGTTGAAACAATCCACCTCGCGCACACGCCGCCCGAGCTGGCGCTCCACGTTGCCGTGTACACCGACGTCGAAAACGCCTCGTTCCTCAAAGAACAACTCCTGGCCGGCAACGCCGAGTTCGAATATGCGTTCATAGATGCGAGCATGGTCCGTTGTCTCTTTCCTTCTCCCTTTTGCCCACTTTCCCATTTACCACTTTCCTTTGTACACTTTCTTATACTCATGGGGCCTGTTCCAGATTCTGTCCACCAAGCACGTTCTGGCTGCCGCTTTCCGCGCGATGAACGACTATCTCAATGAACGTCTCAAGTCGCGAAACATCCATTCTGAAATTGTCTTCTGTCTGAGCCCGAACAACAATGTACGTGTTATCACCTGGCAAATTGTCTTTCGTGGTGGTGGTCGTCGACGATTGCCTCGGGACTGACAGTCAATAGATCGGCGAAGCCTTCCGACGTTTCGGCGTCAGCGAATCGACCCGTAATCTAGTCGTCCTCAAGGTCGCTACCACACCAGACATCACCCTCGAGAACGTCAGCCAGCATCTTTCGACGCACATCCAGGGGAAGGAATGTGACTTTGATGATGCGAGTTTCCGCAAAATCTCCGACGTCGACCGAATCCGCAAAGTGTACAAAGCCAACTTACCAACGAGCTCGAGTAAAGACGGCAAAGCCGTCAACGGCACAAGTGACCGGGAATTCGATCCGATATGGAGTCTGGAGAGGCAGGTTCTGGGTTTGATGGCCCTGAGAGGCGCGACTTGAGACGTTCAGTCAAAGACTTTTTTCGCCAAAACGCGAAGACTGATCCCAGTGTACTCCACCAATCTATGCACAACCCGGTATCGGCCTTGGTCGCGGTTGTGCTTGCGCTTTGGCAGGACTCTGGTGCGCAAAGCTATACCAGAAACCATATGAGAGAGGTTCCAAGGATCTCTCTACGAGACGAATCGCAATGCCTGTGGCACAGGCAAGTTGGCGGCAGGCAAGCGTGGCGAAGGGACTACAGCAGCCTTCAAGCTCCAGCTGTCCAGCCGAGAAGTAGCCCATCTTTCGACAGAAGCTATCCACTTTGCGCAATGCCATGTGAAGCTCTATCGTCAACACTGCCACGTGAAAACATCAATGGTCTTTGCAGAAGGACGTGGCAGACGAACAAACCCAAACCGAAAACGACATATTGTTCGGTCCACATACAACCTCCTGCTGCTCACAGCCGTTTCATGTGCATCGAAGGCGTGCCAATAAGGACCACCGATGCGCATCTTGTCTTCGAGTTAAAGTTGTTAGGCATCTCAGCCTTACATGGTAAATGGGTGGGCAAACTCACCGCATGTAATTTGCGTCAAGTACGAAGTACTTGGCAATTGGCATATTCCTTATAGCTCGCAAGGGAATTATTTTATTAGTGTGAAGCAGGTTCGATTCAAGTACGGGAGGGAATCGTGCTCATCGGCGACCTCGACAACTACATGCCAGATCAATCAAGCAAAGCATTCTATTGCATAAAGCCACGTTTACGTCTGCCAGTTTTCAGTCAAAGCCTTGTCTGATGTCTTGGGTCATCTCTAAATGTACCAAGGTAAATATGTAATATCATCCCTGCTCCCGATGTGGCTGTAACGCTCCTAGAAGCATGGCTTGTTTTTCAAGCATCAGCGATGCTTGAAACATTCAGGCCTTCACATTGACCCCTTCCTGACGTCCACCAGAAGTCTCCTTGCCGTTGTCAGTGGCCGTGTCATTGTCCTTCATGTCGGTAGTGTCGTCCTCTTGGTCGGCCGCGCCATTGGTAGCAACAGCTTTTCCAATTTGTCCACCCTTGTCTACATTCCCTGCCGTAGCCTTCGAAGCCTTCTTCGCTTCACGTCTTGACTTCCAATAATTCTTCTTCTTGGACTTGGTGGACTTGGTGGACTTTGAACCCGAACTCTTGGGAGAGCTATTCTCTTTGTCGGAACCTGTACCGTTGGCCGTCGATTCGCCAGTGGAACTTGCTTGGGAAGGAGATGCTATGACGCTGGAGTCGGCCTCAGGCTTGTGAGGTGTATCAGCAACGGTGGATTCTTCCTGAACATCACCAAGAGCTTTCTTCGCGCCGTCACTGACAGCTCGGGCTCTGTTTTGCTGATTGCTGACGTTGCGAGGGTGTTGACCATTGTGGCTGTTACGGCGAGCTGCTTTGCGGTCATAGTGAGCTTTGATGAGGGCACGGTAGGGTGAGAGATGACTTTCTCCCTGCATGTAAGCAACGGCTCGAACGATGACGTCTTTAGCCTGATAGTGTAATGGTCAGTTGTATCCTGCGGACAGCTGGGTAGACTTACAATGTACTCGGCATTCAACAGCTGTATGAGGTTGGTGGTCAGCGTCGCCAACTTAACGACATCTGTTTCAGTCTTGCACTGACTGTCCTCTGAGATGTTGCGTGCATTGAACATGATCGAGCGGATCTCTTCCTCGGTAGCAGGGTCAAACTTGTGCTCATTGTAAACTCTTGGTGCTGCTGTCTTCGCAGCTCCGTTGGTATTTGTGGTAGATGCTGGAGACATGGGTTTGACACTGTCTGATGAGGGCACGTCGCCTTTGGTGGCCTTCTCCATTGCAGTACTTTCCGGTTTGGTGGTGGAATCACTCTTCATAGGTGACTCAGTCTTGGTCTTCGTGGGAGAGGTCACTTCAGCCATGACTGGTATTGGTGGACAGTCGATTACTGCTCTGCAGAGTGGAAACTATTAGGGAGATGAAGCGAGAGACAAACGAGAGACTCACCAGAGCAAGGTTATATCTGTTTTGGGGTGCTGCTGGACCCTGTGAAGTGAACTTGATTGTGAGAGTGGATGGTGAAGAAAAGGAAAGGTGGTGAGATAAAAGAGGCAAACGATCAATCTGTGTCTTCAAAAGGTGCAGTTGCGACTTGCTGATTGATTGTGTTTGACTCCCGTAACAAAGAAGGTGCCGTAGCTGTCGGCAAAGTCAAGCAGGTGCAAGTGAAGACAACAGGTCAGACATATGCACATTTCCGGGCTATCGATGAAATGGCTTGTCTAAATAGCTGAATAGAAGACTTGACTCTGCATGTCCGTTCAAGTTCATTTCACACAGTTGGTGGTGTCGCTCTACTTAACTTGAAGCACCAGAGCAATTCAATGCATCTCTGCTACACAGCCCGTGCTGTTCTCTTCATCAGCCATCACTCCCGTCTCTGGTTTTTGTCACGGTCCAAAGCACTTCTCTCGGCCATGATCAAGCTACCCGCAAAGGTTATCTAGGTAGGTATGGAAGGCTGAAGTGACTTAGAAGGAGGAAAGACACGGAGAGTTGCAACAACTTCTCCAACCGCAGAAGTCCGACGTCAGCAGTGCCCATTGAATTGGTTTCTACAGCAGCAGGAGGAATTGGTCGAACGTTTCATCTTTTCTCCATTCCATACGAGTACCTATTCAACATCACTGCTTTTCTGCAGGGCCCATCATCATGGCAGGACTCTTGAAGAAGCCGTTCAAGCTCGCTCTGATTCAGCTAGCATCAGGTAAGTGGTGAGTGCCACCCTGCACTTTGTGATTGCGACAATACTCATGCATCTCCAGGTGGTGATAAAACAGCAAACCTTGCCCATGCTCGATCAAAAGTTATCGAGGCAGCCAAAGCCGGCGCCTCAATGATAGTCCTTCCCGAATGCTTCAATTCACCATATGGCTGTCAATATTTCCCCAAATATGCAGAGACCATCCTTCCTGCTCCCCCATCTCACGAAAAGTCGCCCTCATGGCATATGTTATCCTCCGTTGCAGCCGAGACGAAGACGTACCTTGTTGGTGGAAGTATACCTGAATTTGTGCCGGAAACGAAGGAATATTTCAACACTTCTTTGGTCTTCTCGCCGACTGGCAAGCTGCTAGCAACACATCGCAAGACGCATCTTTTCGATATAGACATACCAGGGAAGATCAAGTTCAAAGAGAGTGACGTTCTATCCCCCGGCAACAAAGTGACTATCGTCGACTTGCCAGAATATGGTAAGATTGGACTGGCTATTTGTTACGATGTTCGCTTTCCGGAGCTTGCCATGATTGCTGCCAGAAAAGGTGCTTTCATGTTTGTTTATCCAGGGGCATTTAACACTACAACTGGTCCAATGCATTGGTCTTTGCAGGCTCGAGCTAGAGCAATGGACAACCAAATTTATGTTGCTATGTGCAGTCCTGCACGAGACACGGAGGCAACGTATCATGCTTATGGCCACTCAATGATTGTCAACCCCAATGCCGAGGTTTTGACTGAGGCGGCCGAGCATGAAGACATTGTATATGCCGATATTGCTGGGGCCAAAATTGAGGAGACCAGGAAGGGCATTCCGATCTACAGTCAAAGACGGTTTGATGTTTATCCTGATGTTAGTGCCGGCAAAGTGCGCTATGAGGATGAAACAAGCTCATAGATGTGCCCACATTCCTCCAAGAGCATAGCATAAAATCAAAATATAGCTAAAGGCACCTCATGCTACTCTTCTTCTCTCTTACGCGGGCGGGCAGTCTATCATCAGTATCTGTCACGTGAACGAAATCTTGGCCAGGTTTTCCTTTTCTGGACTAGCCCACATTGCGGAAACTTCGATTCTGTCTGCGCACTTGCTTCAATTCCAAGCCTCTCAGTCGCAGTTCAATCACTTTTGTCGCTCGACCTTTTCCTTTGCCTTCACATTCATTCAATACGTAAGCTAACCTCTCTTGCGGCTGGACGATCGATTGTATCTTTTCATTGGCGTCATTCGATCCAAACTGACTGTCCCGTAGAACCGCCAAAATGGTCAAGGACAACCCAAAGACTCAACCCAAAAAGACGACGCCGGCTCCCAAGAAGAGTCGATCAGCCATCTCCGACGTCGTCGCCCGCGAATACACAATCCACCTCCACAAGCGAGTATGTTTGAAACTCTGAATATCACACACGTGTTGCCCGAAAAGGAAGGGGAAAATTGGCCCAATAAATTGGCAAAGAAAGAGAATGGAAATCAGTTTTATGAAGTCCACCCGAATGGCTTGCGTCGGCTCTGCTCTCACTCCCTCCCAATCCAGACATTCAAATCAAGCATTTTGGACGGAAGACTGATTTATACTCTTTATAAAGATTCATGGCGTCAGCTTCAAGAAGCGAGCGCCCCGCGCCATCAAGGAGATTCGCAAATTCGCGACTATGGCTATGGTACGTCTCTTACCTTTCAACAACTCCCGAGCGCATTATATCGGGCCTTTTCCCGTTTGTTTTTCTTTCTGACTGACCCGATTTGTGCTCAGGGAACCAAGGACGTCCGTCTCGACCCACAATTGAACAAGAAGGTCTGGGAATCCGGAATCAAGGGCGTGCCCTTCCGTCTGCGAGTGCGCATCAGCCGTAAGCGTAACGACGAGGAAGGTGCCAAGGAGAAGCTGTACAGCTACGTGCAGGCTGTAAACGTCAAGGAGAAGGAGGCCAAGGGACTGCAGACTGTTGTTGTTGAGGATTCATAGAGGGACGGTCAGCCATTCATGATGATGATGTGAGCGATGCTTTACACACAATCTTCACGTCAAAAGGGCGGAAGATGCCTGCGATGTTAGCGATGGCTTGCTCGGCAGACACTGCGAGCGCAAAGAGCAACTGAGTGTCGTGCTCAAGAGAGCACGGAGGATTGACTTTCTTCCAAGGACGAGGCCCTGAAATCTTGATACCAATGCAGAATGTGGCGCTTTGCCATACAAGTCAACCTCGTATTGAAGCAAGAACTCTGTGTATTGATCATCTATCATACAATTGGTGCCTGCCAAATTTCCAACCAAGGGATTTCTCTTCTCATGTCAGTGGCAGTCGTTAGAAGCCCGGTCGTCGAGGTATCTCGACTGAGATCTCAAACAATGAGCTCAGGAGACACATCCTCATGGCAACCACCTCGAAGGCAGCTCAACAGGGTCATGAGATCCAGGAGACACGATCCTTCGAGGCAACGGCCAGGATGCACCGCAAAGGCAGCTCGACATGGTCCCATGGACCAGGAGACACAATCCTTCAGCGTGGTGGGACTGACCGACTCGTTGACCAACTCATTCCGACATCCTCGACCCCTCCATCAATGGCACAAGTAGAAACAAGATGGTGTTCTGTACAAGAAGTTGCAATGCCCAAACTCCCTCGCTATGCACTGATGAAACATGGTCGATTTAATACATTAGCACAATTAAGCAGACTTTTTGTTCTCTTCCAAGATCTTCGAAAGTTCCGTTGCCATCTCTGGGGTTTTGACCTTGAATACCCATCGGGCAAGATTTCCTTTGTAAAATAGCGCACCTCTGACGGCACCGCTCTTGTTCGAGACGACGTTCTCATATGTGACGCTGTCGATAATATGCGAGTTGATCAGGACCGAGGCGCTTGGCTCCACCCGGAACACGACGCGAGTCTTGGCTGTGGTTTTGTCCTGGAGGACGCGGAGTACGCCAACTCCCATAGAATTCCAATCGTTGGGGGTCAACTTGGTGCCTTGGGCGGTTTCCTTGTTGACGTACATTAACGCTTTTGAGCGACCTTCCCAGAGACATGTCTCGTTCTCTTCGCCTGCTCGCGAGTCCATCAATGTCGCTTGTGGTTCATCGTTAGTTTCTTCTGTATCATTGGTGGCATTGGACTCGTTGTCCGTCAGGCCAGGTGATGTGGCACGAGAAGAGACTGCAGAGCTTGTGGCAGATCCTCCACCGAGATGTGTGATGGCTCCTAGAAATCCGGGTGCTGGGTTTGGAGCTGGGGCGCCGAATTGAAATCCAACTGTTGGTCTCTCCGTGTCTTTGGCGCCCGGAGCAGGCGTACCAAACAGAGAGCCAAATGGTTTTGGTGTCGATGACTCTTTTCCAGGCGAGGGAGCTGTGAATTGAAACGCGGGGGCATCCTGCTTGTTCTCACCATTTGCGAATGAAATTGGCTCGCCTTGCTTCCACGTATTATCAGTTCCAGCCGGTGAAGTCAAGACCGATCTGGACAGACTGCTAGACTTCTCTGCGTTGCTTGGCGTACTTGGTCGAGAGCCAAATAAGCCTTCGCCTGGGACGGGACCTCCTTTCGTCAACCCGCCAGCAAAGATCGAAGCGCCCGGTGTGGGCGCAGAGGATGATGTTGGCGGAGTAGGGGTAAAGTTGAAGGTCGTCGACGGCTTGTATGAGCTCGTAGCTGGGGTAATTGGCGAAAACGAGGGAGTTTCCGGTGTCGACTTGCCAATATGAGAACCCCAAACTGCAGGCGGGAAGGACGAGTTCTTGGCTGATTGCAAGATAGCAGCTTCATTCGCTGAAGTATCTTTCTTCTCTTCAACAGCTGGGGTGGTTTCTTGCTTGTTCGGGTTCGGCTCGATTCGGTCAAACAAGCTCCTCCCTGCATTGGCATTCTTTCTTGACTTATCCATAGCAGCCTGCAGATCATTGTCGTCATCGTCATCGTCTTCATCTTCAACGTTTATGTCCAAGTCTTCGTCCTCCTGGGCATCTTGGTCGGCGTCTTCCTCATCGTCACCAGAGGATCCACTGTCCTCTTCACCTTCGTCTTCATCTTCAGCCTGCGATTGATCTGCGCTGGTGTCTGCTGAAGTCAAAGCTGCAAATGGATTGGCCGCAGCACCCTTGAGGCCGCTGAAAGCGGACTGCATCTGTGAAGGCGTTCCAGAGTTGAAAGACGGCTGCGAAGGAGTCGAGTCAGTCGTGGCTTTGAACGATGGAGTAAAGCCTCCCTTCGCAATAGCATCGATCTTAGCCCGCTTGGCCCGAGCCTCTTCCTCGATCTGCTTTTGGAAAGTCTCTTCGTCGTCTTCATCGGAGTCAAAGTCCTCAGCTTTACGCTTCTCGATAAGGTTCTTTTCAAATTTCTCCGCACTCGCTTTTGCCTGCTGCCCGAAAGCACTCATAAAATTCGTGCTACCACCTCCAAACTTGGGCACCTCGAAAGCCGGTTTCTTCGGTGGCGATTTTGTAGGAGTTGTGGAAGGTGCGGAAGTGGACGGCTCCGGTATCGAGGCCGATCCAACATCTTGGTTCTCTTTCAATGCTGCAAATGGATTGGGAGGGGCACTTGACGCAGGGGCGAGGCCTGCAAATGGGTTGCCGCTTGGCTTGAATCCGGCGACAGGCTGTGTAGGCTTGGCTGGAGCGGACTGTGGAATCATAGTACTGAATAATGCTGTCGCCTTAGCCGAAGAATCCGCGGGCTTGGGCGTGGAGAGCGTGGTCGAAGCAGCTTTGAAATCCGACGGGCCAGGTGTTGACGATGCAGCAAAGGACTGTGAAGTAGCATTTGATTGAGAAGGTCGAGCTTGTTCACTTGCATCTGAGCGGGGTCGTTTATTCGTAGTATGCTCTTCATCATGGTGATCCACGTCGTCGCCCTTGCGTTTAGTACCCACGACATTGCGCTTGTAGAGTCCCAGTGAAGCGCCAATACCGTCGCGAGCTGCAACGTAATGTCGGATGATATTGCCAAAGTCGTGTAGATCGGGGTCCAATTGCGCGATTCTGTGTTGCAACTCACGATTTAATGAGTGCAGCCGGTAGTCGCGATCATACTCTTGATACTTCTCAGCTGTCAGATGGCCGGGCATGGAGGAGGATGCTTTCGTGTAGACACGCTGTCTCGCAGGTTCGAGAGTTGCTGTCGGCTCTTTTGCCGTCTCGTTCGATGACGGTGGTGCAGTTCTGTTCGGTTCGAACAGGCTTGTTTTGGCACCAACCTCCGCGACTCGTGCTTCTTGCTGAGGTGTCGCTCCAAACAAAGGCTTCTGCGCTGGGAGTGCTTCTGAAGGAAGCTTGCTACTCTCTGTTGTCGGCGTCGGCTTGGACACTCCGCCAAAGGCTGGCTTTGCAACTGGCTCTGCTGTGGGTTTCGACAGCCCGAAGATTCCTTTCAGTTGGTCACGGTCCTCGTTGACAGAAGTCGGCTTCGCAGGAGAAAACAAGCCCCCACTCGAGACAGGCTGTGCGGACGCGGCAAAACCGAACATAGGTTTCGCAGATGTCGTTGTATCCTCCTTTTCCTTGATCCCCTCAGTAGACTTTCCTGCAGTGGCTGGAGGTTCTGGAGCGCTGGGTATAGGTTCAGGTTGTGCTGTTTTCGCTCCGAAGGAGAAAATCGGGCCAGCGTCGACGGCTTTGGGTTCTGTGATCCCTGCAGCTGGCGTTGCCGGTTCAGTTTTCGTGCCGAAACTGAACGCCGGCTTTGATGGTGTAGTGCTTGGCTGTGCCTCTTTGTTTGTTCCCGCCGGAGCTGATGTCGAAGGCGTGCCGAAGCTAAAAGCCGGTTTCGATACAGGAGCGGGAGATGCAGTAGAACCGGCAAACAAGCCCGCGAACGGATTAGGTGCCGGTTGCTCTGGTTCGGAGGAGGCTGGCTTCTCTGGCGACTGGCTACGCTGCTCGTTGGGTGCAGGTTGTGGGGTGGCTGCAGAAGAGCCAAACAAAGAAGACGCTGGCTTTGTCTCTGCACTTTTTGCACCAAACCCGGGAAATGGTGTACTTGTGGCTGCAGACTGTTGTGTCTGGCCCAAAGAGAAAGTCGTGGTTGGTTGACTTGCTGCCGGTTGCCCAAAGCTGAAGCTTGGTGCACTCGGTTGATTCTGAGAAGTTGTGGCCGTCTCTCCGAAGGAGAATTTGGGCGTCCCTTTAGGCGGCTCCGGTTGTGCAGTACTCGACTGACCAAAGGAGAAAGCAGGAAGAGGGGTTTGGTTGGTTGCGCTGCTCTGGCCGAAGCTAAAACTGGGAGTCGAAGGTGCCTCGGCCGGGGTAGTTGTACTCTGACCGAAGCTGAAGCCTGGTGTCTGTGTCTGCGCCGGCGCTCCAAATCCACCAAAAGCAGGTTGCGAGGAAGCACCGAAAGGATTTGCTGGAGCAGAGGACGCTGCCGCCTCCGACACTTTACCGAACAAGCCTCCTCCATTCGTAGACGCGTCTGAGCTCTTGTTTCCCCCGAAGCTGAACCCTCCTCCGGTTTGTTGTTGTGCCGGCTGGCCAAAACTGAATCCAGAATTCATACTGCTAGATCCAAAAGCATTCCCAACCGCAGTCTTCTTTTGAGGGGATTCCATCGAGATGTCCTGTTGTTGATTGCTGCCTGCATCTCCAGCACCATTGAGAGACGCGAACGGATTCGGGGTTGACGATGGTGCACCAAAGGTAAACGAGCTCGATTGAGGAGGTTGAAAATTGAAACCGCCATTCGTACCCGGCGCAGTCGAAGGAAAGGACTGGCTCGTGCCGAATGTGGTGCTGCCGTTCATCGTTGGAAAGGATGGTTGTTGAGTGCTTTGTCCAAAAGGATTCGTGCTATTAAGGGAGGAATGAGGGCGATTGGCTCCTAGCCTGCCTTTCGGCGTCGCGATCCTAACGCTAAGTTAGTCACTGCCTTCTCACAGCAAAAGATGAATTTCGGATGAATAGTGTTAAGTGAAGGAACTGTGACCGGGGCAGCGCGCCGGACCACGTCGATTGAGATTCACATTCGCGAGGAATACCAAACAACTTGAAGAAATGAAGCAGGACGGAGGCAGGGACTCGAACTTACTTCCTCCTCGCTTGTTGTGCAGCTGTCGACATTTTGGGCTTCTCTGCATCAACAGGATTATTGACAGTAGAACCGTGCTCCTTGGTGATGTACTCCTCCGCGACTCTTTTGTTCGGCATGTCACTGGAGGCCTCGAGATGGCCAAGAGAAAAGGGTGGAATGGATGAGAGATCGAAGAACCTGTACCATCGAGTCGAACGCGTCGGTCAAGATTCTTCCTGCGATGGATTTGGGCTCGAATGAGTCTCGATGGAAAAAGTTGTCGAGATGAGATCTCGGGCCTCAATTGCTGTTATTATGACCGCAGTCCAACACCTCGAGTCCAGCAAAGCAGAGGCTTGGCGAGGACAAGATCACGTGGCAATCTTTACAGGTGAGAGATCAAATAAAATACGAATTCGATGTTCTTAAATTCTTTTGATGTCTAAACTGTCCTCAAAGATATTCAGAGACGACACCACCGCCTCAGATGCGGCCAGGTAGCCATGTCTTAAGTTGAATGGAGATGATCTTACAAGCACAGCCTTTCTCAAGCGCCGACTCTCTATCTTTGTTCACAGATACTGCCTTGGCTCATACGCTGAATGTCAACAATGTAGGCGTGCGGTAGGGATACCTTGGTTTGCACCATTCTGTTCAGGATCGGAAATCCAAAATCATACTCATCTGGCTGCATTTGTCGATCCTGCAGAGGCTTCCTGAACTTGCTAAACTGAGGTTACGGTTCACGCCCTCCTGGAGGGGAAAATATGTGGCTTCAACGTTCAGAGGATAACTCGGGCGTCTGGACCTCCACTGCGAAGGAAGATCTTCTCAATCTGCACGCCGACTCTTTTTACTTCTCATCACTCCGGCTTTCCCATCATCACACATCTCCTCGTCCGCGGGGCGAGACTGCTATTGATTCGACCAATTTTCGAGAGTGCAACTGAGTTATTGATGATGTGGACAGATGGTGTGACGAGGAACCGAATACTAACAGTGCACTTGTAGAAGGTGACTCTCAGAGGCGCAGATTACGAGCGAGCATTCTCTATCTGACTGAACTTAGGGCAAGCGCCGATGCAGCACCATGAATTTGCATGTTTCATGTCGGGCGGGCGCCGTCTCAACACTCGAATTATGCTAACCGCGATGATCTACGAGGTTCCCAGGCGACATAAAGTCCAATTTTCTGGTTGTCGAATTGTGGCCACGTGATCATCCCAGCCTTGCTCGATACTTGCTTGCCTTCTCTTCGGCTACACCAATTTCAAGTAGGCGCACAGATTTCAAGTTTGATGGCAAAGCAATCTCAATCTCTTGGGGATTCTTCACGGTGCTGGGTAAGACTGCCAGTGCTCTCTGAACTGGTGACACAGCAGATGTGGCCCGAGATGCAATCTCTTAATCTCATGTCGTACTGCTCTCCTGCAATCCACACAGAAATTTTCCCACTTGATGGCGTGTAACAGGAGCTCAAAGAGGTATTTGACCATCTCGGATGCTCCACTGTCTTATCTTTTATTCAAGACGGCAAGCAATTTTGTTTTGTTCGTTCATTGCTTGCGGCAGTCGGGTAGACACACGGCAGTCATCGAATCCTGCATTTGTGGGAGGTCAGTTGTGGTCTGAACCTAGGAAAGCCCACCCGACGTGCTGATGCACGTCACAAGCGACCACAAGTGATGGTGGGGAAAGCATTCAGTAAAATTTCATTCAGCTCTTCAGCTTCCACCGAACTGAGTTCCGAACTGTACGCCGGCCAGTTGTCACATTGGATCAGGGAGAGAGCCGAACGCATCGTATGACCAACAAAATGAAGATGCCAGGACAGTTGAGCCAGTCAGGCTGCCTATTGCTTGCCGCTTCAAACTAGGAGGCGTCGCTTGAACACCGTTTTGGCTACCAGGCTGACATACTGAATTGCATGAGGCGTGCGGAGAGACGAGCCGACGAGTCACGAAGCAAGCTGGACGAGTTCATGCATGACTGCCAAGGTTCAAATTATCATCTTGAAGCGTTGGACCGGTCAAAAAAAGGTACGGGTCAGAGCTTAAACAAGCTAAACCTTGACTTGATGACATTCAGTGACAGTTGAAGGGAACCAAATCCTCGATCTCAGGCGCAGCAAAAGAAAGAGAATGAGGTAGGCCACTAAGAGCGGAAGAAAATAACCAGTTATACAACACTGCGCCCCCGGGACTATGCCAATTGTCGCTTAATCATGGGACCTGAAGCTCCACAACAATAAGAACAGTGGCCCAACGAGACGCTGACATGGGGGTCAAGCGAAGCCTCACCTGGGGTCGGGATGCAAAAGACGGCATCTAACCAAGAGCAGCACAACCCAACCTTTCGTCCTGTCCAGCCCGACCGCCACAGTATATTTTGATTGGATGTCTGGGACACATTGTACCCCAAAAATAACCCTGTTCTTATGCAAAGCATGCTACCGGTTCTGTACATCGCCACTACTACCCTTGCCGTTTCCTGCCTCTACAGCACATGGGTTTTCTGACCTCCCGCCTCGTTCGGTCGGCTGGGATGTTGCAGGTAGGTAGCAAGCGGCGTAGCTGACTGAAGACCAGCCGCACCAGAATGGGTACTTCCTTGCTTTGACACCAACTATTTAGTTCTCACGATCTCTCGCCTGCAGCCAGACAATTTTCTTCTTCATCAAACACAGTCACTACGAATCCAAGTATTCAACAGCCGTTGACAAATCGATCGGGCCTTGCACAACAGTCCACCAATAACACTTTCGTTCAATTGCCCACGCCCACCATGCTTCCCTCACTCTTGTCTTTCGTTACTGCCACAGCCTTACTCTCTTCAGCTGTGTCGGCAGTCCCCGTCAACACTCACACTGCTCGCACACCCGCACCACAATGGGCCGACTGGACGCAGCCTTGCACAGCCGAGACCATCAAAACACGTGTGGACTTCAACAACATGGCTCCCATCGACCGCAAAGCCTACACCGATGCCGTTAAGTGCCTGATGGCTCAACCCTCTCAACTTGACCAGAGTCTGTATCCCGCTGCCACCAATCGGTATATGGACTACGCCGTCATTCACGTCAACCGAACCCAGCATGTGCACCTCGACGCCTTCTTCCTCACATGGCACAGGTACTTCCTGTGGCTCTACGAGACCGACCTCCAACAGACCTGCGGCTACACCGGCGCGTTCCCGTACTGGAATTTTGCAGAGACCGCCGACGACCCGCACAAGTATCCCATCTTCGACGGATCCGAGTACTCGATGTCCGGTGACGGTCTCTATAACAACACCGGCCCGATCACGCTAGGCGCTGAACTCACCATCCCACACGGCACTGGCGGCGGCTGCGTGACCACGGGCCCGTTCGCCAACATGATTGCACCGCTGAAATTCATCGACCCTACCACGCTGACGACCGGCACTCTGCCAGACGATGCCTTCGCCTACAACCCCATTTGCCTGCAGCGCGATCTGAACGCGTACGTGTCGCAGACATACACCAACACCGCCCAGCTCGTGGCCGCAGCCCACGCCACCAACGCGAGCAACTTCGAGTACCTCCTCAACGGCGTGATCGGCAGTTCAAGCCTGGGCATCCACTCTGGCGCCCACTTCAGCGTCGGCGGACAGATGAACTCGATCCACGTGTCCGCACAGGATCCCATCTGGTACCCGCTGCACACCATGATCGACCACGTCTACACCAGCTGGCAGGTCAACTACCCGGACCTCGCGGACCAACTGGACGGCAGCACGGGCACGGCTCTGAACACTCCGCCCAGCGACGTCGTCACCCTGGACACGATCGAGCCTGATTGGGGTTACTTCCAGCTTGCCTCGATCCCCGTGCGCGATCTGATCAGCACGACCGCTGGGCCCTTTTGCTACCAGTACGATGTTATCATTTCCTAAAGTTTTTGCACGCAGCACGATGTGAAAACCATACTAGTATGGTTTGGATGGAGGAAAAAGTAATGCATAGCCAAATGCATTGGCCGTGTCATTGAGAGGAAGCTTGGGCTACAAAATGGGATATCGAGTAATGAGAATGACTGGCACGCAGCATACAATACGAGTAATGTACAAACTAAAACAAACCAGAAATCATCTTTTTTGATCCAAAACCTTCACCGCCTGACTCTCGTACGAGCCGGTAATACGCTATTTCTGCTACTGTAACTCGGGCTCCGTACAATAAGTCCTTCGGATTTTAGGGTCACATACTGAGTAGATTTCTCGTGGTTTCGCCAAGTTCGAAGTACGAGAAGCGCTAGGTCAGCTGGGGGCCAATGTCAAGGCCAGTATCCGTATCGACTAGAGCTGACAATCTCAAGGTCGGTCACCGTCGTCCCATTCTAAGTCGGTCTACATAGCTATCCGAGAGATCTGTCTAACCTAGGTATGTCTTCCGCAGCCGCCTTGAGTTTCAAGCTTCAGGCTTTCTCGGCACCCACACAAACCTCCTGTCCCGAATCTAAGTTAGAAGTTGCATATCTAGAAATATCCCCTTTTAAGGCGGAACTGGCTCATCCACCGCCTCTCGTCCGCTTGGCGCTCCAATGCCATCCTCATCGTCTTGGAATACTCCTCGGCCTTCTCTTGCTCTTCTCGGGCGCTAGCGTTTTCGTCTTGCTCAAGCTCCTTGACCAACTCTTCGTGGTCAGCAAATTGTGGGTTCGTGGTAACAATCCCAACTTTCTCGCCTGTCCAAATCAGCAAATCTGCATCACCACGCTGACCGTGTGCCGAGTTTGGCACATCAAGGGGGACGATTTTCCGCGCAACTTGGTCGCCATGGACAGAGGCACCGCCATGGTTGACTTCAAAGCCGTTGATGTTCCATTTCCGAACAAGGCTGCGACCGTCGCGTTCGACCCATTTCAGGCCTCCTTCCGAGTCCGAGAAGACGATCTTTGTTCCGTGTGAAGCCACGGAGAGGATTTTGGAGCTAGCGGCTTCTTGTCTGTTTTTGTAGCTGAAAAGTGTGCCATCGGAACTGGCGCTAGGATTGCCCATGGAGTCCAAGATATCTTCATCTGATGTGTCGCTTATGAGAGGTTCCTGGCTAGGCTGACTGTGTCCCGGTTTGACGTGAGGCAAAGAGTATAATTCCAGTGAGCCACGGCCTCTATATTCTCCAGCGGCAACTAGGGTCGAGCTGCTGGAAACGCTTGCTGAGGCCCGTGCTGGTGGATGTGGTATAGTGGCGAGAGCTGAAAGACTGCCTCCTGAATGAATGACGTACTGGAGACGGGGGAAGTATCGACGATCATAGGATAGTATGCTGGGGTACCTGCCAGCCAACAGTATTTCATTGTCGGCATAATGGAGGATTGACAGCGGGCCTGGCTCTACTCTAGCATAAGCCATCCAGTGAGGGTTTTGGCGTCGATGCGATGGTAGCAGATTGGATACTCTAGGAGTCCAAGCAGGGGGGTTATTGTCCTCTAGAAAAGGTGCCGAAGGCCCGAAGTTCGACGAGCGTGAAAAGATTGAGGGTTGGGAGAAATCGGGAAGGATAGCAGTCGACTTCCCGGAGATGGCAGGAATTTCTTCAACACGTTCGTGGGTAGCTTTCGACGTCGATGTGATGGAGAGCCTGGGATCAAGAATGTGCAGACTCCATTGAGTGCCGACCGTCAGTGGCAGGTCGAGAGGGGTAGACTGAGATAACGCCGTGATCGGGTAAGCGTATTTCGAGTGTGAGACGACTCGCAGCGTGTTGAGGTCGACTTCGTTCAAGGTGTTCCCAATAGCGATGAATGCCTTTTGTTGTGACGGGAAAGTGCTTACGCAGTCGACGACGAGAGACTCGGCTGGGGTGACGCCATCCGTGAAAAGCACAGAGGGCTTGCTACGTCCCAACTCTTTGAATTTTCTCTTTCCAGAAGGCCCTTGACTGAGGTCCCAAATACATATGCTGGCATCCTCCAAGAAGCCGACCGCTTGATCAAAGCTACTGAGGGTTGCGATGCCTTTGATCTCAAGTTGCTCCCTGGTTTGGTCCGCGACCCAGTGTGCACTGAGTGGTGCATATCTGCCCTTGTACTCCGAGTACCAGTCAACTCTCTCATCCTGGGCAGATAGATCCCATCTATTGACGGCTTGGGCTCTCGGACTCTCCCGGATCCATTCATCGGCATCATAGAGGCGAGGCTCTATAGCTGGAGGTCGAGCAGGTCGTTCTGATAATGTCAGACCTTGCAAAGCACTAGTCAGACCATTTAATGTACCAGCCCCAGTTCTCATAGAAGCACTAGGAGATTTCTCAAAGCACTTATTCCTCCAGAGACGGTTGGCACGTGCTGATCTCGATAGGGCAGAAGATGTCTTTTGAGCGCAGATGAGGTCGTTCGGGTCGAGATAGTCGAGAACATCAACCAAGATCTCTTCAGGCAGGCTCTCCATGATTCCTTGGGGGGAAGTTGTACACGAAGAGCGTTTATTTAAGTATTCCTGGTAGGCAGACGTGTGAGACGTGAGAGATTAGGCAGAGAGGTATCGGTCAGCGTCCAGCCGCGAATGACTTGGGTATAGACATCTCCAAACACACCATGGTCTCACCGAGGCTGATCGATGTTCCACGTCATAATACTGTGTATATTTTAGTTGAGAATGGAATTGACTGTAGAAGTGTACGCTTGAACTTGTGTAGGTGTGCAAGGCTGTCAATGAAGGAATGATCTGGAAGACGTTCAACTCCCTCGCTCCCTAAGTCCGGCGTGCCCCACAGACACCACGCACCAAGAGCACCTACCGGGTGCCTACGAGCTAGGTGCCACCGCCTAATGTGTACGAGTAGGTGACGAGTAGGTGGCTGCGCCGTCGATCAGCTGCCAAGGCTATTGGACTATGACGAACACGTGCATAAAGGCCGTTCTCTACTGTGTCCAAGCAAGTCTTTTGAACCATTGCCATTCGCATTCGAGGGGTGTCTGCAATTGCCTGCAACAGGCCACGATTGCACTTCCTGAAATTGTCGCCAGATTCTCTCGGGGAAGGAGCGACAACGAAATGCCTCCGAGCTCAACCGCCAGACGAGGGCCCAGCGTTTTAGTCAGTATCTTTCACAGCGCCATCATGACAGTCCCGATAGCTAACATCGAACTTGAGCAGGTCCAGGAACCTCGCGACGGCAGACCCGCGCCCGTAAGAAGACAGCCTTCTCGATTCATCACGGTGGATAGTGTCCTCCAATATGCCTCCGACATCCCCTCCATGCAACAAAGACAACCTCAACGACCCAGACCCTTCAGGACAGGATCGGGGAAACCCATGGATCCCAGACTCACCGGTCGCTACATGGGTCCTCGTGTGCCCGCTCGGTCTACCAAGACATCCGAGAAATTAGTTCTGCTACCGGAGGCCGTAGAGGAAGAAGATGAGAAAGGAGATTTTGGACTTGATTCAGACAAAGGTCCTCCCAAGGACGACGAGGATTTCGGGAAGCCCGGAAAAGAGGGTGTCAAGAGCTATGCTGAAAGGTTGCCAAAGGCCAGACGGACCGAGAAAGAATTACCCAGAGTGACAGCATACTGTACCGCGCAAGCCTACAAGTTGCAGTCAGTTGCGACGTTTGTCCGTCAGCGACACGGTGCTCGGGCCAAACTCTACGACGACTGCTTATACTGTGCTTATCATCTACCGTTACTGCCAGGCACGGAGGGTTATCGACTACTTAGTAGTCCTCCCGTCAAGAGCGCAAAAGGCGGAACCGTGCTGGACGAGGCGATCGAACGCAGTGAACAAAGAGATTATCAACAAACATATTATGCCGAAGAGGAAGAACAGCACTCGGTAAGAGGCAATTATACACCAGAAGACCACTCGTCCGAGTCGAATCGGGATGAGTCGGATCTCGATAGGCCTCGGCTGAACGGCGAGCGAAGGGACAGTAACCATTCTCAGAGGTCAACTAGCCCTGGACCAGCCAGCGTTCCCGTTGATGCTCATCGATACGCCGAAATGTTCGTCCTGGACTATGGAGTTGTCGTCTTCTGGAATTTTACCGAGAGACAAGAGAAAGACGTCCTTGCCGATTTTGCTTTCTCGACAACTGTGGACCCCGTTACCAATGCTGTCTCTCCGCTTGTTCTGACCACCAATGCTCTGGACGAGGAAGACTTTGAAACCGAGGAATTTCACTTCGAGTACAACAACGAGATCTCCCGGCCACGAGTCTACAACGACATGATTACCTTGCGCAGCGGCGACCATATGATAAAGCTAGCCATCAGTCATGCCATTGCACAGAGTACCAAGTTGAGCTTCTTCGAAGAAAGAATGGCAGCCCAGATGGAAGAAGCAAAGGACGTGCCAGGCAGGCTTGCCAAAACCGGTGAACTTGGATTGAAGAGAGAAGAAGTCATCAAATTGCTTGGTGGTCTTTTCAAGAGCCGGGTTGAAGTCAACCTATGTAAGTCACCACTCCAACACGTCGTCGTTGGTCACTAACCCTTGTTCTAGCGTCTAACGTACTCGATGTTCCCAACCTGATCTGGGATAGCGAACCGACTCTACACCCCCTCTACAACGCAGTCCGTGAATACCTGGAAATCAAGCCTCGTATACAAGTCCTTAACGAAAGGTGCCGTGTGTTCCTGGACTTGGCCGAAGTCTTATCAGACTACATATCCGATGACAAGATGTCAAAAATCACCTGGATCATCATTGTGCTGATCTGCATATCGATCCTGGTCACCTGCTCTGAAGTATTCTTGCGCTTTGGAATGCTCAGCACGAAAGGCCCAAAGGTCTCTAAAGCTCTGCCAGGGCTGACGATCAGCAATGAGCTATGAAATAAGGTCGTGCTCGTTGATTGGTTGTGGTGATGTCGTATATATTTATGCTAGCATGGTGTTGGAAGGCGCCGAGGCCGTTGCAGCCGAAGGGAAATTTAATATTGCTTCTTTGCAACAAAGCACTTGATTGACGATTCGGTATCTCGGCGGTAAGCCGCATATCAAGATATGTACCACACTCCTTGGTTCCAGGTCTTGATAGTGGCAAGGAAAACCCAGTCCGCTGACCCTCGTCTATCTGTTGTTGATGCCCACATTACCTCTTGTGTGCGGGACAAGCGATCTTGACAGCCGGCGTGGACATGCTCCAGAAGCGGAGGTGACCGAGGCGCATGTTGGATGACAGGGGATCTGTCCAGCATTGGGGCCTCCTATTTGCCGCTCGGTAAGGCCCAGAAGCACTATCCGAGTTGTGTTGCGTCCGAATGCTTCTTCCAAGCCTTGTCGCTGCCACACAGGAGAATTCGCTTTCCCTTATCACTTGGCGACAGTTCCATTCAATCTTGGCTCAAGCTTCAGCTGCCTTTCCTAGCAACCGCAACATAGATATGAGCGCTGGAGAAGAGATGGACAAGATTTACGATCACTTCAATGGCAAGGTGCGGATGGCCCAGCACTGACGACGTTACAGCCGGGCAAATCAATTACTTGATACCCGCAAGGATCGCCCGGTCTAGTGGCGCGTGCCTCATTGCCTTCCACCAGTGAGATGCTCCACCATCTACCGAGGCGTGCGATGGAGCGCGAGGTCGACATCATGCCCAGAAAAGCGAATTCTGACCTCTCCAACCAAACATCAATCGACCATGCTTTTGTGTAACAGAGATCCACACCACACAATGCGACAACATCGCAACCCTTGCTCGGACGTTCCGTCCAGTTGGGCAAGACTTCCAGATGAGTCCTCGTCTGCGTGGTCCTACCACAGTATATAGTATGGTAGATCTCCACCATGTCTCCATGGCCGATCACTTCTGTCGCTTTTCTTGTGGCTTTGGCCTTCCTGCGCTCCACTGTCCTGCCCAAGTACCTTGACAAACAGGACAACAAGAGAGTGTGAACATGGTTGCAGTCCAAGATCCTATACATCCCGTCGATGTCCACGTTGAGACAGGCCAGCACAGAGAAACACACCATGACATCCCTGAGCATGGCCATAATGTCTCGAAGCAGACAGATGTCGACGAGAACCCAGACTTGACCCTTCACTACTCGCATGAGCATCAGCACAACCATCTCCATCACAATCGCGCCTCGCTCGCTGGTCGAAATGATGAAGTGCTTTATGCTGAGGGCACAACGTTTGACAAGTCCAACATTGGCGAAGTCAACCCTCAAGATTACAAGGCGCATCATCTAAGACAGCAAAGTCCGGTAGACGAGAAGGATTTTGCTGCAGCAGACGCAGAGAAAGGAGGTGTTGGTCCCATGACGGTTGACACGAATGGCTCAGAAGAAGAGGGAAGAAATCATCGTGTCGCGAGGACATATTCGAGATACAAGATTTTCGTGCATCTGTTCATCTGGTTGCTCTTTACCGGGTAAGTCTTGCCAGCTCCATTACTTCTTCAAGCCCTGATATATATCCAGATGGTGGATTGCTGGCCTCATCCTTCACCGCCACGACTTGGGCTGGCTGGTTCCGTTCCTCCTGTACCTTGCCATCACTCTTCGTCTGATCTTCTTCTGGGTGCCCATTACGATCATCACACGCCCGATGCACTTCATCTGGAACCACACCGGCGTGCGCGTGTACCGGGCCTTGCCCGAGAAAACACGACTCCCACTCGCGACTCTCGTAGCCGTCGCGGTCATCCTGCTCGGCGCTTTCGTCTCAGAGGAATCGGCGGATAACACGCGCAGCAACCGCGCCATCTCGCTCCTCGGACTCGTCATCATGCTCGTCGTCCTGTGGGCTACATCTCGTGACCGCCGCAAGATCCGCTGGCACACGGTTATCGGAGGTATGCTCACTCAATTCGTCATTGCGGTCTTCGTCCTGCGCACACAGGCAGGCTACGACATCTTCAACTTTATATCCGGCCTGGCACGCGACCTTCTCGGTTTTGCCGACCAAGGTACATCCTTCCTGACCGCTGAGTCCGTGGTCAACTTGCACTGGTTCCTGACCGGCGTGGTCCCGCCCATTATTTTCTTCGTCGCCCTGGTGCAGGTCCTGTACTACCTGGGCATTTTGCAGTGGTTCATCGGCAAATTCGCCGTCTTCTTCTTCTGGTCTCTGCGCGTATCAGGCGCCGAGGCAGTCGTCGCGGCTGCCTCACCCTTTATCGGCCAGGGCGAATCCGCCATGCTTATCCGGCCTTTTGTCCCGCACTTGACACTGGCCGAGATCCATCAGGTCATGACCTCGGGTTTCGCGACGATCGCCGGGTCAGTCCTCGTGGCGTACATCAGCCTGGGTTTGAACCCACAGGCCCTGGTGTCAAGTTGTATCATGTCCATCCCGGCGTCATTGGCAGTGAGCAAGATGAGATATCCCGAAACCGAAGAGACCATCACTTCGGGCCGGTGCGTTGTGCCGGATGACGACGAGCACCGCGCCACCAACGCCCTGCACGCATTCGCCAATGGTGCATGGCTGGGTATCAAGATCGCCGGCATGATAGTCGCGACTTTGCTCTGTATCATTGCCTTGATCGGCTTGATCAACGGTCTTCTAGGCTGGTGGGGAAGGTAAGCCGTCAAAGCAAATCAAACATCCTATCCATTCATTCATGGGCCTATTTCCCCCAAAAAGGGGTGTGATGCAGAACAAAGAACTAACATACTTGGGCTGCCCAGATATATCAACATCACTCAAGACGGCGAAGCCTACCTTACATTGCAACTCATCCTGGGCTACATGTGCTACCCGGTCGCCTTCCTCTTGGGCGTGCCGCGGGACGACCTCCTGCGTGTCGGCCAACTGATTGGCATCAAGGTCATTGCCAATGAATTTGTGGCCTACAACTCCTTGACAAGCGAGGCGCAGTACACCAACATGAGCCCCAGGTCGAAATTGATCGCGACATATGCGCTATGCGGTACGTTCCCTTTTACCTCTCCCTTTCTCTTTCACGTTCTTTTCTCTCATTTCGCTCGCTCTCTTTCTCTCTTTCCCTCCCTCGCTCCCTATCCCCTATCCCTATCCCCATATAAAAATCCCTTGATACAGTAGTAATAAACCAATATTAACTTCGTCCTGGTACCAGGATTCGGCAACTTCGGCTCCTTGGGTACACAGATTGGCGTTCTCTCGCAGATCGCACCATCGCGAGCAGGCGACGTCTCGCGCGTCGCATTGTCCGCTTTGTTCTCCGGCGTGCTGTCCACGTTGACGTCCGCGAGCATCGCAGGGCTATTGGTCACGGATCAGACGACGTTGTCGCAGACCACCTCGTAACACGGACTACATTGTTGGTTTGGGAGATCGAGCGCATGGAAACGATGAAGCGTATTTAACCAGCGAATGTGTAAGCCAGTGCTACAGTGCGCTACACATCCGTTACTACTCCGTAAAAGTGTAGACTTTGTGCTTATTCCGAGCATGCTAAGCACCAAGCGTGACGGGAAGCAGACGTCTTGGAACGACATGTTCTATCTTCACTCTGGGTCAAATCTTGCTAAAACTCATGCATTTTTCAAAAGCCCAAGCGTAAGGTAGATTTGTGACCATGTCGATATTGGCACTCAACCTAAGGAGTATGGCCATGTCAACGCTCGTACTATCGGACGCGACTAGCTCTCTCGCGCGCCACGCAGCAATGCTAACGACTCTGTATCGTCCCGTTCCCTATCTTCAGCTCCTTGAAAACAAGATAAGATAAAACACATAATTTGCTCGCTTTTCCTGTTCCGCCGCAGCGCGACTCTGCCTAGCGAATCTCGTGGTCCTGCTCCTCTTCAAATTACTTACAGTGAGCTGCAAACCCTCCCACCCGACCATTGCAGCCACCATAAGTTGTGAGCGTATCATTTGAGCTGCCAGATGTTCCAACGTCGAGGAGAATCTGCTGTAGCGTGCCAACTCTGGCACTGGGAGGGCCCTCGAATTTCAAGGCATTGTCGCAAAGTTGAACGTTAAAAAGGGCCTAAAGTTAGTAGTACAGGGGAATGTAGGGTCTCGAAGGGTATAATCCATTGGGGTGTTGGTGAATACAAGAAGAAAAATGTCGTAAAGGAGTCACGTTTACGGGTGTGACCTAGAATGTTAGTATTGGCAAGTGTTAGTCAGGTCGATAATGTCCGGCGGTGATCGTCGAGGCGGGCTCTCTGTATGCGGTCCAGGGCCTTGTGGTCATGCAGCTGCTGAGCAGGTTGTTGTCCAGCGGATAGGGAGGTCGCGAAATTCGGAATCAGGATGGTCGACGACGCTTTGGCTCAGGCGTATCGAATTCTAGCAGGTCCAGCTCATCGTCATCGTCGACTTTTCGCTTGATGTGCATGTTCTTGGCCGGCGTAATAGGAGGACTGGCAGGTTGTGGAGGTTGGAGACTAGGAGCCGAAGAGTGATGAGATCCGTTTGCAACTGGCAGAGCAGTGACTGACTCATCTTCGATCAATCTGCCTTCTTCATCTTTGGGGAAGAGTTCTTCTTCATTGTAGGGCTCGAATTCTTCTTGCGGTTCATGTGCAGCCTCATTGTGTTCAAGATCCACATGCTCATAAGAATCATCGAACATGTTTTCGACCTCACCTTCGCTAGCATAGGCTTCACCAGGTTCATTCTCCAGCGAGTATGCTTCCAAGGTATGTGAGCTGTTGGTCTCGTCCTCGTGGCTTTGAGGTTGTTGATGATTTGTAGGCTCAACATACGGTTCTTCTCCTAGTTCGTCAAGATCGTGGGCTTTCGGATGCTCACTCTCATCTTCCACATTACTGCCGGCTGAGCCAGATAGCTCGGTCTCAGGAGCAATATTCGCATCAATAGGTTCTTGAGCAGCTGAAATAGGTTCAACAGGTTGTTCGGTAGCCTCAATGAGGGCTGAGTCAGCCTCTGGCATTCCAGCGGCTTCATCAGTCACATGTTCTGCGGTCTGCTGCTCCGTCAAGTTCCCTGCTGTGGTATCTTCGTACTGGTCAATATTCTCTGGCTCGGCAGCGGCTGTATATGCAGCGTCAACGCGAGGTCCTTCCGCAGGTGACTCCTGTTCGTCATCACCTTCAGCTTCGTGCTCATCCTCAGCCGTCTCTGCATGGGCTTCTGCCGGTTCAGGGGTATCAACGTATTCAGCAGCAACTTCTGAGAATCCTTTGCCTTCAGTAGCTGAGTAGGACAGATAGGCATATTGAGAAGCCAGACTCACGCGGCTGCTCAAATAACAATATAAAGGAGGCGACTCTTCACTGCCGTCATTGTGACAGAGTTGTAGGTACGTCTCAATGATCTGAGACAGACTCAATTGAGATGCATATTTCGAATCTTCGCAGATGTGGAGTCCTAGTGAGCTGATGTCAAGGACGAGTTCATCATGATGGTCGAGAGTTCCAGTCAATATTTCACGGCATGCTGCCAGCAGTTTGTCCAGCGGCTCGGAAGCGAGTGAAGGGTCTTGGAGAAAGTATATGGCAGAGGCGTCTCCAATCAAGGGCGGGAACAGTGACATTTCCTCATCCAGGTAGACCAAGGTCACAGGATGTAGGCCTTGAGCTGGGGTAACGTGAGGTTCTTCCACCTGCTCTGAAGCTTCAAGCTCTTTTGACACCGATGCGCTGGCATCAACAGCGTGCGAAACCGACTCGGAGTATTGCTCGACATGTTCAGATCCGGCAGGAGATTGCTTGGCCTCAGCTTCTGTAGGTAGATGAGAGTCGTGCTCAACATGGACTTGTTGGAGAGACTCTTCTTGCGGCGTGACAGCTGCTTGTCCTGCCTGTACCGCTGGTGGTTCTGAGGTCTTTCGGACAGTGTCGGCAGCAGTGGCCTGAACATCCTCGGGGATCTCTTCCTCTTCGTGGGTAGAAGCCGTAGCTCCCGAGGCAGGCTCAACATGTGCTTCGCCAGCCATTGTAACTTGAGCTTCAGGCCCTTCAGCAAACCCAACCAGATCGACTTCAGCACCCACCACTTTATAGCTCCGAGGCTCTTCGTCTAGGTTGATCTCGCCGGAAACCCCTGTCGCTTGCACTGTCTGCTCAATATCTTCCTCTTCCTCATACAATATGTCCTCATCCTCATCAACTTGAGCTTCGTCATTGTCGCCATCCATGTTGTAGTCGATATCATCCGGATTTGTGTCATCTACCATATCATCCTCGGGCAAGGGCTCTTCAGGCTGATCCTGCATGAGATCGGTCTCATTGTTGTCCAGTCCAGCGAACTCGTCGTCGATCATGTCGTCGTTAACAGATCCAACGACAGAAGGGTCACGAACTGAATCAAGGTCGATGTCAATATCATCAGCCTGTCGAAAAGGTGATGAGGCTACGTCCATCTTGTCATCCAGGTGGGGTGCGTCCATGTCTTGGAAGGCGAAGGAAGGTATCGTGGTCATTGCTGTTCGGCGCGCCTATCACGCAGTCTGCACGGTTGTATTAACTTCCCCTTTTCGTAGCCGAAGGCTTGCGCCGTGGTAGGCTGTAATCGGAATGGGAAAATGCAGTGTCAAGGAGTAACAAGATGCGAAGGGAGCGGCTGCAGCGAAGGTAGTGAAATTTCTTCCGGGGAGAAAAGGCCGAATATTATCGCGGTCAGGCAGTGAGCATTCTATGAGTCACAAGCTCTGTTTGCCGAAACATCTTTGTTCTGCGAATGACTTCACAACAAACGGGGATGAAGAAGAAGACGAGGCAGCAGTTTGAAATGCAACCAGAGAGCAAGACACTGTAACGAGTGCCAAGCCATTAACCGCAAATGGCTTAGCGCAGTATAATCACTATTAGCAAGAGGCGCTTGGAGGACCGCGAGGACCTTGAGGAAGAACTTCGCACGGCTTGGTTTCACTTTAGGAAAAATTGTTTTCAAAGAATCTCGCCACGTTACTTATCATGCCAGATCGTAAGTTATAGTCCTGTTCATACATCGGGTCCACGAAAGAAAGAAAAATTTCATAAGACCGCCTTCGTCACGCTCCTGATACATGCTATGTCTCCTGCGACACATTATCCAGATCTCCACGCGTCGAATGCCTCTGTACGGAAGGTTTGGTCACGCCTGAAGTGTAAGCAGCTGGAGTATCCCTCCAGGAGTCATCGCCGAGCTCGGTCTCGTATGGTTGCTGATGGCTTGACATTCCGATATCAATTTCGATCTCGGCTCCATCCTCAGCCGTCTTTATTTGAACAGTGGCAAGGACAGACACTCCGAGCTCGTCGGCCCATCTGACCGATTTGGGGCTGCTCGGTCGGCTTGACCTTTTCAGGCCGAAGAAGATTGATTCCCTTCGCGAGGGAGATTTTGAAAGTGCAGAACGTAGAGGCGTGGTTGGAGATCGAGAACGGGAGTTTTGTCGCTGAGGTTTGGACGGAGAGCTTTGTGGCGTCGTTCTCCGAGGCGATGGCGAGGCGTGGATACTGATCTTTGTGATAGGTGATGGACGGTCTGCGTAGTAAGACTTTCGACCTCTATTTTCGGGGCTGTCATTGCGAGAGTGGTTTCGCTTTTCACTTGAAGAGTATCGCTGGTCGTTTCGCTCCAAATCCTTGTCCCAAACGGCCGTGTCATTGCGGTCAATATACGCCGCTAACGCGCATAATACGCAGATGAGCAGACATACAAGACAACCCAGGACAAGAAGGGCGATGGCCACACCCTGCAGAAAGCCTAATTCGAGGATTCGGCGGAAGGTCTGAAGAAATAATTCGGCAAAGGACAGAGCGCCTATTTCCGGTGAAGATATTCGTGGAACTGGTGACGCGAGCGCATGATGGAAAAGGGCCAGCATGACAACGAGGAGAAAATGGTATACACGTCTGTTGGAGGCCATGGTTGTGGATGCAGGACTGGGAGTACGAGCACATCAAAGCATCTTGCGGGATATATGAGAAGAACCGCAAATGATGGAACGACTTGTGCATTTCATTGACAGATGGGTGGCTTACAGCCTGACACATCCCACCCGTCAGCTGGTGGCATGCCGATTTGTGTTGTTTGTTTTAGGGCCTTTTTGGGCTGAACGGTATGCGGTGACCCGAGGAATGTGATGGTCGCGCTCTTGGGATGAATTACGACAATTTTCACCCTTTGAACTGCAGACTTTTGTCGATACAGTTGTTTTCCCTGTAGGCCCGATCTCGAAGACACGAGCATGAGCTGTGGTGGTCATGGAGGTCGGCTGGCGCGTGGAGGGCGAGTAATGAGAGTGGAGAGACACATAAAGAAATTGGCTGTCACAGCCTTGTCATGTCAACTCGCGATTAGATTATCCAAAATTAAGGGGAACATGGATGGCCATAGCTTCTGTCAGTGTCGCGGGGAACATTATGTGCCTGAACTCGCGTCCAGTCGATACCGAGTGATACGAAAAGTGTGTAGTAACAAAAGTTGCTCCTTGAACGGCTGGACGGCCGTCAGCTGCGAAAATAAAAAGCGCCGAAGAGACGAAAAAGACGAGCGTCTGACATGAGCTGCTTGTCATAACGTCACGTGTGCACTAGGTAAACGGCAGGGACGGCACTGGACGGTTCCCTCCGCCCCGCGTCAGACCGCGCTGCAAATCTGGCGAGGCCCGAACCTCGCTGCAATTCTTGCCATGCGCCATGTGGTTTTGCGCTCAGCTGCGCTGCCTCTCCTCGGATGATCGTTCCCTGTCTCTTCTCCCTCTAGTTCTTGCAACAATCATCCTGTAATCATTGACATCGATCCAGTACACTATATCGCTTCCTGTCTCGCCGTCTATACTCTTTTCAGTCCTGACTCGGATTGTTCGGTCTCCGGACATCTAATCCAGTCTTCGTCATCGAACTCCTTCAGCGTTTAGCGCTCCTGTGTCCCAGCCACCCACCTCGACACCATTGGGATTGTATACAGCAGAAATCTAGCGAAAAGGTCAGCCTGTGACATTGACGACGGACTAGCTGCTCAATCCGCCGTTCCAAGTCCGGCCACTCCCTTCCTGGACCCTGCGCACGAGCACTGCGCACCGTCTCCTGGTCTGTTACGTTTCGCGTCACGTATCCAACATTTCTTGGACCTCTCACGGACAGCAGTAGTCTGAACGCGACACTCCGATTTCGCGAACGCGACCTCATGATACTGAATGTCTGTCTCGACTAATCTGCAAACTTTTTTTGTTGACCAGAAATCGGTCGCGATGAAGGGGAAAGACTCTTGAAGATATATTTACACTACAGCTGGGTGCCAATGGGGAGAACAACCGAATATACAATCATGGGTCCACCTGCGGACCCTGCTGGACTTTCTCCTCCTCTGTCTCTCAAGTCCTTGCCATATCGGAAAGACTCAAAGACCGCCTCACCCAACCTACGTACGCTTTATCGCATGACTGCTCAGGACGGCCAAGACCACGAGAAACCCTCAGATCGACCTGCGACTGCGCTTGTACCAACCTCGCCCCATCTACCTCCTACACCTCCTGGAGCGAGTAATGGAGATGTGCCTCATACTGTGGAGGAAATCGCTTCTGATGCTGCTGTTTTCAGGTCAGCTTTGGTGACGCCCACGAATCAGAATAGCCCACCAACACCCGACAATACTCCTCCTCGCGAGAGGAAAATCCCATTCGTACGCCCATTTCTCGGTACACAGTCATCGCTAACTTCCACTCGCGCCGATTCGTTTACGACTGCCAGGGAAGACTTTGGCTCAGAGGATGGATCGGACTTGATTTCGCACTATCAGGGCAACCTAGGATGGTCGCAATCATCATTGACCAAATATAGCCACTCAGCACACAAGTTGCGATATAGCGCCTTGTCTCGCTCGCCGCTGATGAATGGTGATGGTGATGGTGAAGCGCAGCCGATCAATGGCCTTCTCGAGAGGTCTGACGACCGGAGTTTCGGTGCCTCTCCTAATCACGAGGAGATAGTCCTGAGTGGTAATAGCCTCCTCGCAAGCCCACAGGCTCTCAGTACTTCTTCAACACCGCTGGGCTTGGCAAGAGTGGAAGAAATGCCATTACAGAATGGCATACTGCCGGATGACAACGCACAAGAGGTCGAAGCTACACCACGATCAACAGCGAGCCCGCATCAAGGCGGCTTGAAGCGCGGAAAAAGTCTTCGCGATAGGCTCCTTGAAGCGCAACATGGAGATCCGTCGGCGTCGACAGAAAAGTTTGCAAGCATAATCGGCTGGAACGACTCTGTTCCAATCGAGGACATGCCCACAGCAAATCGGGACACTGCTCGTGACGACGTTCGGCGGTTCTCAGGTATCTCCACAACATCCACCGTCGAAGCCTATGTGTTCGAGTCCGCTCCCTTACCCAGGCGAAGGACGACCCTGCGCCATGTAAGCAAACAGGAGTCTTTGCGGTCTGTCAGTTCCCCTCTTCCTGTGTCGAACCGTGATTCTATGCACTCAACCTCAGATTCTCCGCATCGCTTGGTCCATAAAAAGGCTCGCCTGAGTAATCAGAACCGGTGGAGCTTTGGCTCGGAAATCTCAAGATCCCACAGTCTCGCCTCGAGCGCAGTGCTACCGAAGACAGAAGTGATACGGGTGGCGGTCATTCCGGAGAGAAGGTCTTCGTTACCTACTTCGAGTAGCAGTGCTAGCAAGAGACAGTCGCTTTCGACGGGCTCTGCAAGGTCGCAGTCTCGCAAGGTTTCGGACAATCCACCATCAGCATGGCAGCACAAGAGGACATTATCCGAATCTATCGATCGTGGCAGACAAGCGGAACATCCACCCGAAATCCCTGTGCGAAGCTCTTCATTGTCTGCGCCGACCTCCAGGAGTACGTCTCGAGCGAATTCGATCACTTCCGAAAATCTCCGCGCCAGGCGGCAAGAAGCAGAGAAGGACTTGCGCAAGACCCTGGACAGAATGGAATCTGATCGTCTGCTCCAGAGTGTGCGTGATTGGACGCTAAAAGACGAAGCAGCCACGAGTCAACCCACAGAGACCATTCAGGTCCGGCTTCCCACAAAGCAGGCAACTGTTCGGACCCCATCACTCACAGAGGCTCTTCTCAGCGCTCCCACCAACGAAGGAGACCGCGCAAATAATGCTCTCGGCCTGGCCCTACCAGGAACGCAGGAGTGGGCAGCTCTTCGACCCGCTTCCGTTCTCGAGACGCCCTTTTCGCAACCCTCGTTTCGATCAGCATCGCCGGAGATCAACGAAGCTCGGGCGGTCAATTTCTTCCCGCACAATAATCATTCTTTGCAGCTGATCGAACCGTCTCCGATACATGAATCGAGAGCCGTGCGTGAAGTGCAGAAGCAACGATTGCCGCAGATTGAGGTGGAATCCCCTCTGCGAAACCCTCGACGCCCACCTGAGCCACCTCGATTCAAGGTCATTCCAGCGACTCCAGGAGAGGAGCTTGACCAGCGACTTGGCTTTAATGGACCTGCCCCCAGTCGGGGAGGCTCCATCAGACGTCCTGGGACTCACCGTCGCTCTGACTCATTGATGAGCTCAATTTCTCGTGGCTTGAGCCTGAAGAATGCTCGGAACCAGAAAGCCGATCAAGAACTTGATGGGAAGTTACACCCATTCTGGCGTCCTCGAGCTTTTTGGGACGACATTGATAACCCCCGGCCTGAAGGAGAACAGGAAATCTCTCGGGAAGCGGGCGTAGTGTATAATTCACTCGGTCTGCCGCAAGAGCGGACTGTCATCACAGGTCCGGTTTCGCTAGTCCGACGCATCTCAGAACGTCGGCGGCGACGAGAGGGAATAGTCAAGCAGACCAGCCATGGTAGTCTTGCGAAATTTCAAGCCACGCGCCAACTCTATACATCACCAGGGCTGGGCTTCCGGTTCCATCTTGTTGGAATCAAGAACCTTCACCAACGAATACTACGAGCCAGACAAAGAAAAGAGCATGAACGACAAGAGAAGAGACGAGCTCAGCTGAGACGAAGCATCGGAGCAAATGTGATTATGCAGGGAGATTCCAGGTTTCCAGCGAGCAATACCAGTCTATCAAGGGACGTCTAACGGACATGGGCCTCTAGAAAGGCAACGACACGATTTTCGGACATTTCGATACTGCCCTGGTGGCTGGGAATGATTTCTTTTGCCTTGCGATTTGGGAGGGAATTTTGTTTAAGCGACGAGTGTGAAGCCTGCACGATCTGACGTATTTATGAGTGAATGATTTGGATGAAATGACGATGTGTACAATTAAACCATGTCGACCACACACGCCTTGACGCCTCTTGGTGGGATTTATGGAATTTAGACAGCATCTCGTCCCACTTGGTCTTCATCTATCTGTTGTCTCTTTCTCAACCTCTCAAGCGCAACAGAATCAAGAAATGGTTCGGGTGTGATACTTGAATCGAAGACGGTCACTGCAAGTTGTTGTTAATTGGAGTAGCGAGTAGCTTGCGCCGTGAGTCATTAATTACCTCGCTGGTCCTGGTCTTGTTGTAGGGCGAAGTGGATGGTGCTGATGGTGTGGTTTGATTCGACCGCTTGCGAGCTGCCCTCATTCTTCTTCAATGGACCGTGTAAGAGTATCTTCTCCTTCGATCGAGTAGTGGCCATTGGCAACTCGAGTCGACAGTGGACTGCGTGTTAATCTTTCGAGAACAGAACTTGAGGTTAATACAGACAGCCCCTCCATTCAATCCATTCACTCCGACTCGACCAGGATTTTATCTTATCAGATCAGATCATGGACTTGGCAGCATTTTCGGCGCTGCCTGAGTTCGAGTATGCCGGATTTGCAACTGCCACCACCAGCGACGAACCGATATCGGCCTCGACCTGGATGCCACACCCCGGACGCGAAGTACACAACAACTTGATGCTGGCTTCACGTCCTGCTCTAAGCGAGGGCGATGGCCCTGCTACTGGATTGACCAGCCCTACCCAGAGCCAGAAAAGAAATGCGTCCGTTGCAGGCTTTGACAGCTCACCTGCAAGTGCGAGCATTGGCTCTCCAGACTTGAACGATGAACATGCTCGTGTCGACGGCAAGCGCAGGCCTGTGAAGAGAGCCTGCAATGAGTGTCGTCAGCAAAAGGTGAGCTACGAGAATTGCCCAGGCGCATCTTCGCGCGGAATTGACTTGCTACTACAATTTCGACTCTTGCTTTCTCTCCGTCCTCGCCTTGGTCGAGGTACCCTATGCTGAGTCACATTCCTGTCGTTGTTGCTACCGAATTCAGTGACTGACAAGGTTCTAGCTACGATGCAATGTCGTCCAAGAGCCCTTCCAGACCTGCTCACGATGCAAGCGACTCAACCTCGACTGTAAGATTGAGGACAATTTCAGGAGGGTGGGCAAGAGATCGCGAAACGCAGAAATGGAACGCGAGATCATTGAGCTGAGAAAACAGGTGGCGCAACAGACTGGGACAACGCCGGGCCGAGTCTCGCAGAACAACCTGAATCGCCCACAATCTGGGTTATCTTCATTCACTCAGGACGCTGCTGCGGCCGGACTCATGGACCTAAGAGAGGGCAAGAGTCCTGGAAGGTCCGTTTTCAGGCGACTTGAAGATGTGGCCTTGACTCAGGACCGAGTACAAGAACTCTTCCAGCGCTTCTTCACCTTCCAACATCCATTCTTGCCCTTCCTAAATCCTGCCCGGACTCCAGAAGAATACCACACAAGGTCGCCTTTGCTGTTTTGGACAATACTGGCGGTTGGGGCCCGGCACTACACAACCGAGCCGGAACTCTTTAATGCTCTTTCAGGACCATTAACGCGACTGATGTGGTCAACAATAGCTGAAGTGCCTCAAAATTACCACATCATCAAGGCACTTATCCTCCTGTGTGCGTGGCCGTTGCCTACAAGCAGCACCTCGACCGACCCGACATTCATGATCTGTGGAATCATGATGCAGATAGCCTTACAGATTGGTCTACATCGTCCAACCCACGCTCAAGACTTCAGCAAGTTCCGCGTCGAGCTCAGAGAGGTAGAGCTCCAGGACCGTGTCGTGGTGTGGAGCGTATGCAATATTGTGGCGCAGCGAATATGCACTGCATACGGACAGCCTCCTCTGACCATCTATGACTGGACACTGGGACCGAAACCCATCGAGACCAATCCGAACTACGAATTGCCAGCACCCATATATAACCGACTGCTCATTGAAAAATTCGTTGACAAAGTCTCCCGGACTCTGTACATGAATCCTCATGACCCGGTCGGTCTGGCTGCTGATGCAGAACGGCATACGTACGTGTCATTTCTGGCTCGTGATCTCGAGGAGCTGGAAGACAAGCTCAGACACGACACTTCCCCGATCACTCGAGTCTATCTCAAAGCGGCAGCTCTGCACATGAGGCTGAACGCATTTTTCTCTCCACCATCGCTGCCGTCGTATCGCACCGACCTGTTCAAGCTCTCTCAGAGTACTACTGAATACCTTGAAACTTGTCTGGGCCTGGAAAATAGTGTCAGCGTGAATCTACCGTCGAGTTATTCGCATGGCCTGTCGCTGTCACACGCGACCAACTACATTTTCCATATGATGCTAGCCGCTGGCTTTTCACTCTTGAAGCTCATGCATAATTTCTTGGGTGAGCATGATATGGATGTTAAAGGAGCATCTGAATTGCTTTCAAGAACAGTATGGGCCTTGCGAAGTATGAGCGTGGTGGAGAATGACCTCGCTGAGCGGCTGGCAGAGGTATTGGCTCAAGTTTGGAAGAGTGGAAGAGTACGAGCGGACCCGAATCCGAATATCATTGGAGAAGGTGATGTCGACGACAGCTTGCAACTGAAAGTCAAATGTCGAATGTCGATGTCACTGGTGTTTGACTCTGTCTGGCGATGGCGGAGGAACTTTCACTTCCGAGGCGGGAAGCCCTCTGATGGTAAGCCACTGTTACGCCGAAATATTAGTGACTGCTAACGTGATACAGTCCGACAAGCTGATGCCAAACTCCAGCAGACAGACAGTATCATCATCCCAGCTGCCAACATCGAAGGTACTGCTTCTGTGAACGACCCTATGCTATCCGCACCTGCCATTGTTCCGGGAATGGCTGGTATGGCGACAGGTATGGTTGATGACTATTCCATGGATTACAGTCAAGCAAGCTATGATGTATTTGACCCTCTTAATTGGATGTTGGATGGAATCGTTGATTTCCCATACAATTTCAACAGCGTCCAAGGTGCCGACATTGCTGGTATGGACACGCTTGGAGGGCTATGACACCAGTGATGGCGCGTTGCACGGTCTGATCTGGTTTGACAAGGCGACTGCGATCTCAAGAAATCACAGCTTGAGCGAAATTCTCACTCCAATTGGAAAGTGTCTAACCAAGCCGATCCTGCTGCAAGGATTGTGGAGGCTACAGCCTACCTTTACCGTTGTATTGTTTCATTTCTATTTTGGACACTGCTCCGGGATCTCATGCCCCTTTCCACGACGGCTCCTAGACCGATTGTACAGCGTTGGGCTTTTTGTGTTGGTATAATTATCGTATTGGTGATACAAGGCCAGTCGTCGAATCGTGGCTTGCATGATAGACAATGAAAGACGAATACGCGACATGCAAGAACCATTCAAATGGCTGCTGCTTATCTCGTTCCCACATCACAGGTTGGTGGACATCTGGACGGATCCCCCACTTGAGAGGGATTGGAACTACATGATGCGGGACATGGCATCAACTATGTTTCATCTGGGCTATGTACGTGTCAGTCTCGGTTTATGTCCTCTCTCTCTGTGTGTGTATAGAATCGATGGGAAGCTGGGGCTCGCGTCCTGTGACCATGCCCTTCCGTCCAATCGACAGACATGCTAGCTACACTTGCTTCCCACATGCGAGCCCATAGTGGGCAAAGCTTGATCCAATTTCTCGTGTTAGTCGGGTCAGCCTCGGGCCAGGATTTGTGCGGGATCCGTGTCAGGGTCAACTTCTCAGGCCAACAATCTTGCCCCGTATACCTTTGCTGTCGGCTCTGGGGACGCCGACGAACAGGTCACGATCGAGTTTGATGTCTCGCTCGACGGTGGTGTCATAATTGTCTATTTCGAAGCGAGATATGACATGGGCGAGCGTGAGGTAGAGTTCGGCGTAGGCGAGGCTAGAGGAGAGTAGAGAAAGAGAAAGGTCAGTCCACCGGACAATCGCGACGTCTGGAGGGCGAGAGGCAGGAGAGAAAAACAGAAATGACTACCTAGGTAGTCACGGTAGGATAGCCACATCCTGGAAGCCGTGGCGGGAGACAAAATGACTAGTCTAGGTCATAATAGCCAGGCCTGAAAGGTGTAGCAGCAAGGGAAAAGGTCGGGGGCTGGAAAAGGAAGAAGACAAAGGTGAGCCTTACTTGATCCCAACGCACATACGGCTGCCTTTGGAGAAGGAGACGAGGTACCGGTCGAGACGGAAGCCTTGGTCTGCTGCTCGAAGCCAGCGGTCTGGGTCGAAGCTCTCTGGATCGGGGAAGATGTTACTGTCCATGTGGACGAAGTAGTTGGATTCACTGACCGGTGTCTACAGGTGGAGTGAACGGTTAGCATCACTCAACCCATCGTGAGTTTCATTAAGAAGGAATCTGGGGGGTCAAAAGTAGGATCGACGTACTCCTGGCGGAATCACCCAGTCTTTGTACTTCAAGGGTTCATTAGGTGACACCCGAGGCAGGCGGGTCGTCACTCCGAACATGAGACGGATGCCCTCGTTGATCACCGCAGTCTGAATTGCACGTCAGTATTTCGTTTTCTTGTTGCTCGTCAACCAAGAATAGGGAGAGTCGCCGTACCAGATAAGGCAGCTGTTCTAACGTGGTCAGCGTGATTGGAGAGGTTGGGGTCGGCATGATTGTCTTCAGCTCTTCCCGTAACCTCGCCAGCTTCTTTTTGTCGTCGAGAAGATAGAACGTGATGACGGCCAGTGACTTTGCGGTGGTCTCCGACCCGGCACCAACAATAGTCTGACCTTCATCTTGTAAGCGACCGGCGCTCTTTTCCTCGGGCGGTAGGTCACTATCCAGTAACGCCTGGAAGATGGTGCCTTGAGTCTTCTTGCCTTCCTTGTTTCGGGCGATGATGCTGTCGACTTGAGCGCGCACCATTCTCTGCCACGCCACCAGATGGCCAGCGGGAGGGTTCATCTTCCGAAGAAGGGACAGTGGCGTTTTCTTCAGCAGTGGCAGGGCCCAAGGAAATTGCCGGAGAAATGCTCCGTTGGCCGACCCGGCTATCACGGTCTCCTTCCATGAGACCTTGAAATCGTCCTCGTCGAGGTAGTTGTAGCTCTCGCCGAAGCAGTAGTGCGTGATAATGTCCATCGTCAAAGCCATGTAAGCCGCGTCCAGACGGATGACCTCGCCCGTCTTCAAGGCTTTCTCAAAACGTCGACATAGCTGTTCGATTTTGGCCGTGATGAGCGCCTCGGTCTGATTGACTGATCGTTTGGAAAAGAACGGGTTCAAAGCTGAGCGGCGCAGACGATGCAAGTTGTGAGGCGCAGTTGCAAATGATGAATCAGGAGCCCCCGCCATCGCGACCCAGCCTACATACTTATCGCGCTTCTTTGCTGCCGCAGCATAGAGCTCCTCGTAATAGTCCGGGTCTCGGATATGTAGTTCTTCGGGTGATATCCGAATGATGGGCCCATACTTGTCATGGAGCTCTTGGAGCTTCCAGATAAAACGACCTTTATGGATGATATCATGGTAGAACTCATACCAGCCCGTTAGCGCGGCGAGCTTGGGACCTGGGAATTTCGCAAGAGGATGGAAGTAAAGTCGATAGATGGCGCCGGCGACAAGATAGAGAACCCATGCAAGGAGGACAGTGCAGCCTAGGTTGGCGAGTGATATTGACGGGACTGCCATGGTGATATATATCGACTCACCAAACGGTCAGATGGTAAGCTGACAGCTGTCAAGGGCCTGGGAGGTGTGTGTGACGATGGTGTAGGAGAGGGGGAACACGGGAATAGCGACGTCCCCAGTGAATGTGGTGACTGCCGTGAAACATTGGTGTGGACACACCAGTGAAGATAGTTCTTCAGACCCCCGGTCATGGTTGCATGCATAGCGCACGACGGCGCGTTGTTTTGTTCTGCTCGCTTGCAATGCGAGTGCTATGCTTCCCACGTTTTTCGGATTGTGAATGGATCGAGGTGATGTCGAGGTGGCGCCCTGGATTTTTCCGGCCAGTGCCGGTCTCATCCACTAGGATGAACTCGGATGATGTGTGGTTGCTCTTCCGCCATACACTAGGCAAGGCCCTTGTCTTCCCGCCGTGGTTCTTTGCAGTAGTGTATGCACCGGTACCGATGCGGGTTGGAGGATCAGCCTGGGCGCCAACAAATCATGACTGGCGCCGTTGGATTTCCTGCTTGTGTTACCATTTCTGGTCCGTTTTAACAGCTCATGAGTTGTGAATGTCACTCTCTCATATCCTTTCTGTGTTCCAAATGCCCGTGATCTGGTTCACCTAGACGGCGCGTGAGAAGCAGTGAATTTTCTGCATATGTCGGGGTCTGAAGAGCCTCCTTCTATGGAGCATAATCAAGATGCCACTCCTACGGCGATCGAAGCCGATGTAAGATTGCCCCGAAAAGACGGATTGGAAGAAAATCTTGACAAACTTTCACACAGTCGTACTCGGATGAGGGATATGATACTGCGAGCATTGCCTCGGACCTCACCTCACTCAAATCCTCTGTTATGAACTATGAGTATGAGAATGGTCGTCGGTACCACGGATATCAGGCCGGGAAATACGTAAGTCAGAGAGTCTCGCCTCAGTCGACCCCGGCCATTTTGTTGACAAGGTGATCAGATGCTTCCGAACGATGATAAGGAGCAAGAACGATTGGATATTCTCCATCACGTTTTCCGTCTGACATTAGGCGGCGCGTTATGTCGTACGGCCCCGGAGTTGAATGATCCGGACATGATACTTGATATTGGGACCGGCACAGGCATTTGGGCCATTGACAGTATGATCCCCCTTTGTGCCCCGAAAGGTGCTACTGATGACGATGTCGCTCTAGTGGGCGATGAGTTCCCTTCCGCAGAAATCATAGGCACTGATCTTTCGCCGATACAATCAAGCTGGGTATGTGGATAATCCCTCCGTCTCACATCTGTTAATCTGTCCCAAAGGTGCCGCCAAATGTTCGCTTCCAGATTGATGATGCGACCCAAGAATGGGCCTTTCCGCAAGACTCGTTCGACTTCATTCATGCTCGTGGTCTGGCTGGTAGCATCAGAGACTGGCCGGAGTTGTTGAGGCAAGCATATATGTATGCCCTTCACGATCCCCCAGTTTCGATGAAGCGTTGACAATCCCCTTAGACATCTGAAGCCTGGCGGTCGTATAGAATTGTCGGAAGGACGTCCGCACATGTGTTGCGACGACAACACGTACAGCGAAGATAGTGCAACGTACAAATGGGTGGTACGTACTTCACATCCTCTGCCGCATCTGAGCAGGATTGTCAAGATGAAGTGACGACTGCTAACAAGTGATTTGCAAGTCCGAGTTCTATAGAATATCTCGAGGTGCAGGTCTTGAATTTGACATGTTTCCGCAATATGCGGATCTGTTGAAGAATGCCGGCTTCGTCAATGTCAAAACTCATGAAGAGCCGACGCCGATTGGGACATGGCCGAAGAACAAGAGGCTGAAGCAGATTGGGCTGTTCTTCGAGCATCAGTTCTTGGAGGGCGCCGTCGATGGTTATTCCCTGGCCTTGTTCACTCGGCTTGGAGGATGGAGCGAAGTAGAGACCCAGGTGTTGCTGGCTCAGGTACGACAAGAAACGAAAAGCAAGAAGATGCATTTGTATACTCACTGGTAGGCCCTGATCCTTACTCCATTTGTCCTTGAGGCTCTTCTACTCGTGGTGTGGACGTCCAAGTGTATGCTGACAGCTCACAGTTCATATGCGACAGCACAAAGGCCTTTGACTTCTTAACTTCATGGCACTTTGCTGCATATTGCACAGTCAATGCAGTGCCTTTCAAGCATATATGTTGTAGCAGGAGGAGCCCGCGATGGGCCAAGAGCCCGTGGTGTCCTTTCGAGCTGAAAAAGAAAGTCTTTGGGGGAAACAAACATGTAGGAGGATGTTTAGTCGATGCATTTATCGTTGAAAAAGCACCCAGAAAGCGCTTCGAAAGGCTGCTTGGTCAGTTGTTTTGTATCAAATCATGAGTATGATCTTCGAACGGCTATGACTGTGCGTCTGAATCCTGTGTCCGGGCATCTGATACTTATTATCCGTCTCGTCGTAAGTGTAGCATGTGGCCGGGAGGAGAATTACTTATGCAATTCGAGATATATACCTGGTAGGCTGTACTCGGTAAGTCGGGGAAGAGCTCAAGGGGCTGAAGTCCTCTTGGCTGCGGTGTGCTCGAACCAGTCCTCCAACTCTCATCATTAATTGTTTACCACAACTGGCTTCGCTCAAAGCGCCCGGTCTTCTGCAGTGCTAGAATTTCCTCTTTGAATTCGGGTGCCCTGTCTCCTCAGGGCACATTCAATCTCCCGGCAAGATGGATTTCGAAAGCCTGAAGAACCAGGTCAGCAACTTGACCCTCTACGACATTAAAGCTGGTGTACGAAAGGTTCAAAATGGTACGTTCTTCTCGTTAGGATTCAGAGGCCTGGCTAATGGCGTCGTATAGCTGTTATGAACCTGACAGAGATGGAGTCTAAGGTGTGCATCCCTTCCTTGTAATTCTACCGATGAACAGTCCTGATATCTCCAGGTCCGGGAAGCCACGAACGGAGATCCTTGGGGCGCGTCAGCTACACTGATGCAAGAGATCGCTCAAGGAACACATAATTAGTCTGTCGATCCTCCTCCCATATCCAGCTGCCTCTCTGACCGTCTCAGCCAGCAATTGAACGAGATCATGCCCATCATTTACAAAAGATTCACCGACAAGACCGCAGAAGAGTGGAGGCAGATATACAAGGTATGGCATTAGTTTCATTGTACTTGGAACTTGGGGACTCATGTTTTACAGGCTTTGCAATTACTGGAATACCTCTGCAAGCACGGCTCAGAACGAGTCATCGATGATGCCAGATCCCACCTCTCCCTCCTACGAATGCTTCGGCAATTCCACTACATCGATCAGAACGGCAAAGACCAGGGTATCAATGTTCGAAACCGTTCCGCTGAGCTTGTCAAGATGTTGAGCGATGTTGATACCATCCGAACAGAACGAAAGAAGGCACGTCAAAACAAAAACAAGTACGGCGGCGTAGAGGGTGGGATGGGCATGGGCATGGGAGGCAGTTTCTCCAGTGGAAGTCGATACGGAGGCTTCGGTAGCGAGACTGGCGGATTTGGCGGCTACCAAGGCGAAGTCTATGGAGACGGTGGTGGCTTTGGTGGCCGCGAGACCGACTTCTCCGGTACACAGCGTCGTGCAGATCAATTCGAAGAGTATGACGAGGCGGATGACGAAGAGATGACCAGACCTGCAAGGACCACAACCACACGGACAACACCAGCTACAGCTACAACGGCCAAGCGGGAACCTCCCAAACCAAAAGCTCCGGAACAAGATCTCTTTGATTTTGGCGACGAACCTGCGCCTGCCACATCCAACGGTAAAGCGCGCGCTGCTACAGGCGGACCTGGTGACTTCGGGGCAATGCAAAGCAGTGCTACGAACGACGACGACGATGATTTCGATGACTTCCAGTCCGCGACGAGTCCAGCGACTACTCAACCGGTCATGAGTTCAATGGCTTCAATTGCTCCTCCGCCTGCGACCACATCGACCACAACATCAGCTACTAAATTCGCTGCGCCCACGCCACTGGCTCCTGGTCAGGCCTCCAGTTTCAACAACATTCTTTCCACTGCATCTCCAGCTCCTTCGGCTACATCTTCCATAATGTCCCCAACTTCGTCGACATTTTCACCTCCGCCTACTCAGAAGCCGGCACAGTCTATGCAGCCTATGCAGCCAGCAGGAGGTTACAAGTCCAGTGGGCCAAATTATTTCACTTCAGTCCCCATGTCTCAATCATCAACATCAGCAGCCTCGACACCAATGAGCGCAACGACGCCTTCATACTCATCATCCACAACAGCAGCTTCACTCGGTAAACCAGTACAAAAGCCAGCCTCGGGTGCTGGTGGTGATGCTTTCGGATCACTGTGGTCTTCTGCGAGTACCAAGGCAGGCGTCAAGAGCAATACAGCAGCCGGAAAGGGGCCTGACTTGGCAAGCATGGCGAAAGCGAAGAGTCAGGCTGGGATATGGGGAGCCGCATCAGCCTCAAGCTCAACACCAAGACCAGGAGCTGTAGCACCAACACCTAACACTGCCGCGGATCAAGGGAAACCCAGCGCATCCTTGGGCAACGGGCTGGATGATCTTCTTGGATAGACAAAACGTGCGATGGATTTATGAAGAGTGATCAGAAATCATATGCTGATATAAGAATATATTGCTTCCCTGCAGCGGCGGCCTAGAATTTTCAATGGCAAGACCATCGAATTTCGTTTACTCCCTTGGACACAGCTATGCCAATGTTCCCGGACAAGAGAAAGTACTATGTATTTCCTTTCCTTGATCGGGATGGGCGACGCTTCGGCTTCGATCCCGCTTCCCCTCCTCCAATATCATTATTCAGCCGATACACGAGCTTGAGCACGGTTCATCTGAGCGTCTGCCTCACAGCTTGTCGCGCGCAACGAGGTGCAGAGCATTTAACAGGGGAGCCTTCTTGCGGAAGATCTATCTATGAGACGTATCGTGACCTCAGACTCGTTCAGGTAGCATCCATCCCAGTCTCTGCGACTCTGTCCTGTAACCAACCCGAACCTCAAGGCGGCGCACTTCGCTGCCTCTTCCGTCATTGTGCATATTGGGAGATCGTTGGTTGATCATTCTTTCGCCATTGAGCTCGACTCTCCCCAATCATTTGGTGAATGGCGGGGTTGAGACCACTACGAGCTACCACCGGCGCAGTCCAAAGCAATCGACTCTCCATAGACTACCGTATCCTCAAGGTGAGAGCATCCTTACCATGTCTCTTTTGTTCCTTTGCTTCATCGCTCCATCGCTTCATCGCCACTCTTCAACCCTTCCTACTTCTCCTCGCCTTGTCGCAGGTGATAATGGCCGACAGACCGGCTCACAAACGATCTAAAAGCGCTCGAGTCCTCAATTTGTTGCGCAGCGACAACTTGCCACGCGATAGTGGCTCAGACACAGAATCACCCGTGAACACGACGACCTCTACTACTGGCCCCCTCTCTGCCACTGCTTCTACGGGACCATTGACCCCTACCGACGGTCCACGACTCAACCCTCTGTCACTCACAAATACTCGTACCTCTCAATTAACCATGGATCCCAGCGATCCAACCGGAGGCCCACCGGATACCTCCCATAAAGTCCCCTCGGGTGTGTCTCCGGCCAACGGAGCGTCCATCGAAGACTCTGTACGAACGTTCCGTGTTTTCGAAGTCCTCAGAAACAAAGACAGTGCCGCCATCTCAAAAGCAATATCGGAATCAATACCTTCCTCTTCAAACCCTCAGCCTATACCCGGAACAACGATCCTTCATCTGGCTGTACAATGCGCCGAGCCGAATGTGGTGGATCAGGTAATAAGAGAAGGAAAGGGGCTTGATGTCAATGCCCAGGACAAGGAGGGAAACACTGCTTTACACCTGGCTGCCCAGCTAGGGCGGGCCCCTGTTGTCAGAAGTCTCCTCGAGCTGCCGGACATCAATGATTCGATCGCCAACAGGCAAGGGAAATTGGCGATCGATCTTGCTCGGACGCCAGAGATCTTCCAAGAATTACAGCTGGCTAAATCTATCTTCCTCGATGAGAAGATCAGAGCCATCCAAACGGCGCTGGCGCAGAGAGAATACAAGCAGGTCGAGGCCCTCCTGATTGAGCCTCGAGTGGAAGGCACATTGGATGTCAATGCCCAAGAGTTAGCTACGGAGCCAATAACGGTGCAGACCGGAGGCACTCTTCTCCATGAAGCAGCGCGCAAGAGGGATCTACACCTGGCTCAGCTCCTCTTGCTCCACGGTGCGGATCCATTTCGAAGAGACCGCAAGGGTAAGCTCCCTCAAGACGTTACCAAGGATGACCGGACCAGGGCAATCCTGAAAAAGTCTCCTGCGGCTGCTGCTGCTCAACGTGGGATACAGGAAAAAGCCATTTTGGGAAACCATCCGACCCAGGCAAGGTCCGGACCAGTTGACGCAAGCAAAGATGCTCGAGAAATGAAAGGATACCTCAAAAAATGGACAAACTATACGAGTGGCTATAAATTGAGGTGGTTCGTCCTCGAGGAGGGCGTTCTCAGCTACTACAAGCACCAAGACGACGCAGGATCGGCTTGTCGTGGGGCTATCAACATGCGTATTGCACGGCTTCATATGGATCCGCAAGATAAGACGAGATTTGAAATACATGGAAAGTCGTCGGTCAAATACCACCTTAAAGCCAACCATGTTGTCGAAGCGAAGAGATGGTTTTGGGCTCTCAACAATGCCATTCAGTATACCAAGGACGAGGCGAAAGAGGAGGAGAAGAGACGGACGCTTGACCTCGACAGCCTTCGCCACACAAGAGGGGAGTCATCTTCAGATATGCTTTCGTCCACACCTGGCAGGTTGAAACCACCCGCTGCTGCGTCGCTTGGTGCCCCTGGAGCCTCTTCCAAAGTAAGCTTCCGTTCCGACATCGACGCTGGCTCGGCCTACGACTCCTACGATGCTAGTCTCGCCGGAGATGAACTCCAGCGGATACCGACAAACGCTCAAAGTGCGCCAATCGATGCGGAGGACGACGCCGACGGTGACGACGCTAGTAGCCGTGAGGTTCACCAGCCGGGAAGTAAAGATGCTTTCAATATTACTGCTCAGTCAGCCAAACTCCAGCTCGACCTTCTCTCGCGAGTTTCCGAAGCACTCATTAAACGTTCATCGTCTCAACCGGACACCACAATGTCTGATCCTGAAGTTTCCCAAGCACTTTCTGCCTACCAGGAAGCCGTCGGCAGCTTGAAAGGCTTGGTCACAGATCTCTTGAAGATAGCCAAGGACAGAGATGCATATTGGCAGTATCGCCTAGATCGAGATGCTGATGTTCGCAGGATGTGGGAAGAGAGCATGGCCAAGATTGCCTACGAGCATGAAGATCTCAAGAAATCCATTGCAGAGTCGGAGGAGAAGCGTAAGCGAACCAAGCGTGCTTTGAAGGAAGCCTTGGAGGGGCAATCTCAGCAAGAACCCTCGGACCATGTCCAATTTGAAGAGGCTTTTGAAGACCAAACTACACTCAGACCTGAGGCTGCACTGTCTGCAAAGAATCGGTCCAGGAGGAAATCGTTCACGCGAGAGGGCAACAGAAGGAAGTCGATAATTGCCCAGTATACCAATCTGTCCGACTCCGAATCGGGAGATGACGAGGAATTTTTCGACGCTATTGATGCCGGAAAAGTCGAAGTCGTTGAGCCACCACTAGCGAGTCCGCCTCCCGTGCATGTGTCTCATGAAGAGGAGAAAGAGCCATTCTCGCAACTCGATGAGCGGGCTCAAAAGCAAATGCAGATTGAGCCATCGTATGCAGGTTACGAAGACGGTATCCGTAAGCGGCTGAAGATGGATGCAGATGATCGTCCTAAGATCTCACTTTGGGGGATTCTCAAATCCATGATTGGGAAAGACATGACGAAAATGACTCTGCCTGTATCTTTCAATGAACCGACCTCGCTACTTCAGCGTGTCGCCGAGGACATGGAGTACGCCGACCTCCTCGATATTGCCGCAGATCGACCTGACTCAACGGAACGGCTTGTTTATGTTGCTGCATTTGCTGCCTCTGAGTATGCCAGCACTATTGGCCGTGTCGCGAAACCGTTCAACCCTCTTCTTGGGGAGACATATGAGTATGTCCGGCCGGATAAGGGATATAGATTTTTCATCGAGCAGGTCAGTCATCATCCGCCTATTGGTGCCGCTCATGCGGAGTCTGCTCGCTGGGATTATTGGGGCGAATCGGCCGTCAGGTCCAAGTTCTACGGCAAGTCATTCGACATCAACCCATTGGGTACCTGGTTTCTGCGCCTCCGTCCTTCGAATGGGGCTCCGCCTGAACTGTTTACATGGAAGAAAGTGACCAGTTCGGTTGTCGGTATTATTACTGGCAACCCTACTGTCGACAACTATGGTGCCATGGAAATCAAGAACTGGACGACTGGCGAAGTCTGTGTGCTTGACTTTAAAGCACGAGGCTGGAAGGCAAGCTCTGCTTACCAAGTCTTTGGCAAAGTCGTGGGGGTGGATGGCGTGACCAAGTGGAGTATTGGCGGTCGATGGAATGACAAGATTTATGCCCGTGCCACGGAAGGTTATGAGGATGAATCAGTCGGTGATGGCAAACAGCATAAATCCGGCAGTCAAGCCTTCCTCGTCTGGGAAGCTCATGAACGCCCTCAGGGCATTCCGTTCAACCTGACGCCCTTTGTCGTGACACTCAATGCTGTTCCGGATACGTTGCGTCCTCATCTCCCACCCACAGATACCCGGTTGCGGCCAGATCAGCGAGCCATGGAAGACGGTCAATATGACTTCGCCGCGACTGAGAAGAACAGAGTCGAAGAGAAACAGCGTGCGGCTCGGAGGAGACGTGAAGCTGCCGGCGAAGATTGGAAGCCCAAATGGTTCGAAAAGAAGACAGATCCTGTCACTGGAGAGAGCTACTGGGAACACAATGGACAATATTGGCAAAAGCGGGCAGAAAAAGATTGGAACATCTGCGACGACATCTTTTAGGCAGAGATACATGAGCCGACCCTGGATAAACCGGGACATGCAAAGATTGAGAAAGATAAGGAGGACAGAAAGAGCCTGGAGAGAGAGTCAGCAGAGCTGACCAAGTATGAAGCAAAGAAATCCTAAGCACCATGACAGGTATCGCTATACAGCCACGAATATGATTACTTGTGAAGATGATTGCCGCTCCTGTTGGGATTGTCTTGTACAGAGCGCCGTCGATCCCTTGCAGCAGCAAATGGGCACCAGTGCTTGCTACCGTGGTTTCGCCTTCCCGCAGCGCTTTTGGCTTGTCCTCCCACGTTGCGGTCAATGTCCCAGATTGAATTCTCGTCCAGCACTCGACGCCCTTAGTGAGGCAGCCCTGAACCATCGAGGTCTCTCCAAACCCGTCCAACTCGCATCAAGCTTCATCTCCCGTGAAAATTGTGTAACCTATCAGCAATGATGCCGGCTGTAGCACCTCACTAGGCGTCTTTCTCAGGCCCTGCGTTGGATTCGGGATACCCGCCGTTGTTATCTACCTTGGGCCTGGACATCCATGCTTCAGTCCCCAGCGTAGCCCAGCAATACCAGTCTGAGATGAGGTACACCTTGTCCGCCAGAACAGCGGCCCACCAATACCTCCTCGCGAAGGGATATTCATCGACAAACCTGAGAACTCCGCGGACATAGCTTTGTGTCTTCCAACCAAGTATGATCAGCCTTGCATCGTCAGTCCATCATCGGCAAGAACAGATCAAGGGCGAAACATACGCTAACCAGGGTTCAGCACGGAATATTTTGTATATTGACCACAACCGAACCCACAAGAGAATTGGATTCAGCATACCCTCCAGCATTTTCCTGGTCATAAACGGAAAGGTCTGCCATATTCCACGAATACCAGGCTCATACACCAGACAGAGCAGACGATGGCGAAGACCACTCCTATACCAGCGCTTCATTTGTCCGGCGAAGCGTGAATCCCGCATAATCGTGGTACCGACCTCTGCTTCTGGAGTCAGTTGGATGCCAAGCCTCCATTGTCGTGGTCTTGCTGCGATACCGTTGTCCGCCTGTGCGAGCGGGTGTACCAGATGGCGGAAGAGGACCCAGCGCGTAAGAAAGCCGTCGTCACCAGTGTTCTGGCGCACGCCCATCCAGTAGTCGTTCGTGAAAGCGTGCTGGAATGCTGGGTCCCGCAAGATTCTAGCACGCAGCAGCATAGTGACGCCGGACACACAAAAGTTGATGCCGCCATCCGCAGCATGCGCACTCTTCATGCTGCCATGGCGCTTGCCGCGGAGACGGATGGCTGCGACTTCCCATGGCGTTATAAGGTCCCGACACTTGCGTTCTTCTGGAAGATACGAGCTACGACCGAGTGAATGTCAGCAAACGTTCCACTACCGGGATTGGTGCAGGAAGAACTACAACACAGCACCTCCAGCAAGACCAACGTCTTCCTGCTGGAAAGGAGAAAGCAAATGCTTCAAGACCGCCTCATGCGGCCAGTAAGCGTCGTCATCGACCAAGGCCAATATGCTGCCTTTGCTAGCGTTGACACCATGGATGATCTGATCCCGTTTGTTTGCAGCAGACACAGTCAGAATGTCAATCTCTGTTTTATTTCGAAGAGATTCTATACGATCAGTGCGAACAAGCTCTGCAACTTTGGCTTTCTCTGCCTCGGTAGTGACGATGATGATCTCTCGAGGATTGTTCTTGAGGATACTACAGATACATCCTTCAAAGCTTTCCTCATGCCCAACGGTTGGGATGATGACGCTGACATTTGAAGGATGGTGGAGCCATTCTTGTGGCTTGGGGAAAGGAAAAGCTCGATAGCGAGTTTTGTTTCGTTCGGACAAGAGATGTTCGTAAAAGTCCCAACTTCTGGAAGAGGCATATGCTTAGATGCCGGTGGCTGTTTCAGAAGGAGGAGATCTTACACGAATGCCATTAGGACAGCCGGAGCAATGCATGATGGCAGGCTGAGATCAGCGCCCATTCTGCCTCTGGGAGAAATACTGATATATTCCTGATAGGGATTGGCGGAGGCTTGGTCTGTCGGTAAGAGCTGTTATCGATCAAATTGCAAGACGAAAAGGAGACAAATCTGGCTCTTTTATATGTCTTTCGCAACGGTCGTTTGGTTCAATCGCTGAGTCTTGTTTGTCGAGAGTCTTAGATGTGGTGAAGGACTTATGATTCTTGTGACCATGGGCAAGATTGCTCCAGGTCATCGTAACTAATCCATTGAAGCAGCGTAACACCGACTTGTCAGTGCTACCGAGTTGACATGTGCTGCGAGCTCCCCAGCGCAAGTGCCGTTCGCAGGTTGGTCATGCCAACGAGGAGCACGGAAGGTACGATACACAAGCTTCATATTGTGGCAGTAGGCTGATCTGCGCACTAGTAATGGCCTCTACAGGGAAAGAGCAACATCACGTCTCGTACTACACCCGGATAGCTTGAAGCAGGATAAGGGGGCTTCAGCCTCGCCCGGTACAGGTCACGTGGTTCGATGCACTGCCGGACATCCCCGGTGCACAAACGGCCTTCACACTTGACCTCTCCGTACTGTCTGCCTTCATTCTTAACAAGCAATACCAACCGCTTGACTCGTTCAAGATGATCAAACGTGATCTCGTCGGCCGCCTGCTACAAGCGATCCATCGACAGTTGGCCGTTACCCGATTACATGACTCGTTGTCGCCATCATGCCCTTGTTCGGAAACCTGTACTTGGGAGTAACGTACCATGTAGTATCAGGATGGGAGGCCTGAATACGTATCCCCATGCAAGCGTCTAGGTGGCAAGTATATTGAGATATGCTGCATAAAAGCCCTCGACTTCTCTGACCCTTTGTCCGCGTTGCCTTTTCTTAACCGAGCTTAGAATCTTACAACCTCAATTTCAACAACACCAACGTCCGCTCGCCAGCATCTCCAGCTCACAAACAGGAAGCGGCCATGAGTTCGAGCTCCTCCACCAACGAACACTGGCGACAGGACGTCAAGATCGACGACATCCCGCCCGAAGGCCAGAAATTGCTGCGCGACTACGCTGGCCTCAAACAGGATGAAATTCTTCCACATATTGAAAACATTGTAAGTGCGGTTACATACATACACACACACCTTTCACCTGTCCTCCTTCCCTTCCATTCCCTCCTCCCAAACTTTGGCATGAGCTAGTCTGAGGTAATCGTTCGTCCATAGCGGAAAAAGGGCTACGCCATCGCCCCGTACGCGTGTATAAGCGCGATCCGCTTCCTGGGCGACCGATGGTCCAAAATCCCCTACGGACCAAGATTTCTCGCGCGCCTCAAGTCCGACGCCAACATCACCTTTCTCGATGTCGGCTGCGGCTTCGGGCAGGAACTCCGCTTCCTCATCACCGAGCACGGCGTCCACCCGTCGCAGCTCTTCGGCTTCGATCTCGAGCCGGGCCTGATTGACGTCGGGTACGAATTGTTTCGTGACGGTGACGGCGGCAAGGCTGGGACGGGCGATAATAGTAGTGCTGGTGCTGATGCTGGTACTGGTGCTATGACCATGTTCGGCGCGAATATATTTGACGACGACAGCGACGCCGACAACAACAATAACAAGGCCAATACCAATCTCGACACCATACGCGGCAAGATGGACATGATCCAAGCAAGTCACGTCCTGCACATGTTCGACTACGACCAGCAATTCGACGCGGCAAGGAGGCTGATCGGGCTCGCGAAACCCACGCCCGGCTCCATGATCGCGGGCAGTCAAGTCGGCAGTCGCAACCCCGGCAGCTATGTGTTCGACATCGACCTTGCGCCGACGAGGAGTCATTACCGGCACGACGAGCGCACGATGCGCGAGTTTTGGACCAAGCTCGGCCACGAGACCGGGTCCGCGTGGGATGTGCAGTGCGGCGAGATCCACAACAAGACCGTCGAGGAGAGTCGGGGCACCAAGTTTGCTCAAGGAGATCAGGGAATGATGATTATTTGGTTCTGTGCGACGAGGGTGTAACACAGTATAGAATGAATTTTTCTGCTCGCTCTCCTCTCCTTTGATGAATTTTTTTAATTGCATTGAGACTGCGCTTGTCTTCTTTTTTGGGGACAGGAGCTTTTTAAATCTCATCTACTCGGATCATTGCTACTGAGAGTCGAGACAATGTACAAAGAAAGGGCATTGGGGTCCCTTCATCTGACCCACCCAAAAGGGGGACTATGTAAGAAGAATTGAACGCGCAAACTTGCGCACTTGCGGTCGCGCAACAGACAGGTCGAGGAAACAGTGCTCTCACTGGCCCTAGTCCGTACTTCACGCCAATTTCGATCTCTCTACGTCAAAAGATCCCTCGCATGCCGCCTCTTGTACCAACCACTCGCCAATTTCTGATCCGGCTCGTCTTTGCCATCTGCCAGCATATACTTGAGATTTCTCCTCCCCTGCGCCTTCAGCCTCACATCCCAATCATCAGGAGTATCCGTGATGACCCAGTCATACCCCGTCGACAAGATCCAGCTAAAATCCGAGCGGTGATCGTGTCCATCGACAGTCGAGTTGCCCGCGATACGATCGATCAGCTGCGGCGCCGCATTCTCCTGGTACACATAGACGGAATTATTCACGCGCAGGTCTGCAGGGAGCGAATAATTTGCCGTATCGAAGAATTTGCTCGATATGGGCGTGACTAATTCGCCAGGCGAGTAGAAAATGCCCGACGTTTGGAACTTGCTCGTACTCGCGCCTTTTCCAGATCCAGACTTGAGCGCCATGATGCGGTCCTGCAATGCCTGCAGCGGGCCTTTGGGGGAGAACAGTTCAATCTCGGCGGATATGGTGTAGTTTGTCTCGAGGAAGGCGTCGAGACTGGCCATAGTGTCGAAATGCACCTCGTCGATCGGGTTGTAGACTGGGATGAAGGCCAGCTGCACGCCCGAGGCGAATGCATCTTGCACCCATGGGAGTGCTTCGAATTGTTCAGGAGTCCGGTACCAGGTGGCTTGGAGCTTGTAAATGCACCATTCATTAGCAGGCACGCCGGCGGCATTGGTCAGGTTCTTGAGTTGCCAGTACGCCGGCTCCACGGCGTCTTTGTCCTTGAAGTCGAGTTGGAGAACAACGTTCATGCCGCTTTCGTGGATACTCTGAACAATGTCTGGAAGCGTTGGGACCGTCTCGTCGCGGACACGACCGCCTTCGTCGCGCAGGTGCAGGTGCTCGATAAAGCCTTTGAAGCTGCTGTTGCTGACGCTGGGATTGTATCCCTGGCCCGTGAACGGGTTGTACGCCGGTTTGCCCGTTTGTTCGCCCACGTCTGTCTCACGGCCCAGGCCCGTGTCGTGGATCATGGGGAGATAGCCGTCACTGGAGAGGTGGATGTCGGTCTCGATACATTCAACTCCAGCCTCCGCGGTGCGGAAGTACGAGTCTCGAGAGTTTTCGGCGGTCCCGTTCCATCTGCATGAAGTCTTCATTAACATCTCAAGGACATCACCCTTGAAAGTGGTATGCTGGATCAGGATAGATATCTCACCGGAGACCTCGATGTCCGCAAAGAATGACTAGGTCGTCGTGAGGTTGTCGGAAAGCTTTGATGATCTTGCGCACATCATAAGGCTGGCGAGCTGCGTAGGTAGGCGAGATGGACAAAATGGGCAGCAGCACGGCGGCGAGGAAAGGAGACAACGGCTTCATTTCGACGGCTGGGGGGTCGTGACTTGGAAGACTTACGGGTATAGACAAACCTCATTCACAGGAGCAGTTCACGGGAGCGAAGCCGGCCTGTTTATACTGTCATCATGCTGTGTTCATCAACGTTACATACCTCTTCCTTGTTGAGCATAAAAGGACGATCGACATAGATCTTTCCATTCCTCCTTAAGTCTTGCTTGCTAGGACATAGTATGAAGCTGCACGTGCTGACACGTTATGATCCGATATGGTGGCAGAGCTCTCGCTTCTAGTAAAGGATGTAACCGCCAAGACGGGAGGAACTGGATTATATTATGGAGTAGAAGTCGTCAAAGACCAGAGCTGATATCGGCTTGGAAAACGTGGCGTTATGTCGTGATCGGTTAGCCAGTGGTTTTCGGTTTCCTCATTAAGTACTCGGCACCTTCATATCAGCGTCTGTAGTATCATCTTGGAAGCAAGTTCCTTCTCGCTGAGGGCTTCCCGGCAAGAATCGCACGATCTGCTAAGAGACGGGCTACGGAGCGGGACCACGGCTGATGACCGGCTCAGCATTTATTGCATTGTGGAAGCACATGAGACTCCGGACCGAACCTCCAGAGACGTTGGGGATTAAAGAGGCGTCTGGGCAGACGTGAAACACAATTCTTTTGATAGGATCAACTTTGCATTCTCCTATTACTTTGTATCTGCTTTTCGGCCCTCTCATCAGTATCTGTGAGTGGCATGCATGCTCAAGGATGTCTTTGTCTGGTCACACTTTTTGTTTTGCCAACTGCAGCCATGTCTGTCTGTCTACTGAGCACCACTGTCGACAATGGTAGGCTTGAATTGCAGCTTGACTTGACCAGTACCGGAACCGGTCTTCTCAAGGTCCTGGACAATCTTCATGCTTTCTTGATCCGCAACCTCACCAAAGACAACATGTTTGCCGTCCAACCAGGAAGTGACGACAGTGGTGATGAAGAATTGAGAGCCATTGCTAAAAACAATCGTCAGTACACTGCTTGAATGATCCTGCCAAGTCACTTACGTGTTGGGACCTGCGTTGGCCATGGACAAGAGACCAGGTCGGGTATGTTGCATCTTGAAGTTCTCGTCTGCGAATTTCTCGCCGTAGATAGACTTGCCACCAGTGCCCTGTTTGACCATCAGTGTGTGTATTTCCACTTCTCTTGACTTTTGAACTCACGTTACCACGGGTGAAGTCTCCACCTTGCAACATGAACTGAGGAATGATACGGTGGAACTTGCTACCCTTGTAGCCAAAGCCCTTCTCGCCAGTGCAGAGAGCACGGAAGTTCTCGGCAGTCTTTGGAACTACATCGTCGTAGAGGTTGAAGTTGATACGACCCCGCTTGGCTGCGATGAATGTGTGAGTGATGTGTCTAAGATGAGGGGAAGATGGGCAAGAGTAGACAAGGTCGACCGCCGTCCGGTAGATTTGCAATGAAGCCACCGAGACCCGCGAGAAAGCGGAAGCAGAAGCGTGGGGTGATGGATGGAAGAGAGAAAGGGCAACTTACGAGGAGGAACAGCACCACCGGATCGTTCAGCATCAGCTCTAGCTTTGTCAAGAGCAGCGTCGGTGTATTCGACGTCGAACCAGGCTTTGATGGTCATGTTGGCGGGTGAAGAAGAGAAGAATCTGAAAGTCGTAGGAGTAGTTGATCGATGAGAGAAAGGTTGAAGAAGAGATGGACGAGAAGAAATCCGCGGGGTGAAGGTGTGAATTTTAGTATTGAGACAGCGGGGCACAGCCATTGTCACGAAATTGTGATGAATGAGGGGTCGAAATGGATGGCAAGGGCAACACGCAATGCCTAGTGGGCGTGGACAGTGGACAGTGGGCTCGGTGATCGGGTCACTGCGCAGCTGTTCACGTGACTGGGATCGATTCTTTGGATGTTGCAGACAAGCTGAGGCACTATCATCCAACATCTGTCAGCTCGAGCCCCTCGCCAGGGTTTCATCGGAATAGATAGGAGCGAAGTTGTAGCTACACAGGAACTCACCTCCTATATGGCTTGAAAGCTGTTTGCTAAACCCGACGTGGACAGAAGAAGCTGTACAAAAACAACGTCGCTATGAATGATGCTCGAAGCTGAGAAATCCTGATGAGGCCGAGAGTTGCTGGAGACCGAGAAAATTCCTAGTCCAAATGATGATACAAATAGTAATGTACAATGATGCAAAGGAACCCTTCCAATTTCTTTCGGAGAGAGATCTCGAATGGAGCTGACAGGAAAAAAAAGCTCTCCCTTCAAGACGTTTCGCCTCTGGGATCGGAATCGCCAAGCACCACGTGACAACTCGAAAGGGGCTTTGGGGGCTTCAAGAGGCAAAACCGAGGATGAGGTGGATGAGTAAAGATGTCGACACCGTCTCAAGACGGCCACGACGGCATATGTCCCATAATCGTCTGGTTCATTGATCGATACATTATACACATATACATGTCTATCATACCCAGACCTCCGGGAGTGCTGATCATTTCCCGTTCTTTTGAATGCCGTGACTACGACATCAACTGAAATCCTCTTCACCACGTCCAGCTTCAATAGCCATGATTCTGGACACGAGCTCCTTAGTCTCGCGGGCGACCTGGAACGCCAATGGTGGCAGCTTCTGGGTGAACTCCTTGCTTGGTTGACTTCCATCATAACCTGCTGAAGCGGTGCTGGCCTGTAGTAGCTTCTCGCGACAATCCTGTAAGATCGAGACAATCGGCTGCGACTTCTCCACCAACAATGCCTGATAAGAGGACAGTTCGCTGCTCGTTCTTTCAACCGAGGTCACAACATTCTCAATGGTCCCAGCGATGGTGGTAATATGGTTTTGGATCGTGGGCATAGCTTCGTTGTTTCGAATAGCATCAACTAAGGAGGTAATGGAGTGAACCAACCCATCAGTTTGATCTTCGAGGTACATCTGTCAATATAGTCAGCTGATGTCCTTGGGCAATGCGCCGCAATAATATACCTTAAGATCCTCAAGATCAGCCTCCTCCTGGCTAGGACCGTACGTAGATTGAATGCCCAAGCCGGCGCCGTTGAGATAATTAGATCCACTGCGTGGACGCCCCGCCTGCATCGAGCCATTCCTGGTCTCCGGAGGCGTGCTCAAAGCGCTGTATACACTTTCGACTGCACTTCGCCGTCTCAAAGTTTCGGCAATATTGAAATAACCATTGCTCTGTAGAGGCTCAAGCGCACCATCATCGTCGTCTCCCAGCTCGCCTGGAGGGGTAGGTCGGATCTTCACGGTATGGAGAAGATCAACCACCGCTGCTGTTAAATGAGAAGCGGCCGCATCAACCAGACTGACTGGCGAGAGTCCACCGGCTGACGCAAAATTCTTCGACGCCGTGATAAGATTGTTGGCCGTAGCCGAAACCTTGCTCTTGAGTTTAGCTCTCTTTTTGGCAATCTCATCGTTTTTGTCCGTACTCGCAGCATCAACATCAGACGTAATGCCACGTACAGCCAATACCACCGTCTTCATATGGTCAAGGACAGCAGCAGGATTGTCCGACCTTGCAATGCGGAGCAGCTCGTCAATCGATATCTGGAACTTCGTGACGTGGACGTCCTTGACCAGTCCGTCACGATCCTGAAGAGCAGCAGCGTGTCGATTGGCATCTGGCCGGGTGATGCTGAGACCTAATGAGCTGGCTCGAACGCTGCGGAGCTGTGTTTTGGCTCTGACGTAGCGAGCCTTCCATTCTTTAACCTCCTCTTCCAAGCTAGAAACGTCCGCTTGCAATTTTTGCTCGCGATCTGGATTACCCCCCGCTTCCGCCATGGCCCTCATTTCTTCCAAGAAGGCTTGACCTTGTCGGCGGACTTCGTCGGTCAACTCCTGCTGCTGAGCCAATCGACCCTGTAAAGCTTCATGATCTTGGTCAAGCTTGAGATATTTCGTCTTCCAAAGCACGCTTTCTCCGCTGTAGCTGGGCTGCTCGACTTTCAACCTTTCAATCTCTTCTTTCAACGATTTGTTGAGATCTTCCGCCGCTTGGAGCTTCTTCTCCAGAGCTTCCGCGGTAATCTTCCATTTTTCAGCCTCGGCTGTTGAATCGCGGACTTCTGTCTCTTTGACGTCCAGGGTAGCCTCCAGATCTGCCAACTTGTCCTGCAGTTCCGTCATTGCAGGCTGATTGGGTTTTGAATTGTAGCTAACCCCACTTTGTGAAGTAGCTGAGGTATCTCTATCACTTCGCGGACTGGTGAGAGAACTTTCGAGGCCGAACGCGTCGCTTGAACGATCATACTTTGAGTCCGTAGCTTGGGTGTCGTCCTCATCTTCAACCATCATGCTCTTGTTCGGAGTAATGGTATTGCTTTGGAACTGCTTTGCCATTGGGCGCCCATAGTCATTTGGCGGCGGAGGATTGTCGAATTGTGGAATGTTCGTCACCGACTCCTGCCTCTGGGAGTAACCCACAGGGCCAGGTCCAAAAGTCTGGGCTCTCGACGGAAGACCGAACCCGACTCCACCATTGCTGGACGCAACACTGCCAGGACCTCTTGAGTGCGACCGAGAACTTTCTCTCCTTGCTCCTTCGGAACGCGCAAATTGGGGGAACCTTCTCTCCAATTCGCAGAATACATCGGTGGAAAGATCCTTGAACCGCGGCGCCTGCAGGGATGATAACTTTTGCCTGGCTTGATTGCGCTTCTCATGGAAGTCAGGCCTAGGTTGGAGAAACGGAGGGACATTCTGTTGCCTAGGTGGCCTTCCAGGCAGAGGCGCCCCGGCTTGTCTTCGTTGTAACTCATCAAACACATCCGTGCTCAACTCGTGAAACTGCACTGGCGACAGGCGCAGCAATTTGTCCCGAGCCTTGTTAGGGCGAGGCGGAGCCTGCGCACCTCCCTTAAGGTATCCTTTCAGAATAGTATAATGTTGGAATAATTGGGCCTCCATTCGTCTGTATTTTCTGCTTTGATCGTCTGCCAATGTACCATCGCTCGACCGCGAAGCTGCGACGGACCCTGTTCTCGACGAAGCCCGAGAACCAGACTCTGAGGGCCGGCGTTGTCCCAAGGGATCGAGGGAACCTGGAGCAAAGTTCGCAGAATTCGGACCGGGTCGTGGGAAGGGAGCTGCTTTGGCAGGGTAATCGTCTCCGGAGGAGTTAAAGGTAGCATAAGGACCGTCATTGCGCGGAATCTGATTGTAAGAGTTGAGTCCCGACCATCCGTCGCTTCCTGTAGTAGACGTGGGAGACAACTCGGGCCCTCGAGGGGGCGGTGGCATTGCTGCTTGCATCTCTTCAACGGATCATCCGCAGCTATGTGGTTGAAGACCAGAATGTTTTGCAAAGGAAGTTTTCCGGCCAACCAGGCCACGGTAGGGAAACTTCGAATCAGGTGAGGTGCAATATCCAGGTGATGCAGTAAATGTCGGAGGATATGCAACAGGTTGGTTCAAGGGAGTGGACGGCCCGAACTGGCCAAGGCACAGGCGCGACTGCAAGTGAATCGGAGTGAGGAGAGAAGGTGCGTATTCCGCAACCGGACTGAAAGCGAGTGCGTAAGGTAGATTTGTGGCTGTCCAGCAGACAGTAGGAAACGAGCGTAGGGCGGAAGAGTGCAAAGGGAGAAGCTGTATCAAGGGTGAAATTTAACTGTGGTACGGAGTAAGTTAGTTGGGTGCTCACGGGTGCTGCACTGCTAAAGTCCTGGCTGCGGCAGGGGCGTTTGCCAAATCCCATGACGGCCAGCCTATCCCCAGCTTCTTTTGTTTGCCTCTACGTGAGTACTTCTACAAAGAAAGACCATCCCAGCAGGACAATCTGTGTCGTCTCAAGTTGCGTGCCATGATGGCCATCTATATTGCAGATCTCAGGCCCGTGGATCTCTACATAATAGTGCAACTGCATCTGCTTCACGCACCACACCATGTGAAATACATTCCTACAGACTCCACCCAATGTACCCATTAATGACTTTTCTTATTACCCCCATCATCGGCCATCACCCATCAACCCCTTACTAAATCTCCCGCTAGTGATTGACGATTCTCGGAGAACATTGATCGAAGTCCCACTAGGCTTCCACACCTTTACGGGCAGGGCGTCAAGTCCTTGGTTTTGATTGGAAAAGGTCTGGCTATCCTTGCGGCCCTTGGCGCGTTGAGGCCTGTACGAGCGACGTCGAGGTAGGGCACACGCGAATCTACGCGTTCTGTTGAGCAGAATGATGCTCTGCAGGCCATCTCTGGCTCCGCTGATCTGGCCCATCGATATCGTTCCTCATTTCATGGAGGCTTTTGTGCGAGGAATCGGCCTCTCCAGCACATCTGATGCTAGAATTGATTCCAAACACGGCCCGAAACAAAACACAGAGACAAGACGGCTCAAATCACTTCTTGTAAGCAGCGCTCTGAATCACTTGCAATTCACGGATCAGCCGACAAGACTGGTGACTTATCTAGAGGAGCTCTGTAGAGTCAAAAATTCGTTCATTGACTGTGTTCATACCCTCGAAACGCATGTTATGCTCAGTAGCACCCCGGATACGCCAGTGCTGCCCATCATTGCCTTTTTACTCCTCAACCACCGTCTCCAAGCTCGAGCTCTTGTGACACTAATACTTTCGCTTACGAGCAGCCTTGGCCGGCTCATCTGCCTCGTTCTCGTACTCTTTGCCTTCGTGGAAATCCTTCTTCCTCATTGTGCCCACCCCCATTCGTACCAGCTCCTGATCATCTCCGTCACTGTCCTCGACATTGTACAGCATCGGAAGCACAAAGCTCTCCTCCTCGCCCATTTTCCTCTCGACGCCAAGCACATCCACGATTTCATCCTCCCGATCGAGTCGGCGCTTCTGGTGCTCCTCCTTCGGGTACGTGTCGAATTCGTCCTCCCGCTCGACGTACTCGACGTTCTCGGTCACTTCGGTAAAGTCCGGAGCGAGTGCAGACCATTTTTGTTGGGGCTCAATGCCCCAGATCTGGATGCTGCCGGTTTCGATACTGGTGCAGGCGAGTAGGGGTCGGGACGGATGCCATTCGATGATGGCGGGTTCTTCGCGGTTCTCGAGAATGCGGAGCAGAGAGTTCGTGCGGAGTTCCCAGATGTAAATGTCCTTCTTCATGTATGTCGAGGCGGTGACATAGTCGGCGATGCCAGTGGTGGAGGAGTGGCTGAATGCGCAGTGATTCCAGCGGAGGCGGTTGACCAAGTCTTGGAATTTGTGTTCCACGGTCAGGACGATATTTTCGGCCAATGTGGCGGAATCCGGGGCGTCGTCTTCACTGGTTGGTTCAAAGGCTGGTGCGGTGGAGGGGGTGATCAGCGATAGGTCAGGGAGGTTGATGGTACGGATGATCCGGTCAGTGCTGTTGGCTAGGAGTTGTCGGCCGTTGGAAGTCAGACGCAGGAGGGAGATGAGGCCTGAGGAGATTTTGGTTGAGTGAATGATCTTCCGGGATTCGGTTTCGAGAATATTGACGTAGCCCTTTGATGTGCCTGTGATGATGTGGTTGCCTAGGACGGAGAAGATGGCGGATGTTGTGGCTTGTTTGTTCTCGGAGCGCGGTATGGTATCGCTGTCGCTGAGGGGAGTGGTAGGGAGGATTTTCTTGATGGGTTCTGGATCGGTGGTGTCAACAAGATAGGGTCGATCTTCGAATAACGAGGCGACGAAGAGATTGTGATTATATGGATGAAGTTCGGCAGTGTAGATGGGTGCCTCAAATTTTACGGTGCGTATCCGTTGTTGGGTCTGAAGGTCCCAAAGACAGGCACGGCAGTCTTGTGAGGCTGTGAGTAGATAGCGGCCATGCCGAGACCAACTGAGACTTTGGATCTGTTTCCAGTGGCCGACCAGTTTCATGGCCACTCCGAAGGTTTCCATATCCCTTGACTGGGTTAGATCTTGGACCATCTTGTCTTTGCGAGGATGATGCGCAACGAGACGGTATCTTTTTTGACGCATCTGACTTACCATATAACGACTTTCCCATCGACTCTTCCTGATGCCAAGTAGTCGCCCTTCCGACTGAAGCGAAGAGTGGTGGCATGGCCACATCCTGTTCTTGTCAGTTATTCGGCTCTGCAATTGAAGAGGTTCCCCGACAAGTGCGGGAGAAGGTGGGCGGCTACGACATACTGAGATCGTTTGTGAGAGCATCGGGAGAGTCTTGAGCTAGCTGGAACGGGTCTATCAGTGCTAAATTCATGATGTGGTTTGAATATGGCGCAAAGGTTCGGATGGCAGAGCGAGAAATTGTTGATAGAGGTCTAATATTGCCCAATTTGGCACTAGCGCAATTTGCCCCCTTGACTCAGATTCTGAGTCTGAGGTGGGCACACTCTGGGTGGGCAGGACACGGATGTCATGCATGGAATCGTGTTGTTCCAGAGAATGGATCTTCTTGGAAGAGGCCCAGTTGGAGAGTAGATTCTCATGCCTATATGATTTACAGTCATCAAATTGAGCGAGGTAGTTGTAGTTCATGAAGCTGGAGAACGGCGAATGTAATTACTCTAGTACTACACAGCCTACGAGGGAACCAGCGAGCTCTTTATTCATCTCGGCTTCTCATTAGCACGCTACTTGTACAGAATCGCAGATATCTGCACTTCGTCGGCTTGATGCACGAGATGAGCCAGGAGTGAGAAAGAAGCCTTTGTGAACAGATCGGATGAGTGCTTCCGTTGCTTTGTCCTTGTTCAGCCCAAACCATGATCCTAGAAGCTGTTTCGGTCGCTTAGCTGGTGTATTATCTCATCACGCATTTCATAGTCGGATGCTGTTCCCATCTTCACATCTCGTCACATAATGGGTAAGGCATAATAATACTGGCGACTCAACAATGGATGTTGATGCGGCTTGACTTGAAATGAGAGTGAATTTGCGGCTAGGCCGGATCTGTCTTGGCGCGTTGGGTGCCTGCGCTTGTTGCCTCCCATTCTCACTCAAAAATTCATCGGCCACCTCATATCGACTTCGTCCACTTCCATCATCACCATTCCTACCCAACCATCTCGACTCGATCGCGCTCCCGAATCTCCACGTCCCGGTCGACGAGTCGAACAGGATCCAGGAAGTTTTGGGTCAAGAATCAAGAGATTGGTGAAGCGCGCAGCTGGAGAAGTGCGCATTGTTTTGGGTGGCTCCAGAGGGCGAAGGGTCGTCTCTGACCACATCGCGCAGCCATCTGCGCAAGCACTGCGATCGTCGAAGATCGTGCTTAAAGATAATATCGTCTCTCGAGGATAACACGAGCAATCATGTCGAACCTCAATTTCCCTTATTCGAGCGCGCCCCTGCGCACCGTCGAGGAGATTCAATTTGGCCTGTTTTCGGCCAAAGAGACTGAACGCCTCGCGGTCATCGACATCGAATATCCAGAGACGATGTATGTAGAATAATTTAAAACAAAACATTCTGACTTTTCTAACATTTTGAACCAGGGATGAGCAGCGCCTCAGACCTCGAGAAAAAGGTCCGAACGATCCTCATCTCGGTACAATCGATCGCAATTTCAAATGCAGTACTTGTGAAGAGAACATGGCTGAGTGCCCTGGACATTTTGGTGTCATCAAGCTTGCAACTCCAGTATACCACTATGGCTTCATGACGAAAGTCAAGAAGATCCTGGAGACGGTCTGCCACAACTGTGGCAAGATTAAAGCACTTGATGTTAGTTTCGGCCCAAATTCTTCCTTATGCCATTGCTAACCGTGTCAATCATAGACTGAAGAGTTTCGACACGCAATTTCCCTTCGAGATCGAAAGCGCCGTTTCGATGCAGTGTGGCGATTGAGCAAGCCCCGACTTATTTGCGAAGCTGATCCTCCTGAAGACCCCGATCAACCGGTTAAAGGCCAACTTCAGCCCAAGCATGGCGGCTGTGGTAATGCGCAGCCTGAGATTCGAAGAACTGGATTGCAGTTGTGGGCCACTTGGAAGCCTCGAAAAGGAGATGACGATGAAGACATCACACCTGACAAGAAGCGAATCTTTCCTCAAGATGCTCTCAACACCTTCCGCACGTTGACTGATGAGACATTAGAAATGATGGGTCTCAGTCTCGATTACGCCCGTCCTGAATGGATGATCCTGTCGGCTCTTCCAGTCCCTCCACCACCGGTTCGTCCCTCAATCAGTGTTGACGGCAGCGGACAAGGACAACGTGGAGAAGATGATCTTACATTCAAGCTGGGCGATATCATTCGTGCGAATCAAGCTGTGCTGCGTACTGAAGTCGATGGCACACCTGACCATATCAAAGTCGATCTGTGCGATCTTCTCCAGTACCACATTGCCACCTACATGGACAATGAGATTGCTGGCTTGGAGAAGGCACAACACAAGAGTGGCCGACCGATCAAGTCCATCCGTGCTCGACTGAAGGGTAAAGAAGGTCGCCTGCGTCAGAACCTGATGGGGAAACGTGTTGACTTTTCTGCTCGTACCGTCATCACTGGCGACCCCAATCTTTCGCTCGACGAAGTCGGTGTCCCACGGAGTATTGCTCGTACATTGACTTACCCGGAGACCGTCACACCTTTCAACCTCGACAAGCTCAAGCGTCTAGTGGCAAATGGTCCGAATGAGCATCCTGGCGCCCGATACGTCATTCGGGATACTGGCGAGCGGATTGATCTTCGACACCACAAGCGTGCTGGCGAGATGACTTTACAGTATGGCTGGAAAGTTGAGCGACATATTCAGGACGGAGATGTCATTCTCTTCAACCGTCAACCCTCTCTGCACAAAGAGTCCATGATGGGTCACCGTGTTCGTGTCATGCCTTACTCTACCTTCCGACTGAATCTCTCGGTCACGACACCCTACAACGCCGATTTCGATGGTGATGAGATGAACTTGCACGTCCCTCAAAACGAGGAGTCGAGAGCTGAGCTGGCCAACCTATGTATGGTCCCGCTCAACATTGTCTCTCCACAACGTAACGGTCCCTTGATGGGTATCGTGCAGGACACACTCTGCGGTATCTACAAGATTTGTCGTCGTGACATCTTCTTGACGCGAGATCAGGTCATGAACGTCATGATGTGGGTTCCTGATTGGGATGGGGTGATTCCTCAGCCAGCTGTCATCAAGCCTACACCTCGCTGGACGGGGAAGCAGATGATCAGTATGGTGCTCCCGAAAGCCCTCAACCTTGAACGTATGGAAGCCAAAGGCGAAGCTTTCAAGGATCATAAAGACCAGACTCTCTCTCCAATCAACGATACCGGTCTAATGGTTCTAGAGGGAAATCTAATGTTTGGCTTGTTCAGCAAAAAGTTCGTGGGTACCAGTGCCGGCGGCATTATCCATACCATCTACAATGAGTTTGGACACGAAGCTGCCATGGCTTTCTTCAACGGCGCTCAGACCGTGGTCAACTACTGGCTTCTTCATAACGGCTTCAGTATCGGCATTGGTGATACGGTGCCTGATCCTGCCACCGTTCGCAAGATCCAGGAAGCTGTTGACGACAGAAAGACCGACGTCGATCAGCTCACAGTTGCTGCGTACAAGGAAGATCTCGAAGCCGCGCCCGGTATGAATGTTCGCCAAACATTCGAGAGTAAGGTCATGAACTTCCTTAATCAGGCTCGTGATCAGGCCGGTTCTGCAACCGAGAACAGTTTGAAAGATCTGAATAACGCCATCCAGATGGCTCGAGCTGGTTCCAAGGGTTCCACCATCAACATTGCGCAGATGACTGCCATTGTCGGTCAGCAGGCCGTGGAGGGTAAGCGTATTCCCTTCGGTTTCAAGTATCGTACTCTGCCGCATTTCGCCAAAGACGATTACTCGGCACCGTCTCGAGGCTTCGTCGAAAACTCCTATCTTCGAGGCCTGACTCCCACTGAATTCTTCTTCCACGCCATGGCTGGTCGTGAAGGTCTGATCGATACAGCTGTCAAGACTGCCGAAACCGGCTACATTCAGCGCCGACTCGTCAAAGCGCTTGAAGAAGTGACTGTGAAATATGATACCACCGTTCGAGACTCCCGTGGCAACATTGTTCAATTCCTTTACGGCGAAGATGGCCTTGATGGTGGCCATATCGAAAACCAAAAGGTCGACATCATTACGATGTCAGACGAGGCTTTCATGAATCGTTATTCAGTCGACATCATGAGTGGTGATACGTCAGTCTGGCGGGGCAAACTGCTGCAAGCCCGGGAAATCCAGGGTGATACGGAAATGCAAGAGATGTTCGACGAAGAACTCGAAGCTCTTCGTGAGTCCCGAGACTTCCTCCGAAGAATGGGCAAAGGCACCGAGGATAACTTCCAATTGCCACTCAATGTTGCGAGAATCATCGATCAGGCTCAAAAGAACTTCAAGATTCGTCGTGGAGACAAGACTGACCTGGACCCTCGCTATGCGCTCACCGCAGTCAAGCAGCTGTTGGATCGTCTTATTGTGGTCCGTGGAGAGGATGCTATCTCAAAAGAAGCACAATCCAATGCCACGCTCCTCTTCAAGGCACAATTGCGATCGCGTCTTGCCTACAAGAGACTTGTTCTCGAGCACGGTCTCAACCGTTTGGCCTTCGATAACGTCATCGGTGGCATTGAGAGTCGATTCATTGCCGCACATGCCAATCCTGGTGAAATGGTTGGTGTCCTGGCCGCACAGTCTATTGGAGAACCTGCCACTCAGATGACCTTGAACACCTTCCATTTCACCGGTGTGTCAGCAAAGAACGTCACTCTTGGTGTACCTCGTCTCAAGGAAATCTTGAACGTGTCGCAAAACATCCGAACTCCCTCAATGACTGTTTACCAACTTCCAGAGAACACTGGCGACAAGGAGGCAGCCAAGTTGCTTCGAAGTCGAGTACAGCACACCAATTTGCGGTCTGTTGCGGAGACGTGCGAATTGTGGTACGATCCAGATATTGAAAGCACCATTATTCCAGAAGATCTCGATATGGTCGAATCCTACTTCATCATTCCCGAGGAGAATGAAGCAGATCTCGCTCTGCACTCGAAGTGGCTATTGCGTATCACACTCAGTCGTGCCAAGCTCCTTGACAAAGGCCTCAACATCCAAGAGGTTGCCGCAAAGATCAAGTCCACTTATGGCAAAGATCTATCGGTCATCTTCAGCGACATCAACGCTGATGAGCAAGTCATTCGTGTCCGACTCGTCCAAAACTATGGCAAAGACGAGGAAGAAGAGCGAAGAGAGGATGATGAAATTCTCCGACGCTTCCTGAACGAAATGCTTGACCATCTCACTTTCCACGGTGTTCCTGGAGTGTCCAGAGCTTTCATCGATCAGAAGAGTAAAGCCATAATCGACAGAGACAATTCGGTCAAGATGGCAAAGGCTGATCCTGAATGCAACGAGTTTGTTCTCGAGACCAGCGGCAGCGCTTTCGCAAAGGTCCTCGCCATCGAAGGAGTGGACACTACCCGTACCTACACTAACAGATTCACCGAAATCTTCGAAGTGCTCGGTATTGAGGCTACTCGTGCAGCCATTTTGCGAGAATTGACTCAAGTGTTGTCGTTTGATGGTTCTTACGTCAACGCTCGTCACTTGGGTATTCTATGTGATGTTATGACTAGTCGTGGCTATGTCATGGCTGTCACTCGTCATGGTATCAACAAGTCCGACACGGGTGCCCTCATGAGATGTTCGTTTGAACAGACTGTGGAGATTCTCCTGGAAGCTGCAGCTGCTGGTGAGTTGGACGATTGTCGTGGTGTGTCAGAAAACTTGATCCTGGGACAACCTGCTCCTGTGGGAACTGGGACAATGGATATCCTTCTCGACCACAACATGCTGGCAACAGTTGTCAGTGACAATGCCAACCTCGGCCTTGGTGGAGTGATTGGCGTCAAGGGCACTCAGCAAATGCTCGAAGGAGCTGCCACTCCTTACGACATTGGTTCGCCAACACAGGATAGCGGCTACCTGGGCTCGCCAGATTATGGAGCTTCTTTCTCACCCATTGCTGCTTCCGGTTCAGAGACTCCAGGAGGATTCACAGATTATCAACCTGGCTTTGGTGGTGCTGGAGGGTTCAGTCCTTACGGCGCACGAAGCCCAGGAGGCTATTCACCTGCTAGTCCTTTTGGTGGCACGAGCCCAGCCTCGCCTGGCTTCTCGCCTACGGCTGGATACTCGCCAACCTCCCCCATGTTCGGCGGCACCAGTCCAGGCTTTGGACCAACGTCCCCGTCATTCTCACCAGCCAGTCCTGCATTCACGCCAACATCGCCTGCATATTCGCCAACTTCTCCTGGCTATCAGGCATCGCCGACCTCGCCCAGCTACTCTCCGACGTCGCCAAACTACTCACCGACTTCTCCTGCATATGGCTCGCCAACGTCGCCAAGCTACTCACCTACTTCTCCGGCGTTCAGTCCAACTTCGCCGACTTCACCCACGTCGCCTGTCTACAGTCCGACGTCACCAATGTATAGCCCGACCAGTCCGATGTACGGTGGTGGCAAACAGCAATCACCTACATCACCAAGCTATTCTCCGACGTCGCCCACTTACAGCCCCACCAGCCCGACTTCACCGACCAGTCCATCGTACTCACCTACTAGTCCGGTGTACAATGCCTCTCCAAGAAGTCCACAGGGGAGACCTGGCAACGTTAGCAGTCCTCAATACTCTCCAAACAGTCCGCAGTATTCACCAACCTCTCCAAAGGAGGACAAGGACGACTAAAACTGCTTTGTATCATCATGCGACTTCAATGTCGACCGAATGCGATTTCAGAATCAGCGCGAACGATGGATCCATTAAATTGACCTTCTGTCTTTGCGCCACTTCCGAAATGCAATGTTATGCTTATCATGCCTTGTTTTATTGTTGGGCCGCCACTAAATTGCCACTGGCGAGGAAACTCGTCCTATTTTGCGGCCGCATTATTCTTTCACACACCCAAAAAAGATTCAAACTCGAACATTAGCGACGGCGTTGGATGGTTTTTATACATGTCTTTTTTCGATACGCGATCGACGTGCTATTTTGCATGTGCTTGGTTGAAATGGGATCGGGAGAGAGATTTGCGATGAGGAAATACAGAATGAGGATCCTGTGTCAGATGAAGGGGCTTAGGGGTTGTGAAAGGAAAGGAGAGCCACTGTCAACGTGACAGAATTCTTCATTCGGTGGATTAATTCACCGCTTGCGGAGAGATACGATGCAGGCGGTACTTGGCCAGTGGTCGCCATTAGTTGAGTTGACCGCGGTGAAAATGGTCGACATTGCAGGTGGCAAGGAGCATGGAAATGAGCGTGAGCATATCTTGCTGTGTACTCTAAGACTAAAAAATAGACTGTCAACAGTTGAAGGACCGAGCGGCGCGAGCATGGGTGCAGGATGCAAAGCACAAGAGTGAGGAGCGGTATGCTCGCATCGCATGGGAGAAGGAAAAGCATTGCGCACGTCTACCGATTGGTTGCCGGCTCTTTCATGGACGTTGTACGTGTGCTTGAGGCGAGATTGATTCCAGTTGAGAAATTGAATACAAAAAGTCGATAATGATTTTCGTGATTACTCTGCTGCTTTCTCGCCAGCTGTTATTCCGAGTACTCCGGGTCAAGTCGAGTTGTTACTGTATGACTCTGAGCACCATCTGGCAAAGAATTACCCTTCTCACCACTTTGATGCGTGGTTGGTCTTGCAGTCTCCCTACAGTAGGCCACTCACGTATGTACGCACCTTCGATCCAATTCACGTATCATCTCTGACGCAGATCCAATTCCTGATGGTGTGTTGGCCATTCGATCAAAGGCATCCACATATCCACGGACGGTCATGGGATTCTAGCCTGAGGGTGTTTCCCCCTGGGGAATCGTTTCATAGGTAAGTTACTCCGTACTCCGTACGCGGTACGTTGGATCAAGGAGAGGGGCGACGATGGCGTGGATGGGGCGCAACTAACACATTTCTCCAGGCTTCCACTTCCCCGGCGCTTGCCGGAGATATGATGGCCCATCACAGTGTGCCCATCACCAAACCACTTCCTTTTCCCTCTACCCCTCTTCTCTCTTCCCCAGCAGAGTCAAGCCCTGGAGCCAAGGCAATGCCCAGACAACGACGAGGGAACATGAATGGTACCAGTGGCCACTAGCTGGCGCACAAGGGGGCCTGGACCTGGTTGTTGTTCGATTGAGGTTGGAAAAACCGAAGATGGCTCGATGTCAAGCCGAAGTTGGCAACAAGTTGGATGAGAATCACACAATTTTGCACTCATCACACTCCAAGGTCGGTGAACTGCAGAAAGGAGCGTCTCAAGTTGTTGCTGGGGATTGGCCATTGGCTGGATTTCGGTGTTTCCTGCAGCCACTGATTCTGACCCATGGTTCCGGGCGAAACTAAAGCATGCATGGGCAAGGATAGGCGACAGGTGCCGCCCCGTTTCACGAAGGCTTAAAATGCAAAAGATGAGAACATCACCGTGACCTCTACGCAGACTCCTCCGTTTCTTATCGACATCCAGGATGGCACCCAAGGGCGACAACAACATTAGGTTCCTCGTATGGACATCTGGCGAGCAGGCAGAAGAGGATATCCACAGGCAGAGCTTCAGCCGGCATCAACATGCTGCTCTTGTTGGTCATCAAAAGAAGAAGCTTCAGGCCGACCGTACTCAATATGGCGATTCAGCAACTCGGATATCCTCCAAGGGCGCCAAAACGCCACCAGGAGCAAAGCGCTCAAAGTCAAAGACCAAACCAGCGACAGCTTCAAGGAAGAAAAAGGCTTTGCTTCGAGTACCTCCTAGCGCCAACAGAATGGATCCTTTTGATACGTGTTGTGTCAGTGGTATCTCTGCTTCTGCCCAGATGATGCTTCAGTTTGGTATGTGCTCAGTCTGCTATTCCGTTCAAGCCGAGCTAATTGACAGCCATCACTCACCAATGGCCGGCTTATGCAACATCTTGCGAAGCTACAGTTGTCGACAGGTGGAAGGGTACCACTGTGAAAATCGCCATCGACAGTCCATGTCTGCTGCAGGCAATAATCTATGCTGGATCGTGTTACCGGTCTTTCCTTGGTCCCACAGACAGCTCGATAGATCAGGTTCGCACTCAGTCCTATCACGAGACCCTGACGCTTCTACGCAAAGAGATCCAGGCGTTGAAAGGTCCGCCTCCTGAAGAACTGCTCCTTGCCATAGTTATCCTGGCGATCAATGGCACACCGGACTACTCGAACAGGCAAGCTTTGACTACGGAAGAGCATTACAGGGACAACGAATTCTACTTCAGAAAACCCTGGGCGCCTGAGCATTTCCAGGCCTTGACTTCACTCACCATGTCGAAAGGGGGCCTGCAGAGTATCTCCATCGGGCCCATAGCAGCCATGATATTCATGTACGTGTGACTTTGACCCCAAGCTCAGACTCCGGGCTGCTGACTGACGGGATACTCACTGTAAGATGCGATTTGATCGAAAGCTTTTCCACCTTGAGGAAGCCCAACTTCTCAGCCTTCCCTCCGCCCAAATCCATCCTCTGCCACATTCATGTGTGTCCTTTCTATGACCAGTCCACGTCTGGATTCCATTTTTTGCGCACGAAAAGACATAGTCGAATCCTTCTGAGGCTGGTCCGAAGTGCCCGTGATCTCCTCTACACCTACGAGCTGTGCTTGCAAGGACTCGGCGCCGGCGTCGAGTTGTGGCATCTAGTCTATGCGCGCCGACTCTTGCAGCATCAAGCTCTCTCCCTTGAGACCAGTACCGACCAGCTATACACGCTATGTCGTCTCGCGGTCACAGTCTATCTTATCGAGTCGTTCGTCCTGCAACCCGCTATCCTGCCCTTTCATGACTACAGCTCTCGGAAGCTCATGCTGGTCATTGACGAGTGCGACAGACTTGGCTACTGGCACACAAACCCCGATCTCATGCTCTGGACCACGATCCTTGGAGGCCTGACTTCTCGTGAGCGACCTCTTCGCTGGTGGTTCGCTGAGCAGCTGCGCGGCAGTGCAGTGCCTACAACCAAACCCAGCTGGGCCGAGGTGCTAAACATCTCCGACCGGTTTCTTCCTTTGAAAGGCGAACAGGGAGAAGGCTGTCGGCTTTTCTGGGAGGAGGCTTGCGACTGGCTGTCCGACGCAAACCAGAGATCTGGCCGTGTCAACTTCAACATGGAGTTACGTGTGAAAGAGAGACCCCCCAAAGAGTCAGCCTCTGACTAGACTACTCAGCGCAGTAAATCTCAAAGCAATGTGATGTCCAAGCAGACGAATGCGACAGTACCGACTGACGAGTCTAGTCGAGATCTTGACTAACGAGTGGATCTAAGAGGACTAACTATTGTCACCATGCTACGAACTCGTCGGGCAGCTTTACCTACGGCCGGTGATCCTTCTGCCAAAGTTATCATGACCATCATCCCACAGGGGCCATTAGGGTGCTCCTATCGTCGGTGATCATATCAATTACTAGATGCTCCATCAGCGCCTTGCATAGTCATACCAACCCACAGCTCAACGCTACAACATTCAGCCCTTCAGACAGGCATCCTATCCAACAGTACTACCTTCTAATCACACTCGGCCCAGTCATTCTCCCTCCACCAGCAAGCAAACTTTGGCGGACAATCATTTCCGCAGCAGCAGCCGCCGCAAGACGCTCCTTCTGCCTCGACCGATCCCTTAGGTAGCCGGCCGCTTCCGGCCTCATCCTGAGAATGCGCAGGATCATATCATCGTTAGGCTCGGCCTGTGCGGCTTTCCACTTCTCCTCCTTCGCCTTGCGCATGGTCCCAAGATTCCGGGACAACATGATGCTCTTAGCACGCCGTGCGCCAGCCATGCCGCCAGGGCTCAGCAGTCCCCCGCCACCGAGTTGGCCTAGATTCGCGGGTGCTGAAAACCTTGAGCGCTGCATTTGCTGGCTCGCGGCAGTTGCGCTGGCCATACGCTCGGACTCCCGGATAAGGCCATCCGTTGGCTCGAAATAGAAGAAATTCAGCATCTGGAGTTCATGGTACTTGGGATTCTTGAGGACGTTGACGGGGACGCCGTTCGCCTCGCCAGTCTCCTCGTCAACGGCGTGGAAGAATTCGAACAGGCTTTGCAGCCATTTGAAGACAATGTCGAGTTCTTGCTGGGTTAGTGCTTTTTGTTGCGAGGGCTTGTCGGATAGGGGAGGGACGAGGAGGCCTTCGATTGTGACGAGGACTTCTTTCCATATACGTGTCATGACGGCAATCATGGCTTCGGATGTTAGTGTTTGCTGCATTATAGCAAAGTTGTCATCGAAGTAGTCGAAGAGGGGCTTGAGGGCGTTGACGATTTCCGCGTTGGTTGGCATGGCTGAGGTAGGTACGGCCGATGCACGGTTGCGCGCAAAGTAATTGGATACTGAGGAGATTGAGATACCGCGGTTGAGCAACGATCGTAAGGCTCGTCGGGAGAGGCAATAGTTGATGTAAGCGGACAGCTTGTCAGTGATCTTCCTGGTCATATCTCGTTGAGTTCGCTGTAGGTTTCTGAACGCTTTGCCGAAGTAGAACTGAATATCATCACGCTCTCCTTCCATACTGACACGAACCATAAGTCTCCCTTGGGTATCCAGGTCCAACCAATACTCTCGAGGCAGGAAGTCACTGAAATGAGCTGGATCCAGTTTGAGGGAAGTTCGTCCGACATAATCATGGTCGCCAACTGCGTCCCAGTCCCAGATTGTGGCGATGAGGTTGAGCGGTCCTTGCGTTGTGATATCTACCGATTCGTCCCACCGTGGATTCAGGTTTCGGTACACTATCCTGCTCTTGGACAGCCTCTTCTGATATTCGTCTGTCAAGACCACGTACGGATCACTAAAGCCATTGACATCGCAAGCCTTAAGATCTTCGGCTTCCACGATCTTAATGGTGAAAACGTAATTCGATGTCTTTCGAGGCCTTTGGGCAGCAGGAGGCGCGTACTTTTTCACCACTTCAGCACAAGCATCCACATTGACTTCCTGCTCGAGCTTGTCCCATTGTTGGATCGCAAAGGAGATATTGTTCAGCTTGACAAAAGACTGGGGGTAGAATTGGAAGGGCTCCACCCTCTCTTTGTTGTTCCATGTATCCTTCGCCAGCTGAACCCATTTCTCCTGTCGTGTCATGTTGGCAGCTGCTTCTTGTTCAGGAGTCAGTCTGTCCATCTCCTTGCTGAACATCTGGTCCAGAAGCTCGCAGTATCTAGCAACCCCATTGCCGATGGCTTTGGATATTGCCGTCATGAATTTGGCATAGGTCAGATCGTCGTCCCAGTTCAGCTGGCTAATCTGATCGATGATCTGGTTGAAGGAGCTGAAGATATCCATCACAGAAGTAGAATGGCGCTCGTCTTCTGTCGGCACCTGCCCAGGTTGTTGTGTTCGAACAGCAAATTGATCATGCTTGACGGCATTCTCGACCCACCCAATGACTTGTTCTTCGGTTGTCCGAATCCATTTCCAGACAAAATCCGCCAGTACGTCTTCTAGCTTGTAGGGGAATTCACGGTGGGGGAGAGCGTCTGCATGTACGCGACGGAATTCACTGAGCTCCTTGTATAGGTCAAATCCATCTTGAATAGGGATATCGAAGCCATTCCTTTGGGAGGTGTTCAGAATTTGCTCCACCATGGCTTTGGAGTCCTCCGCAAATGCAGGTAAAGTGCAATTGAGCAGAATCATCAACGGGTTGATGCCGAGAATCTCGGGATTCTTTCTGAATCTCTTCTGCACTTTTTCTGCAAGCTTCAAGACACCTGTTGCCACCTGTTGAATGTGGTAGAATTCCCACTTTTCATTCTCCTGAGGCAACTCCCGATCTAGAAGGTTGTCGTATAGCCTTCGAGCTTCGACCGCTAAACCATCAATGGCGGCGTTCTTAAAGTTCTCAAAGTCGTCGGAGTTTTGCGTGAAATTAGGATCATTCTTGATGTGCTCGTCAATGATTGCCAGGATCATCCCAAGCTTGGGCAATTGAGCTTTGTCGGCATAGGCAGTCATGATGCTCTCGTACAGATCACGAAGCATTGCCTCATGTAGTGCGCTGAGTAGCTTGCCCATCAGGGCAAAATCGGACATTGTCCAATTATATCGATCATAAAGAACCGAGGTCATGATAAGAGAAGCTCTCTTATTCTTTGGCTCGTCCTGTAATGGTTCCTTCACATAGTTGAAGGCTGCATCGAGCATTTCCAAACTGATAGCCTTTTCAACAAACTTCTCCCGCACCACATCCAGAAATAGCACAATTCGAGTAAATTTGGGTATTCGCCATCTCAAAGCAATCTCATTGAGCAATTCCGCGGTCTTTTTCGAAAACAGTTGACCGCTGGCTCCGTCATTCGTCTTATCATTAAGGTCGTAAGAAAGGGCTTGTAACATTATAAACCGGAACATGGCTCTGGCATCTGAAGGAATAAAAGTGTAGACCTGCCCCGGATCACTGTCACGTTTGGCCGAGTCGGCATTCAAATCAAGTGAGCCTAGATCTGCCGGCAGATCCAAGACATAGGAAGAAGACTCCTGGGAAAGGAGCTTGGAGACCTCCGCATAATGAGACTCAGTAGAGCCTGGACTCGAGGTCTGGGAGTTAAACTGAGGAAGACTTCCACCTGGAGTACTCTTGGCTAGATCGGGATTGGCCTGTACAATTGCAAGCATAAGCTGCGATAGATCGGGTCCTTCGGTCTTTTTCCAGGTTTCATAGGCTTCTTGAGTGTCGAAGTCATGAGCGCTGAGCGTCAGCTTCGTGCCAAGGTTAAGATGTTGCTGATACGTCTTAAGGTCCTGTAGAGCGGCTTTCTCTGTCCACACAGGCTTATGTTTGTCAATGTCGGACTGCATCATCGTGTTGGTCAAGCCAAACAATCGGCCGACTACTTGGACCAAAGGCATGTCCCTGACATTGTAGCTGAGGGGTATCATTTCCTCAACCACACTAATCTGTCCGCCGGATTGCGAAGTGGCCAGATTTTCATCCCCTTTGAGCAGTTTCGACTCGAGTGTATGTAGTCGGGATGCCAATTCGGGCTTGTCTTTGGCCCAGTCTCGATCCTTCAAGATTATAGTCAGAAGCCGGACGAACAGGGCGACATGACGGTCGACCATGCGCTTGACGCCATCATCGCCAGGAGGCTTGCCTCGTTGTAGCTCTTTGGTTGCATTGGAGAAGAATATTAGCACCAAGTCTTCGGCTCTTCGGTCGGCATCCATACGTTTCTTGAAGGAAGGATCTGACAGTGTGTTGAGGAAGATGGCGAATGTCCGCTTGACCACAGCATCTTGGTATTCTGGGCGTTTCTCCTTGCCAATGAGTATACCTTGCAACCTCTTTTCCAGCTCTTTAATAAAGTCGTGGGGGAATCTTGTACTCTTGGAGTCTCGCACGACGGTGAAATCGTTCATCAAGTCATGGAAAGAGTGAGAGGTGTTGGCGCGATTGACCGGAGGCTTCGTCTCGACATGTCTCTTGCGGAACGTGCGAGGTTGCAAGAGGTAGGAAAGGTAGGCGACTCGTAGAGCGTAGAGGTAGGCATCGTTGACATTGATTGATTTTCTGCGCACCCTGGAATGATCCCTGGATGCCTTGTCCCCATTTCGCAGACTGTTCACGCCCCGGCCGGGCGCTTTCGAGCGGTGGGAAGATTGGGACATATGGCACGCATAGAATGGAGTTTCCTGGGGATGGAAAAGGCCGGGAAGGAGGAGAGGACGTTAAAGTCTGGGGATCGACGGTGAGTCGTGGCTCGAGTGGCTGCGTGGTTGAACAGGACAGGGTCAGCCTGGTCCAGTGACTGAGACCATGCAAGTCGGACTGCGCCTAACTTGAGGCCTGGGGCGGGGAGATTGAAGCAGGTGGAGTTGTTTCTGCGGTGTCAAGTGGTATCATGTCGCTGTTTGCATGTCGTGAAGATCTTGAGTCGACAATAGACCGGCGGACGAAGATCCTGGATTCATCCCCATCCTGTCATGTATAAACTGGGACTTGGGGTCGTTTCCAACCTGCCTGGTCTCTCTGGACGATGATCCGGTTTCAGAATGCATCGGCGTCGGGAAGTGACGACTGCCCGGTTTCCTCACGTGCCACGAAATAAACACCCAACAATATGGAACAAACTTATAGTCTCCTCGTACTTAAGTGTTGCACTGATATATACGGTCAGTTCCGGTCCACTGGCTGCAGACCAGAAGGACGTAGGTCACCTTCCAGTACAGAATCATCAAGCTTTCCGAATCCTTCTGCAGCGCGGACTGCTGGCTTGTCAGTGCACATGAAATGTCCTCGACGAACCGAGGTAGGTCCGCTCCTCTCACATACTCTTCCATGTACTGTGTTATTTAAGACCGCCTGTGGCACCATCGATTGTCCAACTCTGTCCGGCGACCCATCATGCAAATCAAAGATCGCACTTTCATTGTGAGCGGTGGCTCTAGCGGCCTTGGGCTGGCTACCACCATCCTCTTCCTCCAAAACGGTGCCAATGTTTCGATCCTTGACCTCAATCCTCCTCCTTTCGATGCTTCCTCTCAAATCGACACGTCTAGGATACTCTTCAACAAGACCAATGTTTCCTCCACCGAATCATTGCAAGCGGCGTTGAAGAGCACATTGAAATGGACGCAAGAAACGAATAAGCCGTTGTCTGGCGCAGTCTGCTCTGCAGGTATTGGGACGGCTGCGCTAGCTCTTCCCAAACAAGACAGTTCAGCGACGCATGAGACTGTGAAGTATATGGACATGCCACTGTTCGATCGAACACTGGCAATCAACCTACGGGGCACGGTAGATCTCATCCGCCTGACGCTACCCCATATGGCTCTAAATGAACCCTGGGGTCCCGACGGTGAGCGAGGTATCATCGTTGTGGTCTCCTCGGTTGCAGCATTCGAAGGTCAGATTGGTCAGTTGGCGTACAGCGCAAGCAAAGGCGCCGTGCGGAGCATCGTCTTGCCACTGGCACGAGAACTCGGTCAGAAGGCTGGCATTCGCGTCATGGGAATTGCACCTGGCGTCTTTCAAACCGGAATGACTGTACCACCGAAGAAGAAAACATCAGCGCCAGCCAAGAAGGAGGGTGTCGAGGGTAAGTCGAAAGGTGCCACTGGCTCTCGCGCGTCAATGAGTACTGAGATGATTCAATATCCGACACGAATGGGACAAGGGGATGAGTTTGCACGACTGGTGAAGGAAATCGTCGAAAACCCAATGCTCAACGGTGGAGTCATACGGCTTGATGGTGCGGTCAGAATGCCGAGTAGGCTCTGAAGTGTTGATTCCTTCTTACAGACACTGTTCAGGGCTCATAAGGAGGTTGGGTGCCACTTTGGACGTGACTGTGCCAGTGGTCGTGCTCTCAATAACGATTGTACTATCAATCGCTGGGGTGGCCAGAGATATTTTCGGCTTGTTACGACCTGACCACGACACATCAATGAGCGTAAAGCATATGTTGCCATAATAGAATGATGTACAAAACGGTATAAATTTCAAGAATAATCATAATCATATTCAGGGTGTCAGGTCCACTACCAGCCCAGACCAGGACGCCTGCTCCTCAAGATCTGGTTCTTTCTCTCCTTCCAGCTTCCGTCCTTACTTCAATTCCGGGAAGGTTCGAAGAAAATGCGACGGGCACTGATAGCCGTACGGCCTCTTGTGCAGGTAATCTTGGTGATAATCCTCTGCATCATACCACTGAGTCGCTCGCAGGACCTCAGTGGTGATGGGTTTGCCTTTGTACCATTGATCTCCAACCTTTTGCTTGATTTCGTTTGCGATTTTCAGTTGTTCGTCATTTTCTGCATAGATTGCGGATCGGTATTGCGTGCCGGTATCTGGACCTTGCCGATTCAGCGTGGTGGGATCGTGCATTCTGAAGAAGAACTCGCAGAGCTGAGGGTAGGTGACTCGCTCCGGGTCGAAGACAATCAAGAGGGACTCGGCGTGACCGGTTTTGCCTGAGCACACGGCCTCGTAGGAGGGCGCCTTTGTCTGACCTCCTGTATATCCCACCCTGCAATCAAGTAGTCCCTTGCCGTTGCCCAGGTGTTTGCGGTATAGTTCTTCCAAACCCCAGAAGCACCCACCAGCGAATATGGCGCGCTGGGAGTTCGGAGGAAATTGCATCGCCGCTAGCGCATCCGGCTGAAGCGGGAGGGATGCTGAAGTGGTAAAGGGTCGGAGGAATCGTGAGAGAAATGTAGGCATCTGGAACGCCATGGTGAGTAAGAAGACGAGAAGGCCGATATAGAAGAGACTGCTACTGCTGGAGTACGGCAGTTTGACGGTGTTCTGTGCAAGATTCTTTCGACGGTCAAGACTATGCACAGGCTGTATATGTACAACAAGTAATGGCGAACCTCAATCTATCAGGAAGGTCAAAGATGTTTATGGATGGATGAGACGCTGGCCGGCCATCGCAGGCGATGAAACCAATAACCAATGGACCACGTCATCTGCCAGGGATCCTCGGCGATGATTGGGGGATCATGGTACTCCGTAGGAAGAATGACAATTTCTGAGTGGGCAGTGCTCCATGCCTACCTAGGTACCTTAATGACAGATTCTGATGCTTAGCCACTCTTATGTCTCTCGTAATAGATAGAGGCTTCTGCATGATTACCTGATCATTGAAGGCTTAAAACCTACCAAAAACTGCAACGAACACAACGAACAGTCATGCATTCCAAAGCGGGCTCGGCCTCGCCACAACCTTCCTGCGTGCCTCTGATCCATCATCTCAAGGGCAGAGTCAGGTGCCGGCCGTCATGTCGCAAATCTTCGTCAAGGTCGTCTATGTAGATCGCAAAGTTGAAGATATATACCTGGTACGTTGAATGGGAAGTGAGAGATGTGCTAAGGGTGAAGCCAAGCAACAGAGAATGAGGATGTTCATCATTCAGGGGAGTCCGTCAGATCAGAGAAATGATTTATTTTTGATACAGGTTGGAACGGATATAACGAGAGCCAGCAACAATACCGTGCGAGTGTTCGTAACCGGTCATGAAGGAACGAAAGTCCGAATTGTTGATGTCCCCCTTATCTCTCTTCTCGTCTACATGATCTAGACCCTATCGTCGAGATATCTATTGAATAACCACCTCCAATCACCCTCGCATACCGCAGGCTCAGGTACTGTAATGTTCCAACTTCATCCATGAGGCGCTCCTTCTGCTAAAGATCTCTGGCCCTCTGTATGGCCACTTGATCCTCGCCCCGCGTATTCGCCCGCGGTAGGTCCTCCTCCGCTGTGTAGTTCGTCGGACGAGCCGAGACCGGACAGAGCGTTGGATGTTCGCGTCGTTTCACTTCCACCTCCGCTTGACTTGTCGTCGCCTGTGCTTGACTGCGTCAAAGGGAACAGTTGTTAGCTGCCTTCGTTCTTGATAAAGCTATGTTAGAAGACGTGGCGTGATTGTTAACTGTGGACACTGATAGAGAACCGCACCACAGGCCTTGCACCGGCAAGACAAACTCCCCTGACTCAACACCTTCGATCCACAGCATTCTTTCACCGCAGAAATGAGGAACAAGAGCAACGCGAAGAAAGCGGATGTGACACTAGAAGAAAATGAGTTGGACTCACAGCACTCTTGCTTTGCTGAGACTGAGACTTTCCCTCGCCACTAGAGTCCCCTAGGTACCGCTCCGCCGTTCGGCTTGCGTGCTCTCCTGACGAACTCTTACCGGGCGGATTGTCTTTTGAGCCCGCGCCTTGTTGTCCTGACAGAGACGCCATATTCTAGGTGAGATCAATATGATCGATGCTCGTCGGTGATATATAGGGCAGGCTTCGGGCTGATGATTTCAATGTCCAGATTCAGCTTGGTGTCTCGTCCCTCGAAATATGATATAAACCTTGGTGAAATAAGAAGTCTTCATTTAATCAATCAATCTTGCCGTGATGTGATGTTCTTATCACTGGAATTGGAGAGCTACGTCAGATCGTTTTCCAGGATGCGAATCAGCACTGGCAAGGCTGCAGCCCCTCGGATATGCCTCCCGGAGCAATGCAAGGCTATCACTCCCACCTCAACTCTCCCAACGGAATTCGTCGAATTAAGGGGCCCTCGACCGAAAGAACCATGACAAAGAATATTGCCCTTGTTGAGCAGAATTGTATGAACTCATATCGTTAATCATAACGCTCTTCTCGGAATCCAGCAACGTCAGACCGATGCTAATTACAAAGCCCCTAAAACCGCACTTTGGATTTGTGCCATCCTGATATTGTGCAGAGACCACAACTCCGACAGATACCGTCCCCGAGCCAGCCATGCCATCCAGCAAAACAAGTTTTCCTGACCTTGTCCCAAAGCCTTGGAGCACCGAAAAATGCAAACCCTCTAAGAGCAATAATTTCAGTGTACTTTTTAGCCTTCAACGCCAGACTGCCTTCCCATTAGGCATCAGACTTCCTCTCGAAGCCGATCCCATTCTCACGGCATTCCGATCACCTGTGCTCGGAGTCGATCGTACATCACCGCTCATTGTTGTCCGTCTTGCTGGGTTCATTCCCAGACTCTTCGAGTGACTGACCACCCCTGATACTCGCGGACTCAACACGCCAACCTTCCAGTCATTCTCTTTCTCGTTCTTGCCCATGACCATCCTCCTAACATGGCCGGCAGCGAACATGCTGTCGTTGGGTGGTGATCCGGAGATAGCTGTTGCAGCAGTGGGAGACCGACGACGCTGAGTGCGGGAGCCGATGCCCGATCGTCGTACTGAGCTTGAACGCTTGACTGCATCGCGAATTCTCATAGCATCGTCCTTGTCAGAGTTGCTGTGATTTTCGGTATCAGATGACGAATTGCTAGCATTGTCGGGGCACGCGCCCAGGGAAGGTTTCTCGAAGGTCATTGGTGTCATTGAACGTCGGTTCGCCGCTTTGCTAGGATCAATCTCACGAAGAGGGGATGGCTCACTGTCTGAAGATGAAAGCGACGTCATCTTTGGAGGAGGCAGAGAAGCCATCGGTGAGCCGTCATATTTCTTGGACAGGAATCCTGCTTGGAAGCGACTGCTCTTACCGAGGCTCGACTCGGGTGGTGGAGGGATAGGTGAAGATCCAGGTGACTGGTTTTGAGCCTGTGCAAATGATGCAGCGAGGTTGGACACTTGAGGAACGGTGATCTCGGTGGTAGACTCTTCAGGCGAAGAAGATACAAATTTCTGTGGTGTCTTCTCGAATTCGGCCAGGGTCCCATCTGCAGTATCGTCTCGCCATCTCACTGCTCGTTTCACCTTCATAGGAGACTTCCTCTTCTTTGGCGTGAAGGAGACACCCTTCTTAGCGCTACCAAACAGTCCTCGTCGTTTTGGCGAAGCCTTTGCTGGAGAGTGCATGACGTGAGGAGCAACGACGGCAGCGGCTTTGGGCCGAATCGGGCTATTCTCAAGGATGGTGTTGCTCGGATTCTGCTTTCGTCGCTTCGGAGTACCAGCCTTAGTAGGTGCGAAAGCCTCAACAGGAGCGAGACTGCCATCGGGTTTGACAATATATGAGGCCGCACTGGAAGACGAATTGAGCATCTTGCCGAGGATCTGGGTTGCCGCTTCAACTGCTTCATCGACGCTCATTCTGTTCAAGATTTCGATGGCAGAGATTGTCTCAAAGTGAGCCTGAAGCAGGACCTGGATTGTTGCTGCATCGCCGGCCTTATCTGATTCGTTGACAGCAGCAAGGGTTTCTCTCTCAGCAGTCAATTTCAGCATTTCCACTTCGCGTCTTAGGGTCTCGGAGTCAATCATGTCACCAGTGTCGACTTCCTTGAGTTGTTTCAGAGAATGCTCCAGCGCTGTGTTCATTGCTCGATCCCATGTGCTCTTCACCACTTTCTGTTGGCAATGGTGTCGGCCACTCTCCAATTCCATGATTATGCCTTGGGCAGTTTTCCTCACAACCTGCATGTTCTTCATCGGTTCTTCATCATCCAGACTATCACATACGCTATCAAAGGCGTTCATCCACGCCGACAACATTGCAATGCGTCGACCGAGCTGCTTGAGCTTAATCATGTTATTGGTTCGTTCTTGTCTCTCTGGTGAAGAATGTTCATATGCACTCCTGATTCTCTGGACACCTTCTCTTGCTATCGTCTCTTTCTTCTCATTCTGCTTCTTGAATTTGGCGAACGCGACCGCTTCGTAGTCTTTTTGCTGCGCTTTCAGCTCATTAATCAGTGCCATCTGCTCGTCAATCTTAACCAAAAAGTCCTTGACATGGCGGTTCACGTTGTACACATTGCGGGTAACCTTGGTCTGGATGTTCTTAGCGCGGTTGGCATATCTAAGAGTGTTCTGAGTTTCGTCAAAGTGTGCGCTTGAAGGACTGACGCAGACAATCATGACAGTCTTGCAGTTCCCGCCAAGGGAAAATTTAAGAAGTCGAGTGAGCTTTGAATTCCGGTATGGAACATGATTGCGCTTGCGAGGGTCACAAAGAGCGTTGATGCAGCTGCCAAGAGCAAGGAGAGATTTGTTGATGTTGGCTCCTTCGAGTAGACGTTCTCCTCTATTCTTGGTGGCGCTCGCTCGCTCGCTGCCTGCCAAGTCGATGATGCTTAAAGTGGCCATCGTGTGAGGCTCTTCTACGCTCGCATTCCTGTCTTTTTGCGCCACGTTGATCTGGAGCACAGCGTGTGAGCGGGATGAAGTTGCGTTGGCTTCCGTCGGTGACATTGTTCGCATCTCATTTCCCTTCATGATCATATCCATGACCTCTTCAACGTTTTGTGGGTGGTGACTGGAAAGTCCAGCGACAGATACTGTCTGGTTGGCATCTTCTCTCAGCATGAGCCCTCCTCTTCCGCTGCCTGGGACAAGGAGATCACGGATTGTTTCGTTGTAGATCTCGAGGTAAGAGAGTGAAATATCTGTGACTTTGTCGGAAGCCAGCTCGGCCACTCTTTCAAACAGTTCTTGCATGGTGAGAAAGATGATGCCAGGCTGCTGAACAGTGCCAGTGATTGTGTGTGTCTTTCCGCAACCAGTTGCACCGTAGGCGAAAACAGTGGCGTTGTACCCATCCAAAACACTGTCCAGCAGTGGTTTTGTAGTCGACTCGTACACCTCTCCTTGGGACGCATTTTCGTCGAAGATTCTGTCGAAGCCGAAGGTCTGGTCTTTTACTCGCTTACCGGTGGGAACCACCGATCGAGAGAATTTCTGCACAGGATTGTCTTCAGGAGGGTCAAATACTCTATTTGATCGTCAGACGTGTAGATGAAAGAGAGACCACTAGGACATACAAGCACTTGTCGTCTACCACTTTGATGACTGGTCGGATGCCTTTTTGAAAGAGCTTCGGTGTAGGTGCAGCGGCAAGGGAACCGTCACCGAGAAAGATTGTCGTGTCGTCACATTTGGTCAACTGCGCAGCTTCTCTGATTGTGAATGGTCTGACTCGAACTGTGACTGAAATTGAGGAAGCACCGCCGGAGGAAGCCATGGTTGTTGTTGTTTACCTCCGGGCGTTTGCGAAGAGATCGAGGAACAAGAGACCATGAGAGAAGCAATAGAATCTGTAGCAGTACAGAGGAATCAATTCAACACCACACGAATAACAAGGTGTTGCAGTCGACGTCAGATGGCAGTGGTCGAGGCTGTCTAAGGATGAGAATCAATTCAATTCGTTGGTGTTGATGGCCAAAGAGTCGCGTTGCCGAAACCGTCTAGCGGCTCGCGTTGGAAGGGCAACCAGATTCCGAAGCTCTTTCGAAACTGCGCCAGGACAGGCTGCGTCGAAATTGTTCTACATAACATGGTCAACGAACAGGTCTCGTATCCTGCAAGGAAAATATCTCTGTCGCTCGAGTCCTTCCTGCTGCTCAACTGCAGTAAAGGTTTGGGAACAAGACTGCTTCAACAACATGTTTGCAGGCAGCGCGCGTTCTCTACGAGGCCCAGCGCCACCTACTTCTCACTCACTGCCACCGGTACAAATTTCTCCTGTGTCTCCTGTTTCTCTTGCGATGAATGCCAGCAGGTCAAGTCTCGAACAAAGAGATGGAAGATTCAAGAAAAAGCGAAAATCTCCTGTGTCATATTCTCCATGCGACTTCGGCAGCCTCATCGGTATCCTGATTTCATTTGCGATGTCCGTGCCTTCGCTTATCCCCGGCATTCTTCGGCCTGCCGATGACAGCCGTTGAGGGCACAATCGGATGTCAGTGAGCCCATCAGTGCCGCATACATCGGACATGCGCACGGATGCGCCTCTCGTCATTGTTGTTTGCCTCGATGCCGCTTATCTCTCTCTATATCGTTGGACCGACATCCCACTTGCACCACTTTGAAGTGTTCGATCCAGTGTATATATATCTTTCTCTTGAAACCCTCTGTTTGCAAGTACTACTGACCCAACGTCCCTGTCATTCAACCTCAAAATGGAGGCTTGCCTATGCTCCAAGCCGGTACTACGAGTACAATCGAAGCAGGTCTTCCTCCCCTTTGCGGTCGCGCCTTCCGTTTCGTCGTGTAACCGACATATTCGATCCTCTCGACCCCCCTTCCCAGCAAGCAAACACCGCCAGGTTGATCAGCGTCGACAAGCCCATACAAAACGAAACGTCTCGTCGACCGCCTCCACCATCAGCGAAGCAGACCCCCTACCGACTGCCATGGCTGTTTCAAGACCGCTGTCCTGCCTGCGTTTATCCGCCCTGATTCGTTCATATCTCATCACCTCCGTTTCCTCTATACCATTCCTGCTGCGGCCGTCCTTATCTGTGATGACCTTCCTCGCCCATACAAAGTCGCCTGTTTTCATGCCAGATCGGAACCCGATTCTCCACTTCCTTCTCAAGAAAACATTCTATGCTCAATTCTGCGCCGGTGAGACACCTGCAGAAGTCCGAACCACCATTTCAGACTTGAAAGACACCGGGTATAGAGGAGTAATCTTGGGCCATGCAAACGAGGTGGTACTCACAAAGGAGGAAGCGGAGGGTCTGGATGCATCGACAGAGTCGTTAGACCAGGCAGCCCTCCACGCCGATGAGATTGCGATATGGAGAAGAAATACCGTTGCTACTGTTGACCTCGCCCAGGAGGGTGACTTTGTGGCGCTCAAATTCACAGGAGCGGGTCGTCAAGCACTTCAACATCTCAAGGCCACTATCGCATGCTCTCCCGAATTTGAAAATGCTGTCCATGAGATCTGCCAGCGCGCTCAACAAAAGGGTGTAAAACTGCTTTTCGATGCTGAGCAGGCCTCGCTACAACAGGGCATTGACAACTGGACAATGTACTTTGCAAAGATATACAACAAAGAGAGGGCGTTGGTGTATGGCACCTACCAAGCATATGCTCGGAAAACTCCCCAGAATCTCGCTCGCCATCTTGAGACGGCAAGGAAGGAAAACTTCGTGCTGGGAATCAAGCTGGTACGAGGGGCGTATTTGGGCAGTGACCCACGGGAACTCTTCTGGCCAACCATCGAAGAAACCCACGCATGCTACAATGGCATAGCAAAAGCAGTATTGCAAAGGCAATACCAAGGCATCCTCCAACCTGTCGAAGGTGGTTCGTCAGACTTCCCTCGAGTGAGCCTGGTGCTAGCAACGCACAACGCCGAATCGGTCCGGTTAGCAGTGGCAATTCGAGATGAACAGGCACGGAATGCCCTGCCACGAATCGAACTTGCCTACGGGCAATTGATGGGGATGGCAGACAACGTAAGCTGTGAGGTTTTACAAACTGCAAGGGTCCGCGCGGAGTCCAGCGACGCCAACGTGGAAATTCCCCGAGCGTACAAGTACTTGGTATGGGGCAAGATGGGAGAATGTATGAAGTATCTCCTTCGTCGGGCCCAAGAAAATCGAGATGCCGTCACGAGGACCGTTGAAGCAAGGCGAGCATTGGGTAGTGAGTTGGGCAGCAGGTTGGCGTTCTGGAAGTCATGATGATTGGATGAGACATGTGCGAATTGATACTGAGCACGAACGAGACGATTGTAGGTGTATTGTTTTGAGATTGTTTTGTTGACATATCCATCTGCAAGGCGCATTGCACTATGTTTTGAGGCATCCGATTCTCTTGCGCTGATTGATCTAAAGAGGAAAGAGGAATGAGGAATGAGCAAAGGTTGCGCGAGGGAGCGACGCATAGAAATATGATTCATTCCCAATTTCCATCACGACCACGATTCAAGCAAACAAATCCATGTTCAAATCTCGCAGTCCGGCACATACTTATCCCATCTTCGTTTTTTCAGGCAAGAACCTGACGGGTAGCTGCTGCCTAGACCCCAGTCTCTCAGACAGGTCAAGTCAGTTGTGCCGACACTTCTGCGTCAGGGTTTCTTTGTTCAAAAGAGACCTTCACTTCCTCCCGACACACATTCACTGCTTTTAAGGAGATTTGTTGTTACCGCCTGGTTCTGCCTGACCCGTTCCTCATCATGGCTTCCAGGCGTGCTTCCTGTTCCCCTCCAGATCCTCCTCGTCGTACCTTCAGCAACATCTCAACGGAGCTCACCAATACGCCATCCCTTATTTACAGCGACTGCAGTAGTTCTGCGTCCGAGGTTGGTTGTCCAAAGCTTGCCCCATTCGTTCCGTGCTAATTCAGGCATCAACGCAGGACATGATGGCGATAGGGAGCGACCCGAACCATGTTAGCGATGTGATGGCTGAAGCGTTGGATCATCTCGATAGGGTGGTGGAGCACGTAAGTCATGTCGTTCCCCTGTTTCCGCGGCGTGCTGGACTAATCAGACGCAGCTTAGAGGCGAAGGAGAAAACGAGGCAGCGAATGAGATTGCCCGCGATGTGCATTCCATGCTGGAGACCTTCAATCAGACCACAGCTCCTTGGTCGATGCAAAAGTTCCAGATGAAGACTGTCCCTGCGGCCAATGCTCGACAAGTCAGTATCCATACCACTGCCACTGCCACCGCATCTACATGGGCAGCCGTTGCCGCTACCGACATACCGAGAAACAATCGTTTGGTCAAATTCCGTCCGTCTGATGGACTGAAGCGACAAATCACAGAGGAAGAGTTGCCCAAGGACGAAGACTTTCGTTGCGTATGGATATATGGTTGGAACAAGGATAGACCGTTGGGTATTGTGACCGAACGTATCAGTTACGGCGCCATCTTCTCAATGGTATACGTGGAACAGCACCAGGCAGCTTGTGTCATTTTTCAGTATGCCAGCTCAGCCATGGCACTTGTCGATGAGGATTCACGTTACCGTCGCGACTGTGGAGTGGGTCTGTTCGGACCTAACACCATGATCAAGTTTGGCGAGGCCTATCCGGAAAACGCTGAGCTCCAGCGAATGTCGGCCCCAATCAATGAGCGGCGCCGTCTCACCTTTGCTCGTCAGCAGCTTTTCACCAATGGCATGAACGAGCAACGCTTCAAAAAGGACCTCGTCGAGATTGTTGGAGAACAGAACGTGGAGTTGGTTTGGCTTTTTAACACTGGCAATGGTAGGTCCTTCCGTGGTGGCTGATGCTCTGTCTGATCAAAGACTAGCCACGGTCGTCTTGTCGTCGACTGTCATTGCACGTCTTGTGCGGGATGATTTCATTAAGCGTTCGCGAAAACCTGGTCCATATCAGGATGTCCAGGTTGGGTTCAGTCATGACCCATGCGAACGTCCTTTGAATTTGATCACCCAGATCCCGTATCCAAGCAATGGTCGAGATCGCCGTGACAGTGCGGTATCAGCTTCAAGTGCTCGGGCTTACAATCCAACTGCCATGCATTTCGCGCCAGGAAATGTCAATCGGGGCAGAAAGGGAACCGACCCCGATGGTTGGCAGACCGTCCAGAGAAAGCGTTGAGCTTCCGAGTTCACCATGTAGGCATGGTGCCTGAGTACATCGGTCAAGGCGGGAGAAAGGATACGGCAACTAGGGGTATAAGAAGATGGCCTTCGAGAGGTTCTTCCCTAATAACAACATGGGCCACTCAGCTGTCGTGCTATCAAGAGGAAGAGAGCGCAAGCCAAGGATTGACCTCATCATATCTCTTGAGGTCCCGGGTACAGGATGAACGAATCATGACAAGCTGGCCAGCAGCTGTTCCTTGTACGTAGAATTGATAGGATGAATGGCCCAAGATGCCAAACTCGGAGAATACGAATATTCTTCTGAGTGGGCCAGGTTGCCCCCATCAAGCCTCTGTCGTCTCTTAGCATTTCTGCTTCTCAATGTACTCTTCATGTTGTACACATGACATTCCCACATCGTCTCAAGTTTCCGACTTATACACGCTTCGCCATCAATCGACCACGTCGCACTTTTCTTTTTCTCGACAGATGTGCGGGGGAAGTGAACTTGGCAGTGCAAGATCCCTTGTGGATTCGTTGATGGTGCATGTCTCGTAAGCAGTCGATGGTCGATACAAGCGCCATTATGACCTAGGCGGCCCAGGATGAGGGCCATATTGCAATCGAGCCTGACGCCCGGTATAATCGCCGGCCACTTTATGCAGCCGATCCTCAAGGGAATCCTCCTCACCCTCAGCAATCTCCAGTACTACTGTGGGTTTTTTGAGATCCGGCGCATACGTCGTCGGCCTGTAGTGCTTCACCGGCCGGACGACCTTGTTGCTCGGTAGACTATTTTCCTGGGAGTTGGTTGCAGAACCGTGGCCGAAAGATCCTCTCACACGGACGACGTCGTCCCAAATGTCCTGCAGCACATTGAAATTCAGCGCAAGCGGATCGAAGAAATCAGCCAGAAGTTGGTACACGGTATCCAGTAACTGCACGTCGGGATACAGTTCTATGATCTTGCGCACGAACCACCACCGCTCCGGATGTCCGTACGCGGCGTTTGTGCCTGCAAGGAGGACGTTGAACAGCGTCGTGTAGCACACGGAGCTCATCGTGAACAGGTCCATGTTGGACAATCTGTTTTGCAGTTCGAGAAGATTCGACCGAACGATCAGCGCGGAGGTGTTGAAGGAGATGGCGTTCAGGTACATCCAGAAGAAGACGCTGATCTGGTAGCAGCGTTGCAATTCCTGGAGGTCGAGTGGGTGGAGGAGCGAGGACTGAGGGTCCATGCGTGCAATGGCAAATGCAGACTCGGGTTGCAAGTCGGCGGACGGGGATTCGGAGCGCCATGCGAGGGCTCTTCCGGCGAGATGGGCGCGGTGAGAGAACCATTCACGCTCGCTGGGCCAGAGGTGTCGGTCAATTTCGACTTCTGAGCGCACGTGCGGCTGACCGAGCTGGGAAGTGTTGTGTTTGCGGACCAGCACGATAGAGGAGCTGTGCAGGTACGCTCCGATTATGTTTACTTTCGTGCTGGGTTGTGTTAGATCGGGAATATAAAGAAAGAGTCTAACGGCTAAGCAAAGCATGATGGACTTACACGGCTAGTTCTGTTTCAAGGGGAGCTTCGTCGTAGCCTAGGAGCGTGGAGATACGTCTGAGACCTTGGAAGTGCATACGACCACTTTCGCCGTCTGCTAAGAGGAGCTGGTCGAGGGAGGTTAGCCTGTTGTTCGTACGCGAGGGGGATTTCCATGGCCGGTACCTACGGACAGCCTGTACAGGAATAATACTGCATGGTAGCAGGACTCGTCCACTGATTTGGCTGGATCTCGCAAAATGGAGTTGAGCTCGACCAGACATTTTGTATGAAGGCGTAACCACGGCGGAATGGGCCATTTCGATTTTTGCCCTTTCTCTGTCGGAGGTGGTAGGACGACGCCAGGACCGCTATCAAGGCACAAGTGTTAGCATCCGTTCTTCGGACATGTGGGTGATGGATGGGTTTCGAGTCTTCAGAGCTTACCCTCTTAGCATACCAGACAGAAAGATTGAAGCAAACGTCGCAACGGCATATGTCAACACGGGCGATGCTTGGATTTGGGAGAGACTCCCACACCAGTTCCATTTGGGAATGACATGTGTCGCAAAAGGTCGGATGGTGTTGAAGTAGAAGTATAGGTTCGCCTTGATCTCGGCGTCGTAGTTCAGCGAAACGAAAGGATCGAGGAACTGGGATCCCAGATTCTGTAGCCGAGTCGAGACGAATTCTTCAAATTTGAGCAGGGCTCCTTCCCATGCCCTCTCAGAAGGGGCTTTTCTGGCCGATGCAGGCAATCGTGCACTGCTCTCAGCCACGGTAAACCAATGATTGTTGGCAACTTCACGTTCGGCACCGCGCTTACCAATCCTCGGACTCCCCTTTTCGTCCTCGGAGGCTGCGCTGCTGGTGGAGGTTGCTGCTGATAAAGACTTGGGGACCGGGGATTTCGGGGCTAGAATTGCTTCTGTGGTCGGGTCGAGTCGTAGATCTTTCCGGGTTCTCTTGGTCCAGCGGTTATACCGTGACGCGACATGCGAGGCTATAGCGAAGGATTGATAGTTTTTCGAGGACGAGGACTTGGGTAATGGGTAGCTTTCGGAGTCTTGCACAATGAATAGTAGCGGTGGTCGCTCTCGTTTTGAGGGCATGATCAGGGTATGAAGACTTTGAGTTCTGGATATCGACTTGAACTCTGACCTGCCTTCATTTTGACTCTCTGGCGAATATCTCAAGTCTACAGATGCAAGAAGATGGGCGGGGTCCGAGCCAGACTGTGCGAGGGGCCAACGACAACGGTACTAGCAAGCCAGAGTGGTGCGAGGCGATGGTGTTACAGAAGCTATGCTCGAAGAGGGCATTCAAGAGTCGACGTTGATTGGTGATTAGTCAGGATCGCTTAGGTAATTGGCCAATCATCGAATCCTCGACAATCTCGACGACGCGCGAAAGATTTCGTCTCGAATTTCTGCAGCAATTCATTCGACCTGCACCTCGAAACACCCCCTCATACACTCTGATGACAAGGCGTTCTAGATCTCGAGCCTTGCAGCGATCGAAAAAGCAGTACCGCACCGAGGGGCCTTATATAGCCGTGCCGCTTATTCAGAGCCATATGTGGTTTGATCCGGTGGATTATCCGTCAAATGTCCAGTATACCTCCACCTAATATCCATCCACTTCATCATGTTCGCTTCCGGATCAGAACGCTAGAGACGAGAGGACTTGCGCACTAGTTGACTCCTAGCGAAGATATAATGACTACCTCTGAGACAGTATCATCAGACCTGAAGGATGCTACCAGGGTCTCCGAAATGGGATCCCAAGATTCATCGAGCCAAAACACGAATCAGTCGAGCTTGCTGAAAGCTGCCCACAAGCATTTCTGGGCACTGCTGTGGTGCCTGTACGGACTTTGGTGCATCTTTGCCAATAATTATTCCAAGATCGCTGGCAGCTCAGTGCTCGGAATACCTCAGTTTAGGAAGGATTTTGGCAAGGCATTTGATGGGAACTATGTCCTGTCCGCGAAGTGGCAGTCCGCATTCAACGGAGCACCTCAGGGCGCGTAGGTTGAATGCTTTCCTCACCTACTAATGCTAAACTCTATAGGGCTGTGGTGGGCTCTTTGACTGCTGCTTGGGTTGCGGACAAGATGGGTCGGAGGCTCACGCTCGGAATCGCTTTGGCTGTCCGACTCGTATCGATCACGCTGGAATCCACCTCAATTTCCAACCCAGTGTTCTTCGGAGGACGTTTCATGGGCGGCTTCGCCACTGGAGCTGTAAATGCGCTGTGCATGACCTATATCGGCGAGGTCACACCGCTGCCATTGCGAGGAGTCCTTACAGCAGCTGCACCTATAGCACTTATTCTTGGTTCTTTCTCTGCCGCGCTCATGGTCAACTTTACCGGCGATCAGCCATCGCGCTGGGCTTATCGGACTTCCTTCGTCTCCGGCTATGGCTTCGTTGGAGTCGCAGTGCTGTTTCTGCCCTGGATGCCCGAGTCGCCATGGTGGTTGATCAATCATGACAGAGAGCAAAGAGCCATTCAAGCTCTTCGGAAGCTCGGATATCCTACTGATGCTGAAGAGCAGGCTGCTGAGATGAAAAAGGTCCTCTCAAAAACAAAGGAGGAAACTTCAGGGGCGACTTATGCTGAGTGCTTTCGACGCTCAAACCTCCGACGGACAATTGTCTCAGCTATGCCTCTGACAATTCAGACGTTTTCTGGTGTGGCCTTTGTAGCGTCTTATGCGACCTACTACCAACAACTCGCCGGGTATAGTACCACAGCCAGTTTCCATCTATTCATTGCTCAACAAGTTCTTTCCGGTGCCGGGAACGTCTGCTCCTGGTTTCTTGTGGACAAGATTGGCAGGAGGCCATTGACGTTGTGGGGTATGGTCATTTTGACCGCGCTACTTCTCATCACAGGAGGTATGCAACCTGAATATCTTGACTGGATTGAGCATCAGTTTAACAGTGATAGGACTGGCCGTTTCAGCGACTCCTGGCGCCATCAAAGGCACAATCGCACTTCTTCTACTTTATTGCTTCCTGTACAACGCCACTATCGGAGCCACTGCTTTCTCTATCCTTACGGAAATTTCTACTCCTCGGCTTCGAGCAAAGACAGCGTCTATGTCCATCGCTCTACAGAGTGCACTGTTTGTAGGTCGTCATCTCCTGACGAGAGTAAGCTCCTGCGCTGACACTATGGTAGACAATGTGGGGATTTACACTGCCTTATCTTTTCAACCCCGACAAGGCAAACCTCGGGGCGAAAGTGACGTTCATCTTTGGCGGGCTTTCCGTTCTCTCGATTGTATATCTTTGGTTCTGTCAACCCGAATCGGCCGGCATGTCGTACGAAATGCTGGATGAGCTATTCATCAATCGGATTCCTGCTCGAAAGTTCAAGGCTTATGCTAAAGCAAGGCGACAGGAGTCCGAGCAGGGGCGTGAGAAAGCCTCGCAGGATGTGTGAACACAACGACTCTGTCACAAGTTGATAACAAGACAAAGAATGACTTGATCCCATTCAATGGTGTTGCTGCGACATGCAAAAAGACAGACCCTCACCATGACTTGGCGTGATGGTCAGTGAGCACGATACATGCATACCTACCCTTCCTCTCAATTTGCAAAAAGATGTGTTTAGTGGCAGAGCTGGGATTCGAGCCCAGGTCTTCCCTTCCTTCCAAGGACAGCATCCGAAGAGCTGTTGTATGGGAAAGGGAGATGCTAAACCACTGCACTACACTGCCGTTCATCTGTGATTGATACCAAAAGTGGTCGAATCATTATTTGAAGTGGCATATGCAGCAAGGCGGGCAGCATGGCGGTGAAATGAAGAAAATCTCCCTGAGCAAGACAGATTATTACATCACCAAGTATGGCGAGTCATTATGCTTGCTCAAGAACTACGAGATGTCTTCTTGGCTCAGTACTGCCAGACGGGAAGAAGTATAAAGGGGCGATGCTGCATGTGATTGTTCACTTCATGTGAGGTCCCAGCGCGGAATGACGGACGACAGTCAACTAGCCCCATGTTAACAGCCACAAGTCGAAACAGTGAACGTTTCCAGGTCGATGGCAGGGGATCGGGGGAGTAAAAAGAAAATCAATGATGGCGGCATCTGGATTTGAACCAGAATCTTCTTCATGAAGGTGGGAGCACACACGATCCAGTCCTGAACTTGACATCTTCGCCCAAGGACGACGAGCAAGTGGGAGCTTGAAGGGGTCCCCTGAGATGAGGATATGCTACCATTGCACCATGCCACCCGAGAAGGTATATTGTGGAGTAATCGGTGGTCTTGAGGATAAATGGATGGAAGAGAGGTCAGTGAAGAGCAGTGTGTGAATGAACAAGTGAACGGAAAGCCAGGGAGTGAGTGAGTGAGGTGAGCGTGCTCCTGTGATCGACTAAGCTGTTTCGCAGCCTGGGAGGTTCAACAGTAGCCGCGATACAAGCATGTCTATGTGAAGATGCATTGTACGAGTGAACAAGGGCGATGTCTCACAAGGACCTCTTGGACTTTGCGACTACGAGTGCTGAGAGATCAGAAACCGGTGTGCTGCGATGGGCCTTGTTGAGCATCCTAAAGCGCACTTTGATGTTTCATCCAGGTACTCGAAATGTTTGTCGAAATAGGCGAGAGGAAACAAACAAATATTCTTCGCTGGAAAACAAACTGCGGCCTCGACGACATCCTCAATTCGAGTAACAGCTAGAATGCCTGAAAGCCACCATGCAATCGACTTTGCAGCCTTGACTAAAACGCAGATCAAAGCCTCATCTGTCCAGATGCTATACGAGCTCGTATCAGCGTCCGGGCATAAGCAGCCGACGAGTCCCTGGCGCCTTCTCTTCGGTCAGCTCGACCAGGGATACTGGTCACTAGCAGTTGGTCCTGTGCCAGCTGGAGCAGTTTGACAATTACTGTATTGTTCCCGGTAACTCTCAGGGGTTTCGGCGTCTTGTTCTGATATCGACCATTCGTGAGAAAAGCGCACAAGAAGTTGCTCTGCAAGAAGGCTAGGTGCGATCAGGCGCATAGGCTCATGCGACCAAGGAACGGGAAATCCTACACTTACCAATATGAAATCATTGTGTTGTGAAGCGTTTAGTATCGCAAAGATGCCCACGGAAGGTATTGGATTCTGTCATGCTTTCCACGGAAGCGCTCGTGCCATGGGTCCAACCTTCTTCAAGTCAACACTGCAGTAGTCCATTCGTTAGGTTCGTTCCTGTGGGCGTATCCTGCGATCTGCAGGGCACATGTCCGGAATCCTCGATTCTGTAGGAGTTGCGAGCGCGCCTCTTGCATTATTGACTGCTTTGACAGTGTTGGCCTTGACGAATAGGTTGAGAGTTCGGCAAAGGCCGCTGCGAGGTGAGGATGTGGCTCCTTTCTTGGCCCATGCATTCTAGGTGACGTTGTTGACGTCTGCTGGACAAGCCTTTAGGTAAGAGACGAGTAGGAGGTGAGTAGGAGAGTGGTGGCGCGGAGACCAGTTCCCTCTGCAAGCGACAGCCAATGCTCCATAATGGCCCTGTCGATGATCGCTCCCTCACTGACTCCTCCATCCAACTCGGACGGGTTGTCGTGGAGGGTCTGAGACCGAGATTCGTCCATCAAATCTTCTCCGGCGATGTAGCCCAGCGGCAGTCCAATCGTCACCAGCGAGACAAGAAAGCGGTCGACTAACCCCAGATGCACCATGGAGCCACAGTTAGTTAGATGGGGCCCAGCACGGTCCAAGATGGGTGCCAGATGGCCGCTAACTACTCCGTACCTAGGTATGTAGCTAGCGTGCTAAGGTGCTCGCCATGCCCAAAGTCCGGGGTCGAGCAACCCATCGCATCTGAACCGCCGGCTGCGCCTCAAAAGCATCACGGCCTCAGGCTTTGACAGCAGGCACCCTTTTTTCTTCGTCTATTTCAAGCATTCAATCTCTAAGTGCAACTCCTAGACCGAATGTCATCCTCGACGCCAACATCGTCTAGTTAGAGACTTCCCCTCCATCGAACATCATGCCTACCAAGACCACAATAGTCGTACCAAAGCACAGTCTGGTCGACTCGACCGAATCCAGCGAAAAGGGTGTCTCTTCCAGACGACTCAAAAAGCGAGAAATCGACCGACGATGCCAACGTCAAGCCCGCGAACGAACAAAATCTCGAATAGCCTACCTCGAAGGTCTGGTGGATGATTTCCGGCGACAGGATGCCACAGGCCAAGTCACAACCCTGATGAAACAACTTCAAGAGGTGGAAGTCGAGAGAGACATGATGGCACGGACACTGAAAGACATCCAAAAGGCAATGGATATAACTAAGCCGTTGGGCCAGAATGAGGAGCAGTCGAGCAGCATCCACATTGAAGGGGATGGGGAGCGGAAATCGAGCATCACATCCCTGACCGACGATGCGCCCATGAATCTTAAAATCGAACCTGTCGAAGAGATTCCTCGAGTCCACGGTTTTGATATGGCCAACTTCACTTCTCCGCCTCCTAGCCAGCTCAAGCCGCAAGACATGCTGTTTGCTCCGGAAATCGTGCGCTTGGACAGTGACAGTCCGCTTTCCACGAGTCAAGTTCTAGTGCAGTGCAAGACCACCCGCGAAGAGAACCCAATGCCTTCGCGATGGGCCAACAATTGGGCCAAACCCAACAGTTCGTGCGCCTGTCATAGCCATTCGAAGCATGTACCCGGCCAACCTGTGCTCTGGCGAGGAAACTACTGGGTGTACGCCAACGAAGTGTTGAGCGAGCGCTTCAACTGGGGTGAAGATGTGGAACCGGCGACCGATGCCCTTTCGGACGACGTCCCCATCCGTGCATTACTGGAAGGTTGGGATGCAGTCGCCAAACGAGGTCCATTACATCCTTCATGGCAGATTTTGCGTCGGATCGATGAGACTTTGTTTCCCACATGTCCCAACACAGAACGTTTGGCAGTGTTGAGGGCAATGCATTCGCTTCTACAGTTCCATACCGAGTCGACTTCGGAACGCTATCAACGCCTACCGGCATGGTACATGCGCCGCCCGTCGCAGTCGATAGCCCATTCCTACGCGATCGATTACTTTGCTTGGCCAGGAATCCGAGAACGATTCATCTTCAGTGAACATAACTACTGCGAGAATGAATTCTGGCACTTGTTCTGTCGCAGTCTACGGATCCTGTGGCCGTACGAATTTCGCGACTGTTATACACGTGAAGTCGGGACTGGTCTGTACAAAGTCAGCCCCATGTTTGATCAAAGATTGTCAGATATCAAATGCTGGACGATGGGTCCCGATATATTCCAACGATATCCGGAACTCTACAGCGACATGCCTGCTTTCAATCATATACCACAGACCGTGTCAGATAAAACGTCCCAGCAGAAAAGGTTGCTCCCTCGGTCGACCTCGGCAAAAGCTTACAAGCCTCAAAACTCGGTACAGAAAGAGCAGAAAGAAGTGACCAAGCGTCCCACCGCTGAAAGTCAGTACATTCCGACGCAGCATAATAATATGCTTATCCAGCAATCACATTCTCAAGGGTACTTTCAGTCTGGGCAGACCGCCCATCAAGCGATCTCGAATCCTCACCTATACAATCTGGCGGACTACAATCCATTGATGGCTCTCGATGCGTTTGCCTATGGGGCAATCACCGAGGCAGACTTTACCAGTGTATACCAACCAAATATGCAGGACGGTTATCCAAGTGTGACATTCTGAAAGGCGCGAATCAAGACCAGGCTCTGCCATTCTTGGATTTACGATTGACGCCCACGCTCTTACTAGAAAGTGGGATGGGTAATAGAGCACTCCTATGGCGTACATCTACCACCACAGCTCCTGCAAGCTCCGGCACTTGTAGTCAGCAAGAGTCAGTCAATCTTCAACCGTGAGAATGTGGTAGCGAGCTCTTGTCAGTTCTGATGAGGCTGGTTCAATACGTTTCAAGATGTCAGCTATCTCGAGCGAAAGCCCAGCAATGTATGATGATTGCTGGCCTTGGGGTAAATGGGTCGGTGGTCGTGTCTCTAAAACACAATGAGTATAATCATGAAGATGAGAGCATTCTTGTTGATCAATGAATGAGCCGCACTGCCACAGATGATGGACGGAATGGCCTCCCCAACATGAACTGAGGCTGACATGCATCAAGGCACCCACCATGTTTGAACCTTTGTACAATTTGACCGTTTGACCTTCGGAGGGTTCTGCAAACACAAACAGAGCTCCTCCCACTACTGTTTGCTCGTTTGTAGAGAGAGAACAAAGGTAGCAGATGTCGCTTGTCAAGAATTAAAGACACGGATTTCTCTGTTGAGACGTCGGATGAGAAAATGCAGCCATTCCAGAGTCGTCTCTACACCGAAATATCACACCCGCAGAAGCCCAACTTCAACTTGCTCGTCGGATCGCAAACATGGATGACAACGATGCACAAAAGATTTGGGTCCCCATCACCGTTGTCGGCTCCATCTTACTATTCGTCCTGGTGTTCGGTTGTCTTTGCAACAAGCCAGATGCATTCGAACGAGATCCACCTCCAGATCTCTTGACCCGACGAAGAGGACAACCTGGATTTCGGATGCCGCCACCATCTCGACACCTACCTACCGGTGTGCCCTGGGAGGAAATCGTCAGGGCCAGCGAACGCCCACGACGACCTGAACCTATCTACATTGTGCGAGAACCACGAAGAGGGAGGAGCCCGCCACCAAGAATGGGACGCTATGGACCACGGTTTGACCCGGAGGATCCTTGGTTTGAAGAGAGACGACCGAGATTTCCCGGCGGATATGCAGGAAGATTTCATCCCAATCCCAGGATCATTGAGAGGGAGCCTCTGTTCAGATGACCTTGAACAGATGCAGCAGAGACGTCCGGGGGCGGTAAGGGAGCAAAGATGTGCGAGAAATGTCTATTCTGGTCTGGTGAGACGCAGGAATAGTCGTATGGAAAAAGTTCATCAATGTGATGGAGATTTCACAAAGACGGGGAGCAGGAGGAGGAAAAAATCGCTGCACTGTCTCATTTTCGGTTGTGGAACACACGCACGTGACGTCAATCTGCGACCATGAGCACGATGAAAAATGAAGAGGAAAAGTGAGGTGTGTTGAGACACCATGGCTCCTTGACTCTCTTTCCATCCAGCAATACCAAGTCAGTCATTGCTTCTTTTTGAAGATACTCCTGCATCTCCTGTTCTGGACAAACACCAAAAGCACCAATACAATATCATGCCGCCTTTAGCCCATGAACACCCGGCCACGAGCCAATCAGTACCATCATCTCTCAGTCGAGGCGCACAACAAACGGCATCACAAACGACGACAGGGCACTGAAGATACCCCAGATGCCGTAGATGATATCTTTCAAGTTGTACCTGGTTTCTGCTCTCACGGAGGTCCTGCGGTACGTTTGTCGATGCTGCAAACGGGATCTACTGTTGGCAGCGCCTCGAATTGCTGTCAACCCTGTCAGACATCAACATCTCAATCGATAGCGTTTGCAACCGCAAATTGAACGGACTCCATAGCTGTTGGTATCTCATCTCTGGTGCCAAATAATGGATTTCCCTGTTGAATGCTACTTTACATAACTGCATCCCAATCATTGTCCATACGCACAGGCTAACGCACACGCTCAAGCAAAAACGTCCTCCCTGTCCGCCCAGATATCCTCCAACTCATTGAAACTGCTGAAGTGAATGGGCCGATGCCGGTCATCGTAGAACCGCCGCGGCGTATCGATCTTGACGTACACGGGCCTCTTCTCCACGGTGGAGAAACTGGCGCCCATAAAACTATAGTTCCACGTCTCCGTCTCCGGCACGAGGAAATAACCCTTGATCTTGTCCGAGAGGAGGAGCTGCGTCTTGACGCCGAAACTCGTCGAAAAGCCCGAAGGGTTGTCGGATTGCGTGTCCTTGTTGGCGGCACCCCACGTGTACCCGGCGGGCGTGAGGGTCCAGGAACTCAGAGACACGGAACCAGGCGTGAAACTCACGGTCAGAGTGATGGTCTTCTTGTCCCAACTTGGATGTTGCGCCATCAGGCGAGCGTGCTGCGTCACGTCGGCGGCGGTCATGTAGGAAGGCTCGTTGCCCGATGCGGTGTGGATGATGCCCAAAGGTTCCATGGTCTTGAGGTACTCGTGCTGAGGGAGTTGGTGGGGCAGTTGGACTTCGCGCGTGCTGCCGACTTGAGGAACCATGACGATCGTGCGGATCTCCTTGACTTGGTCGTTGTCCGGCGGGGAAGAACCGTACAGGTATCCGGCGACTTGGACGCGGAGGTCGGCGATGGTGATGAATTTCTTGAGGATGTTCTTGGGCAGGATGTACGTGTAGGCGTCTTCGGCTTCGTGGATGTCGTCGCTGGATATGTAGATGTTGTTGGAGCGGTTGCGCAGGTTGGTGGTGGCAATGGCTCGAGTGCGCCATTCGGTCTTGGACGCGAAGGACTGTTGTTCGTATTGAGACGTCGTGGTCACAATGATCTCCTCGCCACGCACGTTTTGAGTCTTTGTCGTGACCGCGGTGAGTTGCTGCTGTTCTTGTTGTTGTTTCTCAATCTCGGCGGCCTGCTGTCGTTGCATGGACGGAGCAGAAATCTCCATTCCAAGAATGACGTCTCTTACTTCGCTGCTGGTGAGGGACTGGACGTTGACATTGTTCTTCTTGCCGTAGTCGTTCAAGATGAGGTCTCGGAGTGATACTTCGACCTTGACCCAGTCTTCATCGGACAGCGTGGGCCAGATGTGATGTGGCTGAGTGATGACGGTCTTGTCGGGACGGAGTATCAACTTGGTCTTGTCGGTATTGACATGCAGAGCTCGAAGGATCAAAATCAGTCGTGAGAAAGCTGTGTATGACGATATCGTCTTCAACCATTCGTCGTAAAGGTTGAACAGCACCATCTGTGGCTCCTTTGCTTGAAGGATCATGTCGGCCAACTTCTCGACTTTCATGGCAGCCTGGAAAGGCAATTGCAATTCCGAAGCTCGAATGGAAATGTTGGGGAAGTCGAGCAGATGAACTTCCAGCGGATCAAGCAGACCCTTACGCGTGACGATGAGCTGTTTGGGCTGTTCCTCCACGGGCAAGGATCTGATGAGTGCCGCAACTTCTTCAGCCGTCTTCCATTTGGCCAACTGTCCCAGACGTTTCTGACCCGCCCAAACACTGGTGTGGATGATCTTCAAGAAGAGTTGTCCGGTTTTGGGGTTAAACACGAATACCGCTCCGTTGATCGGCTTCGTCGTCAAATTGCCCTCAAATGTTTTGTGAATGGTGACCCGATAAACATTCGTATCATCAATGAACAGTTGAGTCTGATTGCTGAATAATTCCGAATAGTTCTGGGAATTCAAGAACTCCTGGGTGCTTTCAGAGGCGTACAGTTGGAGACCTTTTCTAATACGTTCGCGTAGCACATACAAGGCCGGATTTGCTTTCATGATCTTAGCCAAGGCCTGCTGGACCAAGGCCTTCAGACCAGGGAAGTATTGTCCGTATGCAGAGTAGAGGTTGTACGCCAGGTCAATACCGACCATCAGACCAGTGGCTGAGGGATAGATACTCATGCTGTCCGTCGTGTAATCGAGGTACTTGGCTCGGACGTAGCGTTCAATATCGTGAGAATCGTAGTCGCCGTAACGCAATTGTACGTCCACCCAGAACTTGTTGGTAGTCGTCGCCTCGATCTGATCTTTGGTGTCGAAAAGTAGCGAAGGTCGGGTGACGTTCCATTTATGACTGGCAAACAAGAGAATATCTGCACACGAGCTGTTCATCTTGTATGATTTTCGGGGGTGAATCGTCTCTTTTTGGACAGTCTCGATGCCCAGTTGCTCCAATTCCTGATCAAAGACTTGACACAAATCCATGACAACAGACTCGTGAATCTTCTGCCACAAATGGGCTCGGAAGATCTGACTAAAAACATCCGTCAGCACGTACTATTGTGATGGATGGGGGATTGCCCACATTAGAGAAATCTTCAAAGTAGGTATCTTTCCGTGCAGGAAAATACCAGTCAGATCGAGTTGGACTTGGAAGCCGACATAAACGTCTACAATAGTTGTTAGCGTTAACATTGAGGCGGGCGCCGGGGACAGAACTGACTTGCTCGATTTATGGTTGGCGACCACCAGAGAGTAAACCGACGATTCGGAATCTGGTTCAGACCACTTCGCTGGGCATTCGTGAGTTTCTTGTACTTCATTGATTCCTCTGCAAACCGTTAGAACATTGTACGAAGGGATAGAGCACTTTGCAACTTACCAAAACCGCTCGCTTTCTCCCAAAAGAGACCCTCCCACGATGGGAATGCCGTCGCTTTGAACAGAGTATGCTCCAAGATGGTCTCAACACCACCAAGGGCTTGAATGACATCGGTCCGGTAGGCGTTTAGATTCCACAATTTACCGTCATGTCGTTGACTAGTCCACCAGAACGGATTGCTCTTCATGAGCTGGTACTGCTTGAACTCGGTGCGGGCTCTGAAACCCTTGTCGAAGCTCAACGTGCTTCTGTCCTTCTGGAACAATGTGTTGATTCGGGGAAGGCCTCGATCCCAGCTATCTTCAAGATCTTCGAGTGTCAATCTGCGGTTTTGTTGCTGAGCTTCGAGTCTCTTCTGCGAGTATTCAGTCCAGACACGTTGTGAATCAATGAATTCGGCCTCCCAGGGTATGATGTAACGGAAAATATTGGGAATCAAAGTCTCTTCGTCGTGTGTCATACCGGCACGATAATGGGTGACGCCCGTGTCAGTCTGCTTGGACCATCGCTTGTCGCTGGTGGGAATGAGGATGTGCGAACCTGAAATCATTCCCAGACCACCCAATTCTTTGGGGGTATAGAAGACCGCCGGCGGGAAGCGAGAAGGCATCTTGGAGTTGAGGCCAATCTTGACACGAGTTTGAATCTTCGTCTCGCACTTCACAATAGTATCCAGCAGGTTGACGGTGGAAACAGCAGCTTCTCTGTAGTATGTAAAGAGCGCGATCAATGTTGTGTTCCACTTGTTGGCAATCTTGGTAAAAGTAGTACTACCGGAAGACATCAGGATCTGTCTGATCCGATTGTTGAACTTCTGAATGTCTTCTTCAGTGACCTGTAAGAACGCGTATGCCGTGCGCTCCTTCGTCTCATTGTTGGCAAGCGCCCAAACGCTGTCCTTGATAGGAAACTCTTCGTTTTGGTTTCGAATCTTGGGCAAGATCCGGACTTCGAAGCCGCACATGGAGAACAGCAAGTTCGGGTTGTCGCGCGAGTACACGCTCGCAAAAGTATCATCCCATTCGATCGTCGTGATCGAACGAGGCAATCTGTTCTTCAGATCCCAGAAGACAGCGCGACCAAGATTGACATCGTGTCTCATGAGCCTCATCCTGGAGTCACGAGGCCAACATTTCTTATTCTTGTAGCCGATCACGTTCTCGAAATTAGGATCTGGTTGTTCAGTCAAAAAGCGCTGAATGAGATCCTTCGACTCTTCCGCCGTGAATCTGAAAAATACCCAGATCTTGTCGATGTACCGTGTGTACAATCGTATAGGGTGTCTGGTCTCTGCTTCCCGGTCTCGGAACTGCAAGAAGTCGTTTGGAGCTGCAGGCGGACCAGCAAGTTCGCTGGCTCGTTGCAAACCAAGCAAAAGTAGGTCGATGACCAAACCGTAATACTGGAAGACGAACCCTGAGAACTGCAGACCTCTGATGAGGCCGTAACTGTTGGTGTGGTTCATGTCCTTGTAGTTCAGCTGGACGTTGTTCTTGGAAGTGATGTAATCAGCCATGTTGTGGTCCATGATCAGTCTCAGAAGACGGTTGAGCAATGTCAGATCAATCTTCTCGTAGACCTTCGACAACTGAGTCTCGATCATGACATTGCATTCTCCATCTGCAGTCTCCCAAACATTGGTCAGGTTGTTGATACCTTGAGCCCATTTGTAGACCAGCAGCGGAGGAACTTCTGAATCCGAAGGCTTCACCCAAGACGGGAAAAGACGGCGTTCGCTGGCTTGATACCAGAGATACTGATCGAGATATGCATCAGTGATCTTCTCGATTGGCTCGATATCGTAAACAGGGTTGATCGAGTTGTAGTTGTCGTTCATGTCGATGCCAACTTCTTTGAACGCTCGCTGGGTCAGGAGGAAACGCTTGATTCTGGCAAGAGTCGTTCCAGGTGAATCGTAAGCTTGTTCGATCAAGGCAAGCTCTTCTCGCTGGCTCTGATTCAATCTGCCTTTGACGGAATATGCTTCTCGTAATCTCTCGAGCGCCAGGATAAGAATCTTCGTGTCATGCTTGTAGGACACACTGGGGAAGGGAATGGGTGAGAATTTCCGCGACTCGAGCCAGTGGACAGTCGTGGTATAGATTGCCACAGCCTCTTCAGACGACACATATGGACCATCTTTCAGGTAATTGTGCTGTCTCTCCTGCTCAGCCTTGAGCCACAATCTTGTCAGACGGCCCAGGTTCTTCTTCGCAACAGTCTTGTCGACGGTAGCACCTCTCCTGATTCTCTCTCGGTTGTAATGTGCAACAGAAATCCACCAGTCAGCCTTGCTTTTGACGTACCGCAAGATGATGTTCTCGATTGGGGCCGGCAGGCCAGGAACTTTCCAGGGGATATTACTCTTCCAGCAACGCCATGCTTCTGACAAATGCTGGAGCACAGTATTAACCTTGTTCTGTCTGATACCCTCAGGCATCATATCCATCAAGTCAGCCATGACCGAAGCACGCAGCTCCAGATCAAAATGTGATTCGACACGCTGCTTGGTGACTGTCTTGGCTACACCTTTGCTATGACGGCCTTCAAATTGTCTTGACAGCAAATTGCCCAGCCATCTTTCCAGGAGAGGAATGATACCTCTCATGAAAAAGAGCCAGACGCGCCACGCCGGTTGCCAGAAACCACAACCAGGGCCTTTGCCGACGGGACCGGAGTTGAAGCGGTAGTAAATCAAGTGCTTTAAATCCTTGCACGATCGAATTTGGTGCATGAGCTTGTACTTGTACCGATACATACCCGTAAGCTGTCCAACATGGTTGAAAGCGTACAAGATACCGTCAGCAAGCTGGAAGGCGTCGATGTTGCCTAACCGATACTGTACTTGAGCGTCGACGATGAGCTTTGTCAATCTCAGAATCTCACGCATTAAGTGGAAGGCATTGCCGAATCTCGATTTCTTTCGTTCCTTGGTTGTCAAGGTCTTGACAGGCTTGAGGTTGAAATTGTAGTCTAGATGCAAATATGTCAAGTTCTTGCGATGGATAAGCAGGTTGAGCATATTGAAACCCTGTCGGCAAACTTGCAAACCAGCCTCAACCCAGTCGATGGTGGTTTGCTGGAAGAATTTGGTCTGCTTGAGCGTCTTCAGAAGATCTTGCTTGTTCTGAGCCTTTGGCTTCTTCTTGTGGAGCTCATTGAGAACATAGCTCTTCAGTAGCTTTTGGTATGATACTCTGACTTTGACTGGTTGGCCAGGTGGGCAGTGCTCAAGGTACCATTGTTTGACTAACGGCACGTCTTGAGCCCTGACCATCTTGCCAGATCTGCGGTCGAACGGGAAAGGTGCCCACCACAAGGCGATCGCAGACGCTGTCTCGCTAGTGTATAGCTCTTCATCTGCAAGGAAGGGCTCGACATTCCCAGGCAGCTCGAACTCATCATCCTCGTTGTTCCCAACACCGAAGACCTCGTCTTCATGGCTGACAGTGATATTCTTTGGCGCGACCGATCGTGATGAAATAGGATTTATGACAGGGTCGAAGTAGAACGCAGGAAGATTTGGGTCTTCTGCCCGAACATAGACAACCTGAGGATGAGAGTACCATGAAAGCTTCACGCTTCGAGGCAGAGAATTGTACAGATATGGAAATGCCACTCTGTATTCCGTCCGAATTGGTGCTCGGAAAATGATACGATCGATCGCGTTGAACTCGCCAAAGTCTTCATCGTTGGGGTCGATGTCCTTGTACAATGGCTCGAAGCGTGGTCCACCAGGAATAGCCACATTCAGCGCCTTCGCTGTGAAAAAGCTCGCTCGATCGAACATGTGAAAATAGTTCTTGTCGACCACATCGCTCAGTAGCTGGTGAGACAATCTGTACAGCGTGGCCATCTGCGGGAGCGTCAAATTCCACTTCTTGTAACTCGGCCCGTTGACATGTGGCGTGTCCAGCAGAGGTCGATGTTCATAGAACCATTCATAGACGGGACCGTCCTCGGCTTCATCTAATTCCAACTGGATAGGCTCAAGGGGTTCGACGTCCTCGATATTCTCCGACCAGGAAAGAGGAGGCTCTTCATCGTCGAAAGGTGGAAAACGCATACGCTTGAAATGTCTTCTGTCGCTCTTCTCCCTTCTCATGCACACCCACATTGTCGCCCACTGCGCGTGAAAGACTGGCTCAATTACTCGGGGTGACTCGTTGACCAGTGTCAGGCAACCATTGACATGGTACAAAACCTTGACTTCTCTAGCGCTCTCCCATGGCATCGGCATGTTCTCAAGTAGCTTGTACACAGCATGAGGCATGTATTTCAGGGCTCCCAGGTAACTGCGCTTGTCACTGCTGAACTTCTTCTGACTGACATCACCAATATCCTTGACAATCTTTCTCAGATGCTCCGGCGGCATATCAGCCTTCTGCGTCTCAACGAAACCGCCCTTTCTCTTCTCGCTGAATCGGTTGCGCTGCGTCCGGAGCCATTCTTTCTTCTTCTGCGCAAACTTTGCGATTTGCGGATCGATGGGAGGGCGATATCCCGGTGGAGGTGGAGGCGGAGCCATGCCAGGAGGAGGTGGTGGCCCAGCGTTCCAACCTGGAGGTGGAGGAGGTGGTATTGAAGCCATCCTGCGCTCAGGTGGCTGAAGGTGACTGTCACGATGAAAACGATGAATTGTCTGTTGCCTTTCGGAGGTGTATTGGTAGGTTTCTTACCATTCACTCGTACGGCTCGCTCTCTGCTTTGGCCAAGAGAGCAAGCTGGATCAGTTTTGATGATTCAGCCCGTCCATCCACCTGCTGAGAGGAAGGTGAGATGCTTGACAGATCTATTCGTGGTTGAAAGTCGAGTTCATTGCCTCCAACGCGGCGAGAACTTCTCTCGGATACATATTTTGCGGGGTCCACCGTAGTGATAATTTGCACTAGTCTTAATCGGGGAGACCTCGCCAAGAGTCACATCCACACACGAAATTTTTGGCTCTTCGAACGAACGGCCCAACGACGACGACTTCCAGCAACGGCCACCATTCCTTCATTCAACCCATTGCTCTTTCAATACCGTCGCAATGGCAGGCGTTAGACTTCAATACCGCCGACGCAACCCGTACGTGATCCTCTTCAACGAAGCGAGCACTATGTGATGGATTGGACGACTAACATGAATGCGCATTTTAGTTACAACACTACCTCGAACAACGTCCGTGTCATCAAGACCCCCGGCGGCAAGCTTCGATTGTTGCACATCAAGAAGCGAGGAACTGCTCCCAAATGTGGTGATTGCGGCATTAAACTCCCAGGTGTAGGTGCCTCGAAGTAGCCCCGGACGAGCTAAACAAGATGGGAATTTGGTCCTGACAATAGTGCTATATAGGTCCCAGCTCTTCGACCTAGAGAATATGCCACTACATCCCGACCGCAAAAGACCGTCCAGCGTGCCTACGGTGGCTCCAGATGCGCCAACTGCGTCCGGGACAGAATCGTTCGTGCTTTCCTGATCGAAGAGCAGAAGATCGTCAAGAAGGTACTGAAGGAGACGCAAGAGAAGAAGAGTGGCAAGAAATAAGTGACTCAAGGATGATGAGTTGATTGATCTTTTTCTTGACGAACATGAGCGCTCGGAAGTTGTCTCAGGGTATCCCACGACCGGGAAGACGACCGGTCGAGTAAGGCTGGAAGAGTTCTAAGCCAAAAGCAGCTGCATAGCGGGACTACACTCGGGTCCAAGACAAGGGTCTTAGGCAATCCTCAATGGAAATTATCAGACATGGCGAGGGTGTGAAGTATTCAATGCAAATGATACCGACATGGACCATCCTGTGACACATCAGCTCGTGCAAGACCACTATACCAATGATGCCATGCCGCTTTCTGAATTCGTTTTCGCTGGCTGCGCTTCACGGCAACGTGAATCCCAGGAATGACTTCGGGCAGTCCTGACCGAAAGTCTCGGTTCAGGCTACTGAAATAAATCGCCGATGACCCATCCACTGACATTCCTGCGGTAACGTGTGGCGGGGGAAATGTCGTACCCTTGAGACAGCACCATTGCACAAAGAAAGCGAAGACAGGCTGCCCGCCAACATGTGCTCAGCTCGCTCAGCGTCCGCAAAGAGTTGAGCCAATACCTTTGCAGACCCGGAGCATCCAGAGCATCAAGAGCATCAAGTGAACGCTCCACATGCATGTCAATGACGGAGGTTCTCTTGCATTACTTCCACAGGTTAATCCTTATGCTGCAACTGCTATGATCTTGCTTTCCACAACGATCGCAAGCGGAACGGCGCTGGAAGCCATGAGTGAGAGTGGTACTAGGTCAACCGTTTCCTCGCCCTGCTGCTTTTGTAATCAAGACCTCCTGATCACTTTTGATGAGCAAATAGTGCTGCGTGGTATAGTAGTACCGCACAACGGTTCACAACGCTTCGCCAGGGCAAGATTGCACCGGGACATTCCTGATCAGGAAATAAGTCCGTATATAGTCGGCGCTGGCTCTGGGTGGGCGCTTTTTTCAGAGGAACCACCGCTGTTGCCATCGAAATCAGTGCTGAGGCGGTGTTTGCGGCCGGAATAACAGTGAAGCCTCACAAACAGTCCACTGGACGTCGAGAGTTACGAGCATCCGATTGAGAAGGGGCTGTCTCATGGGCTGTTTTCTCGTGTATCACAGCGCCGCTGTCAAAACTGTCATATCTGCGGGCTCCCATGACGTGGACCTCGTTGGGAACCTGTCGGGGGATTTCTGTTGACTGCTGAAGATCGGGTTGTACAACATAGCTGGCAGAGGGGTCATCCCTCTTTAAGGAGGCAGGTGATTCTGGCGAAGACGCCCAAGGACCATCGGACAGCTACATCCGCTTTCAGGAACAACTTTGATAATTTCCCGTCCATATGTATAGACAGCCCACTCAGACCTCTCCAGTTGTCCGAGTCCAGTCAGTAACTTCACGAGCAATTCGGGGTTGGTGGGGGCTCGGGGCTTGCTAGGTGGCACGAAGGCACCCGCGCAACGAGACTTTGCTCCAACTGCAAAGTTGAAGACGACTCGAAGCGCTTTAGCCGTTTCTCATCATCCTTGGTTCCTGTGCGATCGACGATAGATAGCCAGCTTGACTGGCTGAGAAACGGGTGAGATGGAACACCAGGATATTCTCAAATTCTGCTGGTATGTGAACGTTTTGTGGCCCTTGTCCGCCAAACGGACAATGCTGCGATGAGCTGAGGTCATGCATGTCAGAGGCGCTGAATGAGAGCATGAGAAAATCGCCGCTGTCTAGGCGGAAACATTCCCGACGATGCCGTAGGGCCGCTCCGTTGTTCTCAATCCGACTTTGGGCGGTTGTTATGACAGCGATACCAGGGCACCAGGAAGCTTCACCCGTCCCATGGAAAAGCACCTTCAAACGTCCATCTACAGCCATGATTCGCCGACCTCAAAAGACAAGGGGATGGCCGTGCTTCATAGAAGATCCCGGTAATAGTTGCGGGAGGGCATGACGAACAGCACGGCGAGCAGGAGGACCGTGATACAAACAGCAAAATTTCGGGTATCGACTTCTGCCGTGAGCTTTGTCGACCAATGCTGATTTGGGGAGAGGGCCAGGTTGTATTGTGATACGTTACCTGACATATGTCAAGCACGTTTTGAGCAACTGACAAGGAACAGGGCGTGCGGGAACTTGCATGACAGGATGACACCAAAACGGTCGTAGGTGTAGGAGGAGACGCAGATCCTTACTTCAAGCTCATACCTTAACAGGGAGTTCGGCTGTAGTCCGGTGTGGAAGCAAAGATCTGAAGAAGGGAGTCGGAGAGATTCAGCGCTGGCACAGGGTGAAGGCACTGCACTCGACTAATCCGAGATCTTTTGCTTCGCTAGAGGCCGATACGAATCGATCATACCATGGAGATCGGTAGGGGCTGGGGAGACGGCTTCAGGTCCCGAGCTGGTTCTGAACCAGATGCATATCCTTGATTTTTTTTCGACCAGCATCCAATTTTGGACGTGGAGAATTTGTGTACAGGGGTGTATCATGAGCTTTCCAGATCGCCCTCTGTACCGGTTCAAGATCTGCCAGTCGTTGTCCACCATGAATGGCGCTTCAAAGAGGTTGATGGAAATCGGAGAGCCGTTGGTTTGCAGCATCTGCCGGCCACGGTCGGCGGAAAGGTAACGACTGTCGACCTCGTAGCTAGAGCGTTGAAATTCGAATCGTGTTGTAGATCAAGGATAGTCCCGTCCCGGGCCCAGTTGCTCCATCGACTACTGCCGGTCGAGCATCTCCTGCGATCATCAAAAGCAAAGATGCATTTAAGCGAGGCTGTTGAGATCGAGTCGATGGAATTCTGCAGCTTTCGTTAGCAAGATCAGTGAAGCTGATTGGGAGTACTCTTACTGGTGTCCGAAGCTGCCAACTGATGAGATAAAATTGGCGAGCAAGCTCGTATACCTCCGCTATGTTGATAGTGTCGAACGTGGTGATTAGACCGCATCTCGCCAGGACGTTTTACCCGAACCCTTGCAAAAAGAACAATCTGTCGATATCAGCTCGAACTGGCGGTTTCCTCCAAGCACGAATCTTCAGAGGAATCGCTCACACATGGCGGCGATTTCTGTTGGGGACCCATGTGAATCTTTGATTGTCCGATGTCCATTGTTCACGCGAGTCAAGCCTGAGTGGGCTTGGAACGGTCCGGACCAGCCAGCTATGGTATAGTCGCGAAGGACAGAGAGCCTGGTCTGTTGTCGCGGAAGCAGGATCATGCAGTAGTGTACCAGCTGAAGTGATCTTTCCATTGAAACATCGAGGATCGCGCCAACCCCGGGTTGTTTGGACATGTGGTCACTCTGCAGTTGGAATCAAAAGCCCGATTTGGAGTCAGGCTAGATGGCTGAAGATTGAGCACGCCTGGTCTCCATATCCTATTATCCTTCCTCTCGACTCGTCATGGCGGAACTATTGATTGGGGGATCAAAGTGGAAAAGACTGCCAGCGCAGAGGGCCAGGGCCATGAAAACCGAAGTGGCGTTGCGAGCGTGCAGGCGACTGGTAGCGATGCCCATTCTTGCTGAAGAAATTTGGCCACTCAGATTTCAAAATCTTCCACGTCTCGACTCTGTCAGGGGGCCCTGGTCAAGTTTGCATCAGAATGAGCAATTCTTGGGGATAGCCGTTGAGACCTGGTGAGGCTGTACAAAATACTGGCACGAACAAGCTAAAATTAATATAGTATCAGACAGCATTGAAGTGAGAATTGCATTTGGTTTTTGGACACCCGGGGCCGAGCAGGTAGGGTCAGCTCAAAGTGGTCACTACACCTGGATCAAGTAATATACATACGTCTCTGATTCAAGGTAATCATCATACTGTATTCTTTCGTACTGTGATCCCCTGCTATCATAAGGCTGGTCCTCAGCAGCATGGCCATACCCCCGTAGCTCGTGCATGCATTGACAAAATGGCCAACAATAACAAACAAACCCTACATAACAGCCGACTACTGTCGACCCCTGACTTCATCGGTATCATCCCCAAGATCTTGCATATCTTGATGCTTCCATGCAGTCGAGATCATGCACGTCCTCTCTGGTAACCAATCGCATCTTCACGACTGGCCCTCAGTCAGCCTGAAAGAGTCCCAACTCGTTGACGGATTGCTCGAGATTTGGTCGCAAAAGGATACTCTGCAAGCGCAAGCTCTCGTCACAGTAGCTAGTGCGTTGCAGGTCAAAATCCATCGAGGTTTGGGGAGAAAAGGACGAATGCTGCATCGGTTCATCTGGAAGGGGCTGCTGATCATCGATAGGCGTCATGGGCCAGCTTCTCACTGTCGGTCGTAGCTCATGGTAGTCAAAGCTCTGGTAGTCACTGACATCCGAATACGGAGTGGCGGGACTGGCTGTGAGAGGAGTAGACGTGACAAATGGATTTTCCTGACGCCGTTGTCTCGCAGCACGGCTGGCAGCTCGACCTCCCTTTGCTCCCGATCTTTGTCGTTGTATTGCAGGGGTGCGGTGTCCCACGTGGCGTTTGCCACCACCAGTCTTTCGATATCTTGTTGTTGATTGCACCCCGTTCTTGATGGCATCCTCGGTGAGTACCCAGACGCTGTTGGCTTTTCTCGAATTGGCGCAGGAAGTGTCCCTGTCATTCTCGAACGCCTGCGTTGTCATATTAGCTTGGCCATGTGTCCTAATCTTCTGCTCTCACCTTGTTCATGGAGAGGTTGTGCCTGATGCTGTTCTGCCAGCCATTCGAGCCCGATTCTTGAGGTTTGGTGGTATTGTGACGAAACCATTCATAGATGTCTCTCAGCATCATCCTGTGCCCTGGCGCCTGCTTCAGTGCTTCGTATATCAGCATAGCGTAGGGCTTGTCATCAAAGGTCTCCTCTTCTTCGACCGGCACTGTTGGATGACAGTAAGTGAATTCTGGAGTTGTTGACCAGGCACTTCTGCTGTCGCTCTCATCATAATACTGGTAAGTCGAGAACGGAGACGACACGAAGTCTGCTGTGTAGGGATAGAATGGCATTCCAGCCATGTTTGTGTCAGCGCCGTTGTGATTGTTCACGAAATGAGGGTAGGCATCTTGATTCGTCCATGTAGGTGCCAACTCCAGGTCGGATAGTTGGATCCTTGTTGTTGGTGGTGCGAAGTGGCTGGCGTGGACAGTGAGTGCGTCAATGGGCTGACCATTCTGGTCATCGACCTGGAGGAAATGATGGATGTCTTGGAAGTTGTTAGGTTGGTAGAATTGTGCCTGTGGCTGTTCGCAATTCACACTTTGTAGACTGCAAAGGCTGAAGGCTCTCTGAATGTCGATGGGAATGTTTGGGTCCACGAGCTCATATGCCTCGCATTTGTGAGATAGAGTATCGGCTTCCATTTGATCACTTCGGTCATGGAAAGCCATTAGGTACGAAAGGACAAATGCTTGCTCTTGAGTCCAGTACAATGGCGGATTCAGCCTATGTGTCTGTTCAAAAAGCGGAAAGGTCCTTCTTGCGACAATGGAGTGTGATTTTGTAGATTGAAGAAAGCGGCCAGAATATTAAGTATGTAGGGCCAGACAAGGGAGATCAGGGAACAGATGTGCCGCATCCGAAGTGGGCAGGTGGTCTTGGACGTGCATATGACGGTACGTAGAGAAAGGAGAGGATCAATGCAAACGAGAGGGGGGAGGAGCGGAACGCAAACAAAGGGTTCTGAGGTCAAGCCCATATCCGTCCTTGCAGGATGAAAAGACCGACTAGAGTCAGGTCTGTGGATGTCGGTGAAATACAGTACGTACTGTATCACAGCTATCCAGAATGCTTCCGGGCCTGCTCAAACTTCCTGACCAATCAGTAGATGAGCGGAATGCGGAGCCTTCTGTGCTACCGCATGCACTTCAACGGCTATCCTGACACGGGAGGATGCATGGCAGTTGGACTCAAACTGCCAACCTGCAGTAACCCACAAGCACCCTTCAACCCGCGGGCGAGAAAATTTGACTTTGTCCAAATTTCTTTGCATGTGTGGAGATGAGTAGGGATACTGATCAGAAAAGCCACGCTGGAAATCAAAAGCCTTGGGGATGGCGGCCGGTCAAACAAGGGTACAAGGCTGAGCGAGTAGGGAATAGTCCATGGTGCCATTGGAAACATGCATGTCCTGCCGGCCAGCAAGGCTAGGCGACTGCAAAACAAAGCGGCCAAAGCGACCATGCAACTGGCATGCATGCAGAGCTTGTACCTCTTGAGGGTAGATGACGCCTGGGGACATCATGGTCTTGACATGCAGCGGCGCCAAGGAGGAGAGGATGAGGTTTCGGTACCTGCAGCTTTGAGCTTTTCATGATGCGATGAAAGCAGCAAAAAGAGCCTTGATGACTTTTGTTGAGTCAATGGAAGCTGTGTAGGTAACCGTAGATGGTTGTCAGAAGTAGTTTCTTTAGTTGGATTGAGAGAGCCTAAGGTGTTGAGATAAGATAAGATGTCCTGGGCATGTCTTGGCGGCCGGAATGCTCATTTCCCGGATTGCCGAGGCTACTAGTAGGTAGATCACGTGGTAGATACTTGTACGGAGGAGCGCTGGTACAGTGACCGTTGGGTGACCGTCTAGAATGGCATCCGCATCATCCCATTGGAGACTTCTCCCCTTCTACGTCAACATGCAGTTTCATTCTTATTATTCCCCGAAAGCCGATTATGCTGATCATCCTGCGTTGATGTAAGTTGGCATAGCCCCATTCAGAACGAGCAATTTGCCAATTATCACCCATCTTCGACTCGCATCACTGGCGTAAGCCAAGTGAAGTGACCACTGTTACCGACCTTTCATTCCCAAGCTTTCCGCGAACATCCTACACAGTCAGAGTCCTTCTTGGACATATTACCACCCCAGCAGACGATGATTATACCCTCTCGCGTGCTCTCCCTCTGTTGAACGCCATCAGTCCACGATGCCGGAAGTCGTTCGCGGCAGTCGTGCCAGTCTACAGCTGGATCGAAATGCATCCCCAGGCACGCCCTCGCAAGAGAGACGAGCCGTCCACTTCGGTCCCGAGAGTCCACCTCCGGATGACGTTCCGACACCGGGAATAAACGCAGTCGACACTGGCCTCAGCACTGATTCAGGGCGAAGGCGGAGTTCCCAGCACAGGAGGAGACGGACTCAGGACATGACCTCGCCCGAACGAGCCGCCTACTATGACAGTCGTGCTGCAACCAAAAGAGAATTCCGCAGACGAGCGAGCACCCTACAAGAATATTACCAGGAACACCCGGAGCTGCTTCCGCAATTGCCCTTCACATGGCGCCATGGTCTCAAGAGATGGAAATTGGGCTTCACGATATTCATCATGGTGGTGGATGCCTGCGTCGTCCCTATCGTGTTATACTATTCCCTGAAATTTGCAGGCCATGTACAAGGGTGGATAAGTATGACATCGTCTCTTTGCGGGCCTTGACACACGCGCTGACAGACCGTAGTATTCGCAGTTGTTGCTACCATCTGGGGTGGGCCAACATACGTCGAATTCGCCGTTCGATCCTGGAGACTGATCAAAAAGGAAAACTTCTTTCGGCCATTGGGCACATCAAATCGATGGGCGTTCGACATCACGCATTGGATTTCAAGTTTGACAATCGGAGCTGTCACCGCCTTCCTCATCATCGGTAGCGCACCCCATATAGTATGGATACGCGTATTGTCCATGCCAGCTCCTTCAATCCTTTACTGTCTCGGGGGAAGTGTGTTTATAATCACCATGTACAGCCTTACGGGTCGAAAAGCACCATTCCGAATAAGTTCTACACCCAAAGGTGGCGAAGTGTATCCTGGAGTCTACTATTTGATAGAGGATATCGTTGCCGTCAATGCCGGCGCCGGCAGGCCATTCCGCGAAGCACTTGCGGCCCGATATATCGCGAGCCCTCGGTTCAGAAGGATGATCAAAGTTCAGTCTTTGTTTTGGTCGATACCATCACTGATTGTTGCCATTGTCTGTACAATCATCATTGTCATTCATCCTATCTCTAAAGAAGTTGGATATGGTATTGGTACGTGTATTTCGGCTGTCGTTCAACATATCTTTCTTGCTAACGTGCAGTCAGGATGGGGTGTCCCTTTTCTATGGATGGGTATCTGGACCGCCATCTCTGTTCCTTGGATTCGACGTGACATGCACTTGGAGACCATCACCTGGGAAGAAGACTTTGGCATTGTTCCTGAAAAGAAGCACAAGCACGCCACGTCTGACACAGACCAAGAGCTGCCGCCAAATGAACCGAAACTACCTGAACCAGTACATACATAATCCAGTGTACGGTGCATCACGTCACTTTGTTATAAAGATACCCTGCTGTATTTGCGAAAGAGCCTTTTCGAAAGCAGTGAGCGTTTTTCTCTTCTCGGCATGTCACATTCAGGGTTGGGATTGACGGGTGGGAGTATCATCATGAGCGGAGAACGAACAAATATAATAATGACAAGAAATGTTTTATATCTTGCTTTTGACTCGGGCGTCTCAATTCTTGAGCTCGAGTCGGTTCGCCGGCGATGCTCAGCTCCATCGCTCAGCGCGTCGCGAAGAAGCATTGTTGCCGTCGGTGGCGTTTCACTTTCTGTAGACAATCCTCTTGAAACTAAAATGCAACGTAAGTATGCCCTTCTCAAAGGTACTCTTGAACCCGCGATCGTGCTTTGCCGAGTAATCCCAATCGCGATCGACGATGCGAAACGCAATATCTTCGTACGGCGGGCCGGCCATGAACCTGATGATACAGGTATCCTCCTCGCCGGCGGGGGCCATGGTCTGGCCCTTTTTCCGCCCGCCTTCGCGGATGATCTTGTATGTCGGCGCTTTGGTCGGGTCGATCAGGTCCGGGTAGAAGATGTGGAATTTGTACCCCTGGACGACCTTGGGTGGAGGGTTATCATGGTCGTAGTGTGTCTGGTTGTACTTGTTCCACTCGTAGCCCATCTGCACGCGGTTGAAGTACTTGGGCTTGCGGGGCCGGTATTTGCCGCTCCACAACGCTTTCGAGGAATCACCGGAGGCACCAGTGGTCAGGTCCTCCTCGCCGGCGAAGATCTCTTCGTCCTCATTGACGCCCTTGGCCACTTCGCGGTCGAACAGCGCTTTGGTCGTGGCCGAGTGCTCGTCGTTCGTGCTGGTGTCGAACCGGCTGGTCGGGTCGGTGTGGGATTGTCCTGCTGACGGACGTGAGAGTGAGGAGGGAGAAGTGCTCGTTTTTGTCGCCGGGGCTTTTTGTGCTGGCACGTAGCCCATGTTCAACACTTTGCGTCTGCCCGCGGCGACGCTTTGTAAGAAGGCGTTCTCGTCCACAATTTCCAAGCTTTTATCCTTGGATGAGATTTCGAGCAAGGGATCAGGGTCGAGGTCTTTGGAGTATTCCACCCGTCCAATCGCTTGGACACCAGCGGCAAGCAGCTTTTCACGAACCTCGACTGCTTTTTGCTCATTTTCCTCCCTCAGCTGTTTCAGCCGCGAGTCAAGCACATCCTGGTACACTTTCTTCAGTTTGGCCTTTGCCTTCCATACCAGCAGACTGTCCAAGAGCTGTTGCCAGTAGTCCGTATCAATAGGCTCATCCGACTCCAGTTTCGTTCTGATCTGTCTCTCTAACACTTCCAATTGCTCATACGTCTTTGGGGCGAGCAAGTTATCGATGTCAGAGGCCACAGAACTAACCGCCCGCCCATCAGGTCCGCCTACCCGCATCTTCTTCTGCCTGTCCTTGCAAATGATCTGCATTGTCCGCCAGTAATCTCTGTTTGTCCTGTTGGTCTCCAAATTCATGTACGTTTCGATATCCTTGCGCAAATCGCCGAGTTGCGTCTCCGAGAGCCCGTCAAAGACGCTGTTGGGGTCCATGAATTCAAGGTCCTTCTCTTCGATCTCATCGTCCAACGGATTTCTCGTAGGGTCCACCACGCGCAAGATCACAGCCAGCCAGTCTATAGGTTTTGCACGTCCTTCTTTGACTCGAATGTCGGCCTTCTTCTTTGCTTGCCGCAGCACAAAGTCGTCCTCTTGTGCCACCCATTCTCTCATACGTTCGTCCTCTTGTAGCTGGTTTATTTTCATCTGATCCTTGTGAGACCACCTCTGCTGCGGGCCATCGTCTCGACCTCGAGGCGCATCTCGTTCGCGGTAACCTTGGTTGGTGTTGTGTTTTCGCCAAGGCGGAGGAGAGCGCGATCGCTTTCTCTTCGTACCTGAGGCGTAATCACTCATTCTGGCATAAAAGGCTTTTCGTTGTAGCCAAAGTCAATTGTTGGTGCATAGGCGACAGTGAGATGCGCGCAATGACGGATTCTGCAGTTGACAAAAGTGGCCGCCTAAACTTCGGTGAAAAGTGATAAGATAACATCTGACACGTGATCACGCCAAATTGCTTCAAATACGTTACCTAGCTCGCTAGGTACCTAATGACTAGCACACCTGCATGATCATGTCTTTCGTCTCTGCTGAAAATGAAAGGCATCCATTACTATCACTGACTCCAAGCACAAGACTACTCAGTACTGAAGCTACGATTGAAGGAGAAATTCAAGGAGCAATATGAAGATTGGTCACTTGTTCTCTGTCAACAGCACAAGTCCGACAAGAAATCAACAGCTAACTGAAATAATGGCAAGTCGACTCCCTCATTGCCCGGAGCCGCGCTCTAGTCTTCTCCGTCTCCTCTCAAAGCTGCTCAATTAACAGCCTTACCCACGCCAAGTTCCTCCCCAGCGACATGTATTCCTTCAATCTGGTAAGTCTTGAAGCGACGAGTTGGAACCTTCAATTGGAACATCAAATCCAACTCTTCGAAAGTCCTCCCCTTCGTCTCAGGCAAGCAAAAGTAACACCAGGCGACATTGAACACGCCAATTCCCGCGAACAGGAACCCCAACTTACCACCCCAGTTAGCACCATTCGTGTCGAGCGCATATGGAATGGCCACGGCGAAGATGACTGAGAAGATCGTCACGGTGATATTGGACAAGGCAATAGTCGTACCACGGAGCTTGACTGCTGATGCTTCAGACATGACCGTGAAGCAAAGCGGCCCCACGGACAGATCGTATAAAAGGTTCGTAATGACCATCAACGAGCACATGCCCCAAACAGGACCGGAGTTGGTGTGAGGGACGGCGCCGAGAATGCCGATGATAAAGCACATGGCTCCAATAGCCGCGGTTCCCCAGATGTATATAGTACGACGACCAGCATACGAGATGATGACGTACGACGCCAGAGTGCCAACGAAGCCCATGCAAGTCAGGCCGATGTTCATGGAAAATGCATTGGAGGCGTTGAGTCCTGCGATCTCGAAGAAGTAAACCGCATAGTTGATGAACAAGATGTTACCACAAAGTGCTTGAATGTTGAACACCTGGCAGGAGATCATGGTGCGGCGGAGGTTCGAACCTCGGAAGCATTGCCAGATGCCGATCTTCTCTTCACTACTCTCCTCGAGGCGCAGAGTTTCCTTGATGTTGGCGAGCTGACAGTCGATGTCGACTCCACCGGTCGTGAGACTCTGTAAGGATTTTTTGGCCTCTTCGTCACGGCCATTCTTGCAGAGCCAATACGCTGGTGTGGGGAGGAAGAAGACCATCGCCAGAACAAAGACAGGTAGAATCCATTGCGTGGCGAACTTCAAATTGTCAGAGAGCCGTACTGATGTAGACAGGCACGAAGCATGACACTCGTGCTAGATTGGAAAGGTCTTTCGGAATAGAGAGTACTTACTGGGATCTTGTAAGACCACTTGTCATCAATGGTACTCGTGCCCTTGAGCATGCCCGAAGCCAGAAGCTGTCCAATCACATACGAAATGTTGAGCAATGCGGCAATGACACCGCGAGCGGCCACAGGGGCGACTTCGCCAATGTATGCGTTGGCCAGAACAGGGTAGGCGCCGAGGACCAGTCCATTCAACAACTCGCCGACGAAGAGCAAAGCCGGACCTTGGCTGAAGAATTGGAGAAAAATGAAGGCAATGGAGCCCGTTGAGGCGGCCGCTAGAGAAATTCGAGGACCGAACTTGTCGTACGCCATACCGGCGAAAAGAGAACCGGGAATTGATCCCACCATGGAAGCGTAGTTGAATGCAGACAACCATGCGGGCGCGACATGGTAATCTCCGTTCACCAGTTTCCCGTACGTTCTTGTGAAAGGTGACAACCCAGCCAGACTTCCGATGAGGGCGCCATCGAAGCCGCACAGGATCACTGAGAGATTGACAAAGAAGGACCATAGGAGAGCGGGCCGGTAGAGTCGACAAGCTTGCCAGAATCCAAGACTGTGCTCGAATCTGGTGTGAGCGAGAGACTTCTCAGCTTCGTTGAGGACATGTACGTCTGCCGCAGTCACGGACCCGAGGTCGAGGTCGGTCTGAGCCAGTCCCTTGGGCTTTTTCAGGTCTGTTGCCATGTTTGATTGAACGAGGGACAAGCTATGGGATTTTGTCCTTTAAGCTTAGATGCCAAAGGTTGAGGATGAGGTTGCTCGATACCGCAAGATTGGTCTTCCAGACGACCGACCCTAGGTCTTATAGCCATGCCTTATCTCGAGTGACAGCATACCAGCGCCTGGACTGGGCTCATGCTATGTCCTTTTGGGGTAATCTAGCAGTCGGCGCGCAAGTGGCATTGGCATTCATCAAGCTGCACCATTCTGAGCGGCCATCGAGAGTTTGCCTCTGCGACTTGTGGCTAGACCAGGCCTTGCTGACCAGTCGCTGCTCCTGTTTGGTAATATCTGGAGCTATATGGGAGGGACATTCGCCAGGCGATCGGTCCGCCGGCCGCGTTGTTATCGCTTCATACCTCTCCCCCACGTTTAGCATATCAATGGTCGTGTGCTTAGAAGTGGTTATCAAATCGAATAGAGAGGGAAAATCAAGGTTGCTGCTCAAGCTTTGAGTACTCGTGTCGACCGATTCTTGGTGCCGCCATTATGGAGCTCTTAAGGGGTCCAGGACTGTCCGTACCAAACCGGATCTGGGAATAATAACAGTCAAAGATATCCTTCATTGCTTGCATTGCGGAGATAGACGGCCATGACAAGTCAGATGATGTGACTAGCCCATTCGGGTTCAAATAGCAGTCCAAACCTGGAGAAACAAGTGGTCTCTCGTTGACTCTGTAATGTCGTGGCATTCCCATTGCGCAAAGTCAGTGCTCTGCGCAAATGCGAAGTCTTGGTGGCATCATATATAATAGTGGCGCCGACAGTGTTGCCTCGTCGGAGGAACATCCTTATTACCAAGTCCGAAGGGCAAGATAACCGGCATAAAATTCATCATGATTGCAACGCCTCAACCACCTCAATTGGTGCAGATCACCCTCTCGGCAGAAGAGTTGAAGAGCAAACAAATCTCTTCACACAATCTTCAAAAAGCTATCGAGGCTCTACACCGAGATGGGGCTTGTGCCATTGTGAATGCCATTGATCCGGCTCATCTCGACAAGATGAATACTCGCATGGTCAAGGAGGCCCAAATCCTCTATGACAATCCGAACACTCACCGCAACTTTGGCTCCCGAACAGGCAATATTCAGCAAGAGCCCGTGGTCGAGCCTGAGTACGTCTTCGACGACGTTGTTGCAAACCCCTGGGCAATTGCAGTGACGGAATGCATGCTCGGTCCGAACCCACATATGAGGTTTTATAGCGCCAACACAGCGTTCAAAGCGGACAGTCGCCAGCCAGTACATGTGGACGTGGATTTCGATTTCCCCAAAATACCCTTCGGTTTCTGTATCAATGTAAACCTCATTGATACCTCGCCAGAGAATGGTGCCACTGAGATCTGGCTCGGCAGCCACACAGACTGCGATCAGGACACCACAGCGGAGAATGGGGAAACGGGCGTACGCAAAGACTTGCGCGAGAAGCGCCGTAAAATCAGTCCTCCTCTTCAATCATCGCTACCCAAAGGTTCTCTGATCATCCGGGACTTCAGATTGTGGCATGCTGGAATGCCCAATCAAACGGACGACCCGAGGGTTATGTTGGTGACCATCCATTTCCCAGCATGGTATCGGAGCAACCAGAAGTTCTTCTTGCCCAAGAGTATGCAAGGGAAGATCAATTGGGGACGTTTGGTGCCGTGCGTCGAATGGGTTGACGAGGATTATGATTATCTGCAAGGACGACACGATCATGACTTCTCATTGCTGCCTTAGCTGATGATATAGCCTTTCGATCGAGGTTGTGGGGACAGTATGACGATGTTTTGTCCATGATGGCAACGCGAATTCCTCAGTATATTGCACTAGCCAAGCTCTAACTCTCTACCTCTTTGCTTCAAGACGTCAATGCAGTCGATTTTGCAGACCTTATCTGCACCATGGAGAGCTTCTTGATCTTTTCGAGACCAGACTTCTGCCATTGCTCGTTTTACTCGTAGCAGCGAAAACAATTTTCGTATATGGAACATGTCTTGCAGTCGCCGAGCACAGAAATCCCTATCGGAGGGGCTTACCGACTCGCAGCCGGCCGTAAAGATCGGCCAGGCGTGGACTGACATTAATGGCGACGTTGTTGATACGCCTCTCAAGGCTTCAATGCAGCATCTGACGTGCTGTAACGTGAGGGGATGAGGAGCGCCAATGTTGTAGATAACACGGTAAAGGTAGATGAAGGCAGCATGACGAAAAGCCTCGGCTGTATTGAGCCAGTCCGGATCGCCCGAGGGTGCAGTCCAATGCCTCAGTTCAGCTTCTAGCGACGAGCCAGTGGCAAGGATGGCCGAGTCAACCGATGTTTCCTCAACACCATTGGCCGGAGTTTGGCTCGTGAGGTGTTTCCGTGGTTGAAGCGTGCTTATCTGTGATATGATTTCTAGCAGGGTGCCGATATTCCCTAGAAATGCATCCGAGTCTGCAGCTGGTGCATCATTGTGGTCAAGGAGCGGGCGGTCGCCTCGAGTGATGGAGGACATGACATCGTGATATCTGAAGAGGCTTTCAAGAAAGCGTCCGCACGAGTTCGATCGAGCTGGCACCTCGCGCCTCTTCCTGATTATGCATGTTGCGCCCGCCAGGTGATCTGCTCGCGGCTCCTGGTCTGAGGCAAACAGCTGGCTCAACTGCATCATCAATACCGATGCGAGAGTGCAATCCGAGACTGCTTCGTTCTGACTGCTGAGTGCTTGATTTAAATGGCGAAGGGCAAGGCTCTGATAGTATAGGATGTGCTTCTCTTGCCCTAGCTGCCCGGCAAGAGCAGAGAGGTGTTTCGCGGCGCAGAAAAGAATAGTATAGCGCAGCGGACCAGCCATGAATGCCATAGGAGTCAGGTACTGTTGAAACGGATTGTATTCAACATGGGATGTGACAGATAGCAATGGAGACAAGATTGTGGTCCAATGATACAAGTACTTATAGTCTTCAAGTTGCATGTCTTGTGGGATATTGGACACTCGTCTCGGAATTACCTCAAGGCAACCCTCGGAGGTCGAAGAACCAGTGATCGATGCTGTGCTGCACTGAGATGGCGTGGCGGAATAGGCCCGTTCTTTCGCGGCCGGAGAGGCTTTGAGGGTCTTCTTACGCTTCTTGCCTCGTCCACCAGATTCGGGCGTTGCGGTATCTCTCCACACAATCCTTGGGCCATAACCCTGGCAGGTAATGCTTAGTCGTGTGCAGCGTCCACATTGGGGCTTGCATTCATCGCACTTGTAGCCAGCTTGCCGACAGGTCCAGCAGCCGGTTTTTGTGCGCGTCCATTTCTGTCGTCCTGGTATCATCAAGAGTCCTTCTGAGATTCTCCTCCAATTGCAGATCAAATAACAACGAGTCTTGGAAGTGCTCAGCCAGCGATGCAGATGGATTGCTCGATTGTCCACGAAATCACATTTCAATATGCGTATGTCGCCACGAAGTATGAGCGATGAAAGTGCAAAGAGAAAGAGAAGAAGTCCATGATGGACGAAGTGGTAGAAGTCGATGGCTGCGCCAAGCTCGAGCCTATGGACGTTCTGGGCCCTTGTTATCCGTAGGTATGTACACGTATGTACCACCGTCCAAATCACGGATTAATCCGCCACATTTCTCAGATGTAGGATCTTTTGAGTGTCCAAATACGATGATATCGGCACAAGGCTGCTGCTTCAGTGCATGCCATGAGCTGGCTTACACAATTTCAAATTGCAACGGTTGAGGATCACACCACCAAAATATAGCTCATAAACTCATATCTCCTACAGCACATCGTACACAATACGACCCTTGACCACAAAGATGGCATCCAGACGACTAGATCCAGCTGGATGAATAGCTTGGTGACGCTTTGGCACTTCGCCCAAGGCGTACTTCGACCCGCGATATGTGCTTCGGCACAGGCTCAGCGCCTTGAAGATCGTCCTCGTCTGCGATCAACCTTGACAGGGCCGGGTCTCTCGTCACTCTCACAATTGTTGAGAAAGAACTCGTGTAAGAGGCGCCATTTTGCAGCAGTGCACGAATACCCATCAAAATGCAAATCAACGCCAACCCTGCACTGATTCCGTATGCAATAAGCAATGCTCGAGGCTGATAGACGAACTCAGGCTCAAAATATCTACTGAGAGCCAGCGTAGAGATCTGGTTCTCACCGACTTGTCTACAAGCCAATCAGCAAGACTTTGGCAATCCAGGGCAATCATCTTACCCATTCACGACGCCAAAGAGCATACTGAGGGTCATGTTCCGGAACAATGCTTCGCTCAGCGATATCTGGCGTTCTGTAAGTGAGGTCTGATCCATTCCCTCCTTGGCCGGATACATCGCCTGATTCAATTGCAATGCGTACACAGAGGTGATGCTCATTGAACCATCAAATCCGAAAGTGATGGGACCTATGGTCATCATTCCGAAGCCTTCCATTACCGCTTGCATATTCATCTGACGGCTGACCAGCGGATCTCCTGCCACTCCGTCCACGATAGAAAAGGCAGGCATCCAATTCTGGAATGTTGCGGACGCTGTAACTTTTTGTGTGCCCGTACTATTTACCTCGAAATGTGCTGCATAAGAGGCGTTGTAGAGAGCACATGTGATCATTTGTGCTGATGGCGTGCCGACAAAAGGCGCTGGCTTCGCTGAGGAATCGACACCCGTGGTGTTCAGGTAGATGAAGAGCTTAGCTGCATCTTGAGACACCACATCCAACCGGATGTTGCCAAGCTGAAGGTTGTCCGAGGCAAAAAAGGATCCATTCACATTCGAGTCCCAGCCAGCCTGCGGGACCCAGCCGTAGTAGAAGACACGGGTGCTTGTGCTGTTTTCATACTCGGCTATTGCCTGCTTTGCCAGTTCAAGGTCTTGATCACTGGAGCGATTACAGGTCACTGCAGGGCCAGAGAATTGAATATCGTATGTGACATTTGTGTCCGATGACTGGACAGGTACGACTCCATTGCCGAGCAGGGTAGCCATGGTCGGGATAAAGAGGCCCGTAGCTAGCTCGACGTAAGAGGTGGTATTGCCATCGTCGTTTGTTGCGTAACCGCAGTAGAGATCAGTGTTGGTAGTGTAAGCACGTTCTCCTACTTGAAGAGTTTCGTTACTGGAATGCAAAACAGCCTGCACTGATAATGTGCCAGGTGTGAAGACGGCCGAGATGGGCAAAAGCCTGCAAGAGTCAGGTACTCTTCGGTGGGAAAAAGGGGTCGAAGAAGCTTACCAAGTCACAGCGGCGATGAAAGCTAAAGCTGGTTTTCGAATCCAGATCCGTAGGTGGAGGAACTCGAAAGCGTTTCCGAGAATTGAAAACATCGAATCTAATGAGTTCATGTCGTGAGACCTTGCATGCAAGTCGACCCACAGACACTGATCATAGGCGACTCCTGTCCCAATGGCTAGGAAAAGTCTGGCCAGGAAAGCCAGTGCTGTCCCAGCGCGGCTAGCCCATGATTGTAGCAGGGTGCTGCTCGCGGGTTCACCCTCCATGAGCAGGTAAAAGCCGTGATGAAAGCCCATCAAGACCACAGCGCTGAGGAAGCTGACGCCCATAACAGTTGGCGCTCGCCAGTGTATATGAGCGAATCTTTGAAAATCTTTGATCTCGCTGACGACCACATCTTCGGCTCGTTTCTCAAACATCACAATCTTGAACTCGTATGCGTGGACAGTATGCGCAAGTGTGAGAAAGGACTTGGGTTAGACGCTTCCCCAAAACCTGTCAGCGAAGGGAGCACAAGACAGTATCTTCAATGGAATGAGAGACGCTGAACCACAGAGCAAGTCCTCCGATAGAAAGAAACGGTGCCGAACGAGTTTTGTTTCCAGATCATATACCTCTTTTGTCTATTTTCGGAAGCATCCAGACCAAAACAGCCGCCAGGTTGAGACCGACTTCTGGCGGTTGAGTGCTGGAAGAGAACTGGTTATCTGGGGGCGAAAATAGGTCCCTTTCAACCCTGATACCATAGTGCCGGATCCTTGACAAGGGTGCCAGGCAGACAACGTGCGGAAACAGGTCATGGTATTGTCGACCCGATGCGTGTTCTAGCTAAGCGCCAGACACAGTCATCCCTTGAAACATGGCCGTCCAACCAGTATGGCCTGCGTCAAATGCCTCATGCATGTAGTCGTCGTTACTTCGCCTTCAGAATCCACTGCTCCCTACTAGTAGCGACCGAGAGGAGTGCCGGCCTGAATGAGTTGTCAACCTCAAAAGGGCTGTTCGAGTCCGATAAAGAGGGAGTTGGAAAGAAGAGTTGATGGTGTTGGCGATTGAGAACGAAACACGGCCAAGACCAGACGGCGGGTGGCTGCTCTGATTGGCTACGCTTAAGGCCGTGGCTTCGACGTCACTTTGGCTGTCTTTGTTGATTCTCGTGATTCTCGAATCTGTCAAGCATTCTCTCTACTCCGTACAGCTTAATCTTTTCAATACCACCCTTCAGAGTTGTCGGCTGCTATGTGAGAATGCCAGAGTCAGCAAATGAAGGCTGGCAAGAGCTACAAGTGCCATCTCGACGACAATGTCCCAAGCTCTTCTACTCCTTCACTACGCAAGATGAGTCCATAACGCTCTTGCTAACTGACCTGATCTCCATCTGGGAGAGCACCCTTGACAGATACGACATCCTGAGTGATGCGGCTCGTCAGCACGCGAGCATCGACCCATCTGTGTCTGCTGATCAATTCGAAGTCCTTCTATCCAAGATCGGCAAAAGCCTAAAGGATGGTGAAAACATTCTCTCAAAGCAAGAACTCCGGAATTCACAGTTGCTGATATTGACCACCAAAATTGACCTACCGAAGCCGCTGAGACCGCTGGAATGGACATTCAAGCTTGCTCCGCAAGATGCCTCAGAGCTGGCGGAACGCATCCTCCGGCCAAGTCTCCACGAGGTCGCGGTTTCCCAGGAGAAGATCAAGTCTTTACTTCGAGCCATCAAGGACAAGGACCACGTCATATCTAGGCTGCTCGAAAGAATAGGGAGCTCTTCCATCGACCTGGGATTGGTGTTCCCTGGCATCACTGGAATGGCACGCAGAGGGGGGCAAGTCTCCGTGGAGGATGCCAAGAAGCATGTTCCAGGAATGGCGGCATTCGATGAGAAGTCCTGGGTCAAACAATTCGCCAACGATGAAGGCTATGAAGGTGCCGATCGTACAGGCTTGGGGAACCTGGTCCGTGGTTGCGAAAAGTGTTTCGCCCACACGAAAGCTGAGCATGAAGATTGGGTCAAGGAGCTCTCTTCGCCTGATAAGCGGACCAAAGCTATCAATGTGAGGAATGATGAACCCAAGTTGACTAAAAAGGATATCCGTGGCGAGACTGAACAACGCAATGACACGACAGACTCGGACAACGATTTTGAGGTAGGTGACCATACTTGGCTTTCTCGGTTGCGAGACTAATAGCAAACAGCGACAACCTACACCGCCTGGACTCAAATCCAAAGGTCACGGGAAGAGCGAGCCGTCACCACCGCCGAAAGGAGAAGATGACGACGAAGAACCTCCCGTCAAACGTACCAAAGCCTCCAAGATAGGCGGCTTAGGTCGACGGAGTGCCACCAAATCTTTCGGCTCAACCGAGTCGGCTCAACCTTCGTCACCGCTTCGCCGTCGCTCCGACGCGTCGACTTCTACCGCCACAGCTTCAGAAGACGACGAAGACGACATCAGGCCTGCAGTCAGACCCTCATCTAAAGAGCGCAGTCTCAAACCCAAACTTGGTGCCTTGAGGAAAAGGCAGCCTGCCAGAACTTCACCGTCAGCCAGTCATTCCCCCAAAGCCTCATCACCACCAACAAAAGGCCCCAACAAAGATCAAGTCCGCCCTGCATCCGAGTCCTCCGACGAAGACGAAGCATCAGACCTAGACGGACGCCATTCTCCTCCACCCGCCCAAACTCCATCGCGCCACCGCCTCGGACAGATCGGCCGCAAATCCGCCACAGCAACACCAAGCAGAGCCAGCGACTCATCTCCTCCGCGCAAAGACAAAGGTAACAATTCAGCATCACCATCACCATCGCAAGCCACGCCCAGGCGCAGACTCGGCAAACTAGGCGCGCGCAAGCAACGAAATACCCAGGCACACCCATCGTCCGCGGAACCTGAGCCGTCACCCCGATCTTCCAAGAAGAAGACCAGGTCAAAAGCCAACGATGACGACTCAGACGCTACGAGTTCTGCGGCCTCGTCACCGTCACCGTCGCCATCGCCATCGGGCAGGAAATTAGCCTCACGCCCGTTGACCAAGAACGAGTCTAATCCCGAGCCCGAGCCTGCACAGCCGAACCCTGAAGAACCCGAAAAATCCGAGAAAGAGGAGACAGCTGAAGAGAAAGCCAACCGGCGGCGCATGGAATTGAAACGTACAATCGCAGCGAATGCGGGCGCGAAGAAGAAGAGACGCTTCTGAACCTCTCGCCCTCTCTGTTGCGCCCCTGGCATAGCATCTCAGCACACGGGCACCAAAGATGCTGTCTATATGGAGTACACGAGATGTCAAATGTCAGTGTCCAGGTTTTAACTGATTGCTAAGCGGCACAAGCGAGAATCAGTCTCATCAACCACTCATAACAGCACTTTTCTATCTCAAAACTAAACACTTTGTCGCTTGCTAAGTAGTTCTTGTTGTCTCAAATGAAAGACCACAGCCAGTGGACAATCTTCGTGGCCTTAGAAACCAAAGCATAATATCCTCGCTTCGCCTCCATTGTGTTCGTTGCATAAGCTCTTGCTCTCCTCGGATTCTTTTTCTGCTGGGTCCAATTTCCAATCAATTTCTTCCGTTCTTTTCGCCGCGAGGCTGGTGCTCTTCATTAATTTTAGATCCGAGAGAAAAAGAAAAACATCCACTGCAAATTACCTCCTTCGTCGTGATCGTCACGGTCGTCGCAAAGCTCGTAATTTCCGCTCTCCATCCTCGTCTCAAGTCCTCATTTCGTGATTGCTTTTGCTCCTGTCAACCTTCACCAAAGAGTCCCCAGAATTATGTGCAAGAAAGGTCCAACAGAAAGCCCGAAAAGGTGAATGACACCACCACATATAAGCCAGCTCTCATCCACTCTCGTCATTCGTCTCAATCATTCTGACAATATCCATTCAAGGATGTCCAGGTGGCTTTCCAGGGTGCCCGTTTCCGTGGTCTTCACGAGAATCTTCTGATCTTTGATCCTGATCCCGATCCCCAATAGGCCAAGCCGACCGTAAGTTACTGCTTTGGCTGAAGTTGACCCTTTTGTGACCCCTACCAGCCGATTTGTCCCTCTTCCTTGCCTGTTCAAGTTCTTCTTCACTCACACTGGCACTATCGGCCTCTGCATCTTCCAAGGCTTTCTTCGCCCGGATTCTCAGCTCGGCGGCCTCTGCGGCGGCTTTCTGAGCCCGGGACTGTTTGCGCCACATACTCGCATATTTGCCTGCAAGGGCAATAAGCTCCTCATGCGTGCCCCTTTCAACCACGGTACCGTGTGATAGCACCAAGATCTGGTCTGCATTGACAATTGTGCTCAACCGATGAGCAATAATCAGCATGGTCCGTCCCTCGGCTAAAGTGTTGAACGACTCTTGGATCTTTTCTTCAGTCTCGGTATCCAGAGCAGCTGTGGCCTCATCAAGCATCGTGATACGCGGATTCTTCAATATCGTCCTCGCGATAGCCACTCTTTGACGCTCTCCACCCGAAAGGCGAACTCCTCGTTCTCCGACTTTTGTGTCGTAACCATCAGGGAACTCCATTATCCTCTCATGGATTGAAGCGGCTTTACAGGCATCAAATATGTCATCATCGGTAGCTTCTTGGTTTGCGTATCGAAGGTTGTACATGATCGACTCATTGAACATATTGCAGTCCTGTGGGACCACACCAATAAACCTGCGAAGAGAATCGATGGTGATATCCTGGACATCTTTACCATCGATCTTGATTTTGCCCGACTCAGGATTGTAGTAACGAAAGATCAACCTCATGACTGTGCTCTTGCCCCCACCGGACTCACCGACAAGAGCGGTTGTAGTACCTGGAGGACAGCGGAACGTTAGTCGATCAAGAGCATTCCGTCGCTTGTCGTAGCTGAAGCAAACATTGTCGAAGATAATGTCACCTGAACACTCTGCAAGTGTCTCTGCGCCTTCTCTGTCCACGACATGAGGTTGTTCCTTGAACAATTCCAACATCCTTTCTGCATTGATCAGGTTCGATTGTATCGACCTGTAAAATGTGCCGAAGAAATTCAAAGGACCCTGTAATTGTGCCATGTACGTGATGAGAAGCACAAACTTGCCAACGGTCTGGTCGCCTTGAGCGACTTCAAAGGCTTCTATGAAACTGGCGATCAGTAACGCGATCATGAAGAGTGCGCCCTGCACAGTGTTCATATAGGCCAAGGTAACGTCGACCCAGTACTCGTAACTCTGCATGACCTTGATCGCACTTCTATACCGGTTGAACTCGTAATCCTCGGCGTTGAAGTACTTGACCGTGTCCCAAGAATGCAAAGAGTCGTTCTTTACTGCTTCCATCTCTCGTTCGGCGTTGACGTAATTACGACGTAGCGCAACTCTCCACGATGCAAGGCGTATGGTGACATAAATGTAAAGGAACGTCGTCATTGCAACCACCATTCCCAGATATGCGTCGAACTTGATTGTGAGGTAGACGACAGCGACGACAAGGTCGAATACCATAGGACCGACCTGAAAAGTCACCATCTCGAGGAATGAGTTGATGGCACTACCCTTGTTCAATGCTGAAATCAGTTCACCAGTTCTTTTGCCAGTATGGAACTCTGCGCTCAGTCCGTGTACATGCTCGAATGCCGCTGTTGAAATGGCGCGATAGGAGTATTGCTCGACCGGGATCCACAGTATAGACCTAGTAGCCGATAGAATACCTTGAGATCCTTGGAGCCACCTGAACAAGATGTACAAGCCTATGTAGAGCCAAGGTGCACGAACTCCCCGACCATCGTCGCCAGATAGAGCATCGGTGATTTTCCCCACCATCAGAGGTACGAAGACGTTGATAACTCGCTGTGCAATCATGATGAGGAAGCAGCTTCCTGCCAGAAGTTGCAATTTGAGCGACTTTTTCGGCCAAAGGTATGGTATCAGCAGTACAAAGCCTCTGAGATAGGCATACCAGGTAATGTTGGGAACTTCTGTTGGTTTTGCCCAAGCATCGACTTGCTCCTTGGAATCCGAATTTGGGCCATGACCAGGTGCATGTCCGTTGGGGCGATTTCCCGCTTCTGCATCTCCGCGCAGTAAAGGAGTCCTTTCATTTTGTGATGCCGAGCACGAATCTTTGGGTTTTCTGAACGGGATCTTGATGCTTAGAAAAACGATGCAAAGGCCGACCAGCAGGATGATCCGGACGAGGTAAGCAATAACTTCGACAACTTCCCATCCCGTGATCGACTCTCTGTATTGACCCCCCAATTGATCCCCAACTCGAGGCTCAAAATGAGGGACACTGTAGATTCGAAGGCTGGCAACGGTGATGGTAATCTCCAGAGGGATGGCACAAATCCAAGTGAGGAAATGGGCAAAAGTCGGCGAGGGCTTGACATCAAGGATCGAGATGAAGACCACGAGCCAGAGGAATGTGGAAGCTATAACGTATATCTGTAACAGTCAGTATGCATCGTCGGGAGCGGTTTTGGTTCAGACATACCACTGCATTTTTGCCAGGCCACCATTCGTCTGCGCGGTTCAACAAGGTCTCAAGCAAAAGAACCCCGGCATTGAGCAGAAAAGTCAAAATGACGCCGACCTGAACGATCTTGAAGAAAGTCTTGCTTGCTGGTGGCAAGTCCTTGACTGCCGCGGCTTCCTTGACTTGATTGGCGGATTTCCGGCGGAGGGGAAGAGGCCTTCCTCCCGGCCCACGCATGGGATGGATTTTGACCTTGTCTCCATCATCAGGCGCTGTTTTGATCCCATGAAAGATGAAGGCGAAGAAGAAAACGACGAGGACGATCGCGGGGTATGCAGTCTTAGCTCCATTAAGCACCCGGAGAGACGTCTGTATAGCATCCACATCTGGTTTTCCATGCATATTCTTCCAAGCCTTTCCACCACCGAGTTTGTTTGCCCCAGTGAAAAACAGTAAAAAGCCACCCAGGTACGAAATATTCCAAGACTCGATGCTTTGTTTAAGTTAATGAGAAAGTCGACGTTGAGCAAGAGTGGCGTGCTCTTGGATGTTGCGCGTGAGTTGAACGCGGGACAAGCCGCTCGCCTGTGCTGCCTCGGTATGCTCAAGAAAACTCTGAAGATCCGATGACCGTTCGACAGCAGTTGAGTTGCTGCGACTGATTTGGGTCGAATATGAGCGAGCGACAAGATTAGATAATTACAAGAGGACGAAAAAGGAGAAACGACGAGCCCGAGTAAAGAAATAGCGACTGTGGTCAAATGAACGAAGAGATGAATGAAGGTGTAGAATGTACGTGACGGAATGACGACGTTTGAGGAGGGAGGCCTTCTGGTGGCGAGTCGGGGGCAAAGGCGACTTGGAGACTTGGGCTCTGGAGGCCAATGCTTGAGTAGCCCTGGAGGGCTAGTGAGAGGCTTCAAGATTTGACGACGGTTAGGGTTCGCTTCGCCTTCGTTGAGGGTCTGAGATCGCGCTTCGTCGCGTGACGGGGAGCTGCTAAAGGACCAGTGCCAATAGCGCGTAAGCTGAGTCGAGTATTATGCCTTTAGCGACCTCTTGACTGGCGTAGAGTGTGGTAGTGTAGGTGGTGGGGTTGCACGGTGGCACTGCTGTTGGTGGAGGAAGAACGGATCGCAGCAGCGGATGACGGGCTTCGCAGGCTAGGCGGGTCACTAGAGAAGCCGTTGAGGCCGAGAACGAAATACAAATGTCAGCTGTCCATCAGATGTGGTCGGGGCCCGATCGCAGATGATGGCAGACTTTGTATGGACAGTATAGACGTCGAATCGGGGATGTGGAGGAAGGGAATTGAGTGGGGAGAAGAGTTGGTGCTGAGGGTGTTTGACAAGATGAGAAACACGACTGCAGCTCTGACAAATGTCAAGTTTATGTGAGGAAAGGACAGTCGAGAACAAGGGGACACGAAGAGAAGAGAAAAGCATGAACCTGGAGGGTGCAATCGAAAGGAAATATATCGAACTCTGATGGTGGTCGGTACGAGGAGGCATGAGGAGATGAGGTCAATTCTCGCCAGGACACCCGCAGCGGCAGCAGCATGATGGCGGGAGACAATGCAGATGACATGATGCTGGACTTTTGATGGCATGACGGGAAATAGTCGAATAGTCGACTTGGATTGTCAATGGATGGATGGATGGAAGAGGTCGATGCAAGTTGAATAGACGAAGACGAAGGCGAAGAGACTTTCCCTCACCGCCGCGCTGAGGAAATAAATGAGATCAAGTCTGTTGTCTCGCTGTCCTGCTCGGCTTGCGAATCGCAGCTCACGCAGAGGGCTTCATGCCCGAAGACCCCTGCTAGGCGACAAATTCGCATCCGGGGGAGCTAGACACTGCATCCTTCGCAGCCCTGCCTTCTCCGCCGCAGCCTTGCAACCACTCAAGCAACCTCAACTCTCGCCCAACTCATCGCTTCGTTTCTACCAATCTGCACGATTATGCTTTGACGACATCTGACACTTGCATTTCCCCAAACGCTGCAACTCCTGTGCATAAGTCTCGACGCTCTCGCTTGCCTGCGTTCCAATGATGGCCTTTCCCGCCAGCCATGAACCCAGCAAGTCCATCCTCAGCGGCCGCCCTTCCGCACCGACCACTAGCCTCCTCGTCAGTGATAGCCGGCATCTGAGTGCATTTCCTTGATGCCGGAAGCAGCATCATGTCTGATCATCTCCCTGCTGACAATCCGAGTCTCCTTCCTCCACCCGCGCCACCATTACCTCCCAGTCGACTAGGCCCATTGCAGAGAATCATAGCACCGTGGGGGAAACACATTGGTTCAAAGTCACATGGCGGCCCAGCACAAGGCGACGGTGAACGCGGGTTGCGTCAAATCACTGGCATCCACGCATACAGGTATGAACCTCCGAGACTCTTTGTCAGTTGGTGGCTGCGGTTGACTAACGAGGCATTCAGTTCCCTACCTTCCCAGACGGCCACACACCGCACTGGTATACCGATTGCCTCGCTCGACATCAACCAATCCGGAACCCACGCCATCCTCGCTGGAAAAGAGATCCTGAAAACAGTTCACGTCCACGAGGGCAAAGTTACCGAGGACTTGAATCTTCGGGCGTCCATTAACTCCTATGCCTCGACCCATACGTCGCCCCAGCTGGACGGGGCTGCCAAGCGCAGGGAATATCTACCAGCAAGAGACGTGAGGTGGTCTACGGGTAGTTGGGCGCATATTGTAGCAACAGCCGCTACAAATGGCCGCATCGCTTTGTACGACCTGAAGGCTCCTGGTCCAAGGATTGAGCTCGCCTGGCTCCATGAACATACCGGGCAGATCAACAAGCTGGACTTTGATCCCTTCGCTGGGTATCTTTTACTGTCAGCCTCTCAGGACAAGTCCGTAAGACTATGGGATATGCGAGAGCCAAAACCAGAGAAATCACGACAACGATTTGATGTGCGCAGTGCTGTGCGAGACGTTCGTTGGTCACCACTGGAACCGTTTGATTTTGCCGTCTGCGCTGATGGAGGGGTCGTTCAAAAATGGGACGCGCGTTCTCCTTCGGGACCAAAACTGAGTATCAGTGGCCATGAAAAGGCATGCTATTCTCTCGACTGGCATCCAGACGGTCGTCACGTGATTTCAGGAGGATTTGACAAGTTCGTCCGGGTCTGGGATTTCCAGAGTGACAACAGACGACAGAAGCCGGTGTTGCAGTTTCGCGCGCCTCATGCCATCAGAAACATCAGGTGGAGACCGATATGTCGGGCGACAGAATCTTCCTCCAACCAATGGCAAAGCACTCAGGTGGCAGTATCCTACTATCATGATGATCCAAGACTTCACATTTGGGATCTCAGACGGCCACTCCTGCCTTTTCGAGAACTTGACAGATACAGCACGCCCGCCAATGATCTTTTGTGGGCGGACAAAGACTTGCTTTGGACCGTTGCGGATGATGGAGTTTTCACCCAATGGGACGTGAAGCATGCCACTCCTCTGTATAACCAACTGTCGCCCTGTGCTTCATCGTTCATGCCAGATGGGGAATATTACACGTTCACTGAGGATAGGGAAATTCGACGAGGACCGAGTCAAGATGATGCCGCCTTGGGTTTCTTGAGCATTCCCCAAGACAAGCTTAGCGGTGTTGAAGATGGTGCGATTAGTGGAAGTTTTACAGATGACGAGGGAGGACTCGAGACTACCATTGGGACTAGCTTTCGACGGCATGACAGAGGCCCCGTGTCGTCAAAATCCAATCGATCGCAGGCAAATAGCCCTCCTTCCGTGGACGATAAGCCGAACATTCTTTCTCTGGATCGAACCGTTATTGACCGTCAAGATCTCTTCACTAACGAACAAGTGGGTGCCGCAGGCTATATCCCTGGATTGGCTGCAGAGCCAAAGGTCCTCGAGTACCTAGCCTCCAACTATGCAACTCCAGCTACAGGAGACGAGAGAAAGCGATATCCAGACACAATCCTTCATCGTCTGGAGGATGCTTTCAATCAGAACGCGGCAGCTTGTGATATGGTGTCTATGCATCGCATGGCACAATCTTGGAGAATCCTGGCGGCAGTCATTATTCCCGAGCTCAAGGATTGGGCTGATGGTAACCGTGCCAGGCGAAGAGCTGATGCTGCAACACGACGACAGAACCTAGAAAACTTTCGGGCAGGGGCCAGCAGACCTGGCCTTTCTCCGTTGGCCGGACTTCCCAGTCGAAAGGGTGATCACAAGTCACGGAATCTCATGAGCAGCTTGTTTAGGGGAGTTGTGGCATCGGACCGCAAGAACTCAGGAGGCGATATGGACAGTACTTCCAATATGACCACTCCTCTTGCCAAGCCATTGCCCGATACGCCTCCTTCGAGTGGCAAGAGATGGAGCCAAACGAGCAGTGACGATAGTATTGATGAGATTGCGCCACTCCCGCCATCGATTTTGACTTCACATTCGACTGCCGCTGCCGCTGCTCGTGCTCTGATCGAAAGTCCGGAACGAGTTACGAGATCTGCTTCGTCCTCACCCGAAACAGTGAGACCCAGACAAGCTACCAAGGAGCAGCCTACCAGTGACTCCATGGCTCCGTCGAAGTCTCCCAAACACGCAACAAAACGATCACCTGTAGATTTGTCGGGCACAAGAGCTCGACCGCTTCAGTCGCAGACGCAGGAACAACGACGGGCAGCGTTGAAAGATTATCGAATACAAGCCAGGCCTGTATTCTCACTGGAAGATTCGGTCCACATGCCTGCTACAGAAACCAGGAATGAATCTGGAGAGAGCTTTGCCATGTTCTCGGCGTCAACAGATAGCTCGCACAAGGCACGATCGCTAGGACAATCATTCGACTCGCCGCGAGGAGGCACGACGAGCTATGATCCAGATAGGGGTTTTGAGCTCGAGGAGGACTCTGAAGATTCTTCTGGCGAGATCAATAAAACGAAACGGCCTACTCTGAAACAAGGACCAAGCGACCGATCTGAAGGGTGGGAAAGCCGAGATTCTGGCATTGAGACACTACTGCAGACGAAGTCCGGTCAGCGCGATGTACCACTTCAGATCCATGCAGAAACAGACAAATCAACTTGGCATGCAAAGCATGAGCAGCATGGTCAGATGCCACCTTCCCATTTCGCCACGACAGTTTCCTCGTCTCCAGATATTTTCCATTTTGAGGGCTTGTCGCTCGGCAAACCACGAATACACACTTCAAATCCGATACGGGTGACCGAGACAGATGCTGCGGCCGCCAAAGATGCTCAAAGACAAAATGCGGTCTACAGTACTATTTCAATGATCGAGCTGGACTGTGAAACATATCTTTATCAAGATTTTCGGCCCATCGACTTATCCCGCTACGAACCTAAACTTCCTTTTGCCTGGTCAGCTCTACCCTTGATCTGCCAATGTGTTTCTTTCGACCTGGATAACGGGATTGGCCACGGACAATTTGCAGCTCATCTTCTGATGCATGTACACCCGTACTTCTTTCACCCGAGCTTTCGGAATCTACCGAGTGCCAACCAGTCGGTAGCGGAGCGCCTCGCAGATAGGCTGATGACACCACAGCTCGGGCATAGGATTATTGAGGCTATTTTGGAAGGCCATTTATCCTTCTTGAATCAGATGGGGCTTTTTGAGTCAGCGGCCCTTTTGAGAAAGCAGTCAGTGGAGCTGGAATATCCCAGGCTATACAGGAGTCCGCAGGCAAGCAAACAAGCCGCTGGCAGTCTTACGGATGGAGATCCTAGGAGCTTGTCCATTGTCTGCCGCCATTGCCAAGGCCCAATGGCCCTCGGTAAGAGCGCATGTGAGCGATGTCAGCTGGTCAGATCTGTGTGTCCGATCTGCCTATCGCCGAAACACAGGGCTGACGGCGATCCAAAGCCACCCGTGAACGGTATGCGTAGCTGGGACCATGGCTGCAATATGTGGTCCTTCTGTCAAGCATGTGGCCATTCCGGACATGTCCTATGTATGACGGAATGGTTCACTCAGCCTCTCAGCGAGGGCACGTGCCCAAGTCAAGGCTGTGGCTGCGATTGCGGTCCTGGTATGACCAGGCAACTTCGCACTGAACAACAAACCAAACAGGAAGAGGAAGCCAAGCTGATACGTGGGTCCAGCTCAGGACGAATATCTACCAAGCGTGATCCTGTACGAGCTACAGCTAGCCTGGCTGTTGACAAAGCACGAGCTACACTCCGTTCCAGCTTGGATGGCGAACGGGCCACCCAGAGCAGTGATGAACGGAGTTTCACCGGTAGGCGTGAAAGTAGTCGAGGCCGTCTGTCTGGTTTGGGCAGCTCACGCAAGTCTGTACGATTAGTCACGCCGGGGGAAGAAAGCGGCCAGTCTCACTACTAGTCCTGGAGTGATTGTACTCCATATCCGCTCAAACGAGCTGATGTTTTTGAGTCGGCCTTTGACTTGACACCACTCGGAACCACTCAGCTCAGCTCCCCAGAGTCTTGTATCGCAAGTGGTGATGCCACCATTTTTGCAAAGGTGTCCTGCCCAGGCCGATGAACGGTCAGTTTTTGAGACCTAAACGAGAACGGGCTGGAGTACGTCGGAAGGTCCCCGGATAGAAAAGCCTTGTTTCTGTGTTCTTGCTTGGTCCAAGCACAAGCTGATGAAGCTCAGTGGGTGCTTGAGGTCCGTAATTGTGCGGCAGTGCAGTGCTGAAAGCCATGGGACCTTGGGTGCAGTAGTTGAGAGAGTCCTACTTCCGTACATTTTGGGATGGTCGTGGAGGTCACCGGGCGAGGCCAGTTGGTGGACTCGATGGTGTCAAAATCACCCCGCTGACCGCCAAGCCTCCCCATATTCGAGTCTGTGTGTGGTCAGGTTCTGCCCCGTTACTTCGCCTTACAGAGCAGACCTCCCTGGATCTTCCTTGGTGTTGTATCTGGGAGGCCTCGAGTCCTCGACAGCACCATCACCATCACCATCACCTCGTTGGCGACAAAGTTACTCGTTCAGTAGCATGTTGTCATGTAACCTCAATCACCGCAAAGACAGATCCGATCAGGCACATCCGGGCAACACTGGAGATCGGGTTGGTGTATACCTAAATATTGCCACATGCAGGACGGAGACTACTTGTACTTGTGTCCAATCATTGCTGCAGCAACACCATGTCGGTAACCTGTTTCAGCCCAATCACCGGTCCATCAATCGTCTCTGCCACCCTTCAACAAGCGCTACTCTACTGGCAGCCACCCACCATCTAGACTTTCACACGCAGCTAAGCCTTTGATCGTGGAATCGTGGGTCCAAACCTGACAACAGACCCAATTACACCTTTGGACTACCCCCAGGACAGCAACGCTTACGAGCTATAATCCTGGCCTCAATGTTTAGGACTACCATTCACAAGCCCACATCGACATTCCGGACTGAGATTCGGGGACTCTCTGAGTGATTCTGACCTTTGAGCAATCGCAAGCTCTCACATCAGACCTAATGAGGATGGGGTTCCTGCATCTGACCAGGAATGTCGTCCTTGATCTAGGTCAATTGGCTTGCTAAGATCCGGCTATGGCTCAACCCCAGCCAAGCTGAAGCTAGAAAAACACGCCATCGGACCAGCCTTCACCAGCCTTAGCACCGCAATGCATGTACAAGTAGAATGCAGGCTGGGCGCCGGAGAATCAAGGTAGGGGAGCTGCATTTTTAGATCTCTCGTATACTCCATACATGGTTATGGGCAAGCTCTCCGGGACATGGGCAGGTGTCGTAGATCCATAAAGCTGGGTCTGTTCCCCTTCATCCCGTCAGGTCAGTCCTCCCACGGTCTTCAGTCGCTACTTCCCACAGCCTCTCATTGCTATATTGTCTCAACAAGCACCGCCACACTCATAGGCACAATACTTCTACCCTAATCATACCCAGAGTCTCTCTTTCAGAACCAACCAACCCAGAAAAGATGCGTTTCTCTAGCATCATCGCTCCCGTCAGCCTTCTGGGCCTGGCCTCTGCTCTCCCATCCGTTGGCAAGCGTGGTGACAAATGCATTCCTTACAGCACTGCTCAAGAGCTTGTCAACGACTGGGTTGCAACCTTGACCACCCCTACCGACACTGCCAACATGCAAAACCTCCTGGCTCCTTCATTCACCGATTACTCCGACTCGATCAACTTCATCGCCGGCATCCCTCTGGGATCGGTCACCTTCCCCTCTCCTCAAGCCTACATCGCTGGCCAAGGTGCTCAACCACCCATCGGCCTCACCATCCTCAACCTCGACGCAGTGACATGTGACGGTGTCATCGCCGTCAGATGGGTTGCCACGGTGGGAGCGCAAATCGACGAAGCCAAGGGTATCTCCATCCTGCATGCAGTCCAGTCCGGATCTGATTGCAATGCTGTCGGCCCCAGCGGGTGGCAGCTGGGTCAATTGTTCACCGAGTTCAACTCTGCCGCATGGGTCATCGATATTGGCGGCACTTGCGTTTCTCCTGCAGCTCAGGCTAAAAGCAAGCTCCGGGCATGAAAGGATTGATCCATAATGATCACGCCATCTGCGAACGAAGGTTTGAGAAAAGTACCATGCATGCATCACCAACTGCGAGAGGGTTTCGAAGTATCACATAAAGCTATGCTACTAGTAATGTAATGGACGAATTTCTTTCGAGTCAGCACAGCACCTGCATTGTCAAAAACCATGGAGATGATGGACATACAGAGGACCAACAAAAGGGATGTTTGTGCAAGTAGCAGCATAACTATGGCAGTATAACTAGTCCAAGGCAGGAGGACCCAAAAATATCAACAATACTTTTCTCATTCCCATTTCAAGAATAGTAAGCCCGTGGTAGAAGACGGTGGAAGTAATACTTAGGTTGTGGTCCTTGCTCCAAGCTTTAGCCAAGTGCTCCAACGACCAGGCCTCAAAAAAGACGCCTTGCGCATCTACCATTACCGACAGTATCTTTTCCTGCTAATTGGAAAGACTTGGTAGAGGAAACGACCATCGAAACCTCAAACCAATGACGGACCAATTTGAGAAGACGGACTGCGCTGCGAGCATATCGTTTCAGTCTACCATTTCATGTCATGCAGCTACAACGAATCTACGAGTCTCATATGTGGACTTAGCGACCACTTCCAAATATGTGCCCTGGTCCTTGCACCAGCACCGAAACATCAAGTCAAGTTCCATATTCCGTCCATCCAAGACGTCCAACGCCATGCACGCTGATTTCAGAAACAAATCTTATCTACTAGTAATCAATGCCTCATTCCACACCCACAGTCGACACCAAACTCGGCTTCCCGTTTTCTGTGCTTGAAATCGCCATGGTACTCGTCAATGTGGACGAGCAAGCCGTTCTCATTGATAGGCAGGCCATGTGGACCCATCCATTCTCCCCACTCCTGGTCTCCCTGTTCACCACCCGAGGTCTTGACGCCTTTGGACTTCAACTCCTCTGTGATCGGCTCGAGATCCAGGTCGAGGTATTCGGCAATGAACTCGCCCACCCTGGTATTCTCGTGGTTGCCGACCAGTCCAGGGGCGTGGTCGGGATGTGAAGCGTATATGTTGACATCCACCGCGCTGTGGCCGTGCGTGGACCAGCCTATTTGTGCACGGCGCGAGACCATATCGGCGAACAGGTAGGACGGCGGCCAGATTGGTTTGGCGTTGATGATGGCGTCGATTTCTTCTTGTGTGTAATCGACAACCCCAAGGCCGGAAGTGAGCAGGTCGGCGAGCTTGTCTTGCTTGTCCTTCTGGGACAAAGTGGACGACGAATCGAGAAACTTGTGCCACTGAGCAGAAAGGTACTCGCCTGAGTGGCTTGCATTTGCTAGAACTTCAGGATACCACCTGTACATCGGGTACGTCTCGTGAAGTTGCCGAGCAGCTGCAAGACCTCCTGTCTCGTGGTCTGAAGTCGAGACGAGCACGCCCTCTGTGTTGTCTTCCTCGAGGAACTTCAGCACGGCGGCAAAGGCCTTGTCGTGAGCCAAGACTTCATGAACCTGCGCGGCCGGATCGTTACCGTGTCCGGCATGGTCGATTCGCGAGCCTTCGATCATAAGGAAAAAGCCCTTGTCCGACTCCTTTGTCGCGGCGGAGAGGGCTTTAAGGGCGACTTCCGCCATTTCGGCCTCGCTGGGATAAGTGTCCGACACATGCACGCGGTCAATCTCGTAGGGGATATCGGTATTCGCGAGGAGAGCGAGGAGGGGGAGTTTAACACCACCTCGGGCGTCAAGGTTGTCAAAATCCTTTTTGTTGTCGATGTACGAAAAATCGAACTTGTCCTTGGCCATGGCGACCACATCTGTACCGTCCCCGCGGCATGAACCCTCGGTCGTGTTGGGAAGGAAGTGGCAACGCCCGCCGCCTATCATAATGTCGACGACACGACCGAGCGGGTAGTTCCCGATCATTTGCTCGGCGATCAAGTCTTCGTATTCGCGGCGGTTGGCGTGTGCTGCGAAACAAGCGGGTGTGGCATCGGTGATGCGTGTGGTCACAACGAGGCCGGTCATGTAGCCTGCCCTTTTTGCCGCTTCGAGGACGGTGCCGCAGGGTGTGTGGTCTGGGAGGACGGAGATGGCACCGTTGTAGCTCTTGAAGCCGCAGGAGAAAGCGGTGGCACCGGCGGCGGAGTCGGTGATCAGACTGCTTGTGCTGCGTGTGCGTGATGAGCCGATGTGGTGTCTGTCCAGGACGAGGACTTCATCGATTGGAAGGCCGCTTGCATGTTGTCTGAAGTTCCGTGTCATAGCAAGGGATGTAGGGCCCATTCCGTCAGATACCATGAATATCATGTTGCGTTTGCCCGTTGGTCGGCCATCAGAGCCCCATCCTCCTGTTCTGTGCCGTTGGATGGATGATTCATGTTGATAGACCACGGCAAGGATAATGACAGCCACGGTGGCAATGAGGGCCCATACGAAGATTCCTATCTCACGCCATCGTGCGAATTTGTTGGGGCCTCTGTGAGTGGATTGCCCGGTGAGCAGGGCGTCTTCCTCTTCGATGTTTTCTTCGTTCGAGGAGTTGGGCGACGTCGGGCGCGCCAGGAGGGGCTCTTCGGAGCGCGTCATCGTCGGATCTCAGCGTCGAGAGATGCGGATGGATTGTAGCATCGTCGTAGAAGGATAGGGATGGAAGGATGAGATGGTGCGGACTCGGAGTCGAAGATGTTTCACAGGCTGCGTTCCAACAACCTGAAGGATGAGGAGCAGCAGGGAGGGAAGTCTTGGCGACCAATCTGGTGGAATTGATATCCGAATCTCTCTCGAGAAGCAAAGTCAGGTACGGAGTACTTGTACCTATTTAACTCAATGTATTCTACAGAGTGCAGTACACAGTACACGAAGCCTCCATCAATCTGGTATGATCTTGGATTTGACCCGCATTAGTCGATCAAGAAGTGCAACGGTGAGGTCGCAAGAAGCGGAACGCTGCGTATGAATCATTGCACCACGACTCTGCTTGCCTGCACTCTCATTTTACTCCATGCCCGTTCATCTTTCAGCAACGTTAATCTCCTTTCTTCCTCTTATCCTGGATCTGATGGCATTCCCCTCCATACTGGGAAACCATACTGTGTGACGACTCTGTACAGCCTGAGGCAATTCTTGACGATATAATGTCACAGAGCAACCTTGAATGGCCTCGTGTGTCCGAGCCGTGTTCCCTTGCAGGACTGACCATTCGCGGCAACTCACGTCAACCCCTTTCCAGCGTATACGAAGCTCGCCGGCCTTGATCAATGCCTGGTCTGACGGTACTGAGCGATCATTCTGCCGCTGGAGACCGACATCAGTCCATCTTGGTCCATCTTGGTGCATCTTTGACTCGTTTCACGGAGCGCCTGAGTGCCGTCTGAGTCTCTCATCGCATTACGCATCAGAATGATTCCAGAGTCAAGACACAGCTACCAGGCTTGATGTTTCCAAACTCAAGTTCCGTCATGAGGCTGGACTTGATAGGTAGGAGAGGCAGCTGAAAAGCGCCACTACCCGCTTCGCTTTCGAGATATGTCATGAGGCTGAATATGTGAGTCACTTCAGCGAATAGGGACTCTCACTTTCCGTCTCTCGTCAAACCGATACGAATCTCCCGTTTTCTGACGGCGGATTTGGTGTGCGAGCTGGGCATATCACAGTGCCAGCCTGATGCCATATTGGCACCAAATTGCGCCATTATAGGGGAACAAACGCAATGCAATTAAGCGAAATCCCACTGGCGACTTCATTGTTTTTATATGCTCGCAGTCCCTCTGCAGATGAGTCGATCTCCTCTTTGGTAGGTTTTGCGGCACCGGGCTGACCCCTGACCTATCGATGAATTCTCGCAACGGACGACATGGTCTGGCCTACATAAGCGCACGCATGAGGGATCAACAAGCAATGTGCGGGATTCCTTGCCACGAAATTAGACGCTGACGTGCTTCTCTGCACCCCGATGTTCGGAACGTCTCATCATCTTCATATTAGAATGCTCTAGCCAGTCCTAAGTCTTTCAGATCTATCCGACCACAAGAAGTCAAGTCCCTGACGAATGCTTGCCATTTCACCGGTTCATGTGAATGCAGTCTCAAGTTTTTCAATCATTATCCCAATACCGACGACATCAGAAGATTTATAACCCATCCTCAACCTCATGATTCATAACGCCTTGGACACCATTGCCGACAAGCTGTTCACCTTGAAATTCCAGTCGACCCACCAGCATCTTCTGTCCGGTGAGGCACCAAACGCCCGACCCAAACCAAAGCAAGCATATCCAACACCACAACAGTCAGTAGAAACTGGTTCGAAAAAGACATGCTTAGATGAGCTTGCCGTACTTGGCAGCGGAGAACCCGGCAACACCGACAGTCATGAAGATACCAGCCCAGGCCATCAACCCCTTCATCATGCTTGCTTTCATGAAACTCTCCATTGCCTGAGCATCGTTCAACTTGGGGAAAGGAACACCCTTGGGGACCGGAACACCCAGGATAGCGCACAATGGCTCCCAACCATCACGGACGTCATAGAAGAACAACTTCTCTTTGGGGACGATCTTCTTAAGGTGCTCGACATGTCGATCCCACATGGCTCGGGTTGGTCTTTGTGGTTCGCCTTCACGGAAGTATAATTCGCCGACACGACCCTCATCCAAGGCGTCATGGTAGGTTCGGAACATGCGCAGGGTTGGAAGAGGTGCCAGGATCCAGGACAAGACTGTGAGGTTTCCTTTCTCAACAATTGGTGCCAAACTGGCCCACCACTTCTCAGGATCTCGGACCGTGCAGATGACCTTGGCGTCTGGGTATATCTCCATCAACTCCTCGACGAAAGCGTTGGAAGGCAGATCGGTACAAGCGACATAACCGTCGAGCATCTCCTTTACACCTTCATTGAGTGCTTTTCGGTCGGCCTCACTCTTCACCGGTGTATGTTTGATGATATCGATCCAGCGCTTAATATGTGATTCTGGAGAGTTGAGCATTTGGGTGCCGCCATGGTAGCAAGGGCCATCGAGGAGGTATGAGCAGGCGGCGCCAAAGGATGTTGTTCCTGTTCTCGAAAGCCCAGCTCCGATGACCTGCAGGGATCGGTCGGCTGCAGGTTGAGATGCTGTCTGGCCCATGATGGATTATGGAGGGGAGGTTGTCGAGGAATGAACGTGAGTGGCCTGAGGTCGAGCAATGGTTATGTCGAAACAGGATCCTGTTGACAGCTGGGCTTCGTGCGATTGACGTTGGCAGACAGACGACGGTGTTCGACAAGCATCGCGAAGAAGGAGGGGGACAGGCAACCTTATCTCTTTTTCGAAACCGCGTCTTGTCCAGCTTGCTAGGGAGACAAATCGAGCACCTCAGGCATTCACCAATAGACCCAGCCAGCCGTGCCAGCCCCAAGCGCGACATGGGTCAGGAAGCTGCAACAACCCTGATGATAGCCCATCTCCCAGAAAGATCCACCTTGGGCGAGCTTGGACGATGCGAGTTAAACTTCATCAAGCAAGATGTCAGAAATCCTAACCGCCTTTGTGGAGATTCAAACGATCATGCTCGCTGATCACAGAACTAGGCTACCAGCAGAGTTCAAGGATACAAGCACATAATTTCCGACTTCACCGCAGGAGCGAGAATCTCACCGCTGTCCCTTTACGACATGCGCCAACGGGCTCAGATGTCACACAGGCTGCAACGAACGATCTGAGCCTCTGTTCTCGAATTATCTCCAGCGCTGGAATGTGCGCCGGTACAGGTGACACAGGCTAAGCTGCTTAGCCTTTCGGGCAACGTTATCATGAAACAGGTTCTCCAGAGTGGAAAATGATTGCTACACCAGCCACAGACCGGCGAGCAACTTGACGTTGTGGAGGTAATGTCCAATTTAGGCTCTGATTAGTGCTAGCGCCACTGAAATGCACCTCACAGAACCTGCAGAAGACTGAAAACCACCACGGGGTTGAGGACACAGTCGGCCAATGACAAGACAGCTCTGAACAGAAGTTTGTCAATGGAAACCCCCCTTCCCCTTGGGACGATTCATGGACATATTGTGCATCTCCTTTCGACTCCCGAGCACTGCTTCAAAGATCCTCCTTAGGCCGCCAGTCGCCATCTTCCACAGAAAAGGAGGCATCCGATCGGTCTCCGCAAAGACTTTTCCCATCGTACAAGGCGTATTTTGGGGCGAAATCATGATCGGCAGTGGTTGTCCGTGCTTGGCACGACCACTTGAATGAGCCCTTGATTTTGACAATGTCTGTCACCTGTGTCAGCAGTGGTCAGGGTTAATCTTGCACAAGGAACATCACGGTTTGCTTGTCAACCTGCTGACTGTTGTGTCACCGTTGCTTTGGGGGGTTTCGAAGCAAAAGCTAAGCATATGGTTGCTGACTATGGAGTACCTTTGGTGCGGGACTTCCAGGATGTTGCCGACCTTCCGATAATCACAGGATGCTAAGATACCGCGGGAACTCTTCTGATAAGGTGTTGTTGGAACGACTACGGAGTAACAACAATTCGGTCAGGGGAGTCTACTGTCTAGTTCGCGCCCAACTCGGATCCTCCTATACCACTTCAAAGCGTCATGCATCTCTTTTTCTCAGAAGAGCGCATTACAAACCGACTGCCAAGCCTCTTGGTCGCCTATTAATCTTGGGTCCTTGGCCAATGTATTCAGCTGCAGAGGGGGTGCTTGGCTTGAACGATGTCGCAGGGTTGAGCCTTCTTAGCCTGCATTTCCTGATGCTTGCAGCAAAGCGCAACTGCGTTTCGCGGACTCTCAAGTCTGGACCTCGATTGACCACTCCACACGAGGTTGCGGAGTACACGAAGGAGCATTTGGCACGTGGAAACCAGTGACCGACAGTCTGGAATGCCAACCCTGAATTGGCCCCGCCCACAAGCTTGACAATGTTGACAATGAGCTCGAGGAGTCAAAGTGCCCTGGTGTAGCAGTTGAAGGCAGTCAGCCTCTCACCAGAATACGAAGCTGAAGCCGCCCTGGCATTCTTGGTCTCATCTCAAAACAGGTTCGTTTTACCCGCATCTGTGATTGCTGAACCCCTAGCGGTGACTCATGGCCAAATGCTTACATTGTCGGCGCATATTGGCTGAATTGGCATGCCGAGTGGCATTTCGTTAAAGCTCGCATTACAGCATCCAGCGCGTTGAACAGAATCCCGTCAATCTAACACTGACGGTCCGATGAATGATGTTGACTATGCAATGATGTGCCTTCTAGGATTCAAGGAATGCATGATAATCTCGGAATACCGTCGACGCTGTAGAAGTCTTGGGACGTTGATTTTTGAAAGTCCATATCGTCATGTAGGGCGTCGGATACTTCAGTGCCCACGCCGTATAAACGATGACTTCACGACAATATTCTATCAATTGCTCGGAGGTTCAGCCGTCATCCTCTAGGATTGTTGTATCCCTTGGAAGTCGAATCGTGGGAATCTAACACGTCCACACCAGGGTCAAAGAAAGGAACATCACACTTCATCGATTTTCAACCTCAAGCAGTTTGCAAAAGTCCCGATTATGAAGCTTCCTATCAGAGTCTCTGGAAACCCAGGGAGTAATCTGATTCCCACAGCGGACTATTAATCTGTCTGGTCCAAATCCTCTGCAAAACCCGCCGTTGAAACGAGAGGACTGGAACACGCACCTTTGATAAAACCTATTCATCGGCTTCTCAGACATCTAGAGAACGTGTAAATTGGGTCGCATTGTTTCTGCTATGCCACCCACTCGAGCTCACGAACGACCCGTATTGCCTTTCCAGATCTTCGCGTGGAAGGTAACCATGATCCGCGTCTGCCTCATGCCCCTGAGGCGGACCATGGCAACGACCACGAAAATACAGCTGAATGAGCAGGGAAGCGCATGCTACTGCTTGTAATACCGAGTGAAGTCATGCTCGATGCTGGATGTTTTCTAGAAAAAGCTCAGAACGTCCAGATGCCACAACAGCTGCTGTGTAACTTACCAGCAGGAATGCCTGGTGCCGTTGGTGTCACTCTCCAAGCCCTTTAAGATTTGCAGGGACTTGTCGGTCCCCAGGACAGTGGCTGGGTCTGATTTCGCGATCCGGTTCATGTTTTTCATGGACCTCGCATCGACATACTTCAGAGACGTCTCCCTCCTTATTTCGGCTTACAGGTCCAGGATGGTGTCATCTGCCCTCCTCTCGTATATGCCGGAGAGACAGTCTGCAAGCGCGCCGACGTCCAGGACTGCAGTCATACAACCATAGCCCCCGAACGGGGTGCACACATGCACAGCATCAGCAGCCAGGAGAATTCGTCCGACCCTCATTTTCACCACGCAACGGTTATGTATGCGGAATTGGTTGGTAGCCTCGATTCTGTACTCATCGGGGTCGGGATGACCAGGCAACAATTTCTTGAACGCCACTTGTCGTCGGGTCGGATACTCGTCGTCTGAGAGACTGCCTTTGTCGCCGTGTGTCACACGCCAGAGAGACCGTTTTTACTTCGTTTCACGATCAGGCCCCAGAAATCGGGGTCAATCATATAATTGCCTCCGTCCCAACCGTGCTTCTCGAACCCGTCGTACCAGACCTATCTTTGGCATCAGTTGGGCGAATATGTAACGGGCCGACGTACATTCTGCACCAGCAAGCGACAGTCAAAGGTTTGGCCTGGTTATTCGCGCCCAAACAGCGCTTTTCTTACTGCACTTGTTGCTCCATCCCACCCAACAACATAGTCGGCGGCGAGTCTCTTCCTTTCTTTGGCATCTCCTTCTTCTGCTTCGACGTCGACTCAAGATACGTCTGCGTGCTGACCGACATTGATGACTCTGTGGTTGAATTTGACCGTTACGAGGCCATCGGCCTTCTCCATGCAGTGTCTATACATTATTCGAACGATCTGGTTGAGAGGCAGAATTGTCATACGGCCGGGATGGTCTTTGACCCACGGACAAGTCGATCCCGGTGAGTCTGTGGTCATCGCTGACTCGTCGCCAGCTGATACTGGGGAAGCTGGAAATGCTTTGCTCGCGGATGTCGTCAAGGATCCCTGCTTGGCGAAAGATCTTGGTCGCTGGCACGCCATACTGCGAGGCGCGGAGTCGTTCGTCCAGTCTATCCCATGCTTCCAGTACGAAGGAAGGAATACCGTACAGCGAAAGGAGGAGAGCGAGCAGCAAACCAGCTGGACCAGCGCCCACGCTAAGTATCTGTCGCCTTGACGAACTAAATACATTTCTCTAGAATATGCTAGCCTAACGCGCCATCAGGACATTCTTACCTTTTCAAAGGGGGTTTTCTGCTCCGTCGAACTCATGCTGTCCCTCTATTCCACAATCGCGAGTCACAAGCATAAAAAATAGGCCAGAGAATGTCGAGCATCATGTATGGGTTGGCAATTGATCTGAAGGGGGCCTCATCCGCTTAGGGTGGTAGCCTTAAGGATCTTACCTGCGTTCGGAACGTTCTATGATACGAAGGTCAGATTGTCGACTCATCATCCAGTTAGAAGTGTTGGACCGGGCAAGGTATTTGATCTTCAACGTCCTCGCATATTCCGGCAGAAGCATGACTGTAGAGAAACACGAGCAGCAATTGCGCATGGAGCCTTGCCGCGCCATCACCCTGGATATGGCATCGGCAACGGCTGGATCACCATCTCGCCCCCGAACCGTGCTTTGGGCGTCAATATTCTCCGATTCGCCTGTTTGTTCCCACTGGGTGCGCGTAGCCGTGGCTAACAAGGCCCCTGAGAAGAGTGCCATTGCCACCAAAGATCTGGGGGAAGAACAGCGAATAGAAGAGCCCAGAAGACCAAAATCTAGCTGTTTTGAGGCTTGGATGTTTCACGCGCCGCGTCAGTCAATTGACAGCGACAGTCTCAGTCCACAGATAGTAACAAACTGACAAACTGCGCCTTTTCCTGCTTTTTCACTCACTCCATACATCCATCACTCGATTTCATCCACGATCTCAATTGTAATCTGCTATTTTCTTCAAGCGTTGCGGCTGTTTTTCTTTGTTCCTTGTCAGCATCGCATCACTCTCGCTATACGCAAATCACGTCTTTCGCTGAAGGTGGCCTTTGTTCAGCAATTTCCCGAACCCTCAGGCCATCCTTGAATTCCTCCCACTCGCTTACCCACATTGGAATCCTTCCTCTGTACCACCAAATCCATCTTGTCATACATCATAACACCTCCGTTCGAGTTTTGACGTCCTTTCATTGACGACCGCATACGAACATGGCTGGCCGCGTCTGGCTTCTACTGGCTTTTTTGGCACCTGCAGTGTTTGCTGCGACAACCTGCGGTGGTGGTACTCAGTGCCCGGAAGATACCCCTTGCTGCTCACGTATGTACTGAGAGAGACCTTGATTCCCACAAAACTAATGGTGCGGCAGAGTACGGCCAATGTGGTGTCGGCGCCTACTGTCTAGGAGGTTGTGACCCCGTCAACTCCTTCTCCCTCGATGCCTGCGTACCTGCACCTGTTTGTCAATCGAAAACCTACAAGTTTGACAACCTCGATGGTGTTGTATCGAACACAAAATACTTGGGAGATGCAAGCAAGGCTGATTGGGTTTCATCTGGCACGCCATTATCTTACGATGGCTCAGTCCTACTTACCATGGCTGAAGGAACTGTTGGAACACTATTGGCGAGCACAACCTACGTTTGGTATGGAAAAGTGTCGGCCAAGTTCAGCACGTCTGCCGGTGCCGGTGTTGTGACGGCGTTCATTCTGCTGGGTGACTCCAAGGACGAAATTGATTTCGAATTCGTTGGTGTTGAACTCGAAAGTGCTCAAACCAACTTTTACTCGCAGGGCGTGACAAACTGTAAGTTTCTGAAGAGCCTGATCTTAGGGTCCATGCTGATTTGTATAGATAACAACGGCGGTAATACGACCGGCTTGTCTGACGTCCACGCGAACATGCACGAGTATGAAATCGACTGGCAATACGATACCATCACCTGGTCGATCGACGGCAAAGTTGTCCGCACGCTCGACCGAGATTCGACCTGGAACGCCACTGCCAACCGATACTCCTACCCCCAAACACCATGCCGAGTGCAGCTGTCACTCTGGCCTGGTGGTCTGTCGACCAACGGGAAAGGTACCATCGACTGGGCTGGTGGTCTTGTCCAATGGGACTCTCAGTATATGGAGAACGGATACTACTATGCCACATTCGACGAGGTCAGCGTACAATGTTACGATCCTCCCAGTAACGCCAATATCAATGGGTCAAAGTCTTATATCTTCACCGACGATACCATGACGAACAGCACTGTTGAAATCACCGACGAGAACACCGTGCTCAAATCTTTCCTGGCGACTGGTCTGAACATGACGCTCGGATCCAGCGCCTCTGCTAGTGCCAGCGGCTCTGCGAAGACAAGCGACGTTGAGACTGTGCCGGGGTTGAGTGGTGGGGGCACCGGCAACAACGGCCAGCGTGGAGATAACACTACCGACAGCAGTAGTAGCAGTGATTCAGGAAGCAGCTCTGCCAGCGCAACTGGTAGTGCGTCAACTGGATTCGTTCAGGGTGACGGCAGTGGTTCAGGTAGTGGAGCAGGTCAGCTCGGCGGCAACAGCGAGGCTGTTCTGAGAGGAAGTCTGTTCGCTGTTGTTATTGCCCTTATTGGGCTTTGCGTCTTGTAATTTGATGAGTATCTCGATAGCATAGTGGCATTTACCGGTCCTAATGGTTGCATTGAATCTTTTTTGGGTCCTGCATGGCGAGGAATCTTGAATTATATCGCTATCAATGAACCGTATGGAATTTCCAGACCGTTATCACGAGAGCATATACCCGAATGTTACTGCAAGTGATGGAGCTGAAGAAATAAGCTATTCGTAGTCTGCAAGAGCCAATCCTCGGCCAAATTATGAAGTCATCGTGATATACTTCATTTTCTCCAATTCGACCTCAACAGCATCCTTCTTTCCGTCTACTTTCCCTTATCTGTTGCATCGCCGTACAGTTAGCGGTTTGCAGCCCAAGGTAAGAGCTGGAGCATCAAGTCGAAGCAGAGACGCCCGTATGAAGAGCTGCACCTCGGCCAGGCGGTGAAAAGGCTCGAACGACCAACTTCATACAAACATCATCCGTTACACAGCGAATGTACCCTCGCTCGAGCGAGTAATTCGTCGACTTCCACATCAAGATGCACCCTCCGTCAAAAGACCTCCTCTCCGCCCTGCGACTTGCGGCTCACTATGGGCCCTCGTCAAGACAACACGTCTGTCTCGCTGCCCGCCGAAACCTTCTCGACTTCCCTCTCACCCGACTTCTATCAACGTCCATAGCTCGCGATGCTTCTCGATCCCAGCCCACTCCTCCCTCGCCCTCGCCTTCAGGCGTCCCACCCTCCCGCTCCACCCTGAACACTCGCGCCCCAAAGTCCCACGACCGGGGTCCACGTTCAGAAGAAGACACCCAAACCGACTTCTCGGCCATGGACATCCTCACAAACGCCGGCGCCGCCGTCCCCGCCACATCCATCGACGCATGCACGCACGACGGCTTCTACTTGAACAACGGCATCCAGACTCACGGCGGCATGGGCATGTTGCTGCTTGATGGCGAGGTCTTTGTGTGGACGCCCTGGGATACCAGTTCCGCCACGGCCTCGATCGCAAGCTCTACGGGCGCAGGAGGCGGTGGGTTCGGGAGTTTGCTGGATCGGCGTGGACTTTTGACGATACAGCCGAGGACTCTGGGAATACTGGGCCTGATCTATCCGAAGCCAGACTTGTTGCTCATCGGCACGGGCAGGAAGCTCTGGATGCTGAGCAAGGATACGAGGCGGTATTTGAGCGAGGAGCTGGGCATGAAGGTCGATGTCATGGATACGCCGAACGCGGCAGCCGCGTATAATCTGCTCGCGACCGAGAGAGGGACGAGTGAGGTCGGCGCGTTGATGATTCCAGATGGATTCAAGGGCCTGTAGTGGGAAGTCACGGAGTCTGCTTTTCATGCAATTGATCAAGATTCCATCTGGGTAATCAAACGCTCTTCCCATTACAAGAGCGCGCGAGCCCAATTATACTTCATACCGCTCATCATACTGAATGCCAGGAAACACGTTGAACATTTGTGGAATCTCTGCGCCGCGAGCCGGCATAACGTGCTCCAATTCGTTGCCAGATGTCGGATATCCTTGAATTGACAAGTGAAGAAGAGGCCCTGGCTCCGAAACATGGTATCGGAGAGCATCGAGTCGGAGGATCTCGATGTGCGCCACGTCTGTTACGGCTTCATCTTTTTCAAAGACAAGCAACTCATCCATGGCACCATTGACGACGGCACGAGTGTGTGGAGGAAAGTCCCAGTGAGGTGCACTTTCACTCGCCCTGATAGCTGCTTCCCGCAATGAAATGCCAGAGGAAAACGTGGATTTCGAGCACCCATCTTGGATGCGAACAAGGAGTGCTTGATTCAAGACCGAGTCCTGGGACAAGTGAGGAAGCAAAGCACTGAAGACCGGCTCCACAAAAGCAGAACGATCTTTGGGAGAGAGCGTCATGCACAGTAATTCGATCGTGCGCAGGACGAAAGCCGATTGCCCCTCGGAAAGAGTGTGCTTGGTTCGGTGGGCGTACGTCTAGACCACCGCTTGCAAGAAGGGCAAGACCTCTGGCCGGACATTTCGAGCCGCTACAACGAGTTAACCAAAAGTTGTGATGGTGGCAAGTCCCAAGCTCTCTGGCAGAACCAGTGCCGAAGTGAACAAGCAGCATGCGAATGGCGTTGCATAGAGCATGGGTGGAACTTGTGCCGGCGCGGAAATCTCCTTGAGCCACCTAGCCACAGCGTCCTGGATGAAGCCGACATCGAACCCAGAGTTGCGACTCTTGTCGATCGCCTCGGAGACCAGAGGTAGGATATGGTTGAGAGCGTCTGGCGGCTGAAAGCCATAGAGGAAGACCTTTCGCCAATGCGATAGATCTGTTTGTGCCGCATCGCGCTCCGTCAAGAGAGCTTTGCTGCGCTCGTTGGAACGATGGGTATCAAACTCCGCAGTCGTCACTTTCTCTTTCAGGACTCTCCCGTTTGCCATGGCATCTGTGCAGTCCGACTTGGCCTTCTTGAGGTCTCTTTCAAGATCTTGATTCTTCACACCAAGCTCGGCGGCTTTCTCGCGAGCCACGGCCAAGTCTTTCTTGGTTAACTCATAATTCTGGCGGTCATCGGCCGACTGTTTTCTGATGTTATCGTGGTTTTGGTGGCATTCTTGCAGCTGGTTTTTTATTCGTTCAATATCATCGTTGCGCGAGCTCACTGTATCTTGCGTCCACTTCAGATCTTGACGAATTTTTGTGAGTTGCTTTTCAGCCTCGTTCAACTCTGAACGAGCTTTCTCTGCTTCCGGACGCAGTCTCTCCAATTCTTCAAGATAGCTGTTCGATTTGATCTGAAGTCCTGCTGCCAGCTCCTGAGATTCTTGAAGTTGACGCAGGAGTGTCCGCTCTGTTCCCAGCTGGTCCTTCCAGCCCACTTCCAGCTGCTCTTGTAGTGATTTCTCTTTCTCTTGTGCAGATTGTAGCAGAAGTGCTAGGGTTGACTTTTCAGCCGCCAACGATTGAAGCTCGGTTCGTAATGACTGCTCCTTTTGCAGTGACAAATCCAGCTGCTCCTGCAGAGTTGTTTTGTCATATTCCACCTTTCCGAGCTGCTCTCTCAATTCCGCTACCTTTTGTCGCGAGGACTTCCGCTGTTGTTCCGCCTGTATCAGTTTACTTTTCCTTTCTGTAAATCGGGTCGTGAGCTCGTGTCGCTCTTCACGGAGTACTTCGATGTCGGTCTCGAGCTCAGTGACCCGCTCGCTTATTGACATGATTTCTGACTGTTGGACTGAGATCTCCGTCTTGTGCTGCCCGATTTCAGCAACAGTCTCGGAAATCTTCTCATCTTTGCCTGCGAGAGCAGCTTCATGCTCACGGGAAGCGTTGCTAAATTGGTACTCTTTACGGATGATTTTTTCCTGGACTTGCGTCGACCTGACTTCAGTGTCGGCGACGGTTATTTGCTCTTCGTGCAACTGTTTCTGGAGTTCTTGGACCTTGATCGTGAGCGCCGCCTCAGACATCTTGGTTTCCTGCTGCTCTCGCAAAATGCTTAGGACCTTGTCGTTCGATTCCTCTCTCTTCCGGACATAGTCGCCTCTGGCCAATTCTACCTCTTTCCGGGCCTTTTCTGCTAGTTCACGTTCTTTCTGAATGTGAACGGCCACCTTCATGCTAGAGTACTTCTCCTCAAGTGTCTGCTCCAGTTGGTCCCTAAGTTCGTCTCTTGAGGCTTGCACTTTGTGGACTTCATCTCTTTCTTTCCACAGGGATAGTTCCAGCTCTCGAGCTTTTGCCTCTGCCTTGCTACTGCGTGTCAACTGCAATTGCAAGGCCTCCCGTAGATTCTCAATTATCTCAGATGTCGCCTTCTGATCCATTTCTGAGGTGTCGTACTGCGCTTATTTCAACGTCCGAGATTGAGTTGATTCTTCATTCAAGTTGTCGTAGGTCTCCAGGGGTTTCTGATTGGCCTTTTGTCAATCCGCGAGCTCGCTCTGTAATCGTTGGACCTCTTCAGTAGAAGCAGCGCACTTCAATCAAGAAGTGGGTTCATAAACATATATCTAGAGTGAGAATATTTGCAGAAGCAAGATGATGGGTTCTGCAATGAACGGATGGAGGAGGGGTAAAAGGCGCAGGCAGCGATTGTGTTTGTCTGCGGTGAATAGTACCTTACTCACCAAGGTTCGGTAGTGAATCAAACAATGGCATCACAGGCGCCTCCATGCCATTCCTGCTATTGTCAAGCTCCTTGATCCATCTCGCCGTTGTCGACCGCCCCTGTCAACATCGATATCGCCCGTCCCTTGCGGTAATTATGCCAGATACACAGGATTCGTCAGTCCCAGCAAAGTATCCGAAGAATTCCTCACTTCAACCCTGATGAACTGCATGTTTGCCACGACCTGTTCAATCTTCTGCCCATCCACAACGGACACGTTCCTGAAATATCCTCGTTCACTGACCCAGCACGCCTGCGCTCCATCGAAGCCCTTGCCCACAAACCGTGCGGTCGCGTTCGCCCCGTCCAAAGCGATCGTTTGACCCATCGCCGCCGCCCCGCCAGCATACAACACCTCAAACTCGATCTCCATGCCAGGACCTTCAACCAAGTACACTCGTCCCTTCTTCACGGCTCTAACTATAGCCGATTGACTCTTCTCCTCCTCCACCAGGACCACACTTGTTGGTATCCCGACCATGTCCGGGAAACTGTGCGCATCACTCCCACCGATGGCGGCGACTTTCTTTCCATTGGCCAATTCGCCCTGCCAGAATTTGACTGCACGCCCGTCGAGCTCGTCATACCGCCCATTCCACACCTCAATAGCCTGATTGTGCTCCCAATCGCCCATGGTCCAGTCGCAGCGGGAACAGTTCGTGAAGGGATGATTTATCGAGACCACGCCACCACTGTTGAGCACCTGTGTTGCCGCGTCGGCGAACCCGCCATCGTTCGAGGCATTCGTATACCGCCAGTCGACTTGCTGTCCTCGCTCGAGGCCGATGGCTTGCCAGTGCCCGAAACGCGTGGTGACTTCGATGGCGCGGCAGATCAGCAGCTCTGAGGCGTTGGCCGGGATCCACCGGGCTATGTCGTTGTTACCGCCGTCCGTGTTATGCTCCGAGAAGAAGATGAAGTCCAGGTCCTGTGCCAGGGCGTTGTTTATCTGTTGAGAAGGTAGGTACCTGCCATCGGAGTAGATGGAGTGCATGTGGAAATCGCCGCGGAGCCAGGTTGGAGCTGTCAGAGGGCCTTTGTACATCGGAGGCAGGGATGGAGACCATGGTGTAGCATTCGAGAGCGTGTGTGACAGCGAAATGTCGAGTTTCCAATCGATGCCTGAGCGGTTGGTTGCATAAGGGCCGAGGACGACGTTCCATGTGCCTGGGAGGATGGGGCCGGCATTCTGCACGGTTTAGACGAAGTTGAGTGGGAAGGAAAGACAGGAACGACTTACATAGCCTGGCGTCGCGTCTGCGGCAGAGATGGTAAAGTTATATCTGAATCCGCCTGACCAGCCGCGCGACCCAGTGTATCCAGTCTCCGCATTGATCGGGGCATAGCCCTGCGGGTCGAAGATTCCGAGATCGAGAGAGTTTCCGGCACCTTGGTAGGAATATGTCTGGTTCACGAAGATGGAACTTACAGTGGGAGGAACCTCGAAGGGGACGTATACGAAGCTGAAGATCTGGCTGGGCACAATATGGCCTGTCAATGTGAGGCCTGTTGGTGGTTGGGCGAGCGCATGCTGGAAGCGTAGGGACATGGAAACCCCAACCAAGATAGCTGCAAAGGCCGCCATTGTATCACGTACTTGAGCGTGGAAACAAGATCAATACCTTTGTGCTTTCTATCCTACCTTGGATCCGGGTCGACATTGACCTTTAATGGGCTTTTCCTTGACGCCTTTCGCAAGAGACGGTGTGAATGAGAAGACAAGATTTGGAAGGTGGATGAGCAAAGCCTTTGACTTACCAGTGATCGTCATTCCACGTGCAAACCATGGGAACCACCTATTGGAGTAGTTCTTGTTTCTCATTCTTAACATCCCTTGGCACATCACGAAAGAGATGCGTGGATGTCTGCCTGAATCCAAGAGGCACAATGTACTGAGTAGCTTCCGACGGTGTTGCGAATGACATATTATAACGCGAACTGTTCCACATTCCAGGTTGGGGGTATCATCCATCGTAGCATCATAGGGTCGTCGGAAATCGTCCAGCGTCGATTCAAAGCTCATCATCTTCATCCTCGCTGATCGTCTCCCACTGAGCCTTGGCCTCATTCTTGACTTCCGGCTTCACGGTGTACTCCGTCTTGACCTCTTGCTTCAGCTCAGCTTTCACATTCTCCTCCTTGACCTCATTCTGGTAGAAGTCTTCGCTTTTGACGATCCCCGAAAGAAGATCACGTCTGGCGTGGTAAAACCGATCCAAGCACTCTCTTCTCTCAGCCTGTGTCCAACTCTCAACGGTTAGCGCAAAGGAAACAACATCGTCATATCCTGCCCAGCGTGCCATGCTGCAAAATTGGCGCTCCATCACAGGCGTTGGAGGTTTGTACTTGTAGCGTATCTCGCCATCTGGTGTAACGATTCCGGCACTCGTGTAAATGTACTCCTGAGCTTGGGACTGAGATTCATCTCGAAACACCTTTGTCTGTTGCTCTGCAGTTCCCCAGTCCGCCCCTTCTTCAGCTCGTTTTGACAAGTATGCTTCGACCTTCGACGTTCCGATCACCTCACTATTCTCGTGAGTATAGGAAACACCCACCGACGAAAGAATGGCTTGAATTGGATCGGTCTTTCTTGGTGCGTCATCTGCTCGAAATGGTGTCTTGCCACGACGAGTCTTTTCTTCACCAATAATTTCTGCCGCTAATTGAGACATCGCAGCGTGTTCTTTCTCTTCAGTCTTGATAGAACGGTCTTCGTCTTTGACCTCTTCATCGGACTCCGAGTCCGGCTCGTCAAGCTCCAAATTCGCCACACGAACGCCTGCCTTGGATTCGGCGACATTTGTCTTGTTCACAATATCTCGCAACACTTGATTTTCGTTTTGATAGGCAAAAAGGTTCTGCAATCCGAATATTTCGCCTTTCTGGTCTTTGCGGTCTTGAACACCTTGGAAATAGCGACGCTCCGATGTTGCATTGTAGCCAATGTTGGCTTGCTGTTGCTTGTAGATTTGTCGAGCATATACAATCTCTTCTAATGTTCCTTGGCTGACCAAGCGAAACACCTCAACATCTCTGGTCTGTCCGATTCTGTAAGCTCGATCTTGCGCTTGAAGGTCGTAGCTTGGATTCCAGTTCGGATCCACAACCACAACTTTGTTCGCGGAAGTTATGTTCAGCCCAACACCACCTGCTTTCGTGCTGATGAGGAATACAAACTGAGTGGGATCAGTGTTGAAGTCTTTGACGGCTTGAAATCGGTCCTCGTATGCCATGCTACCATCAAGGTACTTGACGTTGAAATTCGTGCTGATGAATAAGTTTTGTAGCATTCGCAGTAGCCGCACGCTGTGTGAGAAGATGAGGACCTTGTTGTCGCCTTGATCATGCCAGAAGTTGAGCAACTTCTTCAGCACCCGCCACTTGCCGCAGTACTCAGGATTCCCAGTATGCAAAATGCTGTCCCGAGTGCGATAGAGGTCCTGCCACTGGTCAGGCATTGCAATTTCCAGCGTCTCAAGATCTTTGGCCTGCTTTTCTTTCGTGTCGCTACCCTGAGGAATGAGAATGGCCAGATGGTTCGAAATTTTTTGCAGGTTGGCAATTGCAGGAAACACCCAATTTTGCCATGGAGTTCCGTCTTCCAGCAGCATACGACAGCACCAACCAGTTTTCTTACCGCTCCCACAGTCACAAAGTTGGCTGCTGCCCCTGATGTACTGCACAATGTCGCTTTCCAGAAAGTTCTGGTATGCTTGCGCTTGAGTAGGAGTGAGCGGACAAAATACAACCCGGTCAGTCTTCTTCGGAAGCTGATCTTTGATGATAGCTTTCGTACGCCGTAAGAAGAATTGAGGTAGGAGGTTATTAGCAAGCATCTTCGCGGTCTTTCTTGCTCGAGCAAGCTCATAATTCGAGGCATTGTGGCTCTGACCCAGTTTCAGTGGCACACAAACCGTATTCTTCCAGGTCGTTATCGGACCAAGTTTGCCAGGATTCGTCCAATTAAGCAGCACCCAAAGCTCCTCGTATTTGTTCTGAATGGCTGTACCAGTTAAGCCAATCCGGCACAAAGCATTGATGTTGGCCATGGCCTGGGTTATCTCTGAACGGCGCTCTTTGATCTGATGACATTCATCTGCAACCACGCAATCCCACTCGATCATGTTGATCTCCTCTTTGTGAGTGCGATACGTATGATAAGTTGTAATCATAACCTCCAGCATGCCTGCTTGAGCCACCGCGAAGACTTCGTTGCGACGAGTAGAACCGCCGTGGTAGGTATCGACATGCCACCAGCCCCAGCGCCGAAACTCGTCTTTCCAGTTCTCCATCAAGGTCCCTGGACAAATGATCAATGTCCTCGGGTATTTTTGATTGGCCCGCCTCATCTTTCTCATTCTTTTCTTGTCTCGCTCATCGCCTGTCTTGCCATATGCCGCAGTCAAGAATGATATCACTTGTACGGTCTTTCCCAAGCCCATATCATCTCCAAGAATTCCGCCTCTCTGATACACGAAATGTTCATGCAAGAAGGCCACGCCCTTAACCTGGTAATCTCGCAGGAATTGTGCAATCGGAGCAGGAATCAGACCAAGAGAATAAGGTAATTGAATGTCCTTGTACTCCCTCGTGGCTGTAGTTTGGGGAAACTCAGGTCGTTCTCTCAATTGCTGGATCCTCTCATCATCTGAGAAGTAGATTTCGTCGTAGGTGGGCGGTAGCCACAAACCGCCTTGTTTCAACTCTTCGGTGCGTTTATCAAACTTTGTTCGTCGACTTCGAACATATTCTGGCATAGTCCATTCCATGAGATCTTCATCAGGGTCCGAGTCGCCATAATTTTGAACCTTCCTACGCTTCTTTCTTGGACCTTGTAAGCCCACCCCTGTGGTAGCGCCACCTTTTCTTGACCGCGCAGGAGGATTGTTTTCTTTCTCGATAGCTCTTGCCTTGCGCGCAGACTTCAGCGATCTCTTCTTCGCATCTTTCTCTCTGTTGTTGAATCTTTCATCTTCTGATTGCATGTAATTCAGCTCGTCATCGGAGTCTAGTTGCACTCTTTCGAAGTTGCTTGTAGCAGGACCGCGTCGCTTCTTCGTGTCTGGTTCCTTCTTAATGCTGACCGCATCCGAGGACTCCGCTTCGGTGGCTGAATTGACCTGGCGGACTTCCGGGGCTTGTCTCTCTACTTTCTTCGTAAGAGTCTTTGGTGGAGTGGCAGCTTCCCGCTTGATCCGCGGCCCATCCAGATCATCATCTTCGCTGTCGGTGAACACCATGGTTAAAGAAAAAGTATTCTCGTCCGAATAAAGTGTGTAGTAGCAAGGAGCAGCAAAGTGGCGAGCACAGCACGAAGATGCACTCAACGCGGGTGCGAAGATGACTTCATTGCGCGGCGCGAAATTTCCGCGACACCACGTGAGCATTTTCCATTTCTTAGAGACTGCCTTGGGACTACTTTGCACTTTCAGAAAATACATTCACATGAAGAACATGTCGAAGCAGTAGCAGTGACGTTCATATCAGAAATTACCGAAGCCTGTCGTTACCTACAAAATGCCTCTCGATACGCTCTCCACCTATTCGCAGACTTTACTTCGACAAGATGGCCGAAGATGGAATGAACTTCGCAGAATCAATGCCTCGATCTCAACACAACCGTCCAGTGATGGCAGCAGTCTGTTGACCATGGGTAATACAATGGTGGTGTGCACTGTGACAGGTCCAAGAGAAGGGTATGCCTGATACCGGATTGCTGGAGCTGGATTTCTAAGGCTGACCAGCTCATAGTCGGGGCCAACGCGACAACAATAATGCAACTGTCGAGACTGAGCTCAATGTTGCACCGTTTGCGCAGATGGACCGTCGACGACGCAATCGCAACGACAAGCGAATCCAGGAACTACAGACTACCATCTCCAATGCCTTCCAAAGCCACCTCTTCACTCACTTATACCCGCGATCCGCCATCTCAATATCTCTACATGTCCTTAGTTTAGATGGTGCCCTTCTGGTTGCGTGTCTCAACGCAGCAAGTCTTGCTCTTGTGGATGCGGGTGTTCCCATGCCGTCAATCCTCGCGGCCATTTCGAGCGGAAGTATCTCACCAGCAGACGACTCCTCAACTAAGCCGGAGCCCATACTCGATCTCAATAATGTTGAAGAGCAGGAATTGCCATATCTATCTATCGCAACGGTAGCTGGCCAACCTGAAATGGAGGACAAGGTGTCTGTGTTAATGATGGAATCACGATGCCAAATCGGAGGAGCTAACAGCAAGATGGAGAGCATGTTAGCCACGGGTGTAGATGGGTGCAAGCAAGTGCGGCGGAAGATGGAGGATGTCATCAGAAAGCATGGTGCAAAAGTCATGCAAAGCAGAAAATAGGTTACTCAAGAACGACGACTTGGCCATGCAGTATGTCCATTGCGACTTGACAAGGCACGCTGCAGGGCTCATTGGGGAAAAGGCATTAGGCTGGAGGGCATCAGAGAATCCCCAGAAGTGATGATGGTCATCCAGTTTTCGGGAACAGTTCCCTTGCATAACAGTGATGTTGTGAGTAGTGGGTATCTTCAAGGTATGGTCATGATGAGAAAGGAGATGGCAAAAAATACTCTGACACCGCGACAGGCCTGGCTAATTCTAATCAGCAATGGCACTCGCTCGCTGACGACACCTTGGGCTATTCTCGAATCAACCGGACCGAGCACACAGTGTCTCCCCCAAATCCTTCATGGCAGAGCCTGCTTCGGAAGCAAAAGCAAAGCCCATGAGGAAGGGACAAAAAAGAAATTGCTTCAACGCGGAGTCGAACCGCGGTCTCGTCGAATTCGACCAGGTACGAACCTGGTATGGAATGGCAACGACGAATTCTACCCCTGAACCATTGAAGCCAGTTTCAGATGTGTGTGGATTGTTGAAGAAAAGTTTGTCTCTATGATATGTCAAGATTAAAATTGCTTGTGTTGCTAAAAGGAAAGATAACCGAGCGTGAGGTAGGTACAGCCACCCGCAAGCATTCATACTCACATGGATGCATGTCATTTCCACCGGCGCGTGAATGCTGGACTGGGACATGGCTGTACTGTGTTGCTGTTGTTCTGCTGAAGGTCTTGGAGATATGCGATAAGCACCCGAGGGTCTTTGCCCACCTCTAGCTTTCTTGATACTGTGCAGCCGCACCAAGGGGACTTGTGCTATCCTTATTCTCCTTCAAATCATCAGCCTGCCGCTCGCTAGACCAGTTGACCATTACCTGAAGAACTGCCACATTCCTGGAGTGGAATCAGGGCATTGTGCTTGCACTTTTAAAGGCCAATTCTCTGGGATCCCTCCAAAGAGTGCACGGATTGAATCGCCAAGCGCCACGATGCCGCCTAGCAAACCAGTAGTGAATGATGTAAGGCACAAAGAATGGTACAGATGGGAAGTCATGCATGCCGCCTTCGAAGCTCCTGTCAGCGGTTCCAAACACGAGAGGGCCGATTCGATACTGAAAAGCAGTCAGCAACATTAACGAACTCGCTTATAGCCAGGATACATCTAACATTGTCGGTGTCCATTAGGCTCTTTTCGAGACGCTGATAGGCTTGCCGTACAGACTTGCTGTCGTATATGTCGAGAGCTCGCAGAGTTTCAACTTCGTCATGCAGGTGTCGACTTAACGGCTCCGCAAAATCTTCGATGAGGCTCCTGATCTTCCGTCCGTCATAATGTTCAGGAAGACAAGTCCGAGAGTATTCGTGAAACAGATCAAATCCCGGCGTGAATGCTCGGTGTTGCTCTATGTTGCGTTCCATGATTCCTGGGACACCTGATATCCGCTCTATGCTCGGGAAGAAATTCTCCTCCTCGGCATCGTGGTGGTGGTGCATGGACTCACACCAGCATTGGCAATATGTCAGGAAATCTCCAATGGCGACCAGGTCTTCGCGCGGTATGTGAGTCGCTTGGAGGTAGATGGAGTTCAACCCTCGGAGTATGCCATTGTGGGCAAGTGCCATCTGCGTTGCAACATAGTATGCCGCATGCGAGGACTATGAGGATACATTAAGTGATGCGATTCCTAGCAGAGAAACGACAAACGTACGTCTTTCGAGAATGGATCGGTAGAAATAAGAGAATACGGCTTATCCGCCCAGTGAGAAGGCATACTGGCTCATCCAGCAGTTGTACAAACCGACGTCGACGTCAACCTTACAGCCGCAGGGGGTTAGCGACACATATATTGAAAGAAACATGCTGTACAAGCATTGTAACAGCCTTTTGGGCCGGACGAATGCTGCCAATTCTACGTCCGTATCACCAAGCGCATTGCTGTGAGGAGTCTGAACGATCACGGCGCAACTCGACTCCGCTACTACGATAGGGCACCAGGGTGGTTGGCTTAGTAAATGGCGCGGCACAATGCGACTCCGGCTTAGTAACTGAGCGCGATGCAAGGCATACCACAGTACGAATAGATATATGAAGGCACCAATTACTCTCAAATGAGGAAACCCCTCTCTTTTGTAACAGCCAGTGCCACCCAACAGCAATCATGAAGGTGCTTCTTATTGGAGCAACCGGCAACCTGGGCATTCGCCTCGTCGCGGCGCTCCTCACCCATGGCCACAGCGTCGTTGCGTTCGTCCGCTCTTCGAACAAACTTGAGTCACTTCTTCCACCGTCTGTTTACAGCCAGATCACCGTTGCCCAGGGCAATGCCACGGACTCAGTCGCAATCAAGAGAGCCATATTGGATTCGAATTGTGATGCCGTCGTCAATACAGCCGGTTTAGCGGCCTTACCTCCTTGGGGGAAAAGTGAACTGCCTGCCATATTTCGCGCAGTGCTGGACGCTGTACGAGAAGCAGGATCGGAGAAAAAGAAACCGTTGAGAACCTGGTTCTTAGCTGGGCTGGGAGTATTGCATTACCCAGGAACAGAAACGATGCTCTCGAACTAGTAAGTACAGTCACCATAGCATTCTCACCTCACACACCACGTTTCCACCTACTTTGAGAAGAGTCAGCCTGGAGATGCATCGATTCTGGAATACTAAGAACCTGCAGTATTCCCATCTACCTCGAACACCGCCAAAACCTCCGCCTTCTGAAAGCTCTTCCACCAACCGCGGTCGACTGGTCCATGCTTTGCCCAAGCACCATGACCCCGGAGTCTCAAGAAGTCACTGTGCCTACGAAGACTTCGCGTGGGAGACTGATCGGAAATGCTGCGACTCCACCATTGTGGAAAGATTCCTGGATCAAGTATATTCCTTTGATCGGGAGGCCGCTTCTATGCGCCGTAAATGCCGGTCGCTATGAGACGACACTTGAACAGAACGCAGACTTCATTGCTAGTGACCTTGAGAGCTATGAGAGCCGGTGGAGTGGGACGACGGTGGGAGTGATCGACGGGTCGAAGTGAGTTCATAGTAGGGGAAGGATTTTAATGTATAATTAACTAATCGAACTTCTATCCTGGTTCTGTTCAATATCTCATACTACCTACTGTATCCAGCGTAAATCGTGTAATTGGCCCTGGGGTGGCCATTCGACGACAAACAGCAACGAGAACAATTTATATATTAAGGGACCTTCTGTTCAAGCGAGGCTCAGTTGCTGCTTCGACAATTCGAGGGGCAGCTTATTTTGCGCCCCATTCGAGCGAGTTTCATTACACGACAACCCAGAAGACGGTAGTAGGATTAACGAAAAGTTGGTGTTATGAATAAGCAGAAAGACAGCAAGACCGAAGGAATCGCTTATGTAGCAGAAGGTAAGCCGAGCAGTAAGCAGAGCTGCGAGCGGCATCAGGCGTCCAGTCACAAGGTGAGGATCAAGGACAGGTCTCTCCGATGATGAGGTAGTATTCATCCACAGCTTCACAACGCGTATCCTCTCTACAGCCGGGGTGTCTCTGCATGCAGATCAGATATGGACGACTTCAATCCAAAATGGATGGTGAAAGAACACATCATCCCGGCGTCCCACCCACGAGGCTACCGTCGAGGTGTGCGCAATCCTCAAACATCCCGCCTAAGACTACACGTGAAGCAATACATCCCTTCGCGCTCGAAACCACTACTTGACGAAGAATTCGCAATCACACTGATAGTCCAGCACGGCATGCCGCCCGGTGACACCAAGGAATCGTACGAGCCCCTTATGTGGGATTTGGTGAGCCAGCCTGGCGTCCCGCCCATCCGTGCAATATGGGCCATGGACATTGCGTCAAGTGGCCAGTCTTTCTTACTGAATAGGGACGAAATCGGCGATGAACCGCACTGGTTCGACAGTTCCAGGGATCTGGTACAAATGGTCAATTACTTCCAAACCGAGATGCGTCCACCCGTGATAGGGATCGGGCAGAGTTGGGGCGCCTCAGTGCTGGCGCTGTGCGCGGCTTGGAATCCCAAGCTCTTTGAGGGTTTGGTGCTTAGCGAGCCGATACTGGAGAATGGTTGGTGGCGATTCCACGGGCCGTCGCGTATGGCGAAAGCTGGTGAACCGACGGCTAATCCGGTCAGCGCGGGATTGGCGAGAAGGAAACGGTATTATGCCAGCCGGGACGAGTTGAAGAGGGCGATTGAACGGAATCCCATCTGGAAGGGGTTTGATAGACGGGTGCTTGGGCAGATAATGCGGTATGACTATAGAGATCTGGAGGATGGGAGGGTTGAGTTGATTACACCACCTTTGCTGGCGCTGGGACATTTTCAACGGCCCAGTCCACCGCTACCGGGATATCCTGTGGACGACGATTACCGAAATAGGCCGGAAGAGGCGAATTTCCCGCCGGGCTTTTATAATGTGGTTCAATTGAAGGTGTTGGAAGAGTTGGCGAACGTGAGCTGTATGATTTTGTTCGTTTGGGACAAGGAAGGGAGGTTTATGGGTGGTGAGCGGTACAGACGACGGGTGGTTGGCGCCGTGAATGCAAAGGGCGAGAGGGAGGGCCAAATCCAGCAGCGTTGGATTGAGGGCGGGCATTCACTGGCTCATCTCGTGCCAGGGAGGGTAGCAGAGGAGGTGTGCGGATGGTTGAAGGGGGTTTGGGAGGAGTGGATTGAAGAGGAACGGAGGAGGGAGGGAGATGCAAAGATTGATTCAGAGACTGTGCCTGACGGGGTGTTGGAAAGATTGAGGGATACGCCACGGGATATAAAGCTGTAGAGCCCGGACCGTATTCCCTCGAGTATGAAGTCGTAGGGACGTGTCCGAGTACCATGAAAAACTCCACGATTTTTCAATAACGCGTTTCGATAGACACACCGTCAGACCGGCCCGGACATGGTTTCTGACATTGATTCTTCCAGACAAAAGCAATCCGAGGTGAGTTGATAGCCCTGATCCATTGGAGAAAGCGTATTCGCATCTCAACGACACGATAAACCCACCGATTCGATCATGATGCCTCTCCTTGATGCGCAGAGTAATGCTGGAAACATCTCTTCATGGGTGCCTTGAGGCATAGCCATCGCTGAATATGCCATGACACGGAGGACAGTCGTGGACAGTCTACCTGGCAACTTTCGAGCATTCACAGAATATTCACTGATAAGCCACGCAAGTTCTGTGGTACTCGTATGCACGTCCATTTCTCCGGATATGGCAGTTGTGGCAACGGGATATGCAGGTACAGATGCCCTGACGGCGAAATGCATGACGCATACGCTGCGTATTGGGCGGCTGAAACTGGGATAGAACTGGCAGCTGGGGAAGCCGAATGGGCCCACGATCGTCCTGGCTCAATCAAAACCCATGATGAGCTGAAAACATGTCGTTCAGGCTGTTTCATTGGGTGTAATCAATGCCGGGGAGCTCGTTCTCTCGGTTGTGGATAGACAATCTGCAGTTCTGTAGGGAAGTGGGCACGAGCGAGCGGGCATGGAATTGGAAATTTTAAGGTTCTCTGTTGCATGCGACTTCTTTCTCTGCCAGTAACTCGACCGTCCATTCTTCAAGCCGGCGACTGTTACCACTGTATTCTTTCTTGTCTTCTTGTTCTTTGTTGAGTTATTGTACTGCGACCAGTTGTTGGTACGCTCGCAACACAATACCCAGGGGTAGTTCTGGACGACAAACTACTACTAGGTACTGTCCACCTGCCGGACCTAGGTATGCCGCCCTTTTCACCGCCACTTAAATCTCTGGGTGCACGATCAATCTGTTTCCTGCGCACACGAACTGACAAGCGACAAATAGAACCCGTCCTCATCTCTTGAGCATGGCAAGATAGAAACCCACCTTGATCCTTTGTGCTACCTACCTCTCTCCTCCCCGACAGCCAACCTACTCCTCCGGCAGAATGCGAGGCTCCCATCTTCTCCCTAAACAACTCCGCTCACTGGGCAAAAGCGACAGCTGGTTGAATCGAACAATCACATCGAATCTACTTGCAGTCTCGCACGTCGCTTGCCAACATCCTATTCATACTATCGTGGCCATTGCTCTGTTGGCAAGCACCTCATATGTTGGACTATTACAGGAAAGCCTGTTTGACAGTGGGATAAAGTCCCTACAACATAATGGCAGAGTAGATGTCGAAGCACTACTTACGGGCAGCCGGACGCTAGAATTGTCACAGAACACCGCCTGGAAATGGCAGTTCTCAGACGATTCTAGCGTTCCAAAGGTGTCGCTGGTAAGTCTTCTATCGAGACATGTATACCGAGATTGACAAATTTGTGCCAGGGTCCTAACCATTACGCCCTCACCACTTTTGTCTTCCCGGACTCTTCTTCTGCTCCTGAAGCTCATTCTATCCCCATTCCGGCCAATGTCACAGCTACCAACATTCCGACTACCTCGAATCTCCTCTCTCCGATATCGCACGACACCTCCTTGGCTTTTTACACCACTTTCTCCGAACTCCCTGATTTCTTGCGAGCTGCCCAGGAACTGCCGGCACAGAATACGCCGGCGGAAACTGATGAACAAGTTTCATGGATTATGAAAGCTGCCCGCGTGGGCAATGGACGGGCTACCTACGCAACTTGGTTCCGCGAGGGCTGGACTTCGTTCGTGGATCTGCTCAAGCATGCCGAGACATTGGACATCATCATCATGTCGCTGGGCTACTTGTCTATGCACCTGACTTTCATTTCGCTATTTCTGTCCATGAAGCGCCTGGGCTCTAATGCATGGTTGGCCGTCTCGGTACTGTTTTCCAGCCTTTTCGCATTTCTCTTTGGATTGGTTACTACAACGAAACTCGGAGTCCCCATCAACATGGTCCTGCTATCAGAAGGTCTGCCATTTCTAGTGGTCACTGTCGGGTTTGAAAAGTCCATCATTCTTACAAAGGCTGTTCTGTCCGCTTCTTATGATACTAAACGACACCCTACCGAGAATGGCTCCGCGAAGGGAAGTGCTACAGGACCTGTAATTGCCCCCAACGCCCCAAACTCGATACAGGATGCGATCCAAATTGCCATCAAAGAAACCGGCTTTGAGATCGTCCGAGATTATGCAATTGAGATCGCAATTCTCGTTGCTGGTGCAGCTTCCGGAGTTCAGGGCGGCTTACGGCAATTCTGCTTCCTAGCTGCCTGGATCCTGTTCTATGACTGTGTCCTCCTCTTCACCTTCTACACCACTATACTCTGCATCAAGCTCGAAATCAACCGAATCAAGCGTCACGTTGCCCTCCGGAAGGCTCTCGAAGAAGATGGCATTAATCACCGAGTGGCTGAGAATGTCGCCACTAACAACGACTGGCCTAACGGGCCATCAGGTCAGACCGGCTTCAATATCTTCGGCCAAAAGATCAGACCCAGTAGCGTACCCAAGTTCAAGATATGGATGGTCGGCGGTTTCGTCATCATCAATGTGGTCAACCTTTGTACCATTCCTTTCCGTACTTCAACAAGCATCAAGAACCCTGGGGCTGCGATACCGAGTGTCCTCACCCCTGCTCCAATTGATCCATTCAAGGTGGCAGAAAATGGTTTGGATGCAATTTACGTCTCAGCCAAAAGCAGAAAACTCGACACATTTGTGACCGTCCTTCCTCCTATCAAATACGAGCTTGACTACCCATCACTGTCGCAGGATGTCTCTCAGGACGAGCTTGGCTGGTTCGACCAAGAATACACCGATCAATTTCTGAACGTGGTTGGTGGACGTGTCATTGAAGGAGTTTTAAAGAGCCTTGAAGATCCTGTCCTCAGCAAATGGGTGCTGATCGCACTGACGCTCAGCTTGATACTCAATGGCTACTTGTTCAATGCGGCTCGTTGGAGCCTTAAGGAACCCCAGTCATCGGCAAATTCGCCAGCTGGACAAAAAGTGCCACGGCTCGAGTTACCTCAAACCCCCAAGCCCAAACCACTCGATCTCGATCTGCAGTCTGAATCTGGTCGATCCAAGGAAGAGTGCACGCAGATGCTGAAAGACAAAAAGGCTGCATATCTCACGGATGAAGAATTGATTGACCTGTCACTGAAAGGCAAGATCCCCGGTTATGCGATCGAAAAAACACTAGAAAATCCTGAAGTCATGACCCGTTTGGACTCCTTCGTCCGAGCTGTCAAGGTACGAAGAGCTGTTGTATCCAGGACTTCGGGTGCCAGATTCGCAGCTGGATTGGAGGTGTCAAAGGCTCCGTATAGGGACTACAATTACGAACTTGTCCACGGCGCTTGCTGCGAGAATGTCATCGGATACCTGCCTCTCCCACTCGGTGTTGCCGGCCCCATTGTCATTGATGGCCAGAACTATTTCCTTCCTATGGCAACCACAGAAGGCGTGCTTGTTGCTAGCACAAGTCGTGGCTGCAAAGCCATTAATGCCGGTGGCGGTGCTGTTACGATTGTGACCGGCGACGGAATGACTCGAGGACCATGCATGAGTTTCCCAACTGTGACCAGAGCAGGAGAAGCCAAGATCTGGCTGGATTCAGAAGAAGGTCAACGACAGATGCGAGAATCATTCAACTCGACAAGTCGCTTCGCTCGACTACAATCGATGAAGTCAGCAATAGCAGGCACATATCTCTACGTTAGGTTCAAGACGACCACAGGTGATGCTATGGGTATGAATATGATCTCAAAGGGCGTCGAAAAAGCACTTTCTATCATGTCTACCGAATGTGGCTTTGACGACATGACCATTGTCTCGCTGTCTGGCAACTACTGCATAGACAAGAAACCTTCCGCCATCAATTGGATTGATGGTCGAGGAAAGGCGGTCGTCGCTGAAGCCATCATTCCAGGTGATGTTGTCAAGAACGTTCTGAAGAGTAATGTGGACGACCTCGTCGAGCTCAACATCTCCAAGAACCTGGTCGGCAGTGCTATGGCAGGAAGTATTGGTGGAAACAACGCTCACGCAGCGAATATTGTTGCAGCTATCTTCTTGGCCACTGGTCAAGACCCGGCTCAGGTCGTCGAGAGCGCTAGCTGTATGACGCTCATGAAGAAGTAAGTCTCGTATCATTATTTCGTATAGCAGCCGGCTGACATGGTCTAGCACCAACGGAAACCTTCAGATCAGCGTGTCGATGCCATGTCTTGAAGTGGGCACGATCGGCGGTGGAACTATTCTCGAAGCACAATCGTCGATGCTCGATCTGCTGGGTGTTCGCGGCGCTCATCCAACTAACCCTGGCGACAATGCTCGACAGCTAGCCAGGATTATCGCTGCAGGTGTGCTTGCAGGCGAACTTAGCTTGTGCGCCGCGCTCAGGGCCGGACATCTTGTCAAGGCACATATGGCGCACAATCGGTCTGCGGCTCCTACGAGAACGAGTACGCCGGTATCGGCAGCCGTGGAGCCATTCCTAAAAGCCCAGAATGGACCGAATGTCCCTGCATCGCTAAAGATGACCAATGGGACCGGCAAATGAGAGTGTAAAGGGTGGAGGACATGTATGAATGAATCAATGGAGTCAGTTGCATATACGGACATTCAGCATTGGTGTTGATTTGGGGCCAAGGTCATTGTCGGCATTCCTATTGATTATTGGCGCGCCTTTGATGCTGCAAGGGCAACAAGAAGGGCGTTATCGCCGAAGGGGAGGTACCGAGATGTGTAACAACGAACTTTCGGTGCGATAGACGGCAGCCGCGCGAGCAGCTCAAAGAGAAACATAATACGAGAAGTATATTAATACTCAAACGCTGTATGGGCTGTGGGCAATAGCCTACGTTTGGTGTAGGCTTCCCTCTGACTAGTGATCGATGCGTGTGATAGAATGCCCGCAATCCGCCTGAGCATGCAGTAAGCACGTTCTGTAAGCAAAGGCCCATGGAATGCTTCGACCGGTATTGTTCTGGTACTGGGATCTCTTTAGAGTCAAGCATGCCACCTCCAAGATTGAACATCCCCGTAGAGCGTGGACAGTCTACTTATCGATCTTCGCGAGACATATCAGAGGCCTCCCAGCCTGCGGAATGATTTTGAGATTGGTGCTTCGAAGTTGATCTTGACACAGAAGACCATGTCGCTTGCATATTCAGCTTCAGAGTCCAGGGAGATCTTGGCAAGAGTCAAGGAGGCTGCGCAGTGGATGTTGACGCCTGACGCTGATATCAGCATCCCTGGGCTATATCGTAGTGCCATCATATGCCACTCGGGTCAATGTACGCCAAACTGCAACGCATTCCTGAACATAAAAGTCGTACATGGCTCTTCACTTTCCATCATCATCAACCCGGAAGTTCAGGCCTCGAGGAAACCGAAGTTCCCTGACAATCAGCCTCGACATTGTGTGGCGTCGGTGATGAATCTGCTTCGCTCGGAAAAAGAGTGGTCGAAGGAGAGGTCATGGCCGGTGCCGGTATTTGAGGCGGCGCATAGGCCGGCGGAATAAAAGGAGTCATCCCCGGTTGTAGTGGAGGGATCTGGTAGTTTTGTGGTTGTTGCTGCTGCATTAGTGCCGCCGCCATTTGAGAGTGTGGAGAGAGAGGAGATTGATCGGTGTAGCGAGGATTCTGATTCTGACTCTGATTCTCGGGCAACGACTGTTTCGTCGCGTCGTGATGTTTTCTTTTGCGGAACAGGAGGAACGATAGGACGCCGATGACTGCTAGGAGAGGCAGGCCAATGCCGAGGCCTGCGCCTACTCCAGCTGCGACCGCCTTGTGATCAGAGGAGGAGGATGAGGAGGAGGATGAGGAGGAGGATGAGGAGGAGGATGAGGAGGAGGATGAGTCGGTCGCTATACTTGCGATCGGTGCGATGCTGTAGCCTGCCACGAATGCAGTGCCGTTCTGCACAGTCGCAGTTCCGGTCCCTTGAAATAAGGTGACCTCGGGGTCGTTGCAGCAGGTCGTCGAGTTGCGGGCGGGAGAGCAGCACCAGCGGTTATGGTTGCATCGGTAGAGTGTGCTGAGTTTATGGTCGCGGTCTACGTCCAGGCATTTTAGGAAGCAAGCAGGGTCTTCCCAGGTGCTGTCTGTGCATAGACCCGTGTTGATGGAGGTGTCGTTCTGGTGGTCTTGTTAGGCAATGTGTCTGGGGACACCGTGGATGGGTTTGCATACCTTTGACAGACATAGCCCGTTAGATAAACAGGTTTCACCAGCCGCACAGCAGTGAGTTACGTTAGCTGTAGGCACGCAGGGAGAGTATTTCGAAGCACTCGTCTGAGTGCCGTCGGGGAAATAGCAAATGTCTGTGGCACCGACGACCAGCACGGGCAGCACGACCGAAATAATTGCTGCTATGGCGTGGTACAGCATCGTGCGCGCAATTTTCTTTTTTTTCGAGAAGAAAACAGGAAAAGAAAGGGATGCGAACTTATCTGGGTGTTCATATAAAGCTACCATGACGACGATCGCAGTACAGTAGAAGCGAGGTTCTGTCTCAATAGCTATGCCAGATGAGAACAGAATGCTGGGTTCATGCCAGGAACACTGTATAGAACGAAGCTGCGGCAGTTTGGGTGGGTCTCAGCAATTGGTGGCCTTGCGCGTCCCATGATGTCCTATGTCCTATGGAGGAGAAGCATTTACATATGGGGGGTTTTCGTGCTGGTCAATAGACCGTCGATTTCAGCCTTTGGCCAGTCAAAGTGTAGCAGTCATAGCAGCCTGATTGGCAGTAACACAAGGCCAGGCTGTGTGGATGTGGCTATGAAAGTCCGGCCTCACCTGTAGCACCTCACGCACCTGTAGGTACGGCGAATACATCCTTTCGGCCACCCACCCGTTGGAGACCGTAGCAGGCCCGACGACTTTTAGTGTTCAGCTCGTTTGCAGGTCGTCAAGATACTCGGGATTGTCCATGTGGGAGCGAGTGTGATTGAAAGATTGGGACAACTCTTGTGGGTGGCACGTCGTATGTCCTCGTAGTAGATTTCTAGTGCCCTTCACCTATGACTAGGATCCGATTTGCGCTTGGGATATCGTCCAACACCAATCATTTTGTAGCATAGGTAAAGACTCTCACACACAGATCGGGATCGCTAGAAGGTGCCTCGTACACTAGCTGTCAGATACCAAGAGACGACGACCCGCTATGCTTCCGCCGGCTCTAAGGATCGGTCCGTCCTAAAATGGAAGGTCCGGCGAACCCGGCTACAGTCTCCGAGAAATCCCATCCTCGTCCTGATCCAGGCAGGTCACCCGAGTATCTGAAAATTGGAGACACCGAAACGTTCCGTACAAAGAGAGAGACATTATTTTGTTGCAATCTCTAACAAAACCCACGCGTTGGATAGTCCTTCTTCTTCAAGTCCGCAATGATGCCTTGATCCAGTCCGCCCTGTCTCTGCCGAACATGACCTCAATAGACGAACTCTTCCGCAAACCCAATGCCGGTCCGAAACGCAAACTCGAAGACCCGACCGCGGTACACACCCATGTCCTCTCCAACAAATCCTCCAAGTTGACCGACGGATCCTCCCCACGCAGCAATGGCCATGACTCGTCTGTATCCAAGTCGTCCAGCGGCACGCCCGCGTTCGTGCAAGACGAGATACTGGACGACGAGGACGTCGAAGCCGGACCTGCGCGGCCGCAGGATGACGTCGAGGACGAAGTTGGCGACGACGAAGAGGGGCGATTCTTTGGTGGAGGCGTGACGAAGCAAGAACGCGAAGTCATAGACTACATCGAGAAAAATGAAGCCGGCGATGCCGAGGAGAAGATTGACTCGGCGTGGCTGCGGCGGACTGCAATCAACTTCGAGCGGAAGATCAATAAGAACGCGGAACTACGCGCGAAATACGAGAGCGAGCCCATGAAATTCGTGGGCAGCGAGGCCGATCTCGACGCTGAGATCAAAGGACTCAGTCTCCTTAGCGAGCATGGCGAATTGTACGAGGATTTCGTTAAGCTGGGCTGCGTCGACAGTCTGGTTGGTTTGCTCGCACACGAGAACACCGATATCGCGATCGCAGTGTGCGAATTACTCGCCGAACTTACGGACGAGGACTCGGCGTCGACGGAAGAGCAGTGGAAATCGCTGGTGCAGACGATGATCAAAAGCGACCTCGTTGATCTGCTGACGAGCAACTTGAGTCGACTGGACGAGGAGAACAATGAAGGCGACCGGGCAGGAGTATACCATATCTTGAACGTGTTGGAGAATATCTTGTCAGATACACAATATCTGGACGCTGTAGGCTCCAAGGACACACTCATGCAGTGGCTGCTCTCACGGATAAGGAAAGTCGATGCACATGCGCGAGGAAAAGTCGGACAGAACCGACAGTATGCTGCTGAGATTTTGGCCATCCTGCTTCAAAGCAATAGGAGCAATCGAGACCGGTTCGCGCAGAAAGAGGGCGTGGACGCTCTGCTAGAGCTACTGAGCGTATACCGCAAGCGGGATCCGGAAAAGGACTCGGACGAGGAAGAATATGCGGAGAATTTGTTCGACTGCCTAGCCTGCGTAGTCGAAGAGAGGCTTGCTGGCGAGAAATTCGTCGAGGGCGAAGGTGTCGAATTGTGTCTGATCATGCTACGGGAAGGCAGACTTGCAAAAGCCAGAGCCTTGAGAATTCTCGATCACGCCATGAGCGGCGGCAATGCGGTGGTTGTCTCTATGCGGGTCGTGGATGCTGCCGGCTTGAAGACGATCTTTGGGATGCTCATGAAAAGTCACAAGATGGAGCGAAGTCTGCTTGAACATCTGATTGGAATCCTCGCAAGTTTGTTAAGGCACTTACCGGGCGGAACTGCTGAACGAATACGCACACTCGCCAAATTTGTGGAAAACAACTACGAGAAAGTCCAGAAGCTGGTGGAATTGCGGAAAGAGTACAAAACGCGGCTCATCAGGATCGATGCCCAAATCCAGAAGGAGCGGCAAGACATGGACGATGCTGAGGCAGAAGAGCATGCCGATGAGTGGTTGTCTCGCCGACTTGATGCAGGTCTCTTCTCTCTCCAAGCTCTTGAATTGATCCTCAGCTGGATGGTGGCGGAAGATAATGGGGCCAGGGAGACCATTACCGTGCTCCTTGGTGAAGACGGGCTGAAGGTCTTGGAACGCAGTTTACGAGATCAATTAGATGGTATGGACTCTGGACAGAGCGAAGAGGCAAAGGCCACTGAAGAAATGCTGGAAGCATTGCTATTGTGCGTTGAGAAATAATGTTAGTGTTTGTGGTTGCAAGACAGCTAATTCGATCCAGCAACAAATGTATGACTTTTGACGATAATACATGATTTTGATACCCATTTCAAACTGTCTCTTTTACTCTCTACCGCCCTCTCTGAACGTCCTTTAAGTTCGCTGATCCACTCTTGCAATGCTGGTCAGCGTCGCGGTGGTCAAAGAATCGAGATGTCTTCTTTGACCTAGTTGGTGTTCTGCAGCGTTCCAGCCCGGCTCAACCTTGGATCTCGAGCTGTTGAGCGCCTTCGATCTCATGGTCCCAAATCCAGCGATCTTTGTGTATAGCTCCATGTTTGGAGTTGGGGGCGATGTAGCGAACTCATCAAAGAGCGACGTCCTTACAACTGCGCACCAGATAGGTCATTAATATTTCCCCGATACACAACCTGGAGATATATGCTTACAAGCTTGACCAGGGTACATCTCCTTCAGCAACCGGTAGATTGGCCTTATTCACATGGCCATGTCAGTCATGTTTCTTCCTCCGATAGCAGCCTCGGGTACAGATCGAACTTACGACCCGCATTTCTCACTAAAGTGACGATGGACAGAACGACCGATGTCTGTATTCTTGTCTTCATAGGGCTTGATCGGCCCTGAGAAGCTAAGGTCCGACAAGGGGAGAATCATTAAAGATGCACCCGCTTAAGTACCGTACGTCAGTCGACGCTGGAAGGTAGTCGAGCTGATGCTTCAATATACGCACCTGCACCGCTACACTTTTGGCAGTTGCGGGAGTGACAAATTAATGCGGTGGGTTTGCCATCTTGAGGCATATTGGCCTCGACGGTGACAGCGACACAGTTGCAAGATCCGTGCATCGTGATCGGTATGGTGTTTGGGTGGATGTTGAGGCTGTTGAGCTTGTGGAACGCAACAATCTCTCTGGCAACCGGCCAGACAAGCTGTGTTTATATAGAGGGCGGAGGCGTACCGAGCCAGGATCGGACGCAACCACTGTCCCTCATGTGTTGTAACTGAAAACATGCATCGTGCCTAAACCTCGCTTTCTCACTTACCTTAACACCAACCGTCCTCGAAGGTCCCCAATCGTGACGGCGACGATAGGTCCCCTCCGTACGTATCTTACCTAAGCGTACTACAGCAAGGCAATCAAGAACTGAGGATACGATGCGCAAGTACGAGCATTTGCTGAAAGGAGCATGACGGTCAGCCGCCACACTATATGAGCCAGTAGACATGATGTTGGCATCGTCTTGTGTCACAAGCCAAGTCGTATTGGCCGTGGAGATGGTGCGCCGCACAGTGCGCAAGACTTCAGCTGGAGCTGACAACGCTTGGCTGGCTTCTCGGCCGTAGTCACCTTACCGAAAGGATGGTGCGAAAAATTATAGTAGGTGCGTCGGAGGAAGGTTGTCTTTGGGAAAGTGCTCAGTCTACGTCGTCAACAGCTGAAGTCGATGTGATCAGGTTCTTTCGGGTCGAAGATGACGATCCCAAGTTACCTAAAGGTAGCCTTGCCTCACAAAACGCAGCCTTGCTGAGTAATACAATTCACGTGATAGCGCTAATGCCAAGACTCAACTGCGCCTGCGCTTTATTCCCGAGTCGCGATCCTCGAAGGCGAGAATTCGCAAAGTTTCCAGGACATCTGGACAACTTCATCCTTTATCCTCATCTTACAGTAGCCGTATCTTCAAGATGGAGAAATATGAAGATGTCGACGGCTACTATGGAGATGAGGCCGTGGACTCGGATATCACGTCTGAAGACTGCTGGAAAGTCATCAGTTCCTTTTTCGACATCAAACAACTCGCCTCCATGCAGATCGACTCTTTCAACCATTTCATGAGATCTGGCTTACAGGATTTGGTGAATGAGAAGGGAGGTATCACATTAGATCACGCACAAAATGTCGACGAAGATGATCCGAACCCGGTTGTCATCAAGAGGCACGAAGTCAAATTTGGCAAAGTTACGCTCAGCAAGCCAAACATGGTCGAGGGAGATGGAACCACCACAGATTGCATGCCTCACGAAGCGCGATTACGAAGTCTCACCTATGCGAGTCCTGTTTACGTGAAGATGAGCAAGAAAACATGGTACGCAAAGGAGAAGCCGTGGGATGATGAAAGTGCAGATCAAGGCGTGATGAGAGATGATGGTACCGAGCTATTTTGGCGTGAGGGTTTTGAAGAGGGAGAACACCACGAAGAGGAGGATGTCTATGTAGGGAAAATCCCTATCATGGTTCGAAGTATGACTTGCCACCTCAAGAGCGAAAGATTTCAGAGTGACAAGGATTTGTTCGCATGGGGAGAATGTCCTTACGATCAGGGAGGCTACTTCATCATCAACGGCAGTGAAAAGGTCCTCATCGCTCAAGAGAGAAGTGCTGGCAATATTGTGCAGGTGTTTCAAAAGGCTGCACCTGCTCCCTTTACACATCTCGCCGAAATCAGATCCGTTATCGATCGCGGAGCCCGAATGATGTCTCAGTGTACTGTCAAGCTCTTCCGCAGAGTTGATGGTCCGGATGGCACGAAGATCGACAACCCCATCAGAGTACAGCTGCCATATGTCAAGCAGGATATTCCCCTCGTCATAGTGTTTCGAGCGTTGGATATCGTCTCAGACGCCGACATCTTGGAGAAGATCTGTTTCGATCAGAGCGACAAAGAAATGCTGGATATGCTTATGGGTTCTTTGCAAGAAGGACAACCCATTCAAGGTGCGGACCTGGCAAGAGACTTCATTGCTCGTCGTGGCAATATCCCAACCCTAAAGAGCCACGAACGACAAAAGCATGCTATGGATATCTTACAAAAGGAATTCCTGCCTCACATCGGACAAGGTCCTGATGTTGCTGCTCGCAAGGCCTTCTTCCTTGGCTACATGGTCAATCGGTTGCTGAAGTGTGCTCTCGGGCGTGCTGAGCCGGATGATCGAGATCATCTTGGAAAGAAGCGGTTGGACCTGGCTGGACCACTAATGACCAATCTCTTCCGCTTGCAGTTCGACAAGGCCACCAAGGATTTCTTCCGATACATGCAGAAGCGTGTTGAAGCTGGCCAAGCAATTAATATCCATGCAGGTTTCAAGCATCCCATTATCACGAGTGGCTTGAAATACTCGCTGGCAACTGGCAACTGGGGCGACCAAAAGAAGCTCGACAAGGCAAAAGCTGGCGTTTCTCAAGTGCTCAGTCGTTATACCTTTGCTTCCACTCTATCACATCTTCGTCGAACCAATGCTCCCATAGGTCGGGAAGGTAAAATCGCAAAGCCACGTCAACTCCATAATACCCACTGGGGTTATGTTTGCCCGGCAGAGACACCTGAAGGGCAAGCTTGCGGTCTTGTCAAAAACTTGTCCCTCATGTCAATGGTCACAAACTCTTATGAGACTCAACCATTGATGAACTACGTCCTTACCAAGCATGTCGAAGCACTTGAAGACTGGGAGCCGCGGTTGAATCCTCAGGCCACCAAAGTCTTTGTTGATGGTGTTTGGTTTGCAGTTGTACTGCGCGATCCTAAGCGGCTTGTTGACGACCTTCGCAAACTTCGACGAAAAGGCGTCTTCGATTCTCAAGTCAGTCTGGTTTGGGATATTCGGGAGAAGGAATTCAAGATCTCTGGCGATTCTGGCAGGATTGTTCGTCCGCTCTTCGTTGTCGAGACAGATCGTGCATCCGAAAACCTGGGTAATCTGGTTCTCAATAAGGACCACATCGCCAAAATCGATCAGACAAACTACCTGAAAGAGAGTGGCTTTCAGTTCACCGACGATGTCAAACCTTATGGTTGGCAAGATCTACTCGAATCCGGTGTTGTCGAATATCTCGATGCTGAGGAAGAAGAGACGGCTATGCTCGTCATGACGCCCGAGGCCTTGGCCGACTCCAAGGCCAGATGGCTAGGAATGGAGATCGAAAGCGAAGACGACCCGCTGAGCAGAAACGATCCCCTTCTCAATCCATACTCCCACACTTTCACTCACTGCGAGATCCATCCAAGTATGATCTTGGGTGTTTGCGCCAGCATTATTCCCTTCCCCGACCACAACCAATCACCCCGTAACACTTACCAATCTGCTATGGGTAAGCAGGCCATGGGTGTGTTCCTCACAAACTTCGATCAGCGCATGGAGACAATGGCGAATATTCTGTATTACCCTCAGAAGCCCCTGGCCAGAACAATGGCTATGGATTACTTGAAATTTAGAGAGCTTCCCGCAGGACAGAATGCCATTGTCGCTATTGCCTGTTACTCCGGCTACAACCAAGAAGACTCTGTGATAATGAACCAGAGCTCTATCGACCGTGGCCTGTTCCGGTCGCTGTTCTATCGTGCCTACCAAGACCAGGAAAAGAGCGTGGGCCATTCGGTAGTTGAACAGTTCGAGAGGCCTACGAGAGCTGATACCCTCCGACTGAAGCATGGGACATACGACAAGATCGACGAAGACGGTATCGTCGCACCGGGTGTTCGTGTTAGTGGCGAGGACATTATCATGGGCAAAACCGCTCCCATGGCGCCTGACGCAGAAGAACTGGGCCAGAGACAAAAGCAGCACGTCAAGCGCGACGTCTCGACTCCGCTTCGATCCACTGAGTCAGGAATTGTCGATCAAGTCATGCTTACAACCACAAGTGACGGCCACCGATTTGCAAAGGTCCGTGTTCGAACCACGAAAGTTCCCCAGATTGGTGATAAGTTCGCATCTCGTCATGGTCAGAAAGGTACTATTGGTATAACATATCGCCATGAAGACATGCCTTTCACCAGAGAGGGCATAGTGCCTGACCTGATCATCAACCCGCACGCCATTCCTAGTCGGATGACCATTGCTCACTTGATCGAGTGCCAATTGTCCAAAGTGGCGACGTTGCGTGGTGATGAAGGTGATGCCACGCCGTTCACAAAGGTCACCGTCACTCAAGTTTCGGATCTTCTCCGAAAAATGGGCTACCAATCACGAGGTTTCGAGGTCATGTACAACGGCCACACAGGCAGGAAGTTGGTGGCTCAAGTCTTCCTTGGCCCAACATACTACCAGCGTCTGCGCCACATGGTTGACGACAAGATCCACTCTCGTGCTCGTGGTCCAACACAAATTCTCACTCGCCAGCCCGTCGAAGGTCGTGCTCGCGACGGTGGTCTGCGTTTCGGAGAAATGGAGCGCGACTGTATGATCGCCCACGGCGCCAGCTCGTTCTTGAAGGAGCGCCTGTTCGACGTCTCGGATCCGTTCAGAGTGCATGTCTGCGATATCTGCGGGCTGATGACCGTCATTGCCAAACTCAAGAAGAACACGTTCGAGTGCAAGAATTGCAATAACAAGAACAAGATCAGCCAGATTTATCTGCCGTATGCGGCGAAACTTCTGTTCCAAGAGTTGTGGAGCATGAACATTGCCGCCCGACTGTACACCAAGAGAAGTCGTTAGGAACGAGCTCAGGATGCAGCGGCTGGGATCCATGTTGGCAGATTCAGGAACACGGACGACCAGAGGGCCGACCAGTCCTGATAGTGGCAATCAGTCAAGGGCGGGTTTCATGTTGGCAGCGCGCGAGCACGGAATGGTTGGCTGAATGTACCTTCTGCACGTGCATTTGTGATTTTATGATTCAACTTTTGCGGGCATGTCGACGGGATTGGGGGCCAAAGACCAGAAAGGACGTGAGCGAAAGGCGTAGAGCTGGACTTGTATCAGTATACTTATCACACAGCATGGGGCGTCAAGATGCATTCAGGTTGGCCTAATGAGCCATGGTTCTGCTCGGCGACAGGCTGAAAATATTATCTGCGTCGGTCATTCCAATTTTCATCTCTTGAATTAAAAAGGTAGAACTGGTGTGAAATGATGCGAAATGAAATACTTGAACTGGACATCTTGAGTACGTGCGGGTGCCTTAGTGCGGATATAAAGTAATATAAGGCCATAAAGCATGCTGTCGTGTGTGTACAAAACGAGCAGTGAGTGTCTTGCAGACTTGGTATCATAAGCGCGCACAGAGTTGCAAAGTCGCAGTCGAAGGAGCAGAGAGGAGACCGCATGATGCCCATTCCATCTTGGATTAGTCGTCTTGATAGAGCAATGACGCTGCGATGTCGATGTTCGTTCGGAAAAGAAATAAGGATTTGAGATTGGTGGCACATCTAGCTGTGGTGAGCAGCATGGTCACCCTTCTCATCAGGCAGAGGCTTCAACTGCTCGCCGATACGGTGGACAAAACCTCCTTCGCGGTGTTGGTGGCCTTGATGTCCTCCAATTCCGCCAATGTTCTCGGGGTCAATCGAACCCGTAGTTGCAGCTGCTGTTTCGGTAGGTCTTGTCGCATAAGTCCCGGTTCCTGCTTCGGCATGTGTAGTAGGCTCACGCATGCCAGTTGATGCTCCGGTAGGTCTAGTCTCATAAGAGCCTTCGTACTGGTTGGTACCAGTACCTGCTCCGAGATTGGTGTCGGCGCCATGTGTGGCGGTAACAGGCGTAACACCGTGATCGCCCTTCGAGAATGGGTTGTAGGATGGCTTCTGAAGACCACCGGTTTGCTCTTCATATTTGCTCGGGTGATGATCTGTGCTTGTAGTTGTGCCGGTAGCTGTGCCTGATTCATGGCGGCCATGGTGGGCTGCCTCTGCACCTGCAACTCCAGCACCAGCACCGACTGCGCCTGCTTCAGCGGCATGCCGGCCATGATGGGTATGGTCCTCCTCGTCGGTGCTGTAATCTTCGTCTTCGCCAGTATCCTTGTTCTTGCGTCGCTTGAAGATACGCTTGAAGAAGCCAGGCTTCTTCTCCTGTGGAGGGTCCTTATGCAGGACGTTGTGACCAGTCTCATCGGATACGACAGCAGGACGGCCTTCGCCGGCCGAACCTCTCCCAATAGCACCAGCTGTTGCAAGAGATTCTTGCTCATGCTTGCTAGGCAGCTGTTGCTTGTCCTTGTTCTTGTCATGCTCGTGCACACCATATGCAGCAGCTCCTGTTCCAGCTGCGGCAGCGGCTGCGCCTTCCTTCTCACGTCGGTGTTTCTCGGCTTCTTCAGCCTCACGACGGGCCTTCTCCTCTTTCTCGAGCTGCTTGTGATGCTCAGTCTCGGCAGCAGTTAGCTCTTTCTGGTGATGCTTCTCTTCTTTCTCGATTTCCTTCTGGTGATGTTTCTCTTCCTTCTCGATTTCCTTCTGATGCTTCTTCTCCTCCTTGACAGCAAGCTTATGTTCCTTTTCTATGTCCTTCTGGTGCTGCTTCTCCTCTTTGTGAGCTAGCTTCTCCGCTGCTCTCTGATCCTTTTCGAATTGTCTCTGTCGGGCCTCTTCCTGTTCAGCAAGATCCTTTTGCCGTCGGGCCTCGACTTCCTCGGCCTCATGCTGATTATGTTCGTGCATACCATATGCTCCGGCACCAGCACCAGCAGCGCCGGCCAGAGCAGCGTCGCGGCCAGTATGGCTCTTGTCGTGCTCTCGCTCAGTTGTTGGATCATTCCTGGCAGTTTTTTCTGAATGCCCTGTTGTGGCTGCGGGAGCAGTGGTTTTGGTGTCCTTGGTTGCGGTTCTGGTGTCCTTAGTTGATGTCACAGGCTCATGACGACTTGTAGTAGGCTCTTGTTCAGCACGATGCTTGTCATATTCGTGCGCGCCATAAGCGCCTGCCCCAGTACCTGCCGCACCGGCCAGAGCAGCATCACGCCCAGTGTGATGGTCATCCGTCTGGGTGGTTGGTGTCGTATCTCTAGGTCTTTCGGCAGACGTGCCCGCAGCGTGGTGAGCAGCAGTCTTCTCTTGCAAAGGCATCTGGGTAGCACCGGTGGAAGGCTGCGCTGCGCTTTCAGAACCTGTGTAGGGCTTGTCTGCACGAAGATCACCAGTTTCAGGTCGGTTCCGTTCGTGTTCTATGGCATATGCACCGGCTCCTGCAGCGCCTGCACCCAAGCCCGCAGCGGCAGCAGTCTTGCCATACCCTCTTGAATCTTTTTCTGGAGAGGGGTCACTGTACGGCGTACTCGCAGCTGGCTTCTGGTTGATGTCTCGCGCTGTGCCGGTGCTGCTTGTTGCCGGAGCGTAAGGGGCTCCCGAAGTTGTTTGTTGACCACCAGGCGCATTGTTGTACTCGCCAGTTTCACCTGGTTGTGATTTGCGCTTCTCATACTCATGAGCGCCTAGCGCACCTGCACCTAAGCCTGCGCCCGCCATGCCTACATTACGCCCAGTATGATCCTTGCGTTCAGGTTCGTCCGCGGCAGCTGTTGTACCACCTACAGGAGAGCTGATGGGGGCAGGAGAATGTTGGCCAGCAGGGTATGCGGTGGTGGGGATACTTTCTTTGCGGTGGTGAGAAGGTGAATGTCCAGATCCTGTTGTAGGTTCCGATTTAGTAGGCGCATGGTAGGAACTGACACCTGTGGTAGTCGTTGGCTGATCCCGTGTCTCTGATAGGAGACCTGGCTTGTCACTTTCACCTTCCCTAGTAGCAGCTCCAGTTGCGCCACCAGCAGCGGCTCCAAGACCCACGGCTCCCAAGATCTTCCCAAACGTCCCAGAATGGTTGGGCTCTTCTTGGGCAGTTGAGGTGCCGGTAGTGGAGGCATGACTGGGGCCAGTATCATACGGTGCTCTCGATCTTTCGGCTGTACTGTAGTCCCCAGCTCGGTCGGCAGGAGAAGCTGATGGCATCTGGCCCGAATCGGCGAAGGTGGTAGCATCATGAGCTGTACCAAGACCACTTGAGGTGAATGGCTGTCGGTGAGCCTCAGTTTCAGCGGCTGTACCTGCAGCAGCGGCAGATAGGCCTTGACCCAACCCACTGGAGCCACTAGTGCCAGCTCCTCTACCGGTTTCAGCTTCGAGACCCCTAGAGGCGAATGGCTCTCTCTCAACTGCAGTACCAGCTGCTCCGCCTGTCATACCTTCAACACCTCTAGAGCTGTATAGTTCTCTCTCACCTGCAGCTCCAGCGAGTGTATCACCACGGCCAGCAGACAGACCTTGACCCAAACCAGTCGAGCCACCAGTGCCAGCTGCTCCGCCAGTCGCAGCTTCAAGGCCCCTAGAGCCGTATGGTTCTCTTCCAGATTGGGCGCCAGTGATTCCAGAGGTGGCTGCCGAAGCAGCTCTAGCCGAGTCGGACGTAGATGGTTCGTCGTTGGGGAAAGCTCCTGGAATATGCGAGGCTGTTACTCGGTTAGCATCAGACATCAATGGCGAGAATCAGTAGACATACTGGTCGGGTCTTTGTTGAATGCTAGAGACGCTGCTGTAGTTGCGGCACCTGCAGGCACGCCGGCGTTTGATGATCCGTATGTATGTTCAGGCATCGTGTAAGTGGTAGGGTCGTTCGAAGATGTGTCGGCGACGTTGCCAATTGGGTCACCTTTGCGGAGGTGGTGTGAACTGTAGGTAGAGGTTTCGCCAATGGCAGCGGTGCCGATGTTCTCGTCAGATGTGGTTTCGTCTCTTGGAAAATGAGAACCTGGTCCAGTTATTCGACCGGAAGGACCTGAAGGAGCTGTGGTAGATTCAGGATCTTCCTTGTTAGAACTGGGCTGCCTTGAATCTTGGTCAGGCTAGGATCGCTCAAGTCCAGATGCGTAATACTCACAGTACTGATTTCAGTTTGTCCATCTCTATCACTTTCTTTTCACCCTGGAGCAGTCAGTGATATTAGGCAAAGCCTGTGAAGATGGTTGCAGTGTTCCAGGGCAAGAGATGCTGAACAAAAAACACGGTGAAGCTCGCATGGGCTCGAGTTGCGTCATCATTGTTTGCACGAGGCCAAAATACCTTGATTGTCAAAAGGCATATTCAAGCCACACAGTGTGACAGTGCACTGGGCAGGTGAAAACGCGGGTCATGGTGATGGCAATTGGACAGAAGCAATGGTTAGCCACTGACCGAGTTTGTGGGGTAGCGAATTCAGCTCGAGAGATCAGTCGTGGACGAGCCAAACTGGTGATGGTGGTGATGGCATGGTGAATTCAGATCCATGGCGAAATAGACGAACCACTCAGGATGCAAGTGTTCAGCTTTTTGGTGATACTGATGAAGTCATCGTTCCGCCCAAATGGACATGCCCATCGTCAGATCCTGGTCCAAGATTACCTAGGAGCACCCAGTGACGAGTAGTAGGCCACTGAGGCGTTTGCCCCGGGCGTGACTGAGTCAATAAGGTTGGCAATTCTCTACATCATCACCCACTTTTCCACCACCGACACCAGACAGAAAAGAGGGCACAGATGCAGCACCGAAGTTGGCCATGAAGTTACTCGCTGAGACGGGCCCATGGTGCTTGAGCCACGCGTCAAAAAGACCTGGGTGCCAGGTGATTGATGACGGCATATCCTACACAGTCGTCCACAGTAGTCCACAGTAGTCCATCACGTGATGATTCACTCATCACGTGTTAGTTGTGGCCGAGTTTCTGCCGTCGAGCTCGAGATCTTGAGGGTACTCCGTCACGTGTCAGTACTGTGTCACGTGTGTGTGTGTGTTCTCTGTTCTCTCTGTAAGCCACCACCTTCTTATCAGCTGGTTGCAAGCACGTACATGTGCAAATGCCTGAACAAACAGGCTCGCTAATCGACCAACCGATGCCTTTGAGATACACTACCGTGACTACGAGCAATTCCCTTATCTAGATGCTGCATGCACCAGACGTTTCAGGTGAGCCGAGCATGAAAAGGGCAACGCCGGAACCGCCAATTCGATAAAGCGCGGCCCCTTATCATAGACAACTGTTTTAGCCTATATTTTCTGCACTTCGGCCGACACGCTGCAAAAGGAAGCGATCTCACAGGGTGACAGGTGAGCTGCCAACGCCAGGCTTTGCACCGGCCAGACCTCCAATGCAAGGAACCTGCAATTGCCACCCAACCAAAATGCCGGACAGGCCACTCCAGGCCCAGAACAGGCGTGATCCCCTGGCACTGCTGGCAGAAGGTTTTTCTAGAAGGTGACACTGGGCTTCCCTAGCCTGACACGAGGTGCAGATCCGTGTTTGTGTGAACACGAGATTCTCGAGAAGAAATTCAACAAACCAAGCCAGCTCTCCTGCCATATCACCTGTGCATCGGAAATTACTTCTGCTCGCAGGAATTGCCCCTTCTTACATACACCACAATGTGGTATGCCCTCCGACCCGGTTGCATTGCATGGGCGGCAAATCTGGAGAAAGGAGGAGGAGAAATAATGGGTTTAGTGAGGTAGGATTGCGAGCCCAGTGGAGAGTTGGCCCCTGCTCCTTGTGCTCCCCTCCTCCAATGGGTGCTCAGTGGTGCTCCTTCAACTCCGCCGCCCGGGCCTCTGCCTATCGGGCCTACGTACGACGGAGTTGTCGGATGGTCGAGGCTTATCCTTCCACCTGCTGGCCTGTCAACGTCCTCATCTCGCCGCACAACGGATCCTCCTGCACAACTGGACGTTGCAACAACACTCTGGAACTCGGTGATAGCTATCCAGAAACTGTTTGTGAGTGGGTACTTCACAATCTACGCACAACTCTCGGTGCAACACTCAAGCCATGTCTTATCCCATCTTTGCTTCTTCCGGCTTTGTCCAAACGCCTGGGCCCCCACTACCTTTGGTACTCGACAACCGGTCGTTTCCACTGTCTCGTCATTCTACTCCGTACGTCTGGCTCAAACGGAACCTGGAATCCAGACTCATATACCGCTGATCACCCTATTCTCCATATCTCGCCTGATTAAACCTTGGACTCCTTGAATACCGCTGCAAATACTACGATAGCGCTTCCATACCTGAAATCAAATCTCAGCAGGTCCTCATCGACACCGTACATAACCGACACGAGCCTACCTATACTGCCTCCCGACGACACAGCCACCGCCTCTCAAGACAAGCGCAGTCCCTTCCGTCCCAATACTTCCCCCCACCTCATAGAGCAAGATGGGCCTCCGACTAAAACTACGAAAAACATTCTCCTCCAAACCAAAGAACACCACCAGCACCGGCCACATCCCTGAGCCCGGCGAGACATACTATACCGAGCGCACAGACATCGAATACTACAAGCCGCACGAGATCCCCCGGTCCAAGTACAGAGGCAAAGTCGATCCGGAACACCAAGCCAGCCTCGCAGCATTCAGCCTCGCAGATGCATTCTCCTCAGCAAGACGACGGTCATCACTAGCCCTGTCCGGCACGTTTAGCCCCGGTGGCACAAAAGCACAGAGTCGAGCGACGAGTCGTGCGCCGAGTAGAGTACAGAGCAGAGCACCAAGTCGCCGGCCTTCGCACGATCACACCCACCACGCCGCTGTTGCTGTTTTATCGGGCCTGCGAATGGAAAGCCACGCGAACAGTTCGAGCTCGGGCAGTACGAGTCGAGAGAAGAGCTTGTCGGCGAGTACGGCGCTGGATGTGGATGTGGATGTCGAGACGGCGAGTAGTACGTCTAACCCGGACCCCAACCCTCCTTCCTTCTCATTCTCTTTCTGTTTCTCTTTCCCCTGTTTTTCTGCGATGTCCGTTGCTGACCGAAACTCTGTTTTGTAGCGAGTATATCCGAACACCCAACCGCCGTGGCATCCGCCCCTGCCGAAGCAAACACAAACACAAACACCACAAGCTCAAAGTTGACGCAACATGATAGCGGAATCGGTATTGATGTCCCCGAGATCGTATTGTCGAAACAGATCACCGCGCACGATACGCCGTTCACGGCCGAAGAGCTCGAGCAGGCCATGACCCGCGCAACGTTGAAACCCAGAGGTTTTAGAGAGCTGGACGACGTACAAATGCCCGTCATGGGGAGGAGGTCTGCTATTGCTTCTTCGTGACGACTGGAGCGGCGGCACGTCGATTCGAAATTCAAATCTACAACTTGATCATGACATGGGCGATTATAGATGGGAAAGTGTGTATTACAAAGTTATGAAGAATGATAGAAAAGAACATGTCGCGGCTTTTTCAATTTGCTGGAGGAAGAAGCAGAAGACGATGATGGACGATTCACGGCACGAAGCTTGGTCCCACGTCAATTCACAGAATTCACCTTTATTTTTACGAGCAGCATTCAAAGGAGCAAGCATCCAACCATTTGATCGGCGCTGGAGTTTCTTGGGGCAACTGGTCGGCACAGCATACCAGCATTTAACGGAGTTTTGTGGGACGGCATTGGCCTACACGGAAAGGACAATCAATATCACACACTCAGAGGACAAGGATGAACACTGCATTGTTAACGGTCAAATTGTGGGAGGGGACTTCCTGACTATGATGATTTGGCATGGCATTATAGACTCCTCATCCCTGTGATCGAAAGGCAAGGGTCGGGCGGGTACAGCTGGAGGTAGAAGTATTTCTCTCTATCTGATGTGAGATGAAGAGATACATCTATACCTTCTCCAAATTCATGAGAATATTGATGACAACTCATCAACAATCCCTTTATAGGTCGCAATTGGCCATTCCTCCGTCATACTGTCGCCCACGACCGCCTTGTCATAACCGGTGCAGGTCTTTCGTCGCTGCATTTGCTCCGTACTGAAACAGTAGAGAGTCCGCGCTGTCGTACGGCTCTTCGGGCTTCGGGCTCTGATGATGGTGTCGATTCGGAGGTGTTCCTGGACGTGATCACTCAAGTTGTTCATGATTTGATCACCCTTATCCATCCGTGTGGTAGACTGGATCTGACCCAAGACGAGAAGATGTTATGAGTGGCTTCATGTTGTTGACTATTGCAACGGAATACACGGCAGTGGCGGAACGTCGGGATGACGAAGTAGTATCGCTACCATCCGCCTGAAAGCATCAGCGTCATCCTGATCTGGGGCTGCATCCTCCTCGTTCGTCAAACGAGGGTCTCAGCAATAGAAGGATATCGCTGAGACAAGCATACAACATCCGATGCTGTGGATGAGTGAGTATACCTTCGCCAGTGCAGAAAACTGGGCCTTCTTCTGGCAGAAGGCTCTTCCCATCCTTCGGCAACTGAGTTCGTTTGTGGCCGTCCCCGTGCGAGCATACTCGTTCAGTCGTCAGTATGCGTTACAGCCATGTCGAGGACTTCCAGTCTTCCTCGGCCCTTTGTCTCAGCAGTACAAAAGTCCATCAGCGCCTTGTAAGCACCTGGCTCAACGAAGCCGGTGACCTCCCAATCTTCCCCCACAGTGTCTTGACTTTCGACTTGTTCGACAAACGAAAGGATCCTGTCTTTGATGGTGCCTCTGCCTTGCTCGCCGTCGGCGCTGTCCTCTGTAGATGCCGCTTTGGATTTCGCTGCCTGTTTGGCGACGCTGGTTGGACAAGTTATCCGTAACCTCATTCTTGCTCGCATGACGGGGATGGGTTGCCAGGCTATCAACGCCCGAATGGCTTCCAAGGCTTGCTGCTTGACTGATTTCGTCGTCACTACACCAGTCCACATGGGCATGTCGCTCCTCTTCCCCTTTGACGTGCCCGTCGATTCGTTGTCGTCGTCGGTCATCGGAGTTGCCTGGCCACTTGTTTCGCTAGAGCCCTTTGGTAGGCCTGCGCCGTTCTTGCCGCCTTCTCCTAGATTCAACTTGCCAAGTTTGTGCCCGAGAGAGTCTTGTGGAGGTACGTGTCCGCCCTGTTTGGAGAGTACGTCCAGACCCTTCTTGATCATGCCAGTTGTATACACTCTCTTGGTCTGAGGATCGACTACTCTCTGGGCTACTTCTTCAACAATTTCTCGCTCCATTCTGTCCAACAACTCTTTTCTCTCGTTGGCATTGACTTGTATCTCGCCCTTCTTCAGAATTTCTTCTATGATCGCATCTTTCCAGGACTTCTCATCGTCGCCTTCATCTGCCGACTTGCCCTTGGCCTTCTTGCCTCCTTTTCCGCTTGATTTTCCACCGTGTGAGGGCTCAGAGGACTGTGCCTGCATTGGCCAGGCTTTGACGAGTTCGGAATTCGGGGCGGTTTCGCCCTTGGAGGCGTTGAGGAAAATGGTGGGGATTTGCAGGACATTGTCAAGATCCTTTTCGAGGCCTGAGCGGTATTCCAGCAATTTGTTCTTGTAGCATGCCAACTCAAACCGCTTCTTGCCTTTCTTGTACCGGACAAGCGACACATTGGTCAATTTGATTTGATTCGCGGGCTGCTGTATCATGGGCATGGTGACGATGGGCGGTGGGAGTCTTGGTAATTGAGAAAGAGATCATCCGTTGAGAGCTGAACAGAGATATTCAGCATATGTCAAGGCGGTTTCGACTCATCCGATGCGTCACAGCCTGGCAGAAGAATTCGTCGAGTCATCGGTATGAGTAACTCAACCAGGCGGTAAGGGAGCAGTGGTGAGTTGGAGATTCTCGAGTTGCTGCATTTCATGCGGAGAATTTTTTGGGAGGCGTCGCAGCCAAACGTCCAGACATCACGACCTGCGCTTTGCCATTTACCCTCTTGTCATCCCGAGATCCTTGCTATTGAATGGACATGTGGACGTCAACAAGACATGCAACCTCCTCGATAAGTAGAAGACTGCCGTATGTCTGCGCCGAGTGTCGATTGCAGTTTTCTCAAAGATTCTCAACTTTGCCGCAATGGCGAATCTACAATCTTGCACATCTACGATCCATTCCGGACTCTTCAAGGATCAAGGGAAGAAGGTTTTCGACGCGGAATGGGAGGAGGTCCTCGATCAGCTCATCTCAAATCCCTACCACATCTGATGTACCTGCTATAGACTCGGTCCTCAGCGCAGGCGATCATCACCAAAATCCAGCCAAGTCCGTCATCCGTGACCATTTAAGAGCATGGAGCATACGGAATCAAAAAAGCAAACTCGAGGACGCGGAGGCACAATATACGGGCTCCGGGAGGCTGGATACACTTCCAAACTCTTTGTTTATTGAGGAGACAACGTCCGACGAAGGTCCAATAGATGCGGACCTAGAGCAGTATGAAGATACTCTCGAAGGCTCCTCGGCGGCTCTACTGGAGCATGGGGATCTCTTTTACTGCCGCTCCTCCGTCGCTAAGGGTCGCGATCAGTTTGGGGTCTTTCTGGGCCAGGTGGGTCCCCAACTACAGGTATTCCTCGCTGATGGTAGATGGGTCGCCGACAATGAGCTTGTAATGGGGTATAGCCCGGTTTTAAGGGGCTTCGCATCAGAGAAAGACCTGGATCCAATCAGGAAGCATCTGCCAGTGAAACCGTTAGAAATGCGCTCTGATGGAATCGACCTACCTCTCACTCGATCTTTCGCTAGCGACGTGCCGCATGTGGATGGGGCTGCTCTGATGCAGCGAATGGCCACACTCTCAGCAGCAGTGTTGAATTTCCGGCGAAGCAATATTCAATTGATGGACACCGTTTACGAGCAAATTGCCCATGATCAAAGATACAGATGTGTCTCACTTGATGACATTTACGCCGAACTTCTCAACCTAAAGCCGGGCGAGGTTCCTTTCGAGGCCCAGATGGCCGTATATCTCGAGCTGAGAAAGAACTCCACCATCATACAACCTGTGGTCTTGAATCCTAACGTCCCCTTGTTTGTTTTCCTGCCTCGAAAACTGGCAAAAAGTTTCGAACAAGTCTGCGAATGGGCTCGACAATATCAGGAGGCCGCTGCTGATGCGGCCCTCGGGAAGAACGTCTCCTTGGTCCTCGGGCAGAACCCCCTGACCAAGTTCATCGAGAAAGCTAGACGCTCGATCCTTAAGAGTCGAGCGCTTCGGTCTCCTACCACGACGGGCTGTCTGGGACCGAGCTCTGTCCAGTCCTTCACAGACAAGCAGGTCGAAACACAAGATACCGGGATAACTTTTTCGGAAGACGAACACACGATACTCGAGTTTCTCTGGGACTGTTACATCCGCGTACCACCTACAGTTTACCGAAACAAGCACCATTCCATTGGGTCTCTGATATTGCGCGCTATCGGGGCTTATCCAAAACTGCGGCTCGAACGCGAAATCGGCAGTCTCCTCCTCCAGGAATTGGGAGTGTCTTCACCCTGGGCAGACGTGATCGATCGCCACACAGCGCTGCCAATCCGTGGGCGGAGAGGGGCTGATAAAATCGACCTCCTGTTTGCTGAGTCTGAGAAAGTGTGCGATGAGATGGGATTGACGAAAACCCCAGATCGCGCTTTGCTCCAAGATTCCATGGCTGATCTTCGACAAGACATGGGAGACCTGCCCGTATTCGTTGTCGACTCCATTTATACCAAATTTAGAGATGATGGCTACTCTCTTGAACCCAACCCCGATATTCCAGGCTCTTACTGGATCCACGTTCATGTGGCACATCCGTCTGCATTCTTCGGTCCGGACCACATCTTTGCGAAAAGAGCTCGAGCGGCAAATGAAACTTGGTATCACCAAACAGTCAGCCAGCATATGCTGCCGACTCCATTTGCAACTACCATGAGTCTCGGCGCGAACTCTCCAACAATGACCACCAGCACTCTGATAACAGAATCTGGAGAGGTGCTGGACGTCCAGATCCGACCGTCGAAAATACACAATATAATCCCGCTGGATCCACTTGCCGTGCACTGCGCTTTAGGAAGACCTTTACGAGAACAAGCCTATCTAATCGTCGGACAAGCTTCCAGCACCGACCATATTCCGGGACAACCACCGCCGGAACATCTCTTGGAGCAGGCTCGAATGCACCTACCCACGCTTCAAAAGCTGGAGAAACTGCTGGAAGCCCGGGCCAGAGCACGCCGTAACGCACTTCCCGAATATGCGGATTTCCCTACTCTACGCAATGCCCTCAAGGCATCTGTCTATAATGTGGAAAGCTATAATCCGGACCGACTCTCCAAAAGTTACCACTATATGGGAGATCCAACAATCAAAATTGTGGACGACCGTTATGTCTCCATGCTCCGCTTGAGCGAAATGGACCGTCATCACGCTTTGACAACCATGGTTATGATTCTCGCATGCGAGTCGGCAGGCAAGTGGTTTGCTGATCGGAACATACCTGCTTGTTTCTCAGGGGCGACCACTCAACCTGGATCACCTCTATCCGTGCTTAACAAAAGCGATGCCACCGACACTGGTCGTGCACTTCCTCTTCTCAAGACCTCAGCAGAGCCGATACCACATGCCTGGTTAGATACCGCTGCTTACTTGCAATTTACCAGCCCAATCCGACGGTTCCGTGATCTCCTTGCACAATGGCAGGCCGACTCGTATATCCGGGCCGTGGCGGATGGTCTAATAAAACCTGGGGATGATGTGGAAAAGATACAGCTGCCTCTGAGCCGCCAGATGGTTGAGGATTTTATTCTCGAAGAGCAAAACTTCCGCCGGGTTGGTCCCACGATAAAGAGTGACCATCACTGGACATTCCGTGCGCTCTTTCGGGCTTTTCACTTCAAAGAGGCACAATTGCCAGAGACTTGGGACGTCATGATTATCCGTCGCGTCAAGCCTGAAAGTAGTCGACATGAAGACGACACGGGTGTGCGAGGTTGGCTTCGACCTTTCAATCTGTCCGTACGGCTTCTGAAGTCACCCGAGGGATGGGAGAAACTGGCAAGACCGTCCTCGTACATGCCAGTGAAGCTCGAATTGGTAGACTTGGCTCTCGGCGTCGTCTTCTGCAGACCCGTTGGAGGGCCTAGTGACACGCCCCATCATACTGACCCCATTCAGATCGGACCCAAAGCTGTATCCTCATGAAAGAAGCCATTGAACATCTCGCCGTAAAGTGTTTTGACGATCTATTTTGACTAGTTTGTGACTGGCATTTGAGGACATATCAACACAAGAGGTTTCCTTCTGACCCAGCCGACCTACTAGGATTGGCTCTCGCTAAAAACCTCAATCACAAGGACAACACCTTTGGAAATAATGCTATCGAGCTGTCAGTATGCGCCATACACAGTAGAGGGATCTGAATGGAGGCAAAGGGTCTCGGATGCCCCTGCCGGCGCCACGTCAAATCTGGATCTAAAATGCCTGTTGCCCAGTCTGATGAGGTTTTGGGTTTGCTATCGACCTCGCTTTCCACGGGCGGATCCTGGTCCCCGAGTGACAAATAGTCATTGGGCTTGACAGAAGTTTGTTCTCCTGCAACCTTTCAGCTCACCCACTGTTTTGCTGCACATTTCTCTGACATGGTTGTTTGTGACGTCTGAAACCAGGGGCCAAGAGTGCAATGATGATGATAGACACTTTGGGGTGGACGACCAAGAGCCCCTTCCTACAACTGTTTTGAGATATCTCCTTCAAACCTGCTGTGACCGATTGCTGGACCCCGCGGAAATGACCATGGAACCTGTTCTCAAGGGCCTGGTTGGTTTGTACGTACAGCATGCAAGGGACACCCTTGCTTTCCCCCGATGTCGATGGAATGTGAGGCTGGCATCGGCCTGGGATCAACATCAACAAATAAATCGGTCAACCAGTGATTTCAGCAACAAAGTGCGCGCAAATGTGGCTTGCCCCAGGTATGGGGCACATTATTTGGCTATTCACAGCACTATCGTTGCGAGTTATCTGGAGGTTGCGGCGTGGGGGCTGCCGCCGAGTCAGTTGGCTCGACGCGGCACCGCGTGGACTCGTCCAGTTCGCAGTCAACTTTACGGCCAGCGGACTGAGCTGGCGATGAAAGTCATTTCCTCTCCCCGCGTTGGCACCGGCCGTTGCCTGGCTCTTGTAGGTACCGTCACTCAGAATCATGAGGCGATACCTTGCATTTTTGTCGGGTGTTCTGTACGCTCGAGCAGAACATTGCCTGTTGCGCGTGATTTATCCTTGCATCCTTACGCTCACGGCTCCTGCACAGTACTGAATCCTGGGAGGGGCGGTGTGGCATGTCACATTCAGGGCAAATGCTGTCATTATGCTGCGAGTGGTGGTCATTGGCACGGCGGAATCTCCGGACCTGCGGGCTAGGGGGAAAGGCGAAAACTAGGTGCTTTAGGCATGCCGGGAGGAAGCCACAAGCGCCAAATTTCTCGCCTGGACGACGCTAGGTAAGCGAGTCCCTCAGCACTTAGGGATGCCGGTGTTGCTTGTTTAGGTATGAGGTACAGAGGCTCGACTGGCACGGTTAGGTTAAGGGTACGGGCTTTAGGAACGTGCCTTCGGTCCTCTCAACGACCATGGTCGCCCTCCCTGAGCGGATACGCTGGGTACCAGATGGGCAACTTTAAGAGCGGCCAGCATCGATGCGGCGCTCTTGTCTCTGCTTGCAACTGCGGGCTCACTAGGCTAGGACAACGGTGACCTGTCAGTTCCAGAGGAGCCTCCAGTCTCATAACTGATTCAATCATTTCCTATCCTTCCCAAGGGGCCCGCAGCCTTAGCAAACTTGGAAGCCAGGCAGCTGACTGGTCGCATTGTTTCAGGCCAATCACCCTGGACACCCTGGAGTGAACAAGGGTTCTGACATCCTGGTCACACAAGATCGATCAAACGACAAAGCAAGATCTGGCTGCGATCTCTCGTCAATCTTTGCGGTCGAATAATGTTTTCCGGCCCGAGGACCGCATCACCGCAACCCGCAGACCCTGACTTTCCCCATCAACATCAGAGTCAGTCCAGACCGTTGATTATTTGTAACGATCATCTTCACGCACGCGCATCTGCGTCAATTCTCATGCACGACGCTCATCAAAGCTCTTGAACTCTGTAGATTGGCACGATGCGGGCTCGTGGCTACCGGGTCCGCAATGCAGAGGCACTGATCCCCTGGACAGTGACTCGTGGATGAGCGCAGATGGGATCGGATCCTCTCAAATCATGTTTGCAGCTCGATCTCGGAAGTCCAGTCGTCACTTTTGGGGACTATGAAGCCCCCAAGGCGACCATTCATGGCTAGTTGCTTGCTAACCCCAGTCAACCGTGGAGTTCATCGCGCCTTCGAGCACAGACCTGAAACTACGAGCTAACTCTCACTCACACTCTTTTTGATTGCTGGGCGAGAGCTTGCCTCAGCTCGAACGTTCGTGGACTCCGCGACCGATTCGAATGGATCCAACTACTAGTGGAATCGATTGGCGTCACGGATAGCCACAGCCGGTGGGGCTCTGTATCTCCAGCTTGCTTGTCCACGCTCGTCAAACCTTTCCACCAGGGCCCTTTTGGGCTCTCCCTTGAGTTTGCCATTACTGTTTTGCGTCGGCCTCCATGAGCCCATTCGAGCTGACGGTCCATGCCGATTGGCACGCTTCCACCAGACATGAATCCTAGCAAGTTTTCGACGCTAACGCTAATGCCAAATCTAAAGCTCCCACTGTTTCTTCCACCTTCATTGGCATTTTTGGGCTTCAGAAGACAGACAAGGAGCACCATTTCTTGCAGCTGCCTGTCAGGAAGCCCATTCCTTTGCCACCTGTGTGGTTCTTATTACCGTGCCCACACTGCTGGACCTTTTGACGCATTGTGTCTACTTCCATCGCGACTCTATCCTCGACGTCCTTTTCCATGAGGACTCAGGAACGGAAGAACTCGACAATAACATACATGTTGCGCACACATTATTGTCGGCCCTAAAAACAGTCATTTGATTCTCGCCCTGACATTGCGCGTTGAGGACCCGTTCCGTTCATACCTGTTATATTATCGGCTACTTACAGAACGCCATCCGTGGTTGCGGTGCCTCATTAGGAAGGCCATGGTTGCACAGAACCATGAGAGTGACATATGACAATGACAACACCAGTGCATCCGTCGTCTCAAGGCGGCGATTTTACAAGAGTTCCGAAGAGACGAGCCAACTCTTGCGTGCCCTGCCGCGTGAGCAAGTCCAAGGTATTACACTACACGACACTCTCACGACTCCGTGTCAAGGTCAAGGACTAACAAGATGTATAGTGCTCGGGCGGAATTCCTTGCTCAACTTGTCAGCGGAAGCGCAAGAAACCTCGATGCTTCTATCCCAGTGTGCTGACCAGGGATGGCGAGGACAGTGAAGTGCGCAATTGCAGTCGAAGATGCTGGTGTCCCGGCTAACAGGTCGTGACAGGCCCTGAGATCCGGTTCATTGGACCATGACCAGGCCGAAGACACCGATGGCTTCGGCCAACAAGATCAAGTTCCTGACTACGGAACAAACGGCGCAGATGATCGCGGTCTCCCATTCAGGGTTCACGATGACTTCTATGCTGGCTTCTCGCTGGCGTGTACCATAGACGAGGTATGTTTGGATTGGCGCGTTATTCCGCAGGTCTCAATCTAAGTATGACCCTAGTATCGGTCGCTGCTATCTACAGAGGGGCGCGTTAAGGATATTGTCGACTCTATCCACACAGTTCGGATCTTCAAACCCCAATACGATGAGGAAGACGGACTACTTGCAAGCGATGCGCAAGACCCTGAGCAATTGCTCTCTGCAGTGGGACCCCGCTCATCAGTGGCCGCTGATGTCGACAGTCAGTTCTCAAAAGCTCTTCGGCAATTATATTTGAAATATTTGAAGACAAGAAAGCTTTTGGACGAGGGTTTAGTTGCTCAAGCTTGGATCGCGCTTGCTTCCCTCGTGCGTGAAGCTCAGATATATGGATGTAAGATCCCTCTTCCCAAGAAACAAGGGTTAATCAGCTCACAAAAGCCAGTGGAACAGGATAGGCACGCCGATGATCCAGAATATCGTCGACGCATCTTGTGGCTTCTGGTCGACCTCGATGCTCAACTCACTTTCCTTCTGGGTCATGAATCTGTAACCTCTTGTTTCCGTCCGAGCGCCAAACCATCACTCAGAGCTCTGAAAGGCGAGGAGAGGACGCTTCGAGAAAATGTTCAAGACTTCTCTTCTTTCGCATTGGAAATCATGGAATACATCAACACTAACAAGGCAGAGGACGAGAGGTCCTCACGACTCAGATCACAGAGACTGGAAGATGCTCTACGCGTTCTACAAGAGCACAAAACCCGACTTCCTCCGCTTCAACAAGAAAACCTGACAGACTCAACACTATGGACGGCTATCGCTGACCACCAGTTTGAGGTGCAACTATTTGAAGTTGCCCTTCAATGTAGAATGGCTCGACAGTCCCTGCCGGAGCCGTCACAAACCATCACCGAAGTGCAGGAGACGTTGACCAAAGCAGGAAGGCCTCGTCTTCCGCGGAAAGTAACACCGAAGGACATTCCCAGAGACCTGCTTCAATCAGTGAGACAAGTTGTTGATGTCTTCGAGTACATTTACCACCTTGATGCAACAAATACCGCTTCTTCCTGGTTGCGTTGCTTCGGCCTTTACTGCGCAGCTGTCATATTGGCCATCTCTCTGCTGCGGGGGGAGAATGATGTGGAAGAAGATGTCTTTCGTGTCGAGCGGGCTCTGAAAATCTTCCAAGATTTTTCGGGCCCAACACGGCCGTCAATTGCATTACTTGCTGTGTCAAGTCTGACTGAGCTCATCAACGAAATGAAGAGTGACAATCGACAGAATGAGGATTCCGGTGCTGACGCCGACTCAGAGTTTGAAGATTCAGAGCGACCAGTCAGCAATCAGCCCTCCACAGCCACTCGAGTGGAAGCTGGCGAACAATCTGTACATCTGGAGGCTGGAGAGCCACCGAGTGTCAAACGCCCAAATCCCTCCTCTTTCCAGAATCAGCATCGATCCGAGAAAAGGAGCAGATACGACGAGATGCAGACAAGTTTTGATCGTACCACGCATGGAAGTCTTGTTACTTGGCAGGTGAGACCTGAGCAAGCTCATCAGCCATACAGTCAGCCCATGGCTACATATGGGGACATGGCAGCTGCATCGTTCCATGAGCCGCGGACCCAAGGCAGTTTCGAGCCACATTCTTTCCCCACCAGTGCAGCAAGTTCATTCAATTCCAACATGGACTATCCTTCAGCTCATCCGGATGACCCTGCTGGGCAGCTGCCCTATCTCTCTTGGTTTCATCCTCCGATGTGGTTCCATCCACCTCTTTGGGACAAATCATGGGAATCTCCAGGAGTATCTTTTGGCGTGATGTCTCATGATGGCGCATCGAATCCCTACTATGGACAACACCCCATGCCGATCAACGAAGCACCACAACCTGAAATTCGTGACGGCCATCATGTCGGGGTCCACAATTCCGCGCCCAAACCTCAAGGGGTTCTACCCATGAACGACGCTAGAATTGCTCATAGTCATGCTGGAGGTCCTATACGAATGAAAGCGGAACAGGTTCCGATGCAGCACGATGCCCAATTCTATGAAACAAATGGGAAGACGTTTGTGCATCCAGAACATCCAGTCAGCTCTCCTATCACGAGCGACGGTTTCGTGCACCAAGCGGATGCTTTTGGTCATCCTGACGGATCTCTACGACGCCGGAGCGTTGCTGACATTAGACAACAGCAGAACACTTCCTGGAGACCCGAGGGACCTCCTCAGCCTCAGTACACCGAGGCAAAGTTCGTCGCGGGTGGTGGTATGCATCGACCCCCCACACCACCGCAAGAGAGTCTCCGGTCTCCAACAAACGAATCAGATCCAATGTCAAGACGCAATTCGGCAACGTCAAGACAAATTGGATACTCAGGTATGCTACCGGAACGACCTGTGATGGAACCGGCGCAAATGGCCATAGCTTCCCAGATGAGGGAGGCAGATCACTATCCACATCCACCATCACGAAAGCAGTCCACAGCAGGAATTCAAGATGTTGCTATGGCGGATGGGGTTGTTCCGTCACAAGAACAAGCCGGGCAACAAGGCTGGCAATGGCATTATCCTGCACCGAAACAAGGTCCTTACCTACCTCAGGGGCCCATAGTCTATCACAACCTTGACAGTATAATGGAGCATGGAATGGCGTACGACCAGCAATTTCAACGACACTTACAACCGAACCAGGTCGTCTCGACGGGCGCGTATGCTCCTAATGCGGGCCGACATGGCTGGTGGGGATGAGCTACTTGATGTTATGATTGTCTAGATACCCCTACCAGCTGTACGATGGGATGATTATGGAATGAATGGGCGGCGCTTCTGAGCGGGACAGTGCATATTAAGATGCCCTATGTATATTATTAGCCATGGGCAGCAGCCGTGATACCATTAGATCACTGTGGTAGGCAAGGGAGAAGAGGCCATTGTGTCATTGTGCCATAGTATGTTAATATGAATGAATACCTAGGTAAGGATGGAGAGCAGTCGAATTCGTGTCTCGTGTGCATGTGTCGTAGTGCGCGTGCACGATCCGTCGGTAGCCGCGTGTCCTCCCAAAGCTGCTGTCAATCCAACTCTGCATTCTTTTCTTTATTCTTCCTCTGCCACGTATAACTCAAAACTCCTGACTCTTAACGCACGCTTTTCTGGGAATTACCAACATGTAAGCGTCGGCATGTATCCTCCATTCGACTACTTTGAGCATCGCCGGGCCTGGTAAGACTTCTGTCTCTGTCCCCGCCCATCTTATCGATTCTCCTGTTTCTCTTGTTGTCCGCACCCCTTCCAACACAGACAGAGCCCTGCGTTACTGACACTGACCTGTTATGGTTTTCGTGCAGCGTGATCAAGCAGCGCCAGCGAGATGCCCGCTTCGAATCCCTCCCCGATCTCTACAAAGGTCCTCTGACCTCGCACCAAAGATCCATCCTCGACGCCCCGATCGCCAGCCTCGTGCACGATGTACACAGCGGCACGCTCTCGGCCGTCGACATCCTGCGCACGTACGGCAAGACGGCGGCGGTCGCGCAAGAACGCACAAACTGCATCACCGAACTCCTCCTGCCCGAGGCCGAGGCATGGTCCAAATCGTCCGACGTCAACCTCAAAGGTCCGCTCGCGGGCATCCCCGTCTCTCTCAAGGACTCGATTGCCGTCGCGGGCTTCGACGTGTCGGTCGGATATTCACGACACGTGTTCAAGCCGTGCAGCCAGGATGGGGTCATGGTCAAACTTCTCAAGCGCGCCGGCGCGATTCCACACGTCAAGACGGCGCTGCCCATCACATTGCTGTCCTTCGAGAGCACGAATGATCTCTGGGGCGTGGCTAGGAACCCTCACAATCCCCGTTACTCGCCGGGCGGAAGCACGGGCGGAGAAGGAGCACTGTTGGCGCTGAACGGTTCGAGAATAGGCATAGGCTCGGACGTCGCGGGCAGTGTGCGTGCCCCTGCGGCGTGGTCGGGCATCAACTCGCTGCGGTGCAGCACGGGGCGATGGCCCAAAGTCGGCATGAACACGAGCATGCCGGGCCAGGAGGGGATTCCGAGCGTCTTCAGTCCCATGGCCCGCACGCTGGACGACCTCACGTACTTCACGAGGGCGTTTATACAAATGAAGCCCTGGGAGGTGGATTACACGGTCCACCCTATCGCGTGGCGTCAAGAGCTCTACGACACGGCCGCGGGCGCAAGTACGAGTAGTAAAAAGCTTCGAGTCGGTCTGATGAGCACAGATGGCGTCGTGCGGCCGAGTCCCGCGATTGCAAGGGGTTTGAGGCTGACGGCCGACGCGCTGCGAAAGGCGGGACATGAAGTTGTCGAAGTTCCCGTGGATTCGTTCCCGAGTAACGCGACGCCCGCCCAGGCACTGCAGATCGCCAGCGTGCTGCTTTGCGCTGACGGCGGACGCACATTCAAGTCTTTCTTCCGCACCGGTGAGACCAACGACCCCGGCGCCGCGCAGATACATTTCTACATGGGCTTGCCCCGCCCGGTCAAGTATCTGTGGTACCTGTTCACGCGCTACGTGAGGCGGGATTCCCTGTGGGCGAGCCTGTTGCGGTACTTCCACCCTCTCAGCGCGGTCGAGCAGTGGACATGGGTGGCCAAGAGGGAAGCCTTCAGGGCGACGTGGTTTGACTGGCTAAACAAACCTCAGCAGGGGTTCGATTTCATCTTGTGCCCGGGCAATGCTACCCCGGCCTTACCGCATGGCGCGATGAAGGACGCGGTGGCGAGTTGCGGGTATACGTTTTTGTGGAATCTGCTGGATTATACCGCGGGCATCGTGCCGGTCACAAAAGTCGATAAGGACCTGGATGTACTACCGGCGCAGTGGAAGGCCAGCAACGGCGTCGAACGCGGAGCGTACAAATACTATGACGCCGTGAGAATGGACGGCCTGCCCATCGCTGTGCAGATTGTCGGGCGGAGATTGACCGAGGAGAAGACGCTGGGCTATATGAGGGTCGTGGAGGAGTGTTTGAGGGAGAGCGGGACGGTGTATGAGCATCTCGACATAGAGAGATTGCCGGAAATCAAGGATATCGAGAACCAGAAGAGTAAGGTTCCTGTGCATCCCGGGAGGATTTGGTAAACGAAAAATCAGTGTGCTGCTCCGGGCCAGGCCAGCTCGGCTCTCGATGAAATAAATGAGGACAAAAGTGCCATGTGTATATATAATTAGAATATACTGTACTTGATCCTTCTTCCTTCTCCGACCGTGATAAGCGTGAAATCCGACTTTTGTACCAGTACCATGGTATCAGATCAAAAAGAAGCCCAGTCGTCAAATTACATAGATAGATAGGTGACATAAAAGATGACAAACCTGGACGCCGCGCTGTTGTATATATCTGACAGACCACAATTCAATTCATGTGGTCGAATGGCTGTTGCTCTGTCCTCCTATAATTGAAAAAATCGTCATGTACCAAATGATCATGTTCAATGGCGCGGCCGTCCATGTACCTCGGCCGTACTACCCTGGAACTCTGGTGAATTCGGGTTATAGTGAATATGATCGCTCGCTCGGTGTTGCTGGACAAAGCCCATTGTTGACGGCCGATCATTGCGAATGTCGGCTCCATGTGCAGGGCCCAATGCCGATGCAGAGTGTCGAAGCTGAGTGATATAGGATGCCGGAGCAGGCACATTCTCATCTGGTTCGCGCGTGATACTCGATGTCGTGGACTCTGCTCCGGTCGAATATCGCTTGTTGCGTGCAGCTGACGGTTGAGTATTCGAAAATGGTATGCGACTCGCACTGAGGTTCTGGCCGTAGCCTTTGTGATCCGGGTATTTTGTTGGAGGAAACGATGGAGGCATTCTTGTCCGCGATCCCGTGTCTGAGCCGGATTGTCGCCGAGAGCTCTTTCGCGGTAGAGCTGGTACAGCAGGAACGTCTGGAATATCCGTTGGTGGAGGTCTATTGCGAGACTTTCGTGATACTTCAGACCCGATTCGACTTGGCAGCTCAATCCCTCCCACTGACTCGACTAGAGGGAGGGAAGGAGGTTGTGCTGCGACACGTGGAATCGGCTCCTCTTCCTCGTCGGACTCAACGACTGACTCATCATCATCATCATAAAGACTCTGTCGTTGTGGTGGCGGCGATGCGATTCTCGAACTGACGCGGTCAGGTCGACTGTCTGCAACATTCTGCTGCTCATCGTGATATGGTTCGACCGGATGAGCTTCGGGTTCAGAAACATGAGGAAAGAGGCCTGGTGGAGGAGCACGAGCACTGCGCACGACCTCGAACCCTTTGGTTTTCTCCTTGGTCTTGCCGCCAAGTAACCCCTTGAACCAGCCTCTGGCTGTCGAGACTGGTCCCGTAGGATCGGCCGGACCAGTCTTCAGTTTTCGTGTTCCACTAGACAGTGCAGCGCCACGGACACCGTAATAGAAGTCCACTTCTCGGACAGCATAGTCGGTCTTTGACCGTGGCGTATCGATGGCAACATCTTCGTAGGGTTCATCATCTTGTCGCAAAGGTGTAGATGCACCTTCACCAGCGTCATCGTCGAGTGCTCGTTCATCCGGCTTCACATCTTTTGAACCTTCGCCTGCAACAGTAGCGATTGCACAAGCGTCATTTCCAGCAAGTGGGTCTATAGTATTTCGACGAGGAGGCCGATAATATGGGTCCTTGGTTTCGGTTTTGTGGTGAAGTCCGACAATTCCACCCAGCGAAGCAGTACCGCTGAGTCTGTTGGTAAGACGTCTTGAGGCTTTGCTAGATCGATCAGGTGTCGCTTGGCCCAACGCTCGTCCATCAATATTTGAACTCAGTCTGTGAGAGCTTCTCCCGCTGTCCAGCAATGCACCAGACGCTGCCGAGACACTGCGAGATCTCGTCTTTGCCATCTGTAATTGCTTCTGTTCATTTTCCATAGAATTAAGTATGGCAGCATTGGAAGCCATACTATGGCGTGAGTTTGCATCCCTTCGTGGGAGTCGTCGGGACAACTGTCGCATGCCAAACACTTTGTTGAGGCCACCTCGGGGAACAGCACCTGTGTCATGATCGCGGCCGCCAGCACCGGCGATTCGAGCAATGACTTCAATCAATGTCTGTACAGCATTGAGGAAGAAACCAAAAACAAGGGTGCAGGCATGAATTATTAGGATAGCATATCCAATCCATCCTCGAGTTGAAACTCCAACGCCAAGCGAAGGTACAAAGGCGATAGATAGTAGAATCGTAATGAGTCGTATTACAGCAAAACAGGTGTGGTAGATATTCATCGAAGTGGCGGATGGGAAAGGTCTGAAGGCATTGATTGTCAAGATGAGAACAATCTCAGATATGGCCAAGAGTACCACTTGTGCCACTCCAGAAGGCTGGACAGCACCGATCGCGATGCCCCGTAAGAAGTTCACCAGCAGCGGGATCATGGCGAATGTGGCAGCGTCGTCGCAATATGTGTTGTACAGAGGACCGTAGGCAAGCACCGTCAGGAGGTCATCGAAAAGGAAAGATCGTGGTCTCGTTTGGGCGAAAAGAAGCATAAGCCGGACGGCGAAGAGAACAACCACCACCAATGAAACTGCTGCGAGTGCGACCGAATAAGCAGGACCACGGGAGGCTATCAGAAGTTGGTAGAATGACAAAGCAATCCATGGGAGGATGAAGTAGTTTAAGGCGATGCGAATGACGTTGCCAATGGTGAACGGGCCATTCTTGGATCTCAAGTCCTCTGCTGGTTCATTGGCGATCTGCCGATATACCCAGCGTGCGGCAAAACCCAGCTGAGTCAGGATTGTCGCAGCAGCAACAATGACCACCAACCAGACGATCATATCGGCCCATATGTCCCTGTCGGAGGACATGCCAACCAGTTGGCTCATGCGGTCGAGTCCGTACTTTGTTCCAGGTCGATACTCGTAGACGCCATCGACGAGGCTCTTGGTGCCATTTCCTCCGCTAACAAAACTCTCATTGAACATGAGCGCTGACCAGCTGACTCGGCTCACTGCTGGCTGGTAAAAGCCAGGATAGTTGAGGCTCAAACTCCCTGTGAGAACCACAAATTGGATGTATTGCAAGCAGTCTCCAAACCCAGGAGTAATCAAACGAAGTAAATCTTCATCGCGACCGAAGTTACTGCTCCAATTGAAGAGATCAGCCGATCCCCATGGACTCAGGATAGCTGCTGCAATAGTTGCAATGCCAACAACGATGAGAACTGCGAGAGGCAGGTATCTCAAGATCCCTTTGAGATAGCCTCCGAGGTCTGGAGTTATTGTCGCAGCGATACAACTGTAATATTGGCCGTTGGCGTCTCCCGATTGTACGCGGAGGGTCGCTTCAATCGAGGTGAAAGAGTAGCTTGACTCCATATTATGCGCAACAGAAAACGCGGGTAATTCATCAAGATCGCTAGAATTGGCGTAGAATGCGGGAGCCAGGGGACAATCTCCGTTGATCACAGAGGTACAGAACCTTCTAGGCTGATCTTCCCATGGAGTATAACTGAGCAAGTTGAAACGAGTAAAGAGAGTGGTATATTTGTTGTTGGACTCGCTCACATCAGGAATCTTGCCAAAGGTATCATTTGGATTGCTCCATGACGGATCGTCCGGGGCAGGATAAGGCTGAGCTGTCGCCCTACCGGAGACATTGCCATAGATTGTGACATTAAGATTGTGCAGGCCCGAACTGGTGTTGAATATGGCCGAGACGTTAAGTGGATCGAATTGAAGAAGTCGCGGGCTCGAATTGACTATACTCTTATCCAAACAATTGTGAAATTCAACAAAGGCCGCTTCTGTCAATGATATCGACAAGAACGAGAGGAGGAGGACGATGGTGGGCAGACTGCTCGATAGTCGTAGGTGAGGTCTTCCAGATGGACTGGACGGACGTGCCCTTCTTCTCTTCGGCTCCGGCATTGACTGGACGATTTCATTTTGACCATACATGGTCATGGACGAATCGAAGGTTCCTTCTCTTGCCGTTCTTTGCGACCTTTTAGTAGTGCAGCATCTTCCCGCCTTCCACGAACGACCGACTCAAGGAAAATGATGCTCCAGCTCTTTCGCCCTCGGCTTTCTTTCTGCAATTCCGATCGAACAATGGATGTCAGCGCCAGGAGCAAGCGAGTGATACTGAGCTTGCAACGGCTGCGGTGGAAAGCTCTTGCGGGAAGTAGCGCGTGAGAACAGGAGAGGGCTGAAAATGTCTCGGATATCTGCTGGTATCTTCCGGACGAACAGGTGACAGCCGGTCGAGTTGGGGCCGGTAGAGGAGGGGGATGGGTTAAGATGATGGATTCTGGGATTGGAAAGTATGCGTGTGTTTCTCAGACACAAAGATTTTCAGAAGATGATCTGATTCAACGAATGACGAAGAAAGTCAGAAAGATGCAAATGGAAGAGACACAGAACGTGGAGGCGCAGCGTAGGAAACGCTTTGAGACAGTCAGGCAAGTTTTCTGGGTCCAACTGACAAGCGTCATACCCGATATGGTGGACGCTGCATCCTCCCTCCAGGACCCGACCAGGACCCCTGCCACGCCCATGGTGCATGGTGATGCGGGCGGGAGTGTCGCCCAGAAACGCCCACAAAGAGCGGATTCCCGGCACCCAGCAGTTTTTTAGTGGCTTGGGCCTTTGGTGTTGCTGCTGTGCTGGCCGCTGCCGCTATCGTGAACTGGACCAATGATACCGGTCATGACCTCGCATGGCTCGAGTTAAACAACGGCGACAACCATTAGAGGATACCAGGTAGGCGTGGCGATCTTCCAGTAGTGACAGCCAAACCTAGCCTTGATCATCACGGACCATCTCTATAATATCCTATTTCTGGCCACCTGCTATGGCACTGTACCCATAGATTTCTCTCGCTTGCAGGGTGCGACCGAGACCGTCGCAGAATCCCATCCTCTTTTTTCATCAACGCAACGAGGCGAGAAATCCAGTCCATCCGATGGTGCAACAACACACCAACACAACAACACGTGCTTCGGCTTTGACCACTCAATTCACGCTCTGACACGCTTCTTCCTTCGACCCGATGAACTGGCGGTGCTTCCCGGTAGCCCTGATATTGTCGCACAGTCCGTCATGCCGTTTCAGTGATGCGAGAGTCTCTCCGTACTGACCTGCTTTTGTCCGAACTCACGTCGATGAACCTCTCTTCTGTTGATGCCGCAACGCTACCACAAGCATACCTAGCGTGCCTAGCTATGGTAGTATAGGAGAACAGCGGATGCAATTGATCGGATGAGAGGTGTGAGGAGGGAGGATGAGGGGTCACGCGAGGAGAGCGGCATGATATCCGGACACTTCACTGTACGCTTCATGATTGGTGCCCTTTGTCTAGAGTCAGGTCTTGTCAGGCTTGACACTGCCGAACATTTGTAAATCGTGCTTGACTCTGAAAGCCTCGCCAGGTGGTGGCAATTACTTGGAACCTCACTATACTTCTCTGACGAGGCTGATTTCTCATCACATCCATATCATGTAGTCGTTCTTTTCACCTCTTTCTGTGAGATTCTTCCGGGGTCTCCATTCTGCAATCGTCTCCTGCGGGCCTGGTTGCGTCGTCTTGTTGACAGTGATATGACACTCCATTGAAGCCTCGTGCTCGGCTCTTGCGCTCTCTGCTCGCTAATCAATCATACTCGACTGCCGGTGGGCCTTAGGCACGGCTCCCGACCGAGAAGATGTCGTCTCCTGACTCGGACAGGACCTCCAGCAGTGTCGATGATGATGCAGCCACCCCTTCCCGGCGCCGCTCGGGCAGCCATGATGAAAACTACAATCAGAGGCGACCATCTTTCAATGCCGTGAATCAGAGACCACTCCCCAACCCGCTTGTCCGTTCGCACAGTGGACAGATGTTGGCTGCAGTTCTGCGAGATCGTCCCCTTCCACTCCCTACGAACGAGCAAACTGCTGAAGAGCGCAGGCGCAGTATTATAGCAATGGATCGCAAGAGGAGGTTGACATCGACCTATGAAGATGGCAGGCGAAGAACAAACAGTGGCAATTTCTATGATAGAAGAACCACTCACGAAGGGTACCGACAGGATGGTCCTTCGTCTCCAGTGCGGAAGCACACACAAACAATTGCTTCAAGATCAGCACCCAACGTCGTCGATTTGACAGGTTCTTCTCCCACAGCACCACCGCCAGCAGTAGCTCCTCCCCCTCCTCCACGCGAGAACAGGATGAGCAGGTCTTCTTCAGATAACTCCAGGAGGTATGTTGTGCCTCAGTGGCAGCCCGACTCTGAGGTCAGCGAATGTCCCATTTGTAAGCGCCCTTTCACCTGGATGTTCAGACGGCATCACTGCAGAAAATGTGGGAGAGTCGTCTGCAATGATTGCTCTCCCCACCGCATCACCATTCCTCGACAATTCATTGTCCATCCACCTGGACCAAACGTCGCTCCGTCATCGGGCCAAGGGGTTAGAAGCCGCTATGATCCTATAGATTTGACAGCAGACGACAACGATGAAGAACGCTCTGGAGGTCTCTCATCCCCCTATCGATTTCCGCCACTCGAAGGCGGCGAGAAAGTACGACTCTGTAATCCTTGCGTCCCTGATCCTCAACCCGATCCCTTTTCGAACTATCCTCCTACGGAAAACGAACTCACTCGACGCGAATTCCCTTGGAGTCATGCTATCGGACATGCGCGGGCTTCTAGTCATGAAGGTGTAGGCACGAGACCTGTCATACCAGCCAAGGTAAGTGGGCTGTCAGGTGTATATTCAAGAGACCAAGGACATTGACTCTTTGCGCGTTTAGGACGACTCTCTTCATAATCCGCTGGGCTATGATGGTTCTGGCGGCTTGCAAAATCGTATGAACTACATGAGTTCGCAGCATGGACAGACCTCGCAGTCCCGATATCGTTCGGTCTTGTCTTCTTCTGCTGGAGGAGACCGATCATTCGCAGTACCTTCAAGAGCAAGTACCAAGAAAGTTTTTGAGAGAGCTCCATTCTGACTTTGACAGGAATTCCTTCCACCCGAACGCCGATCGAGCTACGGTATGTCACGACCCTCATATCCTGCATCTCGTCAGCCTAGAGATGAGTTGGCCACTCCTGCTAGTCGTACAATTTCTGGAAGCCACGTTCCGACACGTGCCCCTTATGAAACTGCTGCTACAAGATTTCCGGTCTCTTTGCAAAACGTTCTGAATGGTCCGTCCCGCCCTCGACTGGAGGAAAGAGATATTTGCCCTATCTGTCGACGGGCATTGCCTCCTCGAGGTCCAAACGGTGATGAGACCATGCGGGAAGCACATATCATGGACTGTATCAGAGCAAGAGACCCTTCATATCAGGTTGAAGGCGCTGGAGGTCCGTCCCAAGCGCGAGTCCACATGCTTCCATTTGTAGCAAACGAGAAAGATTGCGTTGGCGAGGACGGTAGTCCACAAGAGTGTTCCATCTGCATGGTCGAGTATGACGTTGGGGATGAATTGGCACGCCTGGAATGTCTGTGCAAATTTCACAAGACTTGCATCGTGGAGTGGCTCGAACGCAAAGCAGAATGCCCCGTGCACAAACTTATGGCATGAATCACGACTTTACGAATGAAGAACTCCCAGGAGTCATCACGATCTTTGAATTGGTTTTGGCAAGTTTTGGAGTTTCGAAGGGTCGTTACGTCTCAGGGAGGAGCCTTCTTTAAGAGATCACCATCTCATCGACGCATGCTGTTGAATATATTATATTCACAACAATATTCCCTACTCCATTATCGATATGATTTCGACTTCAGGCTCGATTGGATCGACTGTTGATCGCCATATACCCAGAGTGGCTGCTCGAAGCTTGAATGCTGGGACACCATTGTTGACTTAGCATGTGAAGACCGATATGCCACATTCGGTTCCCCTCAATCGCGACTCGGGCGCGCTTTGTAAATGAGCCCCGGATCTTTGTCTAGCTCAATGATAAGGACGTACACCTGCTGTTATTACCACACCAACTTCCTTATACAAAGAAAGAGGCATAAGGAGAGTCACCGAGAGTGTAAGAGAGAGAAGCGGTTGGCTCGCCTCGCTCGCTTAGGTAAGACGCACGTGACCTAGTCTTTTTCTGCTAAGCCCCGAACCTCCGTCATCTTCAAGTTGGGACACGCCTCGACGCCCACTGACACGATTCAGGCCGTTCACTCAGTCTTAGTTCTTTGCGAGTGAAGTGAAGCATCTATTCACAAGGCGACAAATGTTAAATCTTGCCTAATCCGAGTCTCATCCAGCAGACAATCACTTCCTGGGCGCGACGCGATGCCTGCAGGTCATCACGGTTGACAGAGATCGCAGAGTTGAAGTCGGCGCACCGGCCAGCGTGAACGGCGTCCAGAACCACCGCATTCCCGATCATCAACGTCTCCTCTTCCAACCGCGCGACCAGTCGACCACTGAAGTCATGGCGAGCATCGAACCCTACAATCATATCGACCCTCAGCTACGTACCTCTTCATTGAGTAGTCCTCCAAGACCCCGCGAACCACAACACTACCCGAACGGTGTGCCGGCTGCCTATTCGCCATTACAACCATCGCCCAATCCTTCTTACCAGAGTATCCAAACACCGAGCTACTACCCTCAGAATCCACAGACACATGAAAGCCCCGAGGATGCGAGTCCCTTGGGGAACCCAGCTGATCCGAATGATCTCAAGAGACCACGCGCCTGCGAGGCTTGTCGACAGCTGAAGGTCAAATGCGAACTGGATGACAACAGTCCATCAGGTTCATGCAAGAGGTGCGCCAAGGCAAACAGACAATGCATTGTAACTGCGCCAAGCAGAAAGAGACAAAAGAAGACGGATAGTCGTGTTGCCGAACTGGAAAGAAAGATTGATGCACTGACTGCGACTTTGGCCGCACAAGGCGGCGCTGATGGAGATGTCACAGTAGATCCTGCCAGATCGCAGAGTCAAATACAGCCTCCTAGGCCTCCACCCTACGGAGAGCAATGGCATGGTCCACCGCCGCCTGTCACGAGTCTTTCTCCGCAACAAGCTCAACAAGGGATCAAGAGGAAGATCGCTGACTACGATTACTTTGGTGGCGAATTACACAAATCGTCATCGCCCTCGTTCAAGTCCACTGGGTCCGCATCTCACTATCAACCCGTCATGTCGGAGAATAGCAGGCCGAGGAACGATTCGGATGAACTACCACCCCTTGATCTGGTAGATCGTGGTATTCTCGATTTGAACACCGCTAGGAAATGCTTTGAGCGATACATGGCAGAGATGTGCGAGCATCTACCACTTGTCGTGTTTCCACCTGGCACCAATGCGGATGATGTTCGCAAGAACAAGCCTGTCTTGTTCCTAGCCATCTGCGCCGTCGCGTCCGGTACCATCCGACCAGACATACAACCCAGATTGATCAGTGAAATCACGAGAGCTTTGGCAGATCGAGTCATTTTCCGAGGAGAGAAATCGCTCGAACTCGTTCAGGCGATTCAAGTCACGACATGCTTCTACCAGCCTCCCGAAAAGTATGAAGAGTTAAACTTTAATCAGCTCATTCATATTGCAGCAGTAATGGCCATGGACCTCGGAATGGGCAAACGTTCCAAACGGGGAGGCCCGAACATGTGGAGGCCATACAACGAGAACAAACGACCTTTGAGCGACCCCAACAGTGCAGAGACTCGGCGATGTTGGTTGGGATGCTACTACATGTGCTCGAAGTAAGTGCTACAATTGCAAGGTATTCTTGATGCTGACGTGATCCAGTTCCTCCATGTCGTTGCGACGTCCATTGCTTCCTCGATGGAGCCCTTATGCGGATGAATGTGTGGAAATACTGAACACAGCATCAGATGCTCTGCCATCGGATAAAGCGCTATGTCATCTAGTTCGTGCTCAACACATGGCCGAAGACATCGGCATGGAATTTTCAATGGACGACCCGCTCTCTCATTTGACACTGACCGATCAAAAGACTCAATATCATCTCAAAAACTTTGAACGCCGATTGAAAGAATGGCACGATACCGCCGGCCCCGATATGCTGATGAAGCCCATCATACAGCATACTGAGGGAATCATTAATCTATACATGCACGAAATTGCTATGCATCACAATCACAATATCGACGACTTCCGACCCCCATTTAATGCCACCCCTATCGAGGGACCTCCAGACCCTGACAATGTGACGCCAGCCCATATTGAAGCATTAACCACTTGTATACATTCCGCGCACGCAGCTTTCGATGCGTTTTTGAGCATGGATGTCAAGATGCTCCGGGCCTTGCCGACACTTTTCTTCGTTAGGTCATCGTACGCTGCTGTGGCGTTGATCAAGTTGTACTCGGCTGTTTCGGCAAAGGGCTCCAAATTCGCGCAGATTTTCAAGACGAAAGATCTCAAAGTCGAGTACTATCTTGACCGCATGATTGATATGTTGACACAGACATGTGAGAACGGCATGAGCAGGGTTGCTCACAAATTCAGCCTGATCTTCAATATGCTGAAGAGCTGGCATATGAAGCGGATGGAGCCGATCAATAACGGGCGTAGTCGCGTCCCCAAACAACATGCTCCGGCGGGAAAAACGATCAGCCAGCCTGTGTACAAGGCAGTTCCGCCACACCAAGAGCCAACAGGCTTGGGCTGGAACCCACAGAATCGAGCTTCCATGGACCAGAATACTCAAGCGCATCAACAAGCGAGAAACGGTCTGCAGATGCTCTCGGATGCAGCCATGGGTCCAGGACCAGCACCACCAGCGGTGATGCCACAGCCTCAACAATGGATTCAGCCTATGAGTCAGCCTCAGATGTTGCCGGGCGTTACAGAAATTGGTATGCATAACCAAGGCATGATGCCTTACGGTATGCCGGGCCAGGAACTCGGTCCTATGGATTTCACGTCCGACGAGCTCATGGCGTTTGGGTTCGGTGATGAATTCCTCGCCATGAATTTCGGATTTGAGCAGGGAAATTGGATATAATTCGTCGGCTTTACCCTCCTTGCAGCACAGCATGAGATTGTGGTCGTTGAACGCTGTGCTGTTGGAGAGTGAACTGCAGGGGCAGTGCAGGGGCAGGGGCAGTGGTGAGGGCGGTATTAATGATGAGTTTCTTATGTTTTGTTCTGTATAAATTCCCTTTTATGCTTTTATGATTTTCATGGTGCTTACGGCCACTGAAGCTAGCAAAGATGCAGCCAGCATACGGATGAGTTGATGATTGAGCTTTTGCGTTGGGCTGTTTATGTTACCTTTACGGAGTATTGTCACAGTCAATAGTTACCATGTCAGAGTGAGATGGAGTGCTCGAAATTCAAATACATGACAAGCTTTGTCCAAGCCGGACTTTACGGCGTCCTTATTCTTGTGTGTACCATTACCCTTTAATGTTCCTGATATTTCAAGGCCGGTCGTGAAGAGTGAGTGAGTTGTAGATTTGATAGCTGTCGACTATGTTTCTTTTGCTGGTCCATCAGGTTGAGTACTGAGTCAGATTCGAGTGACAACCAGAGCAGGCTGAGCGTGCGGTCGCATAGCGGGTGATGCTATGCTACCAAGCGAGCCAACGTTCGGTTACGCTATCTTCGGCAAAAACGAACGTTGTGGGAGCAGGTTTGATGAACACCGCATGGCACAGAAGAGATGTGGGATCAAAGTGCCACAGCCGTGCACAGCTCTTCGGCAGATGCATTGTTGAAGATGAACCACAGACACTATCTCTGTGTACCAAGGAGCTAGACCGGTCAATGGCCGCTCAATTCAACTCAGACTCTAGCAATAAGGAGAAAGGAAGCAAAAGGACGAGTAGTAGGCTATGGAGGCGGAGGAAGAGGAGGACGACTCCACACTTTTTACCCCGTACACGCCCCCATACCACTGCACACCAAGGATTCCTTCCTCCAACCGAGCCAACCTCCAAGTCAGGAGAGAACTAAGGTGACCAAGGTGACTGGGCGGCTAGCACTAAGACTATGGCCTGGCGAGGAGATGATCTGCCATCTCATATATCGGCAGGACTCCCCCATGCTGAGCGTTGTTACAGATCTCCGAAACGTGTGCAAGGAAGAGCTCAAAGCACATGTCCGATTGAGAGATCTAGAGATTTGAATCACTGTTACTATCTTGCGTCTGTGACCGTGTTACTGCAGGCTCCCTCCTCTCAGCAAAATCGAAACCCGTTACCGTTGTCACATCGAGCAGTTGGGTACTAGTATTCCGGGGTGAGGGCAAAAGAAGAGAAAGCGAAGAAAACATCAAAGATGGTCGGGGCTGCTGTATCGGCGAACCCCCTCAAACTCGACGTGCGAAGCCATGCAAAGTGTATTGTCATATGCGTGATTGCGACGTTGTCGACGTTTCAATATGGTACGTACTGTACTACAGCCCCTTGGTCGACGCTTAAGCGAATGCTTGTCAAGTCGAGACATATACAGATTGCTGACGAAGATATGGGCCTCTAGGTCTCGACTATGCGCTCGTCGGTGGGTTTTTGTCGTAAGTACCTAATTAATTCACCAGAAGCGTTCGCTTTGATTGCACGGGCAAGGCGAATGTCAATGGAGTCGAAAGGGACAAGGCTGATGATGATGACTATCTTAGGATGCCCGGTTTCCTTGAAGTCTTTGGATACTATGACGACGAGTTGAAGAAATGGAATATCGACGTATGTTTTGGTTTCCTCCCTTTTCCCATCTCTGTCGTCCACTGCCTGGAGCACCTGCTGACTTGTTTTTTGGGCTGCAGTACACCGTCCAACAACTCATTTCCTCGCTCATGACGATCGGCACGTTCCTCTCGTCATTGCTCGTGGGCCCCTTCAGCGCCAGATTCGGACGACGACACGGCCTGTGGGCGGCGACGGTGTTGAACTTCGTCGCGACGAGTATCCAGCTCGGCACAACGAGTAAGGCTGCGTTGTACGTGGCGAGGTTGATTCTCGGTGAGAATGATATTTACCCCCTGCGCAGTCCCTATTGCTGTTTCACGTTGGCATCGCTGACCACAGTCATTTAGGTATATCTGTCGGCTGGTTCTTGACGTTCGCTCAGCTGTACGTCCACGAGGCTGCGCCCGCCCATCTCCGCGGCATCTCGTTTGCCGTTTACCAGGTCATGCTTTCCGTCGGGTCCATCGTGGGCGCGTCCGTGGACTACGGCACGCACAAAATGAATAACAGACGATCATACCAGGTCCCGCTGGCCATCTTCTTTGTAGCACCGACCCTACAGTCCGTGCTGTTGTTCTTTTTCGCCCCGGAGAGCCCGCGCTGGCTGATGACGCAGCGAAAAGAAGCTGAAGCGGAAAAAGCCCTGCGTCGACTGCGAAATCCGAATATTGACGAGCTCGAGTTCCAGGCTGAATACAATGAGATCCGCCAATCGACTCGGGAGCAGCTGGAGCAGAATAAAAAGGCCTTGTTCCTTGAGATGTGGCGTGGCACAAATCTCAGACGTACGTTGCTGTCGATTGCGGTGGTGTGTTTCCATTCGGCAAATGGGTCAGTTGTCCGCTCAACACCACTCAACACCATGCTAACGACGTCTACAGGTCGAGCTGGGTGAATATCTACACGACGTACTTCCTCGAAATAGCACAGGTCAAGCAGCCATTCCAGTACTCCATCCTGGTTACTTGCACAGGACTCATCGGCGTCTTGACCAGCTTCTTCTTCGTCCGACTGATCGACCGCCGGACGGTTATGCTGGTTGGGATTTCGGCTTGCGCCATCTGTCAGCTCGTCCCGGCAATTGCATGGACCAAGAATCCTGGTACTGAGGAGACGGGCAAGGTTGTGGTTGCATTCATCGCGCTGTTCACCTTTTTCTACGTTGCATACGGTATGTTGTTAACAAAGACCTCGGAAAAAAGGGGTACAAGATGGGCAAGGCTGACATCAGTGAATAGCACCATACGCTTGGCTCCTAGGCGGTGAATACGTCAACAATCAAATGCGAGCCTTCACATTCGGTCTGGCAACGGCCTTGAATTTCCTGGGTAACTGGGCGGGCACATTCAGCGCGCCGTACTTTATCAATCCGGCAAAATTCGGTTGGGGCCCCAAGTACGGGTATATCTGGTTCGCGACGAATGTGGTATGTGTGGTGTTTACCTGGTTCTTCCTGCCGGAGACGAAAGATCGTACACTCGAAGAGATCCATGAGATGTTCGAGGCGAGACTGCCCGCGCGCAAGTTCAAGGGCTATGTTTGCGTGGGTGTGGAGGGCTATGCTGCGGAAGCGATGGGCAAGGATCTGGCAGAAAGGAAGGGATTGGCTATGCAGTCGACACATGTGGAAGAATTGCCTCATCAGGAGGACAGAAGGGTGTGATGAGGGTACAGGAGGCAGTTGAAGAAATGGTAGGGGGATGGATGAGTGCGGTTTGGTCTAGTGAAGGGGGGATTTACAGACAGATGTGGAAGCCGGGCCATTGCATTGGCTCTTGCCAGTGGATTAGAGACTGACCGTATCCCATTGAGTAGGGGATACAGCCTGTTCATCATGTAGTGGTGGACAATCCAATCGAGAGCCGTAACACAATCTCACACAATGGATGATTTCCGGATTGGAGGATTCGAGGCACAATGGACAATGTCGCATCGGCCGTGACCCTGGCCTCCATCACACTTTGCGATTGTTCGTGGATTGTTCCAGCTCCTAGACTCGACTCGCGTATGTTTCACAGCCTTGTGCGTCTCCAATCTTCCCCAAATGTTAGACGAGGGATCGCCATGTTGCTAAGTCGAAAGGCGGCTCGGCGGGCATAGAAGTATGCTGTGCACCTTCGGCAGTTACTTTGTTATGGATGATTCGCTCCCTGTCTGCTCAAACGTCTGCAATCCTGCCTCTCCCTGCCTTGAACGATCGGAAGCATCGGCACCGGTACTTACTTGACCTCTTGTCTCTCCAACATGGCCAAGCGTGGATTCACCCTTAGACGAGCAGGTAGGCGGTGATGTGGACCTCGGAACATCGCCCCATCGTACTTTGTAGAGATAGCCGGCAGATGGAAAACACAACCTGCCAGCAAAGTTAGCAGAAGACGGCCAGGCCCCCTGACGGCAGATCTGTGACAGAGAAAGTGAGCAGGCGGGAGATCCCATGGGGATAGACGAACTCCAAATCGACAATGCCCAACGCACCATGAACATAGTGGTGCATGGTCTTTCCCCACACCTTTCATACCGGCTGCATTGCGGCTGGCAGCTGCTTATTGTGGGAAGACTCCGCAAAGTTGGGTCATCCTGATATAGAAATACATGGAGAAGCCCCACGATGCTCGTTATCGACGGTAGAAGTATCCTAGCCGTGATTAAGACCAAGTCAACACACGAAGGTTTCAAATTTGAAGTGGTATCACAAATCTCACCCTTCTCGAAAATTTGAATCTTGAAATTTTCCATTGCACTCGAAAGCCTTAGCCACAGGTCAGACAACCCAAACATACAGCCCTCAAGATGGGATCCATGCCATCCATGAAACCCCGACGCACCCCGCTCAAGAACTCGGGTTCAATCGACCACCTCGAGTACGTCGATGTCACGCCCATCATCGGACGCGAGTATCCGACGGCGAAACTCACGGATATTCTGCACGCGCCGAATGCTGACGATCAGATCCGGGACTTGGCCATCACCATCTGTGAGCGCGGCGTGGTCTTCTTCCGCGCGCCACAGGACGACCTCACCGTTGCCGAACAGAAGCAGATCACCGACCTGCTAGGCAAATTGACCGGCCGACCAAAGGAGAATGGCCTTCATGTGCACCCGCTGTACAATGATCCCAATAACATTCCCATGGCGGATGGCACGACGGATGAGAATATGTGAGTGTTGACCTGGTGCCGCCTCTCGGAGTGTCCCCTGAGGCGTGCGATCCTTCGACAGTCAAGCTGACAGGTAATAGCTATGTCATCAACTCGGAAGCAATGAAGAAATTGTATGCGACCATGAAGAATCGGCCGAATAGTCTGGACGAACCGAAGGACTTGAGCCGCGAGTGGCATAGTGACTGTTCGTTCTCACTTGGCTGTATCCTGTCTGATCATCCGATTGACACTCTTTACAGGTCTTTTTGAAGAATGTCCCGCAGACTTCAGTTTCCTGCGGATGCAAGACACCCCTCCTGCGGGCGGTGACACGCTCTGGGTTTCCGGATACGAACTGTACCTTACCTTACCTCCCCTTGCCCCTGTTGAGGGCCAGTCAGCTAACGCAAATACAGTTACGACCGCCTCTCTCCACCCATGCAAGCCTTCTTCGAGACTCTGACCGCAACCTGTGCCCAGCCCGTGTTCAAGTCCGCCACTGAAGCGGGAGGGTACAAAGTCATGTCTCCTCGTGGTTCGCCGCTGAATGTCGATCTGAACTTCTCCCCCGTGCACCCGGTTATCCGCACGCACCCGGTCACAGGGTGGAAATCGCTCTTCGCTGGCGTTGGGTTGCACGTCAGTCGGATCAACGACGTGTACACGTATGAGGACCAGATCATTCGCGATTATGTGCTCAGGTTGATCACGCGGAACCACGACTGCGTTGCGCGAATGCACTGGACCAAGCAGGCGTGTGCGATTTGGAGCAATCCTTGTACTTTGCATGCTGCGACGGTGAGTTATGCCTTCTACTGGAAATTCAGTCTCGTGCGTGGTGCCATTTTGCTGACGAATCCGCCGTCTTGTAGCCCGATACTCACCTAGTGGATGGAGTCAGAACTGGCGTGCGTGCCTCAGGCGTGGGAGAGAAGCCGTATCTTGATCCGGCGTCGACTGGACGGCGGGAAGCGCTAGGGTTGCCGAGGGCGTAGACCGGTTAGTGTACGGATGGCAGGAACTGATTGACGTGCTCAGCTGTGACAGCAGAGGTCTTCAGGTTGGCCAATATTGCTGGTCAAACGTGTTTTCGATTTGGTTTCAACGTCTTGTATCGAACGCTAGAGTCTCGAAGCAATAACTGTTCTTTGCTCTCTGAATGTCGCTGATTACAACCGAGGAAATCTTGGGCCTATGCCTCGTAGTCCATTGCTTGAACTCTCACGGGTCAGAGAAGGGGCGATGTTCACTGTGTAGGTACTCAATAGTAGTTGTTCGAGGTGTTCGTGTCATCCGAATCGAGGCTCGTCACGGCTCGTCAAACAAAACAAATATGCCAAGGATTATGTAAGTCATGGATTATGTAAGTCATCCGCCGAAAGAATAAGCACGTGACAGGCCAGTCAGGACAAGAGTGTCATCCGTGTGCAAGGCCAACCTGGTCAACGTCAGTCCAACTCTGCTTCGTAATCTCTCCTGCCATCTCTCAACTTGCGGCTTCCAAAAATATTTGTCGAGCTTGGTGCGCCAGTACACTACCTAGGTAAGATACCCAGCTTGGATTTAAATTCCTCAGAGTCTTCGTTCTGTCGATCACATGCGATTCAGCTTGACCCCTTGCCGAGCCCCTTGTACACCCACTCACCCTCGTGACCCTCCCTGTGTCAAAAGCCCCGCACGCCGACACTCGAAGACACTTGTCAAAGTCTCGTTGTAACATCACTATATTTACGACCATAGGAACGCCATAAAACGAACAGGAAAAGCCTGACGTACTCACAGAAACCTGGAACATTACCTAGGTAAGTCTCCAGGACGCTTACTCCGCATGTGAACACATAAGGTTGCCGCCCGTGGAAATGCTCACTCAGTCTGAATGCGGTGACATCAACCCATAGCCAATACCGTTCCTCGAGCTGTGCCCAACTTTCGGCCATGGTCCGGCGTCGATGGGGTGCCAGAACATCCCTGTGTTGTCCATGATGACGGCCTCTTGGTATGGCAGCCTCTTAAGTTGCAAAAATCTCTTCCAAGTGCGCCTCTAAATTGTTGCACTCTCGGCATGCTACCATATGTTGGAAGGAGCCATACCTTTACCTCAGGCCTTCTTCGCAACCATCGCATACGAGGTCGGGGATTTGAGCCTGAAACCCAACTCCTCATCACTGGTGGCCAACCGACGATTGGTCGATTCGAATTATATCTTGGAGGAGTTGCAGGGCCATTGCGTTACCTGCAGTCTCACCAATGGCCTGAAGACGCTGTATGATCCATTTCCGGGTTGGACTTCTGATGTTCGGGGATTTTCCTGCCAGATAGAGACACCAGATGAGCATATACCCGCCCGGCACGCTTGCAGGGGAGGAGGCATTGGAGGAATCGTGTTCGGATTCGGAAGTAGGAGATATAAGTCCCAGAGCCTGTGGGACGGTGGCGAGGATATCATCCACTAGCTTGGACAGGATTTGTAGACTTTCCTGGAGCTTCTGCGTCATATGCGTTCGGACGACAGGCTCGAGCTCAGTGACAAGAACCTTTTTCAGAAGATAGCACATAATCTCGCAGACACACAACTGAAGCATTCGCCAATTATTCCAGAGCCTGATTGCCCACGAAGACCGGTACAGGTCAAATCGACCGTTATAAAATACTTGCGGGTCACCCCCAGAATCAAGAGTGGTTGTATATGGTTCTTCTGTGGCGAGGAGCCCAGGGACGTGCTGAAAGTCATGCTGAATGAAAGTTCCTTCTTCCAGGAAAGCAGAATCAGGGGTGCCACCGGTGTTGTTGACCAAGCTTTCATAGAGGTTCACACACCGAACAGCCAACGTGCCCAGCAGCCAGAAACCGCAAGAGGCGTTCATGTTCTTGGTGGCCTCTTCCTGCAGCTCACGCATATTATCTGGGAACGACTGGCGTTGATGGAGACAGACCACCACCATATCTGCCCGTACTTGGTTGAACATAAGGATTTGGGCGGGACTGGAAAACTGGCCCTTGCCACGGGCAACCACCAGCGCTGCGGCCCCCTGAACGTGCCGGACCCATGACTCGAAATTGGACACGTGCTCGAACAGACCCAAGGAGATGACCGACATCAAGGTGCTATCCTTGAGGGACTCGACGGGCGACGCCAATGCCGCGTTCACATTTCGGATCGCCTCCGAGTATTTGATGCGCGCATGACTGACCAGTTCGGGCTGTTGAGTGGAATTGGCCAGCGCTACGAGACCTACAGCCGCCATGCTGGCCACCAGTGTCGGGTGTTGGTTATCAGCGTTAAAAACAGTCGGAATGTAGTTCAGGAATCCACGTGAAGGAGAGTGGCCCCCAATGACGAAGTTGTGCAGGAAGTAGTTGACGCCGATCTCGTCAATGCTGGGTCCAGGGCAGGAGATGGGCGAGGGTGAGTAGCTAGCTCCGCTAGCAGACGCGCATTTCGCGCTTTTCTCCTTAGCACGCCTTATGGTGCGATCGGTCTGGTCGCGAAAGATGAGTTCCCAGTCATCTCGGTACCCAGGGCATTTCTCCCGCAAACGAGTGCATTGTCCACAATGAGGAATTTGCTGGTCACACTGGAGAAAGGACGAAATTAGCACTGACCTCGCGGGAATGCGAAAGACCCTATGAAAAGTGGGAAAGAAAAGACATTAGAAGGCCACCTACACGTCGTTTGACGGCCCGGCAGTTATCACAGCTTCGAGAAGCTCGTGGGCGAGAAATGTTCCGCAGTGACATTTCCGTCCGTCATGGGGGGTGGCACAATGAAGGAGACGGCTTGGAACGCTGGTTCTGAACAGTCCAGATGAAGTGGGCTTGATTAAACAAGCACTGATGACACATACTGAACTCGTCAGGAGTACTAAGGTACGTATACTCAGAGCCACCGGTGCCAAATCAGCCTTACGTGCCAAGCATAAGATCTGCCTCCCGCTCTTCGAGACGAGTACGAGGACGAGGAGGCCGGAATCGGGGGCCAGTGGGTCACTGCCCGGGATTGGGGGGCCTAACGTCGTACATCCAAACAACTCCACATGCAGGCATTTCCCGCCGTTGGGCTCCTGGTTACGTTGTCACTTCACTGAACTCTGGGAAGTTTCAGTGGATCATCATCCGGTCGATCTTGTCCTAAGCCTGTAAGTTTCGCGATGCCACTGAAAACGTTTTCCAGAGGAAGGATCCGCTTGCTTTGCTGGCCGGCCAAGGCTGAAAGCAGAGTCCTGCGGTTTGCTAAGCATTGCTCTCGCTCTACCCACTCCAGATTCATCCACTTAGACCTATTTGGGTAGGTCAGATGTTCCACCAATCAACATATTGAGCCGCAGTGAAGATGCGACGATGGATTGTCCAACACCAAGGCTGTGTGTCTGCGGCTCTGACAAGGATATGATATGCTTCAAAAATATAAAGGGAGTCAATTGTCCGTCTTCTGAGTCGCACTCAAATTCCCTTCAACCATTTTACTCTACTGCTTCTTCTCCTTCTGCTGTTCCTGTTGCGCTACAATGGGCGCTGTGACATACCGGGATGGCATAGCCATCCTCCAGCTCACTGTGTTTCCATTCGTCGTCGTTGCTGCGCTGTTCACCTGGAGACGGACTGGTTGGAGGGTCGGCAGCAAGATCTGGCGATACGCTGTAACGCTGGGCCTCATCCGGATCGCAGGCAGCATTTCTTCATTGTTGACCATCAGCCATGATTCTTACAATGTGGAGGTTGCCGTGGCAGTGTGCGAGCTCATCGGTATTGCACCTCTGTTGTTGACCTACGTCGGACTTCTGAGACAAATGTGAGTTGGCTAGTGTGCATCTTGTGGACATGATGAACGTGGACTGACTGATACAACCCTACCAGTGACATGGACCAAAGGATGAATGCCAGACTACTCCAGCTGCTGACTCTTGCCTGCTTCATCGGTCTTGTCCTCGGCATCGCGGGAGTCAGCACCGCCAATGACAACGAGACCACCTATCATGCACACGGCATGGTCAAAGCGTCCATGGGCATCTTCCTCGCCGCCTTTGTCATCATCCTCCTAGCCTACGGTTGGCTATATACCAAGCTCCGTTATAACCTGAGGGTGTTTCAGAAGAGGCTCTGTCTCGCCAGTGCTCTTTCTTACCCCTTTCTGTTGGTGCGCTTGATCTACTCCGCAATCAGCGACTACACCACCAATCCTGATTTTTCGGTTCTGGACGGCAATGCCACAATCTATCTGTGCATGAGCGTGCTGGAGGAGATCATTGCCATAGGCCTCACTATGGTTCTTGGAATGTCGGCAGTGCTGCAAAGGGACTTCGTCAAGCCCACTCCAAAGCCCACCGGGGAGCAGGCTGAGCTTCGACGGGATATTGCAGGTGGATATGATGGTGCATACAACTGAGTGTTGAACCCTTTTTAGAACGATTTGACTTTTTCTGGGGCATATTTCATGCTTGTTGTCTTTTCCAAATGGTGTTAGAGCATATTGAGGGCGGGTCAAGGCTTCGGGTTGTAATGGGTGCGAGCAAATAGTTTCGGACTGGCCTGAATATTATACCGGCCGCCAATGGTGGATTTCTCAAGGATATAAAGAGCCAATGCATATTACTCTTGCGGAAAGTGGAAAGGCAGAACGTGATGGGTTGTATGTGTGCCAATAAAAGTCCAAGGGTAAGAGGCTGCGATGACATATTGGACCAAGGATAATATTCTATCATTCATACAGATATAATCGAGAGCGAAAACAAGTCTAGCTACGACGGACCGCAGAGAGGTTTGACAAGTCCACAGCGCCGTAGCAACAAGAGTGCTGGTGAGCTTTTTTCCTGAGCTAGACATGTATACATGAATAAGTAAAAGCCAGGGTTGCTTTCAGCCGGTTCTTAGAACTTCAGCAATATTTCTTTCCCTGTGAACAACGGATAATACCGCCCGCATATGCTTGCCCATGGAAGAAGCACTGTTGGTCACTCGACCATCCACTCGTCTTAACGATTCGCGTCGCAGGTGGGGATCAGTATCATTCGTTGATTGGTCGTGCATCTCGATTGCCTCGTTAAGACTAGCTCGATATATTCGAGGCGCCACTAGCATTTCGCGACAACCACCTCTGACCCTCTGGTGAGGTCTGAACGACTTCAGGTAAGCTCGCATACAGGCATCAAAGGTGGACGGCGGATCGATTACGGCTTTGGTTGAGCTTTGCCGTACGTAAGCTTTGTCGGAAGTGATCAAGGCGTACTCCATAGTCTATACTCCATATGCCAGCCATACTCCAAAGTCTATACTCCATAATCTTTGCTCAGTATAGAGCCACTCACGCTTGACTTAACGCGGTAATCCAGATGCAGAGGCATCAAGCATCGCGTGCGGCATTTTCCACCTCCTACGTCAAGCCGCAGGGATCCAACAACTACAGAACATACAGATTCACGCACCAATTACTCAGTGAGCTCACGAAAATCCCACAAACAAGGCCAGGGGGATCGGGCATGGGTACGCTTTTACCGAGATTATGTTACAACAGATGTCTTTTGGGGCAAGGAGAAGTATTGCTGCGTAGCGATTCAAATTGAGGATGACGTGCCGAGCTCCGATCTATGTATAAATAATACCTGAAGCCACCATAGGTTGCAACGATTTCTTCATTTTTCTTACTATACCTTAGGTTTGATTTCGTCGCCAATGTTTTATACCATGTTACTCACATCTTGTCCCTCTTTTCTGAAGGTCGCCTTTGCATTGGGCGTCCTCATCTCCGCCACATCAGCGACATCATCCCTCAATCCCGTTCAGCCGGGCTACAATTGTACCTCTCGACAATCTTGCTGGCCATCAGACGAAGAATGGAGTAGTTTCAATAGCAGTTTGTCCGGAAACCTCCACCGAACGGTTCCATTCGCCGCAAGCTGTTATTATGATTCTCCATACTATAATTCTTCGGCCTGTGCTGTGGCGGAAAAGAACTACCTTGGCAATCAGGCACGCACAGATATATATGGCGCAGCAACAGGGCTTAATTGGGAATCCTGTCTATCCGAAACTTGTGCCCTGGATGCTTCCAACCTGTCTCAAAGTCTGTCATCCGAGTGTCACCTTGGCCGACTATCATCAACATATGTTGATGCTCGCGAAATAGAACAGGTTGTGACGGCCGTCAAATTTGCCAGAATGCATAATCTTCGAGTCACCATCAAAAACACGGGACATGACTACTTTGGACGCTCTACCAGCCCTAACAGTCTCGCAATATGGACCCACAACTTGAAAAATATGACGTACCATGCAAATTTCATTGCATCCCACTGTACTGCCTCCAACGGGCAGCATATCGGGGAGATTGGAGCGGGTGCTCAAGCATCGGATGTGTACAGCTACTTCCAGAACCATAACATGGATGTTACTGGTGGCAACGAAGGATCGGTCGGCCTCGCTGGCGGCTTTGGTCAGGGAGGTGGGCACGGCGTTTTCGGTCCTTCCTATGGCCTCATGGTGGATAACGCGGTCGAGTTCGATGTCGTGACTGCAGACGGCCAATTGCGGACGATCAATCAATGCAATGAGCCGGACCTCTTTTGGGCCATGCGCGGTGGAGGCGGAGGTGCGTTCGGCATTCTGACCAGCTACCGCTTCCAACTTCACCCGGCGGTGAAGATTAATGTGTACTCGTTCAGGGCCAACTTCACGGCAGATGGCAACGAAACTACCAATTATCCTGCATTGGAACAGGTTCTCACAAAACACGCAACTTATCAACCCATCTGGTCGCACAGCAACATTTCAGGACATGCTTACTACTGGCCAAACAAAGCTGAAATCTACCTTGTCCTCCCTTCGAACAATAAAACAGCCTTACAAACCCTGACCAGTGGATTCTCCTCTTTTTTGACAAACAGCTCGGATATCCACGTCACTGAGAGTAACTACACCACATATTCTACATACACCGAGTACTTGCAGCTTGCAGAATCCATCGCGGCAAGGCTAACGCCCGGTGGAATCTTTGAAGCTGTCTCAAGTCGGCTGATACCACGAACATTATTCCAGACAAACAGCACGATGACCGACTTAGTCAATGCTACCCTCCAAGGAGTTCGCCTCAGCAATGAATTGGTACCTGATGGCGCCTCCCTGACCCAAGTCATCATGACGACGCCAGTAAACCATCGAAATGGAAACACGACAAGTGCCAATCCTGCTTGGCGCTCCGCTCTCTGGCATTTGCTTATGACAGGCGGATGGACTGAAAAGCTGAGTGTTTCAAAGGAGAAGGCATTGCAAGACTCATGGCTGGATACCGTCGAGCCACTGAAACGTTTGACGCCCGGGGGAGGATGCTATGTGAACGAAGGCCATTACTTGGAACCGGAATGGCAATGGACCTATTTCGGAGCCAATTATCCTGAATTGCTCCGGGTCAAGAACAAGTACGATCTCACCCACTTCTTCGATTGCTGGAAATGTGTCGGCTGGGAGGGACGGTCTGAGTAAGTTGAACCCTTGTATTATGTCTGGACTTCTCATCTCTTTGGATGTAGCGGAGCTAACCTCGAAACACGTGTAGTGCCTACTACTGCTACGATTAGGTCTGGTTTTGCTTCCTGAAGTCAATCGCCAGAGCCCATTTGATACCCCCATAAAGTTCTCATAGTATCCTTTGCATTAGGATCTGCGTGGAATCTTTTTAGTTCAGATACGGGGCCACCTGCCCATATCTCGTTCATAGAGACCTTAATTTTACAAGTCAGCCCCACGCATTTTTGTATTCGTGAAATCTGCTCGCGCCGTGATAGAAGTGTTCTTGGACAAATTCACCCCAAGACGGGAGCAGAGTGAGCCGCGAGCAGATTTCACTTGCCTTGGCAGAATTCGAAATCGGAATGTCGCCGGCGGTATCACTTCACTGGGGCCTAGAAGGATTGCTTCAATGGTTTTGCCGCACCCAAGTAGACTTCGCCTCGCATACACGCGCACCATTAATTCCACGGTATCGCACAGGGAGAGAAAAAGAAAAAGAAACAGGCCGGGATCGAACCAGCTACAACATCCGAAGAGGAGAAAATCAACTTGGGAAGAACAATAGAAGGACACACAGGTGAGGTATCACCCCTGATGGAATCGAACCAACTGAAACCTCCCCTTGGTAGCCAGTCCAAAGGGAGAGTCACAGAGCTCAATAGAAGGAAGTCGAAGTATCTCTGGACAGTTATGCATATGCACTAAGTTAGACATCATCGGTCAGGTCCTTTATCGACTAGAGGCAAGATCGTCAGAGGCTTGGACAGCCCTACCATTGAGCCTGTGAGCCCTAAATTGGAACAGAATCGGAGGACTTTGATATATTAGCTGGGATGGTAAGTGAATGAGGCAAACAGTGAAGTAAGGCATGAGATCGACCACCTGAGTGAAGACTAAGACAGGTGTCCGCCTATGAGGGGACCGCCTCTGGGAATAGCAAGTTCTTCTGTGTACCAACTTGCGGTTAAGGCGACCACGCCGCCTATCCTGCTTCGCCGTGGGTCACCGCAGGTGTGGCAGAGAAAGGGGTGCAGCCTCGTCTTGGCAGTCGACTTGGTAGCCAAGCGGAACCAGCATGGATGGAGGCCAAGGAGAAGCGCGATGGTGATGGTGACAAGGACGCAACCAACGGAATACGGAGCCAGGCACTAGCATTCAACCCAGCATGAGGATAGACGCATACCTTGGTTGATGTACTACGTAGGGTCTGGACAGTCAAATCAGAACCACTCGATGGGACTACGCGTCTCTTTTCCTCCTATCTGAACATCATGCCTCCGTCCACTACTATACTGGTGCCTGTCACGTAATCAGAAGCAGGACTCGCTAGAAACAATACAGCGCCACGTAAATCTGCGGGTTCTCCCCATCTTCCAGCAGGAGTTCGATTGATGATATATTGCTCCATCTCCGGAAACTGCTGGACGAGCGCTTCCGACAGCGGCGTCTTGATGTATCCCGGGCAAATGCAATTGACCTAAACGGCGTCGAAGTAGTCGGTCAGTAAGTTACCCTTTTCCTTTTTTTTCCTCTGCGGGAATTTGGAATTGTTCTCCGGAAGTGAGAGGTTTGCAGTTGGGATTTTTTACCTGAATGCCATGGACAGCCCATTCATTGCTGAAAGCCTTGGTCATCTGCAGCACACCTCCCTTGGTGGCTGCATAAGCCGAGACGTTTGTCATTGCGACAAACGACGTGAAGGACGCGATGTTGATGATCTTGCCCGGCCGGCCCAGCTTGATCAGGTGCATACCGAACTCTTGAGCCGCGACATACGCTGCCTTGAGATTGACGGCGAAGATCTAGAACCCCTCCGTCAGCCGCCGGTGATCAGTAGCCAAGTCCCCATGGGTCCATTCCATGAGGACTTTTGCAACGGCATTGCTCCGACAAAACGAACCAAGTCGATCTTCTCGTCGGTCATTTCCTCAATGGGTCCTCTCCGATTCAGACCGGCACAGTTCAGCAGTATGTCCGGGACGACACCAGTGCGCCATATCTTGTCGAACGTGTCTCTGAGACTCTGCGAATCACTGATGTCACATTCGAACCCGACCACTTTACGGCTGCCGCCAACAACGCTGCTGCGGATCGTCTCTTCTAGCCTGGGCTGACCGGGGTCGCCAGGCGGGTATATCGAGACGATATTGGCGCCTGATTCTGCCATGGCCAGACACATCTCTGACCCGAGCCCTCCGGTACCTGGTAAGCCCGAACCGTTAGCGTTAACATTCGGGGATGTGGTACGGAGTAGTACACCCTCGGAGCATACATCTGGGAAGACTTACCACCCGTCGCGATCACAGTTTTGCCCTCGAGAGAGAAAAGCTGCGATGTCGGTAGACGTGCCGACGTTGTCGAAGTCATGATGATAGCTAAGAGGCAGATGTTCAAAAACAATGCACCGTACACCGGAGCCTTCAAGACCAGCCGTTCGAGTGCTGCTGAACCCCATTGATATGGTAAATTAGCTGTTGACAAGATTGAGAGAGAGCCGAGGTCCAATGCGGAGAGCCTCGTGAGCTTCACCAAGACTCCCCCGCATATGGGCAGGTAGGTGAGCAAGTAAACACCGATATCTCTTAATGAACATCCAAGACACGAAGGGGGTGCCTTCTCAGCAGTCAAGAGCTGTGCGGAAGAGGGGAAACCAAGGGAGAGGTTGTAGAAAGTGGCGAAGGACATAGAACTCCAGGAATGAATGGCGGGGTCCTGGCAAGGCTGCGAATGTGCAGGGTGATCGTGCTGACATGTTAACACCGGCAACACTTGCAATTGTTGTCCAAGTTGTGGGTTAATTTTGTGAGCTTGATTACCTTAAGTTAATCTACTCGACATCATCTCAGTTTTGCTCATACCCTATCCGCCGGCAGTAGGAGCAAATCCAAACGACCCTCTTACATGTTCTTGAGCTTCTCTTCAGCAGCCTTCTTGCCCTCTTCGGAGACGTTGGGGTTGCTCATCGCTCTGTCAAAACGTCAGTGTTATAGCTCTCGCACAGCGCACGCGACATCCAACAAGCCACTCACGCCTTGTATCCGCGCGCTTGGTTGCCTGGGTCGACACCGGAGTCACTGCCGAGGTTGATATTTCCTCCCCGCAACTCCTTGTCGAGGACCTCTTGGGCATGCTGCTTCGCCTCATCTGACACATTGGGGTTGGAGATGGTTCTATGCAAATCTTAGCTGTCGGTCATGGAAAGAGACTAGCTACTGCCTTACGCCTTGTAGCCTCTGGCTTTGTTGAGCGCTTCTTCAGCACCGAGTGTTTCTTCGGGATTCGACATTGTCACCGGTCTCTTTGGATGTTTTGGCAGTGGTGTTTTTTGTGAGGTACTAGGTGGGCTTGGGGTTGTAGGTTAGCTGTCCGTGGTCGACTATATCTTGAACGGTCGTCGCTGCAGGCACCATGGAAGAAGACGTCATGCCACAGTGAATGTCCATAAGTGAAAGTGAAACAGGAGTCGTTCCAAGAATTCATACGAGAGTAGGATGCTACTATCCGGTCCAGTCACGATGTCGGCATCGGGACTATGACTTCAGATGAGATCATGGGCTATACGTAGTAAACACCACAAGACTTCGTAAGTCCCGACAAGCGAAGCCTCGTTCGACGGAGCCCGAATACAGAAGGCAGCCTGCACTCCGATGGTGCGTACCGAGTGGTGGCTCATGATTCACCCCGAACTTTTGCTGTCTCGATCCGCATCGAAGTGCTTTGAGGAAGGTACGCTGTCAGGCACTGCAATTGTAAGGTGTAAGAACATTCACATGAAGACGGTTGTAATGATCTGCGGCACCCCTGCTGGTTTCCGGAAGTTTCGGACTCGGTGCATTTGAGCGGACCATGCATCCGGTGCTTCGAAGTATAACGGAGTACGGAGTACCATAATGCTCAAGGGATGTGTTAGCGACGGGTGTTAGCTGTGTGGAAGCCTTTCCCACCTTCAGGAGATGATGTTGACCTTGTAAAAGCGGCGGTAGTTTCACAGGCTCAGGATCAGCCTCACCCTCGCCGCCAAGATTCCTTGCCAAGGCCTAAGTTGCCGCAATTTTCCCGAACTCCCACATTTTCCAAACTGCGCTTGCTTGTCGACGACATTGGTACTCGCTCAAGACAAACTCGCTCACTCACCGTTGACACGCCGATTTTTCCTTCCTACACACGAAGAAGCACCTCAGACTTCCCAGCAGCCATGGAGAACGAAAAGGGAGAGATTGTCGATCTGTAAGCAAATGCCCTTGAACCACCCGACGAACATTGGAGACATTGGCCCTGCGAAACCAAAAATTCCAAGTGATAGTCTGACATTTGGGTTCTGTAGCTACGTCCCCCGCAAATGCAGCGCGACCAACCGCATCATCAAAGCCAAAGACCACGCCAGTGTCCAACTCAGCGTCGGCAAGGTTGACGAAAACGGCCGCTACACCGGCGAGAACCAAGTCTACGCCCTGTGCGGATTCGTGCGGTCGAGAGCCGAGAGCGATGACGCCCTGAACAGATTGGCCCAGCGCGACGGTTTCCTCAAGAGTGTCTGGAGTGCTCAGCCTACGAGATAAAGAAAAAAGGCAAGGAGTGGAGTTGGATGTGTGGCCTGGAGGGCAGAAAAGTGAGGCAAATGATGGACACGACAGAGGCATTTGGCACGAATTGTCACGAACTTGAGTGGATGATTCGTTAACGGTCGATGGAACGCATGCTATTATTGCGACATCATAAGTGTCTTGCAGCATGGTCGCCTGCAAGGGTGATGCTCGGGCTTCAAGGATGGAGAACTTAGACATTGCCCCAGAAGCGAGAAAGGAAGTCCATCTCGGGCTGGAAAAATGAAAAAGGACAATCCCAATGGCACAAAACTTCCCGATTGCTGTCCCATGCTGCTTCGCTAGGACTTATAAATTGTGCCGCCCGTATCTGTGCTCTGACTCTTGACCTCGGAATGATCACAGCTCTTCAGAAGGCGGCTCGTGTCTCGATATTCGGCTTTGTTATGTACGATGTTCTTTGTCTACTTCCCCAGTCATGGAATATTGGTCTGAGGAAGCCTTGATGCGCCGGTCGTAGTTTAGATCCAACAACGTAAAACAAATCGCTCGCGAAATGATGGACACCAAGGCAAATTGACGGAATGGAGGTGGCCTCCCCTGAACATCGTGCTAGGTCAGAAGCCAAATGGGTATCATGTCTAGCCTTCTTTTTGTCTTTGTCTTTCTAACAACCTTCTCATCAGCTTCTTCTGCTTCTTCATTGGCTTTTGCATGCAAACGTTTTGTTCTTCATCTTTCATGGCACTCTCGCCACAAGAAATCTAATCCTTGTCGAGTCGTACAGCAGGATTCGTCTCAATAAAGTTGAGATCAACCTTGTGGCCAAGAAGCTCACGGATATTGTTGACACCGTACCTGCTCAGGGTTAGCATCCATACCAGAAGTAACGGAAGAGACAAAAGTAACTTACTTGATCATCGTCGGTCTCTCCAGACTCAATCCCCAACCGTATATCCGCATATCCTTGGGCAGACCCATTGGTTCCAGCATTTCCGGTCGGAACATACCACTGTTTCCAATTTCTACCCACTTCTTCAGTCCTTCATGGTAACTGAAGATCTCCATGCTGGGCTCCGTGTACGGATTGTACGCAGGCTTGAATCTCAGGTTTCTGATGCCCATCTTGCCGAAGAAGACTTCCATGAAACCGATCAGACCACCGAGGGTAAGTCCCCAGTCGGCAATGACACCTTCCACTTGGTGGAACTCTGCAAGATGGGTCTGATCGACAGTTTCGTTCCGGAAGACACGGTCGATTGAGAAATATCGAGCGGGTTTCGGGTCCAGTGCCAGCTTGTGTAGCATGTACGTCGAAATGGCTGTCGTGTGCGTTCGGAGTACCAGGCGAAGTGACTCCTCCGCTGACCAAGGATATCTGTAACCTATCGAGCCGAATTTCCCATCTTGGTGCACTGCTTGCACGTCATCCCAGTATTGCTTGTAGTCCAGCGTCTTCTCTTTCGACTTCGACTTTGTTCGTTTGTGGGTTGCTGGCAGCTCTTTTGAGCCAGGCGTTGGAGGAATAGGATCCTCTCGTGGAGGGTCGGCTTTCGCGGGGTCTGAGATATAGAAGGTATCTTGAAGGTCACGGGCGGGATGTTGCTGAGGGACGAAGAGGGCGTCGAAGTTCCAGAAACCAGTCTCGACATATCGATTCGTGGGCATTTCCTCGAAACCCATTTCAAAGAAGATTTCTCGGAACTCTTGTCGCACCTTGTTGAGTGGATGAAGGGCACCCGCCGGTGTAGGCGCACCCTTCGCTTTGAAGTTGTATGGCTTAAGCTGAACAGTCTTCCAAGCGCCGGATGCCAGCATCTCAGCAGTAAGATCCGTTTCCTCCTTCACAAACTCCGTCGAAAACTTGGGTCCTTTTGAGATTTTGAAGGTCACAGTCTTTTGGTCGACCACGTATTTCCTCTTCTTGAAGTCTGCCACGACCTTCGGTTTGTCCAACGATTTTGTAGACCGAATATGTTGTAACTGCTGCTGGACTTCATCTTCAATGTTATCTGTTATTGCTTTGAGAGTGTCCCCTTCTTTCTTGACCCATTTCTGCTTGAAGGCATCTCCTGAGCCGAATTTTGCGACATTGGCGTCACCGACGGCAGCAGGTAGATCTTTTAGCTTCAATCCTTCCAGCGCCGCTCGCACAGCCTCGAAGACTCTTGCGCCATTGCTCCCCTTCTCTGCAATATCCTCGCCTTCTTTGGTCAAGACGAGTTGAAGGGTGTCGATCTGCTCGGCCTGTATGAACTCTCGCGACCTCAATCTGTCGACCGCCGACTTGACTGTCACGAAACTGGCACCAGGAAAGGCCTCGGAGGTGAGGACTGGACCGTCTGCGGAAGCAAGGACCTGTAGTACCTGTTGCGTCAAATCCTCGGCCATCGTTGCGTCTGACTGCGGCCGTCTAGCCACAGATAGAGAGAAGCACGGCCGATGATGGGATTCAAAGTCGAACTCCAAGCAGACTTTCAGCACTCAATGTGTATCCGTGAATTCGCAAATATGACTCCAATTCTGGTGGAAAGCAAATGACTCCGCAGTTCATAAAGCAGCATGAAATATTTGTGAGACACCGGAGGCGCCGCTTTTATCACCGTCACGCACCGTTTTCAGCCTCCTTTCCCACGGCGTCCACCTCGATTGTATCTCCATCTCGAACACCGTATCTTGCTCGAGGAACACGTCAGTCTGACTGTCTACGATTGTCTAGGTAGGACTTGCTGCAGGCGAGGCAAAATCACAATCTTGCCAAGTGTCACTCGCTCGACCTACGCCACGCACAAATATGCCAGCCTCAATCAGGAAGGAAAAAAGAAGATTAGAAACAGGAGAAAAGCAAAGGATTGAACAAAAACTCCTCCCACAGTCCCTCGAAAGGGACCATGGGATTGGAAAACCAGGCGAACTGATTTTTGAAGAGGGTAACGCCGGACTCGAACACCCTGACCACCGCCTTCTCTCCGACATTAAGTGACCCTGTTTAAGGCGAAGGTTCGAACCCGGTACTTAAGAGGAACGGATACTGGAAGAGGCGGGCCCCCAGCACAGAGGTTCTCATCCATTGTTAGCAGAAATTCGAGGAGTTAAATATATCAACCATAGTTTTGATTTATTTGTTGTTTCGCCAAGCACGAGGTGAGGTGAAGTTTGGTGACGGGGCTGAAGTCGAGAAGCATCCCTGGGTCAGATGTTCTCGAGGCTGCATTGGAGACGCCTGAATAGATGACAGCGAGGTGCTAGGTCTGTTTCTTTGGACGTAGGTGGTGTTGCTCTCGAGAATTCTTGGTCTATTCCCAGTTCTATCGCGTCTAGTAAATTATCGCTGTATACGAACACCCTGAGAGAAATTCCGTACAAGGTCGCCGAAAACCGAATATGCCGAGCGATGATTTTTAAACCTTGTCGGCGGGAGCTTCAAAGGCAGTTGCGTCGAACCTGACAGTATCCGACACTTCAACTCTCAGAAACGAGCTCCCCATTGCCTTTGCTGGTTGCGAGCCTTTTTTCTCAATTAAGCCCAGCTTTTCCATGCGAAGTTCCATTGCCCGTTTATGCGCATCAAGGCCCTCACACCTTGCGAGCTCCATGACGGCGTATCCGACCTGTCCAACACCATGTTCGCTGACTTCGCTGCTAGTGATGTTCTTCATGAAGCTTCCCAAGTTAACACCACTGTACTGGCGCGCATATCCATACGTTGGCAAGCTGTGATTGACACCAGCAGAATAATCACCGACAGATTCTGGGGTCCAGCCACCCAAAAACACTGACCCAGCGTTCTGGACGTGCGGAAGAGCAGAGCGGGGATTGGCAGTTTGCAGGATCAAATGCTCAGGGGCATAGTAGTTGGACCACTTCAGTGCTTCCTTCATGTCGGACACTGAGATGGTGACGCTGTGCTCAATGGCGCCTCGTACAATGTCCACACGAGGAAGTTCATGTGCTTGCTTATGGACTTCATCCTCAATAGCTTGCAGCTCGCTTTCGCTCAAGTCAATTGCAATAAGCACGACCTGGCTATCTGTACCATGCTCTGCCTGACTCAGGAGGTCGCTGGCAACGAATGCAGGATCCGCGGTCTTGTCGGCAATGACCAGGACTTCTGACGGGCCAGCAGGCATATCAATGGACACAGCAGCGGACGTGTCGTTACTGACAATCATCTTGGCAGCAGTAACGAACTGGTTACCAGGTCCGAGGATCTTATCGACTTTTGTGATTGACTCAGTACCATATGCCATTGCTGCTATCGCTTGTGCCCCACCCGCGAGAACTATCGCCTCGGCCCCAACCCTGTGTGCGATGTATACAATCTCAGGGGTGATGGTGCCATCAGACCTTGGAGGCGATGCAAGGACGATGTTTTTGCAGCCTGCGGCCATGGCAGGCACACCCAGCATCAGCGCTGTCGACGGAAGCACCGCCGTACCTCCAGGAATGTAGAGGCCAACCTTTTCAATGGACCGTGAGAATCGAGAGCAGGTAACTCCGGGCATTGTCTCGACCACCAAATCTGATGATGGCTTTTGAGCGGAGTGAAATTTGAGGATGTTGTCGTAAGATGTGTTGATGGCTTTGATGGTTTCTTCAGGTAATTGCATGAGTGATTCCGGGAATGGAGCTTTCAGGACTGGTGACTTAAGTGACGTCGCCTTTTCAAATTTGTGAGTATATTTCAGGACAGCAGCATCACCGTGAGCCCGAACGTCGGCGATGATCGGCTGAACGAGAGACATGATCTTCTCGTTTGACTTTTGGGAAGGTCGCTGAAGGGCTGACTTGAGGGTGTCATCCGAGAATGCTTGTGAAGTTGAAAAGCGCTTGAGCTGTATTCGTCCAGTCTCTGTCTTGCCAGCCGGGTCTGAGGGCGATTTTGGTATTGAAGCAGCCTCCTTGACTTCTTCAGCTTGATGGCCATCAACACCGTTGGCATCAGCCTTTTTCGATTCTTCTTTGACCGGCTTTTCTTCGACATATTGCGGTTTTGCATCCCCCTTCCTTCTCTTGACCTTCAAACTCTTCAGGTCGAGATTTCGCTCGATGTCTTCCAGGGTAACGTCAGCAGCAATGCATCGAGCCAACGCGAAATAAAGCAGATCGGCTGCCTCTGAAGCAATATCTTCTTTTGTGGTTGCTTCACAGAGCTCATCGGCTTCTTCCTTGATCTTTGCATTGACAAGCTTAGGATCATTAAAGAGCCGAGCAGTATACGAGCCAGGTGGAGCGTCGACTTTTCGTTCTTGCAAGGTCCTCTGCAACCTTGACAGGCCAGCGGTCTTTCCCCAACATGACATCGTACCAAGGTGACAGAAACCTCGACCTTTCTGATGCACCCTGAAAATGAGGCAGTCTTTATCACAGTCAAAGCCGATACTGATGAGCTCTTGCGTGTCTCCACTAGATGCCCCCTTGTGCCACAGGCCACGTTTGCGGCTCTGGTAGACGCCCGTGCCAGTCTTGAGTGCTTCTGTGATGCTTTCCTTGCTGCTCCAGACAAGGCCCAGAGCAAGATCGCGCTCATCAACAACAACGGTGGCGTACAGTCCGGTCTTTCTGTCCGCCGTGGCCCCAGCAAGTACCATATCCACGGCGGGTATCAGCTTCTTTGCCTCTTCATTAGATGCATCGAAGGTCAAGATCTGAGACGATACAATCAAGGCATTCCCGGGATATTCATGGAGTATATCTGTGCCCTCTGTCCCATTCGTGATCCTTACGTAGATTGTCTGATCATGGCTCGGCGGATAGTTCCCCACCTCCTTCAGCACCTCGTCAAGATGTTCGTTGCCCTGGCCGCCATCAAAAGCCCACTCTCTTGTTTTCCACTCCGGATTCTCTTGGAGGAATGCCTTCAACTTTGCCAGGTCGGTTTTCGGATTGACGAGCGAGATTGTGAGAATGAGGCGTTCCGGAGAAATGGTAGGCTCTTGCGACAGGACCTTTAACTGCTCAAAGGTCACGAAGATTTTGGAGGCACCATTGTTCAGAACGTCGATGACGCTGTCCCAACTCTTTAATTTCCGCACGTCGAAATATATGGCAAGCTTCGAGAAGTTTTTGCGGAGGAAAGCGAGGTTAGATTCGAAGTTTTCCGGAGTGATTTCAACCAGACACTGGCCAAAGTAGGCGACTTGGTTAAGGGTCAGTCCTTTAGCTTTGGATCCGAGGGTCTCCTCTGGATCGACTGAGACGAGAAGTCCTGCACCCATGGTTGACTGTAGCACTCGAAGTAGGAATGATGTCGGGAGCAAGAGAAACCGCAGACCGCAGGAAGGACTCTCAACAGGTGAGTCAATGCACGGCGAAGCGGGGAGCAGGACTTCTTAGAAAATTTGGGCCCACCACGATAAGGATAAGCTCACTCAGGCCACGATTGGCGTAAGAGGAAGCTTAGCCGAAATGCATCAAATCGTCCCTTCACCAACCAGATTCTCTCGATTACCGCAGGATGATACGCGTTTGGCATGTGCAAATCATAGGAGGCGGAAAGACGGTATAGTCAGAGTCAGGAAAATGTCGATGTGCGGCTCATTCCAGCACTCAAGGCTGACGGGTATAAGTATGGGATGTGACAGAGTAGAGCATCATCCCAAACTCATCCACAGATGACAACCATCGATCAACCTTCTTCTGCAAGGCATCTGAAGGTGGCCCGGTTCGCGGCCAAAGATCGCTGATGAGCAGTTCACCGTCAGTCCAATGGCTTAATTGCTGATTGTATGCAGCATTCCACGATTGCCGCGTCTCTGCATTCCAGAGCCGCTTACTTGCTGGAGCGGGAAGGCTGGCAAGCTCTGTAGCGATGTAGGAGGGTGAACCTAGATGGAAATTGACAAGGTTGTCAAACAAGTATGTGGCAAAGAGCGTTCGTCGTTTGGTAGAAGCAACAATCCAGGACTCCCAGTCAGGACGAGTGCCGTTCGTCTCTGCCCAGCAAAGAGTGCCTCTGCCTGCGACGTCTCCTGCTAAGTCTTGGAGCTTGATCATAGTATCTTGTTCGATATAGTTCGTCCCGGATCTGTGGGTGAAGTAAACGATTATCGCGTAGAGTAAATAGGCCTGTAACGTTGCCAGAAGGTCCATATGACTGCACAGGGCACGCTTTTGCCTGGCGTTAGTCTAGAGTAGTACGCATTGAGAAGTAGGACTTTCCTGTTCAAACAGCCTCTTCATTTCCTTCTCGATGACTTCGCACACCATGCTTTCACTGCCGGTAGCCTGGGTCTTCCACATGCGTGATATATTCATGCAATTTGCCAAGGGTTCGGGTATAGTGGCTGCGGTCTGGGTCCAGTGTATGTAAGGTGGAAGAGCCTTGTCGTCAAGGAAGACGCCTGGGTAGGATTTGAAGATGCTACCGACGAAGGCCATGGTTGAAGCTTGGAATGGTTTCGGTGTCTGGTCTGCAGAGGGAAGTACGCTCTCCAGCCACCGGGCGCGGATCTGGTAATCGTCCACAGTACATATCAGTCGGACATCTTGGAAGTTGAGCACTTCTGAGTGGTTCAGGTGCGCTGAGCCTCCGTAAGCCACGACCACGCCATCATTGACTATATTGGTGGAGAGCACTGGTTTCGAGGCGTGATCCTCAGCTTTTGCATCCACGTACTCACAGCACGTTTTCCTGTTTCTGCATCTCGCGCATCTTGGTCTTTCCAGGCCGCACCTGACCTTGGCTTTCGAGCATAGCTTGCAGCTCTTCTTGCGGGGAGTATTAGCCTTCTCGCTCATCGCCTCTCTCAGGAACGCCCAGTTGCAGCGGTGTCGAGAGTAGGCGCCACAGGTGAAATGAGTGGGACAGGAAGACCGTGCGGAGTTGCGTGACTACTGAGTAAATATTCCGGAGGTGAAGGCGGAATAGACAGGGATAACGGCACAACCTGCTCCGACAGTATTTGGGGGCCTGAGATAGACTATGCAAGTTTGTCAATGAGGTACAACACCCCGATTGATGTGCTCTCTCTTTAACTGCTCGTCCTCAACACCTAAGCTCTTCTCGTGCGACTGTCCGATGTCCGTGTAATCGTGTTCTATGGAGCGTCTGGAAGAGTGGTAGGAGTTGGCCTCCTTCCGTCTTCGACTTCAGACCGGGGCATTCTAACGGCCAAAGGCAAGTCTCTCACGCAGTGCACTTGGCGAACGCACCATCCATTCAATCTACTGTTTTAGTCTCGAGGATCAATATATCAACATCGAGAGTACCCGCCTCAAGTTCGGCCACCAAACTAAGGGATGTCGTCCACGCATGTCTCGGAGCTCCTAACGGAGTTCCGAAGAACCTGGTGATTTTTCACAAAGCACGAATGCACTTCGCGATGCATATATAGGTGAGAGAGCCCGTCGCCATGGCTGATGGAACAGAATCACCAATTACAAAATGTCTCAAGCCAAAGGAATTCACGAAACAGGCCCAAAAGAGCCGTATACTATCTACACCACAACCCAGAAAGCCCTCATTGTTGCCGTCGTCTCCATCGCGGCCACTCTATCAGGGTTTGCCTCGAATATCTATTTTCCCAGCCTTCCACAAATAGCAAAGGACCTCTCTGTCACCACGAATCTGGTCAATCTGACGGTGAGTTGTTACATGATCTTCCAAGGCCTGTCACCAACCATATGGGGTGCCATATCTGACGCCGTCGGCCGACGTATCACGTACTGCTGTACCCTGATGATATTTCTTGGAGCATGCATAGGGTTGGCGGAAACAAGGAGTTTTGCTCAGCTGATGGTTCTTCGCTGCGTCCAAAGTACCGGAAGTGCCAGCACTATCGCACTCGGTGCAGGCGTGATCGGAGATCTCACTCAGCGAGAAGAGCGTGGAGGATATATGGGATTTTATCAAGGCGGCGTCTTGATGCCCGTGGCTATTGGTCCAGTTATTGGTGGAGTGCTTGCCGGCAAACTTGGCTGGAAGTCGGTCTTCTGGTTTCTGACCATCTATGGAGCAGCTTGCTTGATCCTTAGCGTTCTACTACTACCCGAAACCTTGAGGTCAATTGTTGGGAACGGGTCATTGAGATCGGAAGGCATCTCACGATCGATATTGGGCACCTATCAAAGAAGAAGGTACTTAAGAGCAGAGCAGCAAATACTGTCTCTTCAAGCGGGTCATAATCTGCGGAAGGCTATCGACCTCTGGGCCCCAGTCAAGATCCTGCTCGACCTCAAAACATTCTCCGCCGTCGTGCTTGTCGCAGTACACTACACAGTCTGGCAGAGTGTTCTCACTGCCCTTTCAACAATTGTCCGAGACCAGTATCAGACAACCGAAACCCAGATCGGCTTGACATTTCTTGCCAATGGCGTTGGATCGATTATTGGGACACTATTGGTCGGTAAGATCCTCGATTATGACTATCGCAAGATGTTACGAAAGGTCGGTGGCGATGACCAGCTCGTCCCCATTGAGAAAGCCCGCTTGAGGACAGCTTGGGTTTGGAGTGGACTGGAATGCGTATCAGTCCTTGTGTTTGGCTGGACAGTCGATAAAGCCGTCCACATCTCGGTACCTGTCGTCAGTCTCTTTGTGCTCGGATGGGCTGCTATATCTATCCAAAGTGCTGTCTCAACATATCTGGTTGATATTCACCACAATCAGAGCGCGTCAGCTACGGCTTCTCTCAATCTTCTTCGTTGCTTGATGGGCGCTGGAGGCACGGCTGTCGTTGGGCCTCTGATCGCAAAAGTCCAGACAGGATGGACTTTCACGTTGTTCACAGGTGTCATGCTTTCATTGAGTGCGCTCATTCTTGTTCAGTTTTTACGTGGGCCAAGTTCGCGTCGAAGATCGGATGTCGGTGCGAATGAAGCTCAACTCCGCGAAGACGGCGCTTGATACCAGTCGTTTCTTATGTATCCGGTAGCATATTGAATTTTAGAAGCATGCATGGCCAGAAGATTAAGTATTGAGCTCTGCGGCCGACAAGGCCGGTCACACGAGCGATCTGCACCGGAGCGGAACAACTCTAGTCCGGCCACGCATCCAGGCAACAACCAACGACCCTGACTGACAAATTCATGCCTACCTACTCCGTACCTTCCATTCCAACGATGACTAACCTCCAATGCTGTTGTGTCACAAACAAACACTCACCGGTCACACGAACAAGGCTACATAATGGAAGTTCATGATGACCCAGAGACGCACAGCGCCGGGAGCGATGAAAGTGACGAGGGCGAACAGCACCATGACGCGTCTGGGGGGACTACCAAAAAGCCGAGATCTAGCAGAGCGTGTGTCGCATGCCGAAGAATGAAAACCCGCTGCGAAATTGATGATGCTCTGGGGACAGCATGCAAACTCTGCATCAGAGCTCGACGCCAATGCATTATGCAAAATCTCCCTCGTAGGAGAAAGCGAAAAACCACGGAGAGAGTAGCTGACTTGGAGCGAAAGATCAACACCCTAACTGCACTCCTTGCCTCCAATGATTCCGCCATTTCCGCCGATCCGTCTCCAAAATCAGCTGGCGAGAGCACCTCCAGTCGCCACAAGATCCAGGGACCAGATCAGACATCAGATGAATCGCAATCATTGATTGCGAAGGCCTTACAACGAGGTCTGTTCGATTGGCCAGCCGCCTGTAAAGCATTCGATCGATACAGAAAAGAAATGTGTATTTACTTTCCTTTTGTCGTGTTCCCAGCTACTGCCGATGCCAATGTGGTAAGGGAACAACAACCGCTTTTGTTCTTCGCCATTTGCACAGTCGCCATGGCCACAATGAAAGGCCCAGTCAACCCGGAGCTTTGGGACATGCTCACCAAGGACCTATCACTACGAATCATGTATCGTGGAGAAAGATCTCTTGAGCTGGTCCAGGTGCTGCTTATCCATATCACTTGGTACACGCGAGCCAAAGAAATGCGGGAGCTAAACTTCAATCAAATGGTGCATGTTGCCTGTGCGATGGGCTTGGACATTGGCCTCGGCAGACGTTCTCACAAGTCCGCTCAATCCACCGATCCCCACCGGCTGGAGTCACTGGCTGGAAGGCGAGCGTGGCTTGGTTGTCACTATATGGGGACGAAGTAAGTCATAAGCATTTGTACTTGCGACACGTATGCTGATTTCATGCAGCATCGCCATGTCTCTTCGCCATCCGGCTTTCGTTCGGTGGTCGGTGTATATCGAAGAATGTTTGGACGTCCTCTCGTCGGAGACAGGGACGCTACCTAGCGATCGATGGCTTTGCGACTTGATTCGCATTCAGCACATTGCTGAAGATGCGGCCGTGGTGTTCTCGATGGATGACCCAGGCTCAATCATAAGCTTCAGAGATGTCAAGACCCAATATCAGATTGGCGGTTTCCGTCAACAGCTGGAACAGTGGCGGCGACATGCTCACAGCAATCTCCAGCAGGGTTCGTTGATGGTTTTTCCGTGCTTCTGGATATCATCATGCTGACAGGATTATATTAGCCTTTGTCCGGCATATCGAAGCCACCACAACGCTTTATGTTCATGAGATTGCCATCCATTCGGAACACAACATCGATGAATTACGTTCGCCTCTTCGGCCCCCTGGTCCCCATGAACCATCGAATTTCGATCAGAGTGCCTCACTGAACGACCTCCAATTCGTTCCAGCTCGGATCGAGTCTCTCTTCACTTGTCTTGCTGCTATTCACGAATGTTTCGATGCATTGCTCTCCATGGATCTCACTACCCTATGCACCTTGCCAAACTTCTTTCTGGTACGTACTGGTTATGCCGCCAGAGCGCTCCGAAAGCTTCTCAGCATCTGTGAGAATCAGGCAGCACTCACAGGACACTTTCAGATCAATGTGCAGGACCTAAAGTTTGACGAGTATATGACTTCGCTTATCCACTTGTTTGCGCGGATCCATGAAGAGAACAGCCATCACGTAGCTCGTGCATTCTGTCTGGTCATTTCTCAGATCAAGGCACACGGCTTAAGATCGCTGAAGGCACCAAATTTCACAAATGCATGCATAGATGACATACGAGAAATCAACGAAAAACTTGACAAAGACAGCGCTGCCCGCGCAGGTTTTACGGCATCCAATCTTAAGCAGCCAACTTTGTCGATTAGGAATACCGCGCGATCTGAGGCCTTGATGCCTCAGACGCCAGCAATGCCTGGAGGTCTTATTGCTGAACCATGGCAAATGGCACCAGGGCAACAGAGCTTGGGCTCGTTCAACAGCGCTGCACCCCAACCGGACTTGCCATTGTGGCTACAGGGTGGTACTAATGACTCGACCATGAGCGGTGACGATGTTTTGCAATGGTTCGAGCACGACTTTGCCTTCGATGACCTTGAAATGTACGGCCGCGGAGACATGAACTATTTAGCCGGGACAGCTGAATTCCAGCAATCATGGCCGACTTGACGGAACGGATATTGGGGCATATAATCGAGCTTCGTCTCAAGGTCAACGCATCATCTTCAAACATCACACTTCCCAAGCTGACATGTTTCGGCTCACCGCTGGCTCAGATTGAGATATGTTGGCACGTAATGCGCGAGAGAACGAAACTAATATTCTTGGCCAGCCACAACAGCATAGTGAAGTCGCAAATTTCAACACATTCTTCATGCGCAGGTAACAGTAGCGGACTCCACAACGGTGCAGGTTGACAGGAGTCGCAGGCGGCCGACCAGGTCGCAGACTTGGTCTCATGGTCCACGCGCTAGGCCACTCCAAGACAGCATCACGCCGATTTGGCTCAGTATTTCGCTGCCATCAAGTCTGTGCCAGCTTCCAGGATTGGTCGATATGCGGAATGATTGAAATTTTTACATTCACAGCAAGTATCTGTTATGCGCAGAAGGCTGCCTGGTTGACTGTGCAATCTCCTGCGATCAGGCTGACTTCTTTGCTCCTCGGGCTAGTTTCAAATACCCTTGCAAGTTGCTCAGCCACCACCTCACACCCCCTGCAGACGCAGGCACCTGAACTTCTGAGGATAACAAAAGATAATTCACCTGAGGGGACGCGGCGGCTACATCCTGGCTGTGCAACACTATCGGTGAATGGAAGCCAAGTGTCATAACAACCTGATAGCTTTTGGCATTGAACCGTCCGGTCCTGACCTCACTTGCACTTTCACTTACAGGTTCATGCCTTCTGCTTTTGACATACATCGCCTTCCTGTCTATGTCCTCTTTCGCCGCAAGACCAGTACCGGAATCCTGTGAGGTCTAGCACAGCAACAGGTCGCGAGGCACGTTCTTTCCGCGGCAGGTGCAACATAACGCTGGACCTTGCTGAACTCCTCTTCCACAATGGCTCTGAACGGTATGAATTGGACTTCCAGGTCTAGCGCAGCAACACCTCGGAGTCAACATCCGCTTCCGGGCAGCTTTTCAGATGACGACGATTCAACCGTTCTGTACAGTGAAGAGGACGTAGATGTACTCAAGAAATGTCAAGTATCCTTGGGCTTGAGCAGGAAATACACTCCTAAATGGCGTCCGAGAGATGCTTTCAGAGAGCTTTATCAGAACTGGTAGGTTGTCAACTTGCTTTCGGATTTCCCACAATTGACATTACCAAGGAAAGACGGTATACTGGCATCATTCGACCTGGAGCCGCGTTTCTTCAAACCAGTCATTGCAGAAGATGATCGATTCATCAAAATCACCGTCCACGCGCCTCGCTGCTCCAACGGCTCGAAAGAAGATGCACAACAGCTGATGGGCTATGTCCAGTTTGATAAAAATGTTGGCTTGCTTGAAATGACCAATTTTCGGGCTCGATTGGAGAGAGAGCATCTCGATCTTGGGGAGAGCAGCAAGAGAAGTGACCAAAATCTTGCAGGCTGTCATGGCGAGGGCTTCAAACTTGGGGCGCTTGTTATGTTGAGGAATGGCTACGCAACCAAGTTCGAGTCGAACTCGTTCTACTGGAATTTCAGTCTGCGTGGCGCAAACGTACGCACGACCTTATACTGTCAGCTCAATCCAAAAGCTCCTCGTCTTGTGCAGAAAGAGAGGGAAGAGTTCGAAAAAAAGAGAAAGACACCAGGGTTTCGACGCGGCCTCACCTCCAATATCTGGGAGGACACTACTGTCAAAGTAGGCAAGGTCAAGAATGGTGGCTATGCAATCTCGACGATCGATTTTCGCGCATGGATGAAAGTCGCACTCGACCTCGACATTCCCGAGAATGAACAGATCATACCCACTGACACCGGAGACCTCATTCTCGCAGAAGAATATGCAGGACGAATCTACCTCAAAGGTCTGAGAGTCGCTGGTCAAAGCTCTGCTAGGAATGACTACCGTTTTGGCTACAACTTCCATCATGGAGCAATAAGCAGAGACAGAGAAAGACTACTAGATCGACACGACGAAGCCAAAATGGTTGCCAGAATCTGGGAGGAATCCATTGTACTCCGTGGAGACGCCGTGACAGATCGTTACATTAAGTTGTTTCGAGATGATGATCAAGCACTCGATATCGCTTTACCTAACCAAAGTGTCTCTAGACTTGTCACGGACAAGATATGGAAGCGACTAAGACTCCAAAATCCCCTGGCGTTCTTCTTCTCGGAAAAGGAGGTTACTACGACCAATGTAATGACCGAGGAAGTCATTATTACGAAGGACCTCGGAAAGCAGCCTTTCAAGCTACCAAAAGGATTGTGGGAGCTCTTGAGAAAATACTCGCTAGCTCGCACGCCGCACGAAGAAAGACTCTTCGTCTTCTCGAATTCTCTGTCTGTCCCAATTCCCGATCATCCTTTCTGTGTTCAGGTTGCACGAGCGCTCACAAGCTCACTGAAGCTGCATGGAGCGTTACAGGATATTCAGGTCCAATTTGTGAATGGCGGCCTCTCGAGCATCGACGTGCTGTTCACCGAGGAGCGGAACCTGCTTCAAATCCACGGGAAGTGGCTCGACTACGCCAATATCCATGAGATAGCCGAGTGCAACTTCTTTCAAGCGAAAGGCGGACAATTGTCGAAAGATGATATATTCTTCTGCGACCATATCGTCCATGACTTATTCGAACTGCTGCTTGGAGAAACGCAAGGCCCATTGGAGCTCGACGCCCAAGAGTGTCGCAAGCTCCGAAAGATGGCAGCTAAGAGGCTTCATGAAATGCCCCGGCACGTCCAGTTGAGCGCCACAGAAAATGCAGGGGAGCTCTCCGTTCAGTGGGCGGGAAACCAGAGCAACTCATTTTCCGAGAGATATGGGGCAAACATCAGATACCTTGTTATCCTGCACAAGATGGGCATGTGTGAGGTGCAGAAAAACACTCTGCTCAGCCGGATTGGTGAGTTTTATAGCTGCGAGCTTTCCACATTGCTGACTTCCTCGCAGATACAACTAGGAATGGCGATTTGCATCAACATCGAACACGGACCACTGCAGTCTGTGGTTGTCCTGTTCAGGCCATTCCCGGCAACAAATTCGAGGCTGTTTTTCATGGCCTCGATCATCGCGAGGACTATTTTCCCATGGTGTCGCGATTCGAGGACAAGGCATTCTTTGGGTGGCCTCCAGCACCCGTCCGACCTACCGAAGCAGACATTGCGTCGTCATATTCCTCAATACCGACTCCCGGCCTTGACATGGAGCGTCTTTCTACACCTGCAAGCGAATCTGACGAAGAGATAGAGTCTCTGGGGGATGTCACGTACGATACAGGCGAGGGCAGTAGTTCCATTGAGCCGCAGTCCACGCCAGCCCTCTCGGTCGAAGTTCCACCGTCCAGGCTCGGTCGCAGCAGCGCGCCTGAAGCAACGTTCCCACACAGATATCGATCTCGCGGCGCGAGTGATGCCGAGGACTTGGTTGCCCGTGATCTTTTGAACCAAGATGAACTTGATTGGAGAGTATGGCATGAGGAAGAACTACCGATACAGTTCGCTAAGCTGCGCCCGAGTCGTGTACAAACCCAGGTAAGCTTCGCCTATCTGGGCCGATGCAGAGCTGTGGAAACCCACAAGCTAACAAATATAGCATGATGGAACGAGCCTATCTAGTCTAGAATGTGAACACCTGGACTACACTTTCGAGAAGGATGAATACGCCTGCATCTACAGCGGCCCACAAGGATTTGCCCGGCACGTCGTACTCGTGCATGGCATTCTTTCAATCAACACTTGCAGCGGGTTTGGCTACCGTTTGCTGTGCACCAAGTACTCTTTTATTGCCGATATGGACATCTTCAAGGCACCAACGTCGGCCATGCAAAACGCATCGGGTTGGGAGGCAAACAGTGACAAAGAGCTCGTGCTGCATTTTGGGAGCTTCGATCACATGGGATTGGAAAGTGACGCCGAGGTAATAGAAGTGACAGACATTGTGCGCGCTCATGGCCTTCACGATGGCGCCCTGTCAACTTGTGGGGATGGTGTTGAGCATGTGGTGGCTCCACTCTTTGGTGAGGATGGTACGGTTCAACATCCTGCGACACCCGCATTGTGCTCACTGACATCAAATTTTAGGCTCTTTGTTGTTCTGCCGAATTGCAATCCGCGGTTCCGAGGAATCTGGTACTGCGTGCCTGACGCCGCTAGCATCTCATCTCGTCAAGCGCGAAGGTCGTTGGAGACATTGCCGTTTCATGAATGCCTCAGCACCGTCAGTTTTCGATCTCTCATCAAATGTCCTCGGACCATCGGAAGGATTCTCACAGTCGGGGTTCTCCATTCATGCAGCCATGGGCTTCGATCAATCCAGAGACGTCACTTGGAAGGTATTGTACCTCCAATACCAGCTTCATCGTGCGGTGCTGACTTTCTAGCTTCGCCATCACACCAGCCAAGTATACGACGGTAGCTGCCATGCAATATCCGATGACTTTCAACTAGGCCGGCTCCATCCTTTCTCGACACCGGATCCAAAGCCCCCAAAGATCGCACTCCTTGCAGGAGACCCGGGAAACTTCAGATTGAACAGCTTGAACACTAAGCTTCCGACCACGGAGGAATTCTTGAGGCCCTTAACAGCTATCAACAAAATTGCAGAGAATGTCAACCCCGATTTCATCGTCTTGCTGTTGTCGCCGAGTGTACTCCATCCTCGTGCCATGACTGACTTTCTGTCAACCATCATTCAGTTGCTCGAAAGAAAGATGTCGGTCCATATCAAGCTTATACCTCTGAAGAATTATGGTCTTCCTCAGGATCGGAGTGTACTTACTGTGGTGGCGGCTCCCTTCTGCGGCCTACTTCCTTGGGAACCTTTCTGTGCTCCGGACAGCCTTCAGCCCGAGACCAACGTTGCCGATATGCTCCGAGACCTATCTTTCGAAAATCCACGGAATGTTCATGGAAATGGAGTTGGGTTCATCTGCTCAGCGCCTAGTCAGCTAGAGTCTGACCAGCCAGACTGTCGGGCAAAGCATGTCTATAACCATATGACGGGGCAGCGACCGTCTGTCGATGGCTCCAGTACTGTTGAATTAGGCTCCAGCCTGACGCTACATAACGGGACAAAATTCTGGGTACATCCAAGTAAGCTGTCATCTCAGTTTTATGTCTGACAGCCAACTAACGCCTCTTCATTAGGCCGAAAAGATCGAGTCACTGTGCGTGAACTTGCGCGCATCCAGGGCTTCCCTGACGACTTCGTGTTCTATGGACCGGAAGAACTGCAGTACGAGAGCGTCTGTCGGGCAGTGCCACCTGTGATCGCGAAGAAAGTTGCGCAGACGATTCGACGTGCCATCGAGACTAGGTCGTTGGCAGGGAAGGTGGCGAATCGAGGCGATCTTAGGCAAAGCAGTAAGAGAGCAAGAGTCGAAGATGATACGGAAGGAATGTGAAGATACGTTGAACAACCACCATAGTCAGCGGCCGTTATGCCTGGAGGGGATATTGAGAGGCTGCCGTTGGATGAATTGGAGATGCGGATGGCCAAATTGGATGGCAAGAAGACGGTTGGAAATGGGTGACAGCTTGTCGAACAACCAATTTCTGGCACAAAGACGCAGATTGCCATTGTTGGATTCCATTTTCCGCATTACGGTCACCGATTGGGACTGGGCCATCGGGCACGGCTCCGAATGTCAGAATCTCAGCTACAAGCGATTGAATGAGTGAGTACCATCATGTACCAATTGGAAATGGCCTCTTTCCCGAAGCATCCGTCATACTCGTACTGCTCCCACACATCCTAGTGGGGAGAGCTTACCGATACACATGTGCTTCGTCCTCGGTGCGGTTGCTGCGGGTTGATATCTCAGATCACAAATCCGCTGATTTTTTGCTCCTCGTGCAGCGTGTACAGTACGGGGGCCTATCATACGACATGCTCTTGGACTCTTCACATGCCATGCGTGCAGTATCTACGATGGATGACGATGGATGACGAGTTGTCGTGGCCTGAGTCCAGTGGGCCCCACATGAGGCCCTAGGTATGTACTGTGCACCCTCGTACCTGAACGGTCCGCACCCCGCCAATAGATAGGGCAAAGGGGAACTTCCCTTCATGGTCCGACATTCCCCCTTTCAGTGACGTCGAATCAAGCCGAACAATCCTACGACTACAGAAAGAGAGGACGGAACGTCAGCACTATATGTGACAGCATCCGGGACAAAGGCACCTCGGGAGACTCGACACCGGCAAGGTAGTAGGACCAGAAACTGAAGAGGAACAAAGGCATAGGCAACACATGATGTTCATTGGTGACGAAAGAGTGCAAAGTATCTAGCATCCGAGAATCGAAGATATGAGAAGCCGACTCCGTCAGCATCCAACAATCCCGGCTTCTCGCTTGATCTTCCAATCCCGCCCCACATCCATGCATCTCGCCGTTCTCTAGCGCGTCTGGGGAGATGCAAGCTAGATATTCTCAGAGTTTACCGTTCCCCCGAATTCCTCCTTGACTAGGTACTCCGTAGTCCTGGTAGTAAAAGCAACAAAGGGAACAAACAAAGGACATAATCCGTGACAAAGAGGCCGTGTTCCCCTATCCTCCGCGCCACAAGGGGGTTGGTTTCCCTCGGGCTATTGGCGTGTAGCTCGGACAATGCAAAAGGTGCCAGAGGGCAAGCATAGTAATGAAAACCTCCGTCGTACTGGTGTTGGGTACTGGTATCCATCGAAACAACAGGGCAATATGTAAGACATCATGGCTTGAATAGAAGAAGGATTATCGACGAGCACATGGTCAAGTCGTGCGCACAATGAAAGTCGTTAATAAAAGAAGGCATGTCGACTAGTTAGTTGCCCAACCTCAAGAACTGGGTGACCTTGACATCGTCAAGGGGCGAGGCGACTGGTGTCTTGTCGGTGACAGTGACAGGCAGGGTAGGTTCCTCGGCAGCGTTCGAGTCGGTGCTGGTGGTAGAGCTGGATCGGCGGGTTTTCTGGAGTGCAGGGATGAGCGAGTCGTCGGCGGGCGAGGCCAGGTCCGAAATGACAGCCACACGATGGGCGGTGGGAATGAGGGAGAGGAAGTTGTTGGTTGGGCTGGACATGTTGTTCGGTGGAAGCTGGGCAGGGATGTGGATGGAAGAGAATGTGTTGTGTGTCCGAGTTCGGGGTTGTCGAGATATACCAGAGTAGATGGAAGGCGCTCGGACGTCCTTTGTGTCGTACGTGCTTTGTTCTCTGGATGACGCAAGGGCCAGGGGACTATTGATGTTGCTCGGTTGAATGGAGGTCACAAGGTAGCCGGGACGGTAAGGTTTGGCTGTGATTACGTCGGTTGGGGCTTTTTATTGACTCGTGCTGACCGAGGAGATTGGTATTGGGGACGAAAAAGAATATTCAAGGTGTCGTCGAAAACCCGCCGAGTGTAAGGTAAAGTAAAGAAGAGTATGGAGACTGATTCAAACACGAACACAGGCTTGGACAGGACTGTACTTATAGACCTCCCACATCGTCCTTGAGAACCCGTGGCATGTGGTGGTTAGCTCAAAAGCACGACTCGGGGCAACTTACTGTCATCAATCAGCGTACGAGGAGGATTCAGGAAGTTTCTAGGACGAATAGGATCCTTGCTTGTCCCGGAGCAAATCGGTAGATACGAACACTGGTCCTTGATTTTTGGTTTCGGAAAAGGTGACGAAGGCCTCGAGAGTGCTGGATTTGTGATGCGTTACTGGTGGAGAGCAGCATGAAGCCGTGGCTGACCGGGACTAACCTCGGTTGGCGTGGCATGATCATCAGGGCACCCACATTCTTCCACCTTTCTCCCACACGACGGTGACCAGAGCCGGGGCTAGCTGCAAGTATCTTGTCTCGCTGTGCATGAACACTTCGTATGCAAAATAATAATAATGGCAACTTGTGCCCACTGTTGGCAGATGGCGAATGCATTGCTGGAGCCTTGCAATTCCCAGTTGACGCAATCTTGGCTGGAATAATCGAATAGAGCATGGGGGTTTGAGAGGGAGAGGCACATGCCAACATGCTTCACGAGGAGCAACTTCCATCTCGGCTTTCGCAGTTGGCGTGAATAATGGTCAGCCTCCAACGGAAGCAGAAGCTGTCACGGTCCGCTGAGGCTGCTTGTCTGAGCGCTGCGCCATCTCCGTGATACAACAATCCTGCAATGTCCTGACGTGATAGTTCCCTCGGTCCGGCTATGGCTTTGTCCTACCGAGAATGGTTCTGACCCTGGCCGCAGTCGACTTGTACGAGCTTACCTAAGGATTGAAGAGGAATGACTTGCTGGCAAGACTTTTGATTCGCAGTGAAATTATCCAACAAAATCAAGAAGATGCACCACGCCGAAGGAGGCGCCATGAGTGATGAAATGAAGTAATTCCTTGTAGTAGAAGAGGTCAAGAAGGAGCAGAACTGGAAGAAGCAATTTACAGGGCGATTTTCCGTCGAGTCGTGGGGCTTGGCAAATGCCTGCGACTTTTTGGTGTTGTAGCAACTGAACACCCCCCAACTCACCATCTTTATAACTTCACTGCCTCTTCCTACAGCCCTTTCTATTGAGATCAATGGCTGGAGTATCTCTGACAATTCGATTCGCCGTGATTGACAGATCCGTTGCAGCGTCTTGGTTGACCTGCAGCCGCCCAACAGCCCATTTCCTGGTTTGCGCTCCTGCAATTCCTCCCTGACCACCTCAACGACGCGGCGTCTTCAGCCTCGATCCCCATTGGCATACAACACTGCGTAGTCACTAGGTTTTGAAGTTGATCAAGTCGCACATGCGTGATCGACTCACCGTCACGAAAGAGCATTGTCTTGACGCTCGACAACCCTACAAGTCATGGTGCTGGAGCAGCCATGGGTTCGCCCTGTACTTGCCGAAAGGTGATTCTGGACCTTGTCTGTCACGCCAGCCTTTGCAGATGGTCAAGCAGAAGAATGAAGTGATGTGCTTATATTTGTTGGTTCAAAGAGCTGGGACCCGCAGCGTGCAGCAATCCATGTGTCTTCTCGCTACAGACCCGTGATTATTATCTTGCAGGTAAAGGAGGGATTGTCTTTGCAAGCACTAATGTCTTGACGTTGACTACTCATCTCTTTCTTGTGCTTCGCGACCCTCAATGAGCCGCGTCACAATGTTCCGCCGCGACGACTATGCGTCCTTACGCAGCATCATCGTTGGCCCGAAGCAGGTCGTCGGGACTGTTCAGGTCCAGAATCACGAGCAGGAGCACCGATCATTTACATTCTCCATGTTGCTCTTACTATGCTTCTACTCGTGATCCAAACACCAACGGGCAACAGGGCAGAGCAACCAGAAATTGGATATCATTCTTGGGATGATATTTTTGGCAGATACCATGACCAGGGAGTCCTTCGTCAGGTATAAAATGACCCAGTTGACAGCCACAAACATTTCATGCCTAATTATCATCCGATACCTTCCTCTCTTGTGCAACTTTCACGCAGCTCCCCTAAATGACTCAAGTTTGGACAACATGCCATCGAAAGTGGCAACTGTATCGCTTCAGCAGACGGAATCCCAGGTTGTCTGGATCGAATTAGCCTTCTCTCCATCTATAGAATGAGTACGAGAACTGAACGGTGGTCGAATAGATGGCAGGTTGTAGATACCCAGGTACCTGAGTTTCAATGCCAAGACGACCCCAGCATAAGGTCTTCGCTCATGTGGGAGGCTCTTCTCGTACTCGGTAGCACGAACATATTCCCCGTTCAACGTCATTGTTCTCGCTCCTTTTGTTCATTCTATGTCGGCAAGCTTGGAGAATGCCTCACCATGTCTGTAGATATCAAATGGGAGAATATCACTTCAGGCGCTGATGGCGCCGCCCTGGCTGAAAAAGTTCGAGATTTTGTCCATCAGAAATTCCAACAGGTACCACTGCCACGATTCATCAATGCCGTCCACGTTCAATCCTTTGAGTTTGGGTCGGCTTGCCCAGAGATTGAGATCAAAGACCTATGCGACCCACTGCCAGATTTCTACGACGACGACGAGGAAAGCGAGGAAGAAGATGTGCCTGGGTCAAATACCGACCTAGGACCCGGCAGCGTGCGTGATAAAGATAATCACCATGCTGCAGTTACACATCATCCACATCGCAGGCCGCAGCTAGCCAGTATCGCTACCGCTGCACCTCATCACGATTTCCCAACCTTAACGGGGATTCGGGACTTACATGGTGTAAGCGCTGACCACTTGGGTGGCCCTTTTCCACGAAGCACCACCCCGGGTATCCCAGGAGGTACATCGAACCTCAGCTACTTTCACTTCCCTGGTGGTGGTCTATCTGGAACACAGACGCCGCTCGCAGCCGTTGCAAGCGGCACTCCCTTTACCCCACGACCGTGGTCATTCGATCTATCACAACCACCCACCAGGCACCAACATGGGGCATTGCATACCCCCGGCGACTGGCAACACGGGGAACGAGAACTGCATGGCCATGATGATCCCTCCACAAGGCCGTCGACCGCAAATAGCATTTCATCACCTCGTGAATCCGAGTCTGGAATATCTTCGCCGCAATTGCAGCATACAACTTATCCAAATGGTGTACACGATGGTGATGAGTCTGCCTTGGATGCAGTAGCTCCATTATCACCGTCGAGAATACAGAGCAGGAACCCGTCCGACTTGCAGGTGATCGCAAGGGTCAAATACTCTGGCGACGTCCGGATGACTCTGACTGCCGAGATCTTACTGGATTATCCAATGCCTAGCTTCGTGGGGATACCGCTCAAATTGGCCATCACAGGCATGACCTTTGACGGAGTCGCAGTAGTGGCATGGATCAAAAGAAGAATGCATTTCTGCTTCCTTGACTCCGAGGACGCTTTGGCTCTTGTTGGGGAAACTGTGGCCGTCGACCAACAGAAAGAAAGAACCAGCAAGGACAGCTCGAGATCAAATTTGCCCGGTCCTTTGCAAGAGATCCATGTGGAAAGCGAGATCGGCCGACAAGAAGACGGAAAACAGGTTCTCAAGAATGTGGGTAAAGTGGAAAAGTTCGTGCTGGAGCAGGTGAGGAAGATTTTTGAAGAGGAGTTCGTCTTCCCCAGTTACTGGACATTTCTGGTGTGATGCCTTAGTGGAAGGCATCTCTCTCTTCGATCCAGAATGATTCCAGGATCATCAGGTCAACGAGAAGCACCGAAAGCATTTACGCATTCAAGATTCGAAAACGACGTGGGAACACCATGCCAATACACCCTCCTACAAACGACGTCGGATTATAGCAACCCCAGATGCTCAGATCGGTGTCACCAGGTGGCCGATGGCCACGTCACAAGCTATGTGATGTTCAACATTCATTGCATAGCCTTCCAATCCAGGAAAAGTCCGGCCTCAATCAAGAATCAGGCGACTAGTTGCGGTCATTCGCGGAGATCCCATTCGCGCGCAATCTCAGGCACGCAGCCAATAGCAGCATCTTCTGACCCTGGCAATCGGGATGCGCCAAACTCGGGTCTGTGCCACGTCCCTGTCACCCATGTCGTGCGACGGAGGAAATAGTTCCAGAAGACCCTGAAACAGAAAGCCGTCGTCGACACAGACTCTCCATTGGCGAGATGAGATCAGAAGACGCGACAGCATGATGAAGTTCTTTGTTGCCAACTCACCAAATATGAAACGGAGACATTCCCAGTTCAGAACCAACCACTCGAGATGACGTCGACCTGCTTGGCGGGGAAATATCAACGACTTGCATTCTTCATGTTTGATTCCATTCTACGGCTTCGATCATCTTTCAGCGAGTGCTTTGGGTATTTTCTACATAGAGCAACATCATGAAGCGTCTTTCTTCATTCCTGCAGCGCGCAAGAGGACGGAAACCCTCTCCTACTCAGCCTGAACATCCTTCTCCGGCTCCTCCAGGGCAGGTTCCAGCTCCAGCACCCCAAGCTTGCCCACCATCGCAACAATATAATATCCAGGCAGCTGGTGCAACACTTAGTGTGGCATTGCAGAACCAAACTACGTCTTCTACAGTGTATGCCTATATTACCGGACAGGCACTCGACAATAACAATGCTTTATTTCTACTTTCCGCTGACGGACGAACACCATACTATCCCACCTCACCAGGGTCCGTCGGTTCACCACTTCCACAAAACTGTGCCATCGCTCTCGGTGCGCCAGGGAATACTGTGACTGTAACAATCCCGCATATCGCAGGTGGTCGGATCTGGTTTGCGATCGGATCTACCTTGACTTTCCTCCTCAACCCAGGTCCTGCTCTGGTCGAACCGTCTGTCACCAATGCGTCCGATCCTAATGCCAACATTGACTGGGGATTCGCCGAGTTCACGTTCAACCAGGACCAGCTTTACGCCAACATCAGCTACGTCGACTTCGTGGGCCCACCGATCGCGCTTACCCTCACGACGGTGAACAGTGGGACTCAGCACGTCTCAGGCATGCCGGCAAATGGTCTCGACCAAGTCTGCAACGGCCTCCGCTCACAAAACTCCACTGACGGCAAGGGATGGGACCAGTTGATCGTGACGCGCAACGGGCAAAACCTGCGCGCGCTCTCCCCCAATCAAGGTATGGTAACCAACGCGAACCTCTTCGCAGGCTATTACGACGACTACGTCAACCGGGTCTGGACGAAATTCACGACTCAAAAGATGTCGATCGACACGCAAGCTTCATACGGCACGGTGTCTGCGCAGGTTTCTGAGCCTTCGGACACATTGTCCTTTGGCGGTTCGCAATTCTCGAAACCCTCGACACGAGACATCTTCACTTGCTCGACTGGTCCTTTTGCGACCGGCTCGAATGCCGAGACCAATGCGATCATTCCTCGACTAGCTGCGGCGTTCAACCGGTCTACACTGCTCGTCAGCGACACCTTCCCCGCCGATCAGAGTCTTTACTACCAAGATCCCGTCACGAATCATTATAGCCGGATCGTGCATGCGGCGAATCTCGACGGGAAGGGCTACGCGTTCCCTTATGATGATGTCCAGCCCACGAATGGAAAGGATCAGAGCGGAGAAGTGCACGCGGGAGACCCCACGTTGTTCACGGTGACGGTGGGAGGCGGGAATGCCAGTGTCAATCCGCCAAAGAAGGAGCTTTGATGGATGTGGTACTGCGATGTAGGAGTGGATGCGATGACGAGTGCAGGAACGAGGATAGTCATGGCTGGATGTTTGATGATACATGCCTGGATATACGAGCAATGATTTGCGGCAAGCGGTTCTGGGGAATGTACGGAGTCTGGATCGATTATGAGATGGAATGGCTAGAAGTCATAGGTAGCTAATTCACATGGATATATCACGGCTGACGAGTCCTCATGCTCAGGTACGAGCGCCTCGATCGAAAGCAGGAAAGGGTGAATGTCGTCGCAAGGTCTTCGATCATTGGCATGCATTTACTATCTAGATTTATTGTCGCTAATTTCCAAGATTTACAACTTCACCGCGCGCCGGAGCTGGTAGAAAAGCTTGAGCGTTCCGAGCGTGTGACATAAATCGAAAAGAAGGAATTCTACTCCTTCGCACCGTGGATGAAAAGACGTTCCTCAAGAGGCTGGAAGGTCTTCTCCATTGGCTTGCCAGCCGGCTTGCCAAAGACCAGTTGGGCCTTCAAGCTCCAGGTGAGAGGCACGTTCCAGGTGGCCGCGATTTTCTCGTCGATCAGAGGGTTGTAGTGCTGCAAGTTGGCGCCGAAACCTTCTTGTTCAAGGGCGGTCCAAACTAGTAGTAAGAGATAGGTTAGTCATCCGATCTGCTCTCTCGAGATGATGGGACGAAGCACAGGGACTTAGGCCCAGGCCCAGTCACCCTAAATTTCCACAATCGGCGGAACAACTTACTGGTATACTGATGCATGGCATTGGTGTGCTCACTCCATTGCGGGAACTTGTCGGCGTACAAGGGGAACTTCTGCTGCAAGCCGGCGACGACCTTGGGCTCCTCGTAGAACAGGACGGTGCCGTAGGCGGCCTGGAATCCGCTGAGTCTCTGCTCGGACGCGGGCCAGGCTTCTTGGGGCGCGACGGCCTTGACCGCGGGCTTGACGATGTCACCCCAGAGTTTCTTGTGCTCGTCGCCGAGCAGGACGACGACGCGGGTGGATTGGGAGTTGAAGCTGCTGGGGACGTGGAGCACGGCTTCCTTGACGATCTCTTTGATCTTGGAGTCCGGGACCGGTGATTCCGAGGAGAGTTGGTAGATTGTGCGGCGGGCTTTGACGGCCTCGAAGAAGGTGGATGAGGAAGTCATGTTGGCGGTGGTGTTGGAGAAGGAGCGAGTATGAGTGCGCGAACAGGAATGAAGTGGTGTAGCGAACTGGGTGAGTGTAGGGCGAGAGGATGTATGTAGAAAAGACTGGAGGGAGGTGGGTGTGGTTAAATAGCGAAGTGGTTGTTGTAAGGTCGCTCGGAGTCGCATGGTTTTTCGAGAACGATCTAAACGCGGGTTTTTCTGGTCCGTTTTTATTTACCCGGCAACGCTGCAGTGGAGGGGACACAGTACTGGTATTTGAAATTATGGCATTGATAGGAGTAGCACGGATCGTGGAGCTCTCAAAGACGGTAGACGGTGGTGCAAAAAGTGATGATGTGGGTACGGCACTGGTGTGGTACCGCTGATGCCGGTATATGACAAGCACCAAGAATCCTGCGTAGTAGCTCGTACTGTGGCGTGTGTGGTACTTGATCGTCTGTCATAGCTCCATAGCTCCATAGCTCGTAGCAAGGCTGGAAACTATTCCGCGTGGTTGTTAATGATGCCGTAAGCAGGGGTCTTGAAAGGCCACTTCAACTTTCCAAGGCTTGGTAACTCAGCAGTGCTTGCAGCCATTCGTTCGCAGCAATGGTTCTTTGGGATGGAGCTCGTGGTGGCGCATATTTGAGACTTTCCAAGTGCTTTCGGCAATTTCGTGGTTGGTCCATCATCTTGCGTCATTGACTGCCACGATTCCAACATGAAGCTATTGATATCGTACTGCAATGAGGTACTTGTCCGATCGTCCTCTCATGCTTATCGAGGTCACGTGAAAGGCGAAGAAATTCCGACCAGTCACGTGCCGATACAGATGTCACGTGAGATGTGAAGATAAGTCTCGGTAGAGTTGCCCATCTTGCGCGGTGAGAACCCCCTAGCACAAACCCTTAGGCCGAGAATCATCGACTGCACATCAAATGTGAAAAACACCGCTCGGGCTGGTATGAAGCAAGGACAGAAAGCCAGTGATGTACTCCGTATTTGGACGAATAATTCATTTTCACGACGGCTTCTGTCCATACACGAAATACAGCTTTGAATAGCCATGGAATTTTCGGTCCAACAGTTCCTTCCTCACGCCGGCCAGCAGAAGCTGTATTCGAGCAGCGCTCCAGCCCAGCACTCTCGTGAATAAAGCAAACGAGTATGCGTCCAGAGCTTCCAGCATCAGGATTTGTTGATAGGCGCCCAACTCCTTCAGTTTCGGATCTTTTGCCCAACGTGAGAACGGCACCTGGTCATGATGGTCACAGCGGTCAGCTCAAACCTGGATTACAGACAAGATATCAGACAGGACAACCAACCTTATAGACTTCTTGTTGGACATGCGTAAATCCTGCTTCCGTCAACCAGTCCTTGTAGTGCTTCGCCACACCCATGGGCTTCCCGAACTTATGGCTTGCTTCGATGAGTCGGTCTTTCCACTCCAGGAGGTTTGGGGCTCGGTCGATAGTCTCGTCATCGCAGAAGACTCCCACGGTAGCGTCGGCGACCTCCAGCCAGCCACCGGGCGTCAAGTTGTTCAATGCCTGCTGCAATAGCCTTTTGTGGTCTTTTACCGATCCTTCTATGTTTCGGGCGTGGATGAAGTCGAAGGGATATTGGTATCTCCAGTCGAGTTCGAAGTCGTCGATCTCGAATGTGCAGTTTGCGGGTACCCTTCACGGTGAGTTGTCAGTGATGATGCGGTAGGACCATGCTGACCCATGACCATACCATAGTGGCTGGATTGGACTCAGGTCGGTTCCTAGTCAACACAAGTCAGCTCGATGGTCCTGCCGATGTTTCCACGAACATGACACACCAATTACGATCGCTTGAGGCATCTTGCTAGAACGTCCTGTCAGAACTTATAGCCAGCGATTCAGTTTTGGGTAGCCATTACTCAGCCATATCAATCGCCCAGGCACCCGTTCCGGTCCCGAGATCCAGGATACGTGACACTCCATTGGAGATCGGAGCACAGTACAACTCTCCGCCGAGGACGAGATTGAATATATGATGGTGCTTTCCGACAAATTATCAGGAGGCGTTTCAACATTGGAGCGGACCACCAACAATATCCAGACGCTCTTGTTCTCTTTCGTCGTTTGGCTTTGGCAAAAATCCACCGGTCAGTAGGTTTCTCTTCCAGAACCACGGATGGAGAGCGTACGATAACATATTCGCCTTCTCGGTACGCATGATATCGGCGACCATTCTAGAAGAAACTTCTATCAGTTGTTCTTTCCTTTACCAATGGTTGTATCGACTGGCCTCGTATCTGATCCTGAATGAGCACATCCTCTGCATCTAGAATGCAAAAGGAGGATTGGTCTTACCTATAATTCAACACACTCGAAGTTATTGAAGCTGTAGAGTTGCCGGCTCTGTTCAGGGCAGGCGATCCTTCGTCAGCTCACGACCTTGATCATGGCTGGGCGAAGCGTCCTACAAACTTCCAGTGTCCAACTCATCATCAAAGGCGGCATCGTCCTAGCTAGTGTTCAGTGCGATAGCGTTGAGAAGGGATCCGGATTGGACAGACTTCCGCCGCAATTGCCGGTTGTGTTGGGTTTGATTGTGTGTCTTCATAGCCTGGGGGTTGAGTCGTCTCGGGGCCAGACATGTTCCCTCGATGGTGGTATAGAGATTACGAGTGTGTCCTCCGAGTTGGTCGTAGTTGGGGCGTTTCAGAGCAAGAGCATCGAGTCATTGATAGGGACGCAGGAACATTTGAGATGATGTAGGTCACGGTGGGGTGAACTCAGAGAATACGTCCTTCGTCAAAGACACAAGAGTGGCTCTTTGGATCCATGCATATCGTTGTCGACAACGGACCGGAGCGAAGGATCTCTCGCTCCCCCCTAAAGGCCGCTGGGAGCAGCCGCCGCCGCAGTGCCTATGATAGGCTCCATTAGGTGCTGAGTTAGGCAAGGTACAGCTCTAGTTAGGCTTGGCTACATTTTACTGGTCAATATCAGACCACCTATGCAAGCCAACTCCAACGGTCTGCGTGGGATCACAAAGGCCCACGTACGAGTATGAATACCCAACCACTCGTCTGATAGTCTCGTCAACCCTTGCTTTGCTGCTGTAACCTGGTCGTCCTCCAATCTTCTCCCATAATCCAACAATGTGATAACTACTACTTGGCATCTGCCAACTCCACACTTCTTACAACTCTAATCAACTTCCCATCTGGTACCCCAACGCCCGATCATCAGCTTACGATGGAATTCACTCAGCTATTCGGAAATCCTCTATGGGTAGCAGCCTTAGCTTGGGCAGGGTACAGCCTTTGGCTCGTCCTCTGGCGGCTATATCTATGCCCACTGGCTCGATTCCCTGGACCCAAGCTAGCAGCTGTTACCGGCTGGTACGAGTTCTACTTCGATGCAATCTGCCATGGAAAGTATACGTTTGAAATCGCGAAAATGCACGAGCAATATGGTACGAGGCTCTTGTGGCTGCTTCATACTCGCGGCAGCTGATGCTTTGCTTCAAGGACCCATCGTCCGAATCACTCCTTGGGAGCTCCACATCAACGATCCAGACTACTACGACGTTCTCTACTCACGCAACAGCCCCCGCAACAAATACCAATGGTTTGCAAACATGTTCGGCACACCCAAAGCCTCAATCGCCATATTGGACCACTACCAACACCGTCTCCTGCGGTCCAACATGAATCCATATTTCTCCATGCAGCGGATCAGAGCACTGGAACCCGAGATCCGAGCCCTGGTCGATAAGCTTTGCCAGCGACTAAATGAGTTCAAGGGCACAGGTCACCCCATAACGCTTCAACCTGCATATACTTGTTTCACAACGGATGTTATCTCTGACTACACCATGGGCGTCGGCTTTCACTACCTGGACGAGCCAGACTTCATTGCCCAATGGAGCGAAACACTGAGCGGAATCGCACAAGGCACAGCCTTCTTCAAACCATTCCCGTGGTTGTTGACTATACTCAAAGCCCTACCGCAAGGGCTGGTGACGAAACTCAACCCCGGCATGGGCTTGATGTTCGCATTTCAGAATCGCTGCCTGGTCCTCATCAATTCAGTCATCGAAAACCAGAAGAGCGGAAAAGAGAACTTCGGCCATCCTACCTTCTTCCACGACGTACTAGCGAGCGATTTACCTCCGGAAGCAAGAAGCGCCGAACGATTGGCGCAAGAGATCCAGACCATCATAGGTGCCGGCGCCGAGACCGTTGCGAAGATGCTTAGCTGGACGACGTACTACCTCCTCGAGAACCTAGAGAAGCTGAGAAAGCTGAAGGAGGAGCTCAATAGGCTTGATCCAAATCGGACGGCAGCCCTGGTGGATTTCGAGAAGATGCCCTATCTGGTGAGTTTTCGTGTTGATGGTCTGGGTCCGGACATCTACACTGACTGAGTCAACATCAGACGTCCGTCATGCTCGAAGGACTAAGGTACGTATCCATACCCCGCTCGAACAGCAACCAATTCCTGATGTCGGCGTTCTTTCTCTCTAGACTATCATACGGCGTAAGCACCCGCCTCCCAAGAATTGCACCCGACCAAGCCCTCCAATACAAGCAATGGTCTATTCCGGTGGGCGTAAGTTTACGACCCCACTTCACCTCATCAACCACTATTAATGTGTCACTAGACCCCCGTCGGCATGACCAGCGTGTTAATGCACCACAACGAAACCAACTTCCCCGATTCTTACAACTTTATCCCCGAGCGGTGGATGGATCTCGAAGCCCGTAAAAGACTCGAGAGTTACCTGGTTCCCTTCAGTAAGGGGTCGAGGCAATGTGTCGGGCAAAAGTATGTCGATTCTCTCCCGTTCTTGCCTGTCCTTTCGTCCCATCTAGCCTTGTCGCTCCATTCGCTGAACAGAAGTACAATCGTGACTCTAGTCTCGCACGAGCCGAAATGCTGCTGGCCCTTGCCACACTCTTCCGCGACGTCAACTTTGAACTGTACGAAACGACGAGAGAAGACGTTACGATGGCCCACGAGCTGTTCCTCCCTTTTCCCAAAAAGGGAAGTGAAGGTGTGCGAGTCTTGGTGAAATAGGGGGTTCGGTTCGGACAGTATAAGTGTCGTGTTCATTGTATATGGATGTCAAGGCGACCTGTTGCTGTTGTTGTACATTTGCCGCTTTGCATGGGTCAGGTGCGCTTCTCTCGGGTTGATGTTAATATAGTCATCCAGCTGAATTATCTTTCTCAGAGCAAAGGCCTAACGACCTGGCACAAACGGCGCGTGAGCCATTTGAAGCGGCCTTCGCTCACTTTGCTAACTCGGAATCAAACCGTAGTTGGGCGAATGGGTTTCTCGTTGGTGATCAGTGCAGGTACTTATCTGACGAGGCTGATCCTCCTTATGCAGGTCACATGTGAGGCTGATAAAGGCCATTCCTTGGCATGCCCCGTTTTGATTCCCGTGAGTACGAGAGAAGCGAGGTTTCTTAACACGAAAGCAATAACCCTGCTGTGTATATTTCAGGCTGCAGACGAGATGTCGAGCCTCGCCTCAGGAGTAGAGCGCAGTAGCTATACACTGCATCTGACAAAGCTATAAAATGTTGCAGACGGACGAGGAATTCACCCGACGCGAGACTGCACTTTGAATTGTTAAAATACGAAGTACTCTCCTCGACACCTCCAGCCTTGTCGATCCATAATTGTCAATGGCCCTGTCTGCTCCAACAGCAACAGCCTCCTCCATTCTCCTCCAGCTGGTCGAAGACTACCACTCCTTCAACCCAGGCGGCGTCCCCGTCCTGCCTTATCCCACATATCTCGACTTCAGCAAACAAGTCCATCGAGGCCGGCCGTGCGTGTATCGCCTGGACCCGGACCAACAACCGGCCAGAAAAGCCAGCCAAGTCAATGGATCATCAAGGCTGTCGAAAGTACGCACCGAGTTGGAATCCATCCTCTCAAGTCCAGCATTCTCATGGACGAGGGAGAGCCTCTGCGCGAAAGTCACGGAGGACGTCGAAGTCGCCGTGACGCCGGACGGGAGGGCGGATTCATTGTATCCTCTTCCTCGAACATGGGCATCTCCGAACAACAGCACAGTCGAAACCCACGCCAACCTCGAGACTTCAGACCTCAATAATAGCAGAGGCGGAAAACGTGAAGGCCTTGAGGCGGCACATGAACAAGAACCAGAACAAGAACAAGTCTTCGTCCAACCGGCCACGATCAACATGTCGCTGTCCTCGCTCTTCGACAAACTCTGTCGCCCCGTCGCAAACGACAACACATCGATACCCAACAACCCCCAAGCGATCTACTACCTCCAGTCCCAAAACAGCAATCTGACCACCACCCCGCTCTCACCACTTCTCTCCGACCTCCCACGCAACCTGCCCTTCGCCGCACCGGTCCTCGGCGACCCCGAAGCAATCAACATCTGGATGGGCACGGGCGCGAGCGTGACCAGCACGCACCGCGACCCGTACGAGAATTTGTACCTCGTGCTCCGCGGGAGGAAGAAGTTTACTCTGTACGCGCCCGTCGAGGAGGTCTGTCTGCATGGTAAGTCCAGCCCAGTCCGGTCCGGTCCGGTCCCGGGTTCGCTACTCCTCTCGCCTCGTCTCATCTCATCTTGGCCCCTGGAAAGCTGGAAGGGAAGAGTCTGATGAATCCGAGAATCTCCATGTCATGTCAAAGCATGCAGTCAAAACCCGCCCGTACTTACATTGCAAATTGTGTGAATCAAGACCACGAGACTGACATCTTTTTCACTCCCCAAAAGCCGACAAAGTCCGCACAGCACACCAGGTGCTCGAACCCGACGGCTCGTTCAACATCGCCCTCGACACTCATCAGCCTTCCTCACCCGACGTCGACACCGACACCAGTGATGCTCAGGCTGAGGATGGAGCTAAGACTGATGACAACTGCATCCCTTGGATCCCGGTCGACCCTTTGAATCTACCCACACCTGATATCCTGGCGTCAAAGTACCCCTACTACCAATACTCTCACCCTCTCACTGTGACAGTGTCTGAAGGCGAGATTCTATACCTCCCGGCGGGCTGGTTCCACCACGTCAGTCAAGAATGTGGAGTATGGGACGATGGTGAGAATGCCCCATGTATAGCGGTCAATTACTGGTATGATATGGACTATGAAGGCGAGAAGTATGCCATGCGAGAGATGTTGGGACGACTGGTCGAGGCAGCACGAAGAGAACAGCATCAGGAAGAACTGAGTCGGTAGAAAATCGTCTATTCTCAATGTCATCGATTCTTCGTAAAGAAGATTCTGAACTCTAGCTCTTTGGCATCGACATCATGCCTTGGAAAAGGACTGTTTCAATTCTTGCTCATCTTGGAGGGGCGCTCCGCTTTTCGTGTAGGATCATTCCGGAATCATGTCATCTCTCATGACCACATCATGTCTTGTGTCTTGACTTGCCTGCCGTTTACATGGCCTCCAGCTTCTTGAGGATCTCTGGGAACTCATCCCAGTGATACATGACGGCAGCCGCATTGCATTGTTCGGTAAGAAGCTTGGCCATCTGTTCCATCTTCTCTTTACCTTCCTCGACACCGTAGACGCCAACGTAAGCGATCAAGGGGATACCAGCACGCATGGCAGCAGTGGCACCACTCTTGCTGTCCTCGACAGTGATACACTCAGAAGGCTTGACACCCAGCTGCTCGCAGGCGTACAGGTAGATCTTGGGGTCAGGCTTGCTGGATGGTGGATTGAGGGAGGTGGCGGCGCTGTAGACGTGTTCATTTGGGAAATAGTGGTCGATGCCGGTCTTCTCCAAAGAGGCGACAACACGTGGTTTGGCAGAGGTGCTCACGACAGACATGGGGTAGCCGGCCTTCTTCAAACGTTCCAACTGCTCTGGAGCACCTGGGCATGGAGTGGCTTTGGCCTTGAGCTTCTTGATGACTTCTCCGAGTTCACGACTGACGTACTCCTCGAGTTGTTCTTGTGGCATCTGGAAGTTGTGCTTCTTTTGGAGGCCGATCAACATTCCACGGAAGTTCTGACCGACGAAATCTTCAAGGAGGGAATCGACGGTGTACCGCTCGGGGACATTGTACTGCTCGAGCAGCTCATTGGTGAGATCGGAGCAGGCTTCGAAGGCTAGACGCTCAGAGAGGACGAGGGTGTTATCACAGTCAAGGAGAACGTATTTGACCTGGATTGAGGTGAGTGTTAGTATATCGGCATAGGCATACGAGTGAGAGTGAACAGAGGAGCGGTCAAGAAAGACCAGGGTGAGCAAGGGCAATGGGGATGTACCTTTGGCATTTTGGCGGGTGTTTTTGTGATGGCTAAGATTGAAGAGAGGAGAGCCCAAAGAGATGTCTATTGCTGTTCGTAGCAGCGCAAGGGAAAGGAAGAGAAAGTTTTTGAAGTGTCTGAAGCAGTGGGATGTGTGTGAGATGGTTGAGAACGACAAGCGAGACAAAGTAGCAATCAATCAATCAACAGTCGAAAACGTGGGGAAGCGCGCCAATACGTCATTTGACCACTTTACCACCTGGAAGTTTACCCAGCACCCCTAGCTTCACTGTCATTCACATTCACTGCCACTACTGTCCTCAAAAGTACATGGTACACGGTAAAAGCATTCACTGGCACCTGGGTGATACCTCTGTTACAGCATTACAACGTGAATGATTGGTATTGCCCAATATGCGGGCCGAATTCATTCTTGACCAGTTCTATTCAGATGGGACGTCCTAATGAGGTTCGCTTCCAGCACAATCCAGTCTTGTTTCCACCCTAGAGCAGTATGAGAAGCCATCCGGTATTTGGTATAGCACGAGTTAAGATATATTCACTGGATATATTCCAAGTCTAGACCTCGATCAATAAATGTCCGGACGCCAGCCATTTGTCTAGCAACGCCACAGCCACTACGAGGTACTGGTAGGTAGACGATTGGCGGCAACACCAACCACACCAACTTAGCCACACCAGACGTGCCAGCGGGAAAAAGTGACGTCGCCAGCAGCCACGGCTCGCACCTGGATCTCCGGATTGACATCTCCTTTCCATGATTTCGTGGGAAGACGTGCATATCTCCAATGCTATGTGAATGGTAGCCTTGCTCGAGCGATAAGTCCCAGCATCGTCTTGCAAAGATCATCTCTGCACACAGCCACTGTGACCGGAGACCAGAACTATACATATTCGTGCTTACTGCTGTCCATTCCCAGTGTTCCCTTCGCTCTTTTATCAGCCGTGTGTACCACCTGCTAACACACTTCACCAGTCTGTTGCTTTGATGCTTTAATTGCTCTGTCAAGATGAGGATTCCCCTCTTCAAACGCCTCGTCATCGCCTTTTGCAACATATTCTTCCCACCTTTGGCCGTGATGCTCCTTACCGGCCCCAATGAAGATTTCATCTTCAATTGCGTCATGTTCCTCCTGGCCATAATCCCCTCCCACATCCACGGCTTCTACATCTCGCTCACCTACTTCAACCGCAAACGTAAAGTGAGAAGAGGCGTGTATCCGGGAAAGCCAAAACACCTTATCTGGAGTGGACGTGTCAACAATGGAGGAGCGAGCTGGAAAGAAGCCCAGAGGCTGAAACGCATGAAAGAAGACGGCCGCTTGAGCAGGAGGGTCAGTCGCAGGGTCATCGGTCAGAGCAACAGGAGTAACAGTCAGAGAAAGGTCGAAGATTGGGACAATGGGTACAAAGAGTACACTGTTAGTCCACAATTGAGTAGGATGGATACGGGCAGGAGCGGAAGGAGCAACGGACGAAGCCAGCAACGAAGGAGGTATTACGATGATGAGTATTCGGATTATTGAGTCGATCTGACTCCAGGAAAATTGCGGATTGCTGTATCATCACCAGCGCGAGTGAAGCGCTCATGGTCCAGCTCGTATTAGGATTCTACACCCGTCGGAGCGGGCCGTCCATGTCTTTGGTCGCAAAGTATATTACAACAGATGACAAGTCGGAAACGAGATCCATCTGAACAGACATGCGTAGGACGTCCATGTCTTCCATGGACAAAGATATTGTATTGTATCTGCATCTTTCCAGTTGGGAGTCCAGAAGGTCTCGCCAAAGGTGTCTCTTCATGTCCAAATGGATATCTTCCATGTCCGTCATCACCGCATCGATCATACAACACATTAAGGAATACTTTAGATAATAGTCTTCAGCCGCTGCGGAAGCTTCCTTCCACACCGTCAGTATCCAAAGGTCAGCTTGCGTCGCTATCATCGCCGTCTTCCCGGCTGGGCGCTTGTACCGTTGTCACGGAAACGTTCTCCTCGCTTTTCCCTGGTAGAGGGTAGTGGCCGAAGTCACGACTGCTAGTGCTGAATTTCGATTGAACTGGCGGATGCTTCGCGCCAGAGTATCCACCATTTGTCGGCTTTTCCGAGGGGAAGTCATGGTTGTTCGGTACGGGTGTGTTGAGCGAACTGGGATCTGTCGATACTGGACTCGTAACAGCGTCAAGGCCATCATCGAGGGTTACCGAGTTCAAGCCATGCAAACCACCCTCGATGTCTCTCACGAGTCTGACAAACTCTTCCGGTACTAGCCCACTCTCGCCGGTCCTGGGATCTTCTGCCACCAGCCAGCCTTGGCCGTGTCGGTATGACACCAGTATTATCTGACCCTCTTTCAGGGGCAACTCGTTTTGATGTTCGCTCTCAAAGTCGAATAATGCGACGGCCTTTCCATGCATTTCCTCATCCGGACTGGCAATGGTAAAGGAGTAGTCTTTGGAAAAGCGGGTGTCGTCTTCAGGTTCCGAGTAATCGTCTTCGGACATGGGCTCTTGGGCTTGTAGTGGCGATGGATTTCTTTGTATTGGTTTGGCAAAATTGGAGTCTCGATGTTGTGGCTGACCAGGAAATCGTAGCACGTTGTTGTCGTACGTTTCTACAGCCTCACCAGGTCCATCCACCTCATCCGGGTGAATAGCTTCCATCAGAAAGCCGCGGTGGGGTCCCGCGTCTCCAGGCGATCTTCCTCGGTCGTTTGATTTATGCCTTTTATGTCTGCTTGTGGTCACAATTGGTGATTGAATGTCATCATCTTCGCTGTAAGGAGGCCCATCGTCTTTAAATGCCATTGCGGGTAGCCTATCTCGACTCCAAGAAGCGGTACTTGTTTCTGCCATCCATGGCGGCGTTGCTGACCACTGTCCTCTACCCTCTTCCCACGACGACATGGTAGGGTCGGATAGTCTTCTGGACTCGCTAACCGGTGTCGACATGCCCGACTGATTCGGAGGCGGCCCATAATGTAAAGGATGTGTGGGTAAATACGCGAAATCTCGGACTAGACTATAAGGGAGGCTCGAGTGAAAAACGGGAAAGACGTGAGAGACCGGCCGAGACTGCGGTTGGTAGGAGGCTTTCGAATGGTTCGAGAAGGAGGACATTCGTCTTTCAACGTAGGAGGTTGGTCTTTGCGAGCTCGCCCTTCGCGGCGTAGGTGTTGTCGTCGTTATTAGAGGGGGCAGAATAGGAGTGTTTGCGGTGGCTGCGGTCAGAGGCGGTGACATTGTGGGAGGGGAGGCTGTGATGGTAGCCATGGTCGAAGAGGAACAGGAGGACCGGCCACCAACGGTCACGACGCAGAAAGAATGGTCCAAGAGGCGGGATGGACTGCTTTCAATGCGGATGCGCGCTTGGAGGCACGAGGAGACCGTCGGCGGCTATCGAGGCAATCGTGGGTACTTGAATTGGTTGTGGAAAGCAACAGCGCGGGCAGGCAAGGTGTGAAGAGTAGCAGGCGCTTGTCGAGTAATGGACAAAAATGAAGGATGCGATGCCGCCTGGTTGGTCTTGCGATGTCGATGCAATTGGCTATGGAGGGTGTTCAGCAGCTGAGATTGAGAGAATGTTGTTGTTGAGGGTTCGAGGCTCCAGAATGCGCCGATTCTATTTATAGCACGAGGCCATGAAGGTGGGAGGATTAGATGAGCAGTACGGGCGATGCATTAGTCGCTGAAGAAGAGTAGTCAGCCAGAGGAAAAGGAGGACTATTCGCAGTAGACATATGTCTATCTCAGCGGTGTGCGGGTACAGAAGAAGACTGTTTCTCTCTCAGTCACGCTCGGTGTCGCTGGAGTTGGTCGAGTGGATTGGGATTTGGGATTTGGCATCGATTGGATATTCACCGGCGGCTCGACTCTTTGATGGTCCCGTTTCAGAGTCTCCCAAACTAAGCCCTTTACGGCATCAGTGCGCATTATATGGGCTACAGCTGCATATTCCCTGCATGCCCTTTATTCTTATTTGCATCGAACATTTTCTAGCGATACACCAGATCGAGTAATTCCCGTCCACTGCATGGGGGCATGCTCATCACATCCATACTGTACACAGTACGCGACACATGTCGGTAAGTCACACTCATTCGCCTCTCCTGTCCGGCATCGTGATGATCACAATATTGGAGCTGTCCTATCTCATAATGAGGACACCATTAATACGCAAAAACAAAATTCTGAACAAAGTCACCTCATTTCCTGAACACCAATGTTTAAGTGACTGTTGATAGAGACTAACTTCTCACCAGCCACGCCATGTTAATCCTACAGCAATAACTCATCCTTCTCCCTAATCATGTCGACCGATCCTCGACTCGCCCGTTTGCAAGGCCGAACAATCACTCCTCAACCTCCCAAGCCACAAACGCCGCCTGCACCTCCTGCCGCTGTCGTTGACACGGCAGAAACGAACCCTCAACCGATATCCCCTGCACAGGTCGACGGAAATGTCGACGCACCGGCTTCGACTACAGCGCCAGCAGTGCCAGCAGCGAAGTCTGATTCTTCCTTCAAGCTGAAATTTTGTACTGTGTGCGCATCAAACAACAACAGAAGCATGGAGGCGCACCTCCGACTATCAACCTCGGACCATCAATACCCGGTTATCTCATTCGGCACAGGATCGTACGTCCGATTGCCTGGGCCTTCAATATCCCAGCCACAGGTCTACAATTTCAACACCACGTCCTACACCAAAATGTTCGAAGAACTAAATGCCCAAGACGCGAGACTATACAGAAACAATGGTATCTTGAATATGTTGGACAGAAACCGAAATATCAAGTGGGGCCCAGAAAGATTCCACGACTGGGTTGTCGGTGCTGCGAGAATGGACGCTCTCAATCGAGGAGACAAAGGCGCAACAGGCACGGAAGGCGGTGTCGTGGATGTCATATTCACATGCGAAGAACGATGTTGGGATGCTGTGGTTGATAACCTATTGGACAGAGGGGCGCCTCTGAATCGACCCGTCCATGTGTTCAACATCGATATCAAGGATAACCACGAAGAAGCACTCATTGGTGGCGGAGCCATTCTCGAGCTGGCAGATGCACTCAACGAGGCTGCCCTCCAGGAGAGACAAATGAACGGTACCACCGGCTGGGAGAACGGTACTGGAGCAGCACGGCAGAGCTTCGATGAGAGAGTGCCTGATATCTTGGCCAGTTGGCAGGAGAAATGGCCCAATTTGCCCGCCTTATGGACATTGTCATGGTTTTAGACGCGGACTCGATCGTCAAAGGATCTGCGATTTAGCGAGGCGCTGGGGGGTGTTTGTATCGGAATGGAAAATGGTCATCAACATCGTCGTCATCATCAGACATCTACGTCTAACGTCTGCCGAAGTCTGGTCTTTCGTCTTTCGTCTATCCTTAAACTTTGGCTTGTATCATAACTTTCCCTCCCTCTGCTGCTGCTTCTGCGCTTTCAACTCCCTTTCATCCTTCAACACGTCCCTCCGCAGCGCGACATCGACCTGTCTCGGACCTTCTTTTCTGAACTTGACCAGCACAACGTACTGATCATCGCCCCGTAGTCCACTCCCTTTCAATTCCGGCCCTGGCTTGTCGAGGGCCAACACCGTCCTCCCATCCTCGCGGCCAAACTGCAATCCGATGGGACTGATAAACTTGTCCGTCCAACCTTCACTTTCAACCTTGTTTCTCAGCTCGGCTTGCTTCCTGCCCACCTCTTTTGGGCCTTCATTACCACCCTCCGCCACATCACGATCCAAGATCTCACTGGCGAGATACAAAAGCAGAAATTGCGGCGGAAACATGATGATCTCGCCACTTCTCGCTCTCGCAAGCCAATCACGCGCCCTTCGCCACTCCGGCGCCATTGTCTCGACCTTGTCGCCCGTCGCATGGACACTAGGATTTCCCGCCTCGCTCGCGTCCACGAAGTATATGTACATCTGCGTCGTGAACCGCTTGGGCACGTTGGGCGGTGTGACCCAGTGCGTGAACGGTATCAGACGATCCGTATCCAGCACGGCGTTCTCTGATACACTGCCTAGCCAGTCGCGTAACGTGATCTTGCCCTGATGCACAGCCTCACGACCAGCCTGCCGTTGTTCCCTTGACACGGGGAGAAGGGATTCTGCATCCTTGGACGATCTCGCGAGGAGTATACCCGTCTCCTCGAACAGTTCCCTGATCGCGCCGGTGCGGTATGCGAGAGAGTCGGTGTGGCGCTTGACGTCTCGCGGATCAGAGGGTAACGGCCCGTCGCTCTCCTCGAGGTTGCCGCCTGGGAAGACGTGGGCCGAAGGAAAGGCGGAGGATGTCTGAACGCGGTGAAGGAGGAGGATCTCGTTGGAGGGAGAAACGAGGATCACGCTGGCCGAGGGACTGGCGGGCTTGGGCGCTTTATGTTCGGTGTAGCCTCTCACTTCGAACTTCGAGGGCGCCATGGTCGCAGTGCCGGCTCCCGTGCGTACGCCTGTGAGGTGCGGCTTTTCGCCGGGTTTGGGCGCGCCCATTGCGCCGCGTGAGAGGAGGTGGAAATGCCGAGAACGAGGTCTACTCGAATGGGCTAGAGATCGGACGCTGGTCTGTACAGTCGTGACAGGGCGCAGGGGGATGGTGGAGGTATAAGAGTCTAGCAGTCTAGAAAGGATGAACACCTTGGAAGAAACGACCTGAGGCCCGGACTTGTGTACTAGTGCCGGGGGATATACTTGCATTGCACAAAAGAAAGGAAGGAAAGAAATCGCTGTACGATGGAGATATTGTAGCGAAGACACGAAAGAACACGAGGATGTCTCTCCCAAGAAGATCGATTGGAGCGTGAATGAGCGTGCCTTGCAGCCAAATCTCCATGTTGACGTGGGGAAGATCGATAGCCGAGGTCCGTATTCGGGTTACTGATCGTGACATCCTGCTGGTTGATGGTACGAGTATCATGGATGAAGCTTAAAGATCATGTGCAAGCCACACAGCTTGTTCAAGGACACAGTAAACTGCTCGTGTTCAGTAGAAGATCAATATAGGCTCTCGAGAATAAATCCTCTCTAACTAGCCAAGTGTCCAATTCTACTGAATCTGGTTCGAATTGGCATAACTCATAAAATCATTTTGCCCAAAGCAAAATCTGGGATGTTTTCTCATACTCCTTCAACGCCGTTTCGCCGTGCTGATGTGTGACTTCCTTTCTCAGGCGTAAAGCTTCTTGTCGAAACTGTCCAGACCATGCACATTCCCTTCAGCCTGAGCACTGACGCTTCGAAGTTCGAATCGAACCTTGCCATTGACAACATCCTCCCGGAGCTCAATGAGGCTCTTGCAACCAATGTCTTGAAGCGAGTGTTGCAGACCGGCGATGAGGTACGGTACGAACTGGGTGACGGAACCTCGATCAAGAACCGACCCAGACACGCCTTGGGCGACCAAGAGTCGATCTCCCTCGGAGAAGTATCTGGCCGTTCCAGCATTGCTAGCCTTAGAATTCTTTCCACCACCACCGGCCTTCTTGTCCTCCATGGCATCGATACTGCCCATTCCTCGGTAAGCCTTGACAAGTTTACCCTCGCGGTTCACGAAGGAGGTTCCAGGGGACTCGGTAGTACCAGCAAGTAGACCACCCATCATCACGGTCGAGGCACCCATAGCGAGACCCTTGACGATGTGACCAACGTTCTGAATACCACCATCGGCAATGCAAGGAACCCCGAACCGCGCCGCGAACGAAGAGACAGAGAAGACTGCTGCTGCTTGAGGACGACCCACAGCCATCACCTCCTGCGTGATGCATGCACTGCCGCTGCCCATGCCAATTCTCAGGCCATCGGCACCAGCTGCAATGAGTTTAGCGGCTTGTTCACGAGTCACCACATTTCCAGCGATGACATCGAGTCCTGGGTATGTCTCCTTGACGTATTTGACCATCTCGATTTGGTACATACTGTTGCCCTGACTGCTATCAAGGACGACAATGTCGAGGCCAGCTTCAACCAGCTTTCGGAGTCTGTTCTTGTCGTCTGGTCGGGTACCAATCGCGGCGGCAGCGATCAGCTGTTTAGAAGAAGGAAGCTTGGAAGCGAGAGGGAAGTTGAGGTTCTTGAGGAGATCCGAACGGGAAAGAAGAGAGATGAGGTTGCCGTCCTGGTCAACAATCGGTAGCTTGCCCTTTCGAGACCTACGCAGGATGTTGTTGGCTTCTAGGAGGGTGGTGCCAGCAGGTGCAGTGATCAAGTCTTTCGACATGACCTCTGTGACCAAGTCTTCGGGTCGAGGGTGGAATTGGATGTCCCGAGTAGTGACGATGCCAATCAATTTGGACTTGAGTTGACCGGTTTCTATTAGACCACAAATCAGCGGATTGAAACATGCAATTATCAAGATTTGAATGATGGAATGCAGTATTCTCAGACAGAAATCTCCAAAATTCCCCATCGCAAATTAATGCTGCGGATGAACGAAAGTTATAAAAGGGTAAAATGGTTTGAACATCATTGAAAAATAAAGGCGAGATTTTGTGAGCATACTTACCAGTGACAGGAAATCCACCAAAGCCCCATTTCTCTTTCAACTCTTGGGCTTCGGCGACAGTGGTTTTTGGTGAGAGAACAATAGGCTCAGAGATGAAGCCGTTCTCGTATCTCTTGACCTTTCGAACCATGTCTGCTTGGTCTTCTGCAGAACAGTTGTGGTGGATGATACCAAGTCCACCCAAGAGAGCCATGTGGATAGCCATGTTCTCTTCTGTCACAGTGTCCATGGGAGAGGAGAGGAGGGGTGTCTTGAGGGATATCCGCTTTGTGACAGGAGAGTCGAGACTGACTTCAGAGGCGGCGAAACCTACGCGACTGTGTCAGATCGACCACAAGAAACGCGTTGAAGAGGCATACCGATGTATCCTGGGAGGACCAAGAAGTCATTGTACGTCAGGGCACCATTTTCCTTCGAGTCTATGAGGGTGTGGACATCGAGACCATCCAGCGACTCGTACTCTTTGAGTAGTTCTTCGGCTTTACGCCAGTCTTGTTTTTCCAGGTTGCGGTTGAGAGGGACGCCATTGCTGGCTGAGTCTCCGTTTGCAATAGGCATGTTGGAGGGGATATTGAAATACAGCACACGTCCTTGAACAGTGGTACTGGGGGAGAAGGAGGCTTTCCCGAGAAAAAGAGAAGAAAGACTCGAAAATTCACGGTGAGTGAAACTTTTTCTTCACGCGCGCGGGGAGTGCGCTAAGCTAAAGTGGCAGCACGAGCCTTCCCTTTCCCGGTAGACAGACACGCCGCCTTGTTGTAAGACCCTCAAGCCAATCAGGTTCCAGCCCGCCCTTCTATGCACTATTCCTGTTTTATCAATGTAAACATCGAAAATCGCATGTCGTTCTCTGCAGGTTCATTGTGCTATGCTGTGTGTGGTCTTCATTCATGATATTTGTGCCCGCGGAAGTCGTGTAAGCTCATATATCGGCCAACCATCTATGCTCGTGTTGTAGACTTGGCTGAGAATGCGACGACGTTGCCGAACACATAACGCATCCGAGCTTCTCGAACTTGACACTTCACATCGGTCTTCGGAATGTCTCAATACGGACTGCGACGAACGCAGACAGACATCTACTCTGCCTATCCTCAACGACAACCTTCGACAGCATCAACAGTGTCATCAGCCTATTCTGCTGCGTCAAGTGCCTTCCTTCCCAGTCGGACAAGTACGGTGACATCAACAAACTCCAGCCTCTACTCGAGAGGCTCGCCCGGGCACAAACGTGGAGTCAGTGAAGCGGGAGATATGACACCCACGCGAGCATATGGCGGTCACAGCAGCGTAGAGAACAGTCCGGACCACTTCTACCGAAATGCTCGCCAAACATTACGACCTCTGCCGCAGGCACCGTCACCCACTGCTACTCCCAGGCGACCGAGCGGTAACCACGTTCGCGCGCAGACAGTTGATCACTTCCCACAAACTTATTCCGAAGATCCCTTTGTCGAGAAACACTTACACGAACACCACTCCGAAGCCCATCAATCGAGACCGCACCTTCATCATGCTCTGACGACTCCGCATGCATTCAAAGCGCCAGATCTACAAGAACTGCAGAAGTCTTCTACTTCGCACCTAAGAGCATTATCAAGATTCGCACAGGATGGTGATGCTGAAGAGTTTGGTATCACAGCCGCTGGGCATTCGGTGGTCGGTCTACACAATCGAAGACAACTCAAGCGGACCGATTCGGTCGCCCCAAGCACGCGATCAAAAGCTAAGACCTTTGGTTGGGGCGAAAGAAACTGGATGGATAAACAACGACAATTTTTGCAAGCTTATGAATACCTTTGTCATATTGGAGAAGCCAAGGAATGGATCGAGGACATCATCCATAAGCCAATTCCTCCCGTCGTCCAGCTGGAGGAGGCTCTGCGTGATGGAGTTACTTTGGCGGAGATTGTACAAGCGTTTCATCCCGATCAGACTCTCAAGATCTTCCGGCACGCCAGATTGCAGTACAAGCATTCCGACAACATTGTCATGTTTTTCCGCTTTCTCGAGGAAGTTGGTTTGCCCGACCTTTTCCGGTTTGAGTTAATCGACCTGTACGAGAAGAAGAACATCCCCAAGGTCATCTACTGTATACATGCATTGTCCTGGCTGCTCTACCGAAAGGGCATGGTCGACTTTCGGATCGGAAATCTGGTTGGCCAGCTTGAGTTTGCACACCATGAATTGGAGCAAACACAACGTGGCTTGGACAAAGCAGGTATTAGTATGCCCAGCTTTTCAGGTATGGGCGCCAGTTTTGGCGCTGAGCCAGAGCCTGAACCTGTCGAAACCGAAGATGAACGCATCGAGCGTGAGCTACGGGAGCACGAAGCTACCATTGTCGAATTCCAAGGTCAACTCAGAGGCGCGTTGGTTCGACTCCGCCTCGGCGATACGATGCAGCAGCTCTGGGACAATGAAGATGTCTTGCTTGACCTCCAGTCGCGCATCCGTGGTGATTGGGTCAGACAGATAGCTGGTTATCGACTCGACATGCAGCGGTTTGCCACACAACTTCAAGCATCTGCTCGCGGCTTCCTTGCGCGGTCTAATCAGCAAAGAAAAGAGCAAATGTGGAGAGCCCGTGAAAAGGATGTGCTGAAACTGCAGAGCCTTTTTAGAGCGGGAAGAGCCCGTGCAGAAGTACGCGTCATGAAAAGTCAAGTTCGAAAGCACAATGCCGGTATCAGCAATCTTCAAGCTGCTATTCGAGGAGCTCTGGCCAGAAGAGACGCATTTGACCAGTATGAAGCCACCAGAACCACTGAGAGCGAAGTTCTCCTCTTGCAAGCTGGCATCAGAGGCATGCTGGCGCGGCGGCAACTACAACGCGATCGTGCTGCGCTGGAAAGGCAAGTTTTCAACATCACACAAATGCAAGCTGGTGCCCGATCAATGCTCGCAAGAGTTATACATGCGAAGCTTCATGGCTCCCTTCAGGAATCGACCCCAAGATGGACAGCATTACAAGCTATGATCAGAGCGAGTCAGACTCGAAAAGATGTGGCACGGATCAAGCATCACTTAAGCGCGCAGACTGCATCGATCAGTAAATTCCAAGCCGCTTTACGCGGTGCAAACGCTCGAGAGTCATACGTCTCCTTGAAACTTGCTCTGCTACGACAATCAACTGCTAGCATACCATTGCAATCCGCCCTCCGCGGCTTCTCCCTGCGCCATCGCGTACAGAAGCAGCGAGGAATGTTAGAGCGCCATTCGCCAAAGTTGGTACAGCTGCAAGCGCTGCTTCGAGGAGCACTCCTCCGTATACAGACTGCGGACACACTCAACGCACTTGAAGAAAATGCCGAGCAAATCGTGGAGTTGCAATCTATAACTCGAGCCATGCTATGCCGCATTCGTGTTGCAGATTTGCTTGGGGATCTCGATGCACATGACGGTGCCATTACAGACTTACAAGCCATCATTAGGGCTGCAGCGATTCGCGGCCGCTTTCAGGAGAAGAAGCGCTATTTCAAAGAAAACATGGAAAAGGTCGTCAAGATCCAGAGCGTGGTACGAGCAAAGATCCAAGGCAAGGCCTACAAAAGTCTTACTGCAGGCAAGAACCCACCGGTTGGAACTCTCAAAGGATTTGTTCATCTTCTCAACGACAGCGACTTCGATTTCGAGGAGGAAGTGGAGTTTGAACGGCTTCGGAAGACTGTGGTGCAACACGTCCGTCAAAATGAACTCGCAGATCAGTACATCACCCAGCTCGACATCAAGATTGCACTCTTGGTCAAGAACAAGATTACCTTGGATGAGGTCGTCAAACACCAGAGACACTTCGGCGGTCACGTCGGCGCCCTTCTACCTAACTCCGATATGGCTTCCAAGGATCCATTCGACTTGAAAGCGCTGAACAAGACGTCTCGCCGGAAGCTAGAACACTACCAAGAACTGTTCTTCCTGCTTCAGACCCAGCCTCAATATCTGGCGCGATTGTTCAGACGCATAAGAGAGCAGGCCACTGCAGAAAAAGAATGTGACCGCATCAAGCATCTTGTCATGGGACTATTTGGCTATGCTCAAAAGCGCAGAGAAGAGTACTATCTTGTCAAAGTGATTGTACGCTCTGTCAAGGAAGAAGTGGATTGCTCCATGTCGCTTCAAGACTACCTAAGGACGAACTCATTCTCCAACAAGCTCTTTAGCGCATACAGCAAGTCGCCGAGGGACCGGAAATTCCTAAGAGATGTTCTCGGACCCCTGGTGAAGGAGAATATCATCGACAATAGCTCGTTGGATCTAGAGAGTGACCCACTTCAGATTTATCTCTCTGCCATCAATAACGAGGAGCTGAGAACTGGTCGCCGGAGCCACCGAGACCCGAATGTGCCCAGGGAAGTAGCCATCCGAGACCCAGAAACTCGCAGCACCTTCATCGCCCACATGCAAGACCTCCGTGACATAACCGACCAATTCTTCCTCTGCGTGGAAGATCGTCTGCACCGACTGCCATTCGGAGTCCGGTTCGTGGCCCAGCAGACTTATCAACATCTCTTGGCACGATTCCCAGGAGAAGACAATGAGTTTGTGCTGCAGCTCGTGGGCCAATGGCTCTGGCGTAGCTATCTTCAACCTGCTCTCCTGGAGCCTGAGAAGTTTGGTGTTGCCGACCGAGCCATGACACAAGAACAAAAGCGCAATCTTGGTGAGATATCCAAGGTGCTGAATCAAGCGGCTTCCGCTCGTGAATTTGGAGGCGACAATGTGTATCTTCAGCCGTTGAACAACTACATCCGAGAGTCGATCGGCCGCTTTGCGATGATCTGGAACGATGGTGAGTGCCTTTCTCCTCTCCGTTGGGCACACTGCTAATCAATCTTGACAGTGATTTCAATACCTTCGGCAGAAGAACACTACGACATTGATGAATTCAACGACCTCTATGCAAAAACCAAGCCCACACTATACATCAAAATGGCCGACATCTTCTCTATTCACAAGTTGCTGACTCAAGAAATCAGTGTCATCTGTCCCAGCCAAGACGATGTCCTTCGCGACACTCTTCGAGAGCTGGGTAGTGTCCAAAGCAGCGAAAGCGAATTGAGAGGCGTCAGCTCGAGTGAAATCAGCCTGACCCTGAACCCGAAACTGCTCAATGCCGAAGATCCTGATGCAGATGTGAAAGCACTTTTCACCGAGACAAAGCGATGCGTGCTCTACATCATTCGTATTCAATCAGGTGCCAGCCTGCTGGAGGTCCTGGTGAAGCACATCACTCCAGAGGATGAAGAGAAATGGGACGCTCTGGTCAGGGACGAAATGCAAACTGGCAACGGCCGGCGTGGCGCTTATGCAGATGCCAGCACTCACTTGGACATCTCGACTCTGACATACCCTGACCTCAAACGCATCGCCCTAGAGAACGTTCTGCAACTTGAATCCTTAGGTCGCCTGACTCGAGCGAATCAATACCAAGATCTTCTCAACACTATTGCTGTCGACATTCGAACGAAGCACCGCCGCCGACTGCAACGCCAGAAGGAACTGGAAAATGTCAAGACCACATTGGCTCGTCTGAATGAGCAAGCCGTATATCTCGAACAGCAATTGAAGACGTACAATGACTACATTGAGCAGGCAATGGTCACATTGCAGAACAAGAAGGGCAAGAAACGCTTCGTCATGCCGTTCACAAAGCAATGGGACCACGAGAGAGAGCTGCAACGGTCTGGCCGTTCGTTCAAGTTCGGCTCCTACAAGTATTCGGCAAGAACCTTGCACAACAAAGGAGTCCTGGTTGAATGGAGAGGATACCACGAGTCTCAGTGGGACCGTGTGGATCTGACCATTTCTTCCAATGAGGTGGGAGTCTTCACCATCGACGGCAGCTCGGGCAACATGATGATACCAGGAGCCAATGCGCAAGTACCGCTGGACGATCTCTTGCAAGCACAATTCAACAACACCCAATTCATGGAATTCTTTGAGGGGGCACTTCGTGTTAATGTCAACTTGTTCCTGCATTTGATTATGAAGAAATTTTATAATGAATGAGCGATGACCCCACACAAATGCATCTGGAGTATGGACTTTTGGTGCCGGTTGGAAAGCAGTGGCGTCTTCGATGACTTGAATGGCACACCATCTCACACCCGGTGGGGGCAGGGACTCTGTGGCATCAACGATACTTCTGGGTTGTAGGAAGTTGGGAAGACCGTCGCAATTTTCAGCTCAGCGGAGGCACACACAGGTCTCTGTCGAGTGTATACCGTAGAATCAATTGAATTCGTTAATCTGACCGTTACAGACACGTTCACACGTAGCCATGCAAGCATTCGTAACTTCGAGGATGACGGATTCCTAAGGCTAAAGAGGAGCAGGGATGAAGGTGAGCCTGAGAGGAGGGAGAATCCCACGAACATCTTGTATCCCAAGACTTTTCCAACTTTTGAGCTCATTGTGAATTCCATCAGAGGACGACGTTTCTGCTTTCACGTGGACAGCATGCCGCCGTCAAACCACTCATCGAGCCAGCCTCCTTTCTCAATGACGCTGAGATATGATGTCCTGATCTCGCCATAGATGTCGCCGCGCCAACTGAACACGACAACATCGGAAGCCGTACCAGCAGATAGACAAGTAGACATGCGGTAGTGGCGTTGTAGGCTCCTGCCGAGCCTGTTGGGCCTACCGGGTACTTATTGCACCTTGGACATTAGATCTCTCCTACACCTCGACGTATATCTTACGGCATCGACAGCCTATCCACAGCGACCTTGCTAGAGACCCATTATTGGCATGGACATCCACCATATCGGGCGAGTCCAGTTTCGACCGCTGATATGGAAGAGACAAAACCAGGCCGAGACTTATGAGTGCCGCATGAGCTATCCGTTCTTTTCAAAGTGAGCAGTTGCCTCAAAACTGACGGGCAGTGCCGGAACACGCCCTTATATCCCTGAACGGCTTTCTGAAAGGTCTTCACACCAAAACAAATTGCTTGGTCTCCAAAGACGTAAACCAATGATCACAGCGTCTTTGACGGTAACGGCTTCTCATATCCATGAATCCTTGCCGCCGATAATCAAGCACCTGCCAGAATGCGCCGATTCTGATGTAGCGTTGCTCATGTGTGTCTGACTTGGCTAGAATCAGGAAAAAAGCACGCATGTACTGGCCTCGCTCCTCCACAAGCAGAAGCAACAAGTCGACCAAGGCATCGAGCTCATGAGTTTCAAAGGCCGCCGCCTCAGAATTCGGGCGAACTGTTCTCCCAGTGCCATCAGGAAGCAAGGCAACTTCCAGAGGGTGATCCAAGCACCAGCGATCAGTCGAATTATGGAAATTTCTAAAAAAGTCACCTTGCCCAATGGTATTGACCGTAGGATGTCGACGATTCCAGAGGAGACCTCTGGAAAAGCCCCCCTGCGCCACGGCTTGGACTGTATGATGGGGAGAATCCCAGAAGAGACGAAAAGGGCATGTCGGTCCTTCCAGAGTAACCACTACCGACTCTGGGAGCCCGAATTCTCCGCCTGTACCATAGTCGCATTTGCAGTCCACCAATTTGGTATGAGCCATATCATTTTCACCGTGGCGCCAAAATTCGACCTTGCTGTCTACAGATACCCACGACCAAGATGGACCATCAGTCCGCATGCGCGACGCGTGCCGCTTCACGAAAGGGGCGCTGCATCGATACCAGGCCATATCTGACACGAAGTTGTCTTTCCACAACCCTGCAATGTAGGCATTATCAGGGGCACCACTCGATTTGAGGTAAGCAGCTAGGCCGGCAATTGCAGGTAGCTTGTCCCTTGCGACAGTGAGCTGACGTCCGGTGTAGTTTTGGACAAGCCCGTGCCACACCGGGGCGGGCTGAGTCTCCTTAACCTGGCTGGTGAAGACTTCCCGTAACTTCATGGTGGAACGATTGCATTCACCACATTCACACGTGGAGGACTCCAGACACGAATACGCCAGACAATGATGTCCAAACTCGAGGATTCTCCTGCTCAATAAGATCTCTTGTAATACCCAACCTCTATCGTCGACCGGGCAACTCATAAGGTCATTGGATATTTGGAACCCGCTAAGTGGGCGGCTGGTTCTCAGACGCACAAAAACATCACGGTTCATACTCTCAGGGTCGCGACCTAGCTTGATACCCTCGATGAAAGATCTGTCCGGCATAGCGAGGAACGACTCGTCGCACGAAGGGGAAGAAGCGGCCACGATCGTGACGTACGCAGAAGAGTAGACATCTCTCATTTTCATGGACTCCCTCCTCCATTCGTCAGGATCTCCTTGTGCGATGCAAAGAGCGTCGATCCAGAGGTATCTGATTTTGAGCAGACGGGTAGCTATCACGGCGTCATGGAAGACAGATGGCAATTTGGATAGCGGAAAGCCCTCAGTGAACTCAGACAGAGTTGTCTGAGTCATGCTCAACATTGCCGATTTCACATCTGTAGCCTGGCCCCAACAGTAGGACAGAGCAGCGTACTGGCTCTCTGATGGGAGGACAGATGCGGCTTCGTCGATTAGCCTGACTGTATCATCTTGCTCTGGAACCGACGTGACCTCAATCAAGCGCTTTGGCAGTGTTGTTTGGATTCGGACCTTGCAGGACTGATGATGGCGAGCACAATTTTGTAGCGTGCCGGCCACGAATTCCAAGGGGGCATAAGGCAAATCGATGGCAGTCAAGTGGCGTCGCGTCCTCAGCTCAAGGTTTGGTTGTGCTGCACCTTCGTCCACGTAAAATTGAGCCGCAAACCTCCAGTTTTCACACCCTTTAGACGGTGAGCAGGCGACATGGCTCAATGGCCAGCTCCCCCTTTCAAAGACACACAGTTGAACCAGTGCCTGGTCTTCCCAGCCGTCTGGCAAAGACAAGACTGAAGAATGCTTCCGCGCAAGCGACCTTAGACCGTCAACTATTGTTGCACACCATGAGCAGCCCGCAATTGCAGCTTGGGTGTGGAGCTGGAATTTCACCTGCTGCTGCTTCCGAGAAGTCTGGCAAACTCGACAGCAAGGTGATCCCGATGCCTTCCTCCGAGCATCGCGGGAAACGACATTGCGAATGCGGCTCTCCAGTGCCATCAACGTGCATTTGTGGCTATTCCGGATGGCACGGAAGGGTTCCAGTGGTGATGAATTTCATTCGATTTCTCAGAAAATGTCAGTAGGGGTGATGAAACAGATTGCGAGAGGTTAGGACAGCTTGCAACCTCACTCAGCCTGACCAGGCGTGCCAGGCACCCACCGGGGTTGAGGTTGGTGGAAGCGCTGACTCCGCCAACAGGAACACCTGAGTCGTGTGCGCTGCAAGACTTGTGCCAGCCGCGAGTCATGCTCGATTTTCTCCATTACTCCATCTGGGTGCTGGGTGCCGGGTGGGCGTCCATCGTTGGTACGAGTAGTGAGGCTGTGGAAGTAGACGGGTTGTCAATCCGAGGTTGCTTGCATATGACTATCGTAGTAACGTACCAGGCCCATATCATCGGGAAGTACCGTCATGGGCCATACTGTGTACAGTAGTAGTGGCGCATAGGTGGCGCATAGTTGAGGTTCACTGGTGTTCTATGAGCGGAATTCTCTTCCACCTCTACCGTCTTCTGTCGCGGTGTCGCATCACGTCAACTATACACGACAGTTCCATGATGGCCGTATCATGACAACTTCTCAAACCGAGTTTCCAAGTTTCGGATACACGAGCCGTGGACTGACTGCCTGAGGTGATCACCCGGATCTTGCAAGTTGCACATCGACCTCGTGTTTCGGTGCTTGTCCCAGTGCCATCAGACCGTGCCCATGTCGTTAACAGCTAACGGAGATCTGGTCAATCCCACCACCTGGACATGATCTGCCTGGATCTACTGTGGAAGATGGCCCCAACCCTGTACAGCCACATAATTTTGTCAACGTTCGGTGCAATTGACCGGGTTTGCTTGAACTGCACTGCTTTCTCAATCAGCGGCTGCAAAACGAAGTTTGAGAGAAGGAGACCTCATCGGCCTGCTCAATCGCAGCCTCATGACCGGTTGAGTAGGGCAAAGATCAGCGTGTCTGGATGGTTCTTTGACCGCTCACACCGCCTGTCAAGTGTCGCATGAATGGAATTTGGACCGATTTCATGGCGAACGCACTGACGATTCTTGAAGACAAAGAGAATGCCGCAGCCTACGGTTTAGACTTCTTCCTTCTCCGTTCGCTTCCCCCAGCACGGCGCAACGACTTGGAATGTTGACATGTTGACAGCACGACGTGCCTTGCGAAACGCGCTGCTAGGATCATGTGGTCATCTTTGAGCGCTCCATGGCTACTCCCCAGCCGCAACGGACCCAAGAACCTTCCTCTGAAATCGAGAGCGGTGAAGGGTGAAGTGCCTTGGCTGTCCTGCGCTGTCATGGCCTTGCTTGACCAATGATATTCCGATCGCAAAGCACAAACCCTTTTTTCCCAAGGTCAACCCTTTCTCGAGGTTTGTTTCAAGCGCTTTCTATGTCAGCTTCTTGAACGAGACAGGATTCTATTGATTATGACAGCTCCGTGTCTTCCGGTGACCTTCTTGCATCGAGGTCCTGAGCCTCAAAGGCTTTAGGAGTATTTCCATGCTCGTACCTGCAGTAGTTGCACAAGGGACGTTGCCACATGTACGCACGAGCACACAATCCCTGCCTCCCGGGAAAAGCAGAGGTTCGCCAGACTTACGAGATCCACCATCTCCAGCCTCATGCGTGCTCTACGTGGAAGCATACCTGGCATTAATAATCTCAGTGGAACTTTAGACAGAGCATCTCCTGCAATGGTGCCGCTTTGATCAGGGGTTACGGATATCTTAACCGTAAGGAGGATGATGGAGGCTCAAAGAAGGTTGGCAGCGTAGTGTGCAGGATTCCAGCAGTTGTGCAACTGTCACAACTGCGTGCCCATGTGACCAAATAATATGTCGAAAGTCTTACCCACTTCCTCGGCGACTTGAATGAAGCTTTAGTTTCCTGTGAAATGGTCTGTGTTTCACGCATCGGCACATTGGCATGTAGACTTTTGGCAAGAGCAATGCAGGATGACTGCAACGGTAAGGTAGGCAATGACTCTGGCTACTCTGTCAGGACGTGGTGAAGCACCTCCCGAGGAGGCGTCTGTATGGTCCACGCAATCGCCGGCTTCGACATTACAATTTCCAGCGACAGAAGTTTCAAGGGAAGGGAATGTTTCTTTACATTCCACAAACAGCCTTCTTTTCACCCGAACAATGGTGGACAGCGTCGAGAAGGGCCACATTGGTAGTATAACGCTGATCGCAGGAGTGTTTCGGCGATAAGGTTATCCTTTCCATATGGTTGACAGGCTTCACGCGTCCACCAGGCACATAGCTAACGCGACAAATTCATTGCATAACTGGACGTTCGACCAACGCGCCGACAGGGTGACGTGTTTGAGCACCGGCAACGAATGTGAGTGGAGTGTGTGTCTGGTGGCCGAATCTTGGGCGTTGACGTTGTACTTTCCGCCTTGCCGACCCCTTGCCTTGGAATCTTGGATATGCAGGATCGACGGTGGCCCAGGGGCAAGCCATCTTGTCATGAACCCGGTTCTGATCTCCTTGTGTGCGACAAGCCGTCTGTGCACCGGTTCAGCCCACCCGCCAATACTATGGGATGATCACCGATCAAGAATGGCCTGACGAGGATGAGATGGGTGGAAATGCAACTGATCAAAAAGACGGGAGAGGCCAGGTGGATTTGGATAGAAAGAGGTGTACGCCGTAGAGAAGTCTTTGTTTGTCTTTGTTCCCGTCTTCTTTTGGCTGAGACCGATCCTCAGAGTATTGATTTCTACTCAAGACACTCCTTGATGGTGATGCGTTGACCGCCATACCAAAACTACGTTTGCCATCGACGAGCATCAATGTTCGTTCCTTATATTGTAGCTCTCCACTACGCTCCCTATTTCCCTAGCAGCCATTCGCTCACCACTTTGACCAAGGACACCCTCACATCATGGCTCGATTAGGCTGTCGATTCTCGACGCCGACTCCCACACCCACCGACAGCTGGGCGTCATATTTCGACTCATGGAAAAGCGAAGACCGAGAAGTGCCGCCCGCGGCGTTTGAACCGATGATCGTGGACGACGAGCTATACCCTGACAGCTTGAATGTCAAGTTCAACCGGGATTTCGACCTGGGCTGGGATCTGGACCTCCCAGACAGCTATTCGCCATTACTGTCCAGCACGAAATTAAAAGATGAACATACAGGACGACTCAAGGGACTTCACAGGCGGCATGACGTCGATGGGCGGGTGGCTGGACTCCATGCTAGGAACGGTGATGGGGGGCTTAGAGGTCGTGGGTTAGGGGGTTTAGGTGGCCAGGACCACCATGCAAGCCGAGTGAGTGCGCCCATCATCCTCCATCATCGCCTATTTGCCTGCTCCTCCAAGTGCTCCACCCTCCTACGTCAACGGCTACGTCGATGATTCCCTTGAATCTTTACTGTGTCACTTTCTTCACTTTCTCCCCCCTCCTCTGCGATCTCACCTTTCATTATTCATCTCCCCTTCGTTCGTTTGCTGTACACGAGATACTAGTATTATCTTGCAGCAATCGGCTGTTTTCTTCCGCCTTTGGGGATTATCAAGAAGCCTTTCTTGGGACAAAGCCGCGCCTACTCATTCCCAGCAGGCTATCTTCGTATCTGCTGCACACTCATCCACTCTCCACTTCTCGCTTCGCTTATTCATCATCGCCTGGCAAGATCTGGACCATTAGGCAGGCCCTGCTTTTCCGCGCCTTCCCAGAACTGAAATCGCCAACGGCCTCTGCAACTTTCTTCTCATCACAACCTCCTCCTCCTCTCCATTCGTCACGACTGGCCGGTGTCTTCCTAACCACCCTTTCTCACCGTCGACCTTGACCTTCCACGTCCTGTGAACCTCGCTAAACATGAGTACCATTCAGAACCTCAAAAACTTCATACGTCATGGCAAGCAAGCCCGAGTTGCTGAGCCACCCCGCGATCAACCTACCACCAACGTCTCAAATGTCCACGCACAACCACAAAAATACCATCACGGGATAACAGAGCCTGCCGGCGTTCACCGACAACCTCAACAACATCACCAGGTAATACCACAACCAGGCGAGTACTCGGCGGCTGCGGTCGACAATCGAAATGTCGCTGCACAGGCTGGAGCGGCGGCAGCCAACCAGCAAGGCAAGCAACAAAAGATTGACCAGTCCGCCATCGAGGCCATTGTCGCCGAGGAGCGGGAGAGGGCGGGCCAGTTGCCCAAATATCCTGGTCTAGAAAGATACATCCTGGTAGAAAAGATGGGTGATGGCGCCTTCAGCAACGTGTACAAGGCTAGAGATACGCAGACACACGACGAGGTTGCCATCAAGGTGGTGCGAAAGTTCGAAATGAACTCGAATCAGGTATGCTCGGAGTCATGGGAGCCCCAGACACCTCTTTCATTGTCTCTGCCCAATACTGCGTCCTTTCCACACTCTCCACTCCCCCAAGCTTTGAATCAAAAAACCCGAACCAACTCTCTGACCTTAGGGCGATGCTCACCTTCATCCGAACTTCAAGAAACAACCAAAGGGCGTGGAGGTGCGCTTATCCACCCTTCCTCCCCCCTCGTTCTATTTGTCGAACCTACTTGACCTGCTGATGACACCTTCTCCTGCCTATAACATGTGCTGACCTTGTCTCCCAGCGCGCAAATATCCTGAAAGAGGTCCAAATCATGCGGCAACTCGATCATCCCAACATTGTCCGACTGATCGATTTCTCCGAGTCGAGGCAGTATTACTACATCGTCCTCGAGCTTTGTCCCGGCGGCGAATTGTTCCATCAAATCGTCCGTTTAACATACTTCAGCGAGAACCTCAGCCGTCACGTCATCACCCAAGTCGCAAAAGCTTTACTTTACTTGCATGAAGAATGCGGTGTTGTTCATCGGTGCGTCTACCTTGGACACAGGATATATGGAATCATGCTGACATGACACAGAGATATCAAGCCTGAGAATCTTCTTTTTTATCCAGTACCATTTGTTCCGACTCGGAATCCGAAACCCAAAGGACCCGACGAGGAGGACAAGGCTGATGAAGGTGAATTCATACCCGGCGTTGGTGCCGGTGGTATCGGACAGATCAAGATCGCCGACTTTGGACTTTCCAAGGTCATCTGGGACTCTCAAACCATGACACCGTGTGGTACTGTCGGCTACACCGCACCAGAAATTGTCAAAGATGAACGGTACAGCAAATCAGTCGACATGTGGGCCCTCGGCTGCGTCCTCTACACCTTACTTTGCGGTTTCCCTCCTTTCTACGACGAATCTATCCAAGTCCTGACCGAAAAGGTCGCTCGTGGCCAATACACCTTCCTCTCACCCTGGTGGGATGACATCTCCAAATCCGCACAAGACCTGGTCTCCCATCTGCTGACTGTCAATCCCGACAAGCGATTCACAATCGAGCAATTCTTGGCACATCCCTGGATCAGAAATGTACAAGAACCGACATACGCAGCGGCTGATGCTCCACCTCTGGCCACTCCTCTGGCTGTACGACAAAAAGAATGGATGCAGGCTGGCAATGTCCCCGCCGACCTCTATGCTCTTGGTACACCCGGCACACCTGGTAGGCGAGCCGATTTCCGATCACCGGGAGCCGTCAACTTGCGAGAAGTATTTGATGTCGGGTATGCTGTACACAGACAGGAGGAAGAAGCGAAGAGAAGAAAGAACTTTAAGCAAGGATACCGAGGAGCCGGTATGCCCGGTGGTCTGAACCCTCTAAATGAGGATGAGTTTGACGAGGACGACGAGGACGAGGAAGTTGTCGCGAGCAAAGTACCCAAGGCGCAACAACCCACCGACGTGACAAGCATGGAAGCAAAGATGCGGACAACCAACCTTGGCACACAACCGTCTTCAGCAGCCCAAGCGAGATCTGCCGCTGTACCTGCAAGAAGTCAACATCATCAACAACAGGAAAGAGGTTATGGTCAACACAGTCCTGCTGTTGCCGCCGCCGCTAAGCGCGATGTCGGTCGCAGAAACAAGCAGCCGTTTGAACTGAGTTTGGACAATTCGACGTTATTGGGCAGGAGGAACAAGGTAGGCGGCAATGCTGCTCCGTCCAAGCTGAGGGAAGAGATCAGTGCTAGATAGTGAAGGACTTTCCGAGGGTTATGGATCGAGGCACTGGTGGAAGATTGTCTCCGATCATGCTGCAAACAAACTGGCTGGGGATCATGAGCGCTTCTTTTTCCAATCCTTTGTTTATACACAGCGCACGATGGCACAGGTTGCCAGGAAGCGCGACCTGATGAGGCTAGATATGTGATATGAATGAAGCTTCAAGAACAATAGTCGTGTCTGTTCAACTGTCCCTGATGGCAGGTATGGTGGATGATGTACGATGTACAATGTACAAACACAGCCCGGCAATCTCCTTGTGTCGAGCGTTCTCAGTACTCCGTACTCCGCATTGGGCCTGAGTAGGGGCTTAGTAAGCTATACTTTGTGGATGTTGTGTCATGCTTCAGGGTGGATGGTGGGACTTGGGGGATATGGCTCGTCTGGTCTCCTCCTCAGTACTGCGGTTTGCTCGATAGCTGGGTCGACGCATGTAATATATGCAAAGACGAGGTCGGCAAGGACTGGGGGAAAAGTGGAGGAGATCTGATCTTAGATACTTGGGGATGGCTCGATGGGTCGATGGCGAGATGGGTGATGGGTTGATGGGTTGATGGTTGCTCCGTCTTTCTCCTGGCTCAATACTCGGAGATTCCCCCATTTTTGCGGACTTGGCCGACATCGCACGTCGCAGATTTTCTCATCGTGTACGAATCTAGTACCTACCTGTCCTCATTGTGAAGCTAGTGCTGGTGTTTCTTTTCTTCTCGTCATCCGTTCATAGAGGATTGTAGAGCCTTGGTCGCGACCTACCGAGATTGGGAACGTATATATATATATTCGATAGCCTACCGAACGATCTCCACGCCACAGGCCAAGGACACCGCGCTCGACAAGTCGTGTACATCAGGACCGTCCATGACGTTTGAGCCCACCGAAAAACAACAACACGGAACTCCCCTGGACAAAGACCAGGACGTAAGCCGTTCGCCGCCATCAAACACTCATCACGAAAACCCTGGATGGTCCGACCATAAGGCCGGGTCTTTCCTGGGCGATCACCATACACCATGGAAGGAAAGTGAAAAGACGCTAGAGGCGTTCGCCACGGCCGACGATGGTCGAGACGCGTCCTTGAACACAGATGCCTCGAAGGGAGCCTCAGAAGAGCTCTCGGTTCTTCACCGACCACGTCCAGGATCTCGGCAGAACACTGCCCCTATTTCTGTCGCTGCTGCACCTTTCACATCGTACAGTTGCGACCTGGAACGGCCAAAGACACATGGGTCGACGCGGTCAACGGCACATCCTCGACGGTCATCATCATCGAGCTCTGCATCCACGCTGAGCCAGGTGCCGAGTAATCTGGCAAATACTAGCCGACAGTCAACCGATCCGTACGGAAACACGTATCCTGAAGGAGGACGGGAAGCATGGCTTTGTGTATTTGGTTCCTTCTGTGGTCTTGTCGCTTCGCTTGGGTAAGTCGCATTGTTCTGTCTCTTGGCCTTGCTGACGACTGTATAGCGTGATGAATACACTCGGTACTTACCAAGCATATCTGTCCACCCATCAGCTCCAGCATTACTCCGAGAGCACGATCGGATGGATTTTTGGAATTTACGCGTTTTTGTCCTTCTTCTTCGGCATTCAGATCGGGCCCGTCTTTGATGCCAAAGGACCTAGATATCTTGTGCTTGCTGGGTCAATATTGCTGCTGGCGGCCCTACTTCTTGTGGGCATTTGTCAAGAATATTACGAATTTTTGCTCACCATTGGTGTCATGGGTGGGCTGGGTACCTCACTCATTTTCACGCCAGCCATTGCGGCTGTTGGCCATTTCTTCCTTCGAAAGAGAGGACAAGCGACCGGGCTTGCGGCAGCAGGAGGCTCGTTGGGAGGGATCATCTTCCCATTGACGTTGCAAGCACTCTTTCCCAAGATCGGGTGGGCGTGGTCAACTCGTGTTGTCGCCTTGATTGACTTGGTGTTGCTCATTTTCGCCAACCTGTTCATCAAGTCCCGCCTCCCTCCTCGCAAGGCCACCAAGGAGAACATACTTCCGGATTTCCGCATCTTCAGGGACCCTGTTTTCGCCTTGACGACGGCGGGCACTTTCTTCGTCGAATGGGGCCTCTTCGTTCCATTGACGTACCTCAGCAGCTATGCCTTGAGCCACGGTATATCGACCGATTTATCGTACCAGATCATTGCCATATTGAACGTGGGGTCTTGTTTTGGTCGATATTTCCCCGGACTCGTGGCCGACCGGATTGGCAGATTCAATAGCATGATCATCACGATCTCAATGTGCCTGGTCACGACTTTGGCCTTTTGGCTTCCGGCCAACGGGTCGATCGCTCTCATCATCGTATATGCCTTGCTCTTTGGGTTCGCTTCAGGGTCTGGAATCTCGTTGACGCCGGTATGTGTTGGTCAGCTCTGCAGGGTTGAGAACTATGGACGTTATTACGCGACTTGCTATACGCTGGTGTCTTTCGGGTCGTTGACTGGCATCCCGATCGCGGGGCAATTGGTGACGAGGACGGGTGGACAATACTGGGGGCTGATTGTGTTCACCAGTTGCAGCTATGCGGCATCGTGCATCATGTATACAGCTGCAAGGGTCGTTGGTGCTGGATGGCGTCTAAAAAAGGCGTATTGATCTTGAGGCATCTTAAGGATCTACGGCGAACTTATGACTGAAGAACTCATCCTTCGTGTGTGCCATGGTCAGAGAACGTAGCATACTGACCGAGGTATATAGCCTTGGGTGATCAAGTGAAATGGAAAATGATTCAGATGGCAGGCTTGACGTCTCTGACAATCCGAGTGTCACAAAATTCCCAACACCAAGCAAAAGCTACAGGGATAACTTCCGATACGAGGATACCAGGTCGTCCCCGCAAAAGTGGCATGCTAATCCGTCTCACGGTCGTGCAATTTGGGGGCCGGAAATCTCAAGACCTCCTTGCTTTTTCTTGACGTTCAGCTGAAGGCTTCTCCCTATTCCAGTGACGGATCTCATGTAGCCGGCTTCTAGCTTATATTCTACATGAACCCGGTGCGCCGGATGGACAAATCCCCCATCGCTATCACCACAAGCGGAGAGGGGAACGACCGGAGACTTAGATGACTCTGATAGCTACGGCGATCAATCAAGCCGTCGACGATGGACGACCGTGGCTTCATTCTCGACAGTGATGCGACCGCTCAAGATGTCTACAGCACATTGCATGTCAACGAGATTCGCACCCTACTTCTTGCACCGGGACCCAAAGGAAGTCCGATTGTCTGCGAAATGCAAGTGATCTCCTCCCCACGAGCCGGCCAATATGAAGCACTGTCGTACGTTTGGGGCGACAGCGTCAAGTCCTCGCCAATCTCGTGCAACGGGTTCGGCTTTGCGGTCACTGAATCTCTGCATGATGCACTGGTCCATCTACGATATCCTGACTCCTGGAGACGGCTTTGGGTGGATCAGCTTTGTATCAACCAGTCCGAAAGCACTGAACTAATGAACCAGATCGGTTTCATGGGGAAAGTATACTCATCTGCTAGCCGCGTAATTGTCTGGCTAGGCAAGTACGACAAGAGGATGGCGATGGCCTGGGAAATACTCCAGCAGACGACATTGAGCTCGAGTCTGGTACGCTCCGACTTCCTGGCATCCTCGAGACAGCCGAGTACTCCACAGAAGAGGCCCCCTACTTCAAGACGGTCGAGCAGCAACTCTTCCATCTCAAAGTACTCTCAGCGGGCGCCTTCCTCCCAGGAAAGTCTCCGTTCATCGACCTCGAGTGTGAATAGTATGACGCCGACACGGCCCAAAAGTAGGCGCCAAGATACTCCGCCAGCTCTTCGCAATGTGCTCTCGATATTTCAGCATGTCTGGTTCAGTCGAAAGTGGACTTTCCAAGAGATTGTCCTCGCCAAGGCTGCAATCATCTGCTGCGGTGAGCTGGAGATGGCGTGGAGTGATCTTACTTTGTGGTACTTCCACTACGCGTCGAAGCTGCGACACTCGAGCATCCTGTATGACTCCCAGGGCTTCTTCGAGAACATCATGGACGTGCGAAACGACCTTGGCAAGGGGACATTGAGGCTGAGCAATCTACTCATGCTGACGAGGCCGAGAATGAGCACAAAATCCGAGGATGCCGTCTTCGCCCTGCTGGGATTGGTGCCTGAACTGGCGAAGTTTCTAGGCTCGAGTTCCTCGACCGGTCTAGAAGATCACGGCACACCACATTCGGACATACTGTATAAGCTATACCTGACAGCATTCAGATTCTGCTTGGAGCAGGAAAATGACTTAGCAATACTGAGCGCCGCTGGAATGTACAAAGGTAATACTCAACCGGATGGTTGGCCCACATGGCTGCCGGACTGGAGACAACAACTTCCAATCCGACCACTGGTGCTTACGGAACAGCCAGACCTGGGACCAGTAACAGCGTTTTATGACGAGACTTTTGAAAGTGCTCCAACCGAGCCTCCTGCGAAGAGAAACACAGCGTACAGTTTAAACGTCAGTCGCAACGCCCTTGACCATTCCACCTTTATTCGGCACTCATTGACGATCCATGGAACTCGTTTGGGCTGTATCGTGTCACGCGCAGCAGCATGGCCGAATGCCTTCTTTGTAACCGATACTGCTGCGCATTCCGGTTTGGACAGAAGAACGGCAGATACCGGAGAAGCTGACTTCTCTCAGCCTATTGCTTCTTTGATTCCTCCGACTGGCGCATCCGACTTGCGCAAAACCTCGCCCGCCAAGGACAGTACATACTCTACCAAGTTGATTCAGGGTGCACTCAAGAATGGTGCAATATGTCAGTCGATTCGCACTTCGTCCATGGTCGAAACAGGAGATTGGCTGTGTGCTTTGGATGGAGGTCCAGTGCTGTATGCACTGCGCCCCCTGCAAGCGTGCGACAGGCTCGAGCAAAAGCGACCTGACATCCGTGGCGGAAGGGGGAAGACTCCACGAGACTCTGTGTCTGCGCCGATGGGATCATTGCGTCCAGATCCGGCGAAATGGGCTGTCCAATGCTTGTTTATCGGCGAATGTGCTGTGCACGGCCTCAGAGCGATGGAGCTGCTAGATACTATTGGACAGAGAACGGAATTCGAACTGATATGAGACCAGGAACACGATGCCAAAGCCGACGTAGAGGCCGTTGTGTGCATGGCCGGGAGTGTTCCGGCCTCCGCCTCTCTGCTTGTGCAGGGCAGGTCACGTGTCAGGCTCTGGCCTCGCGCAGATATTCCGGCCAGGCCATTCAGATTGAAGCAATGCTTGTCTCAATCCTTGGATGGGAGAATCTATTACTCAACAATAAAAGGTCGAGGAGGGGCAGGTGGGCATCTCCATTCACATCCAGATTTACCACGTCTCGCGTGATGTCAAATGGATTCACAGATATGCAGCCATGACTGAAACACCATACGCTGAATCACTAGTCATCTGCCCTGACAAAGTGAACGGGTGAGTCAGGAAGACGACAACAGCATAGAACAGTGAAAGAGACTGTTCAACGACCCAAGTCTTCACATATGCAATATACCGCAGTGCACTGGCCGACTGATACGAAGGCTGCGACGAGGCTGAAAATTGATGCCAAGGAAAGGCTGCGTCTCCTTGTTGTGGATGCTCGTCTCGAAAGCAACGGCAATGACAGTAACTCTGGGTCGTTGTTGCTCATCACACATATGCAGAGCCCTGCATTCGCGTGACGTTGACGAAACACCCCGCCAAAACCGTCGCTTTTCTCCTATCACACAAACCTAGTTGAGGAGGGTTTGAGGCCGGAATTAGAACCGGCCAAGATCTATATATACGGCGACACCCCCAGCCTGAAGCTGAGGACTTCAAAGCTGGCAACACCGTCATACAATCAACAGACAGCTCACAGCTCACAGCTCACCGGATCTGGTGGAATTCCATTCGAGTCATTGGCACATATTTCCTTTGCTCACCATATACTCCATTGTCTTACATGGACAGGCCTGGTGTGCCCAGCATGGCCATCGCAGACTCACCGCCGCTGCCTTCGTTATCGAGTCTCTTCCCTCATCTTCATTCCAATGCGGCAACTATCCCCTCTTCCACTGATCCCTTCACTATCACCACGACTACTGGCTTCCTACCTTGCCGCCCACCCATGCATCGTCTGCCAGCACAGTTTGACGCAATGTCCAACATACTTGACGACATGCCCATTGTGAAGGATGATGGCTCTCCTGGCTTGCTTGCTAGGTATCAACTGGGACCCTTGATCGACTCGGGCGCGCTGCCAGATCTGACCTCGCACATGGACGATTTGCGTGTCGATGTCGATAACGGAGCCGAAAAGCGATATGATCTTGAAGCCATCACCGCTCTCTTTCGCGACTATAGCTTCCTTGCAAGTGCTTATCTGCTGGAGCCTTGTTGGGAAGCCTGGTCCAAGAACAACAGTGCAGGGTATGGGCTTGGTAGAGCTGTTTTGCCTCGTTGCATTGCGGCACCGTTAGTCAAGGCTGCCGATATGTAAGTAGTGGACCCATGACCTTTGTTCCTTGCTGTGTATGACGCTGACGCCGATGTCTGCCTGCCCAGTCTCGACATCCCACCTTTCATGTCATATGCTGCATCATACGCGCTTTACAACTACAGCCTCGTCAACCCCAATCTTGGTGCCGGGGTCTACGAGAACTTAAGACTTATCCGGGCGTTCGAACACGGTCTTGATCCCAAAAGCTCCGAAGCTGGGTTCATCCTCACTCACATCCACATGGTCCAGGAGACAGGACCATTGATCCAAGGCGCCACGAATCTCTTGGCTACCATCGACAAAGCTCCGGAGGATACCCGTGCTGCGATATCCGCGTTCCAGACAATGCTAGCCTCGATGAAGCGGATCGAAGAGCACATGGAGCAGATGTGGACACATTCTCTACCGAAGGATTACATCTCCTACCGAACATTCATCTTCGGTATTACCTCGCAGTCCATGTTTCCCAACGGCGTCATTTACCAAGGTACAAAATACGGAGTTTCCAAGCCGCTGTACTTCCGAGGAGAATCGGGGGCCAATGACAGCATCATACCCTTGCTCGACCACTTGCTCGAGATTCCAATGCCCAGCAATCCGCTCTCAGACATTCTGCGAGACTTCAGACAATATCGCCCGAAGCCTCACAGGGAGTTCCTGGCTTGGGTCATGAGCAAGAGCGCAGAAGTCGGTGTCAGGGAATATTGCACTGGCCACGACGTGGCGAGTTCTGTTGCCGGATCCTCACCTCATGACTGTGACTCCGACTCCGACTCCGACTCCGACTCCATGCTTCTTTCTGTCATGTACCTCAAACTCCTGGAACATGTCCGCAGCTTCCGCTGGCGCCACTGGCTTTTCGCCAGGGAGTACATCATCAAGCGCACTCCTCATCCGACGGCGACAGGCGGTAGTCCGATCATTACGTGGTTGCCTAACCAGCTTTTCGCCGTCATGGATCTCATGGAGTCGGTGTACAAGGACAGTGGTCTCAAGAGGCTGGTCGAGGAAGGAAATGTTGATGGTCGTCCGGAGGTGAAGGTCGTCAAGGAATTGATGGAGAATGCTATTATGCAACGGGAGAGACTGGACAAGGAGGTCAAGAAGTTCTGCTCGGAGAGGGCACCTCTTCCAACGTAGTGGCATATTGAAGGCGGACTACAGGTGTACAACATGTATACGGACATCATGTTGTTTCTTGTGGTTGTGATAGACGCCTACACTTGTTCCACTGGTCATTGTAGTCTAGGGAGGCGTCCTACCCAACATTGTTCGACCAGTCACTGCAATCCAGGACCGCATCACCCTAATGTGAAGAATACCAAAATTTTGAATGAGAGTGCTCCTTTCAGACAATGCCACTTTGCTGGTCGTGAATGTCTGTGATTGTTGTCACACCACCCCCTGGCTATCCAAGGCATCATCACAGCAGAACATCATCACGCAGAACAATAACACTGGAACATCATCGCCCAAAGCCGCCTAGCGTTTTTTGGTGAGAAACATGTCGCAGAAGCCCAAAGTCATCTTGAAGGGGATGTGGCGAGCGCGGACAAGCTGGTGACAGGCCGCAAACGCATCACCCGCAGAAAATCCTATATGTACCTCGTCCTTATCCCTGGAAATCGGAGAACAATCTGTCATTCTCATTCTCACACAGACGGACTCAGTCCAGTCGAACTGATCTTGGTCTGGTTGGCCATCTGACCTTGGTCAACACTTATATATATATATATGAAAAACCCTTTGTCCAGAGTCGCATTCGCAAGCTTGCAATTCTTTGCACGCTTTCGCAGGCCTTGGACGACTCAGAGACCGTCTCCATCAGGAGACAGGCATCCAGATCGACGACTCTCTCTCTCTCTCATGGTAGTGATGTCCGGCGTGAGCTTTTTGAGGCTGTACTCCGCAAAGATTCGATCTCGCGACAGCCGCGGCTCTGGGGCTTTTATTGAGCTCTGCGTCCCATGGTTTTCTGCCGAGACAAAGGCGATGCCACAGACAGGCATCGACATTTTGAGAAAATGGACCAACAATCAGACCAGACCGACAACAAAAGTGATCTTGCGCCTTGCATCCTCGCCTTGGGACGCCTCAAGCGTCGACAGCTGTTTCCAGGCCGCTTCCTCCACGACCTCATTTGCGGCCCTGTTCGCCGCGCCGCGGTCGGCAGAGTTCTTAGGAGCGCAAAGATCCGCGACTGCGCGACTGGGTGTGAAAAGAGACTACCCAACTCGAGAAGAACCGTCAGATCGCAACGAGCCACGACGTGATCGTTTCCCGGGTGGTGCCTCCATGATCCATCAGCACAAAGGGCGACTGCTGCCTCAACATTGCAAGACAGCGCTTCGAAATCACCACTTTTCACACTCCTAAACTGTCAAGACTGAAGATTACATCTTGGACCGTTTGGCGTTCACAAAACCAGCGACGGATCTCCACACGAAAGTGAACAAGCAATACATCATGTCGAGCTGAGCCCGTACCTCTCATACAGTCGACATTCACGTCGAATTTGAGCTCAAATTCACAAGAATTCCGTCCATGATGGATTGGAGCAGGAAAAGTGACGTACCGTGGGTATATGATGAAGCGAGCACACAAATCCAGCAAAGATGTCAATGCGTTGACATTGTCGATTGTGTACGATGCCCGAGGCACGAAAGATATCAACACAATCCTTCTCGCCTACGAGTTCGAGCAGTTGGCCTCCATGGACCATGGGTCTCGAGCATCTTCCTTCATATCACCGCGCTCAGTTCCACGGCTTGGTGGGAAATGTACAATCAAGCATGAACTTGGTCCTTATTGAGGCAACCGTCGGCTGGCGTAAATTCGAAACCAGTTGGCTGAATTGAGCCGTCACCTCCACTGAGACCAGCTGGCGATATCACGAGAGGCGCCCCCACCCCACCAACGCCATCGCTTGCCCGTCATACAGGCTTGAGGCGGAGATCCTCTCATACCATCATCTATCTTCTCAGACAAGCTTGATGGCGTGTACATGAAGAGGCTGATGGTGAGCGCAACAAGCGACGACGTGATCCTTCGTGGGCTGTCTGCCGTCAACAAGGGGTGACTGCTGCATACCACTCCACGCGGTATACATATAAAAAGAAATCAACGGTGGCGCGAGCAAGACGACAATGAGGTATGTATTCTCCCTGGGCCTGTCTGTGCTGAAGCCATCGCTGACCTGTCCAGGATGATGGTCGATGTCCGTCTGGGGCGGCTGTTGGTGCTCCTGGCCCATGACTCTTGGCCGTCGGATGCGGCTGTAACGGTTTGGATCAGCATACCTAGAGTCAGTTGCAAGGTCTGCTGCGTACTTTGGGGAGCATCGACGAAAGGCGCATCCTGCGCTGCCTTTTTTGGCTGGGCCGATCTCGGTGTTTGGGTGCGGTTTCACGGACCAGCACGTCCAGATCTATTTGGGAGATTTGCTGCGTGCTTTGGGTCATTGGCGAATTACGCCGCCCCTTACAAGGTGAACGACGTCGTCACAAGATACGGCCGCACAGGTCGAAATGAGTCCATGCAAAGCATCATACGGCGGCATCGCTTGCCCTTTCGGCCTGGACGCTTTTGTCGACGCAGCTTGGTTGAACGAGCAACTCAACATTGCCACAAAACTATCCTGATTACACAATCAACATGGGTTGCTTTTGCACTGCGAGAGCTTGCAACCATGTCGACCAGGTGTGCCATCGCGCTTTATCCAAAAGCGCCATGCGTGCGTGTCTGGCGGGGACGACGAACCTCGCATGCGACTGTTTCGCTCCGACCTGTGGCAGTCGAACATCAACACGGCTCCCTCGTCAACAACGTCCTATTATTGCCTTGTGGTGGTAACGTACTCATAACTTGCCTCAGGCGTGGGGCGCTGGCCAACACGCGCCCGAGCACTTCTGGGGATACGGTTCAGCAAGCACACGCCGGTTGCTATCAAAATGCCGTTATATATGAATGGCGCCCGATCTTCCACAGCAGTCGGCCTCGAAGCAGAACCGACAGCGTGATCGGGCCGGGTCAGCGACTCAGCATTGCATATTTGGTGGACATTTGCGCTGGGCTTCTCTTCTACAAGGTGTGTCCGAAGGCCATGCACACACTTGCACAGCGCCATCTCCAGCCACCCAATGCAATGCCGGGTTTGACAGACCTTGGTGAAAGCGGACAATCGGGCATGGCGAAGAAGAGCCGTGCAACTCACGCAGTGGAAAGGCCCAGTTGTTCTTTTTTTCAAAGGAGCTCAAAAGGAACTCTACTCCTTCGCCGTCTGGATCTTGAGCAAACGAGAGATGACCGCCACGGACAAGTCGCCGCCAGGAATCACAAGAAGATTTCGATTGGAAGTGGCTAAAAGCGAGATCCGGTAAAGAACCGGGGCGGGCTCTCGTTGTCGTTGCAAGAGGGGTTTCCTGAGGATGGTTTGGTCATTCCCTCTCCCTCTCACACACTCTACCAGTGGGACATACCTGGACGAGCCTTGTCTTCGGCTACACGGGCATGCGCCTGTCGGGCCTAGGTGTCGACATTTTGACTTTGAAGTTCGATGCGTTCGCCGTTTGATCTCGATACAGCGTCGACAAGAGCTCTGATGGGTGTCCGCGTTTCAGAGAATGACAAGCTCCGTGTTTTGCAGATGGGCAAGACGCAAATCTGAGCCTGCGATGATGCCATCCGACGCGTGCATCCAATACTCCAGCGCCTTCGATTACGCCGGCCTGTGCTGGGTCGTCGACGTCAACCCAGCATGGGACATATAATGCCCCGAGCCTCAAATGGCGGGTTCCGACATGTCTTCTTCCACTCAAGGTCAGGACGGCTCTCCTCAAGCACGCCTTCCTGGTAATGCCGCTCCTACTCAGTCCACACAGACACCACTTCGTCATGTCCCGCTGTCGTGCATCGATCCAAGACTCCTAGGACAGCCAGCGACCATGAGTAGGCTCATCCACTCCCCAATGTTCCTGTTCATCCACTAACATTGGCCTAGCTCCTACCACCCACCCGCACCATTCATGAGTGATCACTCACACAGTACCACGCTCCAGGTTTTGACAGCAGTCAACCTGGTCCTTCACTCTGGAACAGCCCTTGGTACAGGATCTCCTCCTTCTCCTCCTCCTCCTTCTCCTCCTTCTTCTCCTCCATCCCATCTCGTCATCCTATCTTGTCATGTCTTTCTCTGAACGGAAAAACATGGCTTTAACTCCGATCCCGTGAGAGATCTTGCCGCAGACCAGATTGTACACCCGTTGGAAGTAAGTTCATGACTCAAAGATCTAACATTTAGATCAACGCTGACTCTGCCTGTTACAGGGATATCCTAGCCACTTTTACATGTCTGCTGGTGCTGAGCGCCGTGAAGTGAGCGAATCCTTTCGAAGTACGGCCAGATTGTGAAGAACTGCGAATTCGTGCAAGGCGGTGGGATCTGGGTATCGAGTGGAGGCGCGTCAGGCACGAACAACAATGGTGCCTGGAAGATCAAGTTTGTTCGAAACACAAATCTCTCGACTGAAAGAACCGAAGTCTTATATATCAACATTCCGGACATCTTAGAAGTCGAAGATGCAGATGATCGATGAGCCATGAGAGTTCGAGGTATATAGCGGAAACATGAAAGATTTGAAAGCTGATCACCTGCTCACTATGGCAATTCAATTTGCTTTCTTGTCCTTGCCGTGTTTGGCTTTGCCCTTGACCAATGATCTGAGGATCAACCAGAGCCACCAAAGGGTATTGCTTGCCTTGCCCGCATCGTAATCTTGTGGTCGGTCGCCAATCTCTGCCATGGCGCAGACCAGGTCGGCCAACTCCTTCTGCACTTTGTAATGTAAATATGCAGCGATGAGGTCAAGGCCATTCGTTATGCCACCTGCCAAAGAAGGAGGTCAGTTGAAAGGAATCGGCGACAAGAATTTGAGTGGGAGGGAGAAGGAAGGGGAGTTAGTGCCTCGCGGAATATTGATCTGGGGCAATCACGACATGTGCACCAAAGCCTGGTCCCACCACAGTGGTAGCAGAGTCTGTGCCCCTTGCACCGAAGCCTGGAATGAGAGAGGCGTGAGGCAAGAAGCGGATCAAGGACTTATGGATCAAGCAAATGCATAAACAGTCGACACTCACCAGACGTCCAAACCCGGCCGTCTCTCTCCCACCGCCTGTCGACGAACTTTGCGGCAGGGAACTTCACCTTCAACTTTGGTAGCAATCCCCTAGGCCCGGTCACTCTCTTTCCGTCCAGAAGACCAGCATAACCGGCAGGGAAATTCCCGGTGCATATGATCAAGAAGTCAGTTCTGTCGAATTTCTGGTGTGCGCGAAGAAAGTCTACCACCGCTCGGTCAGGAATAGCATTCGGATCTGGGCCAGGAATGAGCAAGACGTCGAGTTGACCTGGTTGCACGGCTGGGGAAGTCAACGAGTCTGTGATGGGTAGTGTTGTTGAGGATGTCATCGGTACGTGCGAGTCAGGACCAGACTGACTGATGTAGTGAATTGATACTGGGATGGCGAGGTCAAGCAGTGGTTGAGGCAGGCCGCATGCGTTGAGATAGTCCGGCGCGAGCATGCCGAATGCGTCGATGCCCGCGGCGTCGAGGAGCTGGACGGGCGGTATCAGCAGCATGCCGACGCGGAGTGAGGTGGACTTTGCGGTGGTGGTCATAGTTTGTCTTGACAATTCGACGAATGCTCAACATGTACGACGGTGCAGACAAATTCGAGGGAAACGTAGTATGGCAACCCTCCCACAGAATTGGTCGCTGTTCTCCAGCTGCCTACTTTTATACTTCAAGGTGCTCGCCGCAATGATTGTTTCTGAAGCTCTAGCGGCGGTCGGTAAGCATATCATCAAAGGACCTCAAAGTCGGCGAGAGATGGTCGCCATTCGCCGCTGCGAAGGGTATTATCTCGGGTTGATGCCCTCGGTCTGAGCATATATCAGGCTCCAGCATTTCTTACAGGCTCGCTAGGCGAGTATTTAGCCGCACGGTTGATGATTGGCTGACAGGAGGCTGCAGTGAAGACTCGAACTGGAGCTTCAACGATTGAGCCAAGATGGCCTGACAGGGCATCACAGAACTTGCGGCTCAAATTGAGGCCGATTTGTCTCAATTGGGAAGGATTCCTGAACTGGGAACACAGAGTGGCAACGTTCATCCAGGATTCGGCCTGGGTCTGTCCGCGTCCAATCAGAGTGGCAGACAGACAACCTCAAGCACGGAGCTGTTTTGCTGCTTGAATCCATTAATATTTGGCGACGGCAGCAGCCACAACTGGCCAGTGCTTTGTTTACATATCATAAAGAAATTCTCTTTTATGTCAAATTTCTCTTCTCAAAGGAAACTTGACCTCTGATGTTTGGCAGGACAATCGCACGGTAAGTCACCTCACCTGTGGCCATGACTGCTTTCACAGAATTGATGTCACTCTGCACTGTCCAGTCCAGTTTCCTGGCGTCTCTTGTAGGTCGAAGAAAGAAAGCAAGCTGCTGAAGGTCAACCTGATGAACCCAGGCCCTGTTTGTGTTGGCTGGATGTCCGAAGTGATGAAGCGTGTCTACTATGTTTAGGTAAGGACTATGGAGTGTGAGTAATTGTGGGAAGTCAGTGGTAGGTCAGTCACGTGGTCAGTGGATGTCCAATTGGGCAGCTTTAGCGAGCGGACCGGGCTGAAAAAGTCCGGCGCTATACCTGATCCATGACATGGACGTCGAATCAGGGCGTATCATGGCGTCTCGCTTCGTCCTCGACCTTCACCTTCACCTTCACCATCACCATCACCAACCACCATCTTTTTGCCAACTCCGTCGATTTCACCTCACCAGCACCAGTTCCTCGTTAATTCATCTCGCTAGCTCGCGGCCGATCTCATTCATCTCCCCTTCTCGTTCTCTTCCTCTTTCCTCCCTTCTTCTCACATATCATGTCACCTCTATTTAACATGCGACGTTTCTCCCGCAGCAACTCCATCCATAATCGTGAAGCTCCCCAGTCACCGCCAACATCATTTACACCGCCACTCACTCACGCACCAATGTTGCCAAACGGGACTGCCGGGTCTCATCAGGATTCTGGCCACTCCAGGCCTGTCTCTGTCAACACTGGGTCTAGCTTCGATTTTGCAAATCGCCCTCCAGCACAGTACCAGATGACGTCTTTGCCATCCAGTTCCATCGGCAATCTGTCACGCACAGATCAGATTGTCCTGCGACATTTCTGGGAGGTCAAGGACGAAGAGAACAAAGCTAGAGACTTGCACTTTGTGAGTAGCCGATCTGAGCTGAACACCACCTGACGCACAACTAACGACTTCCGAAAAGCTCAAATTCCCTTTCTTCTCCCAATATCCCAACCACCAGGATCTCATCCCATATTGCGAGATCTACCACCTGGTCAAGACATCGCCTGGTGCCAAAATCATCAGCTTGGGCAGCGCCAACAACGGCGTCTACATTGGGTAAGTCTGCATTGCAAAACGGACCGTCACACGTGTCATGTCGTGTACTGTCGTGTCGAGTTATCTCCAACACCAAGGATTGTTGCTTGTCACACACGAAGCCCAAGCCACGTTGTGTCTGCAACTTGTGCTGCATGCCTGACTTTGCCACAGATTCGAACTCTTCTCCGGATCTCAACTGCACATTGACATGGACGATTCCTGGCAGAACATCTCCCACCACCGAGTCTCTTTCAAATCATACGAGAAGATGCTCAAGGATCCCGTGTCCGATTCCACTTTCAAGTCCTGGCCCAAACCACTTACCATCGAATTTCTCGAAGAGCAGTATCAGCGCTGGATGCTCGATCTGACCAGTTTCTGCTGGGACACCGCCGAAGTCAGGGAGTTGGGCGGTATCGGAAGCGGCGAAGGCAGCGTCCAGGGAGATCTCAAAGACGAAATGATGTAAAATTGTCACTCCCCTGCCCTTGCATGCATGTTGGAAGCAGCTCTGCCGATAACGTCTGGCCTTATCGGCTTCCGACTTTCGAATCGGACTGTTTTCAGCAGAACCGGCACGGACATTGCCCCGGCCAACGACGGAAACGGAAAGCCGCATAGCCAAAAAGGCATCCGCAAAAGGCGACAAAGTTTTGTGGCGCTCACTGTTTGCCAAATCTTCAGCCTGATGCAGTCTCAGAGCATGCCAGACAATGCGGCGATCGAAATGCGGTTTTAACTTCTTCATTTCTGCTCTCACGATGACGACTCACGACACACGAAAAGCGAACACGCCTTGCTTTTAGCAAAGAACTTGAGAACGTAGATAATTCATAATTTTGCCTGGATACCCTGGAAAAACGAAGGCGTGCAAAGTTGGACATTGGAAACTGCGTGGGGAATGAAATGGCTTTCGCAAAAAGATTGTACGCCCGGGGTCGGTGTTGCTTTTGGAGTACGAGATGGTGGCGTTGGACAGGTTCGCTCTCGTCTTGAAAAACAGATAGTGATAGGATTGTGAATGAAAGACAAACATGACTACCAAAGACCGTGCCCTACAGGCTCTTCAGCCTTGTTTTCAGCCCCAGACGCAATTGACGCTCGGAGACCATATCAAGGAAAATCGTGAATCATGTCATTGCTACTTGACGTATCGTAAAAGAGGCCGTAAAGTCGTCGTATTCATCACTGTGCATGTGCCCATGCCATCCTGATACATCAAAAGTTCCTTTAACCCAGAAAAACTCGTCGTTACCCAGGCGCCTGACCGTCCCTCGCATACAAACAAGGCGTAACGGGACCATCAAAGGTGCCGTGTAGAGAACGTGTGTCATTCGTCACGTCTCACAATCGCCGCTCATTAGCCCCCGAAGGTCAAGCGGCATCGTGCATAACGGCCTGGCCGTGATCCGAGGGAAGCCTTATGAGACTTGGTACTTGTGACCTGGTACATCCTTGCAAGGCTGCAACAAAAGGGAATAAACGAGTGTAGACAACCCAATCTGACATAGCTAGTACCAGACTACCAACTCATAAACCTCGATAAAGGTGGACAGAACAAAACGCTGTAGAACTCACATGCGCCAAGCAGACAATATCCCTGTCGTTGAAGGAATGAACGTAGGCGGTGAACAGAGGTGATGGAAAGCAGCTAGGCTTTAGCCTAACAGACGTGGTAAGGTCAAGTAGACCTGTGATTAGTCGCAGCGACTAACCAAGTACCGGCAATCTTTGCTTTGCCGGACATCGTACGTATGAGAGGAAGCGACACAACTCATCTGAGAAGTTCTTGCTTGCAATATGTTTCGAAATCAGCCATGGAGTCTCTAGCGACTTTGCCGATGTTCATGACCTTGACATTGTGTTCGACTGTCTGACATTTTCCGAAATGGATCCGGCTGGACGCAGTCAAGGTCTGGTCCTCAAACATGTCGACCGCGATGGGCTTCTTTTCGAAATGAGACTCTTTGGGCAAAGGCCGCGGAACTGCTGATCCATTCGGATACACGATAGCATGAGCTTGCTTCTCAATTTCACCCACTTTCTTTTCGCCAACCCCATTGTTGCCGTAGGAGCTGATGGGCACGCATAAGGAGTATCCCTGCCGCTGCCGCCATACAATCATACGTCTTGTACCACCGACGATCTTTTCTCCTTTGTATCCATCAATCACGTCCGGTTTGGTCTTATTTGACTTTGATTTGCCTTGTTGTAGCCCAAGACTGTGGTGAAGGACGATGGAGAACACCCGGCCGGGAACGAAGAACACGTTGGCATTTTGCTTGCGGTACCGCCGATCAAGCTCGACAGTGTTATCAGGTCGGAAGTCAGCATTAAGTCCCTGATTTGCCGTAGGGAATCTCCGCCTGATTTCGGGATCATAGTAAGAATCCCTAGATCTCCCGAGGGGCGCCCTGTCGGTTTGTGGATCACGGTCTTGAGATTCGTGTGCATAGGGGAGCGGTTTGAAAGCAGTAGACCGTGGATTTGATGGAAAAGCGACTGAAGGCCTTCTAGTCTGGGTCATGCCTGGCCCACTGCTTGGAACTGAATTAGTCGGATAAGAATTGCCTACCGCCGGCTGACCCTGCGTGTTGGTCACTCGATAGCCCGCTGACCCAGTCGGCATAGTGGAAGGGTATGCAGGTGAATGCTGGATCCCTTGATCTCGTGAAGTTCCTGTCGCATCCCCAAAAGCATTTGAGCTCTTCTCCGAACGAGGACGTATCCGTTCTTCATACCGATCGCACTCGGCATAGAAAGCCTGTGAATCTTCTGAGTGTGGAGTTGCAAGCTCTTGAAAGTATTGAGCTCGGCCATCTGAATTGAAGTCTCGGCACGTTTTGAGGAGAACCAATCGCTGAATGCACTGCTTAGCCAAAATAATCTCTCCGATCTTTGCTGCCTTAGACGCGGCGTCGAGAAGATCTTTAAGACTTGTGTCGAAGACGGCCTTGTGGCGTTTGATATAGTCGTGACATTCTGGGAACCTTGCTAAAGGGATTTCAACGAAGTCGCTGACAGTCCTATCCAACTCAAGGTCTTCAACATTGAAACCACTTCGTGCTCTAGTGTTCGCGGACTGGGTTGGCAGTGCTGTTCGATTTGTACCTCGGTGCTCATCGTAGGACATATTTCTTGACCTGTCAGTCACGATCTGAGTCTGGTTGCCGGATGGATTGGAGCCTTGACGATCATCCCTGCGACGGTCATCGTGGTATTGTCGGCTAGCCCTCGGAGGCCCCCGAGGGGCTGCTATCTCATAGTGCTCATCCTGGGGAGAATACGAATATGTCACCTGGCGATCATACCTACATTGAGATGAGTATAACATTGAAAGGAGAATCATAGGCGGCTAGCATACTGTGAGGATGTTTGCTCTGGAGTCGATGACCGCTGCGTGTAGATTGCTTGCTTATTGTAGCTGCCATGACCTTGGTCTCTGTCAGGTGGCTCCGGTTTCTGCTCCGATTGCCGTCGTGCTGTCCTGGGTATTGCACGGCTAGTAGCAATTGTCAGTCGACTCAGGGCACTTGCTGTATATTGTTGTAATATACCTTTGACTGGGAGGGTCTATTGTGTTTGGGATCGGTATGATCCTTCTAGTACCTTTTGTTTCGAAACAATAACGACCTTGTCCGCATAAGCTAGGGGCCACGACCGTCTGGGAATAGCCTACCTTGGGAGACGACGACGCGTACTTCACTTCCGTCACTGGCCCTCCTCCAGTCACTGCCAAACCTCGCGATAGGGTCATATGGTGCTGATGATGCCATGTGAGTCCATCGGGGTTGTTGACTATCACATCGGAAATAGCTCCCCAGAGATTGCATGAGATGATGGTGGTATATCTAGCCATCGACCGCCATGAGCCGCATGTGCTCGGTTGAAAAGCAGCTGAAACCGTAGTAGGTCTTCGGCAAGAAGCGCAGGGATGAGCAATTCCGACCTTACTTGGTTCATCGCTCGGTGGAACGGGCATCTTCGTTGATGGCATCCTTTGGCGCCGTCAAGAGTGCAGTAGTGAGTCTCGACGATACCTTTACCGACGATGGCCGCAACTTGCCTGGTGGTTTGCAAGCATGAGCGTGGGAGAGTCGGTCCATGTGAGTGGTTCCCGACGTCGAGGCCAGTCGTGTTTGATCCCGGAGAAAGGCAGGAGCCTTCCTTATCCGGCTTGTCAGCTGGAGGAGGAGGGGGGTGGGTGTGTGAAATGAAATGAGGATTGTCAGACGCGAATTTCCTGTCGAAGTCGACGAGTTCTGTAATTGGCGCGTGCATGGTTACACAACAGGATGCCGGAAATAGGAGGATGATGAGGAAGAGGATGAGGATAAGAAGGAGGAGAACGAGGGTGCAGGGTTGATTGAGTACCTAGGAGGCCAGCAGGCGACATTCGGTAGATGGGCGACAGGTGACGGCGAGTCGTGACAGAGGATGATGGAGGGCTCACTGGGCTCTCTAGGCGCCAACTAACGGACCTGGTAGGCTCGTGGCTCGGTAGGCTGAGAATGAATCAAGCCCATCATAGCCTAAGCTCGTATTTCGAAGGACTCCCGGCACGGCACAGCCATTTAATCCCCGTACATTTTTGTGCTTTTCCACTCCTTGAACGTGTCCACGCTTGTGCTCCTGCTTTCTCCCACAGACCTCGAGATGCTTTTTCTAGCCGTGATCAAATTCGCACGTCCTATCATGGCTTCCCTGGACTCCGTATGGCCATGGCGAAAGGCGCCCTGGCAATATGGCATCCTCTCAGGTTATCATGGCTCGATCACCACATCCTGGCCCTGCCTCGTCGTCCAAGTTCTTCTTACCCTTTGTTTGTTTTGTAGTCGCGATATGCTTGCCCTCCCCTGCGCGCTTCAAGCCTGGTCTCTACTCCCTTGACTGTCTGCCAAAGTCTCCCACCATCTGCCTCTCTTCTACTACTCCTTTCTGCCACAGCATCCTGTCTGGTTGACTTGGAGAGCTGCTGATGGAAGCCACCTCTTGCAATCCTCAATGGCCTCATGGCCCAATCACTGCATGCTGGGCAGTGTCCATTCACCGTGAGACACTGACAGCACATTTGCTGTGCTACGACACCAACTGACACGCGGTTCAGGCACAATTCGCCCTCCCAGATTTCTCCTCAATCCTCCCTAGACACGTTACCTTTTCCAGATTACGCTGTTCCTCCGGAGATGCACCATGTAAAGTACGACACCGCCGCTCCAAGTGCTTTCGAAGAAGGAAGCAGCAACGAGCGTGTGAATACTCCAATGGAGCTTGAACTGAGTCTGACGGATCGGCCTGCTCAATGGGAATACACCACATCCCCTAGAAAGAGCCTCTCGGTCGCTAGTGAAGCAGATCACTATCATCACGGTTCGGCTTCTCCTGAGCCTGTGGACAAGGCCATCCAGTTCGTGCGCGACTTCCGGAACCTGAACCGGCTGCGAAACAATGTTCAGAAACTCAGGATCCGTGCAAGGGATAAAAGAAATCAAATGAAGTTCGCGAGGGACGAGGTGTACAAAACATCTGCGAAGTTGTTACGAGCCAGTCAGTTGCAACAGGATATACACGAACAGGTACAATCCTTACAAGAAAGCGTACGAGAAATGGGTAAACAAGAGATTTTAGTCGACTGGTTGGAGAGCCAATTGATACCAGCCGAGTGGGCTTTGAAGGAAGCCGAGCAAGAATTGTATGGAGTCGTCGCCGGAGAGCCTGCCCTTGACCAGGATGAGTTTCAAGTTGATGTCCGGTCATTTCCAGACACCTCATCTTACGTACCAGATGCTATCGACGCAATGAACACGCCGTACCCACCACATGAGCTTGTGGCCGAGGAACGGCTGGCAGCATTAGACTCATCCGATTCGCAATTGAGAACGCGCCTTGAGAAGCTGGACAATGATTACGCTGCAATTGCGCAAGATGCCAGGATGCGAGCTGCGGCCGGTGTGCCTCTGGACGATTTCTCACAGAATTTTATTGCTGCTTATCCTAACCGTCGCGGAGATCTGGTGAAAGACTTAGCTGCGATCTCCAAAGAGAAACGCGTTCTTCAATCGGATTCCATGCTTACCAGCCGACCTACCTCGCCCACTGAAGCTCTCCTTCGTTTTGACCAATTTTCTGGTGGCGACACTGATTTGCGCCTACAGACCTGGGAACACAACGACGATGAGACATTACAACTACAGGACGAAGAATACGAAGCGCGGAAGGACGACCTTGCTCCATTATTAGCTCATGCAACATTGACCAACATGAAGGACATCGATAGGACAATGTCTACTGTAGGCTTGGAGGAGAACGACTATATAACTTCGAATCAAGAGAACAACGAGAGTACGGACGGCCTTGCTAGCTTTGTGTCGAAGTGGCTACTTGGGTGCATCACGGCCTCATGGTGGACTGTTATTCGATTTGCATTTCAGAATTATCTTGACAACAGACTTTCCTACACGGCAATGGTCAGATATGTTACGGACATGTGGTCTCGAGAGGAAGGCCTTCCGGTTTCGCGGTTTGGTTCCTTCACAGACTTGAAGAGTGTCCGAACATCCAAGTTGCCTTCCAAGTTGCCTTCGTCCACTCAATATGTGGTCTCGCCCGCCTACAAACCAGAATGGCAAAGTCGGCAACAGAAGAGGCGGCATAGCTCTGGTGGCTCTGTTGAGCTGAGGGCCAAAACACACGTCACCTACGGTCGTCCAAATACTGAGTGATCAGCGCAATGGAGATTCACGTTCGTGGATGAAATCGCTTCAAGAGTGAATGTTTTAAGCTCAAATAAGCTCTACGGGTCCCGCTCCGATCATTCGGCTCGTCTCGCCTTCGACGGGATCCAGTTTAGACACTGTTGATCTCTTCTTGATATGGCAAGGCACATCAAAGCCGGGGGAATACGAGACGTGGATTCTCAGCAGCAATCATGGCAGTTACGGAAATGTCAACAATGATCATTCTTGGCGACAACACAGCATCTCAATTCAGCCCTCGAAGTCACACCTCATTCTTTGGCCTGTTCTGAACTTCATCACAGCAGGGGATGGGCTCTCATGGAGATGTCCCATCTCTTAACGACTAGGTGGGAGACCATCATGCGACTAAATACATTGTCCAATGACAAGGGACGGTGGAAATTGCCTTCAATCGTTCCCAAACGACCTCCTCATTTCCCAAGAGAACGGGCCCGCCAATGGATTGCATGATATTCCAAGCACTCCAAGATATTCAACTGTCAGACAACTTCAAACCTCGTTATCCCCGCTCACAAATCCTCGCAGAGCCGCATGCGATACCAAATCAAGCAAGGCAACAGGCCACGCATGCATAGAGGCAGACGGCCCTCGTGACATTTTTGGACCCTGGGGCTGCCACATCAGCAATCGGGGCTGTGTAACGTGGGGGAGATATTTTCCTGGACGTCCTGACTCCTCGTGGTTGCTTTGGTGGAAAAGGATTGGTCAGCACAACAATGACAATCAACATAATTCGAGGTCGGCTCCAAATGCACTATCGACATTTCATGATATGTCGTTTGGCATGTGCGTGAATCCAGAGGCCTATCCCTGCCAACTTCGCATCAGCTGGACGGCTTCCAGGTTGAGATCCTGACTTGTCGTACCCAGTACCGGGAATACCTTGCTCCCTTCCCTCTTCTGCTACAGTAGGACAGAGAACCACCCCTATCATTGTTTCTATGTACAACATGTCCTGCAACCAGTGATGTGCCGTCCCCAATTGAGATGGAATGGTGTGACTGCTCACCCGCACTTGCCTAGAAAGGCTTCGGAGGGAAAGAAAATGGAATTCCGTTGCCGTGTGACTTGTGTTGACGCGGCTAAAGAGTCTCCAACACAACACCTTGTGCCATCGGTTACACGTATCAGACTCGTTTGACGGCATGACTCCAAGGCCCAGGAGGCAATCGAGCTTTGGGCGACAAGCTGATTTCTTCCTAGTCACTATCGTCCCCGAATCAGGCGCCTCTGGAAGGAGGTGAGGCCGGTTTACCATTGCTGTTTTCAGAATTCAGCGTCCTGTGTGGTAAGTTCTAGGGTACTGACCCTGAGGCTATTGGTCAATTCTTGATTCATGCCTCGAAATTCGTCGCTTTACATTGGGTACTCACCGCTGCCACTGGGCCAATCCTCTGAACGATGGCTAGTACTACAGATGGTGTTTGCCAAGGCAAGGCTGTGGGAGACAGATGATGACAATATGACAAGGCACGAGGCTGGGGAGAGTGGATTGCTACCCTCGAGCTACCCAAAGCAAAGCCAACCCGATCTTGCAGATCAAGGCACCGGCGACCAATTTAGCTTGCCAACTGCATGTCGACATTTGAAATGTCACAGCCAAGAATAAATACTCGATTGCATCCCGCACCAAGCTGTAAACAGGACAAGAAGGCAACCACTATACCCAAAGCAATGCCACACAACTTTGATTCAACCTCGCCTTCAATCCAGGTCTTCCTGGAGTACAGTGACCGTAGGACCCCATGGGTGTCACTCTCAGCATGGCCGAGGACAACCGATCAATCATGAGCTCACCCAGCAATGAAAAGGACGTCTGCCAGTGTCTCGAAACGATGAACTCTGCCTGAGTACAAGACAGCCGCATCTTGCGCGACATCGTTTGAATGCCGAGGAAGCCAAGCAAGCATCCGCAACATGAACGTATAATAATGCCGTGTGGCCTTGTCTCTTCATTGTGGAGCAGATACAACTCGGCCAGCAGCCATTTCCTGCAACGCCTTGTTGGCTTCGGCTTGCCAATACCGGCGGAAATAGGACATCGACTTCTGGCTGATCTTGCCCACGTTCTTCACCTTGACATTGTACTCGATACTGAAGACTTTGTCGAAGCGGATGCGACTGGCCGGATCGAGCTTCTTGTCTTCTCCTGCCTTGTCGACCACGATTGGCATTTTCTGCATCCGTGGTTCCCCGGGCAGCGATATGGGCTTACTTCCGTCCATGTGGATGATCGCATGCGCCTGCACATCTGCCGCATTGAAACCCGGCCTCGTCACTCCCAGGCCTCGATATGTGTTGATCGGTACCGCCCAGCAGAACCCGTGACATTCCCTGACGACAGCAAAGCGACGGATGTGGCTGAAGACCTCGGACCGGTGCATGCCGGAGCTCGTACTTCCCACGCTCTTCAAGTATTCGTTACCAGATGTAGCGTTCTCATGCCAAAGCATGATGAAAACACGACCGAAGCTGAACCATCTGGCATCTTTCACGTAGTACCCCTGTTGCAGTGGGGTCATGAATGTAGAGATCGAATCTCCAGACCGTGCCTCATCCACGCTGGGAAGAGACGGATTGTGAGCGCTCTGGCGACGATGATGGCTGCGAGTGGGCGATAGAATGAGACGCTCCACGGAAAAAGCTGTGGATCTGTCGTCTCTCATTTGTGCTCTCCTGCCTGAACGTCTTACAGTTCGTTCCACTTGGTCCATAAGTTCCTGAAAAGTCCCATTGTCGTGGTTTCCTTGATCTTCGTCCATCAGAGCCTCAAAGAAGTCCTCATGTTCCTCCTCGCTGAGGCTATTGTGCTGTCTTGCCAAGAGGTAAAGCCTGCCACAAGCATTCCGAAGCTGGAACTTACCCTCCAGTTGGAATTTGACCGCTTCGAGCAGAAAGCAAAAGTCCTGTACATCGAACAAGTCACGATGCTCTGCAAGAAATTCCGCATCACGGCTCGGGTCATTGGCCCAGGTGTGAATGAGACCACGGGCATTCTCGTCCAGGCTCAAAGCCCCAAGAGCAATTGAGGCTTCCTCCGAGACGGCACCAGCATGAGAGGGAGCGCCTACACAGGGTTTCAAATTAGTATCCGATCGAAGAAGTCGCAGTGACGCTCACCTTCGGGTCCATCCTCGGAGGGAGCCTTTCCTTTTCCTTTTGCTGCTGTTTCAAGTTCCTCGGACTGTTGATCCTCTTCGAAGGCTGCCCGTTCACTTTCGCCGTCTTCAGCGCTGGAGTTAGATTTGGGTTTGAAATCAGGCGGCAAGTAGCCTGGCTTCCTCCTATTCCCGGCCATCATGCAATTTGACGCCCAACGAATGGCTGTATTTCATCTCCGTCTAGTACACTTTCAGGGTTCTTGTCAGTCCTGACCAGTTGAATGATTTGCCAGGATGCCATACCGACTTTCGGATTAGAGCGCCGGCTGTTACGACTCGAGCTCACAGAATTGTCCCGACTACATCCACGACAATCAGCTTCGCATCGCGTGGGTTTTCTGATATAGCAGGCTACCAATAGATAGCGCCCCTGCGGATATTAACCACTGAAAGGCGGGAAGCAAATGACACTTGCGACCTGAAAAGTGGGAGTACTATATACCTTACTGCAGGCAGAGGGGGCACCATCTTCATTCGTGGCATGCGGCTCAGAGACTTACTAGCGGACCATTGCGAAGCTGGATGAAAGCATCTATCTGGGGCTCAGTGCCAGCACAGTCTAGTTTTGTTTTTTGAGGCGCTCGACAGCTAAGAGGCCTATTGGCGGATTCGCATCCAGGCCGAGGCATTGGAAGTTTCCTGACCAGAGAAGAGTAGAGCTAGGGTATGCAAGAGCAAGAGCCTGCATCATGGTGAACACGTTGCAAGTCATCCATCGAGAGGAAATGCGAAGCCAGTGATGGGGAGACAAATCAGAAAGGAGGCGTACGTGATGAAGACCAGGATTGAGAATGGAGGCATCATGAAGAAGCAGAAGTTGCAGGGATGCTGCATGTCCTTAGGGAGAGACGACACGAGCACCACGGTTATGCACGGCGGGCCGGGAAGGATCCTTAGGGGCGACCCTCTCTGACCCCCACTCCAGCTTAGGGGGCACTAGACAGGGCGTTGATGGCGCTATTGTGCCGGCATTAGGCTAGAAGCTAGCTACTGTGGGTGTGTTGCCATGTGGTAAGCAAACCGCCAACAATCAACCCATAACGCACCTGACCAAGAAATCACCGGCATATCGTTCCCCCTGCATGTTTTGGAACAGGATCACTTTCAGGACCGTCCAGGGCGTCATATTAGCTGCCTTGTATCTCCTCGACTACTTATCACCCGCCCAACCGAGCTCCAGGTGTCATGGCCGCCTCCTTCCTAAGGCCGCTGCTTTCATTGCGTGGCCCTCATTGGGTCCACACCCTTCCGTATTTTGGGTGAACATGTTATTTGACATATGTGGTTTCCGTGGAAGAACCCTAACAATGCTGAGGTATCACGAAAGGAAAGGTATGCCGTGGCACGGTCTGTCTGGGTGCACTCTTCCCCAGCTATTTTGACACATACGCCGCAGTCCCATAACAGACGCTCCCGAAGCGAACACTGAGCTCCCAACCGGTCGAAACGTACAAGACACCGCAAAGCCGGCAAAGGATGAAGAAGCCCCGGTCACCCAGCCGTTGCCGGCGGAGAAAGTTGTTCACGACAGCTCTTTGGTCACACATCCGGCTGGATCGCAGCCTGAAATGAGCTCTAGTTCGGACTCTGTGGGACGGCAAGCAGAAGAGAAGGATGTTCGACAACAGACCTCAGAGGTCCAGGAGATCCGTCTCGCTGGTAGGAACCAATCTGCAGAATCACAGAGTACCAACAAGGAGCGCACGCTGGCAGATCCTTTCCTCACTCTCACCGATGAAGGGACCCGTCAAGATACCGCCATCCTGGAGCCTACTTCCAATACTCTGGACGAGACTTGGAGACAGCTGAGTAGTCTGGTCGACTCCTACACTGGGAATCTGATCACAGCCGGAGATGCTCGGCGAGATGTCTGTGCAAAGAGGGAAATTGTTCTTCGGCAGTTGGACGTTTTCAGTGCTTCAAATGGAGGTTTGATACCACCGGATCTTCATGGAGCCCTCTCGAATCTGCAAGAAGCCGAGCAGAAGCTCCAGGAGGAGGACACGTTGTTAGTCGAGCAGGGCGACCAAATCGTGGAGCAAGGCACCAGAATTTTCGGACCAGCGACACAGGCAACCCTGGATTTCCTTCAACAACAGGGGATTACTGTGCAGTCTTTGGACACTCGATCACAAGGCTCAATTGTATCGCAGAATGATATACGACGCGACGAGACTACAGATGCTCGGCTCTATCTGTCCAAGAAAGGTGACGTCGATTTACTCCGGGAAAATTTGATGGAGCTGGAGGAAGAGCAGATTCTGGCCGCAGAAGGTGTGAACAATAACCAAGAAGAACCAGCTATTCTGGGGGCCCTGGAATCACGGAAGCGAGACCTGATGCAACAATTGGAGGAGGCGGAGGAGACCCTGCTACAACTCAGAGATAAATTGCCAGACCGACAAGTCAACATCCCTGAAGATCAACTTCGACCTTTAGGGGAAGAAGAGATGCCTACAACAGAGCCTGCGAACCTTGACCCTGAACACGAAATCGCACAGGAAACCATGACCATTACGGACCTGGACGAGAATACTCGCCTCATACCTAGTGGGCGGCAACACAGCCTTCGGCAAATACTGAACACAGTGACGGACGACAACACCATCAGATCCAATATCCTTGTGAACGCTTACCTCCTGTATCAGCTGAGATTGTTGCCCGAGGAACAAGAGACTTATACTGAAGCTTTGAAGCGGGCTGCACAAAGCACCGACTTCCCACTGGAGACGGACTTGAGGCATCTTATGCTCGGCCACTGGTTCGAGGATGTGCCGAAATCCAAAACAAAGTCAAAGCCTAGCAGGCGACGGGTTTTCAGTCAGGAAAAGGGGTCTCTAGCCGTGCATACGACTCAGTCTCTGAGGACGACTCAACGGCAAAGTGAGCCGCAAAAGGTACAGCATCGGCTGCCATTTCACTCTGGAGATGAACCGGCACGCCGAAGTCTTTCTCCTCGGAATCAACACCTTAACGATAGGGCATCGCTCGGTTGAGAAGAGCAGGTCTTCCCTGTCATGCGAGACGGCTTCGAGAATTCGGCGTTTCACGCAATTAAATTGGCGTCACTGCATTTCTGTGCATCGGCTGCGTTCATTTGTTCGATTGTGCTGCAGATTGTCACAGCTCTCCACCGTTCTCTTCTTTGCTTTGGGTGATACATCATGTAAACTTCCTTGGGCAAGGCACCACCCACACGATGGGATCTGTCCCGGTTTGGATGACCTTGCGCCATCTCAAGGTCATGGCTGTATGTGTTGTACAGCCTTTTTCTTTCCTTTTCGAATCCATGATCACTGTTGGAAGCTGGTCTGAGTACCACCAAACGTCGGTGATCCTTGCGACGCCGCCAATCAGGCCATTGATGACGAGCGTGTTACCATACCATGTCACAACGTATCATGTAATCCTCATCGAGAGTTGCCGGTTGTTGTTCTTTTGAGCCCGTCAGATCATCTGAGCATTGTGTGACATTCGGCGGCTACCCCCGAACTCGAACTCCGAGATCACGTTGGTAGATGATGCACAGCTCCCACAAAGGTGGTCAGACGCCGCTGCCTCGCACACGTGGAAGGTAAGAAGGCTCTGAATGTTGTTCCGGTCCCTGTTGGCAGAGCACCAGCATACGAAGATGCACATGTGCCGCAAAATTGTTTGGAAAGGATTCTGTACATATTGGGTATTCGCTCGAGTGAATACAACGTCTGACGGCAGTAGGTCATGCTATCTTTGCAAAATGCTTTTGCCCAAGCCAGAAGTGCAACAAATGCAAATCCAACTCCGTCGCTATGCTGAATACCAAATGTCATTATACGTGACCATCCAGTGGCCGCTTGGGTTGCGGTAGTGTCTTTATGGGAGGCCGTTTCTTTGCTGGGTTCCTTTTGTTGGAGATCGGTTCCCATAGTTTGCTCGTCTGATTGAATCGGTGGCTGTTGTACGTCAAATCATGAACATCTTATCAGGACAAGGGACAGTGGTCCAAAGGCCATCAAACTTGGCAAGCGTGAGATACGGCCTCCGGGAGGTTGCCGTTGTCATGGTCCTTGATCTACCCATCTTGCAATGGGTAGAACTCACGGTGCCAAAATCATAGGTCCTCGGGACCGCGGTTGGGAATACTCACTGTTCGAAAATCGTCAATGTCAGGGCCTTCTTCCCATATTCCTCCTCCAACAAATATGCATATTCAAAGGGTATCTTGACGTGGATGCCTTCAAAGAAACTGTCCCGTAGTGGAAATATATCGCGCTCCTAACGAGGTGTCAGTACGAGCGCAAGGGGCCAAGTCGGGGCCACATACCAGATAATGATGCTTGTCCTTGCACATCAGTGCCCCTTCGACACCTTCCGCTCTTGCAGTATAGTTTGCCCGGACGGTGGAAATGTCAATGAACAAGCCGGTCTCGGTATCGATCCATCGTGCGTCAATAACGTTCAGTTTGTCCTCGACACCGCGGATTGTATAATGAGGATTGATCTCCAACAAGTATGTCCGGCCATAATTAATCCCGGGTAGCCTGAAATGGTACTCGGTCATGTTGTAGTACTTTGCCAGGAAGGCGATTGTACTCTCCGACACTTGCACATCAATGTCCGAGTCCCAGGGCAGGATCTTCTGGTTCCACCACCATCCCAACAGTGTGCCATGCATGATCCAAGTCTCGGCGCCAATGTCGGCCATCGTGGCAAGGAAAGTCTGCATGAGAGCTGTCAAGTGTGGCAGCCGCTCTTCTTTGCCGATCTGTGTCTGGGCGAATCGGCCATCATAGTGAGGATGGAACGTCGACTCATGAAAGTATTTGTCTTTGGGATCCCCGCGTTTCCCACTCCGATCTTTATCCAGGTTCGTCCGTACGTCGAGGAAGTCGGCGTCGCAGCGGGCGAGAGGTAGAAGGAGAAGGACGAGGAGGGCGAGGCATTGCCTTGCAGCGGTTCCAAGGATCATCGCTCAATGCGCAGGGAGGGCATGTCAGCGGAGACTGTAGATCGCAGGTGGTCGACTCGTTGGTTTGCTCCTTTGCCAGAAAGGAAAAATGGATGGTATTCAAGCTCGTCGTTAAATGGGAAGGTGGTCGTGTGCTCAGCGTGGAAGGCGGTTGCTCGATTGATAAGACCCTGCCTGCGGAGATGGCGGGTTGAAAAAAGGCCAATCTGTACACCAAAATCAAAAGAAAAGGCCGCTCATCAATCGCTGAACACACAAGGCCAACTGCCAAAGGAAGGCCTCGAAGAATTGGAGGGCCTGAGGCGGCAGTGCAGGAGAAAATGAGGGCTTCCCAAGAAGCGAGAGACCAGAGATTTGGAGATGGGAGACAGCCACGTAGTTAGGCCAATGACGGAGGTTGCGGGTCGCCCGGAATAGATTATACTCGTAGCAGGCCCTCCAAGGCCAGGAGCAGGTATACGGAGTATGGTATTCGGGATTTTGTACGATTTCGCAAGTGACCTTCCTGGACTTTTTAAAGGTTGAAAGAGACACACAGAAACGAATAGCACGACCATTTTTCAACTCTTCTCGATTGGAATTCTCCCCTTTGACCAGTGACCACGAAAGCATACGCGTACAATTGCAATATCACCCACCTCATGTTCCGTGCCAGTGGGTACCTGCCACAGTAAAGGTATGTCGTTTCCTGGCCTAGAGTCAAGCCTATCGCAAAGCCGCGTAAGACAAAAAAAGGTGTCGCGTGCCTCTTGCCTCCTTCGACTTTCATTTGCGGGCCACACAACAAATTGAATTGAGATCCGAACTAACTCACGCATGCATATTTGTGATACTAAGCCTCATACCGGCAAAGGCCTTCGGTGCACTTGCAGCACTGCCTACAGCGACAGCTAATTCAAGAAGCCGTTCTGCAAAGGCACCCTGTTGAGCCTGTCTCGTGCTCTTCGGGCACCGATCCGATAAGGGCCCCTGCATGGCAAGAAAACCAACAAGCCTTGACGCCGCAAAGCTTGGCCGTGCTTGGTTCACTTAAACAAGCCTTGGCTTCGTCTCTTTCTTCGGGTAAGCGGAAATGCTTGAGATCGGGCCTTGATGAGCATGAGCGCGTGTCAGCTTCAACCATATCCCCTGTTTGTTGACACAACGCCAGAGGCAACCTGTGGCATGTCATACAGTCCTAAGACATTAGTATTGCCATTCCAACTTAGCAGTTGATCCTCTCCCCTAGTAACCTGGAATTACTGGCTCAGACATCTCGCTGAATATGGTTGCAAGACGCGCGGAAACAGCCAACTGCTCTCTCCGAGGCAGGCACAACACGACAGCTACCGGGCCCTGTCCACACAACCTCATGTATCTCATGCAGTCTCCCTCCCTATCCCTTGCTTATACCTGGCCAGCGCCCTATCCCGCGATGTCTTGTGGTCAACCATCGGCCTCGGATATCCATTCATTTTTGCTATCTTCTCATACCCGCGCCCGTACGGGTCATGGATCCCTTTACTGTCTTTGATCTCGGCAAGCTCGGGCACCCATTTCCGGATGTACTCGCCATGCGGGTCAAACTTTTCACTTTGGAGTAAGGGATTGAAAATGCGAAAATATGGCTGCGGGTCGACGCCGCAACTGGCACTGAAACCCCAGCCGCCGTTGTTGGAGGCAAAGTCGCCGTCAAGGAGGTGCTCCATGAACCATTTCTCACCCATCCGCCAGTCGATCAGCAAGTCTTTCGCCAGAAATGATGCGACGATCATCCGGCATCGGTTGTGCATGTACGCCATGTGCGCTACTTGTCGCATTGCAGCATCGACAATGGGAAAACCAGTTCTGCCTTGTGTCCACTTCTGGAACTGGTCGAGGTCATACTCCCACTCAATGTTGCTGTATTCGGGTTTGAACGGTTTGTTCATGCTGCAATCACCGTCAGTGGGCGCCCTCTCGAATGCTCAGGTCCTCACCAGATATAAGGCCAATGGCACAGCACGTGCTTGTAGAAGTCCCTCCAGGCGACCTCACCTATCCACATCGAATGTCCTTGTTTCCGATCATCAGTCAACTTTTGATTGGGCGCGGCGCTCCGGGCTTCTCGAACCACGGTGCGCGCTGCTATTGTTCCCGCTGCGAGATGCGGACTCAAAATCGATGTCCCACTCGCCGACGGGGTATTTCTCGTATTGTGGTAAGCTCCCACCCGTTCGAGGATGAACCTGCTCAGCCTGTCGTGGGCCTCGCGTTCACCGGCTGGCCACAGGGCGCGGAATCGCTTCTTCTCCTCTTCAGAGAGACATTTTGATTCTGGCGCGTCCGGAATGTCGCAGTCAAACAGTTCCAAGAATGACTGCCTAGCATGAGGTGGGTTCCTAACTGGTAGGGGGAAACAATCCAGTTCTTTCGGATACTGGTTCAGAAATGCGCACCACTTGCGATGCCACGGACTGTAAACAGACATCTGTCCGCCAGCGCCGCTGGACAGTTTTCCAGGTTCGACGACGCAAGTATCATGAACAACGGTGAACGAGATGCCCTTATCTATACATGCCCTTGTCAAAGCTGCCTCTCTTCTGAGTTCATCCACCTCGTATTCCATGTTGCAGAATATGTGGTTGGCGCGCCATCTGCTGCACAGCTCCATGATTCTAGGTGGCAAGTTCCGTCGCTTCTCGATCGTCTCGACGTACAGAGGGATATCGAGCTCAGCCAAACTCTGTCTGAGGACTTGAAGATTTCTGAGGATAAAGTCCACCCGAACTGGTGCGGTAAGGTGTGCCTCAAAGTCCTGAGGAGAAACAAGGTACACGCATATCAGGGGGATGCCGTGCGTTTTTGCCTTCTCGCTCGCAAGATGTAGCGATTTGTTGTCCAACGTCCGCAGGTCGTTCTTGTACCAGTGCACTACAGAGTCTCCCACTGGCACGTTGTCCCGCGCGGCCTGGGTCTCATGTATAGCCTTATTCAGCGCCTCAATAGGGCGCTCGATCTTGCCCGAGATGTATTCACGGGCTCGGTCATTGGTCATCTCAGGAGGGTAGTATTTGCGAAGTACGATTCCATACTTGATCTCGTTTGTCGAGTCATTGTACTGGGAAGGATTAGGTAAAGCAGCGCACTGCCTCTTCTGTAAGGGCGCGGCCGCTGGCCCGCTAGCCTTGCGCTTGAATGGGGGCATTGTGCCCAATGGAGGTCGAAAGGCGTTTAAAGGTGTTCTGGGTGTGATGGACAGTTGAGCCACCCGCTTGTACATCGGCGTGTGGACTGATGGGTAGCGCAGGCATGGTGAAGATATAATCCAAGGGGAGACTGGAGAAGGAGTGTAGGGGCTCGACTTCGATCCACGCTGGAAAGTTGTGATGTCACGATCAGATCTGGGGTTTAGTGGGTTTGCATTGGCGATCGATCGGACCTTGCAGTAGTAGCCATCAAGCCATGTCGATCTCCTCAAAGCCATGGTGTAACCACGAGCACAAGAGTTTTCAGGCGTCGACTCTCTCGCCGACACAAGACTCTACAGTATCTACCTACCTTAGGTAAACGATCCCAGGTGCATGGAATGGCTTCTTTTGGAATTCGTCACAAGAGTCCTGTCTTTCTTGCGGACTGATACACTATATCATAGTACACCGCGGCAGCCATTTCCAGCAACCACTCATTACGCCTCGCGCCATCGCTGCCTTCATATGCGCGCTGTTTTCAGCTATCCCCCATATTTCAACCGTTTTTGTCCGTACGCCCATCGCCTGGTCACAGCTAGGCCAAGCCAATCATTACATGCCATTTTTGAGAAAGCCTCTCTTGAATCCCTTTTGATGCCGAACTCACCCACACACTTTTGTCCCCCATGATCACGACAAAGGAGAGACATCATCCGGATCGATAACCGGCACATTCGGATGTCTCGCTTTCGGCGACGACGCAAGAAGCCCGTTGGCGTCTTCTTCTGACGTGTCTGAGCGAGGCACTGCAGTCGTGCTGCCCTCGTTCTCCTCCTCCGGTATAGTTGCACAATATTTTTTCAAGACTTGTTTCAGTGCCGGTCTTCGGATGGGTTTGGCCAGGAAATAGTCCATTCCCGACGCCATGCATTCGTCTTCATTCGACTTCTCTGCAAATGCTGTCAACGCCACGATGGGCGCTGAGAAGCCCATCTCTCGGATCAGTTTGGTGGATTGAATGCCGTCGAGGTTGGGCATCTGAACATCCATGAACACAAGATCGAAACGTGCGCCGCCGTGCATGGATTCCCGGACTTTGTCGAACGCTTCTTGCCCATCCTTGGCAATAGTAACGTCTACTTGTGTTAGAGGAGCTTCAGTCCCGCGAAAAAGAAGAACTCACCATATACGTCCTCCAAACGCAACATTCGGAGAACTACCTCCTGATTGACTTTGTTGTCTTCCGCCACCAGCACACGGACTTTGCGCCCCTTCTGCACAGCTTCGTTTTCGACCTTCTTCATTTCATTGAGTTTAGCCTCCTGTGACTCTTTCTTCTTGCTTTCTTTCGCCACGTAGGGTTGTGTGAATCCCACAATTCTCGGCACATCGGCGAGGGAATTCTCCCGTGTCGAGCTGAGAGAGGTCGTGGACCCGTTGTGGTGTTGCGGCGTGTCACCAGTGTCGTGCAACGTTTGCCCTACGAGGCTGCTCGCTTTCGAGTGGGACCTGTGCGTTGACGATGACATTGACGGTGTCCTTTCAGACACATACCGGAGAGGTATCCGCATTGTGAATTTACTGCCGACTCCGACCGTGCTGTCCAGTGAGATGTCACCGCCCATGAGTGCCGCTAATTGAGCACAAATACTCAATCCAAGCCCTGTGCCACCATATTTCTTGCTTAATCCCAGATCACCCTGGACGAACGGCTCAAAAATCTTCTTCTGTTGATCAGGTGGGATACCAGGACCTGTGTCTTCCACTTCAAATTCGAAACCGAGGTCTTTTGTATTGATCGGAGGAGGCGACATAGACCTCTGCCGTTCAACGACCTTGTGGATTTGAGTAGTACCACCAGCGACATTTATGCTGAGTTTGGACTCTTCGTTTGAGTTGCTGTTGGTATGGTGAGTCCTTTCGTGGTCCGCAGTCTCTGCGGGTGCGAGGGAACTGTCCGACATTCGAACTCTTTTGGTGCTGGACGTCTTGGATTTTCGGGAAGCGAGAGACGACTTTCGAGCACTGCCTGCTCTGCTAAGGTCGTTATCAACTATGCCGATGCAGCGTACACGCACAGTGACGGACCCATGTGGTGGCGTAAATTTCAAGCTGTTGCTGACAAAGTTCATCAACACTTGCAAAATCCGATTTTTGTCCCCCCATAGGCACATATCACGAACACGGCCTGTACCACCTGGGCCATAGAGCTTGTCGCCAGCGAAGTCCGACGAGTCGCCAAATGCATCGTTTGTGCCTAGGAACAGCACCTTCAGATCGACCTGGGCTTCTCGGGCTTGCTTCTCAAATGTCGGGAGCAGCTGAGTGCTCAAGTCGCTAAGCCTGAACTCCGCTTCATCGATGGACAGTTGTTGTCCGACCTCATTTTTGCTGAATGTGAGCAGATCGGTGAGGAGGTGCAGCAGCAAGTCCCCAGATTTGTAGATGGTGTTTAGGGTGGAACGTATTCGCCCGAGATCGTCCTCGTTCATGCAGACCGTGGTGAGCCCCAGTATACCATTCAGTGGCGTTTTGAGCTCGTGGGAAATGTTAGCAATGAACAATGTCTTGCTTTCATTCGCGGCTTCTGCAGCTTTCTTGCTCTTCTCCAGCTCCGCCGTGCGCTGCTTCACGCGTTCTTCCAGGCGCTCGTACTGCATTGCCAACTCATCAGACATTTCGTTGAAGGTCCGTGTCAACTCGGTAAGCTCATCGGTGACACAATGTCGGCGCTCGGGCACCTTGCGGGGGATTCTGAAAGTCCTGCGTCGCGTCCTGGGAGTCGAGGACCGTGAAAACTGCTTGGGCTTCGTAATCTTAGTCAAAGCACCGAAGAAGCCCTCTTTTCGAGCCAGAGTGTCATCAACCGTGCCATCCACCTCTTCGACTTCCGTGGTGGGCTGAGCTCCAGTGGAACTGGAATACTCGCTTGAATCATCCGGCTGATAAGGTTCGACTGTCTTTGCGGTGGCAATATACAGCTGCCGAATCGGAGTAATAGAGTAGTGCGCAAGGGGAAACACGACCACGAGCAGAAGTCCCGTGACAGAAAACACGCAAATGAGGACGACGTCGCGTAGGTGGTTGATAGGCGCAATAACTTCTTTGTGAGACTGCTCCACGATCAGGACCCAGTCGACCAGACTATTAGAAATGGTGGCATATCCAGCTGAAACTCTAGTGCCCTCCTCGTTGTTGGTTGAGATGAAGGCACCGGCATTATTAATGGCATCACTCTTCCTTGTCCATGCTGCTAGAACTGCTGGGTATGATGACATAGGAAAGGGTATGGTGGCATTGGCAATGCTCGCTCTAGCCTGGTGGCGGTTTTGAAGGGTAGCATTGCTTTTGGGCGGGAAAACGTATCGGACGGGCCGGTCGTCGTCTTGTCCAGAGTTCGAGCCGCGAATTTCCGTTTCGAAGTGGTTAAAACTGGTAGCTGGACCAACGAGAAGCGTCTCGCCTGTCGAGCCCAGTCCCTCTGGTGAATTTTGAACATTGTAAAGCATATCGCAATTGACGAGCACTGTCAGCCAGCCGAGAACATCGGAGCGAGACGTATTGTTGATCATGGCGACTGTGACGGACAACAGGGAATACGACTCGTTGAAGGCCATTGGACCTATGAACAAAGGTTTCCCTGGCTCAATGGTTTGTCCTTCGTATGAAACATTGGAGTAGTTGGTGCCGGGAATTGTGGCGCCGTAGGTCAGGTTCGGATATAACATAGGAGGGTACCCTTCGTCTGGATCGCCCAGATAGATGTCGGAGCCATTGGGGTATGTATATGGCAACTTGACGGGAGGCAAGTCCTCGGCCGTGACATTGACCAAACCATTGACGGCGGTCTGATTGCCATCGTAGGCGTTGGGGAATATCGCGGCCTGTACCAAAAGAGAGCCATCCGCAAGAGCTCCCTGCAGGTCGGTCTGGGAGCGTACCCAGTTATCAGCACTAGTGTTCCCTGCATAGTACCTCCCGAGCGCGCTCTGTATGAGAACTCTTGTGGACACAGAAGTGACCTGCGATTCGTATAAGAGGAGTGCGCTGGATATCTGGGCCGCTTTGAGTGAAGCCGTCAACGACAGCCCGGACAGCCTGATGTTCTTGATGAAATTGTAGTTTTGGAACCAGACAGCCAGCGCAAGGACCATGAGCGAGGACAGACAGCAGAAAAGGACGAGCAATCCAAGTTGCTCTCGTATTGAAATCCGCATGGTTGCGGTATGACCAAGGCCTTTGTTCTTTTCATCTCATGTCCGCTTCTCAAACGTCTCCTTTCTCTTTCGCCATCAGTCCCTCAGCCAACGCACGTTGGTTGTGCTCCAAAATCGGTCGGAAAAGGAAGGGAGCGCCAGAGAATCAACCAGACGTCTTTAGCCGGCGGCGGAAGGACTGGAAATGGTTGCGAGTACCGAGAGACTCGCTGCTCGTGAGGATTCTGGTGGCAGCGTTCCTGGCGATGAAGTACGGATAAGCGACACCGTAGCTGGGAATCGGTAAAAGCGACCAATGGCCTGCTCACAGGAGAATTTTGGGTTCGTTGACGGTCGAGGCCTGTGGTTATCCTGAGGAGCGTTGAGAGGTGGACAGGGAAGGTAAGAAAACGTGACGATCGGTAGGGATGGAGAGGAGAGGACAAGCCTAAGAGTGGGTTTGCTGTGCGAGGGAGAGGAAAGACACGGGGGTGGGTAAAGGGCAAGTAACGTCGACAAGAGGCTTCGCAAGTCCTTGTCCCAAGTACAACGAGCGAAAGGGTCTATCCCAAGGGGTTGGTCGATTATTGAGATGCTCAGTAATAATTCCGGCATTCCATGCCTTCCAAAAGCCACGAGTTGTTCAATCAGGCTGGGAACACGAAGTTGCACCGCATGGAATTCTTCGTCTTCGCAAACTTCCTAACCTCTGCCGACCGACTCCACGCCCAGGATTCAAGTTGTGTAGTGAAAGTAAACCAGACCTGGGCTAGTGAGGCTAAGGATCTGTGGGTTAGTTAATTCGCCTGCGGCTGATTTCGAGGAGGGCCAGGCCAACAGCTCACTCGTCAATTGAAGGCGAGTTTGACAGGTCCGTGGAGGCTTCATCTATCGAGTACGGACGCACATCTTCTTTGAGATTGGCCTAGTACAGTACTGACTACTGAGTACTATGCCTCGATCGTAAGCGAACTCCACATAGAAGTCGCCTTTCAATTCAAGCTCTTTCTACGGACAGGCCGCAGTCACAGTATTAATTGTTTCCTCCACTGACAGCACAAAATATGCCCGACCTCCAGGTATCTAAGACGCGTCGTGAGTGTTACACTGCGCTGAGATACACATGAAAGCGAGGCAACCATGAAACCAGCAGGGTGGGTGGGCCTGAGACACATAGAGCACGATAAGATCTGTGCAATGGAGACTAATTGCCCGGCGAAAATCTCCAGAGTCCAGTGGCGCAAATCACATATCATTCAAGGAATCGCATTCGAGATTGGCCTTTTGCCTCATGCAAGGATGATATCGGGCTAACAACAATCTCTGTTTGCGATCCAGAAGTGCCTGTGCTTTCAGCCGCATAAGGATATTCCGGCAACACGGCCAAGCGCTGGATCACAGTCTCACTAAGGTAGGCCGCATCCTTTGCCCAGGTACTCCATAAGGTAGGTACTCACGGTACTGTACATGCTGCCGTCCTTTTGAGGGACCCAACGTGGGACCGTAGAAATATTAAGTTAGTGCACTCCCACCGCTCAGCTCAATTCTGATGAACCAATTTTCCTCTTTGCTCCTCGCAACCAGCTACCCAGCGAATACGATGATTGCCGAAGACCTGTTGCTGACGCTTTTTGCGACGGAGAAAAGGCTTTTTGCATTGCATTGCCACATCGGACGTGACAGCAGCAAACGATGAGCGTCGTTGGCTCACCAGTGACATCTCGTTGCTGCTCAGGCGTGTCAGGTAAGCTCCGAGTGGTGACACCTATACCCGGGGCTTTTAGGTGTGTCGCTGGGGATTTTTGTGCGTGAACTATCCCTGAAGGAGAACTTCCCCAACAGCTGCCGCTGCGCCGCCACCAGCCCTTCCCCGCTGCATTCTGACCCAGCCTTATGGTGTGTCGCCGTACACTATATCATCGAGTCGTGTCTATGTTGTGCGGTTGCTGATGTGTTCCCTCGTTGATTCACGTGTCTCTTACTGGTCTTCCCTGCGCTTGCTCTGATTTCTGTGGTCAGCATTCTGGTCTCGTCGAGATGGCCGACACAGGTAAGTCATTCGCGCTGGCGCATGCTGCGAGCCTGGAACCGACGACTGATTTTTCTACCGTAGGCGCCATCGCGTCCATTATGGGCATCGCAGGTGCTGGCTTCAGGCTCTCGCTTATCCTGAATGCTGTCAGCTGCGAAGTCGCTAATACCGGTCCCGAAATCCACAACATCTCCAAGAGCGTGACTCTCTTCTCGATGATGCTTAAACAAACCGGCGGCGTCCTTCAGACTGTGGATTCCGTCCATTCGCGCGAAGCCGTCGAAACTGCAAAGTCGATAGCGGAAGAGAGTACCCGGGTCTTGGATGAAATAAATGACATGTTGGATCGTCTGCGAACAAAATCCACCGACGGAGGTGCCGCTCCCTCTGTTCAGCAAAGGTTCAGGTGGTGTTTCAAGAAGCATCGTGTGACATACGTACTGGCGCAACTTGAGAGCTTGAAATTGAGTCTGTCCGTCATGCTGCAGATCATCCAACTGGGACAATTGATGGCCTCTACTTCTCGAAGGTACGGCTGTGCTGGACGCCTTAAACATGAGTCTCCTTGCTAATGAAGCGTGCTGTAGTGATCCTCCCGAAGAAGTCGCCATCAAAACCGAAGCCATAAAAGAAGAACGTGCTGCAGCACAAAATGCTGTCATTGTCCGCTATTGGCAAATGAGCAAGATGGATCGACTGTTCGAAGCGTCTCGAAAAGAAGAGGAGGAGGATCGGCGAGCAAGCATTGACAGTGAGGCAGCACAGGATGTCGATTCGTCCTTGGTCGAGACGGACGAGTCTCAAACAACACGCGAGCCTGCTCCTCCAGAATATGCACCCACGAAGGCGTTGATCAAGCTTCCAGTGTTTTCTCTGGGCGAATTGGACCAGACCCTTCACAGGATTAAAGGTTCACCAAAAGACATGATCCAGGTATCGGATCAAGCCATCGATCCCCTACTCGAGAGGTGGACAAACTGGCGGGAGATTCGGGAACGAAGACACCATCGCGATTCAGGCGTCCGCTTCGTTCCCTCGGTGCAAAATCTCAACGAGGAAGATGAAGACAGGCCATATTATGAACGCTATCGAGAGCGGGAAGACAGCCCTCGAGGCTACTACCTGGAAGGCACCACCACGGATTGGAGAAAGCCCAATTCAGCTGCTGCCCGACGTGAGGCGCGCCAAAAGAGAAAACAATACGAAAACTACCAGCCTAGCGTGAGTGCTGCTAGTAGTGATGTTGAAGACTCTCCTGGAAGCAACACGTCCAAAAAGCGAAGTGCTCGGCATCATGTCATCGACTCCAGTTCCGAGTCTTCGGCATCGGAAGCAGATATTGCTCAACCTAAACCAGCACGCCGGAGCAGCGGTGGGCCAACAGTAGAGCGCAAGACATCATTTCCTGAAGGCCAGCCCAGTACACACGGCCACACAGCTGTCCAACCTCCAACATGGGTCGCTCCCAATGCCGCGAATGGCACCACTCGTCCGCCCTCGGTAACGTCAGCTCAATCGACGGCATCCAGGCTATCTTCACCGGCTTATAATCCTCCCGGGCATCGTCCTTGGGCAACGCCAGATCAAAACATGGGACATCACAGCCTCTCGTCCCCACCTATTTACACGACCAATGCTCCAAATAACCCGTACGCGCCGCAACAAAATACTGGCTATCCTCACTTCGTAGGCCAATCCCAGCTGCAACCCTCAGCTTATCTTCCACCATCGAGTCCACAGTCGAGATATCTGCAACAGCCGACGAGTCGTGTGGCTTTGTCGGCGAGGCCGGGCTCTCAGGACGGAAAACAGCCTCGTTCACCTTCTCGCTTGTCGCAGCATAGCACCACGCAGTACAGCACAGCGTCGCGCACACACACCAAAGGCGATGGCGAGAAGCGACACCCAAGGGAGAAGTCAACTAGGCAAAATCTCAAAGAGGGTGCCACTAAGGGACTACTTGGGGCCGGGGCAATCGCGGGCTTCCTGGACGCGTTAGAAGGCCTGAGCCTTTAAAGTCCTCTTGGATCTTGTCTTCTGCATATTGACTTGTTAATCAGTGATGCCAGTCACGATGGAAACGAATTTCACGATGTATAACAATTATTGGATTACGATAGTAATCGATGTCTGTGCTGGTCACGCATTCACCGCTCAGCAAGTTGCGTTTCTTCCGCATATCCTGGTCCTCCTTCTTCGACATGTGCTCATTAAAATGCGTCTTCGATTAAGCCGTGGTCTCGTCTTGCGGACAAGGGAGTTCGTCAGCAATTCCCATGTCGCTGATGGATGCGCACCTTTATTTGATGCGGAAGATCCCAGCAAATCGAGAGTGAGGACAGCACAAGCTTTCTCGATTGGGAGACGATCTTGGACTGTTAAGGCTGGATGTGAAACATATCCGGCATCAAAGAACGAACCGGGGTGAAGATCTGAGTTCCAAACTCGACAGGGAATGTGACACGAGAAGTCTTCGATCAGGAGCACATCTCGTTCCACCGATACATTGTCGACGGAAGGCTTCAGTTCAAGGGCCGGTAAATATTCAAGGTCGCAACTTGTGACGATGAGCCAGAAGTTCGTATTCCATCATGGAAACGTCGCGAGACAACTCGACAGGCACCTTAGGTGACAAGCTCTGGGAAATCAGCTAGAAGTTGAGACCCCACGGGCCACAAACTCGGGCAACATGTGGCGCTGTCGTCCTACGTATGTACTGTGATTCTGCGAAAAGCTTGACCTCCATCCAGCCGGGTTCCAAAGTTTTATGCAACTTCGAGGCACTAGGTTTGCGACGTTCTATGGTTCACAGGGTTGAACGTGTGTTCAGACCGCTCGTTTGTTTATCGGCCAAGGTGTGACAGAAACGTCACCTTCTGCATCGCGCCCAATCTGGCTGAGGCAGTCTGAGGAACACCAGATACTGCAGCACGGAGCGTGAGGCTACTAGGTCATACCCGAGTGCACAGCTCCCGGAGCATGGGTAGGGACTTCCCAGCATGCCACTCATCTTGACTGGCGTTGCAAGCGGGACAATTAAGCGAATTCAGCTACGTAGTAGAGTGGCTGCAGGGCATGATTCTGGACAAAAAGTGGCACAGTTAGTACTCACAGTCATCTTTGGTCCAATCGAGTGGACACCTCTTCCAACGCAGTAGTGGGTGGTCGAGGCGGACTACAGAGGCGTGAGGTATAAGATGTCTCCGTATATATACGAGCAATACTTTGTCACTTAACGCCAAGGTCGACGCGTCTATATTGTCGTAAGACTGACCGTTGTATTCCAAGAAGATGTCGCCTCGAATCTCAAGTCAACTGCAGAATGGGACAAGAGTCCCTGTTGTCAGACAATATCTGGTCTGTGTGCGGTTGCGCGTTGGTTCTTTGGCCAGAGAAAAACTTCCATTGTGGCAAAACATATATACTGTACTCGTACCGTAGTTGATACTCCGGCTGCTCGGACAGCAAGACGTGCGTGGACGTCCTTGGTGACAGTCGAGAAATCCTCAGGGACGCTGGTATTTGCCACTGATCGAAACGTTTGAATAACACGTCGGGTCCATCGCGGTCCATTTTAACGAGCGAACGGTCCCATGGGTCTAAGACTTGAGCCCAACAGCGCCTTAATCGGGATGCGGTCAAGAAAAGCCCCGCCAGTCCTTGTTCGATAGGCTGCACCTAGGCTCCAAGACCCGAACTACTGTGAAAACTGTGGAGGGTCGACCTAAATCACGCCCCTGGGATGGTCAAAATTTGGGCTTTGCCGTGGGCTCTCGTCTCCTCTAGACATGCGGCATGGCCGTGCTTCAATCCTCCTTCGTGCAATTGAATTGATCGCTCTTGTGGTGATCTTTCAGGAGATTTCCTCACTGATCACGGCCGCTTTTTGCTATCCTTGACACTCATTTCCACCGAAGAGGAAGCCTCCTGCGATTATTAGTTATCCTTATCCTGTATTTCTCTCCTAAGAAACAAAAGAACACCATCTATCGGCCACTATCGACCTGGAACCGCTCTCACCTCATATCTTCTCGAGCGCGGCGACTCTTTCCCACCCACCCTTGCTGTCACTCGGCTCGCTTAGCGCAGTTTTGCATGCTCATCCATCCCACCACCTGTCCAAGCCCGCCAGTTGTCCAGTGTCGAATCAACTGTCGGAAATTGATCCATCGCATACTCTTCCTACACCTTCTCCTGCCAACATTGTCGTCCGCATCACAGTCCGAATCGTAGCCTATGACTATATCTGCCATTGTCTGAAAACCCTATTGCCGATAACTACCTGCGCGAAACCAGACGACTGAGCAAGGTGGCTCTACGCCCATTTTGCCTGCGCTGCTGGAGACAGCCGAGGATCCGAGCCCTGTGGCACACCGATCGCGACTGTCACGAACCCACGCCTTCCACGCCTCATGAGGACGAAAAATCAATAGAGACGTCTATCCCGTCCATGTCTCGCCAGGACGAGACATTGGTCGCTGCTACGGCGATTCTGCGTGGATTGGCCAAGGGCTCAAGCACGCAGTCTCCCCAAACTAATGGCTTAAAACTCCCTCCTTACAGTCTTCCTGGAGAAGACACGCCTTCAAAGGATGAATTCGAGGCGGAAATAGCAGCCCTTGCGAGAAGAATACACTACCTCGAATCCAGAGCCGACGTCGTCGGTCGGTCGCTTCCAGACACACCAGGTGAATTTCAGAATCCCGCTTCACCTGGGCCATCTGAGCCTCGAAACCCACTGGGAGAGTCATATACTGATCCCACCATAGCAACCTCCGACCGAGCATCCTTCATCCCAATCCAGCCAAACCGATCCAACAGCCACATTACTCCGACCAGCGCTGTTAGTGAAGATGATATCAGCGTACTCAAGGAACATGTGGAGAAGCAGGCCGAACAGATTAGAACCCAACGCGAGACAATTGCAGAGATTAGCCGCGGCCTGCGAAATTCTGAAGAGCAGGCAAAGCAGGCATTTATGCGAGTGGAGAACGAGGACGTCTCGATGCTCGAAAGAGAGCTTCGAAAACATCAACAAGCGAACGAAGCGTTCCAAAAAGCACTACGCGAGATCGGTGGTATCATCACCCAGGTGGCTAACGGTGACCTGTCCAAACGTGTACAAATTCAAGCGACTGAAATGGATGATGAAATTGCTGCTTTCAAGGTTACCATTAATACAATGATGGACCAGTTGGAGATCTTTGGAAGTGAAGTGACGAGAGTCGCTCGAGAAGTCGGTACTGAAGGCATATTGGGAGGTCAAGCTCAGATCAGTGGAGTGCACGGTATCTGGAAAGAGCTGACTGATAATGGTATTCCATGGCTCCCCTTCCTCTTTAAACTGGTGCTGACCGTGCTCTAGTAAACATAATGGCGGCCAACCTGACAGATCAGGTCAGAGAAATCGCGACGGTCACCAAAGCTGTCGCTCGTGGTGATTTGAGTCAGAAAGTGCAGAGTCGCGCCAAAGGGGAGATCTTTGAGCTTCAACATACTATCAATACCATGGTGGACCAGCTACGGACCTTTGCAACTGAGGTGACGAGGGTAGCCAGAGATGTCGGAACAGAAGGTGTTTTGGGCGGTCAAGCTCAGATCGAAGGTGTTCAGGGTACCTGGAACGAATTAACGAAAAGTGTCAATGCCATGGCAGATAACTTGACCACCCAAGTACGGGATATCGCTATGGTCACCACTGCAGTTGCCAAGGGTGATCTGACTAGAAAGGTGACGGCCAGTTGCAAGGGCGAAATTCTTCGCTTGAAGATCACAATCAATAACATGGTGGATCAGCTCCAGCAGTTTGCTCAAGAAGTCACCTATCTGGCGAAGGAGGTCGGGACGAACGGTGTCCTTGGGGGTCAAGCTACAGTTCATGATGTCGAAGGTACTTGGAAAGACCTCACGGAAAACGTGAATGGCATGGCCATGAATTTGACCACACAGGTGAGGGAGATAGCAACAGTCACCACCGCTGTTGCCAATGGAGATCTGTCAAAGAAGGTGGCCGCGGATGTCCAAGGCGAAATCCTCGATCTCAAGGTGACAATCAATTCCATGGTGGACAGGTTGAATACTTTCGCCTTTGAAGTCAGCAAAGTCGCAAGAGAAGTAGGGACCGACGGCACTCTTGGTGGACAGGCAAAGGTCGACAATGTACAGGGAAAATGGCGAGATCTCACTGACAACGTCAACACCATGGCTTCCAACCTCACGGGCCAGGTCCGAAGTATTTCAGAAGTGACGCAGGCCATTGCCGCCGGCAATCTGGACAAGAAAATCGAAGTTGAGGCGCAAGGAGAGATCTTGACACTGAAGGTTACGATCAACAACATGGTCGATCGCTTGGCCACTTTCGCGCAGGAGCTGAGAAGAGTGGCTCGAGACGTGGGTGTCAATGGTAAGATGGGTGGCCAAGCCAATGTTCACGACGTCAGCGGTCGATGGAAGGAAATTACCGAGGACGTCAATACCATGGCCGAGAACTTGACTGCCCAGGTTCGTGCGTTTGGAGAGATTACAGATGCTGCAACAGTGGGCGACTTCTCCAAGCTGATCAGTGTCGAAGCGTCTGGCGAAATGGATGAGTTGAAGCGCAAGATCAACCAGATGATCTCGAATCTCAGAGACAGCATTCAAAGGAATACAGCCGCTCGAGAAGCTGCCGAATTGGCCAACAGGACGAAATCCGAGTTCCTGGCAAACATGTCTCACGAAATCAGGACTCCTATGAACGGCATTATCGGCATGACTCAGCTCACCCTCGATACTGACGACCTGAAGCCCCACTCGCGAGAGATGCTGAACACGGTACATAACCTGGCTAACAGCCTGCTGACCATCATCGACGACATTCTTGACATTTCCAAGATTGAGGCGAACCGGATGGCGATCGAGGCTATACCCTACACGATCCGTGGCACCGTGTTCAACGCACTGAAATCGCTCGCGGTGAAAGCACATGAGAAGTCATTGTGCCTGGCCTGCGACGTTGACGGTTCGGTTCCCGACTACGTGGTTGGAGATCCATTTCGATTACGACAGATCATCCTCAACCTGGTGGGTAATGCCATCAAGTTCACCGATCAGGGCGAAGTCAAGGTGACCATCAAGAAATCCAAAGATCTCATATCTAACTGCGCATCGGACGAATTTCCGTTCGAGTTTGTGGTGTCTGACACTGGCATCGGAATTCAGTCCGACAAGCTCGACCTCATCTTCGATACCTTCCAGCAAGCAGACGGCTCGACGACAAGAAAGTTCGGAGGCACTGGGCTCGGACTGTCCATCTCCAAGCGTCTGGTGAATCTCATGGGCGGTCAAGTCTGGGTGACCTCCGACTTTGGGCATGGAAGCGAGTTTCATTTCTCCTGCATTGTGAAATTCGCGACGGAGGATATCAGCGTCATCAGTTCGCAGCTGTATCCTTTCCGAAAGCACAAAGTGCTTGTTGTGGACAAGGGAGTTTCTCCTTTCTTCGAGCTGGTTCCGAACATGATTGAAGAGCTCGGTCTAGACGTTGTTGTGGTAAGAGATGAGTTCACCATACCCGAGCCAGTGCTTGAGAAGAAGGGCAGATCCGATGGCGGCTACGATGTGATTGTGATTGATCAGGTCGCGACCGCTCGCAAACTCCGAGAGTCAGACAAGTTCAAGTACATCCCCATGGTGCTTCTAAACCCCAGGGTGTCCATCAACCTGAAGACCGTGCTGGACCTTGGCATTGCTTCATACATGACCACCCCCTGTCAATTGATCGACCTGGGCAATTGCATGATCCCTGCTCTGGAAGGCCGGTCAACGCCCATCATCAAGGACTACAAGAAATCCTTCAATGTCCTGTTGGCAGAAGACAATGAAGTCAACCAGAAGGTGGCTATCAAGATTCTGGAGAAGTACAACCATGTAGTAACGGTGGTAAGCAATGGGCTGGAGGCAGTCAACGCTATCAAGGAAACGCGATTTGATGTAGTCCTCATGGACGTACAGATGCCGGTGATGGGTGGATTTGAGGCAACGCGCGAGATCCGACAATTTGAGAAAGAGCTAGGCCTCCCCCGGACACCTATCGTGGCTTTGACAGCGCACGCAATGTTGGGAGACAGGGAAAAGTGCATTCAGGCTCAAATGGACGAGTACCTTTCGAAGCCACTCAAACAGAATCTGCTCATGCAGACCATTCTGCGGGTGGCATCGGATCACGTTACAGACATGTTCAGCAAGCATGCTCGGAAGCAATCAACCGTGACATCGGAGGCTGCGCCTGAGAGACCGCAGCTGAATGCCGCACCGACGAAGATAGAGAAGGATCCCAGCGGCCTCAGACCGCCATTTTCAGAGAGGTCGATCACCACATCAGGGCCCGTGAACCACGGCAGCGCCGAGAGTCCATCGACTGCCAAAGATGGCGATCCGGATCCGATTGCGGTTGCTAACAGTGTACGTGCGATGTCTTGGTCCGGTTGATTGAAGACGAAACTAATTGGATGTCCAGATGCTGTTGAGATCTCATAGTTCTTGAGCATTTCATTGGACGAAGGAAACCTTTTGGCTCCTTTTCAGCTACGCATCAGCGCAAGTGTGCAGCGTTTGTTTTTGGGGTTTCATTTTGCAAGGCACTCAGGGCAGGAGCTGTATGGAAGGATAATTGGCATACGTCTTTCGTGGGTTGATGCTTATGACACGGCGTCGTACTAGGGAGATGCCATAAGATTCTGGTGCCTGGTTAACGACGTTTTCAAACGGCAGCATTGCCTCTCTTGGCTTGGGGATAGCCATTGAGGATAGGCGAACCGCGGCCCGAGGGACAGGAACGGGTGCGAGTGAAGGACTAGGGTTCTATGGCTAGAGTCGATAAATCGCTCATACTGTACGTCTCCGCTGGGTGAAGTTTGCTCACAAAGTGGCACATGACTGGGACGAGTACAAGAGCACGCACAGTACTTTCGAAAGATCTGCCCGGAGCTTGCGAACGAGCCCTACGACGGCGACGAGAATTGAAGAGCCCACGTCTGGCTCGTCGCTGTCCACATGATTGATGATGATCGAGCAGCTCGCGGCCGTTTTGGGACATTGTGGGCGAGCAGCTAGGACGGAATTGCCCCAGATATCACTTATGTAATCTACATTTGAAAGCATCACCTTCCAAACTACGAGTGCCACAGTGTACCAAGCGAGCAAGGCATCATGGAGGCATCTTGTACCGTACGACAGATTGTGGGAGGCCTTAAGATTTTTTGTACGCAGCACTTTGGTCCGCACGCATCGGGGATATCAAAAGGGCGGATGACGGCGGGAATCGTCTATACCGCAACAACCCTCGTGATGCCACCAATGCCACCAATGCCACCATCATCCACGGATTGTCCGATGCCATCTTCGAGCGAATTGATCCTGAGTCCTGACGAATCCGTACCACCGCTGTCGCAACCGATTTCCGGGCTGCCTAGGCCTATGTAGTGGCCCGCCTCTGGGCGCCTTTAGCTTGGCTCTTCGCTAAACTTGTGGGCTCTCTCCAGGCGCATGCAACATCGGCCATCCATCTTGCCTTCTTTCCCACAAGTACCTGATATTCAGTATTGTCCCCACCACAGATTTCCTTTGCACGAAAAACTGATCTCATGAAACCGACCATCGTCTCGCGGCTGCTTCTGATGTTCAGTCTGCAAGTCGATCGGCATGTCCCACGCGGCTGCGCATCGATTCTCTCCTAGCATGATGTACCATTGACCGCCCGGAGCGCAAACATGGAGACTTCCTCGCTGCCTGGGGATTATGTCGCAGGCTCAACGCCAGATCCCTCGAAAGTCGAAGAGAGCGCGACTGCCCTTCCTACCCACAACGCATCCGCGCCGCGCTTGAATCCGCGAAGTTGTGTCACATGTCGACGACGCAAGGTCCGATGTAACAAAGAAAATCCATGTGCTAATTGCGTAAGAGCTGGAATTGAATGCGTCTTCCCTGCTCCGGGAAGAGCTCCACGCAAGTCCAAAAAAGCCCCAGACGCGGAGCTCCTGGCACGATTGAGAAGACTGGAGGGCGTCGTCCACAGCCTAGGAGCGCAGGTGGATGACAACGGGCTTGTATCGCCCAGCATCACAGGATCAGCAGACATCCGTGCCCGCACATTCGGTGAGACACATTCAGGAGACTCGCCCACATCAGATCGCTCGGACTCGAAAAGGCAGTCGATTGACAGAACCCTGGGTCGGCTGGTCATCAGCGACGACCGCAGCCGATATGTCAGCAACACCTTCTGGACTAGCATGAGTGATGAGGTTCATAAGGCCTGTCTGAAACGCATGGGTCTTTATGCTAACGAAGTTTCTAGATCGCCGAGATGCAAGATCTGCTTGACGCTTCGACGACCGATGACGACGACGAAAGCAACTCGCCTATACAGGATCGTCAGGCTGGAAACCATCAAGGTTTTCTGTTCGGATATTCCTCCATGATGCTGGACTTGAGGGAGTTGCATCCCAGCCCCAGTCAGATCTTTATCTTATGGGAGGTCTTCAAAGAAAATGTTGATCCCGTGGTGCGGATGCTACATCGGCCCACCGCCAGAACCATTCTCATGAATGCCGCAAGCAGCTTGGATCGAGTGTCCAGGCCAGCAGAGGCTTTGCTTTTTTCCATCTACTATGGAGCTGTGGTGAGCATGACGCACGAGCAATGCCGGCAGTTGCTGGATGAAGACAAGGACTTCCTCCTGAAGAGATATCGCTTTGCGACCGAGCAGGCTTTGGCTCGAGCGGATTTTCTGAACAGCTCCAGTCTGATGTGTCTGCAGGCCTTTTCGTTTTTCCTTGTCTTTGTCCGGCACGTTGACGATTCACGACTAGTGTGGGCCCTGGGAGGGCTTGCCCTACACCTCGCGCAATCCCTGGGCATTCACCGTGACGGCACTAATTTTGGCCTGAGCCCGTTCGACACGGAGATGAGACGACGTCTGTGGTGGCATCTGTCGCTTCTGGACAATCGAGCCGCCGAAGACCATGGCACGGATCCCACATTTACCGAACAATTCTACGACACGAAACTTCCCATGAACTATAATGACGAGGACATCTATCCTGGAATGAAAGAGTATCCCGCGGAGAGACAGGGTGCGACTGAGATGACCTTTTGTTTGATCCGCTTTGAGCTGAGCATCTTCTCACGACGGCTCAACTGGACTGCGCCCGGTCCCACGCCGGGGCACATGAGAGATATGACCCTCGAGGAAAAAGAAAAATTGATTGACAATTGTGCCCGCGACTTGGAAGAGAAATATCTGCGGCACTGTGATGCCAACGTGCCTATCTACTGGGTCTCGGCGACGGTAGCTCGACTCATTCTGGCCAAAAACTGGCTGTCCATTCATCATCCTCGATCTTTCGGCGCTACGAATGTAGAATCGTTATTGCCGCAAGAGGTGCGAGATCGTGTCTTCATTACATCGGTCGAAGTGATTGAGTTTACACATTTACTGGAGAAGAATGAAAACACCGCCAAGTGGGGTTGGTTCTTTCGGACATATATGCAATGGCAGTCTGTCGCCTTTGCCTTGTCAGAAATTTGCATCAGACCACCGGGACCCGACGTCGAGCGGGCTTGGCGAGCCATTGATTCAGTCTATGACGATAGAGTGATCAAGAACTCCAAGTACCAGAAGGGAATGCTATGGAAGCCCTTGCGGCATCTGATGGCCAAGGCCCGAGTACGACGAGAAGCGCAACGGGCGGCGCAAACGACAGGAACAGACACTTTTTTTACTGATGTGGACAGCTCAACAGGCCTGCACAAATTTGCACAGGACTATCCGGACAATTTCATTTCCAACACAATAGAAGCTTTCGGCATGACACTCGACCAGCCATACTCGGAAACTGTACCGTCGCAGCCAGCGACAACACCCTCGACCCGAGTCCTCGAAACGATGCACGCGAACCTAGGGCGAGACCAGTCCCAGGGTGGAACAAACGAAACAACGTGGACTCCAGGACAAATGTCGATGTCCCACGATGAGATCTTAAACTTTGGATGGTCGCCGTCGTTGGGCGATTTCACGGGACGACAGGAACCATTCGGACGATTTTTCATGAATGCGCAAGAAGAATGGTTTTGAATATGGCTACGGAGCTGTCGTACAAGTACAAGCTGCGGTCTGCACAGTCCCACTGCTTTGAAGAATGTTCAAAATGATTCGAGGAGCCTTGACCATGAGCTTTCACGCATCTGCACCAGTGTCTGTATGAGCACCACACACACCAGAGTAGTGTACGAGACTGGCAGCACCAAAGATCTATTTTTGAGGCCAGAAGCCAAGGTTTTGCTTCCAACTGGCGGCGGAAGGAACGCCATTCAGCTGAGCCTAGTGAGCCAGCCATAGCCAGCCATAGTCGACGCCAGTTGACATTCCCCAGGCCTACTATTGGTTGGATGGAATGATTTTTCCGGGTCCAACACCATACTAAAGAGGCCTGGAGGCTTTTCGGAGGCCGTTCAGTAGGCTCCCCCGGCGTCGTTTTGGGTCATTAGGCGTGGATCTGGTCCCTGTCAATCAGCATCTGCCATCCACAAACACTGCAACCAAGCCCCTGGTTCTGGGGCAAGCGGCTCCACAGGATAAACATGGCTCAGCGCCTGCACGGACTTTCGCTAAACAAGGAGGAAATCGACGCGCCATCGAATCCTCATCTCAAACGACGTTTGAAACAAAATCTCCTCAAAACAGACGCTGTTGCCGCCAATGATGTTGCGGCCTGCCTCTTATTGAAACTCTCGCGTGGCCTACGCCTCATTTGAAGCCCTTCTTTTTTCTTTGTCGTCGTCAGTAACTCGCTTCCTCCTGTGTATATTTCATCTGCTGCCTCGACACTTCTCGTCCTTCCTTGTCGGTTAGGCCTCTCCTCATAATTTCACCGTTGCAACGATGTCTACTTCATACCAAGCCCGCCTCCGGGCTTTGGTCTCGGTGTTTTTGGCTAGTGAGTCCTCTTGGGAAGAAAATGCTCTAAAGGTCGTTACTAAGATGCCCGGTGGCAGCATTCATTCTGGCAGCGCAGGCCGCTGTCCCTGCTTCCACCTATGTCGGCATGGGTACATCCTCCGCCTCGAAAGATAATGTCACCGTTTCCGTCAACGTTCCTTCCGACAGCAGCGACACTCTGTTCTATCATTTCTCCGCGCCCTCGTCTCAAACATGGGCGGCCTTTGGCTTTGGGAGTCAAATGAAGGGAGCCCTGATGTTCGTCACGTATGCTTCACAAGATGGAAACAACGTTACTGTCAGCCCACGGCTGGGCAAAGGCCATGTCATGCCACAACATACCTCCGATGTGAAAGTCGATGTGCTCAACGGCAGTGGAATAGTTGACGGGGTTTTCGTCGTCAATGCCCAATGTACCGGTTGCCGCAGCTGGGATGGCGGCAGTGTGAATGTCGACAGCACCAGCCAGAACATGATATGGGCGTTGGGACCCTCGGGCAATCTCGAATCCGATGATGTAGCAGCGTCGATCAGCCAGCATGAGGGTTACCAATTCTTCGGTCTGAATCTCAAAGATGCAACTGGCACTGGTGGTGTCCCAAACACCTCAAACTCAACCAGTGACAACAATATCGACGATGGTCCCTTTGGCGGTGGTGGCCCTCGCGTAGGCGTTGCATTCCATGCGTTCCTTATGGTTGCTGCTTTCTTGGTCGTCTTTCCTGCCGGTTACTTGTTCTTGCGAGTGTTCGAGAAGGTCTGGCTTCATTGGGGAGTCCAATCTGCTGCGCTGCTTATGGTCTGCGTTGGTACTGCAGCTGGTATCGGTGTCAGCATTCGGGAGGACCTGGTAAGCGCCGGAATTTTCATGAGCATGGCTCCAATATGCTAACCAAACTCCAGACACCCAGCCTCAACTCCGGCCATCAGATTCTTGGCTTCGTTGTTACCGCTATTGCCATCACGACCTGGTTGGTTGGATTCATCGGCCACCGCATCTACAAGAAGACCGGCACACCCGCGAAAATCATGAAGGGACATCGCGTTCTCGGGCCGTCGACCATCTTGTTCGGACTGGTCAATTGTTTTGTGGGCTTCAACTTTGCCGGCAATAACCGCGGGATGATCATCTTCGGTATTGCCACATTGTTGATGTTGATTTTCGTCGGCACTCTCACGTTCTTCAAACGCCGGCAGAAGCTGCGGAAGGGGCCCATGAACACACCTGCCGCCATGAATTTCCGTGAAGGGCAAATGGAGCCGCGCCAGGCGGGACCGCCAGCAGCACCATTGTATGGTGAGGGCGGCATACCGCTACAGAGTTACAATGCACCGCCTGTTTATCGGTGAAAGTCTGGCCTTGATATGGATATAAGGGGGGGCTTTTGTCGGAAGACGCAGCCTTATGACGGTCCCAAATGGGTTATATTGGTAGAAAAGCCGTGCCAGGACGGCCGACGTTGTTGTTGTCTAGATATTTAGTGGTTGGGCTGCTGTGTCTGGATTCTATTTGCACGAACAGCGGCGCGTGGGATTTTTGCGGTAAGCCGCGTTTATGCAAAATGATATGGGAGCGTCAATGGCTTTGCTCCAGATGACGGGTAAAACCTGTTCATGTAATTCGTCCTCTCTAAGGATGAAAAATACAATTCGTCCTACAAACACCACTCACACACGCTAACTCACAAGGTCTCCATCATTGAGGCTCGCTGTGGAATGATATGATGGAGCGTCTTTTCGATTAAGACTGTACAGAGTATGTAGATGTGACGTTTGAGGGTGGAAAGCTAACTTAATTACCTGCTTAAGTACCTAGGTACATAGTAGCTGCGGGCGGCGAACTTGGAAAATTATATTCAAATATTCGGAATATTTTTAGAGCATTCACGAGCATCGCACCGCATCACTTAAGTTTTTATTTCTTTTCCACCACCCTGCAGTCAAGTACGAATTAACTGAGTACTCTACTCTACATGTCATCTAGCGAACCCTGTAGCTAGTCACAGACGCTCTCCCAGAATGGTGTTGGACCATACGCAGTAAGTATTCTTGTTTGTCCTACCGTGTCTAGTTGAACAAGCCATCCAACACTCTATTGTCCGTTCTAACTTGGTACCCTACGTACCGCACCATAATGCACAACGCCAGTTCTCAGCATGGCACATGAGCTGCTTCTTCAAGGTCATGAACTTTGATTTACATAGTCCGACATCGGTAGCCCCAAGAGCAAACACCCGGTCGAGAATCGAGATGAAGTACACCTTTTGCGTGACCTCTCTCAGCAGCCTACAGCTACAATCATGCTCAGCCTTATCACAGGCGCTTGTTGCTACCTTCCCAAGAACCATTCTCGAGCTCGACTAGACTCAACTCCTCGGCCAATCCTATCCGCAGCACTTTGACCACGTCACGACCAGTCGCATCCTTGTCCTTGAACCTCGCTCTCCAATCCCATCCTCTGAGCTCATCATTATTCTGACCAGCGACCAACACTCCACTACCACTGGCGCTCTTACCGCCTGTGCCTGTGCCTGTGCTGGTGAGATCACTCTTGGCCAACATCTCTGAACCCATCATACTGAAGCTGAAATTCGAGTTCGTACCAGATGACATGCTCTTCTTCAACATGGCATGCGGACTTGGTGGTTGCGAGCCGTGATAATTTCGCAGTGCAGCCTGCAGACATTCTTCCGTGGCATCGTAAACCCGCGAAGACACAGTCGAGAGGTCTTCGATTGCAGCCAAAAGGCCGTAGATCTGCGAGGCGGTAAACACTGCTTTGCCTGTGGGGCTACTGTTGGCGAGCAATGCCGTGGCTTCACCAAGAAGAGTAAGGAGTCCGTCAACCTGAATCGCCGATTGTCGTTCAGGGTCGTAGAGACCGCCATAGATGCTGTCCGCTGCGCTATTGATTGCTGCGACAAGAGCCTTGGCGGCAGCTCTCCGACGGGCAAGAGGACGAAGATTGGATGATGTCGTCTGGAGAGCATCATCGTCACGCAGGCTGTAAAATCTTCTTAGACAGGCATAGCCAACAAGGTAGAACTGCAATATTTCTGCAGCATCAGGGTCGACTTCCGCAATATCCGCCAGAGCAGACTTGGGATTTCCGACAAGACTCTGAAGGCCATCGTCCATTTCAGCTTCTGGCGGGTATGCTCTGGACTGCACCAAAGAATAGCTGATAAGAAGGTCCACCAATTGTCGGATTTTATGTGACGCATGGCTTCGCGAATAACATAGCAGAGCTGTGCCATACTCGGTAGTGTTGTTGACGAGATGATCTCCAAAACGATCCGAGACCTTGCGAGCCTCCTGTTGCAGACCGAGATCCGAGCAGAGATTGGTAAGCTTTTCTGCACGATCTTGTGAGACAACCTGAAGCTGGTCAAGAAAGCCGCCCACAGCAGCTCTCATCGCCTCACGGTCATCGAGTCTCGTCACGACTGAGATGGCGACTTCCCAGCCTTCTATGGTGGAACCATCAGCCATTCGTAAGAAATTCTTGTCAAATAACTGGTCTGCGTAGCCACGAAGGACATCATCCTTGGTCAGGCCTGGCTTTTCAGCGCCATAGCTGAGCACCATGAGATCGTCTTCGTTCAGACCAGCAGGTCGACTGTGACTATCAGTGTCCAGCCAACCCGCTTTGGCACCGATTTCAACCACAGATGCAGCAATGCACTGCGACAAAGCTCGAAGCACCAATAGGACACTTTGGGTGCTCCCTTGAAGGACCGCTGCAAGGCCTACCTCAGTGGGTGACATGGCGTTGATCTGGAAAGCGTTCTTGTCCTTAGGATCGGTCACACTCAGAAATGAATCACGCAACCGGGCCAGGTAGAGGTCGGTCACACTATGTTGCTCTTGCGCCGCGTTATTAGCTCGGCTAACGTCGAAACTCCATTGGGCAACTGCCGCGTCGGCAGTGCCATCCCACCATATTGTCAACGAAGTCGCTGCCTCAAGCCAATCTTGTGATTGAGCAGCAATCTCTTCAGCGCTGCCTAGCATGATGCTGTACATGATCTTCAGATTTTGGTAGATGGTCCACGGCAGAGTCGATTTGGACTTTTGGCCGAATTTGGCGAGAAGGTTCTTTCCGGGTCGACGCAATCCAAAGTTTTCAGCTTCGAAGGAGTCATCGTCGTCGAGTTCATCATGGGCAGAGGCCAGGTCCGTTAGGTTGTCTAGCTCTGCTTCAACTTGCGTCCGAAACAAATCCCAATCAGGACCTGCGACGTCCCAGTCGTCGGATTGAATCACAGGACATGAATTGAGGAGGACTCTAGCTCGATATATGGCGCTTTGGATAGCCTGGAGTTGCGCACCCTTGTATCCGACCTCCTCTCTTCCCTCATCTGCGGCAGATGCAGCGTATCTGAAATCAGTATCGGCAAAGAGCTGCATAACCATCTGTAACTTCCCCCTCAGCACCAGACTCTGCACAGCATCCCAGAACAAGTCGTGAGAGGTGCAGTTCGGCCGAGCTGATGAGACGGTACTGTACAGTGGCTCGTACGAGACGTGATAAGTATCAAGCCAATCTAGGAGAATTTGAGGCATGGGAGCCACGGTGCTGTCTGGAGATGGTGGAAGGTGTCGCAGAGCAAGTAGTAGCGATGCAAGATAATTGGCTTTGGTGAATGCTGGAGCTGATGGCTGCGGCCCTATCTCGCTGCTGTCAAGTGGCGGACGATCATCCTCAATGAAGCGATGCCACTCGGCGATGAGTTCGTAGACACGCTCGGAAACAGCTTGAAGGACTTGGTTACTGTCTTTGAGGTACTGAGTCTGCTCGTCAAGTTGGCGTAGCAGTTGCTCTGTTTTCAAGATGACCTCGTCGGATTCCGTGAGCGACGACGGTTGTGCTCTTGTTGCCATATTTTGCGCCAAGCTGGTCACCACAGTCTCACTGCCCTTGTTCGGTAAGGCGGAAATTCTTGAATTGCGCAGATTTCTCCGAGGCGCCGACATCCTCGAGTCTCTATTTCTTCCGCTCATTGTACTAAACTTCATCAATGAAGCCGCCGACTGTTCGTTGACAATATCGAAGCCCTGGGAGAATCGAAATTGGTTTGTGTCGTCCTCGTAGCCTTCGCCATCATCTTCCATGTCCTGATCTGAGTATTCCTCCTCATCTTGCTGCGTATACTCTGAAGCTTGTGACGTCCCGAAAGAAGTGTGGTATGGCCTGACCTTGGTTCTAGCCGGTGTTCCATTCTTTGTGCGGGGCTCTTCCAGCGACCTGAACTGGGGAGATCGCAGTGGAGGCGAAGATTTGGCTGGCTTGGTGAATTGTAGCTTGCTGACGCCGGTGCCGAAGGCCGAACTGCCAAAGATCTGAGAGGGAGGAGGTGCGATAGGGGTTGTACTGGCTAGTTGAGGGGTGTTGGAAGTAAAGACATTCGAGCGTTGTGGTTGAGGCTCCTTGCCAGGAGTAGAATTGATGCTGGACGAATAGTCCGCAGTGAAGCGGTTCATGTTGTTGACGGTCAAGCTCTATAAGAGCATGTCGGGTAGTAGGAGGGATTGTGCCTTGTGGCACCAGGTGTCTAGAATCGAGGTGAGACCGTGTTGCGATGGATGGATGAACGCGCAATGGTTGAGCAACTGGAGCAAGAAGTTGTGGTTCGCGCGTCTACTAGTAACTGTGTACATAAAGAGATGGTAAAGAAAAACGCGCCGCCAGACACAAGATTCCCAAATGACGCTGCTTAGTCAATGCTTAGTCATTCACCCACCACAGCGCATCTCTCGCTCTCCATATCGGCTACGGAGGATTCACCACCATAACAGAACAATCTGAGCCGAGGCTACGAGATATGGATACAGAAAGCATCGACCTCTCCCTCTACCAAAAGTATTCTTCATCGATCTCGCCTCGAGGTAGACTATAAGATAAAGGTAATCGCCTCTTTTACATCCGACTGCCTTGTGACATCTACATATCAGTCACGGACCTCGCTTCCTACTTGCTGACACTCACATCACAATGCCTTCCGACTACAAATTTCATGGCTGGGTGGGACTCGGCAAAGACTCTGCCAATGGTAAGATGGTCTGGCGAGAGTTCAGCCCTAAGCCATTCAAAGAGACAGATATCGACATCAAGGTCACCCACTGTGGTATCTGCGGCTCAGACATCCATACTCTACGGAGCGGGTGGGGGCCATCACTATACCCTGTTGTCGTGGGCCACGAGATTGTAGGGACCGTTGTTCGCGTGGGTTCTAAAGCCGAGGGAGGGTTCAAAGTCGGCGACCGGGTTGGAGTCGGCGCTCAAAGTATGTCGTGTCTACGGCCAGACTGCGATGAGTGCTCCAATGACTGTGAGAATTACTGCCAGAACGGCCAAACCGGCACTTACAATGGCAAATACCGGGACGGCAGTAAATCATACGGAGGATACGCCGACTACTGGCGAGGTCCTTCGCACTTCGTCTTCAAGATACCAGATGCCCTGGAAAGTGATCTTGCCGCCCCTATGCTCTGTGGCGGCATCACGGCCTTCTCACCACTCCTCCATCACAAGGCTGGGCCTGGCAAGACCGTAGCCGTGGTTGGGATTGGCGGGCTGGGTCATTTCGGGATAATGGGAGCCAAGGTGCTGGGCGTCGACAAGATCGTTGCCATCTCTCGCACGTCCTCAAAGAAGGCCGATGCTTTGAAGATGGGCGCCGATGACTTCATCGCCACCGACGAGGACAAAGGCTGGAACAGGAAGCACAGAAAAAGCATTGACATCATTGTCAGCACCGTCTCCAGCCCAAATATGCCTTTGCAACAGTATCTCCAGCTCCTACGGTTTGGTGGAGTGTTTGTACAGATCGGAGCCCCGGAGGACAGTTTGCCTCCAATCAATGGCTTTCAGCTGTTGGGCAAGCGGTGCAGCATCACGGGTAGCAGCATCGGGAGCCCCAAGGAGATCAGGTACATGTTGGACCTGTTCGCAGAGAAAGGCGTACGGACCTGGAACAACAACGTGCCCATGAAGGATGCAAACAAAGCCATTGTAGATATGGAGGCCGGCAAAGCGAGGTATCGCTATGTGCTTGTCAATGAGCAGCACGCATCTCACCTATGATAGGGGATTCTCCCAAGAACCATATAGGCTATAGGAACGATCACTATCTCGAGACCAGCATGAAGGGTATTGTCGTATGAACTCATATTGTATAGGACACATCTAGGTAATGCCCATCAATTCGGCAAGCTCGTCGGGGCTCAGTGTGCTTCTCCTCCTCGGGGCCTTCCTCGACTTCTTTGCTTCTCCATGTTTTCTTTTATTCGTTCGAGTAAACTCTTGCCGCTGGGCCTCCGCCGCCTCTGCTTCAACAGCCGCAAGCTTTTCGGACACTGTTAAGTCGATGCTTTCATGTCGGATCATCTAGTAACGAGTTAGCACCTGCTCCTGACTTTGAATCGTCCCGCACTTGCCTGACGTGGAATTTCTGAATCAATATTCGCTCCATTTTCATGATCCAGATGGTCCGAACTCCCGAGTCCCGAGTCGCTACTTTCTCGCACCTGGGATTTTGACTTAGCATCGCGGATGGGTGATCGAGTCAAGTTGTGATCTATCGACTGTAATGGCCGGATGGGTTTGCCAATGTTCAAGCCGGCTCTCCGCGCAATAGACGACCGTCGTTTCGGTGCAGGCTCGAGTGGTATATCAAGGTCGGATTCTGAATGGGGTTCCTCTGGCGTGTTGTTCATCTGCCCATGAGAATCCGCCTCATCGGCATTCTCTTCTGCTATCTCTTCCAGCTTGCCGTTGTCGTACAAGATGGATGACAGTTCGTCGTCAACGCCAAACACAGGTTGACCATCAGGGAACATTGCCATGCTCTTGCCAAACTCTAGGCTGGACAGGTCTGGACTTGACATGTCCCCGTCATGGTCGACCGTCCTTCGGCGCCAGTTGTCCATCATGGTGACTGCCTCCTTCCACCTGGTTGCCATCTTCTCCCAGCCAACCCTCAACTTGATAATCTCTTCGTCCCGTATCTGGACTTCTTCAATCGGTACAAAAGACGGATCTTTCAGAATCGATCGGCAGTGCTCCAAAATTGCGCCCATTTGCTCTGCCAGAGCCGTACAAGAAGACAAATTGTCCAGCTGTGGAGCTGGTTTGCGTCTCGACTTGCGATATTTGCCAGGGATTCCTATACCATCTTCGCACTCTTCATCCCGCTGTGCATTGGCGTCACTCCCGTCCAGGCCGGTCAAATCTCGAAGAACGTCTATTGTATCCATTATCAGACTCCTCAGAGCCACGTTTTCTGTGCTCGTCTCATTGACCAATCCCGCCAGAAAGTCGTTGGTCTCGTTCTCCAAGCCCCATGCGGAGCTTTTGACCTCCTGTCCATTGCGCATCTCTCTGCCGGTTCTCTCCTGTTCAAAGTTTATAACATTGATCTTCATTCCAGAGGCATCTCTCTTCCCGCGTTGCATTCCAGCAAGGTGGGCTTTCAATTTATCAAGTTCGACGTCTCGCTTCCGTACGTCGCTCAAGCACTTGGCGCGTACTTGATCCAATGTAGATTTCATCCTCAGCATTTGTTCTTTCAGTTCTTTTGCTTGAGCTTCCGCCTTCCGCACAGCGTTCTTGAGCAACCTTTCTTGCGATGCCGCAGCCGCAGCCTCTCTCACAAGCTCCGCATTTTTGTCCTGCAGTCGTTGAAGGTCGAGGAGGCGCTGTGACTCGTCGGCACGGGCTTTTCGGATATTCATAGCCATGTTCTCTCGTTCTTCGGCGTCCTGATCTCGTCGTAGGACCAGGTCGTGCACGAGGTTGATGACCCTGGACATGGTCGCATCTGTGCCATGTCCATGGCGGTCGGGATGGGCGAAGTCGATCGGCTTTCCATTGGAGAGAAGCCCGCGAGTAAGGAGGAGATTATTCAGGTATTGCGAAGCCCTTTCCAGACTGCGCGACTCCATTATGGCTACTCTCGCTGGAGAAAGTCATCACTCGTTCAGTGTCTTGCGCATCGACAGCCAAAGTGGCTACCCAATTAGGTGAGATTGTAAACATGCCAAGATGTCATCTCATTGGTCAGCTCTTTCTCGCGTGTTCGTGCTTCAACGTAAGTAACACCGCGTTCTTCTTGCTACAAGTACTTTACGTGACCACAATGATTCTCCTAATCACCTGAGTCGTGATGGCGTTTTCGATGCAAGCGCCGACCCGGATGGCGCCTTCCAAAATATCAACAGTTCAGTTGATAGGAGACTGCCGCAAGGCCGCCAAAGAAAAGAAATGGGACCTCGCCTTGCAGTTGATAGAGGCAGCTCTGCACAGCACTGGTACCGAAACCCAATCCCGCACCACTATCCTCGACACGCGTGTTGCCGTCTATCTGCGGATGGACAAGCCTGATCTCGCATTGAAAGATGCCAAGGCTATGATCCGCAACGACCGTACCGATGGTCGAGGTTATATTCGCTGCGGCCAGATCGAGATTGGGAGAGGCAATGCAACAGCTGCCGCAAGCTTCTACAAGCACGGCCTGAAATATGTACCGACATCGAGCCAGCAGTTCGAGACCATCTCTACGGCACTGAGCAATGCGCGGGAGCAAATTCGTGTTGCAACCATGAACTCCAAGCCAACAGATCCTATGCGAACTCTGCCATTAGAGATTGTCGGGACCATTCTTTCATTCGTCTCGTACAAACAGCATGTACGCATGCTCCGTGTTTGCAAGGCTTGGAATAGGCTGCTTCGCGGCTTGCGACCGTTAATTGACACTCTGGCGTTTCCGAAGCCCAGCAAGGACGTCACCCCCCGAATGCTACATGCGGCGCTCAGACGGCTCAAATGTCCTACTGCAGTCTACGTCAGAGGCCTGCACGAATCGGCGTCTAGAATACTCGCAGATCGGATGCAATGTTGGCAGAATTTTCAGAATCTCTCAGCCCTCGAAGTTCAGGACAAGGTGCTCGCTCCCTGGAAGCTACCACTTTCCAAGTATGGCCTGACGAGTATAAAATTCGGTCCTTCCACCGCGATACCTATTTTGTTCGTTCGCGACATCCTTCGAGACTGTCCTAGCCTGGAGACAGCCCAGTTCGAAAACGTGACCAATCCACGTGGCGAGATGCATTGTGACCTTGTTCTGGAAGGCGGAAAGCTGCAGCACCTTGTCCTCGGCACTCCGCCTTTGCGCTGCAACGCAGTAAGTTGAGCTTTTAGGACCTCTGAATATAACACTAAACGCCTTCACAGGGAAAGTTGTTTTCTCGATTGCTGCAATTGCAGACACTTTCATTGGGTGGCTTGAGGTCGCGAGAATGTTTCGATCTCCGTCCTATGGAACAGCTAGAGGCCTTGAAGATAGCCTGTGCCGGCATGGCTTCGATCTGTCTGCCTCCATCTCTCAAGGTGCTGACCTGCTGTGAGAGTTACGCTTCCTCAGTGGATCCGGAGGAACCATTCCCCGAGACTTATCTTCCAATTTTGGAAAGCTTGACCATGGATGAATGTGGTGATATGCCATGTCTTCTCTCAGGAAGAGTTGCTGTTGAGAAGCTTTCGAGATTGATCTGGATCGTGGAACCGCGTTTTGCGACATTCTCGTTCTCCTTGTTCAAGACGCTGTTGGAGCAAAGCAGGCTCAGCGGTGTCCGACAGCTTCATCTGAAACTGGGAGATATTAACGACAGCCTCAGCTCCTTGTTCGCCCGAGGCTTACCGAACCTCGAGGAGTTGTGCCTCGAAGAAGCCATGATCACGGGCGTGCTCATCTCAGATCTCATCCAGGGGAACCAGAAAATTCGCAAGATAAGCTTGGTCCAGTGTCCGAAGGTGTCTGGCGACATCGTCCCTTGGGCGAGAAAGCGAGGTGTAGATGTTGAACTTGTACGGCAGCGTACGGAAAAGGGCCGGAGAGTCCGCGAGGCAGAATAGATGGAACTGGGAGGAAAACAATGAGTGATGATTAATGAGAGTCTTTGCAATGACCGGGGGAGTAATTGGCAAGATTCAAATGTTTTGTTTACAAAACTGCACAAGCTATACTAGATGATATGTGAAACGCTTAATCGCATTGAACGAGTCAATCATGTTGCCCTTTGGTATTCATTCCTGCCATACCATCCGGCCAACAAGGCCGTTCCAATCCCACCTAGATCCCGCCAGACAGCACCTTGCTCCTGAACCCCCAGCGCGCCAGTTCATTAAGTCTTCACTTCCCCTTTAATCGCGTGTCTGCCATGTGTGTGTCAGAGTATCTAGACCCTACGCTTCAGATGGTGAAATCATTCCCAACAAGGAGAATTGTTCGCTGCTCGCCCGGCGGAGGCTGCCATGCAAGAGCGGTGGATTTGACTCCCCGTCCCCCCTTCGAAGCCACGACTTAGCCTACCAAATCAATGGCCCTGTCCGGTACGGTTGTGCAGTATTTCCTCGTCGCCATGAGAGCCCGCTCTCATTCTCCCGGGAGTCTCCATTGATGGCTAGTTCGAAAAGCAGCTCGGTGACGGCTGCCACCTCTTCATAAGATATCCAAATCCTCGAATTCAGCCACCAATTCATCCACCTCGTCCCAAGTATTAGTCGGTTCATAGTCCGTAGGTCGACTGGCATAACAGCCAACCCAGATATTTCCTTTCTGTTCCACGCCCGCGAAAAAGCCCGTGACCTCCCTCATTTGCTTCCATCGCGAGCCAAGCTCTTCGGGGTTGGGCTGTTCAGGGCCATAGCCAGATGACAAATGATAGTCCATTTCAGATTCGTTGTAATTTGGAATTTCGTAGGATATCCATAAAGACTGGTCGACCCGTTCGAATCGGATCCGCAACGACTGTGAGGCGACCGATGTCAAGGAAAACGGGTCGAAGTTCGAGAAGGGCGACGGCATGCGAGCTGAAGAAGACCAATCAGCGCCGCAGGTCGAGATGGCCACCGAGGCTGCAGCATGAAGTTCCCCTCTGGCAAATTCCAGACCTGCTTTTGCCCATCTTCGCGTTGCAAGCGCCTCAGTGCCAAATCCCGAATAACGAGAGCTCCTCCGAGAAGCTGGTGACCGTGGTATTGATTCGTCTGGGAGCGAACCGGCAAATATGACGAGTCCAGCTTGGTCATGATCCATAGCAAACTCTGCCGAGACGGTCACTTCGGCCAGTAAGAAAGACTGCTGCAAGCGCTTCAGCACCATCGGGGCGGTGACATCGTCTGATGCTGCTGGTTTTCGCTGGATGTTGGTATTCGGAGGAGCCTGAAGGGCAAAATACTCATGCACATCTTCGGATTGTTCAAAATTGGAGCCAACATTGATGGCTTTGAAACCGGAGCCGCCGAGCTCCATGGTCGGACTGGTCCTGCCAGGTTCACTTGGCTGTTTGGAGGAAGAATGATCACACGAGATGTGGCCGTGCAAGAGAAATGGTCGTGAGTTGCGTGGTGTGAAGATCGGTCAACGATCACCAGGTCAATACTCTTTTCTGATAGAAGAAGATCTTCCGCATTAAACGACCGCAGTGACAGTGGTTGTAGCCGGCAAATAATATATGTGTCGACGATCCTTAACGGCTGTCAATCAGGTTGACCGGGAAGCGGAGCACAGAATGAGAGACACCAGACAGTGACAGATGACGGGAGCATTTGTACGCGAATTGCAGGAAGCTGTCATGTTTTAAGAGGAGCAAGGAACAGCCAAATAATGTGACGGGGCGAAAGGCGAAAGCAGGATCGAGTGGTAGTGGCATCCGTGCTTCTTTCAACCAAGGCCTGCATGGACACAGTCTCTCGATGCGAGGTGGAAATAGAATTCAAATCGCTGGGAGGATGTGGCCCTTGTGCCAATAGGAGGAGCACTGATTCCATCCACCATCATCGCTCACCAGGGGTAGGAGCTCAGGGGGTGTAGCTAACTGTAGCCACGAGCTGAAGAAAGGACCTCGCCGATGATAGCTGGGTCACGCTGGGGTCTTAGTCGATGGCCGATGCGTCGCCACGGCCGGTGGAAGGACCGCCGTGCACCAATCAGGGTTCCCATCACACATTACAGTATCAACGGTACCGGGGGCTTGGGAGCGACGGCCTCTCCGGGAAGTGGAAAGAAGCCAGAATTCTCGGTAGCACACAGTCAGAGAAGCGAGCAAGCGAGGGGATTGTCCCCATGACCCGTTGCACCCAGTTGTCAGCAGCCCCGAGGCAGGCAGTTTGAGTAACCTTGGGGGCCACGGCCCACGGGCGAAGATGTGTGTGCCGCACACACACACAGAGGTCGTTGTTACACCGGCCAACGGCAGAGCTAGGGGCACCCGGAGCACATAACGGAGTAGAGGAGGCCGGAGAGCAGCACACGGTGCAAGAAGGGGACATTGCGTCAAGTCAAGGTTCTGGCTAACCGGAGAGATGTTTGAGAAAGGTTTTGATGGAGAGAAATGACAGGAGATGACAGAGGCGATGATACCTACCTAGGTAGTAGTGGTAGCTAGGTGGTAGTCAGGTATTACTCGCTTGAACTCGATAACTATAGGCGAAAGGAGTGAATCAGTGAGTCCTGACGTCCCGCCGTCTTTTTCTCCCGTCGCCAATAATCACTCTCTCTTTCATCCTTCCCATCGATCGTCTGCCGCAGGCACTTATACGTCGCGCTTCTACGGATACTTTACGTCCATTCCGATCCCGTTCGAATCCATCTGTCTCTTCCGTCGGTGCTTACACCTCCTATTGGTTCACCATTACGAGCTTGTCCTTTCTCCACCGCTGCCTTGACATTGACATTGACGTGTCTCAGAACGTTCCCCGAAAGTCAGTTAAGCACCAGGAACATGGCATTGGAAAGGTGCTTGTGTACACAATGAAAAGCAAGTATCCTCGTTCCGGCCAATTAAGAGGCAAGAGGAGGAACATTGGATAACGAGTACTACGGTCGATTGCAAGAATTCCGGGGTTTCTGGGCGCACATACGGTGTCAACGTTTGAGAATGATGGTACTTCATACAAGGCCAGCGTTGGACGATGACAAGACGAAAACGAGGCATGTGGTTTCCGCGAGAGTGGCACATCTCAAGACGCGGAACGACAAACAAGGAATTGTGGACGGTAGACTGCATACGACTGACGAGCTTTGTGGTTTTGGCGCTGTAGAAAACCCTACATGCATTGCGGCATGCTCAGATGCCATTCACAGCGACCACCCAGCCGCGCTTCATTTCTTGCCCTTGCCCTTCTTCTTCTTGCCTCCTCCAGATGTTGAAACAACAGGAGCAGCGGGCTTCCCATCGACGTTTAGATCCTCGTTCACCACGCCACCCTGGGTATCACCGCCTTTCTTGGCCTTCTTTTTTCCTTTTGGTGGTCGATAGTAACTCCGGTCCTTCATAGGAAGCCACCGCTCCGGGTCTGGTTTCTTATTCTCGTCATAGTCTTTCGGTATTCGTGACTTGCGTACTCGTTTGGCTTTGAGACCGTTGGCATCTGGAGCCGCTCGCTTTCTCGTTCGCCCCAATTGTGCTATTGCAAGAGCGTTCGACGACTGTGGTATGCCAGCAGTCTCTATTGAGGTAACATCCACGTCGCGGATAAGGTCATTGATAGGTGTGAGTTTGTCGATGTCCGTTTTGAGCTGGCTCGACTTATCAGTGGCATGAGAGGCCACATACCCGGCTGCCGTGGCTTTGTCGTCTGGTTGCTGTTGCTTTAGCTTGGCGAAGATCTCCGACGCTGAAGCGGTGTCCTCTTCATTCTGGGATTCCAACAGTGAAACGCCGGCCGCTTTCAGTAGACTGGTGGGAGGGTTGGACTGGGTGCGCCAGTAGGCAGCAGCCTTTGCGAGTTCTTGCTTGACATGTGCCTTCTGACCCCGGTTCTTGTACAAGCTGATCAGAAGACTCACAAGCAGAGGACTGAATCTGATTTCTTGCTCATGCTCAGCCACAGACTGCTCCAGCCTCTTCAGGAAGGATTCGAGTAGTTCGACCGCCGAGGTGCTGTCGCCACCTAAGATGTACAACTGGACCAAGGTAAGGATAGTGCCAATGTCATTTGGTTCCCTCTCCAGGATTCGGAGGATCTTCTTGATTGCTGCCTTGCCTGTTTCATTGCCTGCACGGGCTGCAGCAGCTGAGCATGACGATACCAGGGCATCTGGGGAGAGCGAAAGCGGTCGATGTTGAGCTTTGGTTGTGGATGATCGTAGACCGTCAAACTTGAAGGCTCGCAGATCCAGAGTGGCCTTGTTCGATAGCAAGGGAATGTTCTGGTAAGAAAAGAGCCTGTCCTCTGGCGGGATCTTTGCTGTAGTATGGAATGCCTTGTAGGCGAGGAAGGGATTGTCGGCCGACGTCACCAGCAGCAGGTTGTTCTCAGCGACCTTCCGTGTTGACAGATCCGACACTTCTTCGACTTTGATCTCTGCAGCAAGAGCTTCCGCTTCAGAGCTTTTCCCGAGACATAACAGTACGTACAGTTGCTGCACGGAGATAGGCAGCAGCTCGTCGATCTTTTGTTGGGCTGTGAGATCCTCGGAATGCTTACACAGTTCTTTCGCCCTCTTCAGGAGGACTTCGGCTTGTGCATACTCTCCTCTTGCAATGCTTCCACATGCGGCATTGTAGGTCGTTTCGAACGCCTGCAAGTCCTCCCTTCCAGGCCTTCGTATTGACTTCACGTCTGCAACACCAATCCATTGTGCTTGGGCGTCTATTGCTCCCTGATTCACCCGCATGTCATAGTCTTCCGACTTATGATGATCTATCCGCTGGTAGACCTCGGACGTCTTCAGTGAATCTTCCAAGCGATATCTTGCCTGAGCTTCAATATGCCGCGCGCCTCTTGATTGAATCTTGGATGACAGGTCTACAGCTTGTTCTAAACGACCAGTCTTGTAAAGCGCATATGCATATTCCACATCTGCCGTCTTCTGCAGAGTGTCACCTGCGCTCTCGATGAATTTGACAGCCTCATCGTAACGGTCGAGTTTCAGAAGGGCGACTACTTTGACATGCTGAGCTTCGAGATCGGATCTTGAGGTTTTGAGAGCCTTGTTACATGCTTCGAGGATTTGCTCGTGGTCGTCAAGAGTCGATTTCTTCAAGAGCGCCGAAAGCGAGGGTGAGGAGGCGGCCATGCCGCAGGTGGATAAGGGAACGGATAGTGGTCGTGCTACTGTATCATCTCAATAGTTCACAGACTCACAGTTATCGGCGACTGACTTGGGTAAATGTGACCGTATATCGATCAGTTGGTAGAGAGTTCAAAAGCACTGGAAATCCCGTGGGGCAGTTGTGAAGTTGCGATATATTTCCCCCACAAATTAAATTCGCCGTTTTCTCCGACTTCCAAGGTTCGTTGGACGAAGGAGAATGTGTTCGCCGACGCACCATGGCAATGCCTGAGCACGCGACTCCCTTGATCAAAACGTTGTTAGTTACGCAACGGTCACAATGAGTATGGGCTAGAAAGGGACGAAGCGACACTCAAAGATCTCTTGCTGGTGATCAATTCGTACGCCTAGAAGTATTTGTCAATGTCGTCAGTGAGATTCGTGCCGATGACTTCTACTACCATCAAAAACAGTCTTGGGGTCCTTTACCATTGCAGCTTCTCGTTGCCATCACTTGCGAGTCTTCCACCATCGCTCTCAGCGCTCTCTCAGCAAACAGAGGCGCTTCGCTGCCGATGAGTTTCTTCTGTTTGGTCTTCGATGCCCACGTTCCTTCGGCGTCTGTTTGGTCTCCCAAGCAAACTTTTATGCCTTCCTTTCAACTCGTTACGGACTTCGCTTAGGCCACAACAGCCACTTTTCCCCTGCGCCATGGACATCACGCATGCTACTTTCCCCGGGGAGCTGATCAAAATCATTCAGCACATTGCAGATAGCCGTTTCGTCGCTTTCGACCTTGAGTTTTCAGGGGTTGCTGCTAGAAGATCTGCTGGAGGCTCGGGGAAATTGTCCTTACAGGAGTACTATCAAGATCTGAGATCGGCTGCTCAAATTTATCAGATACTACAGATTGGCCTGACCATTGTCAGCGAAGATACTGAGAAAGGTGAGATGTCCTCCATCCAGCTTTATCATTTCAAGTCGAGGAAGCCGTCGCTTCATCTGGCGGACGGAAGGAGACATTGACTTCGATGTATTTGGATGAAGACATCATGATGGGTTGCTGATAGTTGAAGGACGTTACGTTGCCCGACCATACAACTTCCATCTCAGCCCTCTGCCAGCTACGAAAGAACAGGTCTTCCGGCGGGTATGGTCATACAATAGCGGTGGTAAGATCCAGTCCGCAATGAGTCGGCCGCCTTCGAGACTGACATGCGCAGCAATTTCATTTCTAATGCGCAATGGATTTAACATTGAACGGCCCTTTTCCGATGGCGTGCACTACCTGTCCCGTGAAGAAGAGCAGCAGGTGCGCCAGAAGCTCTCCGACGATGACAAGGTCAGGTCGGAAATCCCAGACATGATTCTCAAAGACGAAGATTCAGTCTTGGTGAACCACATCAAAGAGTCGGTCAACGAATGGCAGTCTCTACCAACCGAAGAGCAGGAAAACTATCTTAATATTCCCGCCGAAGATGCTCAGGACCCCATCCCTTCTGAGCTCAGTCGATATCAAGTCCGCTTGACACACCAGATCGTTAGAAACGAATGGCCGAAGCTCAAAACCCGGGGAATGGGCCACTTTGTGCAAATTACCAAACCGACGGACGAGCAGCAAGCAAGTTGGCGAGAACTGCGCGCCCAGACTCGTGAGCGAGAAATCGCGCATGCCGTTGGCTTCCGATGGGTGATTGAAGCGATAATGGGCGGTGATATTTCAAAACTGCCACATTATTATGTGGAGGCGGCTTTTCCAGAAGGACAGGCCCCGAAAGATACTCCGGGCTTCCTGAACCAGCTCCAACAGGATTTGCGAAAGGGGACTCGAGCATTTGTCGGACACAATTGTCTGACCGACCTCATCAACCTCTACAGATGTTTCATTGGTGACCTGCCTGAACGAGTAGAGGACTTCAGTGCCCGGGTAATCGAGCTGTTCCCCATTGTTCTTGACACGAAATACCTTGCTGGTGTGGGGAGTAAACGTTGGGCCGACACATCTCTGAAAGCGGTGGAAAGCGACCTGAGCTCTGTGGGAGTTCCGCGCATACACTTGCCTCCGGATTTCGACCGTTACCTGCACGCTGCAACCTATCACGAGGCTGGCTTTGATAGTTTTGTTACGGCGAAGATCGGTCTCAAGCTGCCAGGGAAGCTCAAAAGAGAGGTGAAGGACTTGGACCCTCCAATAGGAAGCTCTGCTCCCACAATGGAAGAGACAACAACCACATCGGCTGAAGCCAAGGTGAAAGATGTTGCAGTTGAGTCGGAAGTGCCGAAAAAAGGCCTAACCACGAGCGTGGTTGATGTGCTCAAGGCCCCAGTGACTATAGCAAGATCAATCTTGATAGGGTCCGAGCATGGCACGCAAGAGAGCACAAGCACCCATGGATCTGAAAAAGGGGCCACCGTTGTTGTTGCCAAAGAGAAGAACCAACACACTGTGGCATCCAAGCCCAATTCCAGGAGCTTGCAGTCTGTCTCTCGGAGATCGAACATATTTGATATGCTCGAAGACGAACCATCAGAAGCCTCCGAGGAGCAGGATGCTGCCCAGAAGCACGCAGAGACACAGCGCAGAATTGCAGAAATGGTGGAGAAGGGCGAACTCTTGCCGAGATGGGAAGAGGATGGTGAATTCTGGAAGTTGATCAGTAACCGGCTCCAGGCGAATGCTTGCGAAGAAGGCATCTTGGATATGATGCGACCTCTCAAGACGTGACGGTCCTGGAACGGAAGGCCGATAGATACATCATCTACCTTTGTACTTCAGCTTGAACACCCACTGCATTGGAAGGTGTCTATCTCGATTATACCAGGGTGATTGTCACTTTTTCTATCTATACATGGGCACGTCAAGATAATGTGGCTGCGTGCCACAGATTTCTGGCGTAGAATTCCATTTCCTTTGCCGAGGTTCAAGCGACGTGACGCCAATTGCCGAATCGAACTCCAACCCCAGATTGCTACTCCAGCATTCTACGACCTAAACTCGCTGCGATCACAACGCTCATATCTTTCATTGTATTTTGTTGAGGCTGACGTACAGCAAGCATCATGTCTATAGGCTCGGATTCGCAGTCGAGCTCGCAGATTCTTTCCTCCTCGCATGCCTCCCTGAATCAACCTAGCAAGAGAACGTCATCGGATGTCTCCAAGATATACAAGCATGCTTCGCAGCTTTACCTGACCAGGAGACTGCTGGAAGCATATGAAGCCCTGCAGCCTATAGTCACTCCACCCGGGAAAGGAAGACCCGACGACAGCCCTGCCCAAGCACCCGTTGCGACCGCGACGACGAGCCAGCGCATCAAGATTTGGAGCTTGTATGTCACCCTGTTGAACTCCATCGTCGACCTTGGCTATGAAGAAGGAGGAGGTCTGTTCGGCCACAAAGAGTATCAGGAGATCGTTCGAAACGTCAGGAATGGCACGGTCTGGGAACAAGTGGTCAGAGACGGCTACCAGGGACGAGAAGGCTCAGTGGATGCCGAAGTCGTCTACAATTTGTGCGGACCCCTTGCTACTCTTGGTTAAAACAATTGAGGCTCACCTTTTTAGATCGAATCTTCTCCTTGCACAAGCTGCTAATCAGAAGCTCACCCAATCGCGTCTTGAAACCTACCTTTCCTCCTCACACCCCGATCTTGACCTCTCCACCCACCTCAATGATGCGCTGAGCAACGGTCGGCAAGCTGGCATGAACGGGACGAACACGCCAAAGGATCTTGCTTCGCGAATCAAAGTCTTGGAGCTCTTCACATTGCACGTCCTACCACGAAACGATGAATGGGAATATGCCAAGAGTTTCATTTCGAACAGTGACATTCTGGATGAGGAACGACGGGACGCCTTCCTGCAGACGTTACAAGAACTTCAAGAAGTGAGTGAGGGGCAGCAGGACATTGATGAAGCAGAGCAGGACGTTTTCGAGGACACGGAGGAAGACCTGCACCCACCCGAACCCACCCTTTCCGAACAGGGCCATACGCGCGAGCCCCATCTGTCAAGAACAGCGTCTAAGCACCAGAGGACGAGTAGCGAGGTGGACTACGGTATCGAAAAGGAACATCCGAATGGCACGCATGTGGCTCCCAAGCCAGAGGATAAAACCTCAACAGCGAAGCCATCAAAAGAAGCTGCAATGAGTAAACTTCCTTCACAACCAATACCCTCCACTACCTCACCACGCTCTCCACCTGTACCTTCATCTGTCAGCCGCAGCACACTGTCTCCTCCGGCGCAGACACCTCGAAGGCCTACCCGTAAATCCAAGGCATCGAATCAGAATACCATGCTTGCGCAGGCACGGCAGTTGTTCGTGACTCTTTCGAATCTGGCTCGCAACTTGGCCGGCACTATCTCGAAGAATCCAACGAGTCTTCTGAGATTCTTGCTGTTTATCTTGGCGTTCGTGATGGCTTTCAGTCAGAGGCAAGTGAGGGAAAGAGCCCGGAGAATGGCCAACACCAGCTGGGAGAAAGTCAGAGCTACCATTGGTATGGGTACAAAAGTCAGTTATATCTAAGGTCAGGCAGGTATGACTGGGAAGGACGCGGTGGAGTACGTTAGTGCAGCATCTTCTCATGTCATTCCAACACGTACAAGCGCAAAGGCGCGTTTTTGTAACGTTCATGTTTTTGCATATAGCGAAGTGAGCAGAATTATATCAATTCATCGGCCCTCCCAGTCATGTTCGAACCGAGCACACCACTATTGCCTAGGATCAATGTACTGTATCAGAATGGGCTGAGAAACCACGTGAGGACAAGGTAAAATAATTTCCGTCCTTGGAATCTACAGCAGCTCAAGTCATACAAGGAAAAGCCCAAAGCTCATTAGTCTTTACAACGCGCTCCCAGCACCAACTCTCGTCTTTGGTTCGTGTGGCAGAAAATATGCACACTCAGCAATCACTTCCATCAAGCTCGACCTATGAATCCCCCTGGCTTCAGAAATAGTACATGGTCGATCTAAAGGTGTCGGCAATTTCGATCTTACTTGCTTCCAACGTCACCGATCTGTTGTACCCCAATCTTTACGTTAGCCTTCTCTAGTCTGTCCAGATAGTCGTCACCCAAGCAAGATGGTGTCAAGAATCCAGCGCCATGGGACTTCTTGATATCCTCGTCCTTGCTCAACAACACCATAGCGGCCTCCGCCAACAGGATTGCCGTGAGCTGGTATATGCCACCCTCGAAGCGGAAGGTTGCCAGTGCTTTGCGTGGCTGCTTGGCAAGTTGCTCGGCGACAGCGATAGCACGTAATTCGAGCGCGTCACCCTTCGTGGACTCTTTGGTCGGCCCGGAACCTGGCTTGTAGGATGCAAACATCTTCATGATGGCGCGAGTCGGTGGGAATGCGAGGAACAAGGTCAGAAGGCTGAGGGCGAAGTGAATCAGCAGGCCAACCAAGGGGCTGCCGACGGCCATGTATTCCTCGTAGGTGAAGTTGAACCCATAGAAGTAAGGGGTCAGGCCAGCGGAGCGGTGGACGATGGCTACGTTAGGTTTGGCGGTGATGGACGTGGCCAGATTGCCCAGACGGGGATATGCCCATACACCAGTCAACTTCTGCAACCCGGTGCGTATGTAAGTGTTTGGCTCCGGGTTCGGCGGATACAGGGTGTCTTTTGTGTAGGGCTTCAGACGAGAGGGAGACAGACAGAACGGATCCATGCACTGCTTTATGTCTTTGGCGGAATAGTGGTCCATGAGTCCCAGGCCGGTAGCCAAAGTCCCGCCACTGGGACCGGACGACTTCAGCTCATGCACAGAAGCAACGATGTCCATGACACCGCAGTCCCAGACCTTGCGGACCAAGCGCGTTGCGACGTAGGCGATCAGATCTGAAGGGGCGGATTCAACGCCGCACTCGGGGATGATGATGGCACCGCTCTTCTTTGCAGTGGTTTCGTACTTGGTGATGATTTCTCTGACCCAGGGAGTCTCACCAGTGACATCGACATAGTGGGTACCAGTTTGAGCACATGCCTCGACCACAGGAGTTGAGTAAAGATGGTAAGGTCCGACAGTATTGAGGAGGACTCTGGTTCTCTTGGCGAGCGTGGTCATTTCAGGGGCGGTGAGATTGGCGACCGTGATGACATCGGGAGCAGAGCGCGACGAATTGAGAGACTTCAAGTCGTTGACCAGAGACTGTAGTTTGGATTGATTGCGCCCGGCGATGGCCCATTTGATGTTTGTCGGGAGGCTGGACGTGATGTATTCAGCGGTCAATTTGCCAGTGTAGCCAGTCGCGCCCAGGAGGACGAGGTCGTATTGACGTTTGGCTGCCATTGTGCGGGAACGGGGTGTTGACGGTGCTCACGAAGTGAAGCTCGGTGCCGCTGAAGAAGGAGCAATGAATACAAAGAAGAAAGAGAATATAGATTTGCTACACGGAATGGAATCGATTGATAGGGCTTGTCAGCAATTGATATGAATTCGTTTGACGATCGAAGGAAAAGGTGTCTTTCTTGGGATGAGAAAAAGAGATCCACGCGCTGCACTAGCAACGCGAGAGCTGAAGCAGCCGACAAGCCTGTTGGCCCTGAGACTTGCATCCTTTGCTCATGGTCTAATTGGACTGTCAGCTGAAGCCTAAAGTGGCTCGCCGATGCTAGGTCAGTAGGATGCGGAGTGCGCCCCTCAGAGTGCCTTTTTGGTGGGCGCTCTGGGCGCTGTAGCTCAGATCAGGCCTCTCACAGCCTCGGCGGAGGATTATTTTTGGTACCAACGATTCTCCGGAAGACGCTGCAGTCAACTTCCACCTCTCAGGGGGGTCCGAAGCCCATCAGCACACTTTCAGGAGGCATGATTGCCGAACATGTGCACCTGGGGTGGCATGATGCGTGGCTTGACTTCGGCTCGTGCTATGCTGATATCAACACTCAATCATCGTGTCTCGAACAGTCAGCAGAAAAAAAGCAGTACTTTGGTAGATACGCTACCTCTCACACGTCGGGCTCCTACGCATTTAACTGGCATGCTGTGGTACTTTGTGCTGCGCCTCGTACGGAGTACTCGACGCGTATCAGGTCGCCTCGTCGATTCTCTTGGATGATGACTAAGTGAAATTAATGTAGAGGGCACGTGACCGACTCCCGCCATCATGCCAAGACGCTAATTACCTCTTGCACACTTTCGAGGTTTGCAGCAACTGCGGTCGACATCAAATTGTTGTCGACGATACTCATTTTCCTTCCTACCTCAATTCTTCGTCCACTCTCTTCAAAATGACGAAGCGCACAAAGAGTCCGTCTCCTCTGGTCCAGATCTGCGAGAACCATGCTGACAATATACAGAGGTCGGCGTGACCGGCAAGTACGGCACTCGTTATGGTGCATCCCTCCGAAAACAAGTCAAGAAGATGGAAATCACCCAGCACGCCCGATACATCTGCACTTTCTGCGGCAAGAACTCGGTCAAGCGACATTCGGTCGGAATCTGGAACTGCAAGAGCTGCAAGAAGACGATCGCCGGAGGCGCGTGGACTGTTTCGTAAGTCAAGAAAAGAAACATGGCAGCACGGCTCCTGGAATCCTAACAATGTCCTCCTACAGTACCCCAGCTGCTGCTGCCACGAGATCGACCATTCGACGATTGAGAGAAATTGCGGAGGTGTAAAAGCATGTTTCAAGCATGGGAATGGAGTTGTTCTATCCGAGAAGACAAGGCTTTTTATGATCTGAAATAGCACGACCGGAAGATTCGCATGGGATCGGTCACATCGCGCAGGACACTCAGCTTCGTCACTGCGAAGGCTCTCACTGTCATGGCAGAACCGAATCGATAGACCTAAATCGAATCATCGAATGAAAGAACCAGCCTCCTTTCGTCTTCGATTCCTCCTTCGCTTCTTCATGACCCATGCCCTCACTTCGAGATTACGCTATCGATTGCGTGTCATCCATGTCATGCATTTCCATAGATATGAGATCGGCGAGCATACTCACCTTGGATCGGTAACCTCTTTATTGACCAGCCAAGGTCAAGTGAGAAGCAGAGCGCATGTTCCCTGATCATAGCGGCCGTCATGATCTGTTCCATCACTTTCAGACGAGGCATTGCGCTTGCTGGGAACCCGACTGGATCTCGGGCTATTAGCCTCGGTTGACGATTCACCGCTATTTGAATCCCAAATTCCTACATTTCATAGCCGCTCATCTGCTGTGTGCAAAGTGGATGCCGCAAAACCGAAAAGGTTTGTTCCACCCTTTTGTCCTTCATCTTTGACCTTTATGCTATCAGAATCTAGGCAGAAGGCCGGCTCTCAAAGGTCCTCATCTCAGGTCCTCAACGAGATCATACGGCAGGGCACAAATGACCCAATTGGTCACACCCAGCTCTAAGCTCCTCCTGTTCCAACCAAGTCCAGGCGGCAGTCCGTCACGTGGAGACAGAGGGGGTTTCGGACTCGGTTCAGTTGCCCCGTTCTGACGTTCTCTTAAATCGTCCTTCGGGTTGCACCCACTCTTCCTCTTCTCTTTCCACCGAGCATCATCAACGCTCGCCGATGATCTTTATTTCTCCTCATGAGTCTCCCATCGCCTGCATCGTGCTCAAACTTACCCGACAAAATCTCTGAATGTCGGACACTTGTATCGTCTGCTTAGGAGACTTGAGCAGTGGCAATGGTGATGTCGCAGCACTTCCTACGACCCTTGCCAAGTCTCCCCGGCATGATGCTGCCTCCGCCACGATTTCGCAGAAGTCCCACCCAGAACAAATCAACAAAGCCACCAACACCACGGAAGAAGTGTCTGATGAGTTGATTGCTCATCTTCGACCTTGCGGTCATTATCTGCACAATGAATGCCTGACACCCTGGGTGGAAAGGGCCAACAGCTGCCCGATTTGCCGCGCAAGTTTCAACTTGGTCGAACTCATGCATACCATAAACGGTGAGCCAGTGCCACCTCCTCATCCTAATACCATGTGCTGACTCCACACAGGCGATGTGATCTCCTCATATCCTGTCGAAGACCGCACTCAGATCGCTGAGCTAGATCCTTCCGTATTCTTTGAGTTCGTCGACGAGGAGGACGAGGATCAAGCATGCCAGGCCTGTGGTGAAGATGATAACGAAGATGTGCTCATGTATTGTGATGGTTGTCAAAAGCTTTGGCATACATATTGCGTTGATCTCCAAGAGGTGCCTTACGGACACTGGTTCTGTGACAACTGTCGAGCGCAGCGCGAGGTCGATCCCCGCCAACAGCGCCTTCCGCGGTCTGGTCGCGTTGGTCGCAGACGTACTCGAGGCCAGCAGCGCAGACAACGTGGCTACGACTCTAGCTGGAACGAAGTATGGCAGACTGTCTGGTCACGCATCAACCTCGATCTCGATTTCCCGTATGAGGATGACGAGTCATCGGCGTCATATTTGAGACGACATCGCCAGCACAGCCAGGCAAACAGGCAGGCCCACGATGCTTGGCGACGCCGCATGCAAGTTGCTCAGCTTCAGGGGGCTGGAAGTCGTTTTAGGGAGATGGAGCCAGCTCTTCCTAGTAGTCCTGGGGGAGAATCCACCCCAAGGATTCGAAGACTCGGAGCTTCACCACGTCCACCGGCCGAGAATCCCGAAGAGCTTATGGCATGGCATGCTTTTGAGCAAGCGCAGGCGTCACCCAGTGAGGCTGGGTCTTCGAAGAAGAGGAAAAGAAGATCTCGGTCTGCTTCTCCAAAAGAGTCAGAAGATAGCGCTGCTCCAGTCATCAAGCGACGACGACCAAGCGCATCGGCTCGCACCATCTCTGAGCTTGGTGCGTCTTCGACCCGCAACCCTCGACCTCGAGAGTCTTCACGCCTGGCTAGTCCAATACCTCGAAGACAGCCGATTATAGACCCAGCCGCACCCAGTTTCCTTCAGTCATTGCTGCAAGAGGTCGAAGAGTCCGGCTCGAGTTCACACAACATTCACCTCCACCGACCTTCGCCTCGTCCTGCAGCCTCTCCTCCCGCAGAGCAGAACTCACCGCAGCCTTCGTCCCCACTTCTGTCGCCATCGCCCTCCAATCACTCCTCACCTCGAGCAATGTCGGCCACTCCGCCGCCTCATACTGCCTTGAGGCCGAGCTCACCTACTGGTCTTACTTCACGCATCGAGCCTGTCTTTCCCCCAACAGAATATTCTCCCTTACGGCCGAATTCTCCAGAATCGAATCATTCCAAGCCTGAACCACACGGTCATCGACCCACAGCCGCCCTGAAGACAACCCCTTCCTCTTCTCTCACCCTAGTACAACCAAAACCCAGAAGCCGAGTACCGCGCATCCTTGAAGCCGGCTCGACGTCGAATGCTCAACCGCGATCGACAGATGCTTCTCCAACTCGAGCAGGTATGTCCCTGTCTGCGAAAGAAGATGTGCAGAAGCTAGTCGCGACTGCCCTCAAGCCACATTACCATGATCAGATCATTACGAAAGATGAGTACACCATAATCAACCGCGACGTTTCCCGGATGCTGTACGATAAGATCGGTGACTTTGAGGCGTTAGACGTGGACGGAAAGGCCAAATGGGAAAAGGTCGCCGGCGCCGAGGTACAAAAAGCCGTCAGTGCACTCAAAGCTCAAGGGTGATCTGATTGGTGTCTGCACTGTTTTGGCACGAAGAGCGTGATTCAGCGTTTTATGACGAACTTACGACTTTATGACATGGACGACGGACGTTTGGAAGAACGGGCACGGAGGCACTGGTCTGAGAAGCGATGACCTTCAAGATATTGCTACCAATCCTTGGTGACCTTAAGCGATGGCGAAGGAGGTTTTCTTCCAGCATTGCAGGAACGGCGTGTGTCAAGGATATAAGACGGATTGTCTGTACAATCACGGAGTTTGGAGGGCCTGGCTGGCGTGTCCTATCGAAGGAAGACCAATATCGCCATGCAATGTACGAGTATCGATGAGTCCCATTTGCTTCTTCTAGTGGCAAGCCCTAAATAAACTGGGTTCACGCCTTGTGCTATCAACACGCTCATGTTGACTTTCATACGGATCTGAGCTCTATCGTGGATTTTGCTACTTCGCCTTGCATACTCGTAGTTCGGATGTCAGCACGTTGAAGAGTTGCCTTCATACCAGGGACTTCACTCCTTGGTCTTCAGCCTGTAGTAGTAGGTGTCGATATTCTTGGTGAAGATATCCGATCCCAAAAATTGATCCGTACGGGAGACGATCGGAGACCGTCGTCTCACGATTGCTGTCATTCTTCGAGCCGGCCAGGCCGCGCACTACGACAAGTTCCATAAAGGACTCTTTTTGTGCCGGTGCGAGCGGAATATCCACGGCACGCGTACCATTGTCCCCAGAGGATTCTTCCTCTTCCGGTCTGGTAGATCGTGCTACTGCAAAAGACACAGAGCCAGTGGACGGTCCCCAGCTCACGTACAGTCTAGGTCCTTCGGCAAGCGAACAGTCTCCTGGACAGGTTTGTGGATGCGCAAGCACCACAGGAAACAGTCTTCGAGCGGGAGGAAGTTGAGCATGAACTCGTTGTGCCTGTGTGCCAGAAGACAGATGGTGGCTCCCGCAACGGCATCCATGATGAAGTGGTTTGCTGTCGCAACAATCACAGTCAGGATCAAGGCCGGATAGAGGAATCCCAATACTTGGCACATCAGCTTGGCCAAAGAAGGAGTCCTGAAGGTGACTGTGAATGCCTCGAAGCCGGGTTTAGAGAATGGCAGTGGCAACGAGAGTCGGTAGGAACGACCGGGATGAGCTATCGGTAGCTGCATGACCGTAAGGCCGACTAAAAGCGAATAGCCGAAGTGGAGGGATGGCATTGCCGCTGCTTGTTGTCAGTCTCGTCTTGAGCGTCGGGAAACCCCTTGCGACGACATACCCAGTTGATTTGTCCAGCGTCTTGTGTTGCTGCCAGAGGTTAGCTGTCTCATGTTCGAAGCAGTCCTGTTCAAAATACTTACAACACAGACAGCGCCCCGTTGCTCCCATGCACGGTGTCCACAAAGCCATAACTTCGCGACGATTCGGCAGTTGCTCCCGCTGCTTCCGAATCGCCAAGCAGTCGCGGCGGCATGCAGGGCCAAGTTGAAAATACGCAGAAAGCAAGGAGGTTGCAAATCTGTTCATCAGGTTATTGAGTTGCTCAGGGACTGATCGCTTGACTCACAGCAAGAGTCCTCCGTTTGGACTCATAGAGGTAAGGCCCCGAGACGGGGTCGCTCCAAGTGGCGTGGGCTCGATTGCGAGTGATGGCGAACCAGTAGAGACCGACCAAGAATGTGATCGTTGCCGGAAGATGGACAAAGGAATAGATCCTGTTGATCCAATACATGATTCCGGGATACTGCAGAAAGAATCGCTGGATGTCTGGCTCCCAGAACATATGCAGTTTCTCCTCCAATCGGATGACCTGCAGGGCGTGGTGACGGGCGACTTCGACTGTTGAACCATTGAGCCTCTCCGCTAACAAGGCTCTACCCATTTGATAGATGCCATAGATGAGTGCCCAGTATATGATCTCCACTATGAAGGGAAATCGGAGCAGTACCTTGCTGAGAAGCCGGGTTTGGAACACGCCAGTGTTTGGAGTGTCAATGACTTTGCAAAAACCGAGTAGTGAGATCTCACGTTGTCGCCAGCGGCCCTGTCGGTTCGAGATTGGTGGTTCGAAGTTGGCCATGGGACTGCCGACTACCGGTTTGTGCTCAACATCAGTGGAATCATTGCAATGGTTGTAGCGCCGGAAGGGAGTGGTGAAGTCTCTGTTGATCCATGCACCTAGGAAGATGATAGCAGTGCCCAAGGAGGGTTCTCCAAGACCGAGAAAACCCATCTCGACCACATAAATAAGGACTGTCCTGCACGTCGACCACGGATCATGCGCTTTGTGCGAGAGCGTGAGCCGGTCGATGTTCTGTTTGGCAGGGTTCTGGCTGTTTCCAGCCCTTGATCGCTGAAACGAGGGTTAGAGCCTCAAAAAGCTGGGGAGACGCTGCAGTGCACTGGGCCCGACGTATCAGTAGAGGAATGAGACAAAAGATCAGGGACGGGAAAGAACGGAAGGACATAAGAAAACAGGAGGCGAGATATATGGAGGACAAAACAACAATTCAGACGAGGCTGACCGCGGCCGCATTTCCCATGAGACTCCAGGTACAGAGCAGCTACCAGGCAACATGATGACGACTTGCTGAGTTCCGAGGATGGAGCCTCATGCAGCTTCATAGGTTCATTTAGAATAGCATCAGCATATTGCGAGCACAGAAATGAGGCGAGGGACGGTCCTAATGATCAAACGACATCATCTCATGGAGCCGGAATCGAGTTCCCATGCACACGACGAGGTCCACGTCTCAAGTGCGGACACGAAGCAAGTCCATTGTGCGTGTGATCAATTTCCTGATTCCGTAAAGTTGCGGATCCCATTCCCTCTGTATGATGGGGCAACGGTACCCGCGTGTGTCCGACTGGAGGTGGAGGCTTTGCACAAGGGGTGTTGTGAAAGTTGAAAGTAAGCTCGGAGTCTCGGTCGTCCGAAAGGGACGCCTGAGCAATGAATTTCTTATTGCAGAACAGCTTCCCCTTGTGCGATGAAGCCGATGGAATCTGGGCTCAACCCTATGCATTCCACGTAGTCGGCATGGTGGTGGGCATTTACATATTGCGGTTTACAAATATAGAACGGAATGGAATGGCTGTGAGGCTGCGGAGACTTTGAGCCTTCACGTGACCACATGACAGACTCGGTAGGTGGCCCGAGGGTTAAAGCGGCCGACACTGCCTACAAGCCTGACTTGCTGACTTGCCTGATATTCATACAGCGAGCACTGAGCGCACTCTCGACAAGCCCTTGTCCCTTGTTTCATTCAACACAGAATCAGACTCATCCAACACACCACTCTTGGTCGGCATCATATTTCACATCCACGTCCATGTCCAGCTCGCCTCCCGAGTGCCCTCCCCGACCTGTCATGTCTCCCTTCTCCGTCAGATCACCGTTGGGCAAGCTGTGCCGTCTCGAAGTTCGGAGCACCAAGACGAGGCAGATGAACGTGCCGTACATGATGCCGAACTTGTTGCAGCAGTCCGTGAGCAGCGCTCCTCGAACAAAAGCACAAGCCTCTGAAAACCCTTCCTCCAAGACAATCGACACCTGAGAACTCGGCCCTGGCGCTACTTTCTCCCACGAACCCTCCGGCAAGAGTGGGCTACCTCCGAAGTATGCTTGGAACTGCTGATGCGCATACTCCGTTATGCACCGATATCTTGTCTTGCCATGCTCCTCCATGAAGGTGAACTCTGGTGGTAAACTTTTCAAGAGCGGGTGAAAAGCGAAGCCAGGATATGACACCACCAGGCCAAGGTCGCCGATGCGAACTGAGGGTGCTCTCCTTCTGGGGGGATCCGAAGCCGAGTCACTATCGCTGTCTACACCCATCTGCATTCTGGGCATTCCGTGACAAGGTCCGGCAGTGTCAACCACTCTTGACAGCTCGGAGCCTTCGACAGACTTCAAAAACGTCCGCGGCGCCCATCGGTATCCTGTTGCATTCATCCTGGCAAGGTTGGCAAACAGTATCTTCGGTGAGATAACATCCTCAATGACCAACAAGAACGCAATCCACCTCCTGCTCTCATCGTCCTCATTCAATACCTGGCTCACATCTTCGTTCAACAATGCCGCAAGACAAATGGCTTCATCCGAAGAGTTGCTAGTTTCCCGGCTTTGGACTTCAGTAAGTATTTGAAGGAACAACTCTGCTTTCGTCTGCCTCGCTATCGGATTCGATATCAGACTCGGAGGGAGGACATTCATCGACAAAATCGTGGATGGGCAGGCGAAGAACTTGGCGTCGACGTCTATCTGTTTCTGCGGCTCTTTGTCCTCGATGAACCTGGTCATCAAACCAGAGTCAGGCGTTTCTGACGATTCGGCTTCTAGTAGCTCATCTGTAAGCAAGACAACCGATCGTGTCGGCTCCTGCAATTCGTCAAGCGGAGCAATGTCATCATGCAAAAGCTGGATAAACACCTTGTCGTTTACAGCAGCTTCCTGCAAAGTCCACAGTCTGCCGCACCAAGGCGACACGGCGACACGTGCTGTAAGCTCTTCTACAGGCGCATAGCGGTCGGCCTGGGAATTCAATTCAGCGTCCTTTACCAGGACGGCGGTCGCTGTCTCGAACACTGCGCGCATGTCCTGGATTGCCATTTTCCTTGTTTCATGGTTGCTGACAGGCACACAAAGGGTATCCATCCAGAAGTACAGTCGGTCGAGGTGTCTAGCTGCGCGCATGTACACACCTTCAGGGAAGAAATCTTCAAAGTACTCTGGGTTCGCCGTGATCATGTGCTGCAGTTTCGTTCGGAGCCCTTTCAGCTGACAAATTGGTAGAGTATTCTCTTTGATGTTTCCTAAGCCGTCCGACCAGCTATTCCTCGTCAGCATTGTTTCCTCGGTGATTATCGAGATGTGGGAAGGACGTACACATGTGAGATCGCGATATAAGGAGTGTCTGGCTCGCACGCGACGACTTGAAGGTCTAAGGACTCGTCCCACTTCCCGTTGGGCAGAATCCTTGCGCATCGAGCTGATATCAAGGGAATATCTCCTCGTTCAATGATGGCATCGAGCTTGTCGATATCTGGACCGATGAAACCTCCACACCTGCAGCTCATGCGCTTTGTGAACATCCTGGGAACCTGAGCATGCAGGAAGGACATCTCTCGCGGACAATGCGGAGTGACATATACATCCTCCAGCACGTCGTTGGCCGCGCAGCGCTTCTGCGTACAGAGCGAATGATCTTTGATGGCCATTGGAGGACCGAGGAGTTTGAAATAGTACATGGTCAACACATTGTCATGCCGTCTCCACAGTTTCGTGACCTGGCCTGTACACCATCCCTCTTCGACCATCCGTGACGAAAGCCATGGACATTGAGGCACTTTCAACTTCTTTGGTGGATCATAAATCACCATGTGAAAGTACTGAACTGTGGCCAGCAGAATGGTAATTGATAATTCGACTTCGCCCGGAAGACAACTGCGCAAAGTGGTCGCTGCGGAAGTGTTAAGAGCAGCTTCTAGATGTTGGTTGAACGCCTCAATCACTTCAGCGACGATGGTGTAATTGTGCCTGATCTTGTCTTCGTGGTCCATCTTCACCGCCACAGGCTGATATTTCTCCTTGTCGTACCATTGCTGCAACCTTTGACCGAGTGGTCTCGTCGTGACGAATGGCCTTTTCCTCTGCCTCCTGACCAGTTTCGAGGTATATCGAACGAACTCTCCCTTGTCGAACGGGTTCCCACAGACTTGAAATATGGAAGCTAGTAATCCAAAGAAGAGCCATTCTTGCAGAAAAGCCGCCGTCTCAGCACTGTCCTTGTTCTCAAAGTCGGCTTCCAGCAGTCTTTCTAGTTTCCGGCCATGTCGCGCTGGAAAGTCCCGGAACGCTCCCGACTCGTGCTTGACGTTGAATGTGGGACTCTCACTCAACCACGGTACGCGAATAATCCTGAAGGGATGCTCGGGCGTAGGTATATGATCCATAAAGATTCAGACGAGATCATGGCGATGTAGAAGTAGCAATGGAATGGACGAGGCATTTCATCTTCGTTTTGTAGAGCGAGAGGGCTCGGTGTGCCCTCGATGGGATTTTGCGGAGGAAGTATGAGACAATCAGACCACCCACACAGATACCCCATGAAAGATTGGCGTTCGCTTCCTTAGCCAGTGGCATGCTGGTCTCGCCAGAAAAGGTACCATCTTAATGTGTATAATTGCCTTTATTGAGTTTGGTACCTAGCGAGCGAGATAATCGGGCATGATACTTTGTACACTTGCTTGCTCATTGCTCGTGGACCAACAAGGGAACAAGCATGACCAAAACGGACTATCAAAGCTTTTCCTTCTGAGTATAGGGATATACTTCTCATGTATTCAATAACATACTCTTACAACTACATTTCTTCAAACGTTGTGTCTAGCATACTCGTCCTGCTGGACATGCTTGTTGTTGTCTCCTGCGAGATCGTTGCGCTCTGTCTCACCACTGTAAACCCCTCTTTCTGTCGCGGGTACATCTCCAGTGCCTGCCTCTCTCTGGATCCTGGCCATCTCGGCAGCCGACGGTGGAACCCATTTGGCACTCTTTCTCGGGTTAACGTGTTCAATATACATGGTGTCAATCTCCTCCAACGTCCGACCTTGTCCTTCCACTACAAAGAAGTACACAAGAAGACCTGCTGTTACGTTGCAAGCGGCGAAGACGTAGCCATATCTGAAGTCGATGGCCCCAGTGATGAAAGGCGTAAAGAAGGCGATGAGGAAGTTCCAGGTCCAGTTGCTGGCCGTGGCAATTGACATGGCCTTGGCTCGATACTTTGAGGGATAAATTTCGGCTTGGATCGTCCACACCATCGGACCCCAAGTCCTGTAGATTATTAGCCAAATGTACCAGTAAAGACAGTAGCAGAACGTAATCCTTGCGCTAGGGCAGCACTATCTTCTGAAAAGGAGAACACTTACGTTGCATAGCCGAGGATGAAAAGACATGCGAAGACAATCAGAGCCACTCCCGCCGAAGGGGTCCGGGATGGGTCATTAAGGTCCAGAACAAAGTGGCCAACCGAGGCAAAGATCATGAAGCACACGAACATCCAGATGGATCCCGCGACGAGAGACTTTCTGCGACCGTAATGCTCGACCAGGTACAGACCAATGAAGGTAACGCCGAAGTTGATGCCGTTCAAGATCATCTGCGTGACGAAGGAACTGATTTGCACAGACTGGAAAATGGTGGTGCCGTAGTAGAAGAAGTAATTGGCGCCGGTCAGCTGCTGGAACATTTGCAACATGATTCCGAGCCATATGCGGTAGCCCATACGTGGTGCTCTGCACATGACCACGAACTCCGAGATAGGATTGCCCTTGGTTTGGACTTCTGCCCGGAGCTTGTTCCCGATCTCTTCCATCTGCACGTGGATACTGTAGTGGTGAGCAGGCGCGCCATAGACCTTCATCAAAGTCTGTTTTGCTTGTTCAACTCGTCCGTGTCGATAGTCAAACCGTGGCGTCTCCGGGAAGAGCAGGATGCCGACTCCGAGCATAATGGTCCAGATCCAGCCGAGACCGATGACGATGCGCCACGACGCAGAACTGGATCGTTGGTGGGTATAGGTTCCGTAGTTGAAGCATGCTGCCAAGAAGATCCCCAGGGTGATGAACAGTTGGTAAGTACACACCAAAGCTCCTCGAATCCACGGGGGAGCAGTTTCGGCCTGATACATTGGCACAAGCAAGCTCAAAGCACCGACTCCGAAGCCGGCAACAAGACGGCCGATCATCACCTGATACCACGCCGTAGAAGCAGCGATTTGGATGATGAAACCAACTGCTACGACCAGAGACCAGAAAGAAATTGACAAACGACGGCCAATGCGGTCAGCAATTGGAGCAGCGACCAAGGCGCCAATTAAGGTGCCAATCGACAACTACGAAGGTCAGCGAAGTCATGCCTTGCGGGGAGAAAGGGTTCACCTACCAAGGCGACGATCAAGCCGGACCTGACATTGCTGAAATATGGTGTACCGTCGGCCTTGCGCTGGCCAAAGCGATCCAGGAAATCGGGCATCTCAAGAAAGCCAGAAATCTGACCGGTGTCGTACCCGAATCTGAATAGATTGTATCAGCACTGCCATCTGGGGTTGAGAGCATATCTGCTTACATCAAGCCGCCCATCGAGACAAGGACACCCATCAAGAAGGATCGCCATGTTAGTCGTGGAAGAGGTGAATAGTCAAGCGAGGCGAGAGAAGATCTGGTGTCGGTGCCCTTCTCAGAATTGGGGTTATACTGGTCGAAGTGTACAGTCATGGACGAGGTTTGAGGAGCCATGGTGAATTGGTCCTGGCAGTAGCCGTTGCTTGTCGTTCAAGTCCAATGTGAGCAGAGTGAAATGTCCTACGACCTGGCGCCAAAAGAAGTATGGAGGCATGTTATAGGTATGTGAGGTATCCAGGATCGTGGGCACCGTGGGCCATAATGACGCACGCGTCGCCAGATACGTCACTGTCAACCATGAACCGCTAAAATTGTAGATCCGGCAGCTAGCCATATAGAGGTAGTAGTGCCGGGATAAAGCCAGCATTGAACCAATGATGGGTCGTGTGGCTGCTTTTTATGTCTTCGTCTTGGCTTAATGGGCGCCGAGAAAAGCTTGGCTGGTCTTGGCCAATGAACAAACGCAATCTATCTCGGAAGTAACGCTGGACGAGGCTGTGGGCGTCTAGTATGATTGCTAAGGATCGCACGGATTCGGTACGCTCGGCACGTCTAGTACAATAGTAGTTAGCCAAATGCTAATCTACCACACTGATGACCTCATGGACTTTTTATTGTGGCAGTCACGAGGTCGATAAACAAGCGAGCCAAGATCCATTCCACCCGCGTGGACAAGTAACTCATTTTTCTTGTTCGATAACTCGTATCATTTCATAGGAGAAGGCTCGGAACTTCGGTAGACACGGGAGTTTCAGCTTAACTCCATGATGTTCCTCTAATCCATGAAGCTCCTGTGCCTTTTTTATGTACGAGGTACGAAAATCCGAAGCAGCTCCGGCTCTTTCGAACTCACATGCTCCACGACCGCCGATAGCGTTGCTGAATGAGCAAATGAAGTGAGCAAATGGTCTATGCCTTTCTCCAGGAAGGCACCCACGAAAGGCAACGATAGTAAACGCCACAATCACGTGGCGGGCTGAGGTAAAAGGAGTACTGTAAGCATTCAACGAGTCAACATGACCCGTGTCCCGTATTTGCGAGACTCAGGAAAATCTGGACGCTGGTCTGGCCAGCCCATACCTTCTTCTCATGAGATGGAGAGCTTGCAGCTCGGCGTGATGCATGGACTGCCTGCAAGGGGGCTGCTGATACAGTCAAGGGATGGATCGGCTGGAATGCCACCTGTGGCATATTGATTGTTTACAAACATGCGCAGTCTACGATTCTTCATAATTTGACATCCTTGAAGAGCTTCACTTCGACGACGATTTTTTACCTTGGTCATAAACATGATCTATCACGGAGGTAATACCGATTTCCCCAGCAATCCCGACTCCCACATCCCATTGGAAGCAAGAGAATTCGTGAAAGCCGAGTCCTGCAGCATTAACGATAGTCTAATCGACAACACTGAACCAGACGACGTTGAAGAGCGCCAACAGCAGACTGTACCGAAATGGCTGCGGTATAGGCCCTCCACTCACCACATCCAGTCTCAGCTGGCAGCAAGACTCCCTCGATTTTTGAAACCTGCAACCATCCGCACAAGCAAATCCCTCCCTCCAACCGCGTATCTTGATGCGGTTCGAGGTTATGCCGCCTGGGTAGTGTTTCTAGCCCACACCTATAAGGCTCTAGAATGGCGCTGGGTGAACGCCCCAATTTTATCGGTCATGATGAACGGAGAAGGCATGGTTGCGCTGTTCTTCGTCATCTCCGGCTACGTACTGAGCTACAGGCTTCTGATTCATACGCACAATCGCTCTTCGGGACAACTGCTGAATAGTCTCGCAAGCTCCACGTTCCGACGTGGCATCAGATTATATGGCTCGGCAACCGTGGCGCTGTTCATCGTGCTTGTCATGATGCGATTAGGTTGGTTCGACGAGAACGGCCTGCGTTTGCCCTCTTTGGTCGATCAGCTGGTGGACTGGACATGGACTTTGGTCGATTTCCTCAATCCCTTTGGCGATATTCGTGGATATAACCGACCCGATGGGGTGAACAACAAATATCTCCGCCCAATGTGGACTATCCCAGTCGAATTCCGGGGAAGTTTGATTCTGTTCATCTATGTCGCGGCTACCTGTAAGCTGCGTCCACGCACGAGGATGATCTTGACCTGGATATCAATCATTGCATGCTATGCCTGGCAAGTCCTGTTCGTGGCCGAGTTCCTCATGGGCATGTTCATTGCGGAAGTCGGACTGCTGCGGCACCCTGAACGTCTTTCAAGCTCGCGCGCCACTGCGTTCATCGATCTGCCGAGACTAAGTACGCAAAGCATGGTTTCCAAAATCACTTATACACTCCTCTTCGTTTTCAGTATCTTCCTGCTCGGTCAACCAGCCGGGACGAGCCTGGAGTTGCTTGGCGACTGGCCCTGGGCCTTTCTCAAGACCTGGATTCCGGCGTCTTATGGCCACTCTGACAGGCTTTACTGGTATCTTTCCATCGGCGCCTTTCTCACGATCTTGAGTCTGGAGATGCACCCAGCGCTTCAGACCCCCTTGAAGTATGGCTGGAGTCAATATGTCGGTGATTTGAGCTTCGGCATATACGCCCTGCATCCACCGATCGTTATCACAGTAATTCGCCAGTGGTACGAGCCTATGAGGGTCGAGACTTTTGGGGATGGACTACTGAGCCATGTGCCAGGAATCGTGCTCATCCATATGCTGGTTTTCTCCGCCGCCGATTATTTCAGCATGTTGGACAAAAGAGTCGTGAGGATGGGGAGGTGGATGCAGGAACAGTTGTTTGAGAGGTGGTAATAACGTGGCGGAGTCCACTCCATTCGCAAGACAGTTCGAAAATCTGGAGCTAAGTATATGGATTACTTCTTCCCGAAGAAATCAGTGGGCAGGCACTTTCAATAACTTGTTCAAGCTTGGTTGAGAATTAAGTAAATTGCTGCCAGAAACTCTCATCGAGAAAATCGCAGAAGAATGTTGTAGAGGGCATGGCAAAGTCGTCGTCTGTCGGTATAACCAGAGCGTCCGTAGGAGGGAGATCCGGCATTGCGTGAGAACTCATTGCTTGGGCCATGTACTTGGCTTCATGAGCGGCCTTTACGCGCCTCAGTTTGGCCGAGAAGGTCAAGAACAGCTGTGGTACCACTCGCGGCAGTTGGTTGTGTCCAATCTGAAATGACTGGCTTTCAGCTAATACTTTTGCGATGTCCAGTTGCCGCGCCAATGTATCCATGGTCCCGGAGAAGTTGATTGTCCTTCGAACGTGTTCCTGATCCCATCCTTCTGCCCTCAGGAGTGATAGCCTCGACAGGACAACAATGGCATGACCTAGTAGAGACCATACGCTCCAGGGGAGGTCGAACCATTGCGAAGGTGGAAGGGTGTAGGCTGTCTCAAAGCAGAGCTTCGTGGAGTTCAAGCAGGCGTAAAGTATATGGAGACGGGAAAAAGGGTACATCCCATATAGCGCGGGTTCAATGTCGTCGTTCAGCGCCGTCTGATATAAGAAGATTTCGATAGCGTAGTAATGAAGGAGCAGAACAGCTTTCACGTTAGCCTCGAAACTCGAAATGATTGACCCGGCTTACCGTTCTGGCGCCCCCCTTCTAGCAATGAGCTTCTCATCTGCAGTAGCTCCGACTCCAATGATTTGACGCACGCACCCAGCGGAGCGGAGCCGGAAGCAGGTGTCTCATGCCATACATCTTGAGTCAATGAGCGGGAGATCCTATCAGCCATGCCGTGGAGACGGGTCAAGTGAACGACATAGGTATCTGTTGGGTACTCCGCAGCTGCAGATATGGCTTGACAACATTCATCCACGTATTTCGAGTGTCGTATTGGGTAGATGTCTCGGACACACATTGAGGCTCTGGAAAGCAGGTAGTGAGTGTCAGCCTAACTTGAGAGAGGGCGAGTGGCCCCGGGTGACCCGTTCAAGGCACTTACATGGAAGTAACGAAAAAACAGCCAAGAAACGTTCTGCGTTCTTCGAGTGATCTTGTGGCGGACAAGCCTGGAACCGCAATTTTTGGGTTGCGCATAGCTAGAGCGGCAGGGACCGGTGGGACGACTCCTCTGTTGAGGCAAAGGTCCGTCGCCATCGCCATGATGAGATGGAGGAGATTGCCCACCTGCGAGCCGAGGTGGACATGCAGTTGATACCTGTTGGAAGCATTCAGTCAGCATCCTGACCATCGAGTACGGGATTGCCACACTTACCAACTCAAATAGACGAGGAGACACTGGAGGATATCGAGATTTCGTTCGCCCTGGATCAGCATTTTGTGGCTGATCAGTTCTCTCAGTTTCTTTGCAATTGCTGTTTGTCGTATCTGATCATGTCGGCAGCTGACCATCATGATGGCAAGCACAAGGAGAGGCTTCTCCTGCCTTAGCTCAATAAATGTCATACTTGGTAGAGTGACCACAAATGGCAAGAGCGGTTGCATTTCTCTGCGAAAAGTTTGCAGCATCATATCTGCTTCGCTGTCGCTCTTGACGAATAAATCGATCCATCCTGAAGGTGCAAAATCAGGTGGGTCGGAAGCAAGAAGAGAGTTCAATCCAGCTGTAACAAGTTCAGAAGCTGCAAGAAAGGTGCTTACACCGTTGCATCTCTCCTCAAGGTGTGGAATGTTAGATGACTTGGGTATTTTGCGTCGGTGAGCTCCAGGTGCTTGTCCGCTGCAACTCCGTTTCAGACGTTGACACCTTAAAGACGTCAGACTCATAACCACAGGTGTCAGCCGTAGCACAGGGTCATACCGATTGCACGTCTCTCGCCCAGCTTCGATTTCACACCTGACTTTGGCTCGGGCACACGGCAGGCAAGCCTTCGGGATACGGCCTCCGTCTGATTCATTTGGTGGAGTTAATGCGAACATGGCTCAATTCCGCTCTCATATATAAACGACAGACGTCCAATGGACTAATGCGAGGCCGATCGACTTAGGAGTACGTGCCGATGAATCTGAAGGTTCTCAAGATGCAAACAGCAGACTGTGAAACGAAACATCGAGTAGACGGAATTCCGATCTTACGAGTTCAAAAAGCCGCTATGCCTGTTAGACGATGATTGCCTCATCCACTCGCTCCAGTTAACCAATCAAGATCTGAGAATAGTTGCAGCCTTGCTCGGGAAGAGGAGACTGGCTGGCGGATGATGTTCCAAGAGTCCGTGGGATGCAATTCAGAGCCAATTTGATACCTTGTGTCCACAGACCTACACAGCAGCGGTCCCGTTCGTACCTCTGGCAATCACTTTAAATTCAACCGTGAACCTCGACACCCTCTGTGCCATGGTACATCAGGGATCTCGTGTCTTGCCTGTGCGAGCGCATAATACAGGTTGTTGTGTGTCGGCATCACCACTTTTTTTTGGTACCATATAACTTCGGGCAGCTCTGTGGGCTTACCGGACTCGCTGTTGTCATCCGTCTGCAATCTTCTTCAAGGCTATCGGGCATCTGTGCGGTATCGGTGCATGATGTCCATGAGAATGCACCGTCGATATAATGTGGTAGCAGCGCTGCTCCCAATCCTCTGGCTTGTGGCCGGGCATGGAGATGATGAGGCGCACAAAGCTGGGATGACTGAGGTGGACATGACTGAGAGTGTTGGGATCAAGAACACTACACACAACAGCCTGCATAACAAGGCAAGCTATGCAGCCTTATCGGAGCAGTCAACCATGATACTGGCACATGCCGTCGTCATGGTTATTGCCTGGGGGTTTCTTCTACCGATAGGTACGGTCCCAAGGGCCACCTATTGAGCGCAACTGTGGTACTAACAGTACTAGGGGTCATGTTCAGCATCGCCAGATCTCGCCTTACGCTCGCTGTGCATTCCATATTCTTTCTATTGAATGCCCTGGGTGTTCTTTTCGGGACAGTATACAACATCAATACGCCAGATTTGTATGAGAACAACGCACATCATGCCACTGGGTGGGTGGCCACATGTATCATATCGGTCCAGCTTCTGATCAGCTTGCTGTCCATCAATCCAGGACGAAAGAAGAAGACTCGTTTGTTGGTTGCCGAAAGAGAACCGTTCCTGCCGTTGCCAATGGCAAACATACCCATCAACGTTTGTCTCCCTATACCGACCATTGCGAAAGGCGCGACGTAGAGGCAGAGAATGAACGTCCATTGCTTCACAACACCCATAACATCTCGTCTACCGTTTCAAGGCGATTGAGTGAGGAATTCGGGAAGCCAGCATCCGAAGACACTGTTGACAACGAATCCGAAACATCATTGTCTCATTGTCCAAGGTCATTATGTAATAGCCACCTGTTCGGCTACTTCTCGACACGATTTGCAAGTCGACTGCCAACACTGTTATTCAAGATACTTGCAGTCTTGCGTCGGATCATCGATCGCACTATTCTCCCGCTCGGCTTCATTTGTTTGCTCACCGGAGGCGTCACGTACACAGGCATCTTTATAAGTTGCCGGGCTCAAGAGCTCCAGCTTCAGGGAGGATGCTGACCGAAAAACACTAGCGTGGCAATCACATCTTCAACGGCCTCGCCCATTTCATCAAGGGAGGAATCTTCTTCTGGTACGGACTGCTAACTTTGGGGCGTTGGATGGGCTGCTTCGCGGAGTATGGCTGGGCATGGAATGTCAGACCGTCCAACACTATCCCGTCGGCTGAGTTCGTTGAGTCATTTGTCATTTTCATATATGGATCGACAAATGTCTTCCTCGAACATTTGGCCGCTTGGGGCGCAACATGGACTGCGCAGGACCTGGAACATGTCTCAATATCAGTCATGTTTTTCGGTGGTGGCCTGGTAAGTGGATATTTGGTAGTATTCTTACCTGGGCTAAACATATGACAGTGCGGAATATTAATTGAGTCCAAGACCATTCGTAAATGGCTCACTACAACGATGGGTTCAATACCTATTGGTGAGCATGTTCGCAATTCCCAGGATCTGGAGCTGCGCACGCCCCCGAAGGTCTACAACTCCTCTATCAATCCAATCCCAGCATTGATAATCTTTCTACTGGGCATCATGATGTCTTCTCACCACCAAAGCTCCATGGTATCGACTGCAGTTCACAAGCAATGGGGCATGCTACTGGCGGGTTTCTCAGTCATGCGAATGGTCACCTACACCATAATGTACATCTCGCCACCTACCTCGATCTACCCAAGCCGCCCTCCATCCGAACTCGTTTCCTCGTTCTGCTTGATGTCAGGAGGCATTGTGTTTATGGCGAGCACCAAGGATATTGTCCTTTGGATGGAAGCCAAAAACCTGATGGCTATGTTCCTCTTTACCATCACTAGTGGTTTGACTGCTTTCATAATGGCGTACGAGATCCTCGTGATCTCCCTGAAAGGATGGGCAACACGACGAGAGATCCAAAGATCCTCCAAATCCAGGGTCTTTGGATCTTGAATTTGCTCAGCAACACTGCAAAGGTACCATCAAGCGTGCCTTAGTCATGGCGCCGGGAGACACCCGTACGAGTACATTGAGACAGGGTTCACTTCATTCCTGGCTGTGATGCCAAGACCAATATAGGGACAAAACGATAGAAGACTTTCATGAGGCGACGACAAGATTGCACATTTGGTAGCAGTGTGGTTTTCAGAAGACATGCATCTCTCCAGGAACATAGATGGTGTGCCATTAAGATAGGGCGGAATCTGGGACATCTTCAAAAAAACATTGGCTCGAATCCTTCAGCCCGCACTTTCCATTCTGGCGGGAATTTCAGTCCAGCATCGTCTTTCCAGCCTCCAGCCATCATAGCCACGGCCATCAACAAGGATGTACTCCCTGGAAAATAAGGTGTCGGCACCCTGGACCCGCCGATTGGCATTCCCACATCGTCGAACTGAAAGTTGGGATGCACCAGGAAATCGACGGCACGATCATAATCTCCCAGGCGTGCAGCCGTCATTGCCACCATTGGAAAATCCCACCCGAAAGACTCAGTCCAGTTCCAGGCAGCATATATTTTGTGCATAGTATTGTTCATGACCGTCAGATTGAAGTCTGGGGGAGGCGAGATAAACCCGTAGATCATGGCCATGCTGGGATGATCTGATGTCAAATTGGGATTGTTCCACATATCGGACACTCCACTGTATAGGACATAGCGATCGTCTACCACTGGCATTGGCGGCAGGTTGTTTGCGATGGATGTCCAGGCACGTGGTACAGTCTCATTCAAACGCTGCTTCCATTTCGCTGCAATGTCCAATCCCCAGCGCCAGTATGCCAGTTCGAATGTAGGATTGACAGTCGAACTTGGATTGGTGTTCTCGGATACTGGATAAATGGGTGGACCGAGCTGCAATACATTCAACGACTGGTTGTGGAATGCATAAGATGCCATGAAGTCCGCCGACGCCGTGAGAACTTCGTCCCACTTCAAGAGTGTACGATTGTTGGGCGACCTCTGATATTCGGCTTCTGCGAAGTAGAATGGATGGGGCTGCTGCCAGATGAGCAACGAGTTGATCTCCCCAGGAGCTGATCGGCCTGTAGGATCAGACATCTTACCCCAGCGTGCACCTTCGTAACCCATCTCCCTTGCTCTTTGGTAGGACGTTGGAAGGAATCGGCGGTATATGGAGTCGTGACGTTCCAAAAGATCTCCCTTTCCCCATAGGCCGAAGTGAAGCGAATGCCAGATCACCATCTCTAGGTGGAACTTGCCATACCACCCGTTGTTTGTCAAGCCTGATTCTTGCGGAGGATCCCGACCAGCTTCGTTGATGGTTGTTAGGTACTGAGACAGAATGGTCCGACGTTGAAGCTCTTTTGCTTTGGGATGATGATTCAGTGGAAGGGATATGAATGCTCCCCGAGTCCAATATGAACTCCACCACCTCTCCGAGGCTTGGAAAATATCCTGCGCAGTTGTGACCGTGTTGTTCGGTGAAGGCGTAAAGCTTGCCGTAAATGACAGCTGACCGCTTTGTTTTGGAGACAGCAGATAACGATGGGTAGAGCGCTGCGGACCCTTCATGCTCGCGGTTCCTTCCCATTGGATATTGGTGAAATATGTTGTTGCATCTAGATCGTGCTGAATAAGTGCCTGCTGACTCTGAGTCTTGAGAGTTGTGGTGTGGTTTGCTGTTGCATTCCAAATACCAACGAACGGGGCCTCGAACTTGCTCTGTCCGCTGGCATACGGGTAGTCGAAAAACACCCCTAGGTCGCCGGTGCCCAGCAAGCTCGAATTAATCTGCACGGCGACAGTGTCGCTGTTCGGATCAACAGTAGTCTGAATGCTGACTTGGGTTCCGTTCAAAGCAAAGGTCGAGTGGAGGATGCCTGAATGTAAGTCCAGAGATTGGTTCGTGTTTTCCAGATCACCCTCCTTCACAGTCTTGCCGCCAAAGTCCAAGCCAATCCGAGCTAAGTTGATCCTATGCGGGTTTGCAATTAGCCATTGAGAGATTTCCGCCTCCGCTGGGTTTGGCTGATCATATGTGACCAAACGTCCATGCGTCCACCACTGCAGGCCGGTAAAGTCACTGACCGAGGTCTGTCCAGATGTTATGGGTAGTGAGGAATTATGCCAGCCCCAGGAAGATAATGTGTTGAACGGTAAGAACGTTTGAAGACCAGTCACGTCGGTTGAAAACACGAAATTGCCATTGCCGACCTGCATCGGCGTTTGTGCGCTGGCATTTCGCCTCGGGTTGAATTGTGCCACAACAGCCCGGCGGTCAATAGAGGCACAGTGAGCCGTCAGAAAGGCTGAGAGGCAGAGAAAGAGACCGGCATGCAACAAAGCGTTCTTCGTCATTGCAAATGAGAGTAGGAAGCTGACGTCCGGTTATTGTTGAACCTCGAAGGAGGTGAGAGAATCTGAACTGGTACTCCATGTATGTTAGCTCCATTCGCAGTTTGTCGTCAACGTGGAACATTTGAGGAGAACAATGCACGGCTTTCTCGTTGGAATTGAGCCGAATTGCGACGGCAGATGCGAGAGCGTTTGCCTCTTCACGACGAAGCAATGCGAAGATGGATGTAAAATGTGCGGAGAAAGCTGGAGAAAGCTGCTTTCGGTGGCTGATAGCCCGAGCGCATCTTTCCATTCTGCTATCGATGGTGAGATGGTCGTGGATGGTCTCGTTCTCGCAGAGAGGCAGAGACCCCGCAAGTCACACTGCCGGCTAATATCCAGGGGGTGCAGCCTGCAAGCAATTTAGCCAGCCGTTAACTTCTGTCTCCCTATTTGGGACGCTTGCGCCGATATGCTATGAAAGCAAGCTCTTGCGGTAGAATGCCTGGATCACAAAGAACGGCACTGGTATCGAACAGCGGTGTATCTTCCTTAGACGTCCCGAATACTTCGGACGTTGCAGTCTGATAGTCTGTCACTTACATTCACCTGGAACACAACAACTTGACCAGTTGAGGAGATGATATTGGACAAGTCTGATATGGCGAAGGAGGGCCACTGCAAAGTGAAGGGGGTTTCGCCATTCAAGTCAGACAAAGACAACTGTCCAGAGCGCACACGGCCCGATTGACTGTTCGTCCCCGTACGTGACTTCTCCCTCACTGCCTTGCCACATTGGCTAAGTTTGAATTTGCCTCAACAAGTCGCAATGGCACGAAGCTCCGGGTAGTACAAATACGATGTTCCAAGATGTAGCTGGACAGCACAACCCTTGATGGTGTCAGACGTGATGGGCCGAGGTCCAGGATTGCCCTTTGGTGAAAGTGGGGATACTGGCGGATGTGCACAATCTTGCCGCATCCCTCGCACACCTCGGCAACAACACCATTATTGGAGGCCTAAACTCGCGTGTAGCATAGATGCTGATTATCTGACAAATGATTGATTGGGGGTAATATCGTGGACGATGAATCATTAGTCGCATGAATGATTTCGCATCAAGCTCTTTCAGCCTCGTACCTGCTAGACCCAGGTTGCTTCAGTGTTTGAAGCAGCGCAACATTTCCCTCGACGTCCACCTTCGCTTTCTAGGTCCGGGTGTCTCCAAAATGGCATTCAGCGAGCTGTTGAAAGCCGCAACGGCACAAGGGCCTGATCGGAAAATTCCAGGGGCGGTTGTGATGGCAGCCGATGCGTCTGGTAGTGATAGATGACTCTAGATGCTCGAGCAGCCTTGCTGATCCATGGCCAGGCAAGATTATATACTCCCAAGCCGAAGGGCAAACATCGGTCACGCCCGAAGCAGCAAAGCCCATGACAATTGATACAACGTTCTGGATAGCATCGTGTACCAAGCTCCTTACAACCATTGCAGCATTGCAGTGTGTCGAGAAAGGCCTTTTGAGTCTTGATGCTGACATATCCAATGTTCTTCCAGAGTGGGAAGCTTCAGAAATCCTGACCGGCTTCGACGATGCTGGGGAACCACAATTGAAAAAAGCGACCAAGCACATTACTTTGCGTCAATTGCTAACACACTCAAGTGGTATGGGCTATGACTTTTTGTCTCCCGGGTTGGCCAAATGGAGACAGTGGAAAGGAGAGCCAATTGGTGCTTCGGAGGAACCCATAGTCAGTTGGTATCCGTGGGGAGTTCGACAGGATTCTGACCTTTGGGTGTAGGAGAAACGGCAATTCCTACCGCTCATATATGAGCCTGGACAAGGCTGGAGTTATAGCGTTGGGATTGACTGGGCCGGAAAGATAGTTGAACGAGTCAATGGAGGTATCCGGCTGGGTGATTACATGAAGCAGTACATTTGGGGCCCATTGGGGATGACTTCGACCGGCTTTCGTCTTGACCAAAATGAGAGCATCCGGAATCACCTCTGTGCGACGACTGCACGAACCCCGACAGGCGAACTGGTTGCGTCAGCTCCGTATAATTTCCAGAATCCTGTGGATGACCTGGGTGGCGGAGGCTTGCACAGTTGCCCAGCCGATTACATCAAGGTGCTGATCTCTTTGCTGAAGAATGACGGCACTCTTCTTAGGCCGGAAACCGTGAAGATGATGTTCGAGCCTCAGCTTGCAGATCCCAAGCATTTGATGGTCATGACACAAGATCCGAAAGGTGGAGCAATGTTCAGAGGCGGCGTAGATTGCAACACATGGAATTTCGGTCTGGGTGGAATATTGACCCTAGATGATGTGGAAGGTGTCTGCAAGAAAGGCACGATGTCGTGGGGCGGATTGCCAAATCTGGTGAGTTACTCCCATCCTTCCAAAGCATTCTCACTCTGCTGGAGAAACCATCGTCGACAGAGTTTAGTCGCGGCCTCCATAGACACCCAGCTGTTCGTTGGAAAGCCCCGGAGGCTTCACAGACTTGTGTATTTGCAATGTTTTGTGAGCGCTGGCTGGGCATGAAGCCCTTGATTCATCCATCCCTGGCATAGACATCCTGCGAAGCTATGCTAACATTAGCTTTCAAACACTTCAGTTCTGGTGGATTGACCCGACGGGCGGCAATTGTGGAGTATACGCCTCGCAAATACTTCCACCAGGAGATCCTACGTCGATGGCGCTAGCTGTGGACTTCCACAAAGAGATCTATGCTCTGAGCAAGTCGTGAAGCCCCGCTCAACGTGCTTGCTGGTGGACTTCAGACACGAAGGCAATGGTGTTGTCTTTGGAGACCCGACGAACAAGGGAAATATCCAGGATGGAAAAAAGGGAAGGAAGGTGGTCGTATACCGCAAACTCTCCGCCCAGACAAAGAAAGCGCACATACATGAAGGTCGGACAGCTCAGTAGAGGCTAGTCAGCTTTGCCGGTAGTTGAGTACAGATGCTTTGTTTACAACCACTGGACTGATAGGCGCAAGCCATGTATGAAGTGCGGCCCAGGCGAAAAGTCACCAGCGATTGACATGTCCATAGTAAGCCGACGTGCAACCTGAAGCCCATTGGTCTTGTACCCAGCACCCGAAGCAGAGAACTGGTTAGGCCGTGCATTTTCGACCCCCGAGAGCTTGAGATGAAGATCTCTGTACTGGGGGCTGAAAGCGGGGTCTGTCCCTATAAAGCCATCGTATTGATTATATTAAGTTTGCCCAGTCAATAGCGAGGACAACGCCATGTCTTACGACATCGCAAAAATAACACAGCGTGAGAAATAGACCACCAACCACCGCGAATCAGTGCTTAGCGAAGTAAGCATGAGCCTAGAGTCTGGGACGAAGGGCAACCGGTGTGTCTGGGAAGGGCGTACAACCCTGCACTTTTCAGGAGTATTATGAAGCACTCCAGGCAATCGCTAGTGGACTGCTGACATTGTACGAGTGCTTCCTTGATAATGCAGTGACATTGGCATTGCCATGACCAATTGCTGACACGCCACAAAGGGCAAATATTGACCTTTCGACTTGATAACGCGAGGTCCGACGGCTGCGTGCGAATGACCGAGTAGAGAAACCCATCAAGACACGAGGATTTCTGGCTTAGCTGCGAGGTTGGTAGAAACCTTCGTATCGATGATACATGGTTTCCGGAAGATGCCCCAGCGTAGGACGTGGAAGTCTGTCAGACTGGTCTCATGATCTCGACTTAAGTGGTAGGCACACGAGCGCCTGAATGTTGGCGCCTGTTGTGTGTTGGTGCGGTAAGCATATAAAGCTTGCAAGGGCGTCAAGTGAGACAATTAGGGTCAAGAAGCGTTCGCATTCAGAAAACCCTGCGACCTACCTCGGAGTCCCAAGATGCCAACTGGACAGTGTATTTGTGGCCAACTCAAGTATGAATACTCAGGTGACCCCGTTATGAAGGTAGGTCTTTCGGGATGAACACAAGCCTGGTGGCTAACCCTCGAAGGCCATCTGCCACTGCTTGACATGCCGCCATGTCAGCGGGAGTGCATTCACCACCAACATCTTGGTTCCAGAGGACAAATTCAAGATCACTTCTGGCACGCCCAAAACATATGCGGCCACCCAGGACAGTGGCATGACGCTGACTTATTCTTTCTGCGGCAATTGTGGTTGCAACATATCCAAACTTGGGGACGCCGAAGCGTTTCGCGGGGTTGTTATCATTCAAGCTGGATCACTCGATGACATCGCAGGGATTGAAGAGGCCGAGCCTGGAGCAGAGCTCTACGTCTCCAGGCGGGTTTCGTGGCTGCCAGCTCTGGCTGGAAAGGGACAGGTACAAGAGTTTCCTGCGTAACAAGGAGGGAAGCATGCTGTAGCAGGCATAGCGGACAGACACTCATTTGTCCCATCGACTTCTTTGAGATAAAGAGGAAGAAGACACCACAGTCCGCGTTACGAAGAGTAGTGGTCCGCAGCGTAGCGAAGACCGAGAAAGAGACCTGGTAATTAACAATGAGACGAGCGGCAGGTAAACAATGTCTCGGCCTACTTTCCCCAAGCTGGATTTATCGTATGCCCGCAATTGCGTCAAGCGGCCTCTTGCGTGGGATGCCGTGGATGTCTCTCCGCAGCCGGAGGAGGCTAACTCCCAACCTCGAGGCATAGGGACGTAGGATCAAGGTCCATCCTCTCTTATATCATCAATTGCCTGGCAGGTTTCCCTGGTGAGAATGTGCCCGCCATGAATGAGCGCACTCCCCTCATATCGACTGTTCGCGTAGAACGACGCCCAGGACGATACCCTCACTCCACCTTCCGACGCTTCTGCACTGTCGCCTTAGCAAGCAGTCTCATCGCAATCCTTGTATGCTTCCTCCTTCCTATAGCGATTCTCCCTCGAGGTCATGATTCTCCGTCGTCCTACCTCCCCTGGTCTCGACCGTACCCCAAATCGTGGCCTCAGAGTACAGGTATCACCTTCAATGAGCTTCAAGACTTGTTGTTGAATACCCCGGATGAGAACAGCGTTCGTTCATGGAGCGAGTACTATACCGCAGGCCCACATCTTGCAGGCAAGAACCTTAGTCAGGCGTTATGGACACGCGAGAGGTGGGAAGAGTTCGGAGTCAAATCAGAGATTGTGGCCTACGATGTCTACATCAACTACCCGGTCTCACATCGACTTGCCTTACTTCATGGAGATAAGGTGAAATATGAGTGCAGTCTGGAAGAAGATGTCATTGACGAAGACCCGACGACGTCCTTGAAAGATCGTATTCCAACATTCCATGGCTACTCTGCTAGCGGCAATGTCACCGCACCCTTCGTCTATGTCAACTTCGGCACCTATCAAGATTTTGAAGATTTGCTGGCAGCGAATATCAGCCTGTCAGGCAAGATCGCGTTGGCAAAGTATGGCAAGGTCTTTCGGGGATTGAAGGTCAAGCGGGCACAAGAGCTGGGCATGATTGGGGTGGCCATCTACTCGGACCCGCAGGAGGATGGCGAAATGACAGAAGAGAATGGATACAAGCCATACCCTGAAGGTCCGGCCAGAAATCCAAGCAGTGTGCAAAGAGGCAGTACGCAATGGATCAGTACGTTTCAGAAGAGCTGTAGTGCTAACGCAGGCTGACAGGCGTTGCAGGCACTCTCCCGGGAGACCCAACCACTCCCGGTTACCCTTCGAAGCCGGGAGTGCCTCGAGTTGACCCTAACGGCTCTATCCCCAAGATCCCGTCGCTCCCTATATCCTATGCCGATGCTCTTCCCCTCCTGAAAGCCTTGAATGGACACGGCCCCAACGCTAGCTCATTCGACGCACGCTGGCACGGTGGAGGTCTTGGTTACAAGGGCGTTGACTACAACGTTGGACCATCACCAGAATCTATAGTTTTGAACTTGATCAATGAGCAAGAATATGTGACAACACCGTTGTGGAATGTGATCGGAGTCATCAATGGCACGGTCCCCGACGAGGTCATTGTGCTTGGAAACCATCGGGATGCCTGGATTGCAGGAGGTGCCGGGGACCCTAATTCGGGCTCGGCAGCATTGAATGAAGTCATCAGGTCGTTCGGAGAAGCTCTCAAAGCTGGGTGGAGACCGTTCCGTACCATCGTGTTCGCAAGTTGGGACGGCGAAGAATACGGCCTGGTCGGATCCACCGAATGGGTTGAAGAGTACCTCCCATGGCTGTCTGCCAGCACTGTCGCATACTTGAATGTGGACGTAGGGAGCCGTGGAAAACATTTTGACGCGGCAGCATCACCACTGCTCAACAAGCTGATCTACAATGTAACAGGCACAATTCCATCACCGAATCAGACCACCGAAGGGCAAACCGTTGGCGATGTTTGGAATGGCAAGATCCGCACAATGGGCTCGGGTAGCGACTTCACAGCGTTCCAAGACTTTGCAGGTATACCATCGCTGGATCTTGGCTTTGGCAGTGGTCCGAATGACCCTGTCTATCATTATCACTCAAATTACGATAGCTTTCACTGGATGGACACATATGGAGACAAAGATTGGCATTACCATGTGACTGTGACGAAAATATGGGCACTTCTCGCTGCTCAGCTCAGTGAAACCGCGGTCTTGCCACTAAGTGCGAAGGACTACGCGAAGGGCCTGGAAATGTATCTCGACGATGTCAAAGAAAGGTCCAAAGAGTATCGCAGATCATCAACATTCAGTTTCCACAATCTGGACAAGGCTACAACGAAGCTGCGCAAGGCAGCGTCACACTTTGACGCCTACACAACGAACTTGAAAGCCAGACTTGGAGAAGATGTGCCATGGTGGAAGTGGTGGAAGAAAATCAAGCTATACTACGAGGTCAGGAAGGCGAATGCGAAGTACAAAATGCTGGAGCGCCAGTTTCTCTTCCCTGGCGGACTGGATAATCGAACGTGGTTCAAGCATGTGGTATTTGCACCCGGCCGATGGACTGGATATGCAGGTGCGACGTATCCTGGGCTTGTTGAGAGCTTTGAGGACGGCAATATGACGAATGCTCATCGATGGAGCGACATCATTCAGGAGAGGTTGCAAGCAGCAACGAAGTTGTTGGAATGAATGCGAGTATTGGACCTTTGTAGATAGATTTGTCTTTGGAATCTATATGCTTATAGATCCTGTCCAGAGTACATCGCACCTGGTTCGCTGCATATTCTACTGTGACGACTGCCTCGGTGAATTCCTTTTACGACGTTCCTCCGCTTACTCTGACCAGCAAAGGCGTTTGATCCTTCCGCAACCCCAAAGTTATGATCTGTCCCGGTGCTCAGATCTGATGACGCTGACACTGTTGACAAGAATAAGCGCTTATGCTTGTCAACATAGTCCAGGCAATGACTGCGCAAAGCGGCCAGAATGCATATGTAAGAAGCGCCTGAATCTGACATCAAGCAGACGTCTCCGCGGCGCCTTCGGAGTCATAGTCTTTACATTAGAAATGGACTACCAGGCCTTCTTCCTGCCGTGTTTGAACAGTAAATGCAAGCTCTCGACCAAACTGGCTTCCGAAATCTTGTTTTTTTAGAATGCTTTGACCGTTGTTGGAACAGGTACCATGGGCCTCGTCGCCACTCATCGTCAATCCACCGATGGGCGGCTTTGCAGGGGGAGCTCTTGCAGCAGCCGTCACCCAAGCAGGAGGCGTTGGTATGATAGGAGGCGTCATGGTCCCGGAGATTGACAAAGAGTTGAACATTGCGTCCAAGGCACTCGCTAATACTACTACCGGGCCTGCGAAGACGCTGCCCATCGGCATCGGCCTATTGCCATTCGCCCTACGGGTCGAATCAGTATTGCCGGTCCTTGAAAAGTACAACCCGGCAATCGTATGGCTCTTTGCGGCAAAAGAACTAGGGGACTATGCCGAGTGGACCACTCAGTTCAGGAAGGTCTGTCCACAGTCCGCAGTTTGGATCCAGGTGGGCAGTGCGACGGCCGCACTTACCGTTGCACAATCGGCGAAACCGGACGCCCTGATCATGCAAGGCGCTGATGCTGGCGGTCATGGCTTTGAGAGGGGTGCAAGTATAGTCTCTTTGTTGCCGGAGACAAGTGATGTCCTCAATGCGAATGGACTCGAGAACCTTCCGCTTCTCGCCTCGGGTGGCATTGTGGACGCTCGTGGTGCAGCCGGGGCCTTCGCATTGGGGGCTGCAGGTGTGGTGATGGGGACGAGATTCCTTGCTGCGAAAGAAACGATCGTCCCGTCTGGGTACCGCGAGCTCGTCCTTGCTGCGAAGGATGGAGGACAAGCGACGGTGCGGAGCAAGCTGTTCGACAACGTCAAGCAGCCAAATATCTGGCCAGAACCGTACGATGGGAGGAGTCTGGTCACGAACAGTTACATCGATCATGTAGAGGGTGTCAGCATCGAGGAGATACGCGATAAGCATAACAAAGCCGTGGTTGGGGAGGACCTTGGATTTAGCACGAACATTCCACGGACCTTGGATTCAGCACGAAGAATGTTCGTGCTAATGTGTGGGCTGGTGCCGGTGTAGGCTTGGTCAATGACATTGAGAACGCCGCAGATATCGTAGAAGAGGTTAGGGCCGGGACGAGACAAGCACTGGAGAAGGCAATGACACGTTTGTGACGCCAGATCACACCCCGACACAAGTTGAATATCATCTATGTTGCATGCAAGCTCAGTACCACAGAAGTAAGAGCCCTTCACTCTCAGTAATAGCTCGTTCCACCAACACCCAAGCCACTCCTTGTCGCTCCCAGATCACTGCTATACCTCCGTGCCCCCGTGGGAATAATGCCCGGTCCCAGACCTATCGGGCTTGCAACGCGTTGCAAATGAAGGCTGTGACGGCGAGATTCGTATTGTCCTCTCCTGGACGGAGTAGGTGTGAGCAGTCTGGTGTCTGATGATGCGTCCTCATCCTCGAATACGTCAGCAAAGGATCCGGTCAATGAAGACTTTCTTGCATGAGCGTCGACTGCTGATATGCCAGAAGCTTTCGCACCCGAACTCGCCGGTCTGATATTGCCGGTACCATCCACCCTTTCTTCTTCATCCTCATCTTCGTCTTCTTCTTCGTCCTCTTCGTCATCGTGACTGCTACCGAAGCCCTCCATCTCGACAAGCATCCAGACGGGCACAGCTCCAACGAGAGCAATGCAAGCCAAAGTCCACCAAGAAATGACCACATATCCAATATCAACTCCAGCGGTGAAGGTGGCACCAGCAAGTGCAGGACCAGCAGCTCTACCTATAGCCGAGATACTTGTGGCAACGCCGTTCAAGGTGCCTAGGATGTTTAGACTCGCAGCGCTATTTGTGAGCAGGATGGTGGAGCAGGGAAATGCAAAAATGCCGGCGAACCCCTTGACCAGCATCAGCGCCATCATGACCCCCTGCCTCAATGGACCAGTCTCTAATAGTGCCGTGAAAGGGGTTGCAATATAGACCACGGGAAAGGTCAAGGTACAGGCTTTGAGGCAATTGAGCACGCCATACTTCCTTGCAAACGTTGGGAAAATGAAGAATTGGATAAGCATGCCAAAGACACCATATATGGTGAAGAGTAATCCGATTCTGTTTGAATCGATCCCAAATCCACCAGCAAACTTGAATGGGAGATGCACCCGCGGATCTCGCCTTGATTGTGCCGGATAATGCATGAAAATCGGCAGCAACTGATCGAATGCTACCGAATGCATGGCCAGAAAGGTGTACACGGCCAAGTTGATATTTGATTGTCTAGAAAAGACCTCGGCCCAGCCAGGCTTCTTCTTGGGAAACTGTTTACCCTGGTGTGCAACGGGTGTGGACATTTCGCTTGATGTTCCAGACAGGAATGGATCCTCCTCCTCATTCGTTGACCATGCTCTCGGCCGCCGTTTTTGGGAGCACGGAGCCACAAGCAGCTTGCCCAGCAAAAGGCCGTAGTCTCGGCGAGATTTCTTCTCTTCCAGAGTCTCATGCAAATACAGATACCCAGCTGAGATGCCGAAGAGAAACAGCAGGCTGATGAGGAGATTGGGAAGTGCAAAAGGGTATTCCTTGAGGAACTTGATTCGTCCAAAGACTTCTGGATATCGTTCCACGGGATGGACCAGGGAACCACCAAAGGAGGGACCGAATATGCTGCCAATATTCCAGACCAACGGCATTACGCTGAAAGCACGAGGCTGTAGTTCTCTTTGGGGAACGAGTTCTGCAACTGCGGTTCGTATGATGCCCACGTTCCCATTTGACAATCCTTGTAATGACCGTGCTACGAATGCCCACATCAGACTCTTGGAAAAGCCGAACAAGATACTCGAGACCATGGTGCAAGTCAAGGCGAGGAGGATGATGGGCTTGCGGCCGAAACGATCGGATGCTCTGCCCCAGGCAATGCCAGTGAGACATTGGGAGAGGGAGAAAGTGGCGGACATGAGACCGGCCCATTTTGCAATTTTGTCGTCTTGAACATGGAAGGACTGGATCATCTCAGGCTGCGGGTGGTCAGTAAAAGCAGAAATCCGCAGCCAGTGCAGCCCAGACTTACAATGTACGGATAGACCGAGGTCATGGCAACAGGCTCAGCGATGCGACATAGTGCCAGGATGAGTAGCTGCTGCTTGGGCAGCTCGAGGGCCTTCTTTGCTTCCTTTACCATGGCTCGAGTGTTGGCCGGGCTGAGCCATGGATCTGAAAGGGACAGGGAACGGTGGATTGCAGGGGCAGTAGGCTATTGTGGACGGTGAAGAAGGAAGAAAGAGGTCGTGGACGGCTTGAACATCAACAGCGCCATCATAAGGCGCACTTTGGCCGGGTTCCACTGCGCTGGACGCATTGCAGCGGTCTGCGGATTATGATGCTTTTGTCCAATGACCAATATTGCACCCTATGGGAAGGCGACGAGGCGAGAGAAGTGGGCGAGGGGAGCGGCAAGGCGGCATCATGCGGCATCATGCGGCAGAAGAAAGCGACGGGCTACAGTTAGTAGGCGTGGTAGGCACAGGAAATGGCGGCTCGAGGGGGCAGTGCGGGGTTGTCCGGTTGGAGAAGCCGAAGCATTTTGTGAATGTCTTGGTGACTGCGCTCAACCGCCTCGCCGCCTCCAATGACTTTTGCTTGCTTCAGTTTCTCTTTTCCAGCAAAGCACCGCAAGACTCCTCTCCGTTGTACAAACGTTTATCGACAAATATTCATAAACCACTCCCCTATTTAGTTCCCACGAGCTGCGTGAAGCCTCCGTCCCATCCGCCATTCCTTGACCTTTCTGACACAGCGCGCCCTTGAAATGGCCTTTACGGGACGATCGAAATAAGAAGCATATACCAGAACAGGCCGGGAGCAAGAGAAGGAGAACATATTCGCAGGTCGAGAACGTCTGAGTGCCCGATGTCTTATTGCACCCCCAATGTGGCTATGGCACGAATGCTTCTGGCCATACATTCATTCAGACCTTTCACTGCTTCATGAAAGGGCCAGCTCCGCGATCTTTCTCGACGTCCTTGTCCTGGCCTGCTCCAGCTCTCGAGCGTGGTCCTTCTTTCTCAAATCCAGTTGATTTGCTTGGACTTGGTTGTGGATCCGGCTGCTTTGCGGGATGATCTCTGCCTTCGCCCGACGTTGCCATCTGCGCATGTGCTTCATGGTCACTTTTCTTCGATTTGGATGGATCGTTTGATTGCTTTGTTTGGTCGACTTTGGTCTCGCCGACGACTGAAGAATAACAGCGATGAGAGGGTACCCTCAGTGATGCACACCACGACTGAGCGATTGCCCTGGGAACGGCACGATTCGAGAAGATGCGTTTTGAAGACGGCATTTTTCAGGACTGGACAAAGAGGTGAGGACGGTTCTCGAGTGTTGATGATTGCTCTGTCCCTACTGATATTTGCTTGTGGTGGTAGAGCACAAACTGAGCACATCACCATTCCGGCTATCCTCCTCCGCCTTGGGCTTTTCGTGACATCAACGACATCCGTCATCATTTCACTCGGCCCCGAATCTAGATTCCGTCAGATGACTTCTCTTGCTTGTCCTACTTCGTGCTACCTCGCGAGAGACATTGCGGTCCATTTCCATCGTGATGCTTCATAGCTACCTTGAGGAACTGCACACAGAATGGTAGGTTGTTACCTAGGTAGTAATTTTGGTACAAGTCATGGTATTCAAGCCAAGAAGGAAAGACCATCCAATATTGTGTCGAGGTTACAGTACCAATCACCTTGAGGCTCTTCTGTGATCGCAGACTCCCTTTTGCTCCCGGAGACTCCTCGATGCAGCTGCACCTTTTCTCTTTGTCTATGAGCGTCTGCGAAACCGATCAGCCGCCGCCAGAAGCCAGCTAAAATCTATATGCGGGTGTATGCCGTGTGTTTAGCTACGGTGGCCAATGGCAAGCAACGAAGAGCAACTCCCCCACTTTTGACACCGATTTTCGTGTATTTCACTGGGAGAAGCTCATGAGAAGCAAGCTCGATTCGCTTTATTTCGCATTGATTTCAACGCGAACGTGTACTCTTCTCGGCCACCTTAGCTCAGCCGTCGCGGCGACCATGGGAAAAGTCCAGAAGGGTGACACATTGAGCCACGGGCTGATTCGGCAATCACCGCTCCTACCCTCTGGCCGCGATTCGAGGTCCTGCATATGTTGCAATCGGCGCAAGGTCCGCTGCGATAGGTCATCACCGTGCAGTAACTGCTTGAAAGCTGGCTGGAAATGCGAGTATCCTCGAAGCGACAGGAATGGGTCTTCTAAAGAGCCAATCCTGCAAGCGATTCTGGACCGCCTGGAACGTGTCGAGGCTATGCTGGGACACCTGCGCGATGGCCACCAAACACAGACTGATTCACCCAGTGAAATACACGACAAGGACCAAGACGTACTGTCGATGCCTCGAGAGCAGTCATCCAGGCATTGGGAACTTTTGTTGAATGATGGACAAAGAGTTCAATATGTGAACAACTCAAATATTGTGGACTTACTGCAAGACGTAGGGACTCAGCTATTTGTCGCACCGGTCGGTAGCTGATAATACACTTAGGAGAGCCTGAAGTTGCCAGAGCCTCTGACAGTTCGGCCCACTGCGAGCTCGCCGCCTAAGCCTCCAACATCAATGAAGGTGCACCCTGGCCTGACCGGCTCCTCATCACCAAGCCTTGCGGACATTTACACACTCTATCCCGAATCACGGTTGGCCTTACAGTTATGGTCAATTTATGTAAAGAACGTGGACCCTGTACTCAAGATCTTGCATCTCCCTACGATTCAGTCAGCCGTGGTCTCGACCATCGTTGACCCAAGATCGGCTGGCGTATCAATGCTGGCGCTCACCTTCGCAATTTACTTTGCAGCAGTTACAAGCCTTGGTGGCTCGCATCCAGCAGAGCTGGCGCAGGAAGATCTTGTCCTGCTACTCCAACGTTACAAGGCCGCCTTGAACCAGATTCTGCTTGGAGCTGACATCTTGCACAAACCGGAGTTGATTTCTTTGCAAGCGCTCGCCATCTTCGTCGTAAGCCTGGCGTTTGAAATGGTACAGTGATCGTTCTGACCGTAAACAGACATGTCTACGAGTACACGAGACCGGCCGTGGCATATGGGTACTCAACGGAATTGCGATCAGGCTGGCGCAATCAATCGGACTACACAGGGATGGATTATCCCTGAAATTGAGTCCGTTCGAGACCGAGCTTCGGCTTCGGTTGTGGTGGCACCTATGCTTGCTCGATTCACGAGCGCCGGAAGACCATGGGTTCGAGTTGACAGTCGACATTCTCAACCGGGATCATCAAAGGCTTCCACTTAACGTGGACGACAGCCAATTGTGTGCAGATATGAAGGAGTTGCCTGTCGAATCCCAAAGCTGGACAGAAATGTCTTTCTTCCTGGTGCAGATTGAGGCCGCCAGACTTCTGCATCCCATCCTCGGAACTCGAGAGAACGCTGCCGCAGATGTGCTGGAAGATGTCGCTGCCAAGCGGAAAATGATTGAGGATCACAGTAAGTGGTTGCACAAAACATACTTTTCCAGTTCCAGCCCGTCGCATCGGCTTTCTTCGGTCGCATATCAACACTACTTGAATGCATGCAAAAAAATAGAGTTTATGCTTCAGCTTCGAGAAGAAATTCATCACCAGAAACAAAAACCGAGGTCAGATCCTGTTGTCCATGCACTTGCTCCAGCATCTTTCGGATCTGCTTGTGATGCATTGGCGGGCAGTTGGACACTCCTGAGCGGAGAGGTCTCTAGACAGTTCTCATGGCTCTTCAAGACGTACACTCAATGGTACGCCCTAGCATATGTCTTACGCTGTCTTTGCACCACTCCTGCTTCTCCACATTCAGACCGAGCATGGGCCCTGGTCGACGATATTTTCAGCAGCATAGGTCAGTTGAATGAGCCTTCTGGGGAGGTGACTGTGGGTAGCAGCAGTGACGGCATCTGGGCCTCCCTCCTCCAGCTTCGTGATAAAGCGATGTCTTTGAGGATACTATCAAAACCACCTCCAACTCGGCCGAGGAGCGCCGACCGGCCAGAGGATGTCATTGCTTTTAAATTTTCACAACCCGCTGATTGCCTCTCTGGCTCGACAAATCCTCCTTGCCTCAACCCTCTACAACAACAGCTGGAGAGCCTTCCAGATTGGCAGCAAGGCAACCCGTTCTCAAATATTTCCATGACGGACTTTCCATGGGTGCCCGGATGGCATGCTGTCATCACCGGAAGCCTGGATGATTATAGCTGGGACGATCTGATGTAACTTAGAGCATGACTTTGGTGTTCGCTACCGTGGCGTATTGGCGACTTCAACATACTGCCCGTGCAGAGAAGCACAATTGGGGCCTGATTTTAAGCAAGGAAAGATTTGCGTCCCAAAATACTGGCCTCGAGTGAGCCCTAGCGACCGCGAACGATCGATGAATGTTGTCCCAAAGCAACATTATTCGGGGCTATGGCTCCAGGAACCCGGATTCGATCAAGTATTCTTCAAAACAGACTTCGCAATCTGGGCGTAAGTCCTGTTCTTCCCTTCAACTAATCCCCTTTCCTTGTACAAAAATGCACCGTCCCAGAACATAGCGCCGGCCAGGTTCGGCAAATCCAGTCTTGCTACATTCTTTAGTATTGCCCTGTACTCCGTTATGTTCACATAGCCTTTGGGACTTGCTCCCGGATTAAACGCTCTTGTCCCAATCAACAACCCAGGATATGTAATGTTATTGCCGTTAACGTTGAAAGCCCCCTGTGGGACCTTGCATGTTTTACATGCCAACTTTCGTTTACCCAAGAGCTTCTGCGACCATGTCTTCATTGAGTTGAGAAATTTATCTCCGCTCCCCAGCTGGCAGGCATTGGCGTTGTAGAACTGTACGTTCCAAAAATCTATCTGATTCAATAGCGAAGACAAAGGGATCTCGGGATCAGGTAGTGCACAGATAGGTGCGGCCGAGAAGTAATACTTCCTCGACTTGTCTTTCTTCGTAAGGTTGCGTAGCGTCGAGATGAGAGGAAACAACTGGCCTGCATTCTTCTCGTCCTCGTTGTCTGTTGATATAGGAGGTTAGTACAGTCATGTTTTGGGCCATCGCTTGAAGATCTTACCAATGTCAAAGCCATCGAGCACCACATCGCCGAAAGGCCGCACGCCTTTCAGTCCTGACCCGCCGAGGAACATGTCCCAAAGCGTCTTCGCCACCTCTTCCGCGGCCTTTTGACTGGGGATGCTCAAATTGGCGCTTGCTCCTCCTGCGCTTATCAAGACTTTCTTCCCTTGCGCTTGACACGCGGCGACTTGAGCGGCGAACCCATCGATTGTACAGTCTAGCAGTCCTGTCATACCCGCAGCAGTTTGTGTGTGATTCGGAGCCTGACACAGATACCCATTGAAGTCCAAAGTGATATTCATCTTGGAGGGATCCGTCGGTCCGTAGAAGCTGTTGATGAAGGCCAGGGTGATGATATCCACCGAAGGACCTGCGCATAGTTGGCTCAGCGAGACCTTTTTCGTCATGTTACTTTGGCCGTAGTATGCGATGGTCAGATTGGGCGCCGTAGCATTAAAAGTGTACGTTGAGGTTGAAGCCAAGGCCGAAGCTGTACTTGTTGCGGTGGCTCTGCGTACATTTGAATTGTGCCGTGTAACCGCATCTTGAGTGTCCGCATTGACCTGCGGTCGTCCTTCATCACCTTGGACATCATACCCTGAAGCGCTATGTACGAATCCTGAGAGTGACCACCCAATTCCAAGTGTAATATGTAGGATGAGCGAGCATAGCGGGATACGCCAGAGAAAGGAAGTCATTTGTGGTCTTGTCGCGACGTCTTTGGACGCACCGCTCGACCACCTACCGGGCTCTTTATTTTATCTAATACTTTCATAACTTCTGATCCATCTGTTCAATTCGAAGTCGTGGTCAATGCGACGGCGATGATGTAAAAACCCTACAAAACTATCGAGTTGCCAAGGAGATGAGCCATGGCGTGCCATGAGCACCCACACATGGGGACCGCTCGTGCGTAGAGCCCACCGCATCTGCTAAATTAGTTCTGGCGCAAAAAGATGATGAAAGGACGATTTGTTACTGGTTGAATACTGACGACGTGTCTTGGTGAATTTCGGATGGCGCAGAACTAAGGAATCCTTGATTAGACAGACAGCTATTCAGAAGATACAGTCTTGACTCCCGGCTTCTCGACATAGACCCCGATCCTTGAGAGGAGCGGGCAAGGACGTATTCCCAGTGGCTACTGCGGTCCTTTATCTGCAAAGCTGACTCTTTTTAGCTTTGGAGCAGAAGCTACTTGGACTGCAACAACCGGTAACGCAATTGCAGGGACCTCAATGGTTGGAACACGGTCAAGCGGAGCTGCAGCGATCGCAGCTGCTTCGGGGCCTGGTAGTGCAGCTGCAGGTACGAGGGTCTCAGCAGCATCAGAAATGGATGTCGAATTCCTCCCAGCAGGAACGGCCACAGCCGGAACTTCGACTGTTGGTATGGGAGCCGCTGGAGCAATCGACGATGTGGCCGTTACGCCGGACATGCCCCATACTGATTCAGAAGTTAGAAAACTGGTCTCGATAGGAATAGTGCGTGAGAAGGAGACATTGACATACCTTGTGACCCAACGTTCCGAGCAACGTTGTAAAAGATCGTCATGGACATGAAAGGCGACACGCATTTGTTGATGAAGAATCCGAGAATGAGCTTATGCGCGCGCACCCTCAGCGGTATCTCCAGGACTATGGAAATGCAGTACCACAACAATGGCAACTGACTGACGATCAACAAAGGGACAAGTTTCATAGTGTCGAAGGTTCCGTTGAGGCACTGCTCGACAATGTACTTCACAAACAGAATCGTGTTGGCAAACCGATAGTAAACCATGCTGAGACGTAGGATCTCGATAAATGCCGCAATTCGTGTGATGATGATTATGTTTTCACCCATCACGTAGAAGTAGTTGTTGAAGTAGGCATTAGACCCCCATCGTCGCCTTTGGCTGAGATAGTGCTTCAGGCTCTGCGGCGCAACAGTCTCGCTGACAGCCTCGGGCACAAACATAGTGGTGAGCTTCTTGCTCTGAGAGTGTGGCGAGTATGTCAGGCGCCGATCTGTTCCAAGGTATTGGACCTGATGGTGGGCAACGGGCATGACCGTGATGGCTTCCGCGTACTTCTCTATGGCACCTGCACATTCAGGTCTGACCTTGATCATGGTAATACAGCCTGGAAGACATGTGACTTTGCCCCAGAAGTGCTCTGCTCTCCGACGCACATATTGGCCAAAGGTATACTGCGTCAGGTCAGTCATGTAATCGCAAAATCCAAATGTAGGATGTACCAACCTGAAACTGCTGATACAAGTTCCATACCGACCATTCGCTGCCTGGCTCTGATTCAACCAGAACCAAACCGCAGGCAGCAATAGAATTCTTGTCTCGAGCGAGAGCGTTTGTGAGGGATGCCAAGGCACCGTTGTGAATAACCGAGTCTGCATCTCTGCAAAACACCGTATCAAAGCCACTGAAATCTTCACCCTCTGTCAAGATGGGTATAACATGCTCCCACATCTCTTCTCGTAACAGTTTTGTGTATAGTGGCATATTTTTCCGAGGATAGTTGAACAGATCATGCGCTAGAATGAGGGAGTCCTTCTTCCCTCCGTTCTTCTTCTTTTCAATCACAATCACAGGCACATCCTCCATGAAGCCGGCGTGGATGACAAGCTCCCCTAGTCGATGTTTGAAGGAGACGTAGGGCCTTTTGAAACTCGCGATGATCAGTGAAGTGTGATTTGATGTCTCGTGGCTTTCCATCCAGCACGACGCACATGACTTGTTTGTGAGGCTCTACGCCATTGTCTCGGAGTGAGTAAATACATTTCACAATCTGCTCTTCGCTTTCAGAGTAAGCCGGTATCAAAGACAAGATCCACTTCGCAGGCACCTCTTCGGGAGACTTGAATAGGTGGTAAATCGAGTTCATGAGTACACCGCACGGAGAGATCACTGCTGAAAGAACATCCTTGCTCTTCACCAGAAGAATAAAGACAAAGACCCATAGACCCTCATTGCCAACCAGTGCTGCCACTAAGCATGCAATGTTTAGTGAGATGATGGTCCCAAAGAATAGACACCGTTATGTAAAAAGGTTCTTTGGCGACAATTTTCTGGCAGGATCCTTCGGCTCAACGATTTGAGGATAGTTACTATCCATAGAGATAGTAAAAAGCGCTCTGGTGGATCTTCGTCGCCCGGGAACCTTTTCGTAAGCGGGCCAGGTACTCGGGTCAGGCATCCATGTCAGGCCTTTGGGATTAACGACGAATGAAGGCAGTGAGAAATTTCGTGACCTGCTCAGATCGGCAGAGTTCTGACAAGGCGTGCCAGTGGCACTGCTTTTGTCTGTGGCATTGTAGCAATGTAAGGACTGGTTATTTTTGTCATTGTCGTTGAAAGGGTTGGAGAAACCGGCCTGATTCCGAGGGTGAGCAGGCAAGGGAAATTCTGGAAGCACTGCAGTGGAGGTATCGGAGTCACTGATAGTCGAAGCATCCGACTGACATGGTTGCTGGTTTTCCTGTTCATCAACTTCGTCGTCTGATGAGTGGCTTTCAGTCTGAAATACATGGGACCCGTCCTTCTCGTTCGTATGAGAGATGGTGCTGCTGCCCGGATTCAAGAATTCGAGGGGATCTGGATGAAATGATTCCCTACGACTGGCACCAATTGTTTCATGCTGGGGCGCAGTGCCGGCCGGTTGCTGCGAAGTTGTGCTTCGGGAATATGAAGCGTGCGTGGACTTTTCGTCGTATACACACTCAGACGCATTCTGCTGTGAGTGGGGAGTCTCGTGTAGACTGGGACTTTCTCGAGCTTCCGCAATTGGTAGTAATGGTGGCTGCCGTCTCTGAAAACCCCCGGGAATGTATCTGTCCCATGGTATCGGCATGGCCAGTCCTTGAATAATAGTTCGCCTTTACGGCCTCTTCATCGTCCCCCTGGGTTGTAGTCCAAACATCGCTGTTACGGCCTACACCGCTGTTCGACCAATGCTGAACGGCTGCAACACGTACGTGAACGGAAGTCGTTCAAGTGACGTCTGAATAAAGGCAACGCAGTGATCACTGAAGTTCTCAGATGTCGCTGAGGCCGATATTGAATACGACGAGGCGTTCGTAGCGTGCGGGAAGAGAAAGCCATGGGGTATTTACCATGGTCTCGGACCAGCTCGCCGTAGCGGCCAGCTGCAGAACTTGCATCAAGTTGCCGTTGTTCTATTGGGCTGTGGATGCATCAGAGCCTGGTCGATCATCCCAAGATTCTAGAAGTATTCGGCTTCAGCGTCTGTGCAGATACGATATCTAAATCATTGGCGGAGATGCATGTCGACGCCACAAAGCTAGCGAGTGTCAGCAAGATCGTGCTAGTTTGAACCTGGAAACCGAGCTCCAGATGGTGGCTGAACGGATGATCCCGACCGATGACAGACTTGCATTAAAGCACGGGTGAACGTCTGGAGGTGCCACCAGCACCGATGCCATGAGATGCCCATGATGCGCCATTAGACAGTCACTGATCCGTGCGCGAGAAGTCGAGCAAAATCCAGCTTCATCCGTGCTCGAGGTCCCTCGGTCCTTATGGCTCTTGGTGGAGCAGAGCACATTGAGCTGGTAGAATCAATAAAATAAGTCAGGTAAACTTCGGATGTCGTAGGAGAACAGGCGAGTATGTGGAGCAAAGTTGACTTGGAAACGTGGCGGGTATATGAAGGCAACGGGGCCATGCTACTCCGTAGTAAGGCCTGGTTTTTCAAGCTTGGCACCGAACAATCCTTCCGTGCATTTTTTCGCCTTACTTTCTAGGCCTCGAGTCGTCACTTATTATGTTAACGATGCCTAGGGATACGCAGACCTATCATAACAAGGAGTAGAGCCAAGTTCGATATCCCATCTAGCAAGGGACAATCGCCCGCACCTACACCTTGTATTCTGTACCTCAAAAGAAAAGCCCTTTGACCAATACTTCAAGTTCCATATTCCCAACGCGTTGCTCGACAGTCAGGTTGGACTCGACGTCACTATGCTCTGGCAAGGCTTCAATGGGTGCATCCATCTTTGCATTGAACTCGGAGGTTGGATTCTGCAAGGATGCGGCCGCTGTATACTGTAGTTTCGCATGACTGGACTCGTTGACATGATCGAGATTGCTCCCCCACCAATAAAAAGGCCTTGGAAACCAATAACATAGGCTTGTTTATGGCGACACCAGCAACTCCAATGATATTAGGTGCTGGGTGGGTGTCTAGGTGGGTGTGACGCCGGCGAGCTCTCCACCAAAGTCATACTGTATTGCCTTCGCCCAACCTGCCAATGAGCGATGCACAACGCTATGCATTGGCAAATCCAATGGGACCGCCACCCTTGGGGACAAGATTCCTGATCAGACGGCTTGCAAGTTTGCATTGAACGTTGCTATTCCAATAGATCCTCCAAATCTCACAACATGAGGACGAGGCCAGATGTAGTAGCAAATTTTTCAAATGGATCAGCAAATTTTGTGGCCATGACCAATGTAACCCAGCACGTACTCAAAGCCAAGCACTAGTAGATGACGAGGGTCCCCGAGTCTTCGCCGTAATGCTGGTCATGATAGGATTGACATCATTGGACACCAAGAACACAAGACGGGTCAGTATTGCTAAAGACACTCTACGATTATACTGCTGGTTTAAAAGCTGCTGGTTGCTATAGTATCTGTATTGAAGCTACGGCATTGCGATACCAAGGCGCCATCCTATCACCCAATGAGTACGCTGGAAATGCACAAAGACAATCCCAAAAATGCACCTCAAGGCTTCCAATCGTTGTAAGGCCGATCCACAATCATCTCTTTGACAGTGGGTAGGCTGGGTTCTCCCTTCCCGAACTCTAGTGCCATGCCCATTATCTCCCGCCACCTCAATCCAGGGGCAATCTTTCCAGAGATAGTGTTCGGAGTCAACGAGTCACTGTTGATGGGCACAAGGGCCGCACGGCCAAGAATGGCCTCCAAAGCTTGTTGTGCAAAGCTGACGGCCTCTTTGGCATCGGATGGGACACCGGTTTCGTCAAGCTTGCAGATTCTGGTGTTGGGCAACGATTCGCGGAGATGCTTGATGATATTTGGATTCCTAGCACCTCCACCGCACATGAAAATCTCGGCGATATCGTCGACATTGATGTGGAACCGGGGGAAGAATTGCCGATATTGTTTCACAATATTCGCGGCCGTGATGCGGGTGATTGTTGCGACCGTGTCGTACTTGCTCATGCCCAACGAAAGACACTCATCGACTATGGCCTGCCCTTCGTTGTCGCCAAACGTCTCGCGGCCAGTGGTTTTCGGCGGTGTGTGGTTGCAGTATGGATCACTCTCCAGGAAACGATCAACAATATCCTGGTTAACTGTCCCTTGGGCACCCCATTCGCCGTCTCTGTCGTACTCTTGAGCTCCGTTGGTGAAATAACGCATGGCAGCATCGATCCACATATTGCCCGGGCCGCAGTCCCAGTCCACCATTGCATCAACCCCGCCTTTGTTATCTGGCGGAATCACGCACAGGTTCGCAATGCCACCGATGTTCTGGCAGATACGCCACTTGGTGGGATGATGCAAGAGGAGACCATCGATGAGGGCAACAAGAGGAGCTCCCTGACGACCAACGGCTTGTTCAGCCATACGGAAGTCTGTGACTGTTGTGATGCCTGTTATGCCGCTAATCACTGTGCCTTCGCCCAGGCAGAATGCAGATCGAGTCTCTCCGTCTTTCGGCATGGATAGCAACCATATTGTTTGCCCATGTGAGCCAATCAAGTCTATACTTTCGATTGGGATATTGTGTTTTGTGCAAAATGTCTGGACAGCCTCCCCGAACATAATACCAAGTTGAACGTTAAGCTGAGACATTCGAGATGGTGTTGTCTTGGTTTCCCGGAGCATGGTGAGGACGGGTTTCTTGATCCATTGCGGTACAGGTAACTCATCATACTATTCAAACTGTGAGTTTCCGAAAGCATGGTAGACGAAGGAGAATGCATACCTGAAGTATTTCCATATGTAGAGGTGTGGTGGGCGAGGCTTGTCGATAGTGCACCAAGGCGCAGTCGATGCCGTCCATCGCAGTGCCACTGTTCATTCCGAGTACCTTAATGTCCAGAGAACCGTCCGGATTCCGCCTATGTGTGCCGTTCGTATGTCCGTGAAGCCCGTTTGTGGCATGACCATTCGTTGCATGACCGTTCATTGCGGCACCATTAGAGCCGTTGAGATCAACGGTGGTCACCATATTGCCTTATCGAGGGCTGAACAATGTAAACAGTGTTGTAAAATAGGGTCGGCGCAGAAGTGTTTGAAGACTTGACATGTGTTCGAGGTCCAAGTAGGGACAACATTATATTAGTATCGCGTCTCAAGAATAGGAGTGCCCTTTGCATCTCGCCGCATGCCAATGGCTCATTCTACTCTCTGGGATTGGCTATGGAGCCGAGGTAGTAAGCTAGTTCTACAAGAGATCCCCATTCTCGAGTCTGATCACCACGCGGAACATACCTCGACACGAATTACTTTTCCCAGCTTAGCTTACACCCCGGTCTTCTCGTTCCCGGCTTTGTGGGCGCGAGGTCGGGGTGTGACCGGCTTAGATCTTGCTTCCTAGGGTTAGCCTATTGGCTTGATTCCTGTCCCTGCCGCCATCGGAGCACATCCCCAATTACTTGTACCATGTATGTAACGTTTCGGTCAAAGGGGAAAAAGGCCAAGTCAGAAGACGAGCACCGTGAACATCATAGCGAGATTTCGGCAAGACAGCATGTTTTGCGTTAGCTGAAGTGTCAACCACTGGCAGTTACCAAGAGGGGATAGTCTTTGGTGTTTGCCGTTCCCCTTGAATGACCTCCGAGTTCCCCAGCCAGTGCCAGCCGTGACTCTCCGCCATCGGTCGTGGTGTTTGTGGCTCGCCCAGCTTCCCTCTTCCGCACTGGTGACCATCAAGAATTTTCCCAGTCCAAGATTCCTTCTCCCTCCCCACATTAAATCCACCTCGTCCAGTCCTCTCCATATTCTCCAGGAAAATCTGTTCGCTAAATCTCCAAACTCGTCTCGAGTATCGATCTTGACAAAAGCTGTTCTTCGAATCGAGCTGTCTCATGACAAGAATCAAATCGTTCGTATGGGTAAACAGCGATCCAGAAAGGGATGGTAAGTGGCGCTTCCCCAAGGAGCACCCTCGTGGACCTCTGCTTACTTCCAATTCCAATTCCAGTTTAACGTGTCGGAAAAGGCACGTGAAATGTATGTCGCATGACAACCACACATAAGACAGGATACTGATATCGGCAAGGTGACGAGGTCAGACCCAAATGTGGGCAGGTCGGTCTCACTATAGCCCTTCGTTTTAGGAAATCAGCTACTCACAGTTTGACGTGTCCAAGCAGTGTCAGAAACGCAATCGAGATTGTCTGCAAGAAGAGGCGACTGGCCTTGAATTTAGGAGTTATCATTTCGATGAGTCTGGAAGCTTCCTACCCAATCCGGATACAAGGGACAACCGCGAATCATCGAATCAGCAGAGCACAACAACCCCGGAGGACTTCCTCTCTGCTAACGTTCAAGATGGATCTTTACAAGGCCACGACTACACGTCCTACTGTGCCGGACAAGGCTCAACTACGTCTCCTTTAGCGTCGAGTATTAATCCGTTGACGGTCGGGCCGTATAGCACGTCTCCAACTGATGTTCCCTTGATGGGATCCCCTCTGGGGACGTCTTCACGGCACTATGGCGCCTCTGGATTCTCGATCTCTCAACTGCTTCAGCATGTCTCGCCTAGCGTGCAAACCGCGCCATCTCCTTCAGAAACCACACATTTGACACTGACACATCGTGAGGCTGAGCTCGTACACCATTTTGCTCAGCATCTGGGGCGTTGGCTGGATTGCACAGATGCTTCTAGGCAATTCACGTTGAAGATCACTAGGTTGGCAAAGACTTCTCCGGTTTTGCTCTACGCAGTGGTGTCATATGCCGCAAGACATGTTGGCGATGCCGAAACTGCTGAGTCTGCTCACGAAAAGTGCGTGGAATTGCTCATTCCCCTCCTCAGTTCGGAACATATCGCGTATGACGACGTGCTATTATGTGCGATTGTCATCCTACGCGTCTTTGAACAACTCAATGGTGACCTCGATGCCTTCCTGAGTTTGTAACCCCACTAACGTCATCAATAGTAATGGTCACAGGCAGTGATCATGAACGGCATCTAGCGGGCTGCACGGCTTTGCTAAAAGCTTCACAAGGAAGAGAGATAGATTTATCAGCACCAACCCTCCGGCAGGCGGCATTCTGGGTCTATGTCCGGCAATGTCTCTACAATGCATGCGTGAACCAGCAACCGCCGAACGTGGATATCAGTTTGGTCTTGCTGCCGAAGCCACCTTGCGGCAGTCCAGACTACGAACTCAGATCAGAGACCGCGTGGGCTAACCATATGACGTGGATATGTGCCACAGTCATAAATTTCTGCTTCAGCAATTCATTTCATGAACCGAGTGCCAGATTTGAGAAATGGAACGAACTTTCACAAACACTCGCGGACTGGATGCAAAGTAAACCATCAAGCTTCGAACCGATCTGGTATAGTGATCCAGGGCCAAACGATGTCCATCCCTTCCCGGTGATATTGTTCATAGCCGATTGGCATGGTAAGTGTCCACCTTAGTTTTTGAAATGAAGTCGTATCTAAGAGCCGCAGTAATGGCATACGGATTCTATCACCTTGCGTCTATGCTCCTGATGATTTACAAACCTTTTCCACGATTTGCAATCAGGAAAGTGCAACGACAGCTCAAAGATACAGATGCAAGTAATTCTTCGAATGTTCTGAGAATTTTGCTCATCGGCTCACCAGGCACAAGTCATGAATCACGTCAGAGCCATTTGTGGTGCTTGCAAATGCTCCCAAGCGACGGTTCCTTCTTTAATAACACTTTGTCATAGTGCATTCATCTGTATTGTCCTCTTACTCTTCGCTGGCAATATCTCTTTCTGACGTTTCCCAGGGGGTCCATTGATGACAGACATCGCCGAACGACAAGAAGTCATACGAATGTTGCAGGACATGGAAAAAGCACATGCCTGGCCGACTACGTGGATTGTAAATTCCTTGAGAGAAGAATGGGCGAACTCATGAAAGACACAAAGCTCTGGCATAATCCTCCTTATGGAATCTAACAGAACTTGCGCTGGAATTCCTGTCTATGAAAGCCGACCATCGCAGAAGGAAACCACAGCATACTTTCCGTTTCGAACCCAAGCCCCGCCTGGAGCCTCAATGTCCAGTCTTTCGACCACTTGCTGTGACTCGACACCGACGCAGGTGTCCGACTTGTTGGTTCGAAGAGCAAGGACGGGCATTCCACTTTTGCCCAACGGACCAATGGCTTCTCTGAATGGCGTGGTGTAAGGCCACAGTCCATCTTTGGTGAGTTTCCGATAGTTCAAATCGCCCTTGAATACTACAAGGAAACTGTCTTTCAGTTCTTGAAAGAGGTCGGGCGCTTCTTGCGGCATTTCATGGAATGAACATGCAGTAGTCCAGAACGGATGCGACTTGACGGTCACTGCGCCGGAGTCGAACATATTTTCAAGCCTCAGCACTAATTCATCCAGAAACTGGCGGTTGGGGAACAGTTGAGGTGATATAAGATGTTCGAATAAGGCTTGGACGTCGTTCTGCACGACATCGCTGACGAACCACGGGAAGTCTTTGGCATGGAAAGTAATCGAAGAGGCGAATCCGGCGTCTAGGAGATAGGCTGCATACAAGACATCGGTGAAGAATTCAAAACCAGCGTTGTCAAGTACGATATCGACTCTGCGGTCTCTCGCGTAGGTCCCAGATTTGAAGTATGAGTAGACGTCGTCAGTGTCGTTGTCGATGATGTTACGTTGGCTTTTAGCGATGGCCTCTCGGCCCTGGAGATTTTGAAGATCCTCTAGGCTGAGGTGGCTTAGCAGAGATAAATCTGTCGCATTCCCCCATAGCGCGATTTCTGTCATCTCGATGAACAGTAGCTTCTGCAGTTCTTCGCTTGAATCATTGGAGGAGCTTTCGAGTCCTTCGAAGATTTGAATATATCGACTGGCGAGTTCTTCAACTGCGACCCGCGATTTTGCAAACGTCGAGTCTTTCTGCCGCTTGAACACGTCGTAATTCTTCCAGTGATGGGACGTTGAGAGAACAGTTTGCACTCGTCTGTATCATATGAGCTTTGACTGAATAAACAACGATAGAAACGCTTACCGATAGAGGTAGCATTCGCTGAAAAGCCACGGAGAGGATAGCCAAGTCCATTTCCCTGCTCGCTCGATCTCGTTGTTGTATTTGCCGATGTCTGGCCTGCCGTCGCTTCTCAGAGGACTGTCACGGAGTCAATATCTTTGCCAGTAAACTTGGGAGAGCGTTTATCTTCTTACCGTAAAGGTTTGTTCTGTTGAATTTCATTCTTCATATCTTTGAGGGCGATTTGAATTGCCAGGCTCTCGGCCTTCACTTCAGGCTCATGTGATAGTCTGGCAGTCTCACCGACATCCTCGATCATATCTTGGACGATCTTAGGCCACCGTGTTGCGGCCGTCACTTGCGCCATTGAACCTTCGTCTGACGTCCATACTGAGTGAACTGAGTGAACTGCGTGCTCTGAAGGTATAGCTGAAGGCATAGTGATGGACTTTTCAACTAGATCTGGATGATAAATGGTGTCGACTAGAGATGGAGAACAAGCTGGATTGGACAGCAACAGGGGTATATATTGCCTTACTAAGTTTATATCTTCGGAGTCGAGTATTTCAGCACTCTCATGCCTGTCAAATCGTATCTTGGCAGGACAATTGCGGCTTCCACGGTACTAAACTTGAATTCGCAACTCGTCTCGGATCTGAAGCTAGTAGATCCGGAGAGCGGAAGATTCTCTGGCGGAAACTCGGGCCCTTGATATGACACCCGTCACCTACCCGTCGCTGAATGAGAGGGGTGTTGAGAAGGGTCTCTCTACTGGAGAGAAGCGCTCGTAGGTGGATACGGAATATTTAGGCTGAGAAGTAGAAAGTGTGCCCCTTGGCTTAACTCGTGCCGACCTACTAAATGCGTCCCCCAAAGCCGAGATTATGGTCGGGCCCAAGCAAGAGCAAATTCTTTCCAACAGGAAAAGCCCCCGTAGCCACGCGATTACTTTGTGGACTATCTACCAGCGCTATATGCTTGGGGCCCCATCATTATATCTCCATGGGATATACGGAGTACACCCCACGCTATCCAGCTGAGTCTATAAATACAGATCGTTCTCCCCCTAAGACGATACGTTGAAGCAGGATAACTGATCTTCAAGCGTTGTTCTCTCTAACTGCACTTACCTGTGAGATCCAAACATAAAGATGCTCATCAATCGCGACTATTGGCGGACGGTCCCTGGACCTAAGCTCTTGCACCTGATTACAGCGGTTTCGGCCATTGCCATATCGTATGAAGGCATGAGCCAGGGTGTAATGGGCGCTGTTCAAAATGCACCCGAATTCGGAGTATGTGATTCCGTGCCTTCCACTTGTTGAAAACTGTTTGCTAATGCATCTGAGCAGCGACGCATGGGCTTTGCCGACGAGGATGGCAATATCACCAAACCCTCACTTCAAGGCGGTATAGTAGCAATGTACTACTTTGGATCTCTTCTCGGGGCCTTCTGGGCCGGTCAGTTCAGCGACAGATATGGCAGAATCAAAGGCATTTGGATGGCATGCTTTTGGTGTTTCGCAGGCGTCATCCTGCAAACGTCCACCACCAATCTTGCCCATATGCTCGTTGCCCGTATTGTTGCTGGAGTTGGAGTCGCCTTTATCATTGTTATTGCACCAGCCTGGACCGCAGAGCTGGCTCCTGCGGCACACAGAGGCAAGATGATCGCACTGACCTTTTTGGCAAACTTCTCCGGCATTGCCCTATCGTCTTGGATTGGGTTCGCCACTTCTTTCACCGAGTTGGGAGGCGGTGCTTTCCGATGGCGGTTCTGCTTTGCATGCCAGGCACTCCCACTATTCTTCCTGGTCTACTTTACCTTCCTTATTCCTGAGTCTCCTCGATGGCTTGTCAAGGCCGGCCGCACAGACGAAGCTTTCGAAATCATCACGCGCCTTCGTGGAGACGGTGATGCGGAACACCCTGACGTTCAACGGGAAATCAAAGAGATTGTGACGGTTGTTCATATGGAAGAAGAGTCTCAATCAACCAACTATATAAAGATGCTATTCGGTATCGGATCAGGCGACATTCATCTAGGCCGCCGTATTCAGCTTGCGTTCTGGCTCCAGGTCTTGATGCAGTACGGAACCGGCATCGCAGCAGTCGTCATTTACTCCGGCACAATCTACAAGACTGCCGGCTTCGGTGGTGTGAAGATTGGTTGGCTCAGCGCTTTGTGCATGATGGTGGGAATTCTCGGCACCGGAATTGCAGCTCTCACTCTTGATCGTGTGGGCCGCCGACGGACTCTTTACTGGGGCGCTGTCGTCCTCAGTATCATTCTGTTCATTATCGGTGCGCTTTATCGCGGCGCAATCGATCACCCTGATCAAGCACAACAGTACGGCACGGCAGCGGCGTCCATGGTCTTCGTTTACGTTCTCGTCTTTTCGAGCTCTTGGTTGATGATACCTTTCATCTATCCAACGGAGATCTTCCCCACATGGCTCCGTGCAAAGGGTAACGCCTTTGGTGTTGCAGGCTGGGCCATCGGCTTCGGTGGTGGCAGTCTTCTGGTTCCGGTCATGTTCGACGGTATTGGCGAAAAGACATTCTACGTCTTCGGCGCCGCCATGCTCTGCTATATCCCCATCATTTACTGTTTCTTTCCAGAGACAGCCGGTCGCACCCTGGAGCAAATCGACTTCCTGTTCGCGTCAAAGAGTATCTTCACTTGGAATGAAGAGAAGGAATTCGCCAAGCGAATGGCCCAGTTTGAGACCCAAATCAGTAAGATGGAGTACGACGGGACTGCAGGACAAGGGGGCAAGATGCATTTGAGAGAAATTGAAGGTAACCACGGGATGGGCGTGACCGGTGGTGAGAAGGGTGCTAGTACTTTGGTCGAAGGTCAACATGCGGTGTAGCGCGGCCAAAGGTGAACTTGAGGTGGTCGGAGGGCCGCAACATGGCTCTTCGGTCTAGTTGTCAACATAGTCCACTCTCGGTACTTGGCCATCATACCGACCATCGCAGTTTGGCAGAGGGTCAAGATGTACTGTACATATCTATGTAGTACGTGAAGCATCCGATTGCGCTGGCGTGGCATTTGAACCTCGTCTCGAAAATTGGGGCGGAGCAAAAGCCTGACGGAGCAAAGGTTGGGCGGAGCAAATCTCGGGCGCAGTGACGCGCAGTGTCAGTAAAATCAAAAGCTGCGTCATGGCTACAACATGGAAGCTGCACATGCCCCATGAGTCTTCTGCTTCTCACCTCTTCCCTATCTGCTTGAAATGCGATGGTTGACCTACCGTAGTCACTGCACTTTTGGCGCACGATCGAAAGCAAGAATGAACGTGAACAGCCGAATCTGCTCCCAAAGTTGTGCCGCTGCGCCAGCCCCAATAGAAGAGGTTGACAATAACATCTGAACGCGTTACTTGCACGCGTAAAAGTTGAAGTGAGGCTTCGCATGCGAAGGGGAGGCTAATGGTGAAAGCAGCACGCAGGAACACGTGGATTCCTGTCATACCCTCATGCTGGATGAGAAACGCGAAAGCCAAGTTCTGGTGCGAATCCAATGCGCAGCCTACCCTTAAATGAAGCCGCATGCTTCGAGCGAGCAGCCTACCAATTCGAGCAATCGAGACAAAGACCGTCGAAACCTCCAGCGCAAGTCACCCAGGGACGTACAGCACTTGTGGGCATCCTCCGGAAACCTCCTCTACAGCATCGCTCCTCGTCGACGCGTCTCCATTCTCTTGCCCTGGCCCCCTGTTGATTGACTCAGAAATTTCAAGGAGAAGGGATGATGGTAGCACTCAGCTCGACTCTTCTCGGACAAAAGAAGGGAATGATTGCACACAACGGCGTACTGGAGCTGCAGAAAGGCTGAAACTTGCCGGATCAGATACGAGACAATTCTGTACTCTTCCATTTTGACCACTCATCGAACTCCTTCAGTCTAACACTATATCGCTGATGGGAAAATGCGCTAGCCTGCACCTGCGCCAACCCAAACAGCCTCCGAGGGAGCAAGCGTCCGAGCCTTTGCTAATCATCGAGCCGATCGGTCTCTGAACGGGTGACGTCTGCAAGAGCATGGCACATAACCCGAAGGATGCAACATGGAGTGACCGCTCCGACTCATCAGTAGCAATATGGGCCTTTTGTCCAACTGCCTGAAGCTGCTTCCCACGTGGTACACGCCAGAGCACCCGACAGACTCCGAGGAGATGACAACATCAAAGCGGATGACACTTCATGCGTGCTGTGCCAGCGACAACAGGAACCCAAAGCTTGAAGTGCCGGGCCAGACTGCCGCTCTCTAGGCTTCAGGCAATGCTGCAATGGATTCACTATCAATCGCTGCCTGGTTGCTGCTCAATGCTTCCGGCGTTCACGGGAGTAAGTGCAACTTCTTATTCGCAAACACCTAGTCGTGGTATCTTCCTCCCTGCTTAATAGAAATTCCAGGAGGATTTCCGCCTCCAATATGTTGTCCAGCCTCTCCACAGCCAGCTTCACTTCCCACTAAGATCCATTGCTTCAACAAGTTCGCATTGTTACTTCCCCAGTCACCAGCGTTCTCTGTCAATGCAACCCCCAGGCACCCTTCATCTACCCTTTTTCGGGTGACCGCCTTCTTCACCAGTACTCTGTCTTGCGAAATCTGACTCGATAGCGACGCGCCTTCCATTGAAAACCATTCCTACGCATGACAGCTCTTGAGTATCTGAAGGGCGTTTGGCTTGGGCAGATATCTCACTCTTGATTAACGTGGTCCCATGTGCGCCTTGTGTGGCGTGCCCTCTGCGCTCTGCATGGGAGGTTGTTGAGGTCAGCTTCCGCGGCAGAGTCTAGGGCTCGGGGACTCGTGCTTTCTCTCCTTGCAGACACGCTCCTAAGCTTCCTTACTCACCGACTACGACAAACCTCCATGTACCAGAGTCTTACATCAGGATTCCATGGATAATTACGTTATTATCAAGGGTCTTCTAACGACGGACGAGACATGGTACTGTCTGTCAAATAGGAGACGAGTCGGAACGATATTCCATATCCTGGTCGTAGTCCTCTTTTCAGATTAGTATCGGCCATGTCTCTCCTGTTCGACGGTTGTATGCCACCATTCGATGAACGTCTATTGCTTCTCAGGAGTTAGTGATCGGAGGCTATTCTCCGAGTCGGCAATGCTTTCCGCTAGCTTGTCCCACCTTGGAAACAAGGCTGGCAAGGTCTGTCCAAAGTACACCACGGTATTCCGTACTGGCACCTTGCAGAAGGGTTTCCTCCTGGCCCAGGACCAGGGGGAAACGATTGTGAAGATGGAAAAATGAACAATCCGCATCCCCGAAAGATTGCCCATGTTGGGCGATGGCATGCTTGCAACAAGCCGGGCAGCAAGTCTCGAATGACGTTAAGCCGTCATACGCGGCTAACCTCATCCGCGAGCCCTAGCCCTTTCCGTCGTCGGAATGCTGCAGCGTCGATCGATAGGAGTACTATGCAGGATATCACGAGGTTACCGCCCACCAAGTACAGGGGCACCCAGAGGTACCTGACAGCAATGACAAAATTCGCTCCTAGAACATTGCCATCGGCAAATGAAGTCCAACGAATCAGCCGAATCCATCGTTGCAAAGGAGAGTTGGTCGTCGCTCCCCAGCTAAAATGATACCGCCACATTATGTTGAACGAATGGCCTCCTCCTCTCCCGGACATGACTTCGGATAGAATTCCAACGGAACCAAGGACTTCACTCCCCGTTATACGTCTCCGGAGTCGATCATCTGGCCTTGGCATGGCAAACCTCCAGTACAACGACATCAATCAAGTTTTATATAAACAGGTACACGCACGGTCAGCTCGTATGGGGCCTAACAAGACTACACGCACGCAAAGAACTCTCTCATCAGTCCACTATCAATCTACTACGAACACATCGGCAACGAGAATTCTCAAATATCAAAGCACCATGCGTGTTTTCCTTGTCCAAACCGCCAAGGGGCTTTCCAGTTCATCTGGTGGCTACCGAGCGAACCTCTCGCTGCTCAAATATCTGGCTCATCGAGGACATGTTGCAGCTCAACTATGTTTTGTTTGGGACCAGGAGGTTAAGGCTTATTGTGACGAGATGGTTATAGCCGGCCTGAAACCGGATCTCGAGACTCGGAACGTGTGGATGCCAATCGATGAGCATTCCGGGATCAACATGAGGACCTATACGTTTGCCAGCATTGATGGAGTGAAGAATGTTGCCATAAATGCCTCCGACTTTGAAAAAGCTCTTCCTGACAAAGTCATGGCCAGTGATACTGCCAGACTAATCGAGGTACGCCCCTTTTGTCCGAGAGGAAGAGTCGTGGATCTGACAAGTGTACAGAAAAATGAAGTGAGCGCCCAGCTTCAAGTTTTTATCCAGTTTATGGAGATGCATATCTCCCGCTTCAAACCTACACATATCCTATTCAATGACGGCTTGATGCTGAAGGCAACGTTAATGAAGCCCTCGGCTTTCGACGCATCACGAATATTGATCATCCATACGGCTGAACAGCTTCCTTTCGGGCCTTTCTCCGGCGGTATCTCAGGAGGGTCTTGCACCTCTCGCGAAAACGAATTAATGCATGGGGTCGACGGTATCTGGTCGGTATCCGAAGCCATCAAGAAATACGCAAAGGAACACGGCGAAATTGAAACTACCTTCCTAGTTCATCATCCATGGACTTACCTTGACAACAAGACCCAACAACTGCCGATCCGAAGACACAATTGGGATAAAGAGGTCATCGGAATGGTCAATCCGTGTCCAGTAAAGGGTAGTTCGATACTCCGAGACTTGGCTAAACGATGCCCTCAGTTCAAATTTGCGGCGTGGTCCAGCTGGGGCACCAACCCGAAGGTCGAGGGCGAGCTACGTCAGTTGCCCAATGTCGAGTAAGGCCTTTCTCCTACTGCGCGAGCGATGCACTCTTACTGACATTCTCAGCCTTCGCCCAACGGCTCGCGACATGGAAAAAGTCTGGTCGGAGATCAAAGTACTCATTGTACCATCGCTTTGGCTCGAAGCATGGGGTATAGTTGTGATAGAGGCACAAATCAGGGGTATTCCTGTAATTTCGTCGGACGCAGGGGGTATCCCGGAGGCGAAGCTTCAAATTCCTCATATTATACCCGTCAAGTCCATCACGGGTGAGCGAACTCCCGAAGATGGATACGTCATTCCGGAGCAAGACATCGAACCTTGGGAACAGACTTTGACGAAGCTGATGACAGACAGGGATTGGTATGAAAATCTTTCGGAGAAGGCATGGTACGAGACAATCTCCTGGTTTACTGAAATGGATGAAACGGCTTTGGAAGGCTGGTTGATTGAGTCCGCTAGGTCAAAATCAAGGACGAAGAAGATTTCAACAAGCGATGGGGGTACTCTGAACGATGTGATTCAGGCGAGTCTTTAAGACTGCCATGGCATTGGAAGCAGAATTTTTATCTGCTAATCTGGTTCGTCCAGAGTGTTTCGTCGAGGTCTGTCGTTAATGGACTTGGAGACAGTTATGGGTCAACGGCGGCGAATGGCACGGCGATCTGCATTGACGCGAGGTCTAACAGTGTTGGATTCCTTGTAAGCAGTGTGGCCCCGTGAAGATTCATTGCTGTGATGGGCCTGCAGATATAGAAGCCACCATGAATTCTTCATTCTCGATTGCTTCTAGTCTCCAATTTGGTGGCGATATCTCAGGGATGACTATTGCTCGTAGCAGTGGATTGATGGTCTTCGAAGACAACGGCGCCCAAGGGATTAGAAGGCCGACCATTGTCTCCGGCAGAGGCTAGCGGGGTGGCAGAATAGGTGAGGTAGTGGCCGTGCAACACGACGCTGCCTGGGGTCTCCGATCTAGTCCGATCTGCTTACACCACTGCTCGGGTTGTCTGAGGAAGCAAACTCGGCCTCGAGCATATGCGCAAATTCTTGCAGGCTTAGGCCAATCACATTCAGAAACGGCCACTGCACGTTGCATCGGAACATTCTTGACCAGACATAAAGCACTTGCAAAGCCAAGTCCCGGATGGATAGTCCATTGACAAAGTCGGTCTTGTCGCAGGACTGGTTGTCCTCCTCGGTCGGATCTTCACTGTCGCTCGATTCAAGTGCTTCCTTGATGATATGCTTGACCCAGCGGATCATGCGACGTTCGTTCTCTACTTCGGAATCAGCTCCGAGATCCACCGTAGGTATGAGCCAGGATTGAAACCACTGGGCCCCAATGATATTAAGAGATCAAAGTGTACTTACTACTAATTTCCGTTGTTGACTGAGTAGAATGCACAGCGATCAACCATTTCGCAAGCAGGATTGCACATTCAAGGCTGGAGAGCCCATGGCGAATGCTCCAGAAGAAAGCTTGACTTCTTCCCACGCACTCGATTCCCAATCTGACTGGGAGACTCACCGCGTGGACGGCGTACAAGATAGCGGGTAAGATACGGTGACTGCGGCGCACTGGAGGAGACCTTAGAAGACTTGAAGCGATTCGGTGCTTATCCCTAGTCTCCAGGCTGCGGTGTGGTCCAAGGCGAAGATGCAGGCGCACATATGCAAGGCCGAGCAGTGCACTTGAAGTAAAGGGGATAGGCCCGTTGGCGTTTCGAGGATCAAGACTGGATTCGGGGGTCTTTTGCCAGACGACGGTCCATGACCGAAGCGCATACCTGCAGGTTCCTGTCAGCAATGATTCCTCGCCAAAACCCTGGAGCTCTCGTCTTGGACTGGCAAGGCATTGCACGTACTCTAGCTGGTCAAAGTCGCTGTGAGACATGGTGGAAATCTGGTCATCACTCGGAGTTGAGATTTCCGATGTCAGCAGGATCCGCTGTAGCAGTCCGTGCAAAAGAATGTAGTTTCCGAGTGGCGTAGTCATTGGCGATAGCGGATCATTCGACTTTGAGGGGTCGAAAAGAATGGCCAATGCTGGTTGATAGTACAGTTGCTCAGCGGTCACGCCGGTACGGGCAAGCCTCCACTCCTCCTCGGAGGCGGCCTTCCATTCGGCAGTGGTGCACGGTAACCGCACATTCAATTGACTACTCATGAGGTAGGGTGGAACATTGAAGGCAATGCTCAGAGTTTCCAAAAATGTGAATGCGATGAGCTGGGCACGTCTGTCGCTTTCGGCTTGTGCCCAAAACTTCCAGTCATCGAAGGCGACTTCGGTGGTTGCCGACGTCCCAATGGCTCGTAGGCATTCCACCACTACGCTGGCGAGCTGGAAACTTTCATGTAGCAAAGCCACCCCTTCCCATGCACTGTATCCCATCAGCACAACTCCGGCAGCCAAGCACTGGTGCATTATCCTGTCTCCTCGTTCGGGAGCTTGGTATGCACGCTCGTCTGCACCAAAAACGGCCGAGACTCTTTTCAGCCTGCGGGCTTGACCGTAATCGATACCTTGGGCGATCACAGAACCTGGAGACGTATCAGGACAGCGGAAACGGCTTGCTCTGTGCCTCCGCATCCTTTCCATCAAGATGGTCTTACCCGCATGGAATAGTCTATCGCCATTCCGATGCTCGAACACATATTGTGCTCCTGTCGACGCAAAGGCGAGGATTGCCTCCGGAGTGAAGTCTTCGAAGATTGCAGTCGGGATATGGACGAAAGGAAGATGACTATGGAAGCCATCAAAGAACGATGTCATGTATCTTGTGAGGCTATGGTGTGAAGGTAGGTAAAAATCCGGAAGGACATGTTCAAACTCCGCTAGCTTAGCCTCGAGGCTCGCTCGCTGCTCTCTGGAGACATTGGACATGGGCGTTTGATGAGACCGCCGCTGGGCAGTAAAGACTGTGGATAGAAGTGAGCTCAAAATGATAGTGACACAAGCAGTTGTGCGGCAGCATTGCGAAGAACGCTCCTCAACTTACCAGAGTCGGTCACATGCCTCGAATGCTGATCGATTGGAGGCGGAGATGGCAGCCATGAACGGAAAGGGGACATAGGACGACTCCGCGGGTTGATATGCACTGCATCATCCGCTCCGTCGTCGACCAAATCGTTGTGCGGCGGGACTGGTGCTGGCTCGGCTTCGACAGAAGGCTGAGTTTGCACCGTGTCAAATGTGACAAAGTCTGTCAAGAGACCCATACTGTCCATGAAGGTGGCTAGTTGTTGTAAATGGGCCTGTTCGTCGGGAGAAGTGTTCAGAAGAGCATCAAAATCTGGAATTGATGGATCAGATGTCCGTAACGGTACGCGCTCAATATGAACCTACCAAGGTCATGCAGCGATTCATCTACCATGAATGGCATCGGAGTCGATGAGTCGACCATGGCATGTTCAGTTGTGGGCTGCGGTTCGCCTGGTATTGCGAAGGGTGTCTGGAAAATGGGATTCGGAACCGCGCTTTCACCACGGTCGTCGTCAGCACGAGGCTGTCGATGGGCGGTATCGATTGGCTCGTCGCTGGTTTGCCGAGAACGGCGGCTCTCAACAGCAGCCTGCGTGGTCGGAGCATATCTCTCCGGATGCGACAACCGAATGTGCCGCTTCAGAAGATCCTGTCGCGCAAAAGGAGCGCCGCAATGGCAACGAAATGGCTTCTCCTTTGTGTCTTTCGAGGACAATCAGCGCAGATCCGACGGCATTGTGTCGCTGTTGACTTACGTGTTCGCAAATGACGATTAAGATGCTCTGATCGCCTGAAGAGTCTGCCACACCGGCTGCATGCGTGGTCCTTGACTGGAACTTGGACACCGGCACCAACATCAACAAAATTGTCCCTTGCGGACCAGGTCGAAAAGCCTGAATGGGCCATTGTGGGAAGACGTCCGAACAGCCGTGGAAAGGACCATGACACTTAGTTGCAGAGGTTCGAGATGGACATCAACGACAGACTCGGATGGAAAAATGTCGGACATGGAAGCTACTCGTAACGAGGTCGTGCAAAGTCAAGAGCAAAAGTCTAGGCACTGGGGGACCATCATCGCCCAATCATGACTCATCGGCAATGTACTGTATTTACCTAGGTACCTAGGTGCTGAGTGGGTGCGGGGAACGTTGCATGTTGCTGAGAAGCTGTTTAACCCTTCTGCCAACCCCAGGCGTGCCCGGAGTGGCCAATGGCGGCAGGTCTTTTAGGCGACCCCGGCTGATAAGGGCTTTTCGCGAGTGTTCAATGATGGTTCCATTACGGAGTACTACTATTTATCTTATCAGTGCATGCGTTGCGCGGCGACTTGGAACTTGGAGACCTTTCAGCTATCGGCACCCAATTGGTCATTTCGTAAATTTGGAGTCGAACAAGTATAAATGGATTGCTGTAGATATCTCTACCCTTCCTTCCTCGGCTCACCACTCAGAAGCACCATACATCTTACATCTTGATTCTTAGAGTACATTGACCGGTGTCATTCAACATGGGTAAGAAACGTGTCCTGATCAGCTACGGTGTCGACGTTGATGCTGTGGCCGGTTGGCTGGGTTCATACCATGGAGAGGACTCCGTTAACGACATCAGTCGAGGTGAGTCCGATTGGACAACCGCGCGAATTGCACGTTGAACGTTGCAGGTATCTTTGCTGGCACTGTGGGCACACAGCGACTGTTGGCCATGTTCAAGAAGCACGATATTAAAACTACATGGTTCATCCCCGGTCACTCATTGGAATCGTTCCCGGAAGACATGGCTGCTGTTCGAGACGCCGGCCATGAAATCGGCCTACACGGATATTCCCACGAAAACCCATCAGACATGACTGAGGAGCAGCAAAAGATTGTCCTCGACAAGACCTTTCGTCTCTTGACCGAATTCTGCGGTAAACCACCTAAAGGGAGTGTCGCGCCTTGGTAAGAAACCCTGCAATCTGTTTACCTTGAGATAGGCTGTTGTAGAACCAGACGGGATTCAGCTAACTCTTTCGTCGAATAGGTGGGAAACCAGTGCAGAAGGTGCTCGGTTGCTTCTCGATTATGGCATAGAGTATGATCACAGCCTTTCACATCACGACTGCCAGGCGTATTGGCTACGCACAGGTGATACCTGGACCAAAATTGACTACAGCAAGCATCCAGATCACTGGATGAAGCCCCTGGTGAAAGGCAAAGAAACAGGCCTGGTTGAGATCCCTGGAAACTGGTACATTGATGACCTACCACCCATGATGTTCATCAAAAAAGCTCCAAACAGTCATGGATTCGTCAATCCGCGCGACGTCGAAGACATCTGGAGGGACCACTTCGACTACATGTACCGAGAATACGACGAGTTCATCTTCCCCATCTCCATCCATCCAGATGTTTCAGGGCGACCGCATGTAATTCTCATGCACGAGAGGTATGCAACCATGACGCTGCTCTGACGCTTGCAGTACTTTTGGGTTCAAGGCTAACCGTGTTCTGCTTCCACAGACTTATTGAACATTTCAAAAAGCACGAGGGTGTCGAATTTGTGCCCATGGTGGAGATGTCCAATGCGTTCAAGGCAAAGAACCAATACCCTGCTGGGGCGTACCTTCCACAAGACCCAACGGAGGTCTTGAAACGAGAACCACTTTCAAAGTGATTGGAATATCCATTTGACGGAGTCTCGAAGACATCTAAGAGAGTAGATTTGCCGCGGCCTCGGTGAACGATGCCACGCATGGCAGGATATTTGGACCTGACGTAGAAATTGTTCAAGACTACTTTGATACTTTGTCTAACTTTGCAAATTTACGGACTTGTGGCCAAGACTTCAAAAGATACTCTAGGCCTTTGCCCGTGGATCGACAAGTCCAGTCTTTTCGGGACCTGCCCGCCCTGGTAATCTTACCGGAGATCTATCACCGGTGTTGGAACCAAACCACTCCAAGTTTACGAATTGGGACTGTCGGTTGCTCCAACTCAGGACCCAGCTGCTTATCAGTGGAGTTAGTGCCATAGTGGCATCATTGGCAACTACTTTCGTTCAATTGTTCTATAATGGTATCACTGCATCACACCTTGGCTCCAGGACTGAAGCCACTCACAAATGAGATTGCACAGATTCCGGTGAGTCTCGATCTTTACGCTGCTGCCCGACCTGGAAAAACGCCGCCGCCTTCAACACGGTTTTCTCGTCCCATCGCCGTCCCACAATCTGCATACCTACTGGCAAAAGCTCACCCGTCTTCTGGTTCTTCTCGAAACCACAGGGAACACTCATAGCCGGATGGCCTGTGCTGTTGAACGGGCAAGTGTTGGAGCTTAGCCCAATAGCAGGGTTGATTCTTTCCATGATGCCTGTTCGTTTGCCATCTCGCTTGAGTTCTGGATGTTGTGACGCTAGGTCCAAGGTTGTAGGCATGATTAGTACATCAGCTTCGTTCAATGCTTGATTGTAAGCCTCCCGCAGCTTGAACACCATACGGTGCGCTTTTGCTTCGATCCCTGGTCCATACTTTTCCTTGAGGAACGCACTGCTGAAGACCAAGTTCATAACGGTGGGGTTGGTGTCCGAAAGGGCTTCGTACATGTCCTGGTTGGGTGGCCATTGCAGCTGCATGTGCGGTGGTTGATAAGAGAGGTAGCCTGGTGTCTGCATAGCAACGGCCCAATCTGACATCGTAGCTCGAGTCGAGGCGGTCCAGATCAAAGGTCCTTCCTTGTGAAGAGGGACAGAGACGTCGATAACTCGAGCTCCGATTTCCTCGAAAGCCTTCTTCGCCTCCTGGTAAACAAGATCTGCGATCGCTGGATTCATGCCTGGAAGTTGGAATCCTTCCTTCAATAGCCCAACTGTGAAAGGCGATTGCCGCTGAGAGGCTGGCAACTGGGTTTCCGCAAATGCTTCTCGTACGAGACTTGGATAGTCCGGTATATTGTTTCGCAAAGGTGATTCTGGTGTCATCCTTGCGTCAATGCCATCGTATCCAGCCAGTACCTGCAGCAAAAGGGCAATATCGTGTAGACTGTTGGCAATTGGGCCCACATGATCCACCATAGGTGAAAGAGCCATAACTCCCGTGTAAGGGATCAGACCATGAGTGGCTTTCATACCGAAGCATCCATTATAGGCCGCTGGTAATCGGATACTGCCACCTTGATCCCCACCAATGGCCATATCAACATGCTCGCCAAACGTGACGCCCTTAAACTTCGAAGCAAGGTTCGCACCAATCAGGGCTCCACTGCCACTGCTGCTGCCGCCGGCACTGTAGCCATTGGCCCATGGGTTTTGAACCGGTCCTCTGAAGGAGGTTGATGACAAGGTCGAAGCAGAATAAGTCTCGCACGTTGTCGTGCCTTTCACGGTGGCACCAGCATTCAAAACTCTTGACACAACCGTGGCATCGATCGTTGAGATGGGATACCTTGTGCCGTCTTTCGAAAGAAGACTCGAACGGGTCCCAATGGTCGTCGGAAGGCCCCCGACAGCAATGTTGTCTTTGAAAGCAACGGTGCGTCCAGCAAGAAGGTTGCTTTTTGGACTAGCCGCTTGAAAGTTACAGCGATGACTCCAGGCGTTTAGAGGATTTCCTTCCGTGGGAGGCTCCCAATACGTTCTTTCTGAAAAAGTCGGGACCGGGACAAGATCAGGGTGAATGTAGTCTTCAACTGTCTCAAGATGCTCGTACACGGCTTCAGCTGACTGTAAGAGTGTCAAATATGCTTCCTCGTCGGCACCAGAATTGAGCAGAATGTCGAACTTGGCAGCCAGAGTCCTTAGGTCGTCCACCGTTATTCGAGACCTATATGTGATTAGCAATTTACCTGTTTGATGGTTTTCTCACACGTACTGGAAGTCGGTGTTGGGTAAAGCAACTGTCGACATGGCGAAGACCAATGTTTGTGGATGAGGCTATGGTAACAAGGACGTTGCGGAATCAGCTATAAGAACAAGGTGGAAAATTTATACAGGGTTTCACAGTGCAAGTCCATGTATGTGTTCTGCTTAGTTCAATCAAAGCCTCCAGACTATTGGCAGATACTGGGCCCTCCACTCATGGTCGGAGTAAGGGGAATATTCGCCACCAGCGCGTTAAATTTCTAGCTCCCGTCCATTTGAAGCTCCAAAATTCCCAAATAGGGTATTTGGAGCGTTCACTATTCCTACCTTATTCTAGGTGGCTTCCAAGTCAATTCTAACACTAATGGCGGCCGAAAAAGCCGAGGCAAGCAGCTGTTTCCTGGGTTAAGTTTTATCGCAGTTGATGCATCCTCGAAATGATCATTTACAATTGTGTAGAGACCGTTATTTATGGCAGTTGAAGTCATAATATATGATTGAATAGCTAGCCAGTCAGAGGATAAACACTGCAGCTTGGTAAATCTAGATGCAGACGCTCTCAGGAGCTTTATTCTTTCTAAATACTATCTGGCACAAAGTTATGCATACATCTGGCGCAACTATATCATCTCCCTCATTCCCAAAACTTGTCGGGCTCGTCATGAGTACGGAAGCATCATGACCGCCTGGCTCACTAGTTCAATACGGTACCACTGTTGTCTGCACAATCGAAAGCGGCTCCAATTTGTCCACTGGCGTAGGCATCGATAATGGCCTGGATGACAGCGTATGTTCCGCCGATGGTGACAAAGAGCCCCAGGGCTATCATGAAGACATGGAAAACGTATAGGACCTTCTGCAGGAAGGTACCCTTCCAATAATGAGGGTGGTCGTAGCACCAGAGCCAGCCAGGAAGAGAGATTGCCACTGGTGCGAAGCACAGTGTACCGGCCAAACCCAAAAGGTAGTTGAAGATGGGAATGCCGGAGGAGATCAGGAAGCCGGCGATAGACATCCCAATCGTACAAGCGAGCCAAGTACCCCAATGGATGATACTGTTGGCCTGCAAGTGGCGAGACTTGCGTAGGATTCTGACGAAGAGGTATTTTGCTCCGATATGGACATAGAGGCAGGCCGAAATGACCAATCCAATAATGCCGACACCATAAGCGACCTTCTTCAAAGTAGGTCCAGCGGAACCAAGTGACGGTGTTGCCACCCACTTTCCGCACCATTTGTAAACCACCAAGGAGAAAGACAGGTATGCGGATGTGACAATACCCATGGACACGTAGACCGCCTTGTTGTAGTCTCGAGGCTTCTTCATTTCCGAGATGACGGGCAAGAAGGCTGCAGTCGCGGCGCTGGACACAAAGATTGCTGCAACTGCGGTCATACCGGCGATGAATGTTGGGTTGCCGACCACACGGTAGCCAAGGTCGAATGGACCAGCTTGCGGCGCGATTGCTGGACGGTTTCTCGTCGTGACACCAATGACAATGATCATGACCGCAACGAACACAGAGATGAATCCCACCCAGGTGAGCCAGGCCAGCTTTTCAAACTTGCGCACACTGGCGAAGACTGCAACAATGACTGTCGCAATGAACGCAAACCATTGAGTGCAGAGCGCATGGTTTGACAAGGCGTTGAAGGCTGCAGAAACGCCGATAATGCCGGAGCCAGCACAGATCACATATGCCGCAATGAAGAGAAATCCCACAAGTTCTTTCAAGATTGGTCCTCCGACAAGTTGAGCCATGTCAGCGATACTGTGGCAGCCTGCGTGAGAGTTTCGAAAGTTGCCCTGAATGATTGCACAGTAGCCATTGAGCAAAGTGAAGGCAATGATGTTGATCGCTCCTGGCAGCGCACCAAGAGTGTACATGGCCGTGGGGATGGAGAGAACTCCGGTTGCAAAGATGACTGTCGACCACGTTAGAGTGGCACATTCTGACAGAGTGTGTTACTAATATGGACTCACTCTTGAGAAAAATCATGGACGCATGATACCAAGTGACTGTACGAAAGTCCACAATGCCTTCTCCTTTCTTGAAGACTTCGAACTCATTTTCGGTGAGGTGGCCTTTTTCGACAGCCTCAACGTTGTCCAAAGACTGGACGGGTCTGACGTTGTCCATGGAGATTTTGTCTCCGGCCATGTGTGCTAGAAGGTTGACGAGATAATAGATTGAGTGTGGCGAAATATCGAAACCTTTCGCGAGTAAGGACAATGGTAGGACTATATAAAAGTCGTGGGCAAGTGATATGTGGACTGAAAAGGGAATTGGGGCAAAGAGGCCGTCTTGATCGTATCTTAGCCAAGGTAGTGGTGATACGCCAGCATCTGGCCGAGCGAGAAAGTGCCCCCACAGAGGAGGGAAAGATAAGACTAATCCCGGCTCTTATCAATGCAGATTAGCCACTGACCTGTGCCATTTAATATGAGCACATATCGCGACGCTTGGGCTCTGAAATTTCAAGGGAGAGAAACGTGCGAAGTGGAAATTCCTTATCATTACCCCAGGACGAGTCTAATCCGTAAACGGGGAACTAGAGACCCCGAAAGCCCAAGATGGACTAGAACTTGGAGTAACCCCAGACAGTCGAGACCGTCACCTTATCTTCGGGATCTACTGTACGTTTTGATTCCGGTTCTGGTATCCGTAATCATGAGAGTGCGGGAGGCTATTACGATCTCTATATGGCTAGACAACTGATAAGGTATTCTTGCGGATAATCTCCTCAGCTGATCCTTTCTACCCATTGGTACGGAGTCCTTGGCTGATTTGGTAGGGCGTTGTCGTCATGGAAATGTCTCCTATCCCAGGAGGCCATAGTATCCATAACAGTGGATATGATTTCTGATGAGTCGCGGTGAGTTCCTCTGAGTATTTTGGGCAGAAGAGATTGGGGTCTGCATAGACCAGGTAAGCCTATGGTGAGATTCCTCTTTCGGCGGCGAGAGCTACGCAGGTTACGAACTCATCTTAGGTCTCCTCTCCTTGTGTGCTCCGAGGGCGAAGGGTAGTTGTGAATATGGCGTCGTTGGCGCCATGGGAAAAGAACAGCACCCAGAACGCGCAGTCTACGCAGTCTTGTCGCAAGTGCAAAATACTGTGTGACGCAACAAGGACGGACATCCCGTGCTCGAACTGCTGAAGGGCTTCTGCCTCCTGCTCGGCTTCTACTTCGCTCAAAGCACCCGCAGCCAGTGGAGAGGCCGTTTGAGTTTTCAGATCCTTTTTCCAGTGATGCTGGTTTGCTCCCCGCCTTTCGTTCCTAAGTCACCTCGTTGGCGTAAGTGGCGTAAGTGGACCTGGAACAGAAATCACGAACAACGTGGCTAATATCGTTGATAGTCCTTACACGGGACCGGCAGGATGCTGCTCTCAAGGTCTTTAGGAAGGTGCAAGACAGTGGCGTCAAGAACAAGGACGGCCAGTATGAGATCGCCGTGCAGGACGAATTCCGTCTACAGGTAGCGGTAACGGCACAGGAAATGAAAACCATATACATTTGAAAACTTTTTCATCAGCCCCAGCTTACGCAAAAGATGCCTGGTTGGAATCGCTACCATGTTTACTAATCAAGGAACTTTCACATTCGTCATCAAGAATGAGTATGCACCTGAAGCACCCCTCTGGAGCTAACGGTAGGTGTCCGCAGACCATTGACCCCTTTCGTAAACCGTACTTGGCTTTGGTACTATCCAACAACTCTTGACCCAGCCGGTTGGATTAGCGTATATCCCGGTGGCAATCTTCTTAATGCCTTTATTGTTGACAGAGATGGTCGAGTCAAATTTTTGAGTGAGCATCTTCCACCGCGGCCCTGGCGAAGATGGTGGTTAACATCCTTCAGTATTCGTGTTCTTGGGCACCGTACCCGCTCTCGTGGGTGCATACGGGACCGTTGTGTCTTACAACAAGACATATTCCCATGGCACTGCGGCTGTGGCTGTTTTATCCTGTTTTGGCAGACTAAGGGACTATCCTTGTAAGACATCGCCGAAGTCGTTTGTGACAACATCTACCTTGGATGACCCGAAGGAAGAGGCTATCCATAGGCGCTTCCAAGCTGGATGTTACCGCGAGTCTGCCAACGCCCAAGCCGCAGGAGACGTCCACCGCCGTCACAACATTCCTTCAGAGGAGAAGGGTGTGGCGTCTCAGGCTCCTCATTTTGATAATTCACCTGGCAGTCTATGAAAACACCGAGCTATATAAGTGTGGAAGATTGGGATCTGTATATACGAGCTATACGTCCAGCACCTTGGGCCAAGGTAGGTAGCTTGTACTAGAATGGCAATGTCATTAGGGCCCTAGACAGCTCATGACGATGCACAGACAAGGTAATGAGCGTGAATTACGCGCTTAATTTACATGTCTATCTATCCCTATCTCGAGATCTGGGCGACAAGACCCTAAGCCCGCACTAGGAGCTGGGGGTCAATATATATATGGTACGGCAAAGCTGCTTGGGAGAACAATCGGCGCTAAGGCTAGGGCTTGGCGCCATATATTGTGAGCATACTCTTTACGTACATCCAAGGAACTCTGGATATATGCTGGGGAGAAGACATGCGCTGACACTAGTAAAATCGCCGTAATATCGCATCTTCAGTATGATTACACTTTCGTCTGAATAAAATACATATCCACTGAAATAAACCCGTCAAGTACAGGGGAGAATGAGAAGCCGTCCCGACAATCACGGATTGACTTTGATCGTCTTCGCCACACTGGGCGTGCCGGCTGCGTTCATAACGAAGAGCATCCAGTATCCAGGCAGAGCAACGCCAGGATCGCTCGGAACCGTCACCGAGTACGTGTTTACGCCGGTGAGCCTCAGCGTAAGGGGCACGCGGCGCTGGTCGGTGTTGACCGTGTGCGTGGCCGAACCGTAGCGGATCAGAGACGCGCTAGTGACGACCGACCCAGTAGTGATGGTCAACGACTGGCCCACCCTCAGGCTCGCGGTGGAAACCGAGTTGATCACAGGCCTCACTCGGTTGGTGCCATCGCTGTTCAACAGGTACTGCGGTGTGTAAATCTGCGCGTCAAAGTGGTTGGACGAGCAGTCGGCGCAGAGCCCGCCGCCGCCGCTGAGAACCGTGCCATCAAGCAGCAGCAGGGCAATGCTGTGGTAGTTGCGGGGAATGGAGTTGGGAAGCATCTGGGTGAAGGTGTTGGTCAGCGGACTCCACATCTCCGGCGTCAGGTCGGCGCCGATGTCGTAGAACGGCCACCCAACGGTCTGCCCACCCGTGATGAAAACTTGACCATCCGGCAGTACAACGCCGTTGTGGAAGATGCGCTCGTACGCCATGGAGCTGAGTGTCGTGACCGAGGGCGTCGAGTTTTTATTCCCAATCTTGATGAGGTGTGCGTTTCCGGTCGCTTCCGTTCCCTGGTAGTTGGGAGAGCCACCGGCAGTCAAAATATTCCCGGCAACCGCATCGTACATGACCGCAACGCCGCACATTGAATCAGCGTCCGAGGCTCGGTTTCCTGCCGCGCTCACTGCGCCCAATCCTGCCATGTCATACCAGTTCATCGCCTTGCTGGGGCCAGCTTGAAAAACGGATCCGTTTTTCCAGCTGAACAACCAGGCATGGTTATCTGAGCGGAACACCCCTTGGGTGTCTGCGGTCAGCATAGGGGCTACAGGACAGCCGGGGAGCAAGGTCCAATTTCCCGTTGTCGTATTGTAAATTTCTCCGTTCTTGCCGCCCTCGCCTCCGCTCCAAGAGCCTCCGATGGTGAAGATGCGTCCATCCGAGCACGTTGCTGATGATTGATATCCACGCGAGATCTTCATATTGGACCCGGCAATCCAGGCGTCGGTAAGGGGGTCATAGATGCTTGTCTTTTGGGCATTGTTGCCCCCAGTAACGATAGGACGTCCATTGAAATCGAGCGATATTCCAGGACAGAACATATCGTGATTGGTCTGGGTAACGTCTCTCCGGCTGACAATGAGAGTGGTGGGATCATAGGTCGATGTGATGGTATGGCCTGATCCGCCGACGAAGGTACTTGGAGAATACGAAGACCATGTGAGAACTCGGCCATTGGTGGGATTGATGGCTGCCGCAACCGGAACTAGTGGGAAATTGATAGTTGGGCCCCATTTCCCCAGATTAGTCGGTGGGGGGGTGTAAGATGCTGGGACATAAACGGTGAATGCTGCTGCAGACGTCCAATTGCCGCGATTGCCCGCCTCAGAAAGAGCCCGGACCTGAATGTACCGTGCAGACACAGTATTAAAGACAACATTTTTCTCCGACGTGTCGTCTTTGAACGTGCCCGAGGCGACTGATGCAAAGCTCGTCCCATCGGTGCTGGTATACACCTGGTATTGTCCAATGTTTCCATTGCGGCTCCCGTCCTGACGGGGTAAATACCTCAGGGAATTGATGCTGTATACAGTCTTCATGTCAATGGTAATGTTATGGGGCAGCTTTGCAAGAGTCGGGGTGTATTGGGTGTGCCAAAATGAACTTGTGTCGGTAATTGCCTTGACACACTCGTTTCCGGCCTGGGCACTATCGCAAGTGGCGGTCCAACCTGTGCGATCAATTGCAGTGCCAGGAGTAGGAGCATACACATTGATATCTGCTCCGCTCGTCCATGGACCGCGGTTGCCTGCCTCGGTGAGAGCTTGAATTCGTATATAGCGTGCCGGAACTGGTTCAAAAGCCGCTGTCTTCGCCAGCGCGCTGTCGATCCAAGTGCCAAACGCGACGGGCGAACCGAAATTTGTTCCGTCAGTGCTCACAAAAATCTTATGCTGCCCAATGCGCCCATTCCCTGATCCATCCTGGCGAGGTAAATAGACTAGGCCATTGACATTGTAGGTGGTCCGCATGTCGATGGTGATATTGTGCGGCAGTTGGGACAATGTGGGCGAATACTCTGTATGCCAGAATGTGTTTGTACTTGAATCAATTGCACTTATGCATGGATTGCCGGCCTGAACGCTATCACAGGTAACATTCCAGTTTGACCGATCGATCGCAAGCCCTGTAGGTAGAGCAGCAGCAAGGATAGGGCTCTCGTCGATCCCCTCTGCTGTCAACACATCTGCCGGAGGGGGCACGAAGGGAACTGTCAGGGCATTTATACATCTCTCATAGACACCAAAGACCAGGAGAATGCGACTCGCGAAGTTTCGTGACATCTGGTCGGCTATCTGGGCACTGTTTCCGATAATAGAAGTAGAAAGAGAACGAAGTAAGGCTATGCCTTGAAGAAGCTGAAAGAATGACCTGGGAAGGAGGGTAATGAATGTATTCACAGCGCAAAATCACATCAACGAGTGGCAGACAAATATCTTCAAATGTAGATATTCGTGGGATAAAACGAGATACAATGCATGGAGAAGCACCTACTCTATATATTACTTACTCAAGGACAATAAATATGCCGTAGACGAAAGATTCATGCTGAGGGACATTAATCTCCACACGGGGTCTGTAGCCTACTCAGAAATTGATTCAATCACCACCCACCACGAAAGGGGAGGAGGTCCAATTTATAAACGCTTAAGGTTAAATATAAGCTCTTGAACTGTTGGCTCAACAGTTCTAAGGAAAAAGGAAGCGTACTACCCCGAGTACTATGCAAACAAGTCGTCATGTGGATCTCGACTTAAATGGCTAGCTCCCTCTTTCTCGCCTAGAACTTTAGCGAGTGGTCTCAGATTTGGATCAGAATGGCGTGGGCGTGGCGCGAGCTCTTCACGATGAGGTGATCATTATCCCCGCATAACACGATGAATGTACAGGGGCGCAGTCGCTTATTGCCCCGCAATTCCTCGAGTTGCTCCTGTGGCTGAAACAAGGTGGGTTACCCTGGCGGGATATGTTTCTGCTGCAGCAACCTTTCGCAGATACTGTACGGCATGTGCGATCTTGAAGGCTCGTTTTTAATTTTAAAACCCGTATCCGATTACTGATGGGCTTGACCATCATTTGACCTCTGTTGTGGTCCTCGCGCGTCAGGGCATGCCCTCCTCCAGCACCATCCACCTTCCACCTTTATCTCCATATCCATCGATGCATCTCTTCTGCAGTCCGCATACATAGCCAGCACACACCATAGCAACCCTCCAAAATGAGGAGCAATCGGCCTGAACATCGTTCTCTGCAGTCCGGGTGCCGTGATGGGCGGATCGATTGTTCGAATCGATTGAATTGCTCCCGTCAACTCGGAGGATCAATTTCGGTGTTCGGAAGGCGCTTAGCGCAGCCAGCCCGCACTCCGGGGCATCTGCAGCTCCCCAACTGTTTTTCGGACCCTGATTTTCAACTGCCATGAGCAGGACAGTCACAACAGCCAAGATAACTACTGAGGGATCGGATCCGTGCACGGAGAACGCATCTTACTGTCTCAATCAATGTTGGCTGAGTACCATGTAACCTTGACGTCTCTAGGCTTCACTCTTTGCCCCCATTTGCAGTTGTCGAAGCGCGGTCAAATGTTCGCCGACTTTGGAGGGGCCTCTGGGGGTACAATCAAAACTACCCAACATCAAACAGCACGATAAAACTTTTTTCATGGACATAACCGTTCATGATGCTTGATTTCACTTGAAGTTGATAGATCTGGATGCGAGGATTCGGTTGATACCAAATTCGCCCATACAAACTGTATGCATGCATGCATTAGAGTTGGCTGAATAGACGCTGCCAGCTAAACAAAAGATACTAACATCAAGGCGATATTCGATTAAGCGGATTGAAGGCTTTTCATTCTGGACAGAAGTCGATCGGTGAGGATGCGATATCTCGACGGTCTGTACGAGCGAAGCTCTGATAGAGCTCAACGGTGGGGCATGTTATTAGCGAGAACAATTGGAATATATTGCTTTATCGATTGTACAGCATTTTTGTTACCACCTGACTCTTAAGGTGTATCCCGCGCTTGCTTGTAGGATATTGTGGTCCTGACGAGTGACCTCAGGCTCGCCAAAATCTGTACACAAAGCTAGGACCGATTTCGTATGAGCGCACATGTGGGTTGTGCTGGAGGCTTGCATAGGAATTGGTGCCTCATCCTCCTTCAATGTACGATATATGCCGGCCGCTGTAGCATAGCTCGACAATCAAGGGACAGCCAAGGAATCCAAGAGTTCATCACCACTCTAAAATATCGCGATAGCGTTGGGATGGCTTCCTACACCTCCTATACGTATCTTTTCGTTAGCGCATTATGCTCTTCACCACATCGAGGTGTCCACATACCGCGCACATTAGTTGGCACGCTCGCTAGAAAGAAAGTATATTGCTTCTTGCGTTTGCACGTCTCAGCCAACTGGTCTAGATCCCACATTTCGCCAATGGGAACGCCCCAGCGTGTCAGGAGATACTGATGGAGGTTTATCGATTGCCGGGGCCAGGCCTCGAAAGCCGGGGCATCGCCCACCACGGCACTGAAGTAATTGTCGTGTAAAAAGTCAAGCATGTCTTCAGTTTGCTCAACCCCGACAAATGCATGTTCTGGGATTTTTAGAGTACCCAAGTGTGCTCGTTGCGCCTCGTCCAGGCGAGCATAGTTCTCGACAAAACCTGAGCGAATTATGAGGATATCACCATACTGGAACTCGATTCCTTGGTTCTTTGCACAGGCATGAATATCACTCAATGCGATACGGTGCGTAGTGACTGGATCGTAGCTTTTGCCAGCGTAGTCCCAATAGTCGATAAGCACGCCACGGCCGGCTCCAAGATGTCAACGGCGTTGTAGGTTGGATATGTCCAAGCACATACCTATGCCATGATCGGCCCATGCCTGCATTCCGCCAATTTCCGCCTTATAGATATCGTCCTTGGTTAGCTACCGCTCTTTTAGCAGACCCTTCAACCATAGTAAGAATGATACTTACTCCATTGTAAAAGATGATATCACCCTTATGCGGCAGTCCGACCTTTCAGAAAGATCAGAGTCCGGTCGTCAAAAGCTAGTCAGGGTTGTGGCAGCCTTACATGCCGAAAACCGTCCCACTGTCGGTGAGATGTTAATCTAGGGTAAGCAAGGACCTCTGCTCGGGTTACTAACCTGCGATCCACTTTGCGTGTTCATGTCGTATAAGTCGTCAAAACCAGACGGGCCGATTGGCGAGATGGTATGTTTAAACCCCTGTCTACCAAAGGCTGGAGGGTTTGGAAATTCCACAGGCCAACTAGAGAATGGTTGTCAAGGTCGACTTTTGACCTGGTCGTAGTTTACACTCACTTGAGGTTTACTATCTCCCCGGTCTTTATCAACTTCGCGGCGGATGCAGTGCGCTCCGATGTAAGCAGGTTAAGACGTCCGAGCTGTCATTGGTAAGATCTCTGCTATCAGTCATGGCGTAGACTTATACCTCATCATCTGGACCCCAGAACCAAGCTGCACCGTCGGGAGCTCCGTCTATGCTAGGCAGCTCAGAACGTGTGGGAAGCGTCTGGGAGGAAGGGTCAAACTTCATGGCGTATCTCTATAGTATATTAGAATTTTACGGGGCTGATAAACTTGTAGTCAATTACCAAGGTCGTCAATGCTGAGCAGACTATGAAGAGTTGAATACCTTTTAGGTGTACCCAGGGAGATAAAAAGTTCCGAGGGCACCATAACCTCGGCAGCGTCGTCACGATTTCACCGCGGTCAGGGCTATGATTCCTATTTCAGCACTGACCTCGGCTTTGGGCACCGAGATAATGGATCTTCCTATACGAACCTCGACGAGTACCGTTGACTATGCACCGCAGGGGATCAGCAACCCTGGGCAAGGCCTCAGCCACTTCGACATTAGAGCCATGTGTCAAACTAAAAAAGGTGCTCGATATCACAGTTTTGTAATTGCAGGTTATGACTGTGCGTATTCTCATACTTTGACACCATCATGCGTCATGCCAGATTGCGCAATGTCCTTCCACCCATATTTACAGGCACCTCAAGTTCCCGCCAACACCGAAATCCACCATTCCAGCAATGTTTTCATCCTGGTCACCTGCTTCTCGGTCATTGCCTTGCATCCTAGTGACGGTCCTTCCCTGCGTCATGTGCCCAAGTGCTGCATTCAGTCCTCTGTCCTGCATTCAATCCTCTGTCCTGCAATTCTCTACAACAACCTTTCCCGTCCCCAATGTCTCTTGTGGTTCTTTCCGCCCATCGGCTTGAATTTCATGCTCTCTTGTTGAAGTGTCGTCATTTTGTCGACGTGTCAAGCCAGTCAACCTCTGCCACCAGTCTTGTGTCTCGTGTCATTGCTCCAAGCCATCCTCTCGTCCTACACTGTCTTGTGGCTCTTGAAGCCCATTTCCTTGCTGGTTTGAATGACCAACTCTCTCCTGCATCATTTTCTCTTGTGTTCATTTAACCCGTCTTCTTACATCCCAGAGACACCACCCGCCTTGTGTCTCTCTGTTTCTCCAGGCCATCATCTGGTCGATCCAGTCATTCCCTTGACATTTGGCTACTCGAACGTGTCGTCCGGTCGATGTCTCTGATGGGTCCATCGGATGCTGCGAGTGCCACGTGAGGTGTGTACTTTCTGGGGTGTTGGGGATGGGCGAGTTCGGTGACTGATGGGCAGTCTGGTTCTTGGAGGTTATGCTGCCGAAAGATACACTTCTCAGATGAGCTCAGTTAATATCACCTCGAGAGGAACTCAACGTGTACCACGATTGCGTAAGACCTCTTGTAAACATTATAGGTCTATCGACCGTCCTAGTCACCCTAGCCGAGAGGCGGCGCGCATCATGTAGTGCACCTGGGTGGGGCGGCCAATCGGCGAGCCGGCCCTCCCCCGATTCCAGGTGGTGCACCCCGGTAGTGCACCTTTCGTTTCATGCGCGTCTACCGTCGACAATTTCGAAGGGGATGGGTGCACTATACTCAACTTATCCAGCGCTATCGAACGCGGGTAATTGTATAATCGTACGACTTCTCGTCGTTGTGCTATCGTTTTGAGGTGGGTTACTATCTCTTTAAATCCTCTCTCCGCTAAATTTTAAGATAATTTAGTATAACTTTTAATTTTCTTAGTAGCGATTATAGAGGGTTTAGCTTTTTCTTAGAAGTTAAAATTTAATATACTAACTTAATTATTTTTTATTTACGAGCGAGAATAATAGTAAGATTTACTATTCTTAACGAAAGAGATAGTAAAGTTCAAGAATATTAAAGAATATAGCTTAAAGAAATATTCTCTTTAGTTTTAAATTTAGCTATCTCCTCGAGATGTATTTCTTTCGTAAATTATTTAAGAAGGGTTTCTTTTTTTTTTTTAATAATTTTTTTTAGTCGAATTATTTATCGTTTTATTTTATACTTAATATTTTTTTTTTTTTTTTTCGATATTTTTTTTTTTTTTTTTCGATATTTTTTTTTAATTAATTTTTTTCTTTTTACTTTTTCTTTAAAATTACTAAAGAAACTTTATATCTTAATTTACAATAAAACTTTAGAAACTTTATTCTAAAATTAATTTATTTTATTAAAAGATCTATATTCTATATTTAGTATAAAATATTATTAGTTTATCTTTAATATTAAGAAAGTATAAGAACTTTTTTATTAATTAATTATTATAATTAAAACGATAAAAGTAGATTTATACTCTTTAAATATTTAGCGATTATATTAATTACTTCTACTTAATTAACTTAGAGATTATTGTAGTTAAGCTTATAATATTTTTAATTTACTTTATAGTTAATTAATAATTATTAAGTCTTATAAACTATTAAGGTTAATATTAATATAAAGCGTTAAAGAAAATAATTTTATTAGAGATAAACTAACTAAGATATTAAAAGGCTAATCTTATATCTAATCTTTATAACTTTAAAGTTTCTTTTATCGCTATTACTATTACTAAAGTATTTAGACTTAATTAGAAATATACTATTCTATTTCTAAATAAACGCGAAATTTATTAAGTAGATAAGATTATAGTACTATTATAATCGATATAATATTAGTAAATATATTATTTATCTTCTTAATAAAGTATTATATATTTTTAATAGCGAAAATTTTATAATTCGCTATATTAGTTTAAACTTAATTAATAAGTTATCTTTAAGTTAATATTTAACTTTAAAACTATAGAAGAATTAAAGTTTCTTAGTACTTATTTAGTAGATAACTAAGAAATATATAGACTTCTATTATATTTTTTTAATAAGTCTTCTAATTAAGATAGAAATCTTAGTATTATATTTAATAAATAATTAGATCGTAGATTACGATAATCTAATAGTTTTCTTAATAAATTAATATAACTAAACGTCTTAATTTATTAGATAAGATCGATACTAATTAAGTAAGATTATATTATATTAAATTTATTTATCCTCGCTATACTAATAGAAATTTAGAGAGAACTATAAAGTTATTTAGCCTAAATAAATTATTTCTTAATATTATCTTAAATACTTAATATATTATTATTAATAGTAAAGCTTAAATTATTAATTTATTTAATTAATTATAATAAAGAAAATTAAGTAATATTATCTTAAAATTATATTAATTTATAATTATTCTTTATTAATATTAATTTTTATTTTATTTTATTATAATAGATATATTATAATATATTTTTATAATTTTTTAGATAATTTATTATATTACTATTAAATTATTTTAATATAGTTTATTTAATAATATAAGCTATATTATAGTTAATATACCCTTAAGATAAATGACTATACTTATATTTATAGAATATAAATAGATTTAATTTAATATATTTATAATTATATAAATATTGTAGCTAAGATTTACTATTATATATCTTTTCGCTAAAAATTAATGATTTTTATTTATAATTTAAAACTAAATATTTTAGACGATACTTTATATCTTAGTATTAAATAAATTCTATAAATATTTTTAAGCGATAAATATATTCGAAGGTAAGGGATATTAAATCGCTTTAGTATCTAGTTAATTCGCCGTTAGTTTTAGATTTCGAGTTCTTACGATAAGCTCGTCGATATAATTTATAATCTTAGCTAGATATATCGATATTACTTAAGACGATTAGTTCTAACGTTATCGCTTTAAATTTAACGAACTACGCGCTAAAGAAGATTACGAAGATTTCGATTAATTATAGACTAACTTTATAATCTATAAATTAAGTTCTATATTATTAGGCTAAGATATAAAAGTTATTTATTAAGAATTAAGTTTAATACTAAGCTAAATCTTACTAATTAAGGATTAAGCTAAATATTATTATTTACTAATATTAAAGAAAATAAATAATAGCTCTCTCGATATTAAAGATATATTATATAAATTTATAAAAGATTATATACTAAATATAAATACTAATAAACTTAGCGAGTAAAGTATTATAACTTATAAATTTAATTTAGCTTAAGTTATAAATATTTATATTTTAGCGTAGTTAATTAAATCTTAAGATTAAAGATTATAGTTACTTAGCTTATTAAATTAAGAATTAGATTTAATCGATAATCTTATATCTTTAAAATCTATAGACTTTATACTAAATAGCGTAGTATAACGTCTAGTAGAGTAAAACTTATTAAAGTTAAAAGAAATATTTAGAATAACTTTATAATATTAGTACTATTAGATAAAGTTTATTAAAAATATTTAAATAATATATTAGTCTAGTATATAAATATACTTTATTAAAAATTATTAAAGATTAAAATTTATAATATTTTATAATATTAAAAAGATTAACTAAGTTATATATTTATCGTAATAATTTTTAACTTAAAAATATAAGACTTAATAATTTTATTAGTTAATATAATAATTTCTTTCTAAATAAATTTAAAATATAATAATTCTTTAATTAAAAGGGAATAGCTTCGTTTATAATATTAAAATATTTATTTTATCTCTCTTTCGATACCCTTTATAATTTAGAAGGTATTATTTCGTTTATATAGTTAAATCCCTTCTTTTATTGATATATTTAAATTTATTAATATTAAAGAATATAGATATAGAAAATATTCTCTTTATTAACGAACTTAGATTTATCGATAAATTATCTTTTTAATTATAATTTTATTTAAATATAATTATTCTATCTTTTATATAAAGAATATAACTATTTACGCTTAATATAAAGTAAATTATTATTATCGTTAAAACTTTAATACTTAAAGATATAGAAAGATTATAGTATTATATTTAATATAAATATAATTATAATAAAGCGAAAGAATTATTTAATTTAATATTAATAATAAAGATATTAAGCTAATATTACTATCTCTAAATCTTTATCTTTAAGATCTTATATTTTCTTAAGATCTCGATAAAATATAGACTTAATAATATATTATTAAAATTTTTAGTAATACTATTTACAATAATAATAATATTATTCTTAATAATAATATCTAGTCTTCCTAAGCTTCTTTAACTATTACTATAGTCTCTTCCTTTACTTTAAGATACTTTCTTTCTCTATAGGCTTCTTAAATAGTT